AGGCCCGCTCAGCAGCTGCAGCAGCCCAGTACCCCCACCGCTGCTTCCAACCCCGCCCCTCCCGCCGCCCCCACCACCGCGGGCGGAGTGGATGCGGAGGTGGCGAGCCAGGTGCTTCACGCCATCTGCATGCACCGGGCGTGGGACAAGGCTGTGCAGCTGCTGAAGGTGCTGCAGGTGCGGAGGGGAGGGGGCGGAGGGAGGATAAGGGGAGATGCAAGGTAGTTCTTCTGCCATGGGGCATGTGGTGCCGTTTAATCCCTTTCTCTGCGTGCATGTGTATCTCAACCTGGTCAACCTCCCCCCCCTTCCCCCTCCGCCCCCAGGACCACGGCCCCCAGCTGCCGCTGCCCACGCTACGCACCGTGCTGGAGGCCATGGCTCTGGACCGCGCATGGACTGCCGTGTATGCCGTACTGCAGGTGTGCGCGTGTGGGTGTGTGTGTGCTTAGGGTTTTGCCGTACTCTCCCCTTCACCACCTTCACCCATGGCTCCTTACCCCCATCTCCATAACATGCTTCCTGTGCTTGCCCGCACAACCTCTCCTCTTACTCCCTTCTTTCCCTCTACATCCCTCCCCACCTCCCAGATGCTGTGCTCCCCCGGCCCCTCCGCCCCGCCCGGCGTTCTCGACTCGCTGGTGCTGTCCTTCAAGGAGGGCGGCGCCACGGAGCTGCTGTTCCTGGCGCTGCTGGCGGCCAAGGACGAGGCGGGCGCGTGGGGGGAGGCGCTCAGCATGTTCACTTGGCTGCAGCAGGTGGGGGGTGGGAGAGGGGGAGGGAGGGAAGAGGAAGGGGAAGGGAGGGGTAAGGAGGAAACTGACAAGGTGTATGACACGGTGGAGGAAGGGGAGCGTAGGTAGACGGATCAGGGAGGCAGGGGTATGTTGAGAGGGTGGCGGGCAACGGCCGGGCCTAGGGTAGCCCATACGGTGGGGCAGCAGCAGCAGCAGCGGGGGGGAAAAGAGGTACCAGTATTCTGTTGTTCCAATTCCTGGATCCTAACACACCTCCGCCTCCCTCCCCCCCCCCAACCCCGCCCGCATGCAGGTGGCCCAGTCGGAGCTTTGTCGTTCACCCGACCTGTACCGCATTTTGTACGAGGTGTTGGTGGTGCGCGGCGGGGTGGAAGGGCTGAGGCACGCGGTGGGGCTGTGCAGGGAGGCGCATGATAAGGGTGAGAGGGGGAGGGGGAGGGGGAGGGGAGGGGGGGGAGGGGTGAGAGGGGAGGGGGGGGATCTCAGCCGAGGCATGTGGAAGCCCTGTGTGTGTGGGTTGCTCGGGGCATTGAAGACTCATCAGCTTATCATGCAGTTGTCTGGAGAGGGGCGTAGCCTAGGACTTCTGGGGGGGCCGGATATTAGACCCGAATATAATAGCTGCACGTCTTCACAACCGGACCGCCCCCTCCTCCCCCTCCTCCCCCTCTTCCTCCACACGCAGGCATCCTTCGCTGGTTCTCCCGCCCCTCCTCCGCGCCCGCCCAGCTGCCCGCCAGCAGTCCCCGCAGCCCCTCCGCCGCCTCCGCCGCCCCGGGCGGTGTGGTGGTGCTGGAGGGGCTGAGCCGCATCGAAACCATTGTGACGCTGCTGAGCTGGCTGCTGGAGGTGAAGGAGGCGGCGGCGTGAGTGGGGAAAAGAGGGAGGGGGAGACGGGGGAGGATGGGGGGGGAATTGGGTTGCATGAGGTGACATTGGGAGGGCACGGCAGCCCTAGCTCCTTTCCTTCACTATAGCTGGGTGCCTCCTCTTCACTAGGCCTTCCGTACCCTCCCCCACCCCATATCACCCTCCATCTCCCCCCTCCCCCGCCCCGCCTCCACAGCTCCGGTGTGCGGCTGAGCGGCCCATGGGTCGATCTCATCGCCCCCGACATGGGCGACACCGCCCCCACCGCCTCCGCCCCCACCGCCTCCTCCGCTGCTGCCGTACTAGATGGCGAGCACGTGCGACCCGCCATAGCACTGGTGCTGGAGGGGCGGATCGGGGAGCTGCTGGGGGTGGGCCCGGAGGCGGAGCCGGAGCACAGGTGTGCGCGTGTGAGGGATGGGATGGATGGGGGGCGTGGGGCTTAGCAGGAGAGAGGAAGGGAGGGCGGCGGCGGTGTATGGAGCAACTGCTTTTCCTGGACTACAACCGGTACTCCTAGGCCGCGAAGTAGCGTGGCACATGAAGGGAGCCCATTTTGACTTAATCTTCGCCGCCTTATCTCGTTTTTGCAGGGCACTGTTCCCGCTGCATGCCCCTGTTCGCGCCTACCCCGGTGCCGACCCCTCCCGCCCCGGTCTCATCCGCATCGACACCGACTCCATCTACGAGGCCATGCGGCTGTGAGGAGTCGCAAGGCCGTAAGTTGGTTGGCGGTGGCGGCGTTTTGGGGGAAGGAAACGAGGAATAGGGGCAGCTGTGGGGCGGGTAGACTCGACATGCGGGTACACGCGGGCATTGTGCTGCAATCATGTACGACGGCTGCTGCTCCAGCCATAGCTTAGCAGTGAGCTGAAGAGCGCGGCTGGAGGGTAAGGAGGGAAGGAGCCACATGTGAGCTTAGGAATTGGGAGGTGGGTGGGGCGTGAGAGTCCCCTCAAGCTGAGGTGAAAAATGGGAGCGGCGGAGGCGGAGGCGGGGGCGGTGAGCGGTGAGCGGAGGTTTGAAGATTACGGAGGCGCACTCGCATGTGCAGGCTGGTCGTGCATGTGGCTGCTGCATTCTGTCGCTCTGTGATGGACTGTGCCGTACATTCAAAATACCGGTAACGGTAAGTGGTATGAGGAAGTTAGGCGGGTCGGAGGGAGAAGAAGAAACACAGCTAGGGAGACGTGTGCGTTGACGCCGTGAGACATGATTGTGTGGGCTTTCCGGGTGGGAAGCGAGGTATGGCTTTAAGCGATGGATGGGCTGGTTGAGGAAAAGAAGTGACGTTCGAATCGGGGCCTCTGTGAGAGAGGGTCATAATGGTACCTCGCGCTTTGTTCAAGGTAAAAAAAAACATCCTCGCGTGTTCCCCCCTTCAACGTTTTGTTGTTGTGTTAGTAATTCGTTGTTAGTTGTTAGTAGCTCCCGTGCGTTTTAGGCGGCTGTGATTTTTGCGCCAAGACGTACTGTCTTTGCCTTTCCTTGGCATGCAGATGCGTGTTTTCCTGGCAGGGTGGCTGATGTGTTGAATCTGGTTCTGTCGGCCCGTGCGTTGGGCCCTGAGCTGCATGGTTAAAAACAGTTGCTCCCGTTGAGTGTATGTGGGTGAACAGTTGTCAAAATAGCGCATTTCTTGCCGCGGTTGTGGGTCAGTAAGTGAACCGACTTGTGGTGGGTAGGTGTGCTAAGGCTGACGCAGAAATACGGCGTGAGCTTTCCATTTCAGATGGCCTAGCTGTAGCCTGCAGTATGTATGTACTAGTAATGGAAGGTCGTGGGAGAAGGAGGGTACCTTGTTGACCATCTACCAAGAGGTCATTTGCCTTTCGATCCGTACACGCCTCTCTCTATGCTAGAAGAGGTTTAGTGCGTGTTAAGGCCGGGGGACGTATGGGTAAGAGTCGAAGAAGCCGAAAAAGCTTATTCCAGGAATGTTTAAAAAAAGAAGGCGCAAACGTCCATTTGTTTCGTTTTCAGGATATCATGCGGATGTTCTGTTGTCGTACGCCACCGTATGGCTTCCATCGTCGTCGCCGTGCCCCCCGCGTGTGTGTGTTTTTTGGTGCGATGAGAAGAGGAAAGAAATCCCGCGATGTTGCTTGTACGGCATGCAGGCCGTACGATTGTACTAGTACCTACTTCGATGAGGACGTGATGGGGACGTGATATCAACTCCGCGCACACGCGTCGTCATCGCATTTTGTCCGGGTTACCTTCCTGACAAGGCGGGGCGCCGCCCATCATAACAGATGACTGTTTGAAGATAGGATCCATTTGGTTTCGGATTCGGTTGGTTTTGTTTACTTTTGCGGCATTCGCTGTGCTCGTATTGTAGGTACGAAGAAAGAGGTACGAAGGGCGATGATGATATGGGTTCATACCATTTAGCAGTCCAGAGTTCGGAACGTTCAAACAGTTTAGCATGCAACTGTAGTACCAAACGTGGTCCCCTGTTTCACGTTTTCTGTTGTGTGACATGTTTGCGTGGAGTAAACTCGTGAGCGTTGGGCAAGGGGCGGAAGGCGGTGTTCCCGTCTCTTTTGGCTTTACCGTCTTCGGGAGTGGATGTGATGTTGCTGCTGCGTGTGAACTGAGATGTTGGCTTTGCGGCCTCTGGAACCTGAGATCGTGAAATAATAAACAAGCGGGCATGATGGTAACCTCAGGAAGGGGCCTAGAGAAGTAAAGGCTGTGAGCGAGGGGTTGCAAGTACCGGTATGGGAGGTTACATTCGTTGACTAGTCTTTTGTTAAATAGGCACACGCACAATACTACGCGCACTTGTACAACATGCCACGCGTCGCGAGTACGCTGTAAGTTGGCGCCTGCAGGCTGCTCGCATGGTTCACCTGCAGGAAGTTGAAACTGTCGGCTGCCTGGACTCTTCTGCGTCTCCTTGTTGTGACACTTGTAACATATGACCTGTGCTGACGTCCAAGTAGTCCCTCCATGGGTTACAAATTCCCTTGCAGAACCCTACACAGAGGAATACTATAGCAGGTACTGTCTCATGGAACCACGAATGCTGTACCAGGTACTGTCCCATGCACTTGGAGGAGACATCTGGATATCGAGAAAAGCTTTGTACTACTAGTCATGAAGGGGCAGTATGTCAGCGATGTTGCACGAACACAGCCATGAATGAGCGCTTCCACGGACATGCATGTTGGCCCTTCATGGACCCCTGGGCCACGATCAGAAGCTTGATCTCTTTCACTTATATTTGACCCGTTATACTGGTACATACAAACGAAAGGTAAAGCTATGCCGATTTTCAAGTACGCACGTTGACCGTGGGCAAAATTACATACCAACCGCTCGTTGACTACTGATGACCAAACGATTAGCCTTGTGGAACTAGCGGCACACAGCCATTGCACTAATTTCATATCGATTTATGTTTTTATGCTTTGGTAAGCCAGATTGTAACTTTCGCCAAACTGGTGTCTAAAAGAGCCGCATGCCAAGGACCTAACTCCGAAAATACTAATGTTAATCGCCTCGTGTATTCCATAATCACGGGTCTTGTATTTACCCCTTTAATCTAACTTAGCCGGGTAGTGCTAGAACGGGGCGAGCATGAGCAAGGCGCTCCATCGAGTGCTCGTCACGTTCGGCACTGCCGCGGACGGGAGGCTGGGCCTGGGCTTTCCGTTAGCCAGTCAGCTGATTCCTCGCATCGTTCCAACGCTCGCTGGCTACTCCGTGAAGCAGGTCTCTTGCGGAGGCGCGCACACAGCCGTGGTGACAGGTGCGCATGCCCACAGACGCGCGCCCGATCACTTCCATCACCACCCTGGGCAGACCTTTCCCTCAGTCCTTGTGGTGCATTTAAACCAAGGCCAAGCGTGATCATTTCGCTCTGAGGGCTTCAGCCTCCAAGGGCGCACCCCAGGGGCGCCCCCTCCAGGGAGTGGGAGGGGTTGATGCCGGGACGGGCTGTGAAGGCCCTGGCCCCGTGGTAGTGGTCACGCACATACACTCCTTCAGCCCGTGCCGCGCTATCCCGCTTTCATTCAAACCCCGGCTGCGTGGCCAGTCGTACTATTGCCTGTCTGTAAGCCAGGGTCCTTACCGTGATCCGTTACCTTCCGTCTGCCTTTGTCCCGCATGAGCGTGCATGTGCACGTGTGCGTGTTTTGATACCGGTAACCCGCCCCACCTGCCCGCATGTCCCCCCTCCGCCCACGCCCCATTGCGTCAGATGACGGCACGTTGTTCACATTCGGAATTAACGAGTGGGGGCAGCTGGGGCACAGCAACCGGGACAAGTTCGTGGCGGTGAGGCGGGGGGCTCTGGAGGGGGCAGGTTGGGTGCGGAGGGGGGAGGGGCGGGTGCAGGTTGGGTGCGGAGGGGGGAGGGGCGGGTGCAGGTTGGGTGCAGGTTGGGGGTGTGGAGGGGGGAAATGTAAATGAGAAGTGAAGCAACTGGTTGGATGCGGAGAGGGGAGGGGCGGCTGCAGGTCCCCTGCAGGGCCTTGATGCCGGTAGGGGTGCCTGCGAGGCCAGGAGCTGGTGGATAGGGGTAGGTCCGCAGCTCCGCACCCTAACCCCTTCCAGATAAGGGGCCAGCCGGCCCGGGTTAGAAGTGTACCCTTTCGCGGCGCAGTTGCATACCGGTACCTTGCGCACCTGCCCTCCCCCCTTGCTGGCCCCACCCACCCACCCCTGCAGCCCTCCCCTCCCCCCTCAGGCTCCCATCGAGGTGGGTCTGCCCGACCCGGTGAAGGCGGTGGCGGCGGGCGGCCACCACACCCTGGCGCTGACCAGTGAGTGGGGGGAGGGAGGGGGCGATTGGTGGGGAGAGAGGATACAACTAACGGACTGTGTGATAAGACGTGGCGGGGAGAGCTGGGGGACGAGACGACGTGTGGGTCCGGATATGGGGAGGGGGAGAGGGGGACATGGGGAGCTGGGGAGCACTCCCAAGCACACTTCCCCTCCTCATTCGCTACCGTTTGCCACATCCCACCCCTTCGCCTTCTTTCCCTTCACCACTCCCGCCCCTCCTCCCTCCTGTGGCCCCCCTCCTCTTCCCTTCCCTCCCGCCCTGCAGCTGCGGGTGAGGTGTGGTCCTGGGGTATGGCAGGCGAGGGGCAGCTGGGGCTGGGGCAGCCGCAGGAGATGCGGCAGGTGGAGCCGCGGCTGATCAAGACACTGCAGGGTGGGTGGGGGTGTGGGCACTGCAGGGTGGTATCCCATCGTCGGGGCCATCAGCCCTCATCATCAGCCCTCATTATGCAGATACATGTGCACTCCCTTCACCGCTAATCACAGCCACTCACTTTTGCGGATCCTTTTCAATCCATCTGCTCCTCACCTCCACCCTCAATCCCGTACGCCCCCCTAATGCTGTAACTTAACCCCCCTCGCTCCCAGGTGCGGGAGTGGTAGCGCTAGCAGCAGGCGACCACCACTCCCTCGCTCTCACCTCCTGCGGCCAGGTCTTCTCCTGGGGCCGGGGGGAGCACGGAGCACTAGGCCACGGAACCGTACACGGTTACGTGGGCGTGGAGCTCACCCCAAAACGCATCCGCGCGCTGCCGGACCCAGTGACCCACGGGTCACAGCCCCGCATCACCTCCATTACCGCGGGTCCCTTCAACTCGGGGGCGGTGGATTCCTCGGGTGCTGCCTACGTGTGGGGGCACGGTAACGGCTACCAGCTGGGAACGGGCCGAGCGGAACACGAGCTGCAGCCCCGCAGGGTGAGTGAGGAGTGACCTAGCGGGTGGGGTGGGGTAAGAAGAAGGAAACCGACGAGGCAACTTTGGGGTTTGGTGCGGGGGAGGCAGCTGAGATGTTAACTTGATGCCGCGAAGCTGCCCACTGAGCCCCTCTCTGCTTCATTCCCTCCCTTTCAACCCTCTCGCCCGGCTCACATCGCTTTCCTCGCCCTGCCCTCCCTCCCCACCCTCTCGCCAGCTCTCCACCCTGCCAGGCGGCGTCCGCTCGCTCTCCCTCGGTCAAAACCACTCACTCGCCGTCGTCGGCGACGGCTGCCTCGTCGCATTCGGCACCGACGACAGCGGCTCACTGGGCGCCGGCGCCGCCTCGTTGCAACAGCGCGCCGCTCGCCAACCGATACGAGTCGCCGGGCTGCCACTCGCTCGCGCCGCCGCCGCCGGCTGGCGCCACTCACTCGCACTGAGTGAGGACGGCCGGATTTTCGCATGGGGCTGGTCGGGCGCCGCGGGCATGGGGGTGTATGCGGACTACGGGGGTGGTCAGTTGGGACTGGGGGACGATGAGGACCGGTGGGTGCCCGAGCAGTTGATGCGGATACACACCAGCAAGCACCGGTTTTATGACCTGCGGATGAGCTATTTGAAGCCTTGGCGGGCGTTACAGGTGGCGGCGGGCAGGAACCATTCGGCAGCGGTGGTGGAGACGGAGCTGGATGTGCGGGACCTGGTGGATGGGTGAGAGCAGGGTGGTGGTGGATGGGATAGGGAGGTAATGACGACTAAGAGCGGACTAAAAGGGGAGGAGCGGTGGTGGAGGAGTGCGGGGTTGGGTGGGACGTGTTGGGTGGTTTTTATGCACAGGGGAGGAGGAGGTAAGAAGGGAAAGAAAGGAGAGGTGTGGGGTTTTGAAAAGGAGGAAGGGGCATGTGTGGAAATTGTACGTTGGAAGGTCATACGGTATTCTTGTAGAGGGAGGCGGTATGGTGGTGACGGGCAAGTATGCCGTGTAACGTTCTATTATGAATAAATATTGACCGTTACAGTGATCCCAGGCCGGAAGGCAAGGGAAAATGGGCCTTGCACCCAGCCGTACACCGCAAAGGCAAAGGTCAGAGCCCCCAGTTAGAGGGGACCAGGCCCCTTGAAAAAACGCCCGTAGGTCAGGAACTACCACATGGGGGGCACCCCAAGGGTAAAACACACACCAGCAGCACAGCGTCAACAAAGTCAGCAGAAAAGCCGCACCACACATGTCCACACGGCTTTTGCCCTCGCTTGTGACTGCGCCGGCCTTGGCGCGGAAAAGTACGGTAGGTTGTTAAAGCTGCGCATGCTCTGTGAAGGAGGGTCGCGATCGCGCTGTCAATCCCACCTTCCTACTAGTTGACACCTAATGATAATAATGAGCACTACTACTGCCAGCCATGCTGCTATGCGCGTACACCTTTTTGCACGCCAAACCAAGTGGGAACTGCACACATGATGCGAACACATCGCAAAAAGGAGGGAATCGCGCAAACCAAGCGCCGCCTGCCGCCTGTACACCGCATGTACGGTCCGCCGCATCTACGCCGACGCCTCCCCTTTACATCATACACGAGAGGAACAAGTACACCTCCTGCCTGCTTTTCCTGTCACACTGCACGCAAAAGCACTACCGCACTACCTCAAGCCCCCCTGCTCTCATTCCTCCATTCCTCCTCCACCTCCACTACCCGTGTGCCAAGCAACCAAACAACCAGCTACCCAAGCCTAAGCCTAAGCCCCCTCCTAATCCCCTGCCTCCCCCCCCAGCCCTACACCGTCCTCTCCAACATGCGCCTCCTCCGCACCAGCAGCACCCCTACCAGTGCCGCCAGCAACGCCCCCATCAGCACATTCTCCCCCTGCTGCCGTACCAACCCCGCCGCCCCCCGCACCGCCCGCAGCGGCCCCCACTCCCCGCCCCACACCGCCGCGCCCCCCACCACTCCCGCCACCCAAGCCGCCAGCAACCCACCAAGCCCCAGACCCCCCTCCTCCTCGCCATCCTCACCCGCACCGAAACCCTCCTCCCCCCGCCAGACCTTCTCCCCATGCTCCCTACCTGCCCCAAAACCCCTAACACCCCCTCCCCCACCATCCTTACCCCCTCCGCCCATCCACTCCTCCGCACCACCACCACCACCAGCTGCCTCACCCCTGTCGTCCGCCCCCCAGCCCCGCTCCCGCAGCCACCCCCGCACCGCCTCATGCACTCCCAGCAGGCGGCCATGCGCGCGCGCGAGTGCATGCCGCCCAGCCAGGGGGGTCAGCCAGGCATCCAGCCGCATGCCAGCCAGCGCCAGCAGCGGCGCGAGGGCGCGGGGGGAGCGGATGCCGGCTAGGTCGAAGGAGCTGGAGGTGGGGGAGGGGGTGAGGAAGGGGTTGAGGAAGGGGCGAGGGAGGGGCGAGGGAGGGAGGGAAGTGTAGCGGGGATGAGTATGAGTGCGTACATCGACCCGTTGCGAGACAGCCCGTTGCAAGAGTAAGCCCGCAAGCATCACCCTGCCACCATCCCGCCACCCCACCACCTACCGCAGCCACAGCAATCGCGCCAGTGTCGCATTCTCCGGCACCCCCACCCCGCGGTACGTCACCCAACCCAGGTAGAACAGCCCCTCGGGGTCGTCCGCAGCAGCCGCAGCGCGGTACCAGGCAGCCGCCTCCGCAGCGCCCGACACCCCCAGCACCACCCGACCCGAGGGAAGTGGAGCGGGGGGCACCAGCGGGGGAGGGGGCTCCCGCCGGCGGGAGGAGGAGGAGGGCTTGGCGGGGGTGGTGGAGGAGGAGGAGTTGGTAGGCGCTGGCTGCGTCTCTTGGGCTGACGCGGCGTCGCCAGCAGCTGCTGCATCTGCTTCCCCTGTTGTTTCGGCAGCGGAAGCGGCAGCGGCTTCAGAGGCGGAGGTAGCGACTGTCGCGGCTTCAGATACAGCAGCCGCATTCGCAGCATCAGTGGTGTCCCCGTCAGCGGTAGTGGTTGTACCAGTAGAGGCAGTTGGAGTAGCAGGAGCAGCATCAGCGGGCTTCCCATCAGCTGCTGCAGCCTCCGGCTGCTGCGACACTACCTGCTGCTGCTGTTGCTGCGGCTGCTGCAATAGCCCTTGTTGTTGCTGCTGCTGCACTGGTGCGTTTTGCAGTATGAGGTGTGCCAGCTCTATCATGCTGGCGGTGTGGTTCTGCTTGGCAGCCCTGGGGGGGAGGTGTAGGGGGGGAGAGGGCGTGCAGCAGCAGCAGCGGAGCAGGCGGCAGGGTGTTGAGACGAGGGTAACGTGTGAAGTAAGGGAGGAGCATCACATCTCTCGTAACTCGGAACGCGTAGCTTCAAGCTTCCCATTCATATGTATCGTACACAGTTCCCCTACCATCCCCACCACACACCTACCCTACCCCACCGTACCAACCCCCACCCTCCCCACCTCCCCTCCCCTCCCACACGGTTTCCCCCCCACCTCTGGAAGTACTTGGCCGCCAGCACCTCCGCATCCCGCCCCGCATAGCCCGCCCGCCTCCGCAGGAGCCACCCCGCGTTGGCCGCCCCCACCGCACTGCCCTGCTCCGCCAGCACCAGGTAGGACAGCAGCGCGCCCCAGGGGTCACCTGGGGGGGGGTGGAGGGGGAGGGGTTGGGGTTGGGGGATGGAGGGGGTGGAGGGCGGGGGTAGTGCTGACGTCGAGGGCAAGGGGCATGCAGCCCAGGGAAAGGCACGTAGCAGGACCAGCACCATCCGCACCCCGACCCAAATCCACCTGCCGCATCCTCCTCCTTGTGGCTCTCCGCACCGATGGTGATAGTGCGGAGAACCACCCTCGTCGCAACAACCTCGTCGCAAAGCAGCAGACATTGCTTTCACCCCCCCTCCCTGCCCTCCCCCCACCCCCCCTTCCTCCGTCTCTCTTTACATTTTACCACCACCCCTCCCTTACCTTCATCCAGCCTCTTCACCGCCGCCGTCAGCTGCTGCCCCCATGTGGTCCGATCCGCGAAGAAGCCGCGCAGGTGGCGCAGCGCGGTGCCGCAGTCGGGCCCCCCCGGCAGCCCCGCGCCCGTCTCGTGCGCCAGGGCCAGCATGTAGGGCGCGCGCCAGTGGCCCTGCTCGTGGGCGCGTTGGAAGAGCTCCACGGCTGGGGGGCAGGGGGAGGAAAGGGGAGGGGGCGGGCGATTAGAGAGAGGAGGATCGGGGGCGGGGGATACGATGATGGACGTGTGTGAGTGGCGGATGGACAGGAGAGACAGTGGAAGGCGTCCCTCACGAGCGAGACAACAAAGGAAAGCCCTGCTGCTGCACCGCTGTTCCCATTCCCACTCCCACCCCCACCCGCCCGATCCAATGTAGTCGCCCATGCAGAAACGCCTTGTCATACAGCTCGTCAAGTTCGTCTATTTACCCGCCCCCAGCTCCCCCCGCCCTCCACCACCCGCCCTCACCCAGCGTCTGGTTCTGCGGTGTTCCCACCCCGTGGTAGTGCATCGTGGCCAGGTTGTATAGCGAGTCGGAGTTGTTGAGGGCGGCGCCGCGCTCAAAGTGCTCGCGAGCCAGCGTCACGTTGGGCTCCATGCCCTGATGGGGGGGGCGGGAGGGTGGTGGGGTTGCGGGTGGGTGGAGGAGCAGGAGGAAACGCAGAGGCGGTGCGCTGGGTGAGAAGTACAGGTACATAATGCACCAGGCGAAAGCAATAACAGGATAGAAGGTGGGAGGTTGAGGTAGAGGGTGGCAAGCTGGCAGCGGGCCCCCAGGGGCCAGGACACCGTAAGGTTAACCAGTGACCCATGGGTCTCCGTGTGCACTGCTCTCCGCCGTCCTGCACCTGCCCCCATGTCGCCTACCTGTCCGTTCCAGGCCAGTACCCCCAGTCCGTTGTAGGCCGCGGGCAGCTGCTTCTCCGCCGCCTTCTCGAACCAGCGCCGCGCCTCACTGTGGTTCTGGGGCACATGCAGGCCCTGGGGGGAGTGGGGGAATTAAAGATAAGTGTAGCAACGAGGGGGGGTAGGGGGGGTTTGAAGGAGGGAGAAACTAGGGGGAAGGAAGAGTTTTCAGAAGTACGAGTGGAAGGTCGGGTAGCAGGGCCGCTTCCTACCTTGCTCCAACTTGAAGTGTGCTCAACGACGGGCGTTTACCGGTGCTCCTTTCCAAGTCCCGCGTCTTCCTTCCCCCCCTCATCCCCTCACCCGCAGGTGCATGTAGCCCACATTGAATGCCGCGTAGGGGTCCCCCTGCGCTGCCGCGGCCTGGAAGTCGTGGAATGCGCCCTCGGGGTCGGCCTCCAGCCCCCGCCCCACCAGCCGGCGGTAGGCCATGCGGCGCTGCGCCTCGGGGTTGCCGCTGGGGAGGGGGGGGGGAGGAGGAGGGGCAGGGAGGTGAGAATTGGAGCGAAGAGGAAGGGAGAGGGAGAGCAATGGTGTCTGGTGACTGCAGCAAAAACTGGCAACAACAGGGCTTGTCTTAAACACACTGAAACACGCCGGTCTAGGGTCTAGGTCTATAAGACAGCAGCAGCAGCAGCTAGCCGCCAGCAGCTAGCGCGGTCCGCCAGCAGGCGGCAGGAAGCTGTCAGCCGTCAGCAGGCGGCAGGAAGCGGAATGCATGCAGCCCTAATACAATATGCATGCAGCCATGCAGCCCCCTACCGCAGCGCCATGTCCTCCTCCATGCTGACCACATCCGCCCCGTTCTCCGCCTCCTCCGCAGCCACGTAGCCGCCGAACGCGTGGCGGTCGCGCAGGGACACGGGAGCCAGCGGGGCGGCGAACCTGGGAGGCAGGGGGGGTGGGAGGGAGAGAGGGGGGAAGCATGGGTAGGGGAGGGAGAGGTTCCGGGAAAGCGCGCGATCCGAAGCTTTCCGTGAGGATGCAGAGTCAGAGAAAGAACAGCAGTCCCACCACCGTACCGTCCCTCCCCTCTTCCTCCACCTCCACCTCACCTGCCCCTTTCCCATTTGATCTTTACCCTCCCCCCTCCCCACCCCCCCCCACCTCTGCTCCTTGTCCACCTCCGCATTCAGGTGCTGCGCTGCCAGCTTGGCGAACTGCAGCGCACGGGGGCAGCTGGGAGGCAGCCGCACCACTCCTCCTCCTAACCCTCCTCCTACCCCTGCTCCCACCACCTCCAACCCCTGCGCATGCGTCTCCGCCAGGGCCATGAGCGCCTCCAGGGAGCCCCCCCGCGCCGCCTGGTGCAGCAGCTGCAGAGGGGAGGCCGGCGGAGGGTTGCCAGGGTCGGTGTTGCCAGCAGCAGCAGGGGTGGAGGTGGGGGGGTGCAACAGCGAGGGAGGCAGCACGCCCGAGGACTGCAGCGCGGCCAGGAGGAAGGTGGCGGAGGCGGCGGCGGAGAGGCCTGGGGATGAGGGGTCAGGAGGGAGTGGAGCGGGGGTGGTAAGGAGGAGGAGGAGGTTGCGGGGTGGCTGTGTGTTAAGGCTAGGGAGCGTGTTGAGGCTGAGTATGGCAGCCGCGTTTCGCTTCGTCTTACCGTTTTCTCGGTTGAGGGCGACTTCAACGGATAGCGGCCGCTGCGTGGGTATGGCAACTGGCGCTGCTGCCGCCTCTGCAACCGCCTGACTCGCTGCCCCTCCTGCTGCCGCCTCTGCCGCTGCTGCCGGTTGTTGGAGCGGTTGTAAGAGCTCACGGGTCTGCGAGGGAGCCATTCCACAGGCCGCACCAACCAGACGTCAGTCGGAAGCATTGGAGGCCCAACGTTACCCATAACTGCAGCGCACAGGTCAATGCCGCACTCCGCCTCCCTGCCTCCCTCCCTCACCCCTCCCTCCACCCACCACGGCGCTCCTCCCCCCCGGCAGCGCCGCCTCCACCAGCGCATGCAGCTCCCGCAGCGCCGCCAGCCCGGCTGCCAGGGGGCGGGGGGAGCGGCGGGATCCGAGCAGCTGGGACTGGGCGGCCTTCAGCCTGGGGCAGGGCAGGGAGGGAGGGAGGGAGGGGGGGGGCAGGGGCAGGGATAGGGGAGAAGGGGAGGGAATGGGGATGAAGTAGACCATTATCATGTATGCTGGTGAGGGGGTAGCGGGGCAGGCAACATCTGAAATGTGTTATAAAGAGGATGCAGGTGAGCAGCCATTTGCCCCATTTATTACCTGGTACCACACCCACGTACCTCTTCTTCACGTCCTCCACGGTCAGCTTGCCCAGCGGCGACACCGGCAGCGGCGCCAGCTCCGTCCCAGCTGTAGCAGCAGCTGCTGCCTGCTGCTGCTGTTGCGGCTCTTGCTGAGAGGACGTCTCACCCGCCCCACCCACAGCTTCCGGGGTTGCCGCTGCTGCTGCAGCTGCGCCTGAGCCCCCCGCCTGTGCGTCCGCTGCTCCCTGCTGGGTTGCCGCTGCAGCTTCTGCAGGTGCTCCTGACGCCGACCCAGCCCCTGCATCACCCTGCGTCCCAACTGCGTCGGGGGTTCCCGTGGCTCCCTGCGGATTGTTGTTGCTGTTGTCGTTGGTTGCCGCACTAGCTTGCATGATGCCCTCCTTCACCTGCTCGAGCATGGCAGCCAGCCGCTCCGTCCAGCTGTGCCGCTGCTGCTGCTGCTCTCCATGCTGCTGTGCCTCATCCTGCTGCTCTTGCTGCTGCGTGTGATGCTGTTGCTCTACAAGGACTGGCTGCTGCTGGTCTTGGGTCGTGACCCCTGGGTCGGTGGCAGTGGAGCCTGCCGGCGCCGACCCAGGTCCGTCGTTGCTTGATGCGTGTAAGGACTGCCCTGGCCGCTCCTGCTGCGGTGGTGGCGATGACAACTGCTGACCCAGATCAGAATCCTGGTGTTCCGCAGCAGGTGCACCCCCTGATGCGGTGAAGGCCTCATGTACGGCTGCTCGGTAACCTGTGCCGTACGCTACCTCGGTATAGCCCGGATGCGCGCTGCCACCCGCGGGGTAGGAGGCGCCCGCCTCCTGCTGCTGCTGACCCAGATGGAGGAGTTGCTCCTGCTGCTGCTCATGCTGTTGCTCTAACCTTTCCGAGCCATAGCGCCCTGCTCTCGGGTCCCCAACCTGCTCTAGCCCGGGAGCTGTTGCGGCCTGCTCCTGCGGCTGTTGCTGCTGTTCGTGCCGGTGGAAGTCCTGAGCGTGATCGTGAGAACGGGGAGACATTGGCGGTCAAGAAAGAAGGCAGGCTATTGGGCGGCCACGAATCCTGGGGAAGCTGTCAGTACGTGCTTGCGGCGAGAAGGTAGAGTGCAACTGCCTTCTGTGCCCAATGGTTAGCAAAGCGCCGGTAGTGGCAGACAAGCTGCCATAGCTTCCTCGCTTACCTGTTGGTTCTCGCCAAAAGGTTTGGCGATGCAACGAAGGCCTGGGGGCGTAGACGACACCAAGCTGTCAGTAAGCTTGGATTGAACACTCCAGACCACAACACCCGTGTGCGGCTGCGATGCTGGCTATTCCATACGATGACGTATCATTGTATATTATGCTTACCTCCTGTGCAAACAAGGACGACGACTAGGCACGCTACCTTCGCCTGTGTCATGTCCGTATCCCGTTTCACGCTAAACAACCAAATTCATGTCGACTAAATGCACATAATATTAAGGCTTTAATCACGTACACCTTCTGTCCAAAAAGTAATACCCAGGTGTAGGCGCGAGTTTTCCCGAATCGTCGGAAGGGTTGGGGTTAAGTGTGGATCACGACCGTCCTGGCACCCACAGTATAGTTATAGTATGGCAGAGATTGCCCCAGGGAGACATGCATCTGCGATATCCCATAGCGTACGGCAACGTTTTGCTGCTATTCCTGCATCGGGCAACATGGCTTGATCTGCACGCTCCTTGAGCGGCTGTTTGGGTAAGACTAACGACTTCAGATGCTGGATCGAGCAAAGCTTTGAAGCTGCAAAGTGTGCCTTACATGCATGCCCCTTGGGCATTGGGGTTTGAAAACAACCAAGCAATGCAACTTCATCTTGCGTCTATATAGACCGATACATCATATCCCCTGATCATGATGGCACTTGGAGCTCTCGGCCTTCAACTTACAAAGTTGGTCAGCTTGTTCAGCTTGCTGTTGTGCGCAGCGAGCATAGCAAGCGCATTGGACAATGGAGTCGGGAAGACACCTGCGATGGGCTGGAATTCGTGGAACTATTTTCGTTGCAACATCAACGAGACAATAATTAAGCAGGTGGCGGACGCCATAGTGTCGTCAGGCCTGAAGGATGCAGGCTATACCTACGTTAATATCGGTGCGCTGCGGGAAGAGAGGGTTGGGGCAACTTGTTTGGGCCCTTCGTCCCTGGTTGGCGGATGTTGCCGCATGGCTTGGGCTTGCAGCCGAGAGTGCGGCCCGCCAACTCGGCCAGTGTAACCCCATCCGTTACCACCTCCGCCCCCATGTCCTTTCCCGTACATTCCCAGACACCGTTAGCTCTAAGGAAACGCTTCTAATTGTTCGCGAAACACTGTCCGCCCCTTCAACTTCCGGTGGCCCTTGCAATTGCTCGTTACCTGGTTCTGACGCACGCACGTGGATCCAAACCCTGTTTCTCACCCGCCTTCCACGCTCCCTCACCCCTTCTCAGATGACTGCTGGATGGAGAAGCGCGATCCAGCCACCGGGCGCATCCAGCCCTTCAAGGATAAGTTCCCATCTGGAATGAAGGTACGGCACACGAAACCCCCCATAGGCCATACCCGTAAGGGGTCCTTCGCTGTGAAACGCCTCCCTCCCTTGCGACGCCCCGCATGACTACGCTTTGCCCTAGGCGCTGTTAGCGGCTTCCCTACACGTCCTCCAGTTATACCTCGCTCTCCCTTCCGCCCCCCTCCCGCCTTCTTCACCCCGCCCGCCCTGCCTGCCTCCGCCGCTCCCTGCCCCCTCCCGCTCCCTGTCCTTCCCCCGCTCCCTGCCCTCCCCCCCCTCCCTGCCCCGCCCCCCCCCAGGCCCTGGGCGACTACATCCACGGTCTGGGCCTCAAGTTTGGCATCTACTCGGACACCGGGAACCACACGTGCGAGGGATACCCGGGCAGCTGGGGGTACGAGAAGCTGGTGAGGGGGGTGGGGGCGGGGAGGAGGAGGACGGAGGACGGAGGAAGGGGGGGAGCAGGGGAGGGGAGGTGCGGGACGTACGTTGCTCTGCGATGTGGGTCGGCGCCTTACCCGCCTTGCACCTCTCCTCCCCACCTCCCTCACCCGCACCCACTCTCTCCCTGTTCCCTCTTTACCCCCGCACCCCCATCCAACCCCCAGGACGCCGCCACCTACGCCGAGTGGGGTGTGGACTACCTCAAGTACGACTACTGCGGCATGGAGGGAGTCACGGAGCCGGTGCGCGCATCCTACGAGCGCATGCGCGACGCGCTGGCGGCCACGGGGCGGCCCGTGCTGTTCAGCCTGTGCTCCTGGGGCTCGGGGCAGCCCTGGCAGTGGGGCAAGCAGGTGGGGGGCAAAGACGATACGTCCATACCGAACTATAGGAACCACAGGTTGGGGCAGAACAATGGTGGGGGCGGGGGCAGGGCAGATGATGATGAGGAGGAGGCGGGCATGGTCCGCATGGGTGGAGCTGACTTGCTGCCGGGACTCCTCGCTGCCCCGAGGTTTGCAAGCAGCAGGAAGAGACGGGCCTTGTGTTCTGGATCACACCCGCATTCCCAGCAAGCACAGCTCTCTATAAGCAGTTGAGCACCCCTCCCCTCTCCCGCCCTCTCCCTATCCCTCCATCCCCCTTCCTTTGCTGCACTTAATATTTCTTTTTCCCCCCTTTCCCCCCTTCCCCACATGCACCCCCCAGGTTGGCAACTCCTGGCGCACCGGCATCGACGTGTTCGCGGTGTGGGACGCGGCGCAGGCCCGCGCGCTGCAGCTGCCCAGCTTCCTGCAGCCCATCCTGGGGGCGGTACGGCAGACGCAGGCGCTGGCGCCGTACGCGGGTCCGGGGGGCTTCAACGACCCGGACATGCTGGTGGTGGGGTTGGAGGGGATGTACCCGTACGGCATCGTACAGGTGCGTGGGAGAGGGGGGGCTGAGGGAGTGCGGTATATGTATCCCCATCAACCCCACACCCCTCATCCCGCAGGAGTGTCCCGAGCACGTGCGCGGCTGCAAGCCCGGAATGTACATCAGCAGGGACCGCTGGGGCAAAGTGGGCGGCCTCACGCAGACCGAGCAGCGCACGCACTTCAGCTTCTGGTGCATGATGGCGGCGCCGCTCATCCTGGGGAACGACCCACGGGTCATGAGCAAGGCCACGCTGCAGATCCTGCTCGCGCGGGAGGTGCTGGCGGTGAACCAGGACGCGTTGGGGGCCCAGGGTAAACCGGTTTGGACGGGCAGTAGCAAGAGCAGCAAGGGAAGCAGTAGCAATAGCAGCAAGAGTCGTAGCAGCAGTAGCAAGGGGGGCAGTAGCAGCGGTGCGCCGGGGCATGAGGAGGAGCAGCATGATTTGGAGATCTGGGCCAAGCCGCTGGCAGATGGTCGTACGGCGCTGATGCTGGTGAACCTGGGCGACAGGGCGGCGGACATCTCCACGTTGTTCAGGTGGGCAGGAGGGGGGCAGGGGGCAGGGGGCAGGGGGGGGGCAGGGAGTGGGCAGGGGGGGGGCAGGGAGTGGGCAGGGGGGCAGGGGGTGCTGGTAGCAATGTTACCGGTAGGGGGTTCCCGGCAACAGTGGGGCTGCAGGTGGAGAGGTAAGAGGGGGCCCGGAGGGGGGTTGATCTGGGTGGCCAAGATGCATTGGAGGAGTGGGCATGCACCCTTGATGCTGGGGTGCCTCTACCTTCCTAGGCCGCCGCTTTTGTACCCTTCCCACCTGCCCTCCTCCTCCCCACCTCGATACACTTGTAGTGGTACCGACCCCGGGTCGCTCCAGCTTTATTTACTAAACTAATATAGGCTTGATTGGATGGCTTGAGTGATGAAGAAGAAGTAGACTTATAGATTGAGAGGTAGTGGAAATACTATCGTCAGCCAGCTTTAAATAGGGCGCCGCCCTGTACGACTCCTTCGACATTAGGTAACCCATTCAGATCACCCATTCCGGGATCGACTACTCAATTCGCATTGCTAGATCATTAGTGTCATCATAGACGTGGCTACTAGCCATTTTAGACGTATGACCCATACTTAGATTTCCACTTAATAACCACCATATGTTACAACATTGCCTCCCCCCCTTAGGAGTTTGCGTCCGCGCAACTCCTTTGACGTACAGCTTCTAGAGTTGAAGCCATGTGAGGGGTAAAGTTGGTAGCTGGCTCCCAGCTATTGTGTTCGTCCGTGTACCCTTGCCATCTCACAAGGTACTCATCTACGTACGAGCGTTTTCCCGTTTTTCGACGGCGATAATCAAGTACCCTCTCAACTGGCAAATAGCTATCCTCAGACGAATCCTGCCATTCGGGCAATGTTTCGGGTGGCAGTGGCTTAAATGAGCCATCTGATTTGTATGGTTTCACCATACTAACGTGAAACACGTTGTGATTCTTCAGATTGCCTGTTAGAATAAGGCGCACAGCAGCCTTCCCTATCATCTTTTCCACAGGAAAAGGTCCAATCCAGCGAGGTTGGAGTTTGCGTGTAGCCTTACCCTTCGTACGAAGGTTTTTCGTATTCAGTAAAACCATGTCATCTGGGTGGAACTCCACCTCTCTTTTATCCTGGTTATAGTAAGCAGCGGTCCTATCTTGGGCTGCTTTCAAGCACCGCTTTGCTTCAGACAGTCGGTCTTGCAAGGTTTTACTCATGCCAACAGCAGCTGGTACGGTAGTATCAAGTTCACGTACCAGGGGTGTAGCCGGATGCGATCCGTAATTTAGGAACAAATGGTGTTTGACCAGTGGAACGGTTCACGGTGTTGTTGGTGGCAAACTCTGCCATTGGCAACGCCTCATCCCATGATCGTGGTTCAGAAGAGCAGTGATTCCGTAACATGTCACCTAGAACACGATTCATCCGTTCTGTTTGGCCATCTGTTTCCGGATGGAATGCTGTTGAAAGGCTTGGGTTGATATCAATCATTTTAGCTAACTGTTGCCAAAACCGGCCAGCAAACTGAGTTCCTCGATCAGAGATTGTTTGCTTGGGTACACCGTGCAACCGTACGACGTTTTGGAAGAACATCTTCACCGTCTGTTCTGCTGTCACGCTCTTTTGCGTTGGAACGAAATGAGTCATCTTTGTAAGTCGATCAACGAAAACCAGGATAGCATCGTACTGCCGTGCCGTACGTGGTAATCCCGTAATGAAATCCATTGAGACACTGTCCCATGGCATCTCAGGTATTGGTAATGGTTGTAAGAGACCTGGCTGCTTGCCGGATCTTGCTTTGTTTCGTTGGCATTGATCACAAGCCAACACATGTTGTCGTACATCCGTAACTACACCAGGCCACCAGTGGGTTCGTTGAGCTGTTGCACCAAGGACTGCGACACAAAGTTGTGGCTGGCAACCGTATCCAACAGGACCGTTACCTTCTTGCCCGCAACTTCAGCAATCACTCGTGGTGTGTCATCGCCAGTTGCCGCACAGCGCGGGGACTCCCCAAAACTAGGCGCATTATACCAAACTTTAACACCAGTGGTAACACCAGGCAGGAGTTGATCATCTCCTTGTAAACCAAAAGCACAGTGCAACTGTGTTCCCACGGGGTATTTGTGAAGTGAAATCATCCCTTCCAGTAAAGAGGCAGACACCTGAGCATTATCAGGAATCAAGATGCATGCGGCTGTAGTGGTCGGATGAAATCGCTTGCATGTACGATAATGCGCAAGGTAATGGCAAAGCTGTGGCGTAGGCACGTCAAGCCACACAGTATGGCCGCCGATGTCGGTATGGAAAAAGGGACGACCCGAACAAGTGTAAACCTTACACGTCGAGTCCCAACCGTGGTCTGAAGCACAGGCGTCCAAAGAAAAGGTCCTGCCAATACGCTGTTCAAGCGCTGCCACCTCAGTGGACTTCATTACTCGACCACTCAACACGCTAACCATGACCGACAGGTCCCTAGGAGTTCGACGGACCCCACATTCTCCCAGGGTATTTTCCTAGATGTTCATCGCCGCGCCACCGGCGCCCGAGCCTCCCGGCTTGCCTACACCAGGCCCCGATCCTCCCGGGCCCCCACTGTGCACCGTCCACAGCGGGCAGTCGTCAGACCAATGCTGATCGCTGTCGCACCACCAGCAGCACTGGTCACGGCGCCGGGAATGAAGATCCCGAAGGCCACGCTGTAGCGCCGGCGCCGTGACCAGTGCTGCTGGTGGTGCAACAGCGATCAGCATTGGTCTGACGACTGCCCGCTGTGGACGGTGCACAGTGGGGGCCCGGGAGGATCGGGGCCTGGTGTAGGCAAGCCGGGAGGCTCGGGCGCCGGTGGCGCGGCGATGAACATCTAGGAAAATACCCTGGGAGAATGTGGGGTCCGTCGAACTCCTAGGGACCTGTCGGTCATGGTTAGCGTGTTGAGTGGTCGAGTAATGAAGTCCACTGAGGTGGCAGCGCTTGAACAGCGTATTGGCAGGACCTTTTCTTTGGACGCCTGTGCTTCAGACCACGGTTGGGACTCGACGTGTAAGGTTTACACTTGTTCGGGTCGTCCCTTTTTCCATACCGACATCGGCGGCCATACTGTGTGGCTTGACGTGCCTACGCCACAGCTTTGCCATTACCTTGCGCATTTCCATTACCTCGATACCACTTGTAGTGGTACCGACCCCGGGTCGCTCCAGCTTTACTTACTTAACTAATGTAGACTTGATTGGATGGCTTGAGTGATGAAGAAGAAGTAGACTTATAGGTTGAGAGGTAGTGGAAACACTAGCGTCAGCCAGCTTTAAATAGGGCGCCGCCCTGTACGACTCCCTTAGACGTAAGACCCATACTTAGATTTCCACTTATAAATCCACCTTATGTTACAACACCTCCTCCCCACCCCGCTCCTGCTCTCCCCACCCCCCCAGTCGCGACCTGCCCTCCGAGTCGGGTCGGTGGGCCCGCGAGGTGCCCCACTCCGACCCCACCTGCAAGGACAAGCACGCGCAGTGCGGGGACTGGGCAGCAGCGGGGGAGTGCAAGCGGAACGAGGGTAGGTGTGGGGGGGGGGGAAGGGGAGGGGGTAGGGTAGGGTAGGGGGTGGGTTTAGGGGTAGGGTGGGGGGTAGGGGCGCAGGGGGTGGGGTCGGGGGTAGGGTGGGGTGGGGGGTAGGGGCGCATGGGAGCCAAAGCCGCCGTGGTAGTTTGCGCCCGCAATCCACATATCTACACTCCTAAACCCCCACCCCACCCCACTTCCTCCCCTCCACCTGCCTGGCCGCCCTCTCCCACCCGCCCCAGTCGGACAGGAGCACCCACCCACCCTCCCTCCCTCCCCCGCTCACCCCCCCTTCCCACCCCAGGTTTCATGCTGGACGCCTGCCCGCTGAGCTGCCCCGACGGCTGCCCGCACCCCGTGGACCCGCCGGGACCCAAGGCGACCGCACTGGTGGGGCGGAGGGGGAAAGGAAACAACTAACTGACGGTGCACGGGTGGGGGGTAGGGGGGCTGGCTGGGATGGGATGGGCTGGGCTGCTGGTTGCTGTTGTTTTACTGGTTGGCACTCACCGTTATGTGTTTTAGGCCACTCGTTGGAGTGGCTAAAAAGGGCTTCAGGAGGACCTGCACCAGCGGTAAACCACCTAGTAATGGAGAGGGCGATGGGGGTGGAACCCCGGCAATCCCATGCCCCATGTCGCTCCTTCCGCCCTCCCCCCCCCCCGCCTTACCGCCCAGGTTCGCGACTTGTGGCTGGAGGAGGACGTGGGGGTGTTCACGGGCCGCTTCACCGCCCTCAAGGTGGAGCCGCATGAGGCCCGGCTGGTGACACTCAAGTAGGCATGGGGGGGGGGTCAAAGACCGTTGGGGCGGGGGGTGGCGCGGGTGAAAGGGGGTTGAAAGGGAGGTGCAAGGGGGGTGAAAAGGACAGGCTAGAGCGGTAGCGCTTTTATACTTCACTTAACCCGTTAACCCACGTCTTTATGCCTTTACCCCGCTCCCACTTTCACCTCCCCTTCACGTCCCCCTCCCCAATTGGATTTGGGACTGGGAGTCCAGTTGCTGCACTTCTCATGTGTTTCATCCCCCCTTCACGCCCCCCTTCCCCTTCCCTCCCTCCAGGTGGATGGAACCCGCCGACGCCGCCGCCCTGTCTTCCTCCCTGGACTTCGGCCCCCGCGCCCTGGCGGCCAGTGTGCGGGCAGCTGCGGAGGCGCTGGGGCTGGGGGCGGCGCCGGGGGAGGGGGGGCAGCAGGCGGCAGGCGGGCGCAAGGGGGCGGACAAGGGTGAGCAGCTGAGGGAAACAGAAGGAAAACCATGCGTTGGTTGGCAGAAGTGGATAGTAGAGTGGAGGCGGTGCGGCGCGTGCCTTGCTATGCGAGCTGGGTGCCTGTGGCCTCGCCAACCCTCCTCCTCCGCCATCCCCTCCGCACCCAGCCAATCCCCCCCTTTTCTCATCCTTCATCCCATCCTCCGCCTGCGCCCCCCCTCTTGCCGCCCCTGTCCCTCCACCCCACATTGGAATTTCTTTTTTCCACCCCACCCTCCACCCACCCCCTCCAGCCGGTCGGCAGCACTTCCTGCGCGCCAAGGAGCTGGAGACGGAGGTGCAGCGGCTGCATAACGAGGTCAAGAAGCGGGACCGACAGGTCGGGGGGGGAGGAGATGTGCGTGCCAAGGGATGAATGTGTATGTGTACCTGTTTGCCATATCTGTTTGGGTGGGGCAAGGAGTTGGTGCACACGAGGTGATGGATGCGCAGTTGCAACCAGGTGGCCTAATCCCCGTTGTGTCGATCATTGTTACGCCTCCGATGCACACTTCGCTCCAACCGCCCATGCACCTTACCTCCCCACCTGCACACCCCCATCAGCGGGTATTCTTCTATCCTCCCCTTATCACACGGTCAGTTAGATGTTTCCTCTTTATCCCCCACCCATGCACCTTCCTCCCCCCCCCAAACACACTTGTGGTCTCCTATGGTTTGGTATGGTCTTTGACCCCCCAAACACACACACCCCCAGATGTCGGAGATGCAGAAGGAGCTCGATGCTGTACAGTGCAGCAAGGATCACGCAGCGGCACAACAGCCTGCGGACCCCCTGCAGCAACAGCAGCAGCAGCAACAAGCCGCAGCAGCAGCAGCAGCAGCAGGCAGCAACAGCGGTGGCGGCGGTGGGGCAACTGATCTGGCAGCACTAGCGGACAGCGCCGCCCTCAGGCGGTCGGCCATTAGCGGTACCGGTACGACAGCGGAATCCGGATCCGGATCTGGATCTGGATCTTCGGGTGTCGTACGGCCGGCGGTGTGGCTGAGCTGGACGCAGAGTAAGATCAGTTTGGCGTTGAATGTGGTGTTGGCGGTGTTGTTGGGGCTGCTGGTGGCGCAGCAGCGGAGGCGGAGGGTGTTCGTGAAGAGCAGTCGGGACCTGCAGTGAGGGGGTGTGAGGGGGGTCAAAGACCGTACCAAACCATAGGAGACCACAAGTTAGGGCAAAACAATGGGGCTAGGAGTTGGCAGGGGGGGGGCACGCAGTGAGGGGACATGCAGTGAGAGGAAGGTGGGCCATGCAGCGAGGGGGCGGGGGGTTAGTGAAGGGGGGCAGTGAGGGCAGGAGTAGGAGGCGGACATGAGAGGGGCAGCATTAGGAGCGGGTCATGAGAAGCAGCGTGTGGTGGCGCTTTGCATGGGTTGTGTTGGTTGACAAGCAGTTGGCAAGGAAAAGGGGGCGTTGTGTGTTGCTGTTGGCCCAGGATTGGCTGAGCTTTTTGCTGCAGTCCAACTTGCGAAACCGTAGAGTGTACGGCATTCAGACTGTTGCACGTAAGCTAGAGCGTTGCAGTGCCCAAATGAAATTAAACTGTTATTTTTATAGGATTTTGAGGCGTTGTAACAAAGTGCTTACCTACAATGCACGCGCTCTATAGTCGCTATGCCCATCAGGCGTGCCATTTAAGTAGACGCCGCGCGTCACCGGCGGTGCCGCAATGTCCTGGCCGGAGGTTTCTGTCTGCAGTAAGAAGGTCTGCGATACCAGCACATCGAACAGCAGGTACTGGCGTGCCTTCTTGGCGATTCGCGAAAGCATGCTACCTCGTTGGCTATTTTAGGCTCTTTAATAATGGTAATTGTCTCTTTACCGCTTACGCTAAACAAGAATCTCACTGCTATGTACAAACGGCAGAGGAATACTCTCAACTGTTGCGGTCATGCGATGATGACTGGACAAGGACGCTGGAGCTAGTCACAGAAGTCAACATCCTGCGCATAAACGTCGAACCTCAAGCACTTGAATGTGCTGTTGTGTCCTTTGCCCGAGGTAAGCCAGCTGAGCACACCATGCCACGCAAGCATACCATTTACATTTTAATGCCTACACCGAAGCTTAATCGCAATGCTCGCTAAACCCCCTACGCTGCAGGAGGCCAGTGGCAACGAGCGGAGAACCTGTATTTGCAGCTGAAGGCGCAGGGCCACGTGCCCGGCAGCGACACACTGACAGCCCTGGTGGCCGGCCTAGCCGGCAGCCAGCAAGGCGACCGCGCAGCTGCCATACTGGATGAGGTTTCGGAGCTTCAAGGGGACACGCGGTCACTTGCCCCCGCTTACAACCTGGTAACTCGCGCGCTTGCACGACAGGGTGAGTGTCGGGGGGCGGAAGGGGGGGATGCATCATTACGGCGCATGTGTCGGTATGCCGGTAGCTGGCACCCTGTAATAACCGTCCTGGAGGCATTCGGGTTTTGTGGCACACGAGCGTTTCGTGGCTAGTCTGTGTCAGGGATCTAGGGGTCCATGTTGGCCCCGGATGCTGTTGTTGGTCTTGGCGGCCTGCAACTGCCGTATCGCCGTATTGCAGCACCGCTGCCGCTGCCGCTTTCCTTCCCTGCTCCTACCCCCCTCCCTGCTACTGCCTTGCCTTGCATGCCCCACGTACGCCCCCACAGGCCAGTTGGACGCGTCGTACCAGCTGCTGACGCGGATGATGCGGAGTGAGGTGCCGGTGGAGGGAAGCACGGTAGGGCGGGGGGGCAGCGGCAGTAGTTGCCGGTGGAGGGAAGCACGGTAGGGCGGGGGGGCAGCGGCAGCAGTAGTTGCCGGTAGAGAAGAGGCAGGGGGCTCCCCGGGCTGGTTCGTCTAGAAGGCTGGGCCGGGGTTTCACAGTGAGAGCCGATACCGGTAGCTGATTGCATTAGGGTCCGGTGACCGGATGTGGCCTCAACTCCTTTCCCTCTCCCCCCTGAGGCCTCATGACTCCACGTCTCCTGGCCCCCTCCACTCCGCCGCTCCGCTGCACCTCCCCTGCAGTTCACGTGCCTGGCCAGCTGCTGCATGGGTGCTGAGAGGACGCAGCTGGCAGAGGAGGTGCTGGAGATGCGCGACTACCTGTAGGGAGCAGGAGAGCTAGCCGCGTGAGGGGGGGGGAGGGGGTAAATGATAAATGCAGCAACGGAGTCCCGCGGGGTGGGGGGTGGGGGGTTCAAAGACCATACCATAAAGAGGAATGTGACAAGGCTATGATGACGAGGAGGCTACACCATGGGGCTCGCAGGGGGTTGGGGGCCTGGGCAGGGTGGCGCCAGGTGGAGGGCACGGGGCGCCGGGAAGGTGCTCGGGGACGTGGAGTTGGCTGCAGGTGTGGGAGGCTGTTGACAGCTAGGTACCGGTGTACGGCACCGAACTGAGAGTGGGGTCAAGCGGGGGAGCGAGCAGGGAGGAAGAGCGTCGGAGAGGCAGGGATGGCAGCAGGTGAAGGAAGGGAGGGACCGGTAACGTGTATGTGACAAGCTGGCGTGGAGGAGGCGTGCATTATGACGGGGGCTGGCAGACAAACGCGCGTGTTACGGTAGTGTCGGCCCCGGCGTTACACCGATCCAGCTCCTCCATACCCCGTCAGCACTGCAAATGCACCAGGGAACATGCCGACTGGTGCTGCTGCTGCCCGCACCGCTCTGCTCCTCTCCGCTCCCTAGAACACCAGCGGATTCACACCCTGAAACGCTTCATGCGCCAAGTCCAAAACCACTCCCCCCAAATCACCCCCCTTCACCCCTTCCCCCTCTCCGGCCCCCGCACCCACCCCCCACCTCCGCACGCACCCAGCCCCCAGCAGCTCCTCCAGCGCCGCCACAGCCCCGCCCACCTCCCCATGCTCCAACAACACCCTGCGCACCACCCGGCCCCCGCGCGCCGCCATCTGCCCCTCCAACAGCACACCCCCTCCCTCCCTACCCGCGCCCCCCCTCCCCCTACCGGTACTACCCCCTGATGCGTAGCGCCCGTCGCCTCCGCCACCACCACCCTCCTGCCCCTGCCCCCGCCCCTGAGAACTGAACCACCTCTCCCACACCGCTGCCGCCACCATTTGAGCGAACGGGTAGGCGTACATGGCCGCCGGGGTGTGTAGGAGTCCTGGTAGCAGCGTCTGCAGGGTCCTACAGGCCTGGAACACCCCGCCTGGAAGGGAGGAGTGATGCGCCCACAACGCGGCCACCAGCTCCTCCGAGGGGGTGCAGCCGGGGTGTAAAGTAACGGGGTCGCCCTGCATGGTGCTGTCACCTGGCCGTACGGCTGGCGATGGCGGCTGCATGGGTGGTGGCGTCAGGACGGGCCTCAGGCGTAGCATGTCCACAGCTGTTTCTCCTCCTTCACCTTCTTCGTGCCCTTCTTCCCCTTCCTCCTCTGCACCTCCTGTGCTTCCTCCTCCTCTTCCACCAAGGTTAATCAGGAGGTCCGCAGCAGCTGCTAGCAGGTGCTGCTGCAAGGCCAACCAGGTGGGTTGCAGGCGGGAGGAGGGGGCAGCCAGGGGGGCGCAGCGGCGGGGGGGCAGCTGCGCACCGCTGGTGACGTGGCAGGAGATGTCGGAGATGACCCATGGGTCGGCGACCCACCGCTCCATGATGTGTGAGGGCAGCTCGAGGAAATCGGTGGCACTGTAGCAGGCGTTACTTTCGGGTAGGCTGCCGGGCCTTGTAGGAGGCAAGAGGGAAGGCACATGAGACAAAAGTGATTAAGGCAATGGTGAAGCGAGAGGCAGGGTGAGTTCGTGGATCCGTACGGTACCAAATCGTAACGGTGGCACACGCAGGAAACCCCGCTCAACGGGCGTAACAAGCTGGGGGCGAAACATCTGCAGTTTTCTCACCCGTACGGAGCGTTCCGCGTGCCTGCTAGGGCTGCTACCTCCCTACCTGTACGACAACACGTAATGCAGCGCATGCCCCATCTCATGCGCCAACGTGCGCAACATCCGCCCGGGGTCCCCCGGCAGTAGCAGCTGCTGCTTGCCTGACCCACGGGTCACCTGGCTGGCAGGCATGTGCAGGACCACATGTGGTACACAGCGGGCGGCGGAGGGGATGAGGGCTGGTGGGCTGCTGTGGTCGCAGCAGGGGTGCTGGGGCGCCTCAGCAGCGTGAGGTACGGGTCCTCCGGGATAGTGTTGCTGGGGGGCCGGATCTGGGAGCCAGGGAGCGGGGTCGGCTCCGGAGCAGCCGTGCCTGTGGGGGACAGGTCGCGGCGGCGGGTAGGGGGGATGTTGGAAGACAGGGAGCGGCGGGCAGCTAAGCAGGCTAGAAGGACCCAGCCTACATGACCACGATGTTTGTTCACGGTACCGGTAGTATCATTTGATGCTTTACAAAGACGTCAGAGTCCAAGCCGCGATGGACGGTCCAAGGCGCTGCGTGTACATCCCCACTCCTCAAGAACGAATCCCCCACTACCGGTATGTAAGAATGTAACCCACCCACCCACCTGACCAGCTGCGTGAAGGGCCGCTCGCACTGTGCGTCCAGGAACACGTACACAACCCCCAGCAGCTGCTGCTGCCCCGGCTGCTGCTGCTGCTCCTGTCGCCCGCCGGCTGCCCCTTCCGAGCGGGCTCCAGCAGCTGCAGCAGCAGCAGCCCCCATCTGCCGTACTCCCATTTGCCGTACCTCAAACCGCAAAATGCTGCCTGGCGGGGCCCACAGCTCGGCGGCAGTGGGGGCGGTGGGCCGCAGCTCGCATCCCAGCAGGTGGGAGGTGAGGCGACTGAGGCCTGAAGGTAGGGGCGGGGGTGCGGGTGGGGTAGGGAGGGGAGAGCTGAAGGCAGGGGAGGGCGAGGAAGCGGCAACTCTGAGCTCTAGCTGTAAAGCGTGTCCTGACAGGGCTTTTGGTTTGACTTGTGGGAAAGCCTGGCTTAAGTACATCTCTATCTCCCATTCCTACCGCCTGCGCTTTCAGCCACGGCAAAACCAGTCTTAGGCCGGCCTGCCAGTCAGTCAGTCACTCGCCCTGTCGCCCACGGCCCCGAAACCCCCCTTTCTGCAGCCCTCTCAAGGAGCCCTCCTCTTTACCCGCTAGGATGCCCTGCAGGCTGAAGTACGGCGCCAGGTCTCGGAGCTCCTCCGCAGTCGGGGGAGGCGGCTGCAGCAGGCTCCTGAGAGGGGGGAAGGGCAGGTGCAGGTGTAAGTCTAAGTACCGGTGCCGGTGCTGGCAGGGGAGTGAGGCGACATGAGGGCGATGAGGTCGGGGGCAAGAGAGCCGGCGAGGGGGCCAATGGACGGCAAGCCTTGGAAGGACCACAAAGGTACCCCACCCCCCAACCTCGTTGTTTCACATATTTAATTTTTTCACCCCCCAACCTGTGGTTTCCTATGGTTCGGTATGGTCTTTGACCCCACCCTCCCATGTCGGAGAGGACCTACGTGAGGAAGTCGATGCTGCCCAGCAGGCCACCGGGATCTGGATCCGGGGGTTCGGGAAGCGGGGAAGCGCAGTCCTCCTGGCCGCCTCCCGCCTGCCGCCTTCCTCCTTCTCTCCCCACTCCAGCCTCTCCCGCTGCTGCTCCTGATCGACCGGCTGCGGCTCCTTCGCTTCGAGCCCTACCCGACGCCCCGCAGGCACCCTCCGCCTGCTGCTGCTGCTGCCCCTCCTCAAGCCGCGGCAGCAGCGCCTGCATGTGCCGTACCTCCGCATCAGCCATGGGGCGTACGGCAGTCAACATGTCGTACAACATGCCCAGGGCGGCCCATGGGTCACCTGTGTGCGGGATGGGGTGTGTAGGGGGATGGGATGTGCAGGGGGATGGGGTGTGTAGGGGAAGATTGAAACAATGCGACCGGCACAAGTGCTGATTTGGGAACAACTGCATCCTTCCTTCTCCAAGATCAATTGCCGTACAAACCTACGACATATCCAGCCATACGAAGGTGCGCGTACGACGGACGTCCAAAGTAGCTCGCCAGCTCCTGCCGCAGCGGCCGCAGGAGGTCCATCAGCCGCAGCGCCGCCGCCGCCTGCGACCCATGGGTCACCTCGTGCACGCAGCGGCGCAGCTGACTGCTTGGATGCTCCTCCAGAAGCACGCGGGTCAGGGAGGAGGTCAGGCGGAGCGACCAGAGCGGCCCACCTGCGCGTACGGAGAAGAGGGTGGGGTGTTCGGTGCCAAACATCATGTGCAGCTCCGTGCCAGGCGTTATGTGTACCGGTAGGATGAAGGCGCGTTGCATTGGTAAAGGCTCTGAGCAAACGAAAGACTGAACTGAGCCAAAAGGTAGAGTGCACTTGTACTGGAAGGGAACCGGCAGTGAACTCTACGTCCTCGCAACTGGGCAGCAACAGCGCGCCAACCGCCCAACCAACTACCAACAACCCACCTTGTGTTCGTGCCCTCCATGTCGCACTCGCCAGAGGCGCCAGCTCCACCCCCACCGAGGAGGACGACGACGCCACCACCCCCTCCTCTCCCTCCTCCTTGCCGCCCTCCTCCTGCCCCTCCGCCTCTGCCACCGCCGCTCCCAACGGCAACCAAACCCCCTCCCCACGCATCGCCGCCTCTACATCCGCCTCACTCGCCGGCACCGCATGTCGCCGCAGCAGCGCATCCCCCCGCACCTCGCTATCGTGCAGCACCACCAGCGGCAGCGGGGTGACCCGTGGGTCAGCCAGCGCCGCTCGGAACGCAGCCACCAGTTGCTCTTCCAGCCTTTCCAGTGCCCGCTGGTGGTCACAGTCCTCGGGCGAGAGCGCCCCCGAGCGCTCCACGCCCTCCAAAACCAGGCGCGGCAGCTGCAGCTGCAGCTGCAGGTCCGGTGGCGGCGACAGGGTGCTGTCGTGGCTCTCACACATACCCGCGTCCTGGTACGCGTCCCCCGGTATGTCCTTGCTCATGGGTTGGACATCCGAGGCAGGCATTCGAGCCGAGGTTTTAACACCTGGATTTCCAATCCGTTTGTTTGAAATGTCCTCTTGCAGCGCATCCCCTGCTGTGCCCTCTGCTACCCCTGCAGCTCCCCCTCCCACCGCTGCCTCCGCCGTTGCCCTCGCCGCCGCCTCCGCCGCCTGCTGCCAGTGCGGGTGGTCTGCCAGCTGCCGACTTAGCAGCTCCTCAACCGCCTGCAAGGGGTGTGTGTGTGTGTGTGTGGAGGGGCAGGAAGGGGGGCGGGGATGGTTGGGGAGCCTCCTGGTACCGTGGGCGGGGTAGTGATGGTAGTGGTGTGGGCAGCTGCCGAGAATGGTGGGAGCGCAATAGAGCTCTCTTCTAACTTGCGTACTATGTATCACGTTATCGGCCAGTTATGGGGTTGTTATCGCGCGCAGTGCCTTGCCTGCAATGCCTGGCTGGCCCCTGCGCCCGCCCGCCGCCAGGCCTCCTCCGCGTGGTGTGCCGCGCAGTGCTCCGCGAGGGGTCGCAGCCAGCTGGTGGCGGCGTGGTGGGACCGCACTAGCGCCAGGAGACGGGTGGGGGCTGCGAGGGTGGGGGTGAGGGAGGTGGAGGGCGGGTTAGGGTAGGCAGATGCAGGAGTGCAAGCCATGGGGGCTCGGGGAAATGAAGGGGCCACGGGAAGAGGGAAAGGGGCGAGGGAAGGGGGCTGCAAAGGAAGTTCAGCCAAAGCAGCCATGATTCACTGTCAGCTACCCCACCTGACGCAACCTCCAACTCTTGTTGCAGCTGCTGGCAGTGCAGGAGCAGCCGGGCTGTCATGGAGAGCAGGTCATCGGGAGTGAACAACCCGGGGACGCCGTACAGTCCTGCTTGCGCTGCTGGGGCGTGCGGCGTGTTGGGTGTGTTGGGTACATGGGCTGATGGTGAGGAGGTGGTAGAGGTGGTGGAGGTGGCGAGGAGGACGGAACGTGCACGGCGGAGATGCGTGGGCGTGTGGGCTGCAGGACGCGAGCGATGCCAGCGGCAGGAAAGAGTGGATTTGGCTGGGCATGGAGGAAACTGCCTTGGGAGGAAAAGCCCGGTAGGAAGTTGAAATGAAGTATGCCTGTTGAAGGAGGTGATATGGCCCTGCGGTAGAGATAGCATTGTTTGCGGCTGTCCCTGAGGTACCAAATGACTAGCGACCGTACATGTTACTGATGCCGCTCATGTAAGACCGCGCCATATATCAACGCTACGTAGTGTTATGTTTTAGGCATGCAGAACTTATACCTACGTATACATTTGCGCAAAATGTTGCAGTTACAGTGTGTACTGCGCCGCCCGTCAACTAAGGAGACGTAAATCAGGATGGTCCGCTTAAAGAACAGGTTACTTAGATGGTTGCTCGCTTATCCATGCTACTTACTCGCGCGGAGTCAAATAGGATGGACATGCGACATCATCGTGCGCTCGCAGATACCTGCTTTTGGAGATTTCATGGAAGGACGGCAAGCTAGACGAGAGCTACAGTAAGCCTTGTGTCCATTTAAACCCATAACGGTCGAGTGCCTGTATCGCCTGCCTTTGCCCATGTCATCCGCCATGGCGAACATCAGGGCCCAACTTGTTGCCATACTCATTCATTGTCCCTCTTTCCCCCTTCATCTCACCCGCCTCATAATCCCGACTGCATCATTAGACGACAATGTTTTGCTCCAAGCGCTGCGAGACAGCGTCGCCCTAAACTTTGGTGACTTTGGGCTGGGCAGCAATCTCTCCAGCCTGCAAGGTAGGCACTGGGCCCTTACCTGAGCGAGGCCATACGGAATCACCGTAGTATCGTCCCATCCTATAATCCTACTACTCCCACGCACATGGGTGCCGGTCATGTGTGACGACTTGGTCAGTCAACCGTTGCGGAAAGCAATCAGCATCCCTGACGCCTGACCCCCAGGCGTCCCCGCTCCCCACCGGGCCCCTCCCTTCCTGTCCCTTCCCTTGACCACCCTCCGCAGTTAAATACTACAGTCCCTACACGGACGTTGGGATTGTGCGGTGTGCCACTGCGGAGCATGAGCGGGTAGGGCTGTGGTGCCTGTCTTGGTCGCATGTGACATGTCTCCTACCGCGCTGTCCCCTGCCCATGTGCGTCCGTATGCGGATGCTGAGGAGGCCACTGCTGCCCATCCATAGCCCTATCCCGTCCTGTCTTCTATCCTCAGCTGCCCTCTTCAGCCTAGGCGTGAGGGTCGTGTTTCCCTCCTCACCCAAGCAAGCCCCTTCTCTAGTCTTCCCCAGTGGACACCCCTCCTTGCTCCTTCCTCCTCCCTCTCCCCTCCGCCGCCCACCCGCCCAGGTGGTGGCGGCGCTGGCACTCATGACGGACGTACGACAGCGCCCCGCGGCGGTGAGGGTCCTCCGCGTCGCAGGTGGGGCTGCAGCAGCCTGCCTGCCTGCCTGCCACCCTGCATGCATGCTTGCTTGCGTGCTTGCAGGCGCAGGGCCACCATGTGCCCCCCGGCCCTGCTGGCACCCCTTGCCTGCCTGCGGAGCTCCAGTGTATGGGGCACCACTCCTTGCCTGCATGCGCATGGGGCACCACTCCTTGCCTGCATGCGCATGGGGCACCACTCCTTGCCTGCATGCGCATGGGGCACCACCCCCTGCCTGTCATCCAATTCGTCAGTCTTCCTGGTTTTTACCCCCTGCCTGTCCTCCCTCCCGCCTGCTGTGTCTCATTATATTTTTTTATCCCGCCTGCTGTCCTGGTGAGACGCCCAACGAACCGCAGCCGCCACTGCTGCCTCTGCCGAGGGCCCCCTTCATTTGGCCGTGTCTCCCCCCCCCGCTGAATATACCCTGGCGGCAGACCTGTCCGGCCCACTCCTGACCCGTCATCCCGCTCCTGACTGGTCACCTGTTGCCACCACCTGCCACAGGCACCCTAGCTACATGCAAGGAAGCGGCGGTGGCCCGAAGTGCGGAAAAGCTGCTGCGGACGCGGCTGGGTCGGCAGGTGGGGCCGTTCGCGTGGTGTTGGGGGACAGGGGCGTCCTGGGCAGAAAGGCTGTGATAATGATGGGGCAGTGCAGCCAGTGCTGCTGGGATGGCTGCGGGGGCTGACCGGGAAGAGGGGGCTTGGGGGAGGAGGTGCGAAGCGTGGAACACGTTAACTGACTTCTCCGCTTCACCTACTTTGGTTTGTTTGGAACAGCTTTCATTTCCCATCTGCTCCTTGTAACCTGTCACACACTGTCACCGCAGCACCAGGCAAATGCGGAGCAGCTGCACCAACAGGTTTCAGCTCTGGAGCTGTAGCCAGCTGTCGTCCTCGGCAGAGCCAGCCGGGATGGATGTGGCGGATGTGCACGTGTGGAAGGGGACTTACCGGCAGCGCCGGAGCAGCAGCAAGAGGAGCGGCCCGCCCGTCCTAAACCCGGCCAGCGACGTTGGTTCAGTCCTCTGATGGCATTGATGAGGCGGGTTTGCGCAAGATGGGGTCGCTGCAAAGAGAGGAGCAGAGGTGGCCTGCGGCTGGTAGGTTTGAGTATTCGGTTTACGGTGATGTGGAGTAGGGAGTTAGCGGTGTGGAAGGGCTGAGACAGTAGAGAAGAGCGCAGTGCTCGAGGGCACCGTTAGACGCCGCGATTGCAGGGAAAGCAGTGCAATACGGTAGACGTAGCACATAGGACTAGGTGCTTAGTTACTTTTATTAAAGCAGTATATAGCTGTATGCGGGTGACTGTGATGTTTTTATTGGGCAGGGTTGGGCGGTATTATTGCTTGGAACGCACAACCACGAAGGTCTACTGTGTGTCGCAATCATACAATGGCATAGCACTTATTGTAGGGATTCTCCCAGTGCTAGGATTTCGCCCATAGAAAGGAGGCCTGGCAATCTGCGAACCCGTACCGTTATCCCAGACGACCCGACGACCCAGGACGGATGGATTGGCGATGCAAGCCATACGTGCGCCTCGGGCAGTATACCTATGCCAAGTTCGCCTGGACATTTGACTGTGACGCAGCCCATGGCGACGTCGATGTGGTACGTCCGGTTGGAGTTCTTAAATGCTTGGGCTCCCTTGGAAAACCAAAGGCGGATGTTTTGCTAGCAGCATTTATTCAGTGGTTTCGTGAATACTATTGCAGCACATTGTAGTACTGTTCCCAACTGCTACCGCGTGGCCTGGCTGGTTAGTTTAAGGTGTTAATTCTTTACATGAATTTCTATATTGTAATTACGCCGGGATTTAACAGTTTGATGGAACATCGCTCGCATGTCCATGCTGAAGCTCGTCCAGTGCGAATTCTGGCGCTAACTTGCGCATCTTTGCGAATTCCAGCAGTTCTCTGCGTTAGCGCACTGTGCCATACATATTGAACAGTATAGACTGCACTACGCGTGCACACGTTTCACACTCTGGATGCGATAGCTTAACTTAGGCAAGGAGTCCAGCTCCAGGACTCAGCGGAGAGAATGCGCATTCAAATGATGGCAGTAGTTGTTGCTAAGTGTACCGCTTACTAGAAAGGTGCGCGCTGCTGTCTTGCAAGTTCCTGGCGTTCGCGCTGGTCCACGGATGCGAGGCCAGCCTCTGTGTAACTGGCTGTTTAGCTAACATACCTTACAGAACGCTCGCAAACCATGCTAGTGTCCGCTGCAAACGTGCAGTTCCACTGTGCTAAAGTGACTTTGTTTTATCTGTCTTCAGGATTCAACCTAAGCTCTGCGCCTTTCCTGGTAACGAACGAGGTTCTCATGTACCCTGGTAGCGACTTTCAGGCTATGCAGTTGTTGCCAGGCAAGGCTTCGTGCTAGCTGTGTGCCCGACATGAACTTCGCACAGGCTGCTGCCCGCCCGGTTATGTTTTGGCGTAACGTTTAATATTTAGTTGGCAATAGCCTTACTTGGTTTCATTGTGGCGACCTATGCCGGAACAAAACCGTTTCAACATACGGCGTTTCGTTACCTGCAGGAGTTAGCTATGTTGCTGTTCCGGGCACTGCTGGCACCTGGACAAATCAAAGTGGCGCAACTGTGCCATCCAAATCGGGCAAAGGAGCTCGAGGTGCACAGGGGCCTAATTCGGTCCCCATGCACAGCCTCGCGCCTGTGAACAGTCAAGTTGCTTACATCGATGGCGCGCCGCATGTTATGGCGCCTGCGGGCCCACCGTCCTATTCCAGGCCAGCTGCGCATATGCAGCAAGGTCGGCCTGTTCAAGCTGTAAGTGCTCACAGCCAGCCCGCGACCGTGATTCAGGTCCAAGGCTACACACAACCACAGCCCCAGCCTCAGGTGCTGCAGCTGCACCCTTCCTCCGGCGGGCCCCACCTCTACAAGGTCACCAACGGAACCCGCGTCGTCAAGGCCGGCCAGCCCTACCCCAACACCACCATCGTGCAGACCGCAGCTGCAGTGCCCGGGGGAGGACTCCCACCACCCCAGCAACAAGTCGGAATGGCGATGGCGGCTCGTCCACAGGTTGGCGGTGGTGGCGTTGGCGGCAGCGGCCCGGGCCTTCCGCCACAGCTCCAAAACCTGCAGGTCCCCCAACAGCCCAACGGCGTGCCGCTGTCCTCAGGCTCGGCTGCCGTACAGCAGCAGATGATGCAGCACCCGCAGCAGGCCAAGGTGACCCTGATGCATGCGAATCAGGCGCCCACGCCGCACCAGCAGCACGTGCTGGTGGCGCAGCCGCAGCAACAGCAGTTGCTAGCACAGCAGCAGCAACAGCAGTCCCAGCAGCAACAGCAGCAGCTGACGTCATCTGGCATGCCCGCACGCCAGGGCATCGGAATGATACCCGCAACACCAGTTCACGGCGGACCCGCGGCAACCGGAGCTCCCCTGCAAGGCCCAACGCCAGCCTTCCAGTCGGTGGCCATGCGCCCTGCAACCCTGCGGCCCGTCAACGGTGGGCCGCCCATCACCGTGCAATCCGTGTACGTCCCGCCACCGCCAACCGTCACCACAACCACCGTTATCCGCCCTGGCATGCGCATTCCCAAGCTCGGCACCGTGGCTACATATAACCCGGTTACCGGTGTGCGCGCTCTGACCACTGCGGGTGGCGTTCCCGCCAACATCCTCGCGCCCGCGCTGCCCGTGGGGCTGCCCCCGAGCCTGGCGCAGCAGGTGCAGAAGGCCAACATCCTGCAACAACAGCAGCAGCAGCACTACCACCACCCGCAACAGCAGCAGCACCTTCAGCTGCAGCACCTGCAGCCGCAGCAGCAGCAGCAGTCAGCAAGTAGCAACCTGCAGGCGGTTATGCAGCTGGCTGGATCCCAGCCCGGGAGCCAGTTGACGGTGCGACCGGTGAGCGCCGTGCTGGGGGCAGCCGGCAACGGTGGAGGAGGTGTCGGCGGCTCGCTTCCGACGACGACGACTGTCATGGTTGGGAGCGGCAACGGCATGCCAGGCAACGGCGGCGGCGGTGGAGGCCTGCATGGCCTCCACCCCTCACAGCACCTGCTACAGCTGAGCAACCAGGGCTCTATGCACCGCCTGTCTCATGTAGGTCAGCAGCACCAGCAGCAGCTGGGTCCAGGTGCGGGTGCTGGTGCTAATGCTACTGCCATGCATGTGAGTCCCTTTGGGCAGTCGCACCCGCAGCAGCAGGTGGTCAGCATCACCCTGGCTGACGGCACAACCGCCACAACCGTTATGGATCAGGCCACCCTGGCTCGCGTGCTATCGGAGTCCTCTCGCGGCCAGGCGGTGAAACTGGTGCCGCAGCAGCAGCAGGGGCTTCCGTCGGGGCAGCCGGGGGGTGGCTTAATGCAGGTACAGCAGGTGCCGGTTACCATGGGCATGATGCAGCAGCAACAGCAGCAGCAGCAGGGGGGTCCGTCCTTGCAGGCGGGCGTACTGCGTGGTCCGGCAGCAGCGGGAGGCGGAGAGGGAGCAGGTGGAGGCGGCATGGTGGAGCAGCTGGGAGGGGGCTTGCAGTCCGTGCAGTTGTCAGCCGCAGCGGCTGCCGCTTCCGCAGCATCCATGCAAGCAGCATCCGGACAGGTCCTGACTGCCGGACAACGCGTCATGGCGTCCTTTGGGGCCAGCGGCATGCACTCAGGCAGCAACCACGGCCCGCCGCCGCCTCAAGCCGCCGGCTTCAGCCAGGCTGTACCTCCTCCGCAGGTGCGTGGCATGCAGGGCCCCGCTCTGGCGCCACAGCAGCAGCAGCTGGAGCAGCAGCAGTCGAGGGTGATGCATGCTTCTCAGCAGTTCTCGCAGGGCAGGCGTTCAGTCGGGCACCCGGGCATGATGACCGAGATGGACCCCCCCGCCACCGCTACATCCGCATCGGGTGGCTTCCCGCGGGTCCCATCCTTTGGCAGCGGAGGAAACTCCGGTATGTTTGTACGACAGCAGCAGCAGCAGCCTGGTCAGAAGCCAGGGCTGTCTGGCATGATGGACGGGGGGCTGAGTGTGGTGGACCTAGATGCTTTGCTAGAGCGCCAGAGGCAGGAGGAGCAGCAGCAGCCCCTGCCACAGCAGGCGGCAACTGCCACTGCCATGTCTGGCCTCGGCCAGGAGCAGGGCCCCTCTCGCACAGGCAGTGGCCTCTCGCATGGCGCCAACGGTAGCAACGCTAGTACCAACAGCAACAGCGGTGCATACGGCAATCTCGGCCCCTTCACCACCGAAGCAGCCATGGCTGCCGGCATGGGCGGCGACATGCTGATGGTGGGCAGCAGCGGCGGCCTCGCTGCGCAAAACCCAACAGCATGGGCGTCTTCAGGGCTGATGAGCGCCTACAGCGGCCAGAACAGCGTCAGCAGCAACAACAACATGGGGCCCCTGGGTCCAAACGGCGCTGTCGCCTTGGGCGCCCAAGGGAGTGGAGCTGGCGTGGCTATCGGTGCCTCCGCAGTAGCAGCGGCTGCTGCAACAGCTGGCGGCTCGCGTGACGATTTGAAGGCCATCCTGGCGTCCATTGGTCAGGATCTGGCACGTCACGGCATCAGCGTGGAGACGGCTGTGACGTCGGGTTGGCTTGGGGTGCTGACCGCCATGGATGTGGCGGTGCTGGCGGATGCCTACGCGGAGGAGGAGCGCCGCCTGGCTCAGCAACAGCAGCAGCAGCAGTCAAGCCAGCAGCAGTCGCAGCAGCCGAAGAGTATTCTGCAGGGCAGCAGCAACAACAACAATAGCGGTGGCAGCAACTTTGGCTGCAACACAACAGTTACTGCCCTGCAGCAGCCCCTGTCCCAGCCACAGCACCAACAGCAACACCAGCAGCACCAACACCAGCACCAGCAGCACATCTGGCAGCAGGCCGCGTCGTCCACCTTTGCCACTTCCGAGGCGGCCGCTATCCACCCCTCCTCTCAGGCGGTGGCCCTCTCCCACATGGGCCTGTCCCTAAGCGAACCCATGCAACCCCTCCCCTCCGCGCCCGGCGGCGGCACCACCACGGACTCCCGCTCCCGGCCCCGCAGCGGCAGCACGGGTGATCGCTGCCCCCCTGCAGCCTTCTTCGGCCCCCTCACGGCTTCGTCCGCACGGACATCCATGTCCGTGGCGCCCTCAGAAGATGGGGCCGTCAGCACCTTGAGTGGTGCCGAGGGTGGCGGCTGCGGAGGTTCTCAAGCAGCAGCGTCAGCAGCGGGGTTGATGATGGCGCCGGCTGCGGCTGTGGAGCCCAATGGCAGTGGCAACAGCAGCAACAGCGGCGGCGTGATCGGCGGGGGTGTGGCGGTGGGTCTGGGTGCGTTTGGTTTTTACGATGGCATGGGCGGCAGCAGCAGCGGGGGCTACCCTGCCTTTCAGTACGGGCTCTTCAGCGGTGGGCTGGCGGGCTTGAGCGACGGCAGCCTGAGCGCTGAACACGAGCGGGCTGGCAGGGAGGTCGGTGCCGACGTGGATGCAGGTGCGCCTGCCATGGGGGTGCGGGGGTGTGGCTTTGTGGGTTTGCTTGGCCTCGTATGTGCTCGTTTGTGCCTGCTGTTTAGCACATGCGTCTAGGATGCATGGCTAACATGGAAGCTAGCCTGGACCTTTCCGTCCTTAATTACTAAGACGTTGACCACTTCTACCCTCCTTCATCTCGCTCGTCTTGCTCTTCGCCTCCCTCCCTCCCTCACTCCATGCACCAGCTGCCCTAGCGGAGGTGTTTGGCGAGCAGGGCGCCTGGCCGCCCCCGGGTGTTGCCCTCATGGCGGAGGAGCTGGGGCTGGGGCTGCAGCAGCACCCGCCCCAGCAGCAGCAGCAGGTGCCACCCGAATTACTCATGGACTCGGCCTCGGAGTATGAGGACCGCAAGCGTGCGTCGGCGTCGGGTGTGGCGGCGAATGCAGCGGAGGGAGGTGGGAAGGAGGGCGGCAGGGGGGTGGCAGAGCATGGTGTGGGTTTGGGTTTGGAGGGGGGCCTGCATCGCTCTCAGAGTGTGCAGGCAGTGGCTGTGCTGGGAGCCGTGGGTGTTGCCGCCGTGCGCAGTGCTTCGGGCGTCGGCGGTCTGGAGCTGGGCTCGGCCACATTTGGGGGTGAGGGGACGGCGTCCGCAGCTCGGGCAAGGGCTGTGGATTTTGATAAGGAAATGGAAAGCCGTTTTGCAAACCTGGACTTGGGCTGTGGGTTTTATTGATTTGCGTGGGAACAAGGTTCCCTGGCGTGTGTGTTTCAAGTGCGGGAGGGTTGGCTTTATGCGTGGGATCCATGTTAAGAACTTGACCGGGAGGAGGTCTGTGTATGGGGGGAATTGAGTTGCCCGTTTACTTATCCATGCAAATCACTGATGGGGGCGTGTGGCTTAACAAAACTGCCACGAGTTGGCTTCGTGTGGGGGACGTATGTGGGGTGCTGATGCTATGACGTCTGTCAAAAACTCAAACTCAAAACGGAGTGTGGCGTTTTCCGCGGAGCGAGCCTGCATGCGCAGCGCTGTGGCATGTGCGTGCTGTCCTGGATTGTCGTACTTTGGGTGAGGAGTGACAGCAAGCAGCAATCTGGAAAGCCCTGAGGGGAACGGACGGGGTCTATCCTAGGGGTTATGCCGCATGGGCGCGCGTGCTATGTGGGGGCACGCCCCAAGCTGCCTCTCTTTTGCCAGCCCTAATCGGGTGCAGGCTATGGGAGTTGGAAGTGCGTGGGAAGAGGTGGATGCGCTTTGTCAGTATAACAAAAGGGGAGCCCTAACGGCATTATAACGGAACGAAAGGGGCAGTCGAGCAGCAGGGATGAAGCAGGCACATGGATCCTTGCCCCCTATCTATGGTCTCTTGAGGGGCGGGGCTTGGGTGGTGTGGGTTTGTTACTTGGCTTCTCTAAACTGTATCATTGGCAATTGGCTAGGCTTTGCTGTTTTCCCGCGTGTTGTGTACTTTGCACAAAAAAAGGTAAGTTGTGTACTTTGCAGGTACGAACGATCCGTGAACGGCTGCTCCTCTTTAGTAGGGGAAGGATACACCAAGACTGTACACAACCAATTGATGACTGCTTACGCGTGTACGTGAAAACCAACTGAAGCCGGGATGTTATGCTGATGCGTGGGGTGATGCGTGGATGAGGTGTTGTGTATCCGAATCAATGGGGAAAAGGTTTGGGGTCACCAGCCAATCGTGCTGGGCGGGGATAGATCGGTTTTGTTTTTGTTTGCCCTGGTTATCTATGTAGTACACACCTCGTCTTGAGTCATTTGTAACACCAGTGTACTGCTCCGGTAGTGGGGCTTATGTTGCGGCTTTGTTTAGGAGATTAGGAGTGAGAGAATGGTTTTCTACGTTTGCTGCCTTGTTGGCTGGCACTCGTGCACTGTGACGGATTGTATGCAGGACGGCTAGTGGCTTTCAAGGACCCTCCGGGCCTAAAACCAGGAAAAGTGTTCTACTGCATTGTGACGGCAAGGTGCGAAGCGCTGTACTTTGGTTTTGCACGTATAACAGCCACTTGGGGGGCTGCGTGGTTATAATCGAAAGACCTGGTTTGGGGAAAATCGTGAGGTAGGCGAGGGTAAAGAGGAAACAACTAACTGACTGAGGGATAAGGCGAGGGTGGTGGGTGGCGAATTCATATCACAGCAATGCTTTGTGGGTGTTCCGTTCTTTGGAATCCGGCCCCAAACCTTTCCTAATGCTTGCTTGCTTAGTGCCTTTCGACAGAATAGTAGTTTCTGTTGTTGTAGTATGGTTGGTGATGGTCTGGGCAGCAGCATGATGAGCGATGCTTCCCGGGTATCTGCCTTTCCTAGTCATGAATATCTTTCCTTGTCATGCGTATGATACTTAACAGATGTGACTTGGGTACAGGGAGGGGAAACGATGTGGGCTTCTTGGGGACTGAAAGGGAAGGGATTACGCTTCCGGCTTTTGGGGCTGTAAGGAGAGGGATGGACTGTTAAATGATGGTATCCAACGAGATAGCTTGTTGCTATGGTTGTTTCTTTGAATCTAAAACTAATCTGGTGTGGATGATTGGCCCTGCCTTGGCAACACCTGGCGGCCAAGTATAAACTTTCTGTCAGGGTTTGAAGCACAGTTGTCGTGATTAAGGATGATAAGGTTTGCTGGCTTGGTTGAGAGGAGACGTGGGGTTGTCTGGGTTACAGTGGGATGTGGACTGCGTTTCCTTGTGTGCCTTTTTTGGCAACATTCCCGTACGAAACATGCTCCAAGAATGAAGTAAAGGAACTAGCTGACCAGCAGTAGCCCATGCGTTGCGGGCATGGGGAAACCCCTTGAAGCTGCGGGAGTTTCCATCCGCTGCTGGGTACATGTCGCCGTTTTCCGGTCGGTTTTCGAAATAAGTTGCTTGTCGTTTCGATACTTTTAGTTGCGGTACAAGCCAAGGCTTGCTTCGTACGACAGTGTCTTTGACTTTGGGTGCTGTCTGTTGTGTAGGTCCGCTGTTTTAGAAATGGCGTGCGGGTGTGTGTTGGCGGCGGCACGGGTTCCAACGCTGTTATTAACATCGCCCTCTTGTCCTGTGGTATCAATGGTAGGCTTAAGTTAAGATTTACATGAAATGCTGGTCTCCAGCATTTGGTTGTGCTGAAGGAAGTTGTAAGTTGTTTGACTGGTGCGGGGAACCTAAGCGAGTGAGGGAGTGAGTGGAAGGTGGGCAATGAGGGGCCACGCGCAAGTTTCCTTCGCTTCCCTCCGTGGCTAGGTGCGCTGGCTGGATGGAATTGAATTCTATAAAAAAAACACATCATCTGAAGGACGGACTTTGAAGTGACTTGAAGTATTGGAATACTATATGTGCTTTAACTCGGCGATACTCCCCAGGGTTTTGCGTTGGGTGCACAGAAGGTGACGAGCCTGAGCGCGCATGTACGTGCCATTGCCAGCAGTTCCAGAGGTATTGCCTGAGAAGGAGTGGGTGGAAGCAAGCAATGCATGCGAAGTGTGTGCTAAGAATACTGGCCGCAAGTGTATGTTAAGAGGAAACCGGCCTTAAGTCGGAACGTGTGTGTGCTTCCTATTCCAGCAGGGACATTTTTCCATTAATAGTTAGGGTTGGTAGGCATGCGCGCGAGCTATGGCTTGGAGGGAGGTTAGGTTGTTGGTATTGGGAAGCATGTAAGTGGGCGTTTTGGTGCCTAGCCGCCTGTTGCGGTGTTACCCAGAACGTGGTGCGGTGTTACACATTCTGCCCTAGCAGGCCGTTGGGGGTGTTGTGTGAGCAGGTGGGTTGGATGATGGAGTCTCTACATGCCCGCCAAATCGCGGGCATGTAGATGTTCCCACTCGCCATGGAGATGGAGGCAGTTGCCAGCAACACGGGACTTGGGTTGGGGTCTTGGGGCACGCATGTGGCATTGTTCGGATGGGGCCGTTGGGCTCCACTGCGGCGGTTGAAGAGCAGTGGGGAGGCCGCGGCGGATTGCAGTCGTTTTTGCGTGCATGGAGCATGCTTTGGGTGGCGGTTAAGGGAGAGGGCCTTCGTGTTGGGTGTTGTGTTGGTGGCTGCAGGATTGTTGGCGCCACAATTATGGGCGGTTAGGGAACTGAGTTCGTTCATGTGCTAGTTGCGCTGGTTGAGTTTGTTGTGTAGGGGGTGATAAGTAAGGTGCATACTGATCGGGCGCTTCACGTAGAATTGTAGTACCGGTGTCCAGATGCTGCGGACATGTAATGTAATGTTGCTTCTTGGTCTCAATGACTGCTCGCTATGATTGAAAGCTGAGAACAACTTTGCATTTGGGTTGTTGACTTTGGTACACGGTTGCGACCGGGTGTAGCAAGTAAGCTCGTTGGCTGTGTACTGCCCTTAATGATGCGCTTGTCCAGTGGGGGGCTGCAATAGGGAGCCCATAAGTTACTGGGTTGGATATATGGTATGTGATTTACATCGCATTTGGGGCGTCAGCGGCGCGAATACAAAACCAAACAACCTTGCATACCACCACCGCAGGCAGCAGCGTCAATGAAGCAGTGTTAATCTGGCTGTGCAATGGAACAATCGTAGCAGGCGATGATGAGTAGCCGGCATGGTACAGGGAAAAGAGCACGCATAGCCAGACAGAATTTGCTCCCCGGCCTTGCCGCTTTTGTGACGCTCTTGGACGACAATTCGCAGTTTGGCAACCTGGCAGACGTCTCAGCATCTATGCAAAAGCAGTTCAACACATGCGAACTGTTACAGGCAACGAGACCGCCCAGTAGTCGTCGCTGTGCCCCTTGCAAAAAGAGGAACCAAAGTAGCTCTTGAAGACTGCTTCGTGCTCGGCCGTGCCGCTCACAGCGGCCGTCAGCTGCCGACACATCTCGACTGCCTCGTCAACCGTCATGAGCACACTTGTGCCGCTGCAACCGTCAAGGTGTTCGGCAAGCGTGAATTTCTTCCCTCCTCGCGTGCCATCCTGGTTGGAGTGCAGCAGCGCTGCCTTGCCATCACAGCACAGCACGCAGAACTTGTGGGGTGCCGTGCTGAACAAAAACAGCTGTGCTGAGCCATGCTGCTTGGTGCACCCCTCCAGCATTGCCGTTGCCGCTGCCAAGCGGATGCGCTCATCGACCGCTAGTTCATTCACAGCGCGGGCGGGCATGCCATCCTTAGGCGGACTTAGCCAGTGTGCCAGAGCCGCCGCCGTTGATGTGCAGCTGTGGGGATCGAGCCCTGTGCGCAGCCACACGTTCGTTCCACCTAAGCGTGTGGCATGCCAGACAGCATCAGCTATGAGCTATGAAAGGCCCTACCTCTGATATTGACCGGCACTGTGGCTGCATGATCTGCATTGACGCGCAGGAACGCCAAGTAGTCCTCCATAGCTACGGGATCACAATGGCGGATGTGAGTTAATTTCAGTTCGTTTGTAAGGAGTAGCCCTGTTGCCACGGGCGACCCTAAGTGACATCTGGATCCAACTTACCGCGCACTGGCGGCACAGGGTGCCGCGGGACAGGAAAGTGTGACAACACCAAATCGTTGATAAGGTGTAAATCTGGCAAATGCTCGTGGACATTTTGCTAAGATTGCAGGCCTCGCGTAAGCCTCGCCTATGTTCAACATAAGGCCCGACCACCTCGCAAAAAATCTTTTTCGATACTGCACCAATTACCGTTCTGTTTTATGATATGTATTTCTATTAAATATATATAAACCGTTGCCGCTGCATCCGCTCCTGAAGACTCTGAATTGCCTGCTGAAGCACGCGATGTCACAGCCGCAGCCAACGAGCTCAAGCCAACGACCTCCTCCATCTCCTCTCCCGCCTCCCTTCATATGGTTTGGTCTAATTTGGTATCCCCCCATGAGGGGCCGAGGCGCACGGGGCATGGGCAGCAGCAGGGGGAGGCAGGCACCGCGGGGAAGACAGGTAGTGTGTGGGGATGGGCATAAGGACCCAGACACCGCACGGGGAAGGGCAAAGGGGTCCTGTTGGGGCGCAGGACCCCGCACGTCACGCTGCACGGAGCAGGGCACAGGAAACAGAAGTCGCGCGTGGGGAGGGCCACACCCAACCGTGGGGATGCGAGCACCGCACAGAGAACGGCAGGGAGGGGCAGGTGTTGCACATGAAAGGCGACCGCACAGGGAAGCGGCAAGGGAGGCAGGCGCTGCACGTGAGGGGACAGGTGGAAAGAGACAGGCAATGAGGCCGACCGCACACATCGCGTGCGCCTCTCTAGGGCTAGTAAACGTCAGCACCTAGGCTTCCTATCTAACCTAAGCAACAAAGCAGAAGCTCTTTAGTGCGCAGGCATTGAGGTGTGTACATGCCCAGTAGATGTTGCTAGCCGAGGAATCCGATGGGAGCTTTCAGGAGCGCAAGCAGTGGCTACGGCTTAAATAAGTAAATAGGAATTCATATCACTAAACAGAATAGTAATTGGTGCAGTATCGAGAAAGATTTTTTGCGAGGTGGTCGGGCCTTATGTTGAACATAGGCGAGGCTTACGCGAGGCCAAGATGGCAGAGCATGCCGTACTTTTCAGCCTCAAAGCCAGTTACGCAGCATCCGAAAATCCTCTAAAGTAATTTTGCTAACATTTAACACCAAGTGCCATCACCACACCAAGGGCATCGGCGCGCCAAGCCAGAACCCTATAGCGCATCCCTTGGTGAGTACGCAAATAGCCCGCTGTCCAGTCTAATTGCTCTGTGGCAATTGAGAAGGCCTACTTTAACTCACGAGACTATATGAAGAGTACACCCGAAAGGGACCCACTGGGGTTGGGCTCGCCCTCCGGTACTCGTGTGCATCGTGTGCGGGTTGCAGATGACCAGCAACCGCGCCGCGGCTTGCGCAGGCAACCGTATCTATAGCCGCCTCCGCAAGGAAGCCGAGGAGATGCAGGCGGTCACCAATGCGTCCATGTGGCAGCTACAGGGGAACTGATGATGATCCATATCTCATTTGCTGTTAATTAGGGCTTTGCCGCATCCAGATAACCCTACAATGGGGCGCTATGTATGCAGCTATCTCATCGTCCTGGGCCACGTGCCCTCCCTCACACGTTACCTCCCACTATCCGTAGAAAGTTGCACCTGGGCACTTTTAAGGAAGGCATCATCCCCAATGCGTATCCAAGCTGATTCGGGAGACCAAGCAGGACGACCACATGTTGGGGTTGCATGTGCGCTGGGGAGGACAACTCCCTGCCGGCCAAGCTCAAGCACGGCCTCTTGCACTACGACCGCTGCACGCCCCTCTAGCGCATCTTAACCCGTGTAACCCACCGTCACGTCCCTTAAGCCTCTCAATGTAGCAACCCGTGGAGAAGCCTCGCCATACAGTTTCATCATTAAACCTCCTTCCATCCCCACGCTCTCCTACACTCCCCACCCATCCCGTCAATGCTTGACCCCTCCCTTCGCACCTCACACCTTCCCACGCTCCCCCGTGCACTGCCGTCGCCCTCGTTGCTATATACACCCCTCCCTCCATCCCCACGCGCGCCTTACGTCACCTATTGCATCCCTCGTAGCCCTCAATCCCGTCCCATAACCCCTCCCACCGCATCCTACACCTTCCCATGGTTGTACCCTGTGTTGCCGCAGTCCTATTACTGTACGGCCCCCGGGTAGCGGGGGGGTGATGCATGGGGCAACGGTGGTATTTGCGGGGCACGGAGGGAGGGGGCTACGGGACGCGTCGGAGGGCCGCGCGGGTTGAGACAATGGTAGGGGCGTGTGGGGAAGGGGTAGCTACATACCGGTAATAGGATGTCAGTTATAGGATGCAAAGCTCAGGCTGCGGGCAACCCAGCTGGCGCTGCCGACAAGCGAAGGCTTTTGCCATGCACTGGGCATCCTGGTCAAAAGCGCAACTTAAGACATTCTCTTGTTCTGTACTGGAGTATCTACTTTTGCAATCAAATGCGTTAAAGTGTAGCCTCCATAGCTGCTGAGCTATTCGTCGCAATAGACAGGCGCTCAACGCTATTCGGCCACTTGTGCACATCCTCTGTTTAGAGGGGTTATAACTTAGCTAAGATGCCTGAGCCGCTGTTAGCAACATACGTGCTCGTCCGGCTTTGGATCCCGGTGTCAATTAGAATCGCCGCTTACATCGCACATTGCTGATATTGGGCGTCAGCGCCATGCTGCATAATTCAAACAACCTTGCAGGCACCATCGACACATGATTAAAGCTTTGTAGACATCACATCCACATAACTTAGCACGTTTCCCTAGTAACATTTTAACGCCTTCTTACGTACATTCGAAGACCCCGCATTTCAAACCTGGTTTTACTTCTCGACTACCCTGCCGACAACTAAGTGCCGCGAAAGCCGGGACTCGGCCTGTGTTTTCCAGGTCTCCACTGCTAACGCAACAAAGCACCGCACCACCAGCTGACTCTCTTGGCCGCCACTTGCCACGCGCGCACCAGACACACGTCCGCTGTCCTCAGTGTCCCAAGGCAGGCAGGAACGCATGGGTCCCCAGATTCCCTTGTACGGCAGTCACCCTGCAGAAACCTCTCCAATCCAGCACAGCAACGGCCCCCGGTAAATAGCATCGTCCACCCCGACACCTCATGCACCATTCACACCACTTCTTACCCTAACAAAGCGACACCAAAGCCACAACATGAGAAAGCCAAAGAGAAAGGAGGCATACTGCTGCAATGTCTCAGTGGGGTCAGTACCCTCAATAGTGCTACAGCCATAAGAACAAGTCGAAGCGGCTTTTCCGACCCACGGGTCATCGTTGCCTCCACTTCCCCTCCACGAAGAGACCAAGGCAACGACCGCCCCCTCGTCATGAGCAGCATTCCCTTTCAGCATGCATACATTCATGCAATAGGACAGATTTATGTTTAAACCAAAACACTGAGCACATACGTATCTGTAGAGCGCTGCAAAATGGACCCCTTTCGGAACTGCTGTCTGCGTCCAACATCCTGGCATTCCCAGGTTGGGCAGGAAGACCCAACCAACCACCGGTATGCTGCCTATATCCCTCCAAGGCCCCTGCTATGCATGCGACTTGCGCCGGCCTCGAGTAGGACCCAATCAGGGCCTGGCATGCGCAGCCCTTAGCTGTCAACTTAGTAGGCAAGGACAATGACAAAAGCGCCCCTCCGCACCCTTGATCCCTAGCTGGAGACGTTATCTTCTCTACTTGTGGCTAAATGCGCCTCCTTCGCTTCTAAGCTACCTGCGGCTCCCTTGTCCAAGCTGCAAGGACCTTACGTTGAGCCGACCAGCTACCAAGGGCTCGTCAGCTTCCCCCCACTCCTCACATGCAACCCCCACACGTACGATTTCCCAACCATGTTAATCTTCTCGCCAGCCAACCAACCATTCGCCCACCATCAAACAGCCAAGCAGGCAGCCTGAGACACAAAACGCCAAAAGAAAGAATAGGGCGCAGGTCGCACCCTCTTTCGACATCGATAGCATTTTAATTGGGGGTGTCGAGCGTTACCTTCTCTTTACCGGCAGTTATTGCAGTGGCCATGATGCCGTATGAGTTTGCCGCCAACAGTGCCATGAAACGTTACCGGTATCCGATGAAGGCGGTAAAGGCAGAGGTCAAACCAGGTAGCCCAGTGGCCCCCATTGGAACGCAAAACACGACCTCCAAATTTTAGCGTTTCAATCCTTGCTTTTAAGCCACAGGCCCCCACGCACAAGCGGGCTCTGCAAATGCAGCCAACGCCACAAACCCCTAGAACTTGGCGCTGCCAAGAATAACAGTCTTCTGCCCTGCCGCCGCCCTGTGGCACGGACTTGCCCCCAACTGATTTCCGTACCTAGCAGCTTGGCAACAATTACTAAGACAGGCGAATGATTATTGACGCACTACTAGGATATATTTAGGATGTAGGTATCCAACTACTAAGGTATCCACGGCGATACTCCTTCCTTGCTACTATAACCAGGTACTAAAAGTGATGCAAACAAAGAGGGTTAAGATAACTACCGCGATTAGTCGATTTGTCGAAGTCCCGAAGCGCCGATGCCATATCATACCAGTCCTAAGCTGCAGCCAACAATCTCCTCCGCTCACGACAACGCGACACCAGCCGACCCTTGGGTCGTACGTATGTGGGTCCGAAACATCTGCGCCACACCCTTAGGACATGCTGTCATACCTCCACATTTCAAGGCCTTTCAATAGCCACCCTAGCCATGTGCTCTCTCAATCTGTGCCGCACAAGATAGCTGAGGTGCTGCAGCTGCAGCCGCCGCTCGCATGCCTGCACGCGCCGCCTTCCTCACTCGGAGACCTTCCCTACCACCACCACCACCACCAGCCCAACCACCACCCTCTCCCCAAGCACCACCACACACTCTCTCTCCCCATATGCGCTTTCTCACTTTCTCACTCTCCTCCCACCGCCACCACAGCGCGCGCACCTCCCGCATACGACGACATTGACCGCACGCGGAGAATACATTCCCGCCCGCACTCCTCATGACATGCCCTCCTCGCTGTGCAAGAGGGTTAACTTACCCTAACCGCACCAGCTGAGCAGCTAGAGCGCATAGCAGCCACTGCAACAGCCGCAACACCAGCACAGCGCTCGCTCCCGGGGTGAGCCAAGTGCATGGCGCCGTGCCTAAACACACACACGCGAATGGTAGTGCAGCTCCGAGCAGCTCCCCCCACCGCAGCCCCCAGATGGCACCAGCTCGCTATACCGGTAGTGCGCATAACCCGGCAGCAGCCAGATGACCACTCCCACCCGTTTCCTCTCTTGTTGTTGTGGTAATTACCCACAACACCACCTCAGCCGCCCCAAGCCGCCGCCACTACCACCTCAGCCGCCCCAACCCAATGTACTTGGCAATCAGCCCCTCGTAGTATCCCGTCAGCTGCTCCCCCCGCAGCGCGAACCCCTCGGGCAGCTCCGCGCGTCTGAAGGCGGACAGGGCCTGGAAGGAGCGCAGCAGCGGCAGGCGGGCGAGGTCCTCGGGGGCGCACAGCGGCAGGTAGCAGCTTTGGGGGCGCGTGAGGGTGAGGAACTTGGAGTGGCGCAGCACCCACATGGCGTCCTGGGGGCACAGGGTGGGCGAGGGGGTGGGTGGGTGGATGGGATTGGGTAGGGGAATGGAGCCGGGGTAGGTACTGGCCGTGTGAGCGTAGCATACCAGGGGGGTGGGAGAGGGAGGGGGAGAGGGAGAGTGAAGGAGGGAGGAGGAGGTGCTGCTCTTCCTATGGACATCCCCTACGGACGCTATGGTGCAGCCGTTCATGCAGTGTGTGCTGCGCTCCGCTGCGCTCCCCTCCTACCCTTCTCACGCTCCTCTCCCTCCCCGTCGCTCATGCGGAATGTGTACCCCTACTACTCCCTCCCTTCCCCTTTGCTCACCTCCGGCAGGGCCACCTGGTTCAGCCGCAGCACCAGGTGCAGGTACTCGGAGCCGCACCAGGACATGGTCACGCCCGACAGCCCGCAGCCGGGGCCGTACATGCCGGTGGGGGTGTTGTACAGCCGGCGGCGGCGGTCGGGGTTAGCGGTGAAGTACTGCGCGCCCAGGATGTGCGGCGAGAAGCGGCAGCCGAGGGGGTAGGACTCGCCGCAGATTGCCCACTGCGGCTGGGAGCCGAACCTGGAGGGAGGGGGGTTGGGAGGGCGGGGCGTCAAAGATATGCAGAACCACAGGTTAGGGCAAAGCAAGTGGGATGAAGTGAAGTGGGGAAGGGAGGGGTGTTGGGTGTGTGTTAAGAAAACTGGCCGCGAGTAGGAACGTACTGGGATGTCGTACTGGGTGTGTGGTGCGTTGCGAAAGGACTGTCTCCGTCCAAGCTGTTGATGCGAGCACCCCTGCCTGTCAGCTCCCACGTATGACTACAGCCACACCCTCCTTCCCCGCCCCGCCCCCTCCCGGATACTCTATGCATCCTACTCCTCTGCCCGCCCAGCTCCTTCCTTTCCTTTCCGCGACTCGGTTTATCGTTGGTTTATCTAATCCCCCTGTCCCCCCTCCCCCTCCCGCTCACCTGCTGTGCGCCAGCAGCTTGCCCAGCCCGTGCATCAGGCCCACCAGGTGCAGCCAGTCGAGCTCGGGGTGGTGCAGCCGGCACAGCTCGGCGGTCTGGAAGGCATGCTCAAGCAGCGACAGCTCCGCCACCTCTTGCTGCGGGACGGCAGGGGGGGGAAGGAGGAGGAGGAGGGGGAGGGGGAGGGAAGGCAGGAAATGAGGGTGAAGGCAAGGAGGGAGCAGTGACAAGAGGAATGCGGTCATGGGGCAGAACACTCTTCCATGCAGCCCACCCGCACCAGCTCTTGAAGCCTCACCCTCTTAGCTCCGGCTCGTCCCCAGGCTTTCCCTTTACCTACATCTCCTTCCCCACCCGCCTGCTGCGAGTAGCCCCATGTATGTAGCTATTTCCGCCCCTCTCTCCCTCTCTCCCCCATTCCCCCCACCTGCGCCTCCCCCGGCTCCAGCATGAGCACCGCCTCGTACTCCCGCAGCTCGTTCAGCGCATGCAGCGCCTCCCACACGCTCATCTCAGCCTTGTCCAGCCGGCCGAACATCTGGGCCTGCAGCAGCAGGCAGCAGCAACAGCAGGCAGCAGCCGAAGGTTCACGTGGCGCGTGTCAGCAGCAGAAACGGCGCAGTGGCAGCAGGGTGGTAGTATCCAGCTCCACCCTCCCAAGCGACCTCGCCCCACCAGTCGCTCTCACCTGTCGCTTCGCAAAGTCGACTGTCTGCCTGGCGTGGTTGAGGCGCAGGAAGAGCTCCACGGCGGCATGCGAGTTGGTCAGGTGGTAGCTGCTGCGCTTGCGGGTCAGAGGAACCAGCCCGGAGTCATCGCAGTCGCCGTCGCGGTCCTGGTTGGGGGCAGTGAGGTGAGGCGGGGGAAGGTGGGAACCCCTGAGAAGGCGCATGCAAAGAGTCGTGCAAGGAGCAGAGAAGGCGGCGTTTCGAGGGTGGGGTAGTATGGCTGGTGAGCGCTGGGTGGGTGCGGTGTAGGGAGAGGCCAGCATGCGGTGCCCACCCGAACAGCGGCAGTACGGCACCATGACACACCCAGCCGGAGTAGGGTTGCCGTCCGGATCGACCCCGTCGCCAATGCATACCGAACACCCGCCGCCTCCTCACCTTGCCCTCCCCTCCCTCGCCACCATCTCCCGTCACGCTGCTCAGCCCGCTGTTCTGAGTGACCCACGGGTCTCTCCGCGCCGCCTCACTCGTGGGCGTGGTGGGCGTCGGGTCCTCCCCCAACAGCCCCCACGCGCTGGCCCGTGTCATGCTGTTGTTGTTTCGAAAGGCCGCGGTAATGCGCCGAGTGGTCTCCTCCGTGTCATCGTCGCTGCTGCTGCCGTAACCCAGTTCGTCCGTGTGCTGGATCAGGCTGCTGTCTAGGCCTCCCCCCGACGGCGGATCCAGCGCGGCGAGCGAGGAGCAGGCGCGGCGGTAGCCGTACGTCATATAGGAGGAGGAGAGCTGAGCCAGCGCCGCGGAGGGGCCTGCGCTGCGGGACAACAAGCTGTAGTGCTGCTGGTCGTTGAGATGAAGGTGGCGGCTGTGGTGGCGGTTGTTGGGTTGCTGCGCATGTGGATAGTACTCCTGCGGCTGTTGCTGCTGGTGGTGCTTCATGTGGTAATGCCTGGCGTGCAGCTGATGTGGCATGGCCCGCTGTGGGGCCGGAATGGGCTGCGAGCCACCCGCCGCCGCCGCCTCGCCGCTCTCATGCCCACCCATATCAGGCCCGCCGCCATTGCCGCCCATGCTGCCGAGCCCCATGTGCCGAGGTGCGGGCTGCGACCTGCTGTACCCCGCGGTCCGCTGCACGTCAGGCTTGCGGTGGAACAGGGCATGCAGGCCGCGACCCGGACGCGGTCGCTCCGCGTTAGGTAAGCCACCTCCGCCACCGCCACCGCTGCTGGGCTGTGGGTGCTGTTGGTGCTGCTGGGCGGCGAGGGCGGGAGCAGCTGCGGCCGCGGCAGGGACTCCCGCAGCGGGACTACCCGGCGCGCTGCCTAGGCTGCTGGGGCTGCGGCTGAAGTGGTGGGCGTGCCGGAGGCCCAGCCCTGTGTCGTACTGCGAATGCTGCGGGTGTGGAGGGTGCTGTGGGTATTGGGCTTCCTGCAGGTGCTGGTGGTGGTCGTGCAGGTGCTGCTGCCAGCGCTGGTACTGGTGCGAGCGCTGCTGCAGGGGCTGCTGCGGCGGGTGCGGGTTGTAGTCATAGTCGTACTGGTCCTCCTGCTGGTGCTGCTGCTGGCTGTACAGAGGTTGGCTGCCCCGTGACAGTGGTTGCTGCGGTTGGTGCTGGTGCTGGTGCTGGCTGTACAGAGGTTGGCTGCCCCGTGACAGTGGTTGCTGCGGTTGGTGCTGGTGCTGCTGGTGTTGATAGTGATGACGGTAGTCCGTTGTTGTTGTTGTTGCCGTGGAGGAGGGGTAATGGCCGGTATGATGACCCCCAGAAGCCGCACCATCCACTGCAGCAGCAATTGACACAGGAGCGGACGACGACAGCAGAGCCTTTGCTCGCGAAAAAGACGTCGGCCGGGACTCAGACAGACCTCCGCCTCCTCCGCTGCGACCACCCCCGCTGCCGTACAGCCAGCCGCCGCCCGCCTGCTGCCCCGCTAGCGCGTTGTCGTCCGTACTGTCGTACACTGCGGCGACGCCGCTGTGCACCGTTGCCAGCAGCGAGGAGATGGAGCTGCCTGAGCCCCCAGACACCCGTTCGTCGCCAGCAGCAGCAGCCGAGGGGCCAGCGTCGCCGCCGCTGACGCCCGCCGGTGCAGTTTCGGTTATTCGTGGTGCTATCTTCGTGCCTGTCCCCGACGTCCCCGCAGCAGCGGGGTTGCCAGCCCGTTGGGCTGCTGGTGCCACCCCCGGCGATAGACCCCGGCCGCGGTCCCGAACGATGGGTGCATGGGCCCTATGCCCTGCAGCGGCAGCAGGAGCAGCAGTTACGGCGTCTGCGGCTGGCGTTGGGTTGGGCGGGGGGGAGCAGCCTGTGATGGCCGAGTGAAGCACAGCCCACTGGTCAGCGGTGAGGATGCCGAACGCGCCGATCAGGTCGGCATTGCTGATTGTCGGCTCATCTGGATATGTGCGCGCCGCAGGAAAGGATGTTGAGGCCCGCCCGGACGTTGAGGCGTTGGCGCTGGAGGCGATGGGAGGTGGCAAGGGTGAGGAGCTAAGCCCGCTCTGGTAGGACAGCGCGTTGCTGCTGCTCGCATGCTTCAGCCGTGATTGAATGGGCTGATGAACGCGCGCAAGTGTGTATGACCGCTGGGCACCGCAAGCGCCTGGGGTATCTGCATCGAAGAGCCCAAATGCGTTGTTGGAAGCTGGCTCCACTGCAAAGCGTCGATCCTCGCCCAACGCGCATTCCTCTGTTTGTGCTATGGATGTGCTACTCTTGCATTTTTTCATAGGGTAGCATGATATGTCGTCGTCGTCAAGCCTGCGAACAGCATACATGACGTGGAAGGATGAAGGGCGACACTTGGCAATGGCAAGCAAGCACTAGGCGTGCACGCTTCCTGGAAACGTCGGTATCTTTGCAAAGAAAGGCGACCATAGAAAACTGAGGGGCGAGCCCAGGAAGATGCATCGCCAGGGTAAGAGAGCTACCGGGTTCGCAACATATTTGGAAGCGGAAATAGCTGCTGGAGAGGGTAATTGAATGAGCTATTTTAATCGCACGCTCCGATGCGACGTACCTTGCCCCAAAGGCACGGTGAAAGTCATGTCCTGCAGAATACACCGCAGTGATGTGCAGCAGGTTATCAATGATGGTCATCTTGGGTTAGTTCCAGCTGAAGCCTGCTGCAGCGCCACAAAGTCTCTGCTCACCTGTAACATGCCCATCCTGACTCCGCACAAGGTCCCCAACGCTACAGGAGCGCCGGGAATACGGCGCAAGCGCAGGAACGTATGCCAGCATAGCGGCTTCAGACGGGTGACACCCCACGTGCAGTCCGCATCGTCTGGTTCCTTGCTGGGAGGTAATGACCAGTAAAAGGCTAAAGCACTATAACCAGTTAAGCAAGCAGCAGAAGGAATGCGAAGGAATATTGGTCCCGCAGCGAGCTAGCACAGGTGACAAACAGAATTGCTTGCGTGGAGTGAGGCTGACATAACCATCAAAATGGATTGCGGATTTGCTTCTAGGAGTATGGCCTTATGGAAACGTGTGTAAGTGTTTATTTGCCGACCTTGTGTCATTGCGACCAAGCTTGCGAGCAACATGACGCCGTACCAAACTAATCATGATGGGCAGTGGTTTCCTTGTATGGTTTGCGTTCAAGGGGTTGTGAAGTAGACTTTACTGGTCAGGATTGAAACAAGCCAACATTACGCCCCGCTATTGTTGGTGTTAGTGTTACCTGTTCAGCAAGTGTTGCTATGTTGCCAAAGGCAAGCCGAGTCTACGTGCGCTAATTCCGTAAGGGACTGGATGTCTGCCGCGTGTGCCCATTAATCCAAACGCGGCCTAGGAGCTGTGCTTGCGCGGGCATGCTAAGACGAAGCGACGCGGGCGGACACAGCGTCCGAGCAGCTGCGCTAAAGCATGGAAGTGGTTCGCTGCAGGTTAGGGCAATGGCGTCATTGCCAAAAGGGCGTGCTTTGGGGGCTTCCTACCTCAGCGTCATCTGAAGTGAAAAGTTCCTTGGCCGTTACCGCGCCCGCTGTTGTACTGCATCTGTGGCCGGCAATACAATTACAGGCTGCATTGCTATGAGCCATTCCGTTTACCTTGCCGAAGTCGTCACTGAGCTTACAGCGACTTCTTGCCGTTGAAGCGGCAACCGCAAGGGGGGTATATCGTAATTCTCCGCAGGTCAGCCTCAGAGCCATACGTAACTCCCAAGTCCCTCGTTCCGGCGGTACGTCCATGATTTGTGTGCGGGGCCCTTCGCATGCGAGAGGGGTATGTGACCCGCGGGTCAATCCCTGAGCCATGTGCCGCACTCTGCGTGCTCATACGGCGAGCCAACTCGCTGTCCTTCTATTCTCGGGCCGGGCTCAGTGGTATTCCAACCCTAGACCCGACTTCCCTGCCTCCTAAACCCAGTCCCACTCCCCGGTCCAGCTCGGCCGGCTTCCTAATCCGGTGCCATCTACGGTTTCCACCTAGGGCACGTATTCTGAGGTCTTCTGATGCAAATAATCATAGCAATGCTTACCAACAAAGAATAGCATGCCCGCGCGCATTGCAGGTAGTGTGCTTCCGCAATGCCTGGAAGAGCCGCTAGCGGTGCTTTATGGTGGTGCTCCAAGTGCCGTGTTTGTAAGGTCTATCCCCGTCAAAAGGACAATATGGGGGCAGGCACGAGCAATAGCAGTTTCCCTGAGACCGGAAGGCAGCGTTAAGCGGAAGAACAGGTGGTAGCAATAGGGATAACAGCTGAAGGTGTTAAGACGCCCAATACAAGCGTCCAAGACTAGGAGGATGGAAAGGCACGTTTGCCGTACCTGTGACCCCGAGGGTCAATCCAGGAACGCTGCGCCGCGCCCTGAGTATCCACCTTGTTGCGTGCCAACCCGCTACTATCCTCGTACTCTTCGAGAGGGCCCGCTTCTTGTCCCACCCCTATACCTGCCCTCCCTGCTCCCTAACCCCAGTGCCGCGTTCCCCAGCGCACCCATCCCGCCTCCTAACCCGGTGCCATCAATTTAACCCGTTCCCTTTACGATGCGTTTGCACGACGAAGTCATACGCACTACCCGCTGTCACAGGCTGCATCTGGCCCGTCTAGGTGCGCCCTTCTAGGCGGCCTTGTTCCGCACGAAGTATTTCATGTTAACCACCGCAGCAACCGCGGGCCAGCCTTGGTGGGGTAATTAGGACCTTCCTAATCCTGGCCGCCCCCAACCCTATGACATGGCCCCATTTCTTATTCGTTCCTCTACCCACTCCCCTCCATCATGGCCTGCATCACCTGCACCGTCAGCTCCTGACTGCCCCCCGCCACCAGCTCCCGCACCCCGCACTTTCCTATAATATTTTGTCCCCGCACCCCGCACTCGCGCGCTGCACCACCACCACCACCACAACAACAACAACCCAGAACACCCTTTCTTCGACGCTTCGTTTAAGCTTCCACGTTTACCATTATAGTGCCCGACACCACTGCTCGTTGCCCACTAATCAAAGCAGCGCTTGGCGGGAAACAAGCTTAATTTCCTGATAAGAAACCAACAGCCTGCATAGTAAAAGACACAGCTGCAGGCTAGGCCATGCTAAGGGACAGTGCAAGAAGAGACAGCGCTGTGCGAAATCCTTCTTGTACGACGTCATTGGGTTCCAAGCGGTACAAGAGTTCAGAAGAAGCTGTAATAGAACTTATAGAACGACTTTGACCATCCACGGTACTCATACTTTTTTTACGTGAAGGACCAAGCCTGCGGAGCGCCGCCTTCACCGAGGGACTTTCCAGGGTAAGCTTGACCGGGCGGGTGAATATTGCTATTTTCAAACCATTTCTTACTACTGCAGCTATCTGGTATGATGGCCACATCGGGCCGTGCCTTGCGCAACAAGGTTGAGTTCAGATGGGCTCTATAGTGCGGCAAGCCTGCGAAGCTTCCTCCTCTTGTCTGGGCTGCTCTTACTAGAGGCCCTCCTCTCCCATTCTTTAGTTGTGCAATGGAGAGGACTCGGACCGGGACGGGACGGGGAGGGATCGCTGCGAAGCCCGCGAAAGGACATTTTGGCGCGTGGACTCCTCGGCTTGGAGGACATCCTGGCGCTTTTTGCATGCGATGATTGGCACAGACGAGCTTTAGCATGAACTCCAGCCGTTTTCTATGCGGCGCTTTCCACCTGGCTTGAGGAGCAACACCCAGGCTGTTGGACGTGTGTTGGACTTTGAGATGATGGCATGCGGTTTCTCTCTGCGGGCGCTGGCGGGAGGGGCGTTGTTAATCCGACACGATGGCGGACGACAGCACAAAGCGGCCTGCATGTGGAGGGGGAGCGCACGATCGCGGCTCTGCAGCAACTGCCCCGAGGACACGGCTGACAAATCGCCATCATTTGTGGCACCGCTGTTTTCCATCTTCTTCCATACACAGGGCGCAACCGGGCACGTAGCAAGGAGTTGAAGAGCCGTGTCGCCGGCAGGCGCTGTCTGCGGCAGACGGCAGGATGTCTGAGGCCCGGGTGTTCGTGGGCAATCTGCCCATGGACGTACGGGAACGGGAAGTGGAGGATCTGTTCTTCAAGTACGGCCGCATCCGTAGCGTGGATCTGAAGGTGAGCAGTTTAGCAGAGCAAGATCCAGTTGGCAACCTGGTATTTTGGGGAATGTCATTAGGAGGTGCCTGTTGCGGGCTTCCGGACTCTTTTTGGGCGTAGATGAGCAGCCATGATACGTCTCCGTCTGTGACGGTCCTGCCCACTTGCGCGCTAACAAGGCGTCTTCCTTTGCCCTCTTCCGCCACAGATTGGACCGCGCCCACCAGCCTTCGCCTTTGTGGAGGTAAGCTCGGGTCTTTGCTAAGTAAATGTCTTGCTCGTAAACAGGGCGACATCTTCAAAAAAACTTGACTTGGCATCTCTTTCCCCGGTTCCTGTATTATAACCTAAACGTCTTGATGATGGCATCGCCTTTAGCTACTTTAAACCTCATCCATTGCTTCCCCACACTACCCAGTTTGAGGACTCGCGTGATGCCTACGATGCCGTGCGTGGACGTGACGGAATTGAATTCCAAGGCCAGCGGCTGCGGGTAGGTTAGCTTATGTGCACGTGTGGAAGCTAGTCGATTTGTCTGTAGTCCCTGCCAGGAGTGGATAGCCATCCGGTGATGGCAGTGCTTGCATCTGACGTTCACAGCGTTAAGATCGACTGTGTGCAAGGTTAGACGTAGACTTGACGTTAACATTACCCCTTGAATGCCACTCTAGGTTGAGATTTCGCATGGACGCCGTGGAGGTTTCGGCGGTGGCGGCATCGGTGGCGCTGGTGGTTTCGGTGGCGGCGGCGGCGGTGGTTACGGCGGTGGCGGTGGCGGCGGCTATGGTGGCGGCTACGGCGGCGGCGGTGGTGGTGGTGGTGGTGGTGGTGGTGGTGGGGGCGCGCGCAGCCTGGGTCCCAACCCCTTCGGCCCCAGCCGGCGCACCGACTTCCGTGTTATCGTCACCGGTCTGCCGGTGAGCTGCTCCTGGCAGGACCTGAAGGACCACATGCGCCGGGCCGGCGAGGTGACCTTCTCCCAGGTGGGTCGTCGGATCGGGTTGAAATCGTCGGGGAGACATGGGTGTGGGTTGCTGTCGTCGTTGTCATGTTGGAGGTGGAAATGCCGCAGGGTGCGTGTACATGCATGTGTGTGGATACTTGTAGCCAGCTCATGGTCGCACCTCTAGAATGCAGCAGTCCTCGTCTCTTCTTACCCTCTTACCCCGTGCTGTACTGCTCGTACACCTCACAGGTCATGCGTGACGGCCGCGGCATGCTGGGCCTGGTGGACTATGCCTCCCGGGACGACATGGAGACCGCCCTGCGCAAGCTGGACGGCAGCGACTTCCGCAACCCTTACGACTCGTGAGTTAGCTGAACCGTGCAGCGCTTCCTGTAGCCTTTAACCTGTACCCGTGCGCGCGACGTTTGACTGGGCTACCCGTGAATGTTCCCATTTTTGTCACGCCTTTACGCCTATCTTTCCTGCAGCACCCGCATTCGCGTGAAGGAGGACCGCGACGGTAGCGGTGGCGCTGGCGCTGGCAGCAGGCGCCGCAGCAGCCGTAGCAAGAGCCGCAGTCGCTCGCGCAGCAAGAGCAAGAGCCGGTCGCGCAGCCGGAGCCGCAGCAAGAGCCGCTCGCGCAGCCGGGACAGGAAGAGCCGCAGCCGTTCGCGGTCGCGCTCACGGTCGCCTGTCCGCAGCAAGAGCCGCAGCCGGAGCAGGTGAGGGATAACTGCGTATGCTCTTTGCTTCCCTGCTAGGTGCACTTTGCCACGCAGCCCGGTGATGTGCATGGAAATGAGTTTTAGTGGCTGTGCTGTGCGGGACCCGTCTCTTCTTATGGTTGTTTCGTTGTTTCCTCATAAAAAGACTTGTTGTTGACTTACAGTGTTCTTATCATGCTATCACTTTGCAGGTCTCGGAGCCGATCGGCTTCACCTGCTCGCAGTGCCAGTCGCAGCCCCGCGCGTGACGACGACCGGCGTGACGACTAGGGCTTGGCACTGCGCGGCGGGTTTCGTAGTAATGCTGGATGACCTGCTTTACTGCGCAGCAATAGCGTTGTTGGACAATGCGCTAACAGTGTGGAAGATGTGATGTACGTTAATCCGGCTGAGCCTCTGTCTCTGGCTATCTGTCCACTGCGTCTTGAGCTATATAACCGCCCCTGTTACTGTGTTTGTGGAGTACACGTTGCTTCTGGTGCACATGGGACCCGATTGTCGCGATTGATGCAAATGCTTACAGCCCAGTTTCGTAAGTCATGATAATCGCGTCTAATTCAGTCAATTGTTGATCGCCCGGACTGTGAACCAGCACGCTTGAATACGTGAAATAGGCACACTGTAACGTGGATTGGATTGAGCGAAAGGGACCACCATGGATCCCACAGCACTGGCTTTGGGAAACATCGTTATTGAGTCGACAGCGAGAACCCACGGGTCACACAACCTCCCATCACCCTATATAACCCTCATCAGTCATCACTCATACACAGCATCACAGTACGTTTCGCGTCGCGGCCAGTAATTCTAACACAGTACCGCACGCGCCTGAGGCCCCAGCTCGCCAACGCCGCCGCAGCTCCAACCCACAGCTGCCACCTCAGCAACCCCTCACATGTTGACCTCATGGTGGGATGGAGCATCCACCGGGTGCTCGTGAGCCTCTTTGAGCCGGATCTTGCGTATCTCAGTTTCTACACGCACGTACGTCCACTGGTACCTCCGAAACACCTCCAGCAGCGCTATCACCAGCGCCACGGCGTTGTGCGACTCCAGGTTGCCCATGAGGCGGTGCGTCCACGTCAGCCGCAGCAGCAGGTTGGACAGCACCGCCCACACGTACCAGCTGCGGCGGTAGAGCGCATCCGGTTTCAAGCTGGGCAGCCGGAATACTCCCAGGACGAGCTGCCCGCCTGCATGGGGAGGCCGGCGGCAGCAGGTTTCAGCGACAAGCCAAGGAAACCACAGATGGCCACGCACCGGCATAAAGTACTGCGCACCGATATGAGTTCAGGAACAGTTAATCCTGTGTCTGCATGCTAACCCCATGTGCCCATTGCACTCCAAGAACACCTCCATAGCAGAGCAGCATCCTCCTAGCTCCGCCCTTCCTTCCTTACCTGGCTGCGCCAGCCACGGCATGTCCCAATCCATCTCCACATCCCAGTAGAACGAGTATAGCGAGTTAAGGCCCATGGCCGCAAGCCACCAGCCGTACAGCGGGTACCGCCGCCCTGCTATGTGGTGCTCGTGCTCGATAGCCGTCAGCACCAGCGCCGGAAAGGCGGTTGCGTACTTGAGCGCGTTCAGCAGCTGCGCGCGGTTACCGGTCGTACGATGCACGATGAGGCACTGTACGAAGCGTATTATGTACGGCAGGCACAGGGCCAGCAGTACAGGCAGCGCGAGCGGGTCGACGGCGAGCGAGGGGCTGCCGGGGCCGCCTTGCACGGCTAAGGTGTGAAGCCCGGGTCCTGCAGGGTCGCATGAGGGAATGGACAGGGTCCGCAGGCAGGGAGGACAGTCAAACCATCAGCCCCAAGTACATCTTGCCACCACCCCTCACCCGCCACTATAGCCTTCCTTCCTGACTGTCCCTTGCACCCGTGATCCCGGGCATCGGGCATCAGGATACGTATCCTTCGCTTATCTTCTCCTGTCCCCAACCATCCTCTGTAGCCATGGACTATAACCCTTCGCCCTTCGCCCACAGGCCACAACCACCAGGGTCCCATTCCAACCCTGCGCCTCCCACCACTCATTGGAATTTCTTTTTTCCGCCTCCCACCTGCCATCAGCGCCGCCGCTGCCTTGGCCAGGTCCCCGCTGCTCTTGCTGAGAGAGGTCATGATGTCGGCTAGCAGGAAGTCCGCCCAGGACACCTCCTGCACCGGCAGCAGCGCACGCTGCGCCGTCTGGCCGAAGAACAGCCGCGCCGGCTTTGCTAGGACGTCCAGCGGAGCCACCAGCAGCATGGCAGCGCCGAAGTACATGGTCAGCGGAGCATAGTCCGCAAGGCCGATAGCACCTGCTGCTCCCAGTCCCGCGTACACAGCAGCGCAGGTGAGGCAGAAGGTGGTGAGGACTAGCGCGATCTGGGTCGGCGGAAAGTTGGATGGGAAGAGGTGGGAGGGGATGCGAATAGTTAGGATGGTCATGAGGGTTGTGGCTGGGGGGTGGGGAGATGTAGCGGGTAATGACTTGTAGTTCTGACGTGCGGCTGGCGATCCCTGATTTGCCCTTATGCCACCGTACAGCTGCCACTTACCCGATACAGCTCTGAGTGGGGTAGGAGGTGTTTCCTGTCCTTCGCGCTGAAACATACATCATACTCAATGTTCAGAGTATGGAACCGCTGTACGTTGTGACCCCAGAGCCATAGTGCAAAGGTCGTCGGTAACATGGGTTGGAAGTACAGTAGGAGTAACCCACGCACGGCGTTGCTGGCGCGTGGGGCGAAGTGTGCCAGTGCAAACAGGCACGCTCCACACCAGCCACCTGCAGCCGCCTGCCATACGAAGGCATGTTCAGCCTTTCAGCAGTTGCAATCCAAGACCAGTACGAATGAGCCACACACCGTAAAAGCCCATCTTCTTGTGCTGTTGTTCCACTGCTTTGGAGTCCTGAAAGCCATGGAGCAGGGAGAGGCCAGTCAGGGAACGGTCCTCCTCCGTCAGGTTCAGAGCAAATACGATATCGCACCTATCCATAGCTTGCAACTGTTCATAGCCATGTAGGGGTAACCCTTTTATGAAGATGCACTAGTTACGGTGACCCCATTATGATTGATCCACTGGCTTCGAGTGTGGTGCTGCTAAAAGCATAGCAAATAGCATTATACTTGACCCATAAGATGTACCAACATCCAGTGCAGCTGTGACTTGTACCGGTCAAGCACGAGTTTTCGTCCGTCGACTGAAAAGCTCGTCCAACGTCCAACCGTTGAAGCTTGCACGCCTACGCAGCAGTTGCTGCGTTCTAACCACTAAACCTCCCGTATGCGTGCAAGCATGAACACATCCCGCCGTTCACTCCTCATCCCTCTTTTCGTGGACTTGGAAGCTCTCCATGCCAAGTCCGTCGCGGCACCAATGGCTGCCTTCCTGACTGGCCCATCAAACGCTGTTGCTGGTTCTTAAGCTGCAGACAATCTTGACCTACGTCCTAGCATGGGATTACACGGTTGGTTCAGGGTTGGTTCAGCATTTTCCTGCCCAATCCTCGCTAGTGCCTAAGCTTGCCGTTCAGGAAACAGCAAGCCTCACACATGTAATGCGCTTCCCCTGATCAAGCTATGCACCTAAGGGCGCAGGCGTCAACTGGCAGGTGACCTTGCCTGATGGCAAAGCTCAGCAGCAACAAATTGCCGGACTACCGTCCTGCCTCCGTACTTAGCCTCACACATGACAGCCCGCTTGTGACCCGCTCCCAAAATGCGGCCAGGTAGTCTGCACATACGTGCAGCTAGTGGTGTGGCCCACATGGGCTTCCCTCCTGCAGATAACCTACTCATCAAATGCACCTGCGCAGCCTTACAGAGAGGCAATGCTTACCCTCCTCGGCGCTTGTCAACCATGTCGTCCATGTACCGCATCACGGTGTTCGCCCACCTACACTGACCTTGGCCCCCCATCACCCCACACACACCCGCTTGCCTACAAAAGTGCAACTCCACGCTTTCAAACCAAAAGCGCCCGCCTGCTGAAGCCAGTCGGCTAAGCACCCTCAGCGATAGCTCTCCCGCTTCCCCTTCACTCGTCCTCATCCACCTCGCCCTCCTCATCCGCCTCAGCCGGCTCGCCCTTGCCCGCGCCGCCGCCACCCTTCTCCTTGTAGGCCTTCATCGCCTCCGCGTAGCGCACCTTGTCCCGCGCCGCCATCTGCTCGTACGGCACCCGATCCTCGGCGCCCAGAGCCTTCCAGCGCTCGCCCACCAGCTTGCCCACCTCGCCGAATGAAACACCTGACGCGGCGCCAAGCGAAAAGTGGTTGGGACGTCATTCGGACTGTTAGGAATCTATTGTTACGGTAGATGCTACAGCAGCGCTTAGGTTACCACTGCAGAGCCAAAAGAACCAAGGCCACCCCATTACCCAAGCTAGTAGTACCGCAAGGAGCGCTGGGCAAGGTACAAACGTAAGCCGCATGTCCTATGGGTACATGGTTAGGGTACTTGATAATTCCACGTACCTGGGTTCTCAGACTTGATCTTGTCGCGGTTAGCGTTGGAGAAGTACATAAAGGCAGAGAGGTTCTTCTTGGGTGCGTTGGGGTCCTTCTTCTTCTTGGGCTTGGCGGCTCCCTCGGCTCCCTCCGCCTTCTTGCCCTTGCCCTTGGCGCCTGCCTTGCCGCCGGCTGGAGATATGTCGCCCTTTGGAGCCGGCGGTGGTTTCTCTGCAAGGAATTTGGGGCGCGGATTGATGGGCAAGCAAATGACTTCCAGGTTCGGTGGCAGTTCTGCTGGGGTGCATGCAGATGCTGAGCCTGAGCCCCAGGCACATGTCAGGAATAGCTAACCAGGAATACAACAGGGATGGTTAGCCACGCCCAACGCTGCTCCACACAAGACCCCTGTTCGTACCTTTGGCGGGCTTCTTGGCTGGGCGCTCCTCTGGAGAGGCATCGCTCTCCTTCCGCTTTGTCTTGCTCTTGAACACCTCCGCAGACACACCTGTACACACAGAAAGTGACCACAGCAGGCGCGCATGATTAATGCCTTATAAAAGTTGGCAAACGGCAGAGCAGCAACATGCTGTGCAGTTCGTGTCTGATTAAGACCTACCCTCCTCCTCAATCATTTCCGCGTCGCTTGCGTCGCTGATGTCCTCGCTGCTCTCGGTGCCGCCGGCTGCGTCAAAGTCCTCGTCCTCGTCGTCCTCCTCATCATAGTCCGCCTCGGCAGCGACACGGCGCATGCCTGCAGGGTACGGAATGCCGGACATAGCGGCTCAAAAAGCAGACAAGCTCCCTTCATGTAATACCATATGCCAATGGCATGCGCTGCACCATGCGCGCTTGCACAGTCTTGTTTTGATTCAGAGTACGGCAATAGTTGGTAATGGCATCAACGAAGGGGATCATGACCCGCGGGTCACCCGGCAGCCAGCACCCACCTGGGTCCATGTCGTCGTCCTCCCCAACCGCATGCCCCACTTCCACGCCACGCTCCACGGAGGCAAGGTTCTCGATGGGGATCCGCTTGGTCTTGATGAACTCAAACAGGTTGCTCCACTCGGAACGCTGGATGTTCCTGCAGGGCCGCATGCAACAAACGTTGCCGTCTTTTTTGCTAAAGGCGCGCCCATGCGTCGCCATGCTAACATGGGTCCCCACCGCAAAAGTAGAGTCGACGGAATGCATGCATGCCGTGCGTTATGGTCAGCAACAGAAGCACCGGCTCGCACAAGTCGGGGCCGGTGGGTGCCAGTACCGCTACCCTTACCTGAACATGTGCTCTGTCCCGCCCTTGAGCCGGATGACCAGGTCAAAGGTGCGCACGGAGGAGGAGACGGCTCCGTTGCCCTGGCGCGCAAACTCCACATACTCAATGTCGTTGTCCGGAATGAGCAGCGGCGGCTTGTGCACGTAGAAGAAGCCGCGATCCAGCGGATACAGCTGGGGATAGCAAGGGGTTAGCAAGGGGTTAGTAATGGGGGCAAGAGGTTTCAATGGGAAGCAACTAGTCAAGTCAGGACGCATGCATGAACAGAGGATACCAAACGCAACCTCTGGGGCACGGGGCCTACCCCATAGGACCTTCCCGTCTGCAATGCTCCATAACTGCTGCAATCTCCTTCCCTCACACGTCCAACACCCCGCTAAACTGCGCCGACCCACCTGTCCATCGTCCGCCTTGTAGGAGCAGCGCACCGACACGCCGTCCCCAGCCGCGTTCTTGAAGTGCCCCGGCCGAGTGATGCGCGCGCCCGATAGCCCTCGCAGCAGCTTGGCAAACACCTCGTGCACCGGCCCCGACATCTCCGGAGACAGCTTGCCCCCATTCTGCACGGATTGCACATAACAACACCGAATACGTGACACATTCCGCTCCATGGAACGGGCACAGCATGCCTCCTGCAACTGAGTTCGTCATGGTTAACGACTTAATGAAAGAAAGTAGCACTCCAAGACATGATAAGGCATAACTCATGCACAGCATCGCCGCTGCCAATCCTCGTCGCTGTTTCGTCTGCTACTGCTGCTTGGTTTAAAGAGCACAGGAGGACCCCCCCAACCCATGGCGAAGCCCCGTCATACAGCTCGTCATGTTTCCTAATTCTTACCCCACCCACCCACCCTTGCTGCTGTTTCTATTACGTCCAGCCCCCCACCTTCTCGTTCTTCGCCGCCAGCGCCTCCTCCGTGATGTCCAGCTCCACCGTGATGTCATCGTCCGTGGGGAACTGACACAGCAGGTGCGCATAGTAGGTCTGCATGGAGTGTGGGGGGGGAAGGGAGTATGCGAGGGAGGGGGGCCCGATTGGGTTAATAGGGAGGAAGCCCGATTGGGTACGGGGGACGGAAAGGAAGTGTGCGTTAGCAATGGAGGATGGAATCATTAGATGTGGGCCATATGCGATTTTCAAGAACACCCTGGCCGAGAGAACTGAAGGAGGGCTTGGAAGACATAGCCCCCTACAGCCGCATGTGCGTCCGTATTAGAGCGAAGGGGGGTGACGCAGGAGCAGGAGCAGCAGAGCCCTCAGCGTACGCACCTGGCCCTTGCGAATGGGCGGGTCCAGCGAAATGACGACAAGCGTGTGTGGCGTGTTGTGCTTGGGCAGGATGAAGATGCGCTGAATGGAGGTGTAGCGGACCTTGAAGTCTTGGGACTGGCGGGTGGGAAGGGCGCGCATGACGACTGAAGGTCAATGTCTCATGCGGGCCATGCCGGATACCGCACATGGCAAAAGCTGTGCCCACTATGACCCTCAGCCTGGCCCCGAAACCAGAACCGGTCGTGCCATGTCCGATACCCAAAGCCTGTGCCCCATGCTACTGGCCACGCTTAACCCCATTCCTCTCCTTTGATTCCCACTTCCAAACGCTCCCATACGACCTTGACACCCCGCCGGCACCAGGGAGCTCCCCTCCCACGCCGCTGTCCCTCCCCCCGCCTCACCTGTCCTCCCAACTGCAGATATCCCAGGTGCATCTCAATGTCGAAGCGCCCGCGCGGCGCCAGGATGCCCACCTCGCTAAACACACACACCGGCTCGTCCGCGGCAGCAGCCTCCGTGTCGGCATGCGGCAGCAGCGCGTCTAGCAGCACCTGGGCAGGCGGGCAGAGGTGCCAGAGGCGACTCGCTTGGTGTTACATTACAGGACTGCGACGCAGAGTCGCCATGGCTATACGGGACACACATGCCTCAGGAGAACCCACATCGAAACTCGGCACACTGTGGAAAGCAGCAACATGGTAAAACATGCACAACGCGGTGTACGCTTAACCGAACCGCGGAACAGGAGCTATTCTTCCCTCTCGGCCTTACCCGCACGCCCGAGGACTCCCCTGCCCTCCTACCTTGGCTGCTGGCACGTCCTCGCCCTGCGCCGGGAACTCCTCGTTCCCTGGCGGCACGTAGAAGGCCAGCTCCGTGAGCATGTCCTCCGCCACCTCGCCCCCGGTGTCGTCCACGTGCAGCTCAAGCATCACATCATCCTGGGGGGGGCGCGGGAGTCAGGAATCGGGAGTCGGGACAGCTAGGCACTTGGTGCAACGGCGTGCATGGACTGTCAAGAGTATGGCCTCTGCCACATTGGATGACGGAAGCGGGCTCCCCACGCGTGTAACCGCCGCAGGCATAAAGGGCGGCAGCACACGGACGCCATTCCCCTGAGCCCTGACACCATGTAACGAAGCCTGGGCCAACCCAGTAACCAAGCCACCATTTGCGCAGCCTTTATGCTGTACTACAGGTAGCCTTTTCAAGCGTTGGGCGCCCCATCTATCCCTGTCGTGTGCCTCTGAGTCGTTTCAAGACCCTCACCTTGGTTTGCTGCGCTGTGCACACGTCCGGCAGCGGCAGCTCAAAGGCCACCTTGTTCCCCACCACGAAGGCCAGCGAGGCGCCGCGCAGCTGCACCCCTCCCCAGTTATGCCCTGATGTGGACAGTGCCATCTCCGTGACGCCCTCTGCAATGCCTAGCGTGTTGCGCGCATAGTTTTGCAACGCATCCAGGTCCTGGTGGGAAGGGGGGGCGGAGGGGTACGCTGTACTCAGTGTGTTTGCACGTGCACTGAGGTATAGGAACAAAGGCGGGCCACGTGATGGTTGTCTGGGCTTCTCCATGCAGACGGTGCCCCAACGCATCCCCTTGCTAGCAACGGCCTCAAAAGCCCGCGGGAAGTGTCGACTTCTATCGACGCTGTGGAGGCTGCCCTACAGGCCGAAGTAGTTGGAACAACCCCCCCCCTCGCACCTTATCCCTGAACCCTAAGAAGTTAAAGCTAGTTGCGCCTTTTCGCCGAACGCTCAGCTGGCAGCCCCTGGGCACTTTCGTCCAGGACAAGCCATCGATTTCCTCCTTCTTAACCTCCACAACCTTGCTGCCTTGCTTCCGACGCCACGTAAAGCCGGCAGGAGTCAAACGCAATTGGCCCGAAGCCTGCAAAGGATTAATACGGGCTCACGTTTGTCCCAAATCCTGCGCTACGAGGATGATAAGCGCCACTGCGGCGCCTGAAAAGTGGACTTACCACTCCACCCCTGCTTCCCAGCCAGATCTCTCCAAACGCTTGAACGCCCTCGGCCATCGCAGCCGGCTTGGGCTGGGCCGGCACCGGCCCTAAAAAGTGAAGGAAATGCGCAGATCCTACAGCAGCCCTTGTCAATTAAAAATAAATAGCGGTAGGTGCTCCTAGCTCTACACTAAAAACCGAAGACAGAGCCTATTAACTCCTGCAGAACTCCTTGGCGCGCTTGAAGGTAGCAGTTCAAATTGGACGTAAGTTTTCCCTTATCTTAACGCGCGTTACAGGGTAAACTCCAGTTCATGCAGAATAAGCCTCACAACCTTGAAAGTGAAACAGTGAAGGAGCGTTTGAAAGCCGCGAGCATGCAGTACGACAGGTAACCAACCAACATCGAAATGAGGAGACCATAACGCAAGTATCCCGCGGTGAAGTGCGACATTTGAGACAACGTAAAACAAAAGACCATGACCAAAGCCCAGACTAGTTGCGCCGCGGTTCCCAATCCCCATCCATCATCATATCCAAATCGTAGGTCCCGAGACCTAGCTCAACGGCATGCTACCCACAACGCCTGCTCATGCAACCGAACCATGATCAAGCTATGGGTGCAAGAAGTGCTCCATGGTGCATGTAAGGCTTAAACCCATGGACCCGATCAATACACCAAGTCAGCAAACCTGACCACCATCACTGCCCGCTTTACCATCCTGCATCTTCCATGCTGCAGTGACTAGACGTGCACGTAGAGGAATGCAGCGTTTGGATGTCGCCATCCGCTTGAGGTCCAGTCAAAGGTGAGTGTACCCGAGCATGACTGAACCCGTATAGCAGGGGTTGGCTTCCCGGCACCACAAATGCAGAGGGCTAACTCACCGTCATGGTGAAAGGCTGTACCAACGCCGAAGTAACCTCTCCCATGCACTTGGTGGGCATCCGGTGAACACCCCCGAGCCTGCACGGCGCCAACCAACCCGTATTGCTAATTCAGGACACAGTTGCAGATGGGGTGCCAGGATCCCAGCACTTTCAAGTTTTCCTTCCTGTCAGAAAACATGCATGCTGTCAGAATGCAGCCTGCAACAGTCTAAGAAGCAGTTCGGCTTCCCAGCCCTCGCCGTCAAGTCCCTATGCACTGGCAAAGCGGCAATGCTTTGGCGCATGTCTACAGATGTCGCAATACCCCGAAACGCACGCCATCCTAAGCGTGTGCACAGTTGAGTACGAGAAAGGGGCCATGCATGTAGGCTGTTTGAGCTCATGTGCGTGTGCACCCTTCACGTGAGGCCCCGTTGGCTATCAGGTCTATATACAGGAGCCTCAAAGCATGCGGTACTCCTGTCGTGCATGGAGCGTGTTTGATGGACGTCAACGTCAGATGTAACACGCGTCACATGCAAGCGACCCACGGGTCGTTCAGAGGCCATGCGCTGCCCGTTCCCAAGCTGCGCACAGCAAATGGTTGGCACTATGAGGACAGCCGTGAACCTCGTTCTGCCCGACACTGCACATGCCAAGTCAACAGACAGTAGCACAGTACCCCTCTGCGCACGCTTGTGGCGACCAAACTAGGAGTCGTCACCATTACCAGCATTCGTTTGTACTAGCGTCAAGACCCTCCCAACAATAGCCAGCCAAACCCGCAAACCTGGAATTCTTTGCGACGGAATTGCGAACAGCGCACCTCCTGCATCTCGTATCCTCGACACCAACTCGACAAAACACTTCCTGACTCCATTCACATCTCGCCTCACACGGGGTGCCTTCGTAGCCACTTCAGCTCCTTCATTCCAAGGCATGTCTCGTAAAACCCCGTCCCTGCGTCGCTCTTCTCTAAGGCGGCCGTCGTCCACAGCGTCCCATCACTACTACCGCCACCCAGCCACACCGCAACCGGGTGAACACAATTCGCCCCTGGCTCGTGAACGCCTCGCCTTCCATGCGTCCATCTACAACACCAAGCACAGTCCTGATCCTTGCAACCTAACCCCTCTTCCCCATCATCGCCTGCATCACCTGCACCGTCAGCTCCTGGCTGCCCCCCGCCACCAGCTCCCGCACCCCACACCCCGCATTCGCGCGCTGCACCAGACCAGAGTGCCGTACAAAGTAGGACACAAGGTGCGGTACGAGTTCGCTCAGGTTGTGCCGGTCAGCCCACAGCAGGTCCGCCACCACGGTCTCGGGCGTGCAACATGCGGCCAGCAGCCGCGTCTTCAGTCGCCGCTGCGCCTCAGGCATCAGCAGCCGCCCCGTCAGCTCCACAACGGGCCGCAGCAGCTCCTCCGGCATATCCTCCAACGAGATCCAGCCGTACATGTACCCCAGCAGCTGCGCGAACGCCTCCGGGTCGGCGTTGGGCAGGCTGGTCTCCGCAGCGGCGCTGTCTCCGAAGCCGCCTGTTAGCAGCTGCTGGAAGTACTCGGAGGAATCGGCCAGCAGAGCGCGGTGCGCGAGGAAGGATTTGTCACCCACATGGATGGTTAGGAAGCCGCTGGTGGTGGTGGTGCTGCTGCTGCCCGCCTGCTCGCCCGCTGGTTGGGAGTAGAGGTACTTCAACAGGTGCGGCTTGGCGTCCGTGCTGTTATCCTCCTTCTCCACCACCTGCTGCTGTGGTTGCGGCTGCTGCCGTCGCTGCCGTTCCTTTCCTCTCCCATCGCCGGCTGCTGCCGCCGCATCGCTGTCACCACCCGCAACGCTACCGGCGTTGTTCCCACCGCTGTCACCACCCCTGTGCCTCAGCGTGAAGTCTCCGCCGTGCAGGGTCAGCTGCCGCCCAGACCCAACCGCTAGGAAACCAGAGGGCAGCAGTCCCCAGTAGTCGGCCCGATCCCACATCGCGCCGCAGCTCATCGTGCTGACGTGGCCGTCCGAATCAATCTTGCGGAGATCGCCTTGGTCCAAGACGTAGATGCTGCCATCGGCGTCCGTTAAAACTTGGCGAAGGTTGGTGAAGCGAGCGGCCTCGCCGGCGCCGTCCGCTTTCCCCAACCGATCCCAGTCGCCAGCGAAAAGTTCGATGTTCAAGCGGCCGCCAGCGGCGACGGCGGCGGCGCCAGCGCCGTCCCGGGGGATGGCTACCTTGCAGACTGCCGTCCTGCTGATGAGCACCAGAGCCTCTGTGAGGGCGTCGTACGACAGTTGATTGGCACTAAAAAAAATGGACAGCTGCAGGGTGGTAACGACGCACTGGTCAGCTGGCAGCGGCGCAGCGGCGGCGGTGGCGGCAGCGGCGGCGGCGCTGCTGCCGTTGGCGTTGGCATTCTTCCGTTTCCTCCCTCCCGGTCGTACTTCATTGCCGGTCGTACTCGGCGGCGACGGCACACCGGCCACGGCTATCTTGCGAATGCGGCCAATTTCCGCAAGGTAAAGGCAGCCGCGGCCGTCCGTTGTGAGTGCGCGCACGTCATTGAAGCGCGCGTCCGGACCGCGGCCATCCTCTCTGCCGCTCTCGTTTGCGCCCGCCACCAGGCTGACCGAGTTGTCCGCGTCCAGCCGCATGACACGCCATCCATGAACAAAGTAAACACATTTCGAGGCGGCATCGTACACCGGGCAGTGCGCTTCCCCTATTGAGTAAGCTGCGTTGTTATCGGCAGCGGCGTCTGTGAACGCTAAGGGCGGTCCCAGCCTCAGCGGCTCCAGGCCAGCGCTATCGCCGCCCAGCAGCTCAGCAACTTCATCTTTTAAGAAGAGCAACGTTTGCGGCGGGCCGGCGCGGCGTGGGCGGACCACCACACCGTATCCGGGGTTTCTGAGGGTGAGCTGCATTTAGGTTCGTGACCTCGTGAGGTTTTTGTCGTCTTTACGCGTGCTGAGCTCCTAGGCACCCTATGCTGTAGTTAGCCTGCTGTCGTTGGTGCTATTGCTGTGAGTGAATAATCACAACAACTTCCAATTTTTGGTGACTTTCTTTCCTCGGCTAGGCTCAGAAACACGAGCCGCTTCGATGGCCTCAGATGCGTTGTGTTACACTTTTACAACGTTTAAAACTATTAGCTGAAGGCTACGTAAGGAAACTCGTGACGGTTGGAAACCGTTGGTGACGCCAGTTTTGCGGGAAGGAAACCAGTTCACTACCTTTTCCGCGACGTCCTGTCTTGCTTTGCCGACTTCATTCCAGATTTCGCATAGTAATGAAAGACTCTGAGCCGCCCTATTCGTTTGAAAAGGAACTCTGCAGAAGGTGTTTAATTTGGCTGCGAATGCATCTTATGGCGTGTGGGGGAAGGGGCCCCTTCCCCCAAACCCCCATCCCCCCTCTCTGCATGCGTACAATGTGTACTTGCGTCATCACCTCCAAACAGCGTTCTAGACACGCATGCACCTGTCCCTTCTTCGAGCCTTGTCTCTGAGCTTGCAAGAGTGGACGACTGCAGGGGTGGGGCCGCGTGATCGTATTCTTCGGTTTGGCAACGAGGTGGTTTACTGCATGCAGCTGTAGCGGGTTGGGGGTTCCGCACGGCTGTTGGGCTTGCTGCAGAGCAGCATAAAAGCTGCTGTATAGGCATGCAGTGTCTCTAGACTCATGGATTTCGCGGATGACTGGAATGATTGCGCATCCCGTGAGATGTGTGGCGCCTAATGAAGGCAGATAGCCTTTGTTGGAGCCGTTCCTGGTTGTCTCCTTAAATGTGAACCTCTATCTTGCCTTGCTAGGCAACCTCCTCCCGTTCGTCAAAGATGTCCCCACGCACCCAATGCTCACCACTGCGGTTGACTTCAACACTGCAACCGCCCGCCGTTGGTGCGCCGTTGATGGTGTCTGCAAGACAGTATCCCTATGCAGCCTCATACCGCTGCATGTGCACGACAGTATCCCAACGCAGCCATATACCGCTGCATGTGAAAGGTTAACGTACATCAGCCGTAGCCGTCTATTGCGTCCTGCCAACAACAACATTCATGCATGGTGTCATTCGTTAATTGCATGCCCGAAAACTCGGAACATGCATCCTACCTCACATGCATCCTACCTCACTCCTCCCTACCTTGGTCGCTTTCACAAGCCTGCCTCACTACTCTACCCTGCGAAACCTGCGCCTGCCCCCATAGCTATATCCGCACCCATTCCTGCTACCCGCAACCGCACCCATACCTGCGCCCCCATCCGCACCCGCCCCCACCTCCCGCGTCCGCACCCGACCCCACCTCGCACATCCCCCCTAATCCGTCTTTGCCGGCGGCACCAGCTGCGCCGTCGCCAGGTCCTGCACGCGCGGGTAAGCCGCCCGCTCGTCCAGCTGCGCCTGCGCCCACAGCAGCAGCTTCAGCAGCAGCGGCAGGCGCGGCTCGCGCTCCTGCGCCTGGCTGTGCAGGATGGCTGCATTGAGCTCGCTGGCGGTCTTCTGGCGCTGCGCCACGTCCATCAGGTCTCCCACGGGGCTGGACTTGGAGTCCTCGAAGGCCAGCAGCGCCACGGTTCGCTCTGGGGGGGGCCGGGGAGGAAGGAGGGAGAACGGGGGAGGGAAAACAATAATTAGGCACTGACGAGGAGGGGAGGGAAGAAGAAGAACCATGTTTGGGTTGGTAGGGGGAACAGGAGGAAAGGCCAACCGGGCTGGACACCAGCTAATCTGGACGCCAGCTAACACCCAGGTGGACTACAAAGCTCCACCATGGGTTGGAAGAGGAGGGGAGACGGGCAGGGGGGCTCACAGGAACGAGCATCGGGTGAGGAGAAGAGACGCAGTTGGGTCCCCTGAGAGACAGGATCCCGTCCGTACAAGGGAAGGCATGCGAGCCAGGCCCACCGTCCCGTCCCGTCTCGCCCCACCCCTCGCCCAGGCCGCCCACCCAGCTGACGCCTTATCACACAATCAGTTCCTTGTTTCCTCTCTTTACCCACCCACCCAGTTCCTCCAGGAACTCGCTGTTTTCCTCCGCCAGCGGCGCCAGCGCCTCCTGCGCGAAGTCCAGCGCCGCCTCCACGTTGCCGCCGCGGATGAGCTCGATGAGCCGCTGCTGCTGCAGATGGAAGAACAGCTTGGGCTGCGACTCCAGGATCTGGGGGGAAGGAGGGAGGGAGGTGCGGGGAGGGGGGAAGAGGTTGGGGCATGGGTGGTTGCCCCTGCTGCCATCTGCCCCCGAAGGGCGAACCTCTGCGAGGTCCCCTGCCGCCTAGACATAACCATTTCAGCGTTTAGTGTATGCGAGGCGGAAGGTTCCAGCCCTCTTTTCGTGGGTGTCTTATAGCGCTAGACGGATTGTTGCGACCCTGCACCTTCGGGACCTCTGCTCACTCACCTCTGGGTCTAAGTCGTTGACCCGCTCCATGGCTGCCTCCACGTCGCCGCCTTGAAGCGCCCGCCGCACCTCCATGCGGTCCGTGATTGCGTCAAGGTTGACCCCCGGTGGTGTGCCGCTCTCCTTCTCAAACATGCGCGCTGCTTCTACGTAACCCTTTGTTGGCGGAAATGCGGGATGGAGAGACGGGTACGGGACCCGGTGAGGACTGTTGTTGCAGGGATGCAGCGGTGACGTGATGCATGAGTGATGATCTGTATGCGGAGCATAGGGTTACCTCAGTGACCAAGAAGTTCATGATAAGCCGGTTCATGTCCTCCTTGGGAACCTGAACGCTGTCCAGCTTTTGCTGCCATGCTTCTAGTGATATCGTCTTCTTTGTACCAGCCTGCTCCAGGAGGTTGGGGTGTTGCTAACAAACCTTCGCCCTAGTTGCGCAGTTAGGTTGCATTTCCTTACCTCGCCTCTGCCCATCGCTACGGCCTACTATTGTGTTTAACCAGATGTTTGTTTTTCCGTCTGCTATAGTAGCTTGAAGGGCTAGGAAAGGAGGATGAGAAAAAAGAGATACGTAATGCCTGTGGATACGTGTGTTTTTTGTGAATGACACGTACTATTGCAACAACATGTTACTCTCGAAACAAATTAACCGTGCTGGCTGTGGGGCTACCGAGTCATGTGGTTAGCCTCTCCGAAACCGACCTCATGCGCGGCAAGTCCGTAAAACATGCTGAAAGACCCACGAACAACCTACCCTTTGCTACCTGTGAACTACCTATAGGTTACTACTGTTTTAGCAACGTCTCCGTAGTCTGTTTCTCCCTGCATCAACGACTGCACCGAGCGCTGCCATAGGCGACCGAGGCGATAACACGATTGCCAAATCTAGCTAATCAATTTAAATCATCAGGCTGCAAGCGTTCTATATAGCGGAACATTGTGGGTGCGTGCAACCGGACCAAAGAACTAGCTTGGTTTCCTTTTGTCGCGAATGCCCACTGCTTCTTTATTCGAGTATGTTGCGGGGAAGATAGATGAGCCGCCACTGACACCGGAGGAGGTGAGGTTTGGGACGTGCCGGAGCTGCAACCCCTGTAAGTCTTACACGGGTTCCGTTGTGCGTTTCAGCTTGAGTTCTTCGCGGAGCATGAAAAGGTTACAATCATTCCCAACTTCAGCCTTAACCTTCCGAACGGGATGCTAACATGTATTGAGGTGAGCTGCTCCTGCCGTGCAACACCCTACCGCCTTTCTCTGCCCTAAACGAAAGCGATGCCCAAGTGATGCCTAACCGCCTGGCCTGAGTAAACACCGACGACACACGATGCGCAGGGCACATACGGCCCATTCCGACCAAACATCCCTGTGGAAGTACCCCTCTACCTAGCACTCGCCTTACATCGCCGAGGGAAATGCCGCATCCAGCCGCCGCCGTGGATGGCCAAAGACAGGCTAAAATGTAGGTGCGTGCGCTGTGTGGGACTTGCATGCGACATCCCACCCGCACCCCCTTGTCCGCCTGCCATGAGATTCCTCCGCAGCAAGGGACTTCCTGGCCACTCGCCACCTTTCCCCAACACTGCGCCTCTCGGTCCCACCCCAATGTTACCGCCCCATTCCCCGCAGCCATGCTGGAGGAGGAGCGCACGATTCCGCAGTACTTCCAGCCCGTGCCGCAGTACTACGTGGAGGTCAGCAAGATGCTGTTCACGGAGGCGAGAGCCATCTTTGGCTCAAATGCCGATGTGCACGAGGTCGGTTAGCAGCGTGCCTGCCTGGCAGCTTGGCATCGCTATGGGTGGTTGCTGGTTGGGTGGAGGAGTTGTAGACATAACACCGTACTGCTGTCGTACTGTGCAATTGTCATTGGGAACGCGGCTAACGCAGCAATGCTGCCAACGGGTGCCTACGTGCCTTGCGTGACCTGCAGGTCCAGGAGCTGATTGAGGAGTTGAAGAAGGTGCGCAACAGCAAGATCCTGGACGGCCTGCGCAAGGTGTCGGGGCCCGTGACGGTCAAGCTCAACAACCTCAGCGCCTCGGAGAGCAACAAGATCCGGCTGCTCTTTGAGAACTCGCTCAACATGTGGTACCAGCTATCAAAGGTAAGTACGGCATGCCTACCGTCAAACTGTGTTGGGTTACAGCCCTTATAGGTTACGCCAAACTGCACATGCCATCCTATTGTTCATGCACTCAGCCCACTTTGCACCATACAGGGTTAGTAGGCCATCCTTGCGCAGCCAGCGGCGGCGTCCCACGGTAGCATGACTACATGAGCGATGTCTCAACGGAATGTGCTGCATTACCCCTCGCAGAACGACAAGGAGTGGCAGGAGAGCAGCCTAGCGGGGGCGGACACACCGGCGACGCTATGAGCAACTGTTGGTTATCGTGTGTGGTTGCCGTACTGTCGGCGTTACAACTGCCGCGGTACTTGCGGGCTTATGGCGTTGCTTGGCACATGTGACCAGCACGTGTTGTTTGCCTTCACAGTATGACGCAACCAGATCCTATGTGTACAACAGCCTAGTTAGCCAGTTGTTCGGACGGTGGTGGTAAGTGGTCGGTCCGTGGAACGGCCGGAACCAATGACCGGCGTCCCAGGTTACCCTGAGCTGCAGCTCTTGTAACGCTCATGTCCAAATAGCTAAAGCGCTGCCAACAATTCATATGCAAGGCTGCAATGCATTGAAAGCCTGCTATAAACGCGCGAGTATGGGCACGCAATATACACTGCCATGTACAGGTGATAAAGGACGTGTGGCACGCTCACGCACTCATCAGTCTAGCTCATTTAGGTCAATCTCAGCCGCCATCCCGTTGCCGTGGGAACCTGTGTCGGCAAGTGCGGGAGCCGGCGTTGTCCCGCCCGCAACCTGCTCTCTCCCCTCGCTTTCTGACTGGCTAGACAGCGGGTTGTGGCTCTCCGCGCTGGCCTCCAGCCCTCCGTCAAGCTCTGCCTGGGCTGCCTTCACCGATTGAAGGTAAATCTGGGCGTCCCCTTCCGCGCCGCTGCCCCAGCGGCCCTCCTGGATCGGCTTGCCCTCCCTTGCAAGGCTCTGGCGCGTGCTTGCCACCTCTGTTCGATTGCGTGAAAGGATCCGCAACGGACGTGTTACTAACCGGATGTGGGACAAGGGACGTGGTAAGGCTTGTTATGGGCGACATGCTTCCAACGCGAGACAATTATACCATGCGAGATACACTTCTAAGGATCCTCCTGGTGGCGGAGTACATGGGCATGTATCATGATGCCATAACACCACCATGGAGGCTTTTGCATAAAACGCGGCTAATGCACATCGCCTCCGACAGCACACCTGCCGGCTCCTCCTCGCCCGGCCGCGCCGTGTAGGCGGCTAGCCGCTGCCGCGCCTCCAGAAGCTCCGGCGGCTCCTCAGGGAACTCGTATTCGCTGTCGCTGAGGTCGTCCAACGCCGGGTCGGTGTCGCCCTCCGGCAGGCCAAGCCGCTTGCGCCGCTGCAATGTGGGGTATTGAGGATAAGACGGAACGGGCGTTGAAGACACGGAATGGAATAGCACGGAATGTCAGTTTAAGCGTGATGCATGCAACAGCAGCTCGCGCGGAGGTCCGGAATGGCTCGCAACCAGCTGCTAGCTATTCCACGCCCTTCCATGGGAGCACATTGTTAGAAACCCCATCGGCCTACCTCACGCCAGCCTTGTGCCCGCATCTCCAGCATATACTCGTGGTTCTTGCGGTGGCGCGCGTCCTCTTCCTCCTTGAGCTTGTTGCGCATTGCCCGCTCCGCGTCCAGGCCGCCTTCCAGCCTACAACAATGGCAAAGACCACACTGGTTGGGGGCGCCATGCTAGTACAGCTTGATCATGAAGGCACGCTAATTATGGTGTCGTGCTTGCTGCAGGGTTGGACTTGATGCGGCCCTTGCGTCTTGACAGCACAGCACAGCCCTCAACTAGAAGCTGTCGGTACGGTTGCACACATTATACCACTATCCAAGGGAGGAAGGAGGCGTACGGCAAATACCCACATGCCAGCGGTGGGCTTAGACGTCGCTCGCAACCTAGAGCCGTCGATAAATATCGTCTGGACTAGGCCCTTGCACCCACGGCACTCACCATGCCTCAGCAATCTTCCGCTCGTTCTCAAAGACCGGCCGGTCGTCCAGGTAGGTGAGCGTGGGAATGCTGGTAATCAGCACCTTGCGGTAGTTCTTAATGTTGGAGACGACCGGGTTGCCCTTCAGGTACAGGCACCGCAGGTCCGGGATCTGCTTTAGCACGTCTACGATGCCTGGATCTGACAGCTCGTTGTTTTGCAAGTCCAGCGTCTGAAGCGCGTTGCACTCCGCCAGGTGCTCTACAGAATCCAGCGTGCTCAGGTGGTTGTGGGTGGCGATGAGCGTGCGCAGGGACTTGCAGCAGGACAACCCCTCCAGGCGGGTAAGCTGGTTATTGCTGATGTTGAGGGTATCGAGGTTCTCGACCGCCTCGAGGTTGCTGATCTTCCAAATGCAGTTCTGCTGGACGTACCTGCATCGCGGCAAGGAATATTACAGTGCATGAGGGATAACGGGAGCAGGTACTGGGCAACTATTTCCAAGACATGTAATGTGGCCATGCGGCGTGTCCCATTCCCACCCACAGGCATTTGAGCTCCTTGAGGGGAGGGAGCCCGTCCAAGCTCTCCAGGACATTCCCCTCCAGGAACAGCGCCTTCAAGTTCACGTATTCCTCTAGACACGCAATGTGCGAGAACCCCTTAAAGTTGCAATAAAGCTTGTCGTTAAGAGAGGGTGTTCGATATAATTGGTTCTGTTTGCAGATGTCTAATAAAGCCTCTCTAGTCATGCACGCGCACATTTTTGCGTATGACCCGCGGCCCAACAGCCAGAAATTGCAATGATTTTAGTTAGGCCGAGTGCCTACAGCGTTACGCTCAATGATTTGAACAAGTAGCTTGCTAAAAGTTCTAACGGATATGACAGAAGCGTGAGAAGGTATCCATCATGTACGACAGGATCCAAGAGCATGGCGCCCAGCATCCCAGTGTCTTTCGATGCTTGCTGGTTAGGAACTTAATTTGCAGACGTTTTTGAACGATGTACGTTTTGGAAGGCACCCGGATGTAATACAGGACGGCTAACTAGAGCTTGGACAGCTAAAATGGCAGCCGAGGGGCAGGCCCTCTTGGCTGTCCTAGAAACGGAAACCAAGGTTGGAGAACTAAAGGAAGCACTCTCAGGCATACAATTATTCCTGGAACCGTTGCTGGTGCTGGGCAGTGCAAGCCAGCCAAATGCCGAAGCGTTGCGGCCAGTCGCACGCACCACAGGTCCTCTTGTGACACGTCTTGTGAAATGTATGGGCAACCGGTTAGTTCCTGCCCTGCGGCAAAGCCCAGAGCAGCTACGCATTCTCAGCGAAGCTGCTTGCTTGGGCCTGGACGCGCTGGACTGCTTGCATCCCGTGATCAAGGCGTCTCGGCACGAGTTGGATGTGCAACGATACAACTTTGTTCGGAAGTTAGCTGCGCTGGGACTCCATGACCTCGCCATGGAACAGGGCAAAGTGCTGCACACTTCCGCAGCCTCTGGCCCTGGTAGCGTGGCTGGTCCGGGCGACCTGCACATTGCCGCTGTGGCCAACCTCTTGGTGTGCTATTGCGAGCTGGTGCATTTGGACCCTACCCAGGCTTTGGCCCTGTGGAAAGACGTGTATGGACCTGTAGATGGTCTGCTTAGACACGCAAGGTAAGCGCCCATGTACGTAGGGACCGTGCTCCCAATTTCAGCTTGTGCAAGGCGTTCACCCTGCTGTGGCTGTCCCCGCAGGGATGCGGGTGACCCCTCCGAGGCGGCAAAGCGGCTGGAGCCAGTGCTGAAGTGTCTGTGCCGGGTAAGGCATGCACAGCTTTACCGTATAAACGCAGCTGCCAGTCGCAAATATGTGGAGCTCTCCGTGTGCGCAGGTGCTTGAAAAGCTACAGAGCAGCGACGCAATCTGCAGCCTAGGGCCCAGTGGCATTGCGCAGCAACTGACCGCTCTCCTGTCATGTGCCGCCCTTTGCCGCCAAGAGCATGTCGTGCAGCAGGTATTTGATCGATAAGGCCTTTATGTGCGGCGGCATGTAACGGATAAGGGTGCAATCCTTACGCAACCTTGTTGCCGCAGATGCTGCTAGACGATGCAGCCGCCGCCGCTACTGCTGTTCAAGTTGGGATGGCAGAGGCCATACTTGCGGAGCTGACCCTATCAGGTGGGTTGACGTTTGGCAAGACGGGTTTATAGCTTGGATTGCCCCCAAACAGTATGTCCTGCATGGCACCCCCCTTTTTCCCCAGGTTCGCTGCCTCAGGCACTAAGCTCCTTGCTGCACCAGCTGGCCCTTGGCCTTCTACAGAAGCGTGCTGCCATGCCGGTGCCTTCGAACGAGGGGTAAGATGCTGTCTACTCCAGTACGTCGCATTGCAATGGCCAAAAGGCGCAAACCCTCCCTCCCTTGCCGCTTGCAGGTCCGTTCCGAGCCATCCCCTAGCAGCTGCAGTTCAGGTCGCACTCCAGCTGCCAAAGTGTGTGCTCTCTCAGCAGGCCCCAGAGCAGCTTCCCACGCTACTCGCCATGGTCTCTGGCGTGGATAAGGCCCTCGGCTCCATTACGGGCGATGTGGGACAACGTTGGCTGCGGTGGACCTGCTTGGATGTCCTGAGGGTGTCGGTGGCGAGCGTCCTGACCCAGGTTGTCAGCACGCCGCAATCAACAGGCAAGGCTTGTGCTAACCAGGGTGTTAGATGACCAATAAGCGTTATATACCCAAACACGCATCACACAGTACATAATGGCACGTGATCACGACCAAACCTTCTGACCTTCCATGTTTAGGCGGACAGTTGCCGACGATCGCGCTCTGCATGGAGCGGCTTTCCCAGGACAGCACGGACCTCCTCACCCAACGTTACGGATCGGCTGCCGTGGTGAGGTTGCCGCGGCCTATGCCATGGGCTAGCACGGTATGGGTCGACCCAAATGGAGAGGAACTCACCTTCCGTTTCCTGAGCGCAGGTGGGCCCCAGCGGCTGTTCTGCATCTGCCATCGCAGTTCGCCTGCTGACAGTGCAACGCACCTTCACGGGACAGCTGGCTTTGCTGCAAGACGATGTGGCACGGAACCTCAGCACTCTCCGGCAGCTCATGCAGCTCACAGAGACCCGGTCCCTGGAGGACGGCGTGGAGGGGCTGGGCGTGGCTTCCTTGCAAACCCTTTCGGCACTGCTTGGAAACGCAGGTGCGACACCCATAATATCTGACGCCGCTATGCTGCATCCATGTTTGGGAACGTACGATTTCCTTACCAGCATGTGCCCTGGTCCCGTAGGCTTGGACCTCCTCCAAGCACAACATGCCCGACCGGCCGTTGAGCTGCTTCAGTTCTCTGCGGAGCTGGCTATCGACCGCACGCGTCGCCTGCAGAAACAAGACGCCGCAACCACAAGCGCAGATGCGTCGCAGCTAGTAAAGAAGTGTAAGGCGCATGTGACGGCCCTACAGCAGCTGTCTGAACACACCGCCGCTATGGAGGCGGCAGCGGCCTATGTGGCGGGCTTGCATGAGGTACGCCCAAATCGGATGAAGGCGAATGGTTAATGCCTCGGTACTTGGCCGCGGCGGCTGCAATCTATTGTGGGTTGTAAGAGGTCCAAGCCTGCTTACCTGGTGTCCGTGAATGCAATGCCTCAGTGCTTCACGTTGATCCGCATTACCGGACAATTTCTTTCTATCACCACAGGTCCTAGGGGGCAACGTTGGTCGGGCCTCATCACTGGTAAAGCTGCACGTGCTCTCTAACGTGGCCGCCGTGGCAGCCGCGACCGTAGCACCTCCGGCGCCACAGCCGCCTCCGTCAGAGCTGCTAAGTCCTGTTGCGGCCGCATCGGTAGGTCCCGTCGCTCCCTGCAAAGCGCCGCGGAGAGGTGGGCGTTTACAACGCATGCAAACGGAGACGCAATGTCAGCCGGCAAAGGCCTGTTCGGGGCGCACGCGTAAGGGCAAGGCTTCACCAGAAGCAGCCGACGGCGCTGCATCTGCGGCTCTTTCAGGTTCTGCTTCGGCAACGGCTGCCGAGGGCGCTGCCGTGAGGTCCTTAGCACAGGCGCTATCCGCGGCGGTGAAGAGTGGCCATGCTCCGGCAAGCATGCTGGACTCCTTGGACATGTACGCTACGCAGGAGCTGGAGCTTGCAGCGGAGGAGTGCAGGCGGCGGAATGATGGCGACGCCTTCCAACAGCAGCACACCGCCTCAGTCTTAGGTGAGCAATGCTGTTGCTACCCGCATTACTGTACCCGTGAAGTTCTTGCACGCCTAGGCTTGTGTCGTTTCCGTCCTGTCACCGAAGCATGTACGCGTTTCCAGGTGCGCTGGCCGGGTGTGCCGACGCCAAAGCGAGCGACGCCGTCTTCAGCGCCCGGATGCTGCTCGTCAAGGCTCTCAGCCTCAGCAACTTCCAGGAGGACCTTGAGGACGACCTTCGAACCGCTTGCAGCCAGCTTAACCAGCAGCTGGCGAAGCTTGAGCAGCGTCAAGGCTTCGCGGCGAAGCTTGATCCCGGGCTTGTAGACTCGACGGCGCTCGCGTGCGCACTGCTGGGCGTGTGGACGGTCCGCGGCCAGCTGGCAAGGCGTGCGCGTCTGGTGAGGACACGTGCGCAACAGGGTTGCCAGTACATTACAGTGGTGGTTACATGAATCCCACCGCAGCTTTTCACGCAAGCCGCTTCATGCAACACTCGTTACTTTCCTCATGCGTGCAGGATAGCACGGAGGCTGTGCAGCACCTTGGTCGGGCCATCGGTTTATGGGAACAGCTACTGCAGGCGCATCGATCTCTACCGCTGAGACTGCCACAGGCTACCTTGCAAGTCGCCCTGGAGGTTCAGCAGCTCCTGCACCTTCACGGATGCACCCATGCCGACGTGGCGGCTCGGTGCGGCCCGGTTGTGTGGCAGCTTATGCACTGCCTAAGCGAACAGGCAAGTGCAGGGCACAGTCCAGGGAGGGTATCACCCTAGACGTTACCTCCTCCCCATGGCTCCCATTCCGCTAACGACCTAACCTGCCTCTACTACCAGGTGAAGCTGCGCGAGCAGCAGGCGTACATGCTGCACGCCACGATGCCTGGGATCACATGCCTTGGCCGGGCAATCACGGTGCAGCCCCATCCTTCCCTAGCCGAGGCTGCCACTAACACGCAGCACAGTAAGCTGGTGGAGGTGCTTCAGCTTATGCGTCCTGTCAGGTAAGGCGTGTTAATCAAATGTACCACGTCACATGGTTCAGTCCTGCAATGTTTGGACCTGACGGACCTGCAATGCTTCCAGGGACGCGTACTCCTCGGATCCAGTGGACCACCCTACCGTCGCAGCGGCAGCTGACGCCTGTAGCAGAGAGCTTGAGCGCAGCACCTTCCTGCGCCATGGCCCGGCCCCTCTGTTGCTGCGGAGCCATAGCCACCAGATCGCGGCTGCTGCATACCTCCGTGCCGGCGACACCGTTAACGCCTACGTGCATTCGCAAGAGGCGCTGCGGATAACCTGCAGCCTTTTTGCCTCCCTCGAGTGCCCGCTGCCTTTGGAGGAGCCCGGCGCGGTGCAAGCAGCCCGGCCGGAGCAGGAGTTGACGCCGGCCGAAGCGGCTGCAGCAGCCGTACAGTCTGGCGCTGCAACAAGTGCGCAAGACTACACTGTGCAGGAGGATGACGAGCAGCAGGAAAGCAGTCCTGCTTCTACAATGGAAGGCACCGGCGGCAGTGGACCGGCGAAGTGCGCTGATAACATGCCGCGGCAGAGCGTGAGCTTGGGGTTGGCATGCGCAGTAGCTGCAGCGCACCTTACTTCCCTCCACCAAGCGGCCAGGGTGTTCGAAGCCGCCGGTTGCGCTGAAGATGCAATGTCCCTGTGGAAGGAGTGCAGCCGCGCTTCGATGATGTTTGGGGCCGTGGGTGTGCAGGCTCTGTGCGGCTGCTACCTCTCGGAGCTCTGCGCTCGGTGTGGTGACGCAGATGCAGCTAAGGCGCACCTTGACGCTGCAAGCACTGCTGTTGAGCAGCTGCAGGAAGCCTCGGACCGGACGCCGAAGGGTGATGCAGGCTTGTTGCGGCTGCATGTGTGCTCAGCACGCGCGCGCATTGCCTTGTTGGGCCAACATGACATCCACGCTGACGTGGACTGCGTAAGCGGTATCTCTGCCTGTGAACGTTTCCTTCAGAGCACGGCGGCCGGCAAGCACCAGGTGGCCAGCTGCACTGGGCTGGGCTCTTGCACGTACCGAGCGCAGAGCTGGCACGCCGTAAGCCTAAGAAGCCAACTTCACAGGCTACGGGCGGCATCGCTCAGGCGGCTTGGGCGACTGACCGACGCTGCCGAAGTTCTGCGCAGCGAAAGCGTGCAGCTGCAGGAAGCGGCTGCAACCTGCTGTGGCCGGAGTGCTGCGGAAGTCTGGCCCGTCGACTACGGGCTGTTGCTTGCCCAGGAAGGGGGCCTGGTTAGCTCCGTCGCCCACGGGAATGGTGGTCTTGCAGCGGTTGTTGGGCTGGGGCAACGTCGTTCCGCACCTTCAGGCGTGCGGCTCTCTGGAACCTGCGACGGGCAACAGGATACGGACCAGGCACCCAGGAAAGGTGCGGCGTGCTGGTTACCATAGCGTGTGATAACCGCCTGACTCTTCCCCAGTGTTCATTCGACGTTAAATGTAATACCAACACCCCAGTAATCTTGACTATGGATCCTTGCCCTGTCACATGCAACGTTGCAGGTGGCAAGGCAAAAGCTTCTGGCGTGTGCCGCAAAGATCTCCCCAAGCAGCAGCACGGCCAGGAGGACGCGACTATGGCGCATACTGTGCTGTGCGGCGTCCCGGCCCTACTGCTTTCCTTACGGCTCTGCTGGCAAGTCCCGCTTGCGGCCGCATATCCCTGCAGGCAGCTCCTGCGCGCTTCCATGGCGCTCGGATTGCCGCATGCAGCAACCCTGTTCCTGCATTTGGGGCACGGCATGTCGTACGCCCAGCAACAGGCGTTGCAGCGGCGGCAGCAGCAGCGAACCCTGCCTGCGCCAAAAGCGCCAGCGGAGTATGACAGCGCTGCTCCTCCGGCGCAAAGCGCACCCATGGACGTGTGCGCCGATGATGCCTCTGTCGAGGATGAAGGGGGCCTGTCGAACGCGGGGAAAGGTTCGCCGCAAGACGTGCGCGATGCGGCGCTCCAGATGCTATCGGGCCTCATTTCGGGCGGATGCAGCGGCGACGCGTTATCCACGGCCCTCGAGCGGGGGGCCGAAACCTGGCTGCAGCAGGCGTTGCGTCTGATGCCGGCACGCTCCATAGTGGCGATTGTTACCCAAGATGATGAAGGCAAGGCGGGATGTTGGTAATGGTGTTCTGCAGTACGAGCTCCGCCTTACCGTACTTTGGTTTACGGTATTCCCCAATTGCCCCGCTATAGCTCTTTATGGCTCACAAGACTCACTCCATGACATGACATAGTAACGCTTCCCTCTCCCTGCTTTTGCTTGCAGCTGGTGAGGTGCTTCTGGGCAGAGCTACGTCTGGGAGCGTCCCGCTGCTGGCGTCGCTGGGTGGGTCAGGGCCCAGTGCCAACACCGAGGACGGAAATGGCCGTTCGCCTAGCGGTAGCGGCGGCAGCGCGAGCACAGCCAGCAGCATGTTGGGCGGCTGCGTGGCACGGCTACGGACTCTGTTGGAGGAGAGCGGCGACAGCATGCATATGGACCAGGATGCTGCGCTGTCGCAAAGCCACAAGGCAAAGTGGTGGAAGGTGAGATGGAGCGCGTTTCTCGTTGGTAGCCGGTCGCTGGCCTGCTGTCGTACCTGTTGGGCAGGGAAAAGCCTCGCCCTCACCCGCCCAAATTGCGGCCGCAACGAGAGTCCTCTTTGAGGGAGGCTGCTGGTACACTGCCCTCCCTTAAAGTCGCCTTGCCGTAGTTGTACAACTGGTCCGATGCTCACCTGCACCGCCGGCCCCCTCGCAGGCGCGGACGTCACTCGACCAGGGCGTCAAGGTCCTGTTGCAGGAGCTGGACAGCCAGTGCTTGGGCCCGTGGCGTTGCTTGCTGCTGCCAGTTCCGGACCACCATCGTGGCGTCCTGGAGGCGGCGGCAGCTGCATTCGTGCAGGAGAGTCTTCTCTCGCTTGCGGACCAGCAGCAGCAGCCGGACGAGAGCGATGCTTGCCCCCAGCGCATGCGCTTGCTGCAAGAGCTGTTGGTGGTAGCGATGTCCAACATGCAGCATCTGCAGGGTGAGGACTTGGTGACGCTCCTGCGCACGCTCTGCAGCCAGTGCGGCCTGCCAAGCGACCCAGTCAAGCTGCAAGCGCTAGCGACCCAGCTGATGGCCACGGAGGCAGCTGTACGAGTGCAGCTTCTTTGTCTGCCGACGTCGGGGCAGCATGGTGGCCATACGTCGCCAGTGGGGCCTGCGGAGGGGGATGGGGACTCAGCCGGAAGTGCCGGCGGCGGCAAACTAGGAGCCAAGCAGACGCCCCGCGATGACGTTGCGCCATGCGTGGGAGCACGAACACGTGCGCAAGCAGGCACTTCAGCTGCCTCCAAGCCAGCTGCTATTGAGGCGGTGCGGCGTACCAGGGGCACAGCTGACACGCAGCCGGTCAGCGGTGGCTTAACAAAGCCAGCATTGGCCGGCAGGGGCGTGGCCCGCCTTGCGGTGATGCAGCCTGAGCCATCTAGGTAAGCTGAGCAGTCGGTATTTGCCACCGTAAAGGCACCATCGCAAGCAGCCGGGACCCGGCCTCAGCGTTCTTACACTGGCCTTTACACCGAAGCTATGAAAGCAGCCAATACGCTTCCCTCCCTCACTCCCTTTGTACCCGCAGCTCCATGGTTGCAACGAGAGCGGCTGCTCGTGGTGCCGGAACCCGTGTGGCGAGTCGCGCTCGCACTGCTGGCACCATGCTGCCTGCCGACGAACAACCGGAGCCAAAGGTGGCGCAGTCCTCACAAGCTGGCCGTGCTCGTCCTGGTACCTCTTCGGCAACGGCCGCAGCGGCTACCGCGGAGGCGGCACCGGCAACCATGGGTGGTCCCAGTGCGCAGCCCAACGCTGGTCCTGTGCTGCTGGTGCTCGGGCCTAACTTGCACGCCCTTCCGTGGGAGAGCATTCCTTGCTGCCAAGGAGGGGACATTTACCGCATCCTGAGCTTGCCCGTCGCCTGCGCAACGGTATCCGCTGCGTCAAGCTGGTTTGGTGCTGCGCAAAAGGTGGAGGCATCTGGCGGGCGCGGCTCACCTTGCAGTGCGGTGCCGGAGTCCTGTGGGGTGCCTTCCTTGCCGCCCGCGTACTACTTGCTGAACCCGAGCGGTGATCTTGTGGACACCCAGCACTTCTTCCAGCCCATGCTCGAGGCGGAATCCAACTGGCAGGTAGGTTGCACGCGCAACAAGTTGCCTCATGGGTGACCTCCGTAGCCCAGTTACTGCTAGCGGTGCTTGAGGGGACCTTACGCATGCCCGTACGACCTACATGGGGTACATGCATGGTATAGAGGACTGCAGCGTCTCCGGTATGTTCATGTAACGCAGCCTGGCACCTGGTGCGCATGAGCCTAAGGCATACCTTGTTCCTTCTACTCCTGCAGGGCCTAATAGGCGAGCGTCCCACAGCGCGGGCCTTGTTGACAGCCCTGCAGAGCTACGACTTGTTCATGTACTTCGGGCACGGCAGTGGGGAGCAGTTCCTTCCGCTTCCCGCAATGCGCAAGCTGCAGCGCAGTGCTGCCTGTCTCCTCATGGGCTGCAGCAGCGGCCGCCTCCGCGTGCATGGGGCCTACGACCCCACGGGCGCTGTCGTCGCCTACCAGTTGGCAGGTACGAGGATCTGGTAACCTGATCGAAATGTACGAAATGCAGCGGTGCAAGGACTGACGTCGGCAGCCAGTGCTAGTCCTGTGCATTTCGAGCGGGACTGCGGCCTCAGAGATACGTATAGTTCTCACGCTTGCTAACCGTGCTGCAAATCACTCATGGATTGCAGGCTGCCCTGCACTGGTGGCGAACCTGTGGGATGTCACGGACCGGGACATCGACCGGTACTGCCAGGCGCTCATGCAGCGCTGGTTAGGCTGCCAGAGCGCGAGTACGGGAGGAGCGGCTGTTGGGCACAGCAGCAACAACAGCAGCATGGACAGCCAGAAGGCTGTCGACCTTTCTCCAGCCATCGTAAGCAAGTGCGAGGTGCTTGGCCTTGCTACGGCCCGCAGCAGAAGCGCGTGCAAGCTGCCGTACCTGATTGGTGCAGCGCCAGTGTGCTATGGGCTGCCGTTGCAGCTCGTTGAGGGTCGCCTCAGGAGCTGCTAGCCGCTAGCACACTGTGGTTACTTGGAGGTGGACCGTGCATACTGCACTCCGGGTTGTCTTAAGTGTTCACGAGTGCGTCGCTCGGCTACTGGTACATGCGTGGCGTGGTTCTTGCAGGGTTGGACTGTTGACGGTAACTTGCATGGGAGGCTTGCGGGGAGCATTCATTGCCGTGACTTAGACAATTAATGTGAACATGTTGGATTAACGTGAACTTCCCGCATCACTGTGCAGCGCTTTGTGCATGTCTGGTGACCATTGAGGGCAGGTTAACGTGTTTTGGTGTGTCTCCCAAATTACGTGAGCGGTGGGTACCATTGGGTGATTATATGGGTAGCCACAAGCTTCTTGTTTTTTATCCAGGTTATTAACGATGCTGCACGGGGCTCACCCTGGCGTCCATGCAGCCAAGGTATGCAACACAAACAAGTTGGGCTATGGCAACGTCACAGTTAATTTGTGTTTTATATTTTGATAATAGTACGTCAACTCCTCGAATGGTTTTGAGCGTGTTTCAAGCAAGGTGATGCAACCTTACTTGCATGAGGCGTTCGGAACTTCCCGTCGACGTTGACGCCGTATGCTTCGCTCTGGGGTGGAACTTCCCCAGTAGGCTACGGATCTCACTTTAGTCTACTGATGCAGGAGGGAAGGTCCTGTCGACCATGAGCGAGGTACGAGGCGATTCCCGCCACCGTGTACGGTTGTGACGCGGCGCTGACGCTTTCCGCGACGGACTTCACATTGTATTCAAGTGGACAACTGTGTCGCGAACAAGTAGCCAAACTGCAAAATATTAGTGTTGTCCGCTTCTTGGTAACGGTATCTACTACCTACGCTATAACGCGTTAACGCCCCTTTGTAGGAAGGTAATTCCCAGCTACGTTATACCTTTTCTGATACTACTAAGCAGTGACAGCGTTTGGGCAGCCCTTGTGATAGCGCGAGGGACGCGAGTCAACCGCCTTACGCAGAGTGAAGTCGAATGGCGTATCGAGGCCCACTGGGTAACTCTGGGCACGTTAAGCATTATAGAAAACACCAAGCAATTGGTTACCATTTGGCTTGTCCAAGGATTTCTGCTGCAAAGCTATTCACACAGCAGCATGCCCCTCGCCGAACTCAGCCACGTGCGCAAAGTCGTCCAGAGTTAGCAGGTAATTGGCAAACCACTGTTTTATGCAGGCTATAAGCTGCTCTGACGCTGGAAAAGCCTGCGTTGCAGGTGTTAGTGCTGCAAACGTAACCACCTCGTCACCTGTAATTCGCAGCATTTATGATGTAGACAACGGGCAGGTAAGGGATTGGACCAGCGGCCGTGGCTGCCTCAGGCGTCTCGTGTTGTCGTGTAAGACCTACCGGTAACTCACCAGGAGCACTCGTGTGTACCAACGACGCCAGATTCTGGGCTTCGGCGCTGACTTGGCAGAAGACCACCCCGGCTTCAACGACCTTACCTACAAGCAACGACGAGCTATGCTTGCAGAGCGCGCCAAGTTGCACCAAGTGTAAGTCCCGCGGGATGCACGGCATGCAGCAAACCTCTCAACCTCAGAGCTGTAGTGGGTGTACCGTTGTACGATGCCCAAACATCATTTCCGCATGTTCCACGCCCCCATGTAGCGGCACGCCCATCCCCGACGTCTCCTACACCCCAGAGGAGGTGGCCACCTGGGATGTGGTGTGGCAGCAGCTGGGGCATCTGCTGCCGCAGCACGCCTGCAAGGAATACCTGCGCTGCCTGCCCCTCTTCGACTTCCAGCCTGGGAAGGTAGGCCCGGGATGGTGCACGACCGTAGCCTAACCGCATCCCAACCGTATTCCAACCGCGCACCATGCGCCTGTGCCACCTCGGCCTTTGGGACGCCTGCCGACACTTGATGTCGTACTTCCGCATGCCGACTGCCTTCCCGCTTCTGAGTAATACGGCAGCTTGGGTTGGTGGGAACTGCTCTGTAAGGCTCTTCCTCGTCCGACCGAATCCCTCGCCGCGACTCCCTCGCCAGGTTCCCCAGCTAGAGGAGATGAATAGTGTGCTACAGGCAGCAACCGGCTGGAAGATAAGGCCCGTGGCCGGGCTCATGCACCCGCGGCATTTCCTGGCAGGGCTTGCGTTCAAGTGAGTCTAGTAGGGGCTTGGGGGCCTGGGGGGCTGGCTGGCTTGGAGACCGCAGGGTGGGGTGAGGGGTGGGGGATGAAGATTAGTACTGTCCGGGGCGTTGGCGTGTGATTCGTGCCGACAGGCACGGTGTGTAGTGCAGGAAGGGTCGTCATCAACTGCTGGAAGGTAGTGCGTGGATGGCCCAGAGGAGAGGATGTTTGTCAGCGTGCTTGGACGCTTTAGCTTGGGCAGCATACCGTCGCTGCCGTACCGTGCCTAAGCCTGGCTCTTTCTAAGCTGTGCCTTTGCCCCCGTGCCCCCTTGCTTGCTGGGGTACCTCTTGGGTGAATACTTGGCGCGCAGGCACTTCCACTCAACCCAAGTAAGTGCAGCCGTTCCGTTAGGGATATGTTTATTAGGGATCCTTTCCTGCAAAAGTCTTTCTGTCTTGGCTGCTGCATCGTTACTCCCGCGTTCATTTAGTTCGCCTCCTCCTCACCACAACCGTGACTCTCCCACCCCTTCCCCTACTGAACCCCTTCCGCAGTACATGCGCCATCACAGCAAGCCCAGCTACACCCCCGAGCCGGATGTGGTGCACGAACTCATTGGTAAGCGCGAGCCGGCTGGCGGGGCGGCAGGGCTGGGAACCCTCCAAGCATCTCGCTGCAGCTGCTTTTGTTGCTTGTTAGCTACCGCTACCGTAACTCCCGATGTCATCCTGACAGCTTACCATGCGCCTACAACTACTGCATACTAGTAGAACCCCAAAAGAACCTCATGCCAGGAAACGCACAGCATTAAGAAGCATGGCCGCATTAATGTACCCACCTAGCTACCCCTCCAACCCGGCCGCACTCCTCCCATTGCATCCCATCCCGGCCCCCTTCCTCTGCACCCAAAGGCCATGTGCCGCTACTAGCCGACCCGGCCTACTCGCGGCTGGTCCAGGCCATTGGTGTTGCCTCTTTAGGCGCCGACGACAAGACCATCTGGCACCTCACCAAGGTCTATTGGTACACGGTGGAGTTCGGTGTGGTGCGCGAAGGGGACAGCATCAAGGCCTTTGGCGCAGGTAGGGTGTGCTGGGGGGGGTCTAAGACCATACCAAACCATGGGGATTTGTCGTGCCTTCCGCTTGACGGGGGAGTCCCCCGAGGCCGCTACCTCTGTCAGGACGGCCACGCATGCCATACGGTCACAGAGCTGCGGTCAACCCATATCCATGCACCATGTCACCCTGCCGCCACATTCCCCCATTGTTTTGCCCATTTGTGGTTTCCTATGGTTTGGTCTATTTTTACCCCCTCCCCCCCCCACACACGCCCCACCGTACCTCGCATTGGGTATTCTTCTTTTCCATCCTACCCCGGACATCACACCGCATCAGGCATCCTCTCCAGCTACGGTGAGCTGCAGCACATGGCCTCGGGCGCCGCCAGCTTGGAGCCGCTGGACCCCTTCCGCCCGCTGCCCCGCATGTCGTATAAGGACGGCTACCAGCAGCGCTACTTCCTGCTAGACAGCTTCGAGGCGGGCGCGCAGCTGCTGCAGAGGTATGCTGCCACGGTGGGGCTGCCGGAGGGGCTGCGGGGGGATGCGAGCGTGGGTTGAGGTGGGAGAGGTGTGGGGTGTGAGAGGGAAAGGAGGCGTGGTGGGGCATGCGAGGTTCCCGTTGAACCACTGCACAAACGGCTAGCTTGGTCGGCTAGGTGTACAAAGATGGCATTTCCGTCACTGGTGTCAGTAGGATTGGTTCTTTTCAGTTTTGGCGGCTTTCATGAATGGCGATAGCGCAAGGCTAAGGCTGGAGCTGCAAGCAGGAGTGGCGCATGAACGGTATGACGGAGAGAGTTGACGTACAGGATTGCAAATGTTAATGTATTTCGCTGTCGGAGATGCTGCTGGGGTTTTGTTGCTCGCATGGCATTGCACGCTGACCTGTGACTTGTATGTGTCATTATGAAGAGTTTTCTTGAGGTTTCTCCCTCCCATGCAATGGGCGTGTTGCTTTGTGTTGGTGGTCCTCACTTCCCCGTGTTTCGTAACGTGCAGATCCCTGCCGCGTTGTACGATAAGCGCTGTATTTTTAGTTGTATAAGTAATTGTCTAAGCCTAGGTAAGATAACTCTGTACGGAAGGTGCCGACTCTGTTGCAGTGGAATGTGTACAGCATCCGGGTCTATGATCTCGTGGCCGCCGTTTGGCAGTTGGAGCTGCTGAAAACCGTTGCTTTGACTGCAACGGCCTAACCAACTCCTTTGTAGCACTGTGCTTGTACGCAAAGCTGCGTGTATCTCGGAAAGGTTAATAGTTCGCCTTACACCAGCTTGGCAGCCATATCTTGGCAGCCAACTGTCGCTGCGGAGGTGTATTCATGGTGTGATGCTTGGCAAACGGTGGGATTCGGAAGAGTGGGGGCTCGCTTAAGAGAAAGAGCTACCGGTATGGCACCCCACGTGGGCGGTGTGGGGCTTACGCTGCCCATTACACCATTCTTTTGCTGTCCGTTACATTCATTACCTAGGGACTCCATATCCTATGACTCATCGCTATTGAACCCCTCGAGGTATGCCTCGTGTAAGAAGCTTACAATACCTTCCCAACCCGCACCCAGCACTGCACAACGCCCTCTTAAGCTCCTCGCTGAACCCCTGCGCAAGGACCGACCCATGGGTCGCCAGCGGCACCTGCAGTACCTACAGAAATTACAACTGATGCGCTATATTGCTTTACATCCACCCTACAGCAAAGCTAGAAACCGCTAGACCGCTATCTGCCTCCTCGCATGTTCCTTTCCCTACTGAGGCAAAGCACCACAAGCCCCATAGCTGAGCGAGAGAGGATCTTTGCAAACACCTGCCGACCTCGCAGCACCCCTCCCGGGGGCTACTTGGGGCTACTTGTCCTCCGCCAGCGTGACCCTCAGCTCCAGCTCTTGTAGGCCCTGCAGCAGCAGCAGCCGGGTAGGTGGTGAGGCAGAGCCATGAGGGGCCGGTGGGGCGCCTTTCAGGACACCTCAGGAGGGACTTAGCGCGCTCTTTCCAGCCCTTTACCGTAGAGCGTCCATGATCCTACAACCAACACCGAAAACCCTGTTCACTTCCGCTTTCGTTCCCCAGACCCCGTGGTAAGGAAGAAGTGGTACGGCGCTCCCGGAAACACGACCGCCCGCCCCGTACGGCACACCTGATCCGTACTGCGTGCGACCCTCAGCAGCACGCTGTCTCCCGCGGCCCGCGAGTCCAGAGCCACCAGCAGGTCGCCGGAGCTGTTGAGCGGCCGGCCGTCGAGTGCCAAGATGACGTCACCTGGGGGTGAGGGTGGGGGTGAGGGTGAGAGGGGATACCGTATTGAGGACAAGCCAACTACTGCCGGTAACAAACTAACAAGGTGACCCATGGGACCACTGGGTGCATCATGGAGGGGGAGGGAGTCCGCAGGGAGGCCGCAGGGAGGGGTGGTTCGGTTGGTAGCGCCCGGGGCTGACGAGGGGCCCCGGCGGACCCCTAAACAGCTTAAAGCGCAGCTCCTGAACACCTCCTGAGCACCGGTAACCCCTACCCAAGCCTTGGCTTTTGGCTTGCTTGCAGTCATGCGGCTAAGAATCCCTGAACCCCTAAGATGCTGCATGAGGACCGCAGCAGCGCACACCGCGCCCCAGCCACACCCACCCACCGGTGATGATACCCGCCAGCCCCCTCCGAGTGGGCAGCAGACCCGCCCTGTCGCCCGCACCGCCCGGGGTTACCGACTGCACGAGCGCTCCGCGACCCACTTTCAGACGCTGAGCGACGCTGTCCGTGGCAATCTGAGAGGGGACAGCGATACGGTATACCAAAAACGCAGGTTAGGGCACAGCATGAGGGGAGGTATAAGGGGTAAAGAGCTAAGCAAACAGGGAGGGAGGTATGATGAAAATCAAGGGGAAAGTAAAAAGCAAACAGGGAGGGAGGTATGATGAAAATCAAGGGGAAAGTAGCGTTTAAAAGGGAGATTAGGCGACGTTGCTGGCCGACTTGCCAATACTGATGGGGGTGATGGCCCATGGGTCGCAACAAGTCCGCTAATGCCACAGAGCCGTACACATGATACACTGCGTGCCTGCGTCGCCTGTAGCCTGCTGTGTCACGCATCACACCACCCACACCCACCCATGTCTCACCTGCACCTCCAGGGAGGGTCGGAGCACCTTGCCGTGCGCTATGAGCTGCGGGATCACCCGCCTCACCTGCGGGCCAGCCAGCCAGCGCAGTCAAACAATGTCAAACCCATCGGATTGACACGTTTGCAGGGGCGCATACCGGTACTGCAAAACCCTGCCCCGCAGCAATCCTCAAAACCGCAGTACCCCATTCCCAAGCGATTAATGAGCATGGCCTTTGTTGCACATAGGATATACATAAGGGGTGCACGTGCACAGGACTACAGGTCCGAAGGGCGCGGAAGCAAGGCAATGCACGCACCATGTCGATGGGGATGGCAAACCCCACACCCGCGGAGGAGCCCGTGGGGGTGAAGATGGCGGCGTTGATGCCGATGACCCGGCCCGACGAGTCCAGCAGCGGACCGCCGCTGTTGCCGGGGTTGATGCTGGCGTCTGCGGCACGCAAACGCGGCATGCAATTCGGAACGGTGATAACAATCTACATTGCTGACTTTACAGTCACTTGACAGGGCGTTGAGAATGCCACATTGGTGCTTCGCTCCCAGCGCAGCAAGGAGTGCCAACAAGTGTCGGAAAAGAGCAGGCGCGTGCATGTCCATGGCCATGTTCTTTTGGAACCCCTCAAACCAAACCCCGGTACACGTTGCACTTGCAACCAGGGCTCTCCCGCCCGAGCTGCCAGCAGCAGCCAGCAGCAGCGGCACCTGCTCTGCTGCCGCACCTGTTTGGATGCCCCCGGGTATGGTGGTGCCCAACTGACTGGGGATGTCCCGGCCAAGTGCGCTGATCACACCTGCAGCAGCATGCCACAGTGTGCAGCAGCAACAGCAGCAGCATAGCGCCCGGGGGCAGGCCGATGTGGAGGAGGCTGTGGGGCTGAGGGAGGTGCACGCATGCGTGGCGCAACTGCGTGGAACTGCATGTTTGCGTAAAAAAGGCGGGGTTGGGGGTACTCCTAGCAAAGGGGTACCGATAAGTGCGCATTAGGACGGTGAGCCCAGGGGTGCGCTACAGCGCCAGCACGCATGGGCGGCTAGAAGCCACAGAGGAGGAGGTTCCGCCTCGCTGCTTACCGCTCGTGAAGGTCTGTCCGAAGCCGAAAGGGTTCCTGCGAACAGCAGCAGAGCGGAGCAGAGTCTTGGCCAACAGCAGAAGGGCTGCTTAACACATAACACACTAACACACCAGGCTCGCTAGTGCACAACCCAAGCAGACCTCATAGAGCGCTAAGCAGAGACACATGAAGCAACACGCGTGCGCATGCTAACCCCTCACTCCTCCTCCTCCTCCTCGATTCCACGGCATCCGCCCCGCTGCCGTACCCTACCCATCCCACCCAGTACTCCCGACACCCGCAATGCCCCGACACTGCTCCCGGCACCCACGCACCCAATCGCAAAGCACTGCTGCCCCACTCGCAGCCCAGCGCTGCTGCCGAGCTCGGCAGGCCGCAGCCCTCCGGCAGCCGGCGGCCCCAGCAGCCGCAGCACCGCGAGGTCCCGAGTACGATCAGCGCCCGCGAGTACGGCGTCGTACACCTGCTCGGTGCCGCTGACGGGATCCAGCAGCGTCACCTGGGGAGTGTACGACAGTTGGGTTAATCAGTGTACGACAAGGATTGAGCGGTACTACAAAGCAGTGGAAGAGCCAACGTGCGCCGATGGCAGAAAGGGTGAGGGCTAAGGAGGGCCGGAGTGGACGATGAAGGCGGCAGGTAACGGTATGAGGACAGGGGGAGGGCGAGCAGGAGGGGGATCAGCCAGGGAGGGGCAGCCAGCAGGGGTGACTCCTTGCCTTGGCGACACGGGCGGTCCCGCTGGCTGCTCGGGCGGCTAGATCGGGTCCTAGCGCCTTGAGCGACTGCAGCAGCACGTGGAAGCATGTCACCACGTGGCCCTCGGCGTCCCACACAAGCCCTGGCGGCGGGAGGCAAGCAGCAGCAGGAGGAGCGAGAGGAGGAGCAGGATGATGATGAGGAGAAGGCACAACGGTAGCAGCAACCACGCTAGCAGGGAGGTGGAGAAACCGGTAACCAGCTGTGGAGGATTAGCAGCGACGCAACCAACCTGTTCCGTTTCCCTCCGGTATATCGACTTCAGGACTTGCCGCCGCACGGCCCTGTGTAGCAGCACACAACTTGTTGGCAAGGAGACAGGTTCACAGCTGAGCCATGTGCAACACCCATGGGTCCGCGTACCTGGAGCGCAATATCAACTATTTTTGCAACTGAGTATGTGTTCCGCTCGTAAACCGAAATAGCTGAAGCTTCCCTGCAGGATCCATCGAGGTTGTTAGCTGTGAAGTTGGTTCAGTCGCGGAGCATTGAGCAAAAGCGTGAGCGTTTCTGCTACGCCTGCCTGCCTGGCTGATATGGCACCAGCTGGCAAAATTGTCGGAGTTACTTCTTCCAGCGTCAAAGCATTTGCGCTGGGAACCGGCCATAATGGACCTAGGGCGAGGAAGGATGCTCCTCCGCCAAGCAAAACTTCACGGCGTACGCAGTCCCTCTGCAAACGGCTTAGCGGCAGATTACCAATGCTGCAACTGGCGTCCTGCTAAGCGCTTTGCAGATCACCATCGTTCGGCCGTACCGCGTGCGTTTCGCTTTCATTATCGGTAGTTGCACAAGCGCGTGCATAATATCTATCCTTATGATGTCCTAGTAAACGCAAGGGCAGCCGATGTTTAACCGAGGCAAGGTTACAAGCCCGGTTAGAAGCCGGTATCCTCGAAGGCGTCCACATCCAATTACTATCTTGCTTTACGACATAATTCAAGGTGTATTGACCATCGGCCTCCACGGACGCCCAGCTAACCTATCTCCAAACCAACCGTAGTACAACCGTCTGATATTCGTACAAGTGCATGGGAGGTGGCACTACCGCTTTGCACTCAGGTCATCGCCATACACATGCAACATGCACCTGTACTAATACCAAAAACTGCACAACAGCTCTTCAACAGCTCCCTGAAACGCCCGACTCGCTTAGTATATAACGCTACCAGACCCCACTCCATGGGCCTTTCTTTCTTACCCGGACCTACAACACGGCACCTCCACAGAATACAATCCTCAGCCCTCTCGCGGAGCATCATCAATACCGTACAAGTAAGTCATTATTTAACACCCACGGCGATATATCGTAGCCACTCCAGCCCCCAAACCAAAATGGGTATGCACCGGGACTGGGAAGCCTCCCCAATAAGAAGGGAAGGGCAGACAACGACAGCCAAGTGTGCTGGTATGTGAGCGAATTGTTGTATTCATCTATCTATATAGTAGCTAGGATATGCCCACCTGCTAACTGCGCGCAAACAATGTGAATACGTCCGGCGACCTTTCTTGACAAGTGTAACTGCTGACCTAATCATGCAATGCACACTCGGCATGCAATAATGAATCCGTACAGCAGTGGAAACCACAACAGATGAGTCTAGCCTAGTCCAAACAACATGCATCAATGTTCCATAAGCCCCGTGAGGAGTCAAAAGCTGACCTACCCCTGACCCCATGCCACGTACCCATCGCCCACCATAACAAACTCCACCCCCCTGGAACCCCCCCGCGGCGCTCTCACGAAGAATCCCCAGCTGCTGCGCTTCCGTGCACCATTGCGCACATGGGCTCAGCACCACCCACGTACGGCACTTTCCGCATTGCGGGAGAGCGCCAGTCGGGTTCCTCAACCCCCAGCTCGTTGAGACGCGAGCTGCTGAAGCTGCGCCACCACTCGGTGCTGTTGTGCCAGCCGCCGTGTTGATGGCTTGACGTGCCGCAGGCACTGCCAGCGCTGCAACCGCGACCCGAAAGGGAGTTGTGGGAGCGCAGGGAGTTGCTTTGCTGCAGACAGCGGGAGTCAGAGGGCTGCTTGGTGGCGTCGTGTTGGTGCGGGGCGGGGCTTTGGTCGCGCTTATGGTGCGGATGAGCAGTATCAAGAGATATGCTGCGCTCGATTAATCGGCCGCTGCTGCTAGCTTCTGAGCCGCGTGGGTCCGTTGCCGCTGGCATATCACCATCAAGGCAGCGGTCAGGCTTGCAGCACTGGTCGTTTCCAGGGGAGTTGCTGCTGCTCAAGGCAACTGACACTGTCGCGTCCGCAGATGCACAGTCAGACGTACTTGCGTCTTTGGATGCAGTCGTTGAATCTCCATGCTTCACCTTGCGCATAGGCAAGACGAAAGTTGACATGGCCTGTTTAGCTCTCGCCCTGCTCGGGGCAGCTGGAGCTGGCGGTGAAGGGGAGTCTTCTGCAAGTGCCAACAATTAAACAGGTGTTTTGTTAGCAAATACAATTTGCCCTTGGTGAGTATCGTGGGACTAAGGTCGTGAGGGTTGTGGCCAACACCACGCTGATAGGCAGATCACCCGCGAACCACCACGCAAAGATTGGCCTTTGCAAAAACATTATTCGCCCAGCATAGATTTTCGCAGCCGTGAAGCGTCCTTCCCCCTCGGGGTCATAACCAACGACTGTACATTTGCGCCCGCCCACCGTCGTAGGTAACTCAGGACTCACCAAAGACGAAGAAATCTCCAAAAGCTTCAGAAGCGAGGAGTGCAGCCATTTATAAGAGATTTTGAAACACCTACCAAAGTTGGTTCACTTGCCAGGTATCATCCAGTGCACAAGTAATTGGGAATGTATGTAATTTGCCTAAGCGCTCTGTTGACACCATGCACTTATAGTAGGCTTGTAACAGGCTTTGCAGAGGTATGTCAGTCAGGAAGACAACGCTTTGCCGTACGGCTGACAAGGCCTGAAATGTTTTCTCTAATAGATTTGCAAGTACGAAGGTGCCTAGTGGCGTCATCCTAAGAAATGTACTTGGTGCTTTTTTGTGGTGCTTTAGTTGACGTGCAACATCTCTCGTGATAGCTCCAACAATGCTAGGAGCCAACGTCGTTACTGGTATCCACGGCATTTTTGTAAATAGCAGACGTCAAAAGCTCCACACCCTTCATTACCCTTCCAAAAGTGGGCCCCCGGCAGCTCTGCTCTTTCTTCATCACGGCCTTGCAGAGCACAGCGGGCGCTACGACAAGGGTAAAAGAAGCTTTAAATCTATGCCGAAGAGGACCTCGAAGATGATGCTCCTGACCTTTGCCTGGATCCGGTATCCTGCCCCTCCCCAACACGTAACCCTAACCACTCCTTCCCCCTCCCCTCATTCCGGCAGTGCAGTCTGCCGCTACTTGGCTGACAATGGCATTGCGGTATACACGTACGATGCTCACGGCCATGGCAGGTCGGAGCCGCTGGACGTGAATTCCCGTGCCTACATACAATCGTATACGCACCTGGTGGGTCCCGAGCTCCCGACCAGTTCGCCCCGCTAGCACTATCCCACCTGCCCCTGTGCGGTTCTGGCCGTCATCAGCTGCCGCGACCTGCCGCGACCCGCCGCGACCCAACATTGTTTAGAGCCGAAGCGCATGGGCACGACCTGGACAGCAGCACCCATTGCGCAGGCACGGCACGTTTTGTTGCACCTGTAAAGCCGACTCGCCTCTGCACCGACCCGCCTGCGCCAATCCTAAGCCATCAACGAGGCCTGAGAATCGCCGCAGCTGGCAAGACGCGCTCACTCCATGCACTGACACGCGCCAGCCAGCCAGGGCGTCGCGACCTGGCGACCCACCGCCGCCAAGATCCCAAACCCCATCCTCTCGTCCCGCTCCCGCTCCTCTCCTCACCCACATGCAGGTTGACGACCTGTCCGACTACATGGACTCCGTGCTGGCGTCCCTCACACCCGCAACCACCACCTCCACGCCCCCGCCTCCTTCTGCTGCTGCTGCTGCTCCTGACCCGCACTCCACAACACAGCCACAGCAGCAGCAGCAGTCTTCGGCCATGCAGCCCTCCCCCCAGCCGCTATCCTCAACCCCACCCCCGCCCCCGGTGTTCATGTTGGGTCACAGCATGGGCGGCCTGGTGGCGGCGCTGCTGTGTTTGCGGCGGCAGCAGCAGGTGGCCGGGCTCCTGCTGCACTCGCCGCTGGTAGACATCGAGTGGACGCCGGTGCTCAGGTGCGCGCTGGGGGTAGAGGGAGGGGTGAAGCGGGGATGGAGGGGCTCAAGTGGATGTGGCGCGGGGCTGGGCTTTCTAGCGTATAGGGAGGCATTGCAAGGCCGGTAAGGGCGTGGAGGGCCGTCCCTAAACGCTCCCCCACAGCTCTGCTATGCGCCCCCGCCTGTCCGCATGGCGGCCACTCCGCCCAGTCACTCCTCTCCCCCACGGCCCCTTCACCGCACCTTGCACCCCCCCCCCCGCCCTGCACCACACCCCGCAGGGTTCAGGCCATGGTGGGAGGTCTGCTGGCGACCCTGGTCCCCCGCGCCAGGCTGGTCCCCGCGGTGCGGCCCGAGGACATGAGCCAAGACCCACGGGTCGTTGCGGACTACGTCGCCGACCCGCTCAACACGGTGGGCCCGGTGCGGACGCGCACCGGCCACGAGCTGCTCCGCGGGGTTTCGGAGCTCCGTCGTCGCGCGTCTGAGCTGGTGCTGCCTGTGTACGTGTGTCATGGCACCCGGGACGCGACCACCAGCGCAGCCATGTCGAGGAGGCTGGTGGAGGGGCCGGGCGGGGTGTCGAGTGGCGACAAGGTGTTTCGGAGCGTGGAGGGAGGATACCATGAGCTGCTGCATGGGCCAGAGTGGGAGGAGTGCACGGGGGAGGTGCTGGCGTGGATGCGCGCGCGGATGGAGGGGCGGGCGGGCAGCCGGGCGGTGGGAGGAGGCGGTGCGGGTGCGGGCGCAATTCGGGCGAAGATGTAGGAAAATCCAAAAAAGGGGAACGGATTGTGGGTAGGGCCTTTGCTTGGAAGGCGGAATTACCCCTAATGAGTCTTGTAGAAGGTGTACTATGTGCAGTAGTTGTTCGTTGTTTGGGTGCAATCACCCAGCCCCACCTGGGCTTACAATGTAGCTGTATACTTGCCATTGCGGTTATGTTTCCTGTACCTGTTGCTGTTTCAGCGGTACAGGAGTCTCGGTATGCAATGATCCTCGTCTCGTTCCATCCTTGCCAGTCGTATGCTTGGTGCTATAGCTGTTCGCAATTCGTAGGCTAGGGTGTTGTCCGGTATGTCAGTCATGTTTTGTCCAGTATGTCCGTCATGTTCAGGCCGTTTTAGTATGTAGCCAAGCTGTGCTTCGTTCTTAGATCTCTTGTCCCAACAGCGGGCGTAAGCGGAGAAGAGGGGATGCAGGCTGCAGGCTCGGGACTGGTGCTGGGTGAGGCTGAGGAGGCATTACCGGTGTAAAGTTAACATGCTTGTTGTTGGAGCTTTCGTGCGAAAACAGACGTGAGGACAAAGCGACCTCCATGTACCGCCAGGGCCCCACCCCAAGTGAAGCCCGTCGGTCACAATACCAGCGTTGCAAGGTATTTAAACGCCAAGATGCCATGGCTGCATTCAGGGTAACAGCAGCACCGGGCAGCGGTCGTGGCTGTGGAGGCATCAGCGGCAGCCTGTGTTTTTGAGGAGGGCTTGGCGTCAGCGATAAGGGTCGTATCTTTCTGCTGGCGGCTGGAAGACCGCGGGAGGAGGGGCACAGCTGGGTGTGGTAGGCGGCAGCAAGGAGGGCGCTGCGGGCGAAATGGGAGGGCGTCCGGGAGCTGCCACCGTTAGTTGGGCATGCGGGTCTGGAGTTAAAGGGCGAGGCGTATCAGAGACTGGGGTGTGGGCGGGCGTCCTCACTCCAGTAGCGGGGAATTGAGATGTTCAGCGCAGAGCATGCTGTACGGCGTAAGTAGTACGGCAAAACTAGAAACGGCAGTGTGATATTCTTCCCTCTGTTTCTTTGTACAATCCATTTTCTGTGACTTTCCAAACTCAAGACAAGATGTCGCATTATAGCAGCTACGGCGGTAGTCGTGGCGATGACCGATGGGGAGGGTCATCGTATGGAGGCCGCTCAGGTGGCTTCGGTGGCGGTGGCGACTTTGGACGCGGTGGTGGAGGCAGCTACGGGTTTAATTCCAGAGGCGGTCGAGATGAACTGGACAGCATGACGCTGCCGAAGCCGGACTTCTCGAACTTGTGAGTTATCACGCGAATCCCTCTGCTCGTTAGCTATGCGAAATTATCTTTTACAGTAAATTGTACATGATTGTCTATGAGAGATGCGGCCGGTACGAGGTCCTTGACCCAGCGTTGTGCATTTGCCCCTTTCCGCGCCCGCCGCGCACATCCTACGTTTGCAGGCCTAAGTTCGAGAAGTGTTTCTACCTTGAGCACCCGGCGGTGAGCTCCCGCACCTCGGAGGAGGTGGAGGCTTTCCGCCGAAGCAAGCAGATCCACGTTTACGGTGACGGGGTCCCCAAGCCGGTGACGTCGTTTGAGGAGGCATCTTTTCCAGAGTATGTCTTGGGCGAGGTTCTGCGTGCCGGCTTCAAGGAGCCAACCCCGATTCAGTGCCAGGGATGGCCGATGGCTTTGCTTGGACGCGACCTGATTGGCTTGGCTGAGACAGGCAGTGGCAAGACGCTTGCCTACCTGCTCCCGGCGGTGGTGCACATCAACGCGCAGCCGTACTTGCGTAAGTACTTGCACCGTCTTTGGGCCCGCAGCACCTGTCTTTAGGGTTTCGAATTTGCTTTCCTCCTACAATGCCTACTGGCAGCCACTTCCACGTCTGCAGCGCAGCTCGCCGAACCCTAACCTCCCCTTCCCTGCTCTCCTGTACACGCTCCACAGAGCCCGGCGACGGCCCCATCGTGTTGGTGCTGGCGCCCACCCGCGAGCTTGCCGTACAGATCCAGCAGGAGTGCCAGCGCTTCGGCAGCTCCTCGCGCATCAAGAACACCGTCGTGTACGGCGGCGCGCCCAAGGGGCCGCAGGCTCGCGACCTGCGCTCGGGCGTTGAGATTGTCATCGCGACGCCGGGTCGCCTGATTGATATGCTTGACTCGCGCACAACCAACCTGCGCCGCGTGACGTACCTGGTGCTGGATGAGGCGGATCGCATGTTGGACATGGGCTTCGAGCCGCAGATCCGCAAGATTGTGGACCAGGTGGGTGGGGGCAGGCGGGAAAGCGGGCAAGGTGTGGGCGACAAGGAAGGGGAAGTAACGGCTTTTCGCCTGAAGTTGCTTATAGCGCTCGTCCGAGGTGCTTGAATGTATGCATGTGCGACGCTCGTACATCTGGCAAGATGGGGAAAGGTACCGTAACCGTTCGTTGTTCCGCTGAGGCAACCGCTCGTTCTTCCGCTGCAGATTCGCCCCGATCGCCAGACGCTCCTGTGGTCGGCTACATGGCCCAAGGAGGTGCAGGCCATCGCACGCGATTTCCTCAGGGACCCCTACCAGGCGAGTTTAAGCAGCAAAGGCTACCGATAGTGCGTTTCTTTTTGGTTTGGCTTTTAATGGCTTCAATTCTGGATGTGTCCTGTGTCCTTTGAACCCCTTCTCCATGCTCACTCCGGCGGGTTGTTAAAGTCCAACCCGTGCTGTTCCACCGGGGGTCCGTTGCATGCAGGTCATTATCGGCTCGCCCGACCTGAAGGCCAACCACAACATTCGGCAAATTGTGGAGATGATCGAGGGACACGCCAAGTACCCCCGACTGCGGAAGCTGCTGGACCAGGAAATGGACGGCCGCCGCATCCTCATCTTCCTGGAAACCAAGCGTGGCTGCGACGATGTGAGTTAGATGTAACGCTGAAACCAGAACGCGATTTGGGTTATGGTGCACCTGTGACGTTCCCGTCCCAACTCAGCCACCGTTTGTCACTTAGGCTCCGGCTGTGCATGGTGGATAGGCGTTGTCACCGCGTGCTGCCTGACTCAACAGGCACTCAAAACTCCTCCCACCCTTTTATCTCCTCCCGTTTGCTGTCCTGTGCAGCTCGTACGGCAGCTGCGCATGGACGGCTACCCGGCGCTGGGCCTGCACGGCGACAAGAGCCAGCAAGAGCGCGACTGGGTGCTTCAGGAGTTCAAGAACGGCACGCACCCCATCATGCTTGCGACCGATGTGGCGGCGCGCGGACTAGGTAACGTCTGGCGAACACCTGCATGTGCCGATGGGATAGGACCGCAACGTGATTGCGCAATTACTGCACACTTGGGTTGTTCCATGCACGAATACACAGCTGTCAGATTTACCAGGCGCCTTGTGTCGTGAACACGCTTCATAATCGCAACATGTTAAGTAACAAGCAGGAAGATGGAACAGCGGGCCGCATGCCAGTTGCCCCAGTTGCCCGTCAGCTTAGCGGCCTGTTAACAAAATAGGTGCATAGGACCCAGTCAGTGGGCGCATAGGATCCAGTCCTAGCACTTTTAGGTGGCTGTTTGTTGTCACGACCTGCGGACCGCCTGGCAGCCTGGAGCGCTCTCGCCCGCCTGCCGCTCTGCCGACCCGTCAGCTGCCTCGCAACGGGGCCCTTGCTGTGCTGGAGCCGGGCCTATCACGGAGCCTGGGCTGCATGGGCGCATTCCCCGCTGCACTCCAGCGGCCTCTTCCTCCTGTGGCGCACGGATTACGCGGCCATGCCACCCGCCACCCACTGCACTTGGCCTCACCTGTCCGCCGGGTGATACCTGGCGGGCAGTGCCCCTTATACCGCCGCCCCTTGCTGCCCGTGGTGGTGCGGCGCGGGTTGCACCGCGCCCAGTGCTGCGGGCGACTGGGTTGCCCGTAGCGCTGCGGTCGCGGTTGCGATCACGCCGCAAACACCCTGCCACGGGCCCTGGGTGCAGCAACCGCGCCCGCAGGAAGCCCCTGGGGGCCACTGTGAGGACGCGGGAGGGGTACATGGTCTGGGCCTGGGCAAGAGCGTACCTTTCGGGGCGTCTTGCCCGGGAGCCGTGCATGTGGGCATGTGCGGCGGCTGGCCGCGTCTTTCTTGTGCGCCGCAGGAAGGCCGGTCCTGAACTGCCCAGCGCCGTCAGGTGGTGTCAAGGAGGAACAGCGGTGCCTCGGCGGACGGTTTAAGGAGTCTCGTCACCAGCAGTTGCTGGCTGCATGCAGCAGCTTCTGCTACGAGAATGGCCTACTGGGCAGCCTATGGGCCGCAGGCGACGCGAGGCGAGGAGGGCTGTGAGGAAGGCAGGGCGGCGGCGGAGCAGCGCGGAGTGGCGTCACAGGCTAGGCGGGAGCAGCGGCGTGCCTCTGAATGCAACACAGCGCCTCATGTTATCATGTGCATGCCACTTACCTTTTCCCCCGCTTCCTATCCCTCCTTTGTGTTCCTCCCCTGATCCGCGCCTTCGTCGGCCTCCCGTCTCCTCTGCTGGCGCAATACGTACCGGTATGTACGCAACCACTCCACACTTTCGCCAATCCACCCTGGTGGCACGCATGGCGCCCGCTCTCGCGCATATTGCTGGGTTTCTGGCCCTCACTGTTGTCGCTGTCGGGAACGTGAACGTGTGAACGTGTTGGGTGTGTCATCACCATGGGTGCACGACAACAACAACAACGACAGACGTCAAGGACATCAAGGTGGTCGTGAACTTCGACATGCCCAAGACGGCGGAGGACTATGTGCACCGCATCGGCCGCACGGGTCGTGCCGGCGCGCACGGTACGGCCTACTCGTTCTTCACGTCTGCCGACGCGCGGCTGGCACGGCAGGTGGTAGATGTGATGCAGGAGGCGGGGCAGCAGCCCCCACCCGAGCTGCTGCAGATGTCCCACTTTGGCGGTGGTGGCGGCGGAGGTAAGAGTGATTCGTTGGGGGGCGGGTGTGGGCGGTACGGACACTGGCAATCTGTACTGTGTTATGTGCTTGGTAGCATGGCGTAGCGTGGCGCACACCTGGGCTACATGCATGGATGGGGAGGAGGGGCTGTTGTTGCATGCTCAATTGTGACTGCCATCTTTACATCTGCCACTCCTGTATCCCTGCAGGCTTCCGGTCGCGTGGCGGTGGCGGTGGTGGCGGCGGCTTCCGTGGCTTTGGCGGGGGCCCGAGCATGACTGGTTCCAACGCAATCCCGGTGGCGCCTCGCCCTCGGTACTGAACGAGTTGAGAAGGAGACGCAAAGCTGCCATTGTTTGTTGGGTTGTGTCTTCAAAACGGTTGTCGTATCTGGCTTTATTGACCGTGTAGGCTGTGCTTGACGAGGTCGAGATAGAGTATGATTAGAAGTGCTGGACGATGCATAGTACTGTTGACACATAAGGGTGCTGCAAGTAGGGGGTGGTCTTTGCATTTACCGTGCAATACGGGAACGTGTGACGGCTTGTGGGGAATGCGTGGGAGGGCTTGGGATGGAGTAGTAGCATTACATGATACAGGCGTTAAAGCACGAGCCGTATGACGGCTAGGCGTGTGCGTCATTGTGCCTCACATGACCCCTGCCATTACGGGGCTGAATGTTCGGGCTGAATGCTTCATTCGTTTTATCCTGACAATAGTTGCCTGGACTTTGAGTTCAAAGGACTATGTACAAAGGACACCACAATGTCACTTCAACAACACATCATCCGTACGGACCCCATTGCTGCCTGTACGGAACACTACTGCCTGTAAGGCGTCGGCGAATCCTCTTGCGCCATCCGCTTAGCGTTAGCAGCAAAGGACTCCATGGTTCGATGAACGCAGTCGCGTCCTGTGATGATGAGCTTGTTTATGATCTCCGGGTCCGGCTCGAAGCGGGCAGCCTCGAACTCCTTCCGCGCGCTGTCACGGATAACGTCGCGCCACATCCGCCCCTTGTCATCGCGCCATACGAAGAGGTTGCTGTACCGCAATATCTCCCGATACAGGGAAAGAGCCTCTCGCCGGGTTGTGAGGATACGCGGCGGCTCGTCCGGCTTCTTTCGACTAGCCTTGAGTAAGCTCCTTTCAAAGAGCTCCGCAACGTGGTCAGCGCTTCCCCCAAGCTGTTCTTCAGATATAAGTCGAACACCAACTGGCAATAGTGAAGACTGTTGCTGCCGAAGGGAGCCCGGCAAAAATGATGCCGCGCAGCTTACGAGGCCGACGCAGCGTAAAGGCATCGTTGTAACATAACTAAAAAGTACGTACCCCAGGATAATTGATGCCGCTTTTCGGTCGGTGGTTGCGTGACTTAGCGTCCGCCAACGATCGTGCTGCCGTATCTTTTTTTCACGCCATCCGAAGAACCACCATAATACACCTTGGATTAGTACGCCGAAGATCTCATAGTAATCTTGGCAAGCATAAGATGTTGTTATCAAGCATCCGAACTTTCCACACTGCCATGGAAGCACATAGAATTGCACGACAGCTCGGCACAACCGCCCAGCAGCGCTGGCATGCTCCTGCACGACCGTCGCCAGCAGCGGTAGCGTTGCCCGCCAGGCGCCAGCTATCTGCGCGCTCCAGCAAGGGAGGTCGACCTGACCCCGAGACGGACAAATCCTGGGGCGAAATTATTGGAGACGCGGCAGGCGTGGCCAAGTGGGTCCACTCGAAAGGGGAAGCTGCGAACTTGCAAACCAACCCGCGGGCGGCATCGGGAGGGCATGTGACTGCCATACCATATCCATACGCTCCGCGGGTCGGAAGACCCACAAGGCCCTGTGCACGAGTTGACACCAGTTGCGGGTTCTTTGCAGAAGGGGTCCCCCTCTTCGTGTCCTGCCGCGTGACTAGCGCCGAACTACCCTTTTCCCAACAACCAACCTACAACAACTCGTTGGCTTCCTCTTCTGCCCGGTAACTAACATCCATATCGCCACAGCGTCACACCACAGCGCGCAGCAATGCATTACGCCCATGTAACTGCCCTAACTTTTTTGTTATGTTATATAAAATTGCCTCAAACCTCCCGACCGCTTCACCACAGCAGGCAACGGTGCCTGACCGGCGCGGCACGCCATACGTGCCTCCGCAGCGTTGTCACAACCATACAACGTCCCTAACCCCCGCACTTGCTGCCTCACCTACTCTATGCCACCGGTCAGGTACAGCAGCGCCCTTAGCAGCACGTCTACGCTCAACAATCGGCCGGCGTCCGCGACAGTGGCAGCTGCATTGCGTATTTGTACTACCAGTACATTACCATGTCCATGCCACCGCAAACCCATACACCGCCAGCACACCAGCCCGTCACAGCTGCCCCGCCCCCCCGCCGCCCCCGCACACAGGTCCGTCCTCAACAAGATCAAGGACACCGCCGCAAGCATCCTGCCCGTGCCAAAGGGCCCCACCGAGAAGCCCACGCCCACCCCTAAGCCCGAGGTGCCGTTTGGGCCACCAGGAGGTGGGTTGGGCTGGGCTGGTCCTGCCCCCTCAGCAAGCCCCCCTTTCACCGCTCACCCTCCTCCGCGCCCGTTACTCCCCTTTTGGTCCCCTTCTTCTTGCCTGCAGGCGGCCTGCTTCCCAACCTGATCGGCCGAGCGGTAGGCGGGTTGCTCTCCAGCGCCCTCTCCTCGCTGTCTGCGCAGCTGGAGGAGGCAGCCCGGGAGCAGGCGGGAGCATACCAGGAGGCGGTGGCACGTATCCAGGTGCGCAGGGGAGGGGACCAGGGGAGGGGAGCTGTACGGCAGTGCCGCGCTTGTCGTACGGCAGGCATACAGTGCTGTCGTGCTGAGCACAGCTTGCCAGTGGCTTGAGGCTTTGTTAGCTCCATGCCCTTAATGGAGGCATAGGGGCTACCGGCATGGGAGTTAGTGGGCTGAACATGACTTGAGGTTTCCGCTGACCTCGCTTGTTGCTACTGCGCAATCTGCACTGGCGCAGCCCATATCGTTGCCCTGGTGCTGATCTGCGCTTTCAACTTATCCCTTCCTCTTTCCCCAACCCTTCTCTTTCTTTGCTCTTGCTGCAGGGAAGCGCTAAGCTGCGTGCAAGGTACGGGCTGTCACTCGACAGGAGCCACTGCCTCACCGTATTCCTGTCGTACTCGTGCGGACTCCGTTTCTTTTGTAGCATTACGTGTGTGCCTCATGTGTGCTGCAATGTGTGATGCACTCGGGTGTGCCTCTCTACCAGAGGACTTACCTGGCTCCTACCTGTGTTTGAACGCACGTTCGAGACCCGTCCGACTCAGAAACGGGCTCACAACGGTTTCCCCAACCTCGCTCCTCACGGCGGCTCCCAACTCCTACTGAATCCCTCCACCCCCCCCCGCAGGCTGGGCTCCGTCACCGTGGGTCCCGTCATGTCGCAGTCCAGCTCCAGCAGCTCCATCAACGGAGTGGTGACCAAGCAGGTGGCGCTCATGCTGCCGGTGTACGGCAGTCTGGGGGCCTCGGGTACGGCACAGGTGACGGTGGTGGAGGGGGCGCAGCAGCCGGGCGGGCGCTCCATGCAAATCATGGTGAGAGGTGGAGGGAGGGAGGGAGGGAGGGGCGTGTTGGGGCTAGGCAGGATCTGTGGGGCGCAGTTCAACGCGCGGCGAGGGCTCTCCAAAAGGCTGGAGTGATGGGCAGTAACGCAGCGTTGGAGTGCGCTGGGTTGAGAGTTGAGGCGGAGGTGCGAACGGATGGCTTTTTCCGAGCGCGTTGGAAAGGTCATCCTGGAAAGGATCTGCGCTAACCTGTTCCCCACCTACGTGTCCCTTGACTCCGCTACTCGGCCCACCCTCTCCCCAACCCCTTCCCCCAAGGTGCGCACCTTGGATGGCGGGATCATAACAGTGGACGATGGCCCGGGTGCGGGCGGCAGCGGCGGACGCAGCAATGTAATAGACGTTGAGTTCCGAGAGGTGAAGAAGTAGCCGGAGGGCTGGGTTGGGGGTGGGGGCGTGTGTAGGGGAGAGGTGGCGTATAGCGCTAAGCTTTGTTGCAGCTTGCTTTGCCATTGGTCATTGGAACGTGGAGGGGGTTGTAATTATAGCGTCGGGGAGGCATGCAACATGTATTTTGTTATTGGATACGCAGGGTGTAGAAGTTGCATGGGGGCATGTTGATTGGTTGTAGCAAGGCATGCTGGGGCAGAGCAGGTGTGTGTCGTGCGGAGCAAACTGACGTAGGAAGACGAGGTTTCTAGAAGGTAAAGGCCAAGCACTTAGATAGGAACATGCGGGGCTTGTGGTTGGAGCATGGCGCTGAGAAACATGCACGTCCAATACGTCCTTCCATCTGTTCAGGACCAGCACATTTGCGCAGTTGTGGGTTGTCTCACGAGCAGTTGAAGAGTTGAGGCACAGCATGTTGCCTAGTTCCTGATGGCAGCGGCCAAGCATGCCGTACGCCACGTGCCTTTGTACGGCACCTAAGCTCATTATAATCCCACGGGTAAGAACATCGCCACCATTCATTTTGACCGTTGCGTGTGGACGTCTCGTGTGCATGGATGTTGTACGTGAGTGTATGGACAATGCCCACAAAACCCTTGCAAATAGTTCTTTGCCGTGTTGCCGTACGCCGACGGGCTGCATCGGCATTACCATTACCAGCTACCGTCGCTACCATTGACATGGCACCACGTGTTCCACGTTTGGAACCAGCACGACGTGTAATGTACCTGGGTGCGCGGACGCACCAACAGTATGACGGGTTGTAACCGTCTTCTATTCTTTCCTGGTGCCGTAAGCCTCCTGACTCCGTACCCGTACTCTCCTCCTTCGGCCTCTAGCCGTGCTCACGCTACTCCGTGTTATCCCAACATTCCGCCGGCAAAAAACACATCAAACATTTAAACTACTTTGCGTACGACGTTTGCTAAATAGGAATTACTAGGCGTTATTGAATAAATCAAAGCTAAATAGGCCATTAGGCCATTTCTGTCCTATTGAAATCAATAGCTACACGGCAAGAAGGGCCTCTTTATTTCCGCACTGCTTCCTTCACCTACAAGCCGCCCCGAGTGGAAGGCCTTGGGGCTTGCAACCCTGTACGGCAGCCGACAGCAGCCAGTATAACCCTAGCGAGTAAGCTAGTTAATACGTCTATCGCATGCTAAGACATTAGGACTAGAAATGCACACGCACGCACGTTCCTGGGACGCTGCTGCCGCCAGCGAACGCCCCTCACCCCTCGCCTCTGCCCTAACCGTAAACTACCGTCATCGGCGTGCCCCCCACGCCACTCCCTTCCTTTATTAACGCGCGCATCGCCGCCCGGCCCCCCCGGATGGCTGAGGCCGGCCGCTGGACGCTGCTGGCAGCCACCGGCTCGATACGTAAACCTGAGCGTGGACTAGCATACCGGGCAGCCAACTCCACCTCCGCTGCTCTCGTCATATTGCCGCAGCCCGCTCCCAACAAGCACGATGCGGGTTCCTCTTCGTCCTCATCGTACAGCGGTGCCGAAGACCGGGACCTGGCGGTGGTGTGCCGTGGCACCACGTAATCCAGACCAGCCTCACGTGCGGTGGCGTAGGCTGGTGGTGGGGAGACGGAGGCGGACATGGACTTACGCGAGGGGGAGGGTGAGGCCGCTGCTGCTGCGGCGGCGGGGCGCCCGCAGCGGCTGCTGCAAGCGCTAGCCCGGAAGGAGTGCGGACGTGGCTTGGAGCAGGGTGTGGGTTCGGGAGTAGCTGCTGCGGAGCGAGGGCGCTGCGGGCGGGAGCCGCCTGGCGGCGTCGGCGTCGGCGACGATGATATGTGGGAGTTGAGGTTGTCCAGGAAGCAGGGGTGCGGCAGCCCCGCGGCGGCCGAGGTGGTGGCCCAAGAGCGTGCCAGACGGGTGAGCTTGCGACCCGTTATGGTGGGGCCTGCTGAGGCAGGGAGGAGGCAGTGTGGGTAGGCGCCCTAGGTGGTTGGAAAGGAGTTATTGATGTGGTCGTGCAGAGGAGCAATTGAAACCAGCAGGCGCGCGTTTATGACACACAACCAACAACACCAAAGGGGTTTAATAACCGTCAAAGTCACCTGCTAACTCCGCTGGCGCCTTGCTGTGCTGCGGCGGTGGACTGCCTGCAGAGTAAGGGTGGAACGTGAAGTCGCCGTACGGCACCGCAGCCGCAGCTGCAGCACCTCCTCGAGCGGCGGCAGCGGCTGGTATCCCTCCGTGCCCGCTCGAGCTAGCCGTGCAGCGGTCCGCATACAGCGAGGGGTCGTGATTGACTCGCTGCAGCACCCGGGGCAATTCGTACATGCGTAGCTAGGTTCACCAAATGCACGTCAGGAGTCTAGAAGACTATAGCCCACGACAAGTGACTAAGATGGCCCAGGACCCAAGAGTCAGACGCCCTAATCTCTTCCCCCACCCACTGCAGCCCTACTTCCCAGCTAGCTACCCTACATCGCCCACCGTAGCCTAGGTCAGGCGCCATGGGCGTTGCGCTTACCGGCGGGGAGGCAACCGCGTGATGCTGCCGCGGGTGGCCTGCGCGGTCCAGCACGGTGGCAGCCACCGGGGAGCGCATCGCGTGGCTCAGGGTGGCAGTAGTGGCGTAGTGCGTGTGACGCAGCGGCTCACTGCAGGGGCGGACACGGGCAGCGGCGCAACGGCAGGGTCAGAAACATACTGGCACCGTAGTTGGCCCCGAAGGTAACAAGCTAACAACCCTAACCGTTAGCTATGTCGGAAACCCACTTGATCAGCCGCTCCAGTCGCAGCGCTGCCTCAAGTTCCCGCCGCTCCGCCTCCGCGCGTGTGGCCACGTCATCGCTCCAGGCCCGCGCTGCCTCCTCCTGCTTCAAGCGCCGCTGTACGGCAGCGAGGTTGCCGCTCAGCTGCTCCGCATCCCGCTCCGCGCAGGCCCTGTGGAGGTAACAGCGCGACAGGGGTTAACACGCTGGTTTTGTGGACTGTGCATGCGTGGTCCTGAGCAACTTGTGGTTTGGTGGTCCCTCAAGTACGCACGCGCCGAAGTGCATACTTACTTGTCGTGCTCCAGAGCACTGATTATCTGCTTCGCGCGCTCCTGCAACACCGCTATGTCAGCCTCAAGCTCTGCAGCCTGCCTTTGGGCTTCCTCCTTATGCGCGGCGTCTGTTCGTGCGCACACAAGCTCCCGCTGGAGTGCGAACCCTTCATCCTGTAAGGCGAAGCAAGAAGTTCTAACTTGGCCTGTCCTAAATTTTTGTATGTTGGAGAGTCCAGCGGAAGAATTTACCGTTCCGCCTGCGTTCATTAACATGTCAGCTGTCGCAGGCTGTCATCACATACCTGCAGACGCGCAACAGTCCGCTGGAGGTCAACTACACGCTGCCTGAGGCCGTAGATGACATTTTCAGAGCTGTTTCGAAGGAGTTGATGTTCAGCATCGAGTTGTGACAACGCAGCCTTTGATGCTTGCAACCCCGCGCTCAAGCTCCTCAGTTGCTCCTACAAAGACGCCAACAAATTCCAATTCATAGAAACATAAGTGCTATAAAAATGCACGCTGAAGTAAAGGAGGGGTAGGGATCCAGTTTCCAAATTGCGTCCGTCGACCTACCGTCTGTCGCCGCTCCGCCTCGGCGTTCTTTATCGCCAACTTCCTGACCTCGTCCTCCTGGATAGGTGTGCACGTGCGCAAGCGTGATTACTTGGCGTCTGGTTTGCGAAAACAATTACCGGTACCCGTTAATGCCTCACCAAGTATGCCCTGTCCAGTTGCCAGTTCTCATGGTCCCGTGTGGCAGCCGTCAAGAGATTCTCATAAGCCATACGGTATCCATGTAGGGCTACCTGAGACTCCTGGAACGCGCGGACTATGACGTCGTCCCGTCTAATTACATTAAAGGACGGGACGGAAGATGCCACAGGCGACCAACTCGTATTTGCCATGGCTATCGTTCGTCTAGCAAACGTTTACACTTATGAAAGGTCGCGTAGATATAGGGTACACTAGTCGCCTCGCATTAACCGCTCCATCGGTTTTCCTAGATGTTCTCTTATGTACAGGATGGAAGCCGACTCCACCACCCAGGGAACAACAAATATATAATCTCGAGAGGTTATCTTTGCGAGGCTGGCAGGTCACAACACTATCCCATCCTGCCTATCCATATGTTGTACGGTCGCTAGGTAGGACCGCCCCTTCTACAGGAGAGACTTCTGACCCGGTAAAAATTGCCGAGGCAGCGCACGCAACATAAACATGCCATGGCATAGCCCAGAAGCGTCAAATTCCCCAAAGCTACGCGACGTGCCCCTTTGACTCGCCCGCTGGTATCCACAACCGCTCGCAAACACGAAAGGCCTTATGACCCGCCTGCCACGATCCCGGCCCGGCCAGTTCACTCCATGGACTTTCCCACACCAGCCCTTAGTACGCAACGGCTTTCCGCACGTGCACGTTGAGCTCGTCCACGAGCGCCGCGATATTGCTGGCCAGCTGCCGGTAGTTGGTCTCGCTCTCCTTGGCCTTGATGAACTCCTCCATCTCGAACACTCCCGCGCTCAGCTGCTTCAGCTTGGTCTCCATCTTCTCCAGCTGCACCTGCAGGTTGTGGTCCTGCAGGGGGGCGGCAACACACAATTATTAGCACCGGAGGCCTTATGCGAGGCTGTGCACGTTTGCACTGACCACACAGCCTATAAGGGTTGATCACACGGCAACGGTATGATGCAAAAAGCAAAAGCAAAAGCTGCTGCCCCTGGCCCCCCGTGGCAATGACCACAAAGCCTATAAGGGTTGATCACACGGCAGCGGTATGATGCAAAAAGCAAAAGCAAAAGCTGCTACCCCTGGCCCCCCGTGGCAATCCCGGCGCCGCCCTGACGCTCCCGCGCACCTGCAGCTGTGCCCGCTTCGCCTGGAACTTGAGCCCCTTCTCCGCCACGATGGACCGCAGCAGGTCCTTGCGTTTGAGCAGCGCCGACCGCAGCCCCTCCATGCGCTCGCGGGCTAGCTGCGCCTTGCGCTGGATCTCCTCCACCTGCGCACAGGAATTCACCACCGCTGCCGTCAAACCCTGCCTTTATGTAACATGTTAAATGTCTGAAGTAAGTCCAGAACCATTATGCGTTCAGCAGTCTGATCTTTGACACCCGGTAAACGTTGTAGTCCCTTTCATTTGCATGCGCGGGTACTGCGCTGGTTGTGAATGCAGCACGCGCGAGCGTCGGCGACTTACGCTTCCAAACTCCGTGACCTCCTTCTCCATGGTGGTCTGCCGGTCCGCAAGCTGCGTCAGCTCCAGCTTGATCTTGTCCTCCAGCGTGTCGATCTTCTCCAGTTCTGTGCGCCGCATGGCGAGCTCCTGAGGGTTGGGGTGTGCAAACGGTTGCGAACATGCTTACCGTTACATGCAAACATGTGGGGAGGGATGCACATGCGCATGTAGGGCAAGAGAGGAGAGAACTGCGACACTATACCGGCGCTTCGTACTCCTACACAGGCCTCAGCCCGAGGCCTGTGTAGGAGCCCGAGGCACCCCGTCTTCGCAAACCATACCCTCACCAACCACCACCAGCAACAGCACCACGCCCCAAACGCACCTCCTTCAATCGCTCCTGCGTCGTCTGCGTGTTCTCCAGCTGCATCTTCTTGTACTCCAGCTCATCCTGCATCTCCTTGAACTTCTTCTGCGACGGCAGCGAGGAGCCGATGATGCCCTGCATCTTGACAACCTTCTCAAGCGTAGCCACGATGCCGTCCTCCTTGGACTGCTTCTCCTGTGAGCAGCACGAGCAGCAGCACGCGCAGGGACATAGCGGAGGGACACGATGCAGTCAGGATGCTGCCGGCTGTTGTATGATCGGGCGATACCGGTAGTAGCAAACACAACAGTAGCTGCGTGGTAGCAACCGTCGATGCCCATGACGACTGGTAACCAGGCAGGCGCACGCTGCCACAACCCAACTTCACGAAAGGCGACCGGTTGCCTGGCCAGCGTACTAACCTGCATCTTGGCCGCCTTGCGGCTGGGGAAGCCGTCCATGAAGTTGTTCAGGTCGCGCTCCTTGGCCAACAACTCCTCAAACTTCTCGCGGTTGGCCTTCTCTTCCGCTGCGGCCGCACCGCTGGTGGCACCGCCAAGCGACTTCACGCGCTCCTCCATCTTCTTGATCTGGTCTTGGAGGTCGCGAATCTGCAACAGTAGCACGGCAAGAGAGCAGCCGTACGGGTGAGTGCGGAGACCCAGCGTGAGTGCGGAGAGCTAGGCGCTGCTACCACGGCGTGCAACAAACTGCATGGACAAGCTGAACTGTAAGCACCGTCCACCCATGGAACGCCACACCATGCTTCGGCAGCGACCCACATCACCAACTGCCACACGCGGTCGCCTCGGTACCATTGACCCACACCTCCCAGAAGCATCACCGCCGCTCCTCACCTGCTGCGTCATGTTCTCCACCTCGGTGTTGTCGCGCTTGATCTTGGCCATGAGGTCCGCGCGGAGCTCCTCGGGGCTGCGCTTGCTCTGCCGCTCCTCCTCCGACAGCTCGTACTTGCGCTCCGTCAATGCGCGGATCTGCTCCTGCAGCTGCAGGCTGCGCTGCTTGAAGGGGTTGCGCGCCAGCTCGCCCTCGGATGCCTGCAGCTGCTTGTCCAGGTCCTCGAGCACCTCCTCGAAGCGCCGGCTGTCGGCCTGGGTTGGTAGAGCAGCAGCAGCAGCAGAGGGCGGGTGAGATGCGAGTGAGTGGGGAAGGAGTGAAGGGCTTCAGGCTGATGGTGGCGGTGTAAGCGGCTTGGAAAGAGGTTTCTAAGGTGCGCTTGAGGAGGTGCATGGGGTCAAAATATCGGTCGGATGGGGTAAAACCGGTATCATGGTGTTAGAGGTTGCGTTTTACAGACGGTACACAAGCTAATCTGCATGCATGCATCTCATTAGCGTCTGGCCGCCTGGCAAGCCTGGCTACCCATGCAACCGTATCCCCAACTTGACAACAGCCAATCCCCCAGGCCGACCAGCCAAGCCCAGCAGCCACGCGGGGGTCATCGCACTACAGCACGGCCGCACCTGCAGCTGCTGCTGCTCGGCAATCAGCTCCCCGTACTGCTGGCGCTGCGACGGCGGCATAGAATTAAGGCGCTGGTCCATGGACGCCTGGATCTCCGCCATCTTGGTCTCCGCCTGGTAAGGGTAATGTGTATGGGGTTAATTCCAATTGCCCGCGGTAGGGGGCGGCGGGCAAGGTGGGTCCCCGAGTCCCGCGTAAGAACCCCAGTTGAGGTTGCTTCTAGAATGCGCAGGATAAGAGCTTGAAAGCGTTCTGAAAACTTCTGTGCGCCTGTGCGCTCCGCACCCCTCCAGTTAGAGGGAAGAAGTCCGCGAGCCTTGAAGCATACCCTCTCCCCAACTATCGCAGCCTTCTCACGCCCATAACGCCTTACGCGTTGCCGATGCCATAGCGGTGCACCCGTATGCTGCATGGGCCCAGATACCATAGCAAGCACCCCTATTCAACAGCAGCTACCAGCGGCCCACGGTCCAACCTGCTTGGCCTTCGACTCCAGGTTCAGCCGCTCCGTGAGTACCTCGTCCACTCGCTTGCGCTGCTGCTCGTTGCGGTCGCGCAGCCCCGTGTACTCCTGCTGAATCATGTAGATGGGCGCTTGGGAACCGACCTGCGAGTACGTGGGACAGGCGCGCATGAGTAGGATAGGGTTGTAGGCATGCGGGGGTGGTCCCGTGAGGGAAGGAGGCAGGGCGTAGCCAGGGCGGAGGGGTTAGTCGATTGGGAGGATGAGAGGCGGACTGGGAACAATTGCAGCGGGTCGCACCTTGTCGAGAACTGTGTTGTAATCCGCAAGGGCCTCCTGTAGGATCTTGACCTCCTTTGAAAGGTCGTTCGCCCGCTTGTCCATGCTGTTGTACTGTGCTTGCTTCCGTTCCAGAGCCTCCAGGTCCGACTGTGTAGCAGCAAGGGTTCAATTAGCAGCCGGTCGTGTGGCAGCGGGTAAGTCGGGTACCACAAGCTTGCGTCACGTAGACATGTGACATGTCGGCCCCTACCTTCATTTGCTGAGTGACTTGTGCTATCTCCATGCGCTTTTGCCGCAGTTCATTCATGAAGTAGTTCTTATCGAGCACTTGGCGCCCTATGCCAGAGGCTGCTGTCTTCATTCCCGACACGCCATGGTTTGTAATTGGCCGGTTCTCGACTTGCAGGCTTTGCCCTGCTCGCGCTGCTGCGGCTGCTGCAGCTGCTTGCTGGCCTGTTCCTGGTCTTTGAGATGCCGTTCCAAGGCGCTTATATGCCGTGCCTGGCGGACCTCCTGCAGGTCCAGGTCCTCCACGCATTGCAGTGCCTGGCGGTCCAGCTCCTATAATAGAGCCACCGACCGGGCCTCGCATTCCCGCTGGGCCTGAAGGTGCAACTCCTCTGCTTCCCGTCATAGGCCTATCTGGTGCTGGCACCGCAGACCCAGTTGGAGCTTTCCCAAGGCCCCCGGATTGGGAAAGCGCGAGGGCGCCCCGGCTGGAAGGCCGATCCATGGAGAGTAAGTTACAGCTACTTCAGGTTTACTATTCAGCTTCACAAATGAATCGCAGGTGACAAAAGATCTGAAAAGTTAGTCGGAAAGTTGCGTACAGGCGCTTAGAAGTTGACCCTCATATTGTGTAAACCAGTAGCCTCCAAGGTGTGTACACGGGATATCTTCCAATTCATTAACAGAAATGTTGCAAAGCCTTTTGGCTTTCATTCTAGGCCAGGCTGCCGTACAACCCTTGAAGGTCATGCATGTTGATGCCACTTTACCAATGGCATATTTACATAGTATTGTCGACTTTCTAGTGCAGTGCGAGGAATACCGAACGGACCAATTGGGAGCGTTCTCCATTAACCATCTTGCAGGACAAGCACACCAGCACGTTACCCTATGGCTAGCATGTACGCTATGTTGAGCGAGCTGTGGTGCTCAACTGCTAACTAGTATGGTTTATATCGCAAATCCACGTCAAGTGCACGCCACTGACAGCTACGCAAGAGAACCCGACACTACCGACACTAATGCCTGATACTACTGCGACTTGTCGTGATCCGCATTTGCAGATCCCGCAAAGCCCCCTGGCCCTGCGTGTGCAGCGCCAGCTGCGGCGGCCGGTTTCTGCACGGCAAGGAATCGCGGGTGTTAAGGGTCGTGTGAAGCACCGACGCTACACTTCAAACCCAGCAACAAGCAAACACTAATGCCTCCCCTCCCTCATAAGGGTTCGAAGTGCTAACCTGCTCCGAGAACGATTTGAGCGCATGCATCACCGCGCCTGCATTGTTCCGAAGATACCCCTGAGCTCTGCAGGGCAACCGGCAAGCAAAGATAGTGGGCAACACCGCCCCCAGCTGCTTTGGCAGGGAAGGGCAAGGCCGGCAAAAAGCAAAGCAACCACGCAATGCCAACAGAGAACATATCTCCCGTTAAAGTGTCCATTGGCTGGTCCTGGCCCATAAGTAGCCATCACATGTGAAACCCAGGTGCCACACGCCCCCCTACCCTAGCCACATCCACACCCCGACCTGCTGGCAGACCCCGTGACCCGAGTCACCCACTCACACGTTGACCTGGCTGGCGACCGTGTCGGCTACGCGTGCGCGCGTCTCCACGAAGAGCCGATCAATGGTGCCCTCGTGCTGCCTCAGCAGCGGCGAGATGTAGCTGTTGGGGTGGAGCGACACAAGGCAGCATAGCAGTGCTGTTTGAAGTGCTGCTTGGCAATGGGGAAATTACAATCGCCACGATTGCACATACCCCAACCCGCATGCTAGGATCACTGTCAACTGACACATTCCGTGTGTTAGTGTCTGCATTGCATATCCGTACTAGGCATGCTACTGGTGCTGTGCTGTGCTGCATCCAGGTAAAAACGTGACACCACCCAATGTACGGATGTTCGACCCATGGGTCGCTTACCTGTCGTACAAAGTGGTGGCCGCATGCGTCCTGGGGTGCCAAAGCGCGACCACGAATGCCAGCTTGGCCTCGTAGTACAGCGGCAGCCTGCAACAGCACGCAAACGGGAAGACATTGCGCGGAACGGCAATGGTCAATTGCCTCTTGCTCATCGCTAGAAACCGGTTACGCCGTCTTGCTATCACAGCGCACCGCCAATATATCAGTCCGAACAAAACTACGCATGCGGAGCGTTAACCAAGGCAAGAAACAGGCTTTTCCTGGAGGCCCATGCCATTGTTGCATGCTACAAAGCCTGTCACGGGCAGCACGGCACGGCAGCAGCCCTAGCATACCAGAAGATGCATAGGTCCGCCAGCCATTCTAGGCAGAGGAAGAAGCCCATCAGGAGCCTGGCATGGAGCGTGAAGGGAAGAATCTTATTGGATGACGTGTCATCAAGGGAGACGTAGGGAACGAGCAGTGTGCTGCGTCTTTGAGGGCAAAGTCGGTAGGCATGGCATGGGAGGAGAGAGGCCGGAGCATGTTTGGCCCTTACGGGGCCTTGCCCGGACCTTGCAACATCAGTATCAGTATCAGTAGCAAGCCAAACTCGTCATGTGGTAACTCAACAGGGGATTGCGCCCTAACCGCACCTCCGCTCCAATACCTCCTGTTGCCCCCCTCCCGCCGCGGCCCCATACCCCGCATAGGCTACACACAAATACACGGAGACAATTCTTGGGTTAAGAGCCTACCAGTAGATGCACCAGTGCCGGAGTTGCTGGTTGCTTTGCGAGCTGACAGCCTTATGTGTGAGGTACGCCGGGAAGGCGCAGCCAAAGACAGCCCTGCGAAAGCGCCGCCCACGCTTAGTTCGCGAAACCTGCCGCAGTCACCAGCGTCACTACTTACATCAATACGCGGCATACTGGAGCAGATATAAGCATTTCTGCGCAGGAGTGCGGGAGAGCAAAAGTCGCAACAGTATGTCTTGAGGCGAGTGATGTTTTCTAAAAGATAATGGATATTAAGCTATACTGGAGGTCCTAATAAGATCTGCTATTGTAGTTCCCTTCGTAGAGTGTGATGCATGTTGCGCCGTGCATTGCTCTGGTCAAGAGAAGTACGTCTGTTTACTCCGCAGTCTATCTTAATGTGCTAGGCAGTATGTGGTCTGTTATAAGGAATTCTCAATTCTCATAGCGCGACTTGTAGCATGCCATCGACCGTGCAAGAATCACTAAGAAGCGCTATCCAAATTGGCGCCCCATTGTACAACTCCGGCGACCCAGGTATGCGCTCGCTAGCCTGCCTTGCTGATAGGAGCGGCCTTAGAAGTCGCGGTACGAAGGGCGACGCAGATGGGATGAACCCCATGAACCGCAAATTAACTTCGAACGATATGGGGCCTTCCCGATACGTACTGTCGAAGACGGCGCTCTTGTGACTTTGTCTGACGCATCGCACTGCGCCCTTGGTCGTTGAATACGTGTGGTAGCTGGCTGCTTCAAGACTTACTTGGAGGCAGCACGTCAGGTCGCTGAGGGGCCCGTTGCAACGCCATCCGAGAGATCCATCCTAAGGTCCGGGCTGCTGATTGGCTACATCAATCATCGTCAAACTGATTGTGTCGAACGCGACCCGAATGCGTTGCCAGGCTACCTACCGGATAGCCCACATCACATGACTGGTCACCGGGCGGGTTAGAGTGGAACCAACCCATTCTTATACCACAGCTCACCAGCTGGATGTTCTCCCCGTTACCAAGGTGCCCGATGCCCGGCACGCCCTCACACGTCCTTACCGCATGTGCCCTTCCGCCCCATGGGTCTTCACATCCCGTCGCCCACCCACCACATCCACACCCACTCCTTCCCAACCGCCAGGACGGCCATCGAGCGTGCCGGGGGCGTCAGAAGCGCGGATGAGGGCGCCTGGGTCCTACGGCGAGCGTTCGACTCCATCATAAGCGGTGCGGCGGCGGCTCAGGAGCGTGCTGCGGCGGCGGTGGCTGCTGCAGGCCGGCCGGGCGCACCGGTGGAGTTTGAAGTGCTGTCCTTTGAGGAGGGGCTGCCGGCGGCGCCCCGGTGGAGAGTCCTGGATGATGTGGTGGGTGGTGCGAGATGCTAGGGGAGAACGGATGACACTGGGGGTGTGCGCTGGGTGTTGTACGTGTTCAGGAGGCAAGTTCATGCTTTGGCTTACTTGCTTGTCCGGCTTAACTGAGGTTGCCCGTGCCCTGACTGTCTTGCAGATCATGGGCGGGAGGTCCCAGGTGAGTCCCAGCAGGCGTGTATAGTTGGCAGAGGACTGATGTGGGTTACCTGGGCGCATGGGCATGTGTCTAGTCAAGTTAGTTGCATGCATACGCAACTACTGGTATTGTGATCACCGGTACTATGAGCTTTGTACCGGTACTATCAGGGTACTATGTACACGCATTGCCGTGCAGAGCCAGGGGCTGTCGTACGATGGTGCCGACCCGGCGGCAGTCTTTAGCGGCACTGTGACAACAGACGGTGGCGGCGGCTTTGCCAGCCTGCGCTCAGACGAGTGGGGCGGCTTTGCCAGCCTCAGCTCAGCCCGGGGCATTCGCCTGCTGGTCAAAGGTGACGGCAGACATTACAAGCTGAACGCCAAGGTGGGTGGGCGCGGGACACCTGCGTTTCACCGTTCCTCCCCTGCCGTACTATGAAATGACAGGATTCACCTGGGCCAGCTTACAGTAGGGTGCTGCTTACCGTATCTAGTCTACCCGGCATGGTGCCTCCCCTTTGCATGCATGCAGACGGACGCCGACTGGGACGGTGTTCAGTACCAACAAGACTTTGTTGCGCCGCCCGAGTGGACCAAGGTAGACTTGCCGTTCACTGACTTCAAGCCCACGTTCCGTGGACGAGTGGTCCCCAACAGGCCGCCATTGCAAGGGCAACAGATACAGCAGCTGGGCCTTATGGTCTCCAAATTCACAGCAGACGGAGGGGTCATCAAAGGCTTCCGCAATGGGTCATTCCGGCTGGGGGTCCGCTGGATTAGGGGGTTCGTGTGAACGCTGGATAAGAGCTGGGTAATAGTGGCGTTAAGAGCTGTTGAGGATAAGCCGTTTGTGAAGTGAGCCGCAGGGCTTGGGCCGTGAGATGTGACAGCTGCATACCGTACTTGTATGATCGTCTTATTGACGGCGTTAAAGCCACCACAAAGTGTTTTCTCACCCCGGTGCTGAAGAAGCGCTGACACGGGAACTGCCGGGAGTTGCCGCCGCTGCACAGGGCTTCCGCATAGGGCTTCCGGTGCTAACCTGGCTCGTTTACGGACGACGTTTGCATTTCGTGTTACATAGCCCGCACGCAACAGCGTGTCACTCCCGTGGGTCCCTCCCGCACGGTCTACACCGGCCCCGCCCTGGAGCGCAGTGCCAACCCAAAGAAAGCAAAACACACCTCCCACACATCATGTAGTCCGGTTCGCACGCAAGTACAAGACCAGCCGGAGTATTTCAGCAGCTTGTACTAAAACCACATTGCTACCAAGGAAACCGGCACTGACCAGGAGCCGATTACTGCAGATTCGGGACTTCTTGTAACACCCTATCATTCCCATCAAGCTTGTTAACTAGTCCCATAGCCCAAGATGCAAACGGGCTGCCCATACCCTACCTAACTACCGCGCTCTCCAAAAGCACTGTCCGACGTCCCCTTCATACCGCCATGAAAACCTTCAGTAACACCCATCCCCTTCAACCACTCTCAAGCGCGCCCACGGCCCACACTTAGCCCTTGAGGAAATCGAGCTTGTCCTTGCTCAGCATGAGCTTCTGCACGCACAGCAGCGCCTGCTTCTGCACCTCCTCGTCGCTGTGGCTCAGCAGCCGCATGACCAGCTCCTTGCCGCGCAGGTCGTTCACGATGTAGCGGCCCTGCGGGTGGTGGATGATGAACTGGCCCAGGTCGTGGCAGCCAACAGCCAGCGTCTTAACCTGCAGAGGGAAGCGGAATACACAGACAGGAAAGAGGCGTCAGTACATTACGTTACCGGTACATATCGACAGTGTCTTCATGTCTGAAACTAGCAAAGGCAATAGCTATGGAGCGTTGTGAACGCAACCATAATGTCGTGACACGGTGACGACAAGCTGACGTTGCCTCTCTCGCGTCTCCCTCCCATTTGCCCACTTACGTCGCGGCTGGTCTCGATGATCTTGAGCAGCACGCGCAGCACCTGGAAGTCACGCTCCTCAAACTTGTCCACGTTCTCGCGCCAGAACAAGTCGGAGGAGTGCATGGGGCTCCACTCCAGCTGGCCGCTCATGACCTCCTTCTTGTACTTGTCAAAGTTGGACACGATCACGATGCCCTCCTTCAGCTTCTCGTCCACGTAGCCCAGCATCTCCACCACGTCCTCGTCGCCCCAGGACTGCAGCTGTCGGGTGATGACCACCTGCGCACACATGCAGCAGGCGCATGTCATGCCCGCCGAAGAACTCCTTTACCTCTACGCCGCATGCGAGCACATGGGGCAAACCACCCCAAGGTGTCACGGCCCCACAAAGACACCAGGCTGTACGTACGAGGCACCCCTTACACTGAGCACCCCCACCTCCATTTTCATCCACGTCCACCTACCTGGCAACTCCCTTCCCTCCCCGCACCCTATAACCCCCAACATGCGCATCCACACCATGTCACCTAGCACTGCCAACCCGCCATGCACTTATAACAGTTATGAGCGCACGCACCCCATGCCCCGCCTCCTCCGCCCGCACCTTGTTCAGCCCCGCCTCCACCATGTCGCTGGCCAGCCCCAGGTCCTCGAAGCCCAACAGGTTGCGCAGCGCCGCCAGCGCCATGCGGAACACCTTCTCCTTCTGCGCCACCCGGCACACCTCCACCAGCAGCTTCACCAGCCCCACGCCTGCCATCAGCTCAGCTGCGGGCCGCAGGAAGGTCATCTGCCACACGCACAGGCATGTCTCGTACAGCAGCTGCGAGCTGGTGGGCGAGTCCTTGGCGCGCTGCATCACGCCGGGCAGCACCTGGGAAAAGAAGAGGAGGAGAGGTGGGGTTGGGGGCGTGTGAGGTGTGGCATGTTGCTTGGTGGTCCTGGGCTTGGATTGTGCCCGCGGGGGCTTGCCGGGAGCAAAACGAGCGCACCTGGAGTGCTTACAGTAACCCATGCATGACAGCTTTCGGAACTGCTGGTGTGCTGCTGGTGTTCTGTGAGCCCATGCTGGACCCCACCATGTGGTCAACTGCAACACTTATCCTAGGGAGTCAAGGGAACCGATACTACGACCTGTCCTGCGTCTTTAGCTTAAGGCTACGCGGCGCCTTAGACTTTCAGTGCAAGCAGCCCTCAACCCGTAGCTGTCATGTCCAGGTAGGCGTGTATCTTTGGGATAGTGTCCCGGCTCCCACACATGCCCCCAGGCAGGGTCAGCGTCAACTCTGACTAGCCGCCAGAGTCAAGCCGGCTAGTCAAGTGCTACCGCAGGGTTTGCACACTCAACCCAGAACCTGAAAGCCGGCTTGCTACCCAATCAAGGACCTACCTGCAGGCCGCCTGCCCGGAGGAACAGCTGTCGCGCGCCGCGCTCCTTCAGCAGCGCAGCCAAGCAGCTAATGGACGTGTTGATGACCGTGGGCGGGTTTTTCGCGAGGTTGGCCCGGTTGTTCAGCTGGCTGACCAGCCAGTCCAGGAACAGGCTGATGTGCTGCGGGTGGAGGGTTGGGGAGGAGCAAGGGAACATGTGTCAGGTGATGAGGCAAAGACGACATGATGGCTGGGAGAGAGGCGGCAACGGAGCGGAGTGTTCCACTTACCGTCTCCGCTGGGTCCACAGCCGCTGCGTAGGCTGACCCGTCCGAAGTCCCCGCCCCGTTAGCCACGCCCAGCGCTTTACGCGGCCTGCTCTCGATGACAATCGTCAACAGCTTGCAGGCCTTGTCCTGCGACCACCAGTCATCCTGGCGCTGCAGCAGCCTGCGATGTGGAACCGCGTCAAGCGCTGCTGTGCATGTGTTGTACAAGCGAGCATGCCACGTTCCCACCTCTCCAACACAGTGTATGGGTCCGGCTGAGCAGAAAGATGTTGATCGCTTTGCTGGTGGAATAGCCGGGCCCTGGTTGGGTTCTCTGCAAGGCGAAGGGCAGTTCTTTGCAACAATGAGAACAACATATCTTTGCCCGGTACCTTGCGCCGCACCTTGCAGCATCTGGATTAGCAGCGCCAGAACATATTGCACTGTGTCCGGTTGCGTTACATTCTTAAGGACCGTCATGAAGGCTTCGACGTAGGCCGGCCCAGACTGCACAAGGTGAAGGATCCGACTTCAGTCCGTATCCAATAAACTCGAGCATCCAAGCCATGCCCACCTCATCCAACATGGATGACTTCAGCTCCGGCGAGCGCTTGTCATAGCGCCGGATAAGCTGCAAGTCCTTGTCGGTAATGAGTCTTGCTGTGGCATATGTCTCCCACTGCACGTCCCTCCCCAGAATGTCCGCCCACAGCTGGCTTGTCTCAGGCAAGCTATCGTCGTTCAAGTAAGCATAGGCCATGTTTGCGTGGGCGCCCCTAAAGGGCAACCCCTCACCGCAGTCTCCACAGCACAGGCAACACTAGAAAGCAGGGTATAGCCACCGTTAGCAACACGCAAGATACGCTGCAAATTAACGACGCCAACTGCTCGCTCTCTGGAGCTGGCTCCCTGCCGTACACTACAACTGCAATTAGCGTGGAAATTTGCAGTGGGCGCGAAGGCCTGTGTATTGTATGAAGTGTTATTCGCCTCTTCAGTTTAAGACATGAACAAAACCTTGCCATTAATACCTCGCCGGACAATCACCCCATCTGCCGGCACCGTTAATCCTTGGCCGCTGCATACGGGGCTGCTACTGTGCTGAACATACTTGAAGATGACTAGAAAATCTGGCGAAGTATCATCACCCAGGTCCAGCACACACTCAGCCAACGGCCTAGCGGCTCCCCTCCTACAACCTTCTGCGGAAGCAGCGGACGCAGATGTCCAGGCGGGGCGATCAGATGCGGCCAAGGAGCTTTCCAGGTACGCCCCGGGTGCATCCCCACGGTACGACACAGCCCAAAACGCACGCAACTGCCACTCCTGCTGCATCCAAGCTTGTTCCTCAGTATCCGCTCCATAGCCTCTTTGCTTTCACTGCAGCATCTCCGACGCTCCCCTCATCCTTCCCTTCACACAGCCGTCCCCCCACCGGCACTTCGCCCGGCAGCCGCCATCTGAAAGCCCCGTGCCCGTCTCGTACGACGCACCATACGCTAACATAACCTTCCTCCCTTTCAGCCCCTCTCCACCCTCCCTTCTGGTGCTTCCCTTCCCTTCCCCTCACCTGTCCCCTCCCTGCCCCGTGTCGCCGCCGTCATTACCCACCCAGTGTCCTCCCTCCCCTCCTCCTTTCCCCGCCCTCCTCCCTCCCTCCCTCCTTTCACTTATATAATTTTCCCTCCCTCCTCCCTTCCCTCTCCGCAGCCTCTCCCGGCTGGCGGGTCCGCTCATCCTCCAAAACCTGGCGGGCTACACCCTCTCCGTGGTGTCCACCGCCTTCGTGGGCCACCTGGACGACCCGGTGGCGCTCAGCTCCGCGGTGCTGGCGGGCTCCTTCTACAACATAACGGGGTACAGCCTGGTGATAGGGCTGTCGGCGGGCATGGAGACGCTGTGCGGGCAGGTGGGGGGGGGAGTGTGCGATGGGAGCCGAGGTGGCGTACTGACACCGTACCGTAAGATGCTGATCGAGATCGTGAGCATGGACGGCCGGTGGGGAAGGAGAGAGAAGCAAGTGTACTTGCGCTGGGCTGTGCGCATGTCAACAGCGGGACTTGGTGGGGCGGCTGTCTCGGCTGAAGGAGGAAAGTCGGGGGGCTTGGCGTCTTGATGGACCTCGAGAATTTCGGCAACGACCCACATCACGCAGTCAACGCTCCTCGTCTTCCTCTCCGCACGCCAGACCGGACCCCCCGCGTGCATGTCCCCGTCCCCGTCCCCACGCCCTCCCGCACCCTGCCCCCTCCTCCCTTCCCTTTCCAGGCCTTTGGTGCGCGCAACTACGGCATGCTGGGTCTGGTGCTGCAGCGCGCGTTGCTGGTGTGCTGGGCCGCCTGCGTGCCTGTGGCGCTGCTGTGGAGCCAGGCGCCGCGGCTGCTGGCGGCGATGCACCAGCAGCCGGACATCGTGGCGGGGGCCAGCAGGTCGGGTGTGCGGGTGGGAGGGAGGGAAAAGAAGAATCCCCAATGTGTGGGAGGGTGAGGTGGGAGAAGGGAGAGAGGAGGAGTGGTTCAGTGCAGGAGGAGGGCTGGGAGGGGCTCGGAAAGGAGGGAGGAGGATGCTTGCCCGACGTCCGGGGTTTTAAGAGCAATGTCTGCATTCATGAAAGCTTTAGCACTATGAGACAACACGAAGAAGTTCGCAGAGAAGCTCTTTCGCTTGTTGGGCGGCTCCAAACCGCTTCGGCCTCACTACCACCCTCACTACCACCCTCACCACCCCTGCCCTCCCCGCCCTCCCCGCCCCCCCGCCCCCCTGCAGGTACCTCTCCATCGCCACCCCCGCGCTGTTCCTGTCGGTGCTGTCCGCCTGCCTGTTCCGCTACCTGGTCACGCAGCACCGGGTGCGACCCTCCACCATCTGCACGCTGGTCACGGCGGCGCTGTGCCCGATCTACAACTGGCTGCTCATATACAGGTGCGGGGCGTGTGAGGCGTGAGGCGTGAGGGGGGGTGGAGGCGCGCTTATGCAGGGGAGTGGTCTCGGGAGGGTGGGGTCGACGACCTGGGGGGTAAGATAAGTAGGAGCATGAGACCGGCTTACATGAGGAGGCCTAGGGCACGGTGAGAGAAGGTGTTTGTGTCACGGCTCCACATAACCCTGCCTGCGCTGTGACTCATACGGAGCTCCTTTAATGCACCGCGGTACCCTTCGCCAACCCGCATGGCAGGTTTAAGATGGGTCTGGAGGGCGCAGCATGGGCCTTCGTGGCGTCAACGGGCACCTACTCCGTACTGCTGGTGTGCTACACTGTCGTACGCGACTGGCGGCGGTACAAGTGCAACCACCCCGTGCAGACGTGGCCGGGGTTCAGCCGGGGGGCGCTGCAGGGGTGGGGCACCTACCTGCGGCTGGCGGCGCCGGCGGCCGCAATGATATGCATGGAGTGGTGGTGGGTGGTGGTGGTGGTGGGGGTTGGCGGGGCTGGGGGGGAGGCTGGGGGATGCGTGTTGTGGAAGGGTGGTGGCGGTGGTAATGGTTTCTTGGGCTAGGGTGTTGGAGTTGGGTTTGGCAAAGGCATGGTCCTGGTTTTGGGGGGTTTGGGCGGGTTGGGGCGGGAGGAAAGGGTGTGACTGCATGCCGCATCGGGTGTGGTGACTACTGACTAGGCAGTCAGACCCAATGGCGTCAGGCGCAGGCGCTTACCGGTATTGCGGTATAGCGCTGTAAGCGGTCCTGACGTGGGAGGAACAGAAACAGTCAAACACACACTGCTGTTGCCAGCGGCCCTAACTCTTTAACGCTCACCCGCGGTTCCCTCCCCCCCGCTGCCCGGCCCACCCTCGTGTAGGATGTTCGAGTTCGTTATCGTCATGTCGGGTGAGTCGCGCGGGGGGGGGGGCTAAAAAAAATATATAATGAGACACTGACACTGGCTGTGGGGGCTGGTGTGCTTGCCGTGGGGTCGCTTGCCCATCCCCACGTGAGGAGCTTCCTTGTTTTCCTGCGTGCTAAGCTGCCCGCCTCCCTCCCTTCCCCCATGTTCTCATACGGGATTGGGACTCCGTTGCTTCACTTTTCATTTATTTTCCCCCATGCCCTGCTTTTCTCCTCTTCCGACGCGCAGGCTGCCTGGGCGCCTTTGCGGAGGTGGCGGTTGCGGTGACCGGCATCTCCTTCCACATCACTTCCTGGTGAGCAGCAGCAGCCCCAGCAGCTGCAGCCGCAGCAGCGGCTGGGCGGAGGGACACGTTACTTACGTACTGGGGCCTCCCAGCCCATCCGGCCCTCTCCAGTGCTCCCCAGCATGCCTTTGCCACCGCCACCACCTTCGCTGCCATTATACCGCCAGAACCCGGGTACACAGCAGCCCCATACCTCCAATCACACGTCGCGCTGCCGCTCCGCTCCTGTCCCTTCCTGCTGCCCTGTTATCCACTATTTCCGCCCATCCGCGTCCCACGCCACGCCCCCTTCCTGCCCCCTTTCTGGACTCCAATTGCTGCACTTCTCATTTATGTTTTGCCCCCTTCCTGCCCCCCTCCTGCTCCCCGCCTGCCCCCCTCCCGGCCAGGACCTACATGATCCCCATGTCTCTGGGCACCGCCGCCAACGCCCGCGTCTCCAACGCACTGGGCTCGGGCTCGGCGCAGGGAGCCCGCACCGCCGCCCGCACCGCCATCTCCACCACCCTGTGCCTGCAGCTCTGCATTGCGGCGGGGCTGTTTGCGGGGCGGCATCACGTGGCGCAGGCCTTCACCACACAGCCCGACATCGTACACCATGGTAAGAGGCGGCGGCGGGGGCGGCGGGGGCCGTGGTGAGGGGCTGCAGTGGCTGCGTTATGCAGCTAGCGGTATCTTCCCCACGTCTTGTCCGCTTACCTACCTTGCACCTCCACCACCACCACCAGTCCAAAGTCCACTGCCCTCGCTCCCGCAGTCCCGCCTATATCAGCCTGACCATGCCAATACCACTCCTCACCTCAACCCTACCGGTAATACTCCCATCCCAAGCCGCCACCCCCATCCCAAGCCGCCACCCCCATCCCAACCCGCCACCCCCATCCCAACCCGCCACCCCCATCCCAACCCGCCACCCCCACCCCCCCAGTGGGCCGCATCATGCCGGTGCTGTCCGCCAGTGCGGTGGGCGATGGGCTGATCGCGGTGCTGGGTGGCGTGTTGCGCGGGTCGGGTCGGCAGTCGCTGGGCGCCGCACTCAACCTGGTGGGCTACTGGCTGGTGGGCTGCCCGCTGGCGGTGCTGCTGGGCTTCAAGGCGGGTTGGGACGTGCTGGGGTTCTGGTGTGGACTGGCAAGCGCGACGTCGCTGCAGGTGGGGGCTGGGGCAGTGGGGCTTGGGGTCTGGGAATGGGAATGGGTGAGGAGAGGACGGGAGTAGGGTAGGGATTAAGAGTGTTTTGGTGTTGGAGAAGGATTGGAAACTGGGTTGAGAAGAGTGGAAGATGTGGGATTTGGTGAGGCGAGGGATGACGGATGAGTGAGGGTATGGTGGAGTTGGTAAAAGCGCTGGTGGTGTGCGGTGATCCCTTGTGATCCCTGACACAGCCCCTGTCTCCGCTTGCATGCGGCAGGCAATCATCCTTTCGGTGGTCATCTCACGATGCGACTGGAACCGTGAGGTGGCGCGGGCAGCTAAGCTGGTTTCGGAGCATGCCGCGCCCCTGCTGGAGCCTCCCCTCACCTCGCAATCACCTCAGCCCGAGCCGGAAGAGGCGGCGGCGTCGGCTGCTGCTGCTGGTGCGGCGCTGCTGCTGATGCCGGAGCAGGTTTCGGAGCCAGCACAGCAGGGAAGTGGGCCTGGGCGGGGTATAGGAGGGGGGCATGAGGGAGCTGCATGCAAGGAGGGGGGTGTGAACGAAGGTTACGATCTAGAGGCAGGAGCTGGGGCTGGGGTTGGGGCTGTGAATGGTGGGGACATGGGGTTTGTGCGTGAGTCTGGGGGGTATGAGGGGGCAGGTGGGCAGGTCGGAGGGGGCATTCATTAGCCGTTGACGCTGCCGAAGCAGTAGCAGCACAAGGGCACTGGTGGCTCTCGGCTATTGGGGTGATTTGGGTTTTAGGCGATTTGGGTTTCGAGAGGAAAGAGAAGAGGAGTGAGAAGAGGGTGACGTAGGGCCGCGGTGGGCTTTGTTGCGTGGTGTGTGTATTACAAAGGGTATTAGGATCTTGGCAGGATCTTCGTATGATGAGCTCGGCTAGCTAGTTATACAGACATTTTTAAGTGAACCATGCAACGTGGTAGGTAGGTAGAGGGCTTTAGCGTCTTGTGTTAAGAGTCACTGTGAGCTCAGTCAATCTGTTGCCTGTGCTGTCACGGTGATAGGAATGGTGAAATGGTGAACCCAACCCAAAGCAGTACGACGTTTGCTGTTGCTGGTTGCTAACGCAGGACTAGCCTTCCTTGTTCTGGTTCTACCCTTAGCGCAAGAACATCAACAACTGTTAAGAGAAGGTCCTGACGCATACGGCGATGGGTAGCGTGTCCGTACAGGGCCACACAGGAAAAATTCCCCGAATGGTTGCCTCAGCTTGCCGGTGCCAAGGTCGACTTCTTTCTTGCAATGTGGTACCTATGTGTTGTGTAGGTTTGAATTGCAGGGGGCGGACTGCAGGCAGGCTGTGCTGGAGGCATTGCATGGGTGTTAGATGCTTGGATGGAGGCTTGGGTAGCCTGGATGTCTGTAAACCCAGGCTAATCAACGGCTTATAAGTAGTGTGATTGTTATTGGTTACAAACAACGTCCTCAGCAACGGAGGCGTGGATTGCCAACCGGGTGTGGAAGACATGGTGAGGCATGAACATCATTTATGAGAATGATGGCACGCCGTGAGGCTTTCGGGTTCCCACCTTGCAAGCTGGTGCAGACGGGGACAGGGAGGTCCTGCTGTCTGGCCCCTCCTCTAAAACAGCAGGATATGATTATCACAGCTATCACGTCAACAAGGGCAACGTTCGCAGCATTCAAACTTGCAGAAAGGTATCCAACCGAATAAATACCCAAAAAACTTTGCAGGCACGCTGACACGTGGTTTCAGTGCCGTTCGTGCTGCCAAGTTCGCACGTTGCACGTACGCGGCACTTCATAGCATAATAACGACTATACAACTAGGATAGCTCGCAACAGCACCACGCAACGCAACAGAAGAGGATCACTCCTGGCAACTTCCGGTCCAATCCAATCCAAGATCGGGGATTCCGACATCCACATCCAAGGGGGAATTTAGACCTCCAATACCTCAGACTAGCCGCGCTGCTGCTCAACACCCATACCACGTTGACGACGTGCCCGCCGCATCACCGCCTTGTTCACAACCTCCCTATGCAACATGCCCTGAGCGGAACGCCGTATGTAACGCAACACCGGCTGGGCATGTGGCACGCTGGCGGGACGTGCTCCATGTGATTCCCCCAGGAGGCTCCAAACCCGGAAGGCGCCGGCACATGGGTGTCCACTTCATCCGGTCCACTCCATTGGGATCCGAACACTGCTGGCAGAAGGAAGAGGAACGGTGGTGAACGTCAACATCAGCGCCTGCTTGTAAAGGTTGAGAACAATGCCAGGGGAACAGGGGGAGCAGCAGGCACTAGGTGCCAACACCTGTACCAATGTCCAACAGATGCCAGACGAGGAACCATGTTTAGTTGTAAACAGATGGTGTGACTCCTATACACACAACGCAAGCGGTTGACACAAGACGATGCAGTGCATACCTGGTATTCTGATCCGCGGCTAGCTGCTAGGCCCTCCAACTAGATGTCAGCACGCAGCTGGGCCGCATTGTCCTCCACAAAGCCGCCACGCAGCACGCGGTGATGGTTGCCCTTGGAGCCAGCGCCACCGCGGCCGCCCTCAGCAGGACGGGTGACGTTGGTGGGAGCCGTGCCGTTGCAGTCAGGACGAGTGCCACTCACAAGGGTGGAGTTGAAGTCACCATGACCGCCGCGACCACCTAGCAGGCCCGGCCCCTTGCCGCCGCGGCCTCCCTCAGCAGGACGGGTGACGTTGGTGGGAGCCGTGCCGTTGCAGTCAGGACGAGTGCCACTCACAAGGGTGGAGTTGAAGTCACCATGACCGCCGCGACCACCTAGCAGGCCCCGCCCCTTGCCGCCGCGGCCGCCCTCAGCAGGACGGGTGACGTTGGTGGGAGCCGTGCCGTTGCAGTCAGGACGAGTGCCATTCACAAGGGTGGAGTTGAAGTCACCATGACCGCCGCGACCACCTAGCAGGCCCCGCCCCTTGCCGCCGCGGCCGCCCTCAGCAGGACGGGTGACGTTGGTGGGAGCCGTGCCGTTGCAGTCAGGACGAGTGCCATTCACAAGGGTGGAGTTGAAGTCACCATGACCGCCGCGACCACCTAGCAGGCCCCGCCCCTTGCCGCCGCGGCCGCCCTCAGCAGGACGGGTGACGTTGGTGGGAGCCGTGCCGTTGCAGTCAGGACGAGTGCCATTCACAAGGGTGGAGTTGAAGTCACCATGACCGCCGCGACCACCTAGCAGGCCCGGCCCCTTGCCGCCGCGGCCTCCCTCAGCAGGACGGGTGACGTTGGTGGGAGCCGTGCCGTTGCAGTCAGGACGAGTGCCATTCACAAGGGTGGAGTTGAAGTCACCATGACCGCCGCGACCACCTAGCAGGCCCCGCCCCTTGCCGCCGCGGCCTCCCTCAGCAGGACGGGTGACGTTGGTGGGAGCCGTGCCGTTGCAGTCAGGACGAGTGCCATTCACAAGGGTGGAGTTGAAGCCTGCGCGGGGGCCATGGGCGGCTAGCATGCCGCGCCCATGGCCGCCATGGGTGCCGTCAGCGGGCTTGGCGGTGTTGGAGGACAGGGTGTCATTGCCGTCGTGACGGGTGCCGTTATGGACGGTGGAATTGAAGTTGCCATGGCCGCCGTGACCACCCATCAGACCACGCCCCTTGCCGCCGTGGTGGCCCTCAGCGTGCTTGGTGCCGTTGACGGGAGCCGTGCCGTTGCAGTCAGGGCGAGTGCCGTTAAGGGGCTCGATGTGGTTGAGGCCGTGACCGCAAGGGATGGTTCCATTGCAGTCGGGGCGGGTGCCGTTGAGGAGAAGCTGTGGGGGCGCGTCACGGGGGTTGTTGGGCAGCGACCGTGCTGCGACGCCTGCAATTCAAGGCGTGGGAAAGCAAAGCCGATACTTGGGAATCCGGTGACAAGCTAGGTGAACGCTGCTGAAGTCTGGTAAAGTGTACTTGAACATGTGCGTCTAATATTATTATTAGCAGAAGCTCCTAGCGCAAACTAAAGCTTCCAAAATAAATACTGCCGTCAACGATTTACTGACCTGACACCACGGCAAGCATGGCGACGGCGAAAACCAGAAAGCTGCCCTTACTGGGCATCCAGGACTTCATGTCTGAGAGCTGAGGACAACCTGTTGTTGAAAAGGGAATAAACGATGTTCGTTAAGCGCGCTTGTTGGACGGTCGTTTCCTACGAACGGAAGATGCAAGCAGCATGAGCAACAAAAGCTGAGGGTCTACTTGCTCTCTTACCAGTTGCTTATTCTTCCTAAAGAAATCCGATGGCCTCTGAGGTATCCTAGAGCTCCCTTCTCTGCGATCCAACTGCTAGCGATTAATGTCCGGGTGCACGTTTACAAGAAGGCTTGGTTACGGGCTTCGTTGAACATCATATGATATTAATTATATAGTGCAGTGCATCTACAAGAGGACCATTCTCCTTCAGGATGCTTCGGACGTTCGTATGTACGTTACGTTGTGTACTATCGCCTGTCTGACCTGACGTGGTGGGGGCCGAACAGAGTGTAGGTCTATACATGTTGAGTTGTGGTATGGAAGCCGGCTATTACAGATATATTAAACCTTTAAACGTTAACCCATGTACTTGAACGGGCGCTTCTATACGATTTTGTACTGTAGCGTTTTAGCATTTATCCTAGTGCTCAGAATTTCTTTACAGCTTTACGAATGGCATGGTTGAATATTAACATGTAAGAATTCCTGCATGATCTGGGCGCGTGACATCTGCAAGTGCCGTGTGCGTACATCCGCCTACCTCGCTCGTGTACCCCTTACCCTTCAGCCAGCGAGTGAGGTTTACATTTGTCGTGTTGCTACTATAGACACGAATAGCCCTCTAGTCCTCTGGTTAAATTGAAGGTGCAAACCTTTGTACCGTATTAGTAACTACCGTATGGATCGTATGGGCAAGCAAGGTCAACCCGAGCTTTGCAGCTATCCAGCTTCGATCTGACATAAGTTCTATGGACATCCATGCCTCTTACACGCTGTGGCTTTCCTTGGTCTGATAACAGTTAGCGCACTTCTCATGTTAGCGATTTCGCAACGCGTTGGTTGAACGCGTGATGACACCAAAAGAGCCTGTGAATACTAAACGTCATTTTTTATTGGATCCACTTGGAGGGCTGCGGACAAGGATGCTTGGTGGAGATATCGGAATGCGTGAGTAGCCGCTCAGCTACAGCAGGAGAGGGATAAGTGTATTTGCGCATGAGTTCAACAAATTAACGTATGGCTCACAAATAATAAAAATGAGCTAGCAAACAAACTGGAGCTGCGGTCTGTTCAAGGTCATCGGGTTCAACATGCCGCTTAGGTGCAGGCACTGGGAGCAGCTGGGCAGTGACTAGTGAGGTAACCAACCGCACTACATCTTGAGCCGAGCTTCGGGCCTAGATGCCCCAATAAGCAAGGAAACGCAGAGAGCTTTACATCGTTACCGCTTGGTGCAATCCCAGCAGCCGACACGTACGGCTGGGGCCGCGGTGGAGGTTAACTGGCCCTACGCACTCGCGTGACCCTGCATATGTATGGCGATATGGGGTTGGGAGGATAGCCTGGATTTCCCACCGGCCTGAGCGCCTGACCACGCACTCCTGCCCTACCTTTGCTTCAATCGGTTTGTGCGTGTGCATGACTAACCACGTCCACGCAGCATGTTCTCTCAGTGTGATGATGAGGTCGTGCGGATGAGGGGATGTCACGCCCTGTTACTGAAATACTGTCTTGGTGGCCGTCCTGGACGCGACCACCGGCATGCCTCCATGCCCAGTTGAATACCGGTAAGTGACCGTTACAGTGAATCCAAACCGAAAGGCAAGGGAAAACGGGCGATACACAGCAGCGGACTTGCAGAACAAGTAGCACCAACACCACCAAACTCATTTTATGAGTCACCCTTGGAAAGGGCACTTCCGCGACCCTTGCATCCTTGCTTACATGTTTTCTTCTCTTGCCGTACCATAGGAGCCCATTTAACCTTCAAAAATTGTACCATACATGTACTGTAAAAAGATAACATGTCCAGATTCACCGACATACAACCGGTTGGTAACCACCCAGCATGGGAGCATGTGTCCCCACCTCTCTCAAGCCAAGACCCGATCACAACCAAGTACACGCCTTTCCCCTCTCACCCCCTGCCGCTTAACACAAGCACAGAAGCCCCTTAGGAGGAAACCCAGACAAGCAAGCCCCTCAAGAGGACGGCACGGCGCAATCAGCATGCGGGCTCGCATATCGAAGCGCTCCCACAACCCAGACACCAACAGCCGGCACTACACCGCCGCCGCCACCTTCCCTGCCCCCTGCTGCTGCTGCTGGGCGCCTGCTGCTGCTGGCGAGGGCGGGGGGGTGCGGCGAGTGACGCGCATCATGAGGCCGTTGGCGGTGTGGATGGTGGCGCCCGTGGCCATACCCACCTGGGAGGGAGGGAGGTGGGGTGGTGGCGAAGAGGCAGGCGGGGGCACGGGGGGGAGTGAGGATGTGGCAATGGGTGGGGTGAAGGGGGGGCTTGGGAAACATGCGGGGGGGGGGCCATGACATACACGTGAGTTCCAGGGGATGGGGTACGCACGCATGCCGGCACATTGTTGGTCTGCAGTCAGCCGCACAGCCCTGCTGGGCTCGTGTTCCCCAGCAGGTTGCACTCCCGCACATAGGCCTGCCTGCCTGCCTGCCTACACCCTCTCAATTGCACCGGAGCGAGCCCCTTCTCCTGCCCCCTTTCCTTTTACCCCTCCTTACCTCTCCCTTCCCTCCCGCCCTCCCTCCCATCCTCGCCTCCTCCCCTCCAACCCCGCCCCCCTCACCTCCTCCGCACTGCCCGCCAGTCGGAAGTTGAAGCGCCGCAGCAGCGTCGCGAGCGCCACGGTGCTCTCAAACAGCGCGAACTGGTCGCCCAGGCACTTGCGGGCGCCGCCGCCAAAGGGGATGAAGGCGAAGTCGGCGGCGGTCTCGTTGGGGTAGAGCGCGGAGCCGCCCTTCAGGGAGTCCGGGCGGTAGCCTGAAGGGGGAGGCGGGGCGGGGTTGTCATGACGTATCACGTGCCATTGCGACGGAGCCCGACAGTACAGCTAGTACGCGCTGTGTCATGACAGGGTGTGTAGTTGAGTAGGACAAGAGCAAGCAGTTGGGATAGGTTCGCATGTGAACCGCGAGTACAGGCAAAACAGACAAAAACAGAGGTGACCGAACCTGTTCCATAATTCAATTGCTTAAATGGCTGTTGCTGGATGTAAGAAGAGTGGCAGGTGACGAGTGACGACGCATGTCGGTGATGCTGATGGTGTCGGAAAAAACTAAAATACTACCGAGAACTAAAGCCCGCTGACCAAACTCGACGCCGGGAGCCCCCGCATTGAGAGCGTGTCGTAACCCATGTCGTACTGTGTTGCTGTACGACAACACACCCCAGGATACCGTCCTGATCATGGCAGGCATCATGGAATGGTGAGGTAGAGCGAGCATGCATTGCATGGGTGAAGCCCGTCATCCTCGTGTTTCATGTCGACCGACAAACCGCATGTCTCTAATGCCGCGTGTAACAGCCTCGCTCTTCCCCATGCATGACCAGCACCCACGCACCCGGCTCCCCCCCGGCCCCAACCCGCCCACTTGTCCCCGCCCCGCCCCCTGCCCCCCACCCACCCGCCCACTTGTCCCCGAACTCCGGGTTGTGGTGCGGCTCGAAGAAGCGCTCGGGGCGGAAGGTGTCGGGGTCCTTCCACAGGTGGGGCGACCTGGAGGGGCGGGGCGGGGCGGGAGGTGAGGGAAGGGGGAATTAGATAAACTGAGCCGCGGAACCACTGACCCTGACCGTAGTTTACCGGGGGGATGTAGGGGCGCCGGGTGAAGGGGACAGGTAGGCTTGGGCGGGTGCAAAGGCCAAAGAGACAGCTTCAGAAAGGAGGTGGCGGTGGTGGTGGTAACAGCGGCTGAAGGCAGTAGGTACCGCCCAGGACTGCCCCAGCAACGTGGCCGCCTGCCCACAAGCCCTTCGATACCTACCCCGGTGTAACCTGATACCGCTATACCGGCCCTTCCAGCAATCCCTCCTCCTGACACACACGTAGCCAACACCTCCCTCCCCTCGCCCTGTCCCCCCCCCCAGCCTCAGGGTGTTTCGTGGCACCCTTCCGCTTCCAATCCATTGTCTTGCCCCAGCCTGTGGTCTTCTTTGGCTCGGTATGGTCTTTGACCCCCTCAGCCCCAGCCCCCCCTTCCCCACCTGTGCAGGTTCCACACGGAGATGAAGATGTCCGCCCCCTTGCCGATGGGGTAGCCCTCGGGGTCGCCCCGCAGCCCCGCCGGCAGCGTGTCGGGACCCAGTGCGCGGCGGATGAGGATGGGCGGCTGCGGGTAGAGGCGCAGCGACTCTCCCAGGCAACAGCGCAGGTAGGGCAGCGACTTGATGTCGTCCAGGGCTGTGCAGGGGGGAGGGGTTGAGGGGAGCGAGGGAACAATTAACTGACCGTTTAGTTGAGCGGAAACAGGAGCAAGCAGTTAACTGACCGTGTGATAAGGCGTCATCATGGGGGGAGAAGGGGAGCGAGGGAGGATATTTCCATGTTCACAACGCCAGGGAGTTCTGTTACCGGTACCTCCACTACAACCTGCTGCTTGCCACCGGTTCCACATTACCCCAGGCGCCTCAGCCCATCCCCTCCGCCCCTTCCTTACAACACTTCCAGCCCGCCCCAAGCAACTCTTTACACGCGCCCGCCCCCGCCCCAATCCATCTCCCTCCCCCCCATCGTTCTCACTGGGCATGCGGTCTCCCACCACTCCGTCCACCTCCGCCAGCACGCGCGCCTCCGCCTGCGGGTTCTGCGCCAGGCAGAACAGCGTCCACGTCAGCACCGCGGCGGTGGTCTCGTGCCCCGCGATGAGCATGGTCATCAGGTCGTCCCGCAGCTGCACGTTGGAGAACTGCTCGCCGCGCATGTCCACCAGGAAGCGCAGGAGCGAGGGGTCGCGGAGCTGCGAGCGGGGGGGGGGGGAGGGAGGAGATCGTCAAGGCATTGCACATGGGTTGTGTGTTGTACTAATCTACTGCGAGCGGGGACGGGGGAGGGGTATACCAGAACCACAGGTTAGGAGCAAAGCAATGGGGATAGAGGGAAGCAGTTTGTTACGAAACGAAAAAGGGTTAGCTGCGAGCGGGGTGGGGTGGGTGGGGGAGGAAGGGGGGAAGGGAGAGGGGAGATCAACACGGCAATACACAGTGCACATGGACCGTCGCCTCGTGCATGTCCCTGGGTCCCTGGCTGCGGCTGGCAGCCCCCACCCTCCCCTTTCACCCCACACATTCACCCACCCACCCTGCTTTGCAGTTCCTCACCTCCATAGTTCCCCCTGACTCCTCCCGCTTTGAACATCACCAATACGCCGCTCCCGTGTCCCAGTATCCCGAACCATGTCAACCCATATGCCCCACCCCCAGCTCACGGTATTCCTCTTCTTTTATCTCCAGCCCGCCCCGCCCTCCCACCTCAACTATTCGCTAACCCAGCTACCCTGCGGACCATGTATCCCAATTAACCCACATCTCCCGGCAATCATAACACGTTCCGGCTCGCGGCCAGTCCTCTTAACCCCCACCCACCTTGCTGTAGTCCCGCGCCTGCAGCGCCTCCGCGTCCTCCTCCTGCCGGGTCTCCTGAGCCAGCCGGATGAGGCCGTCCAGGCACTCGTTGATCACCCGCATGTCGCGCCTGCGGTGAAGGGGGGTGAGGGGGAGTGAGGGGGAGTGAGAGGTGAGGGCGGCAGTGGGGTGAGGAGGATGAGGGGTTGAGGGGTGAGGGCGGCAATGGGGGGGCTTCTAGGGGGTGCATGGAGACGGCAAGAGGGGGAAGGAGCAGGGGAATTGGGTTCTGCACTGAGGAGTGAGCATCGCAAGCAGCGGTGTCGCAAAATAACGCACACATATACGGGTATTACATGCCACGTGCGCATGTCTCCGTTTTCCCCTTTGCCCCACATGCCCCAGCCCCCCGCGGACCCACGCAAACAGCTACTCCACCCCCCCATACCCCTCTCATGACCCGTCCCTAGCCCGGTGGCTCCCCCGTCCCCCCTACTTGAACTTGGCTTGACGCGGCACCAACACATCCGCCAGCGGCAGGTTCCAGTAGGGCAGGTAGAAGGTGGAGCGGTGCTCAGCCTCCTTCAGCACACCGTACACGGCCTGGGAGGGGGAGGGGGGGGGGTAAAAGAGGAAGCGATTAACCTCACTCCAGCTTCTCTGACCACTCCAGCAGCATCTCCGTATCACCGTCTCACCTGGCCGTACAGTACGGCATGGTTTAGGGCACGCCATCCCACCGCCCTACGCACCCCCCTCGCCCACACTGTATCGTCAACTGAACTATAACTGACTTAATGAGCCATTCGCAGTTTTATGGTTCTGGGCAACCCCTCATCAATCCCGCCCTCCTGATCGCTTCCGCATCATCTTCTCACCGCCATCTCAGCCTGCCGTACTTTGCGGCCTCTGGGTTATGACACGGAATCCCCTAGTCGCCCCCAGTTTACAGCACGGTTGGCGTTATGATTGCTGCACGCTCTTAGACTGAAGACTGGACTATAACTATGTTACCCTGTCACCCTGCGCGACGGCACTTTAACGACGCCCAGTCCCGACCAGGTATCAGCCGCCAGTTCAGCTTCGTCGTAGCCTCGCCTCCGTCCCCAGCTATGGTTGGTGTCAATGTGTAGATTGTGTACTCTTCCGCGGCACGCTTGTCCTCGGCTGTCAGCCCGCACCCGCCCGCACCCGCACCCGCACCCCTAGTCGAGTCTCTGTTTCCTGTTTTTACTCCCACCTTGATTACTGGCGACTCGGAGGTGATGGATCCGAACTCGTAGTTAAACACGCCCAGCCCGATGATGTCCAGACCCAGGCTGAGGAACTCGGCCTCCATGTCCACAACCGCGGAACCCTGGCGCAGGAGGGGTGGTGGTCAGAGGCATACCGAAACCACAGGTTGGGGCAAAGGTTGGGGAGGAGGGGGGCCAATGGGGACGAGCACGAGGGGGTGAGGGGTGGTGAAGGCAATGCCGGCAGGGCTGTATCCAGTTGTATGGAGTGTTGGCGCATCTCGGGAGCCTGGGAGCCAGCCCGCTACCCATTCCCTTCCCTCCCGTCCCATCCCCAGTCCTCACCCCCCCCCCACCCCTTCTCCCCCCCCCCCGCACTCACCCCACCCGCCGCCACCGCCGCCTCCAGCTTCTCCGCGGAACGCCCCGCACACCTAGCAAACATGGCGCTCATTGCCTCGTAGTATTGCCGGTGGAAGGCGGGCGCCACGGCGCGCCGGCGCACCCGCCAGGTGTCGAGGTCGGCGGGGATGAGGCCCTTGCCCATGATGGGTTCTAGGATCTCGGCGAGCACACCTTTGTCGTAGTTGAACACGTTTTCCTGCAGGGATGGGGTGAGAGAAAGAAGACCAAACCAGACCATAGGTTGTGGTGGGGTTGGCGAGGAGAGGGAAGGGGGGCGGAGGGGGTTGAAGGCAGAGGGGGATGGGGTGTGAGGAAGAAATGGGAACGGGGGGGGTGACTGGGGATGCGAGGGGAGGGGGTGCTGAAAGGGGGAGGGGTGACAAGCCGTGGGGAGGACTGTCGTATCTCGAACACCCCCCGAAGCTCCCACCTTGAGGATGTGTCGTACCACCACAGGGTCCGACACCACGATGAAGGCCTTGGGGCCGAACACCAGCTTGAACACACCACCACTGTCTAGGAACCTGGGGGGGGGGGGAATCGCGCACGGGGCGTCATTCCTGCCTCCCCAGGGACACCTCATATCGCCTTACGACACATCCCAGACAACTACCGGTAAGCAGAGCAACCACCCCCCGTGCGGTGCGGTCCCCTGTTGGATCCCCAAGGCAGGGGTTGACAGAGCGCCACCGCACCCTCGCACAACCCTGGCGGCCAACCCACCACTGGTACAGCGCCTTGAAGAGCGGCTGGTCACCCGCTAGGTCGCTCAAGTCGCCCTGCGCCACCGGGATGTTCTTGCCGCCCACATCCGGCTGGAAGTATCCTTGGCTGACCTCCGTTAGCAGGTGGCTGAGCCCGTTCTTGAGGTTGCCCTTGCCGCGGATGAAAGCGTAGCCCAGGGCTGCAAGGCCGGGCGCGAAGAACAGGCCCACAGCAGCCGGGTCCGGAAGGCCTTGCGGTACAATTCGCGACCGCAAGTTGGTTGCGCGTTCTGCTGGGCTGGGACGTAAAGGCGATGAAGATGTATGACGTGGGCGAACGCTGGTAAAGGCGGGCTGTGAAACTGAGGGCCGTCGGCAGGAAGATAGCTGCAAGCCATGCGCGTTCAGCGAGGGAGTCCGCGGCGAGCGCCGTGTCCCGGAAGCAGCTTGAGATTTGAGTTGCTGCATGTTGTGTGATAGCGTCTCTCTGAATTGGGAGATCGAACAATCAGTGGTGTTTCTCTCTGCGGACACGCTCCGACAGCTTGCGACGGCCTTCGTGCTTGCTTGTTCACCTAGCTGTGACACCTATAAATAAACCTGGCGAGCAGGTGTCATAGCAGTAGACACTTTGGGTCGTGGCGTAGGGTTGTATCTGCAGTCCTTGCGATCTTCGGATGGTGCGCACCGTACGTTTGCAGAACCAAATTGGAGCCCTGCCGGACACACACCCACACCATTAATTGCTTTAGTATTGTGCCCTATGCATTGACATATACGTGCTTGCTTTGCAGTCGAGCGCCTTGCCTAATGTGTTGACATGAGTGCAAGCCAATTGAAGACCAGGGTTTCAGAAAACGCCCATACAACTTTAGCGTTTACGACACATTCAAATTGCTTTGCGTCGGCGAAATTTACCCAACTTCACAAACTTCATTTCGCTCGCGTGCGGCGGCAATGGTCGACAACCACGTCCACGGCGCCAATTGCAACCCTGAATGTCGGTCAACTTTCACACACAATTACTCGGGCAAACTCACCAAAACTAAGGGTCGACGCACCATCAACGCTGCTACCCCAGCTTCACCACCCACCTCAGCCGCCACCACCGCCAGCTGCAGCTCACACTTCGCAGCCTTCCTCCCCTCTGGAGCAGCATGAACCAACCAGGAAGGCAGCCCAGGCTTCATCCGTCCGACTTTCACGGCGGCAGCAGCAGGAGCTGCTTTGGGGCCCGCTGCCTGTTACGTCAGCGCCCATCGAGCACCCTCAGCCCTACCACCACGCCAAACCTCCAAACCCCCTCTTGGAACCCCAGCAACCTCCTCCCTCTGCTGCTGCTGAGGCCACAAACAGCAACACTTCCACCACCACACCTCAGCCCGCAGCTAATACCACATGCTCCGGTGCAGACCAGGATTCCGGATCCACCAGGGATTTGGGCCGTCCAGATTTGAACGCGCAGCTGGATGAGGCGCTCCTCACACGCAGCGGCCGGCACCGCAACCGGCAACCGGTAACCGCCGCCGCCGCTGACCCAGAGGCCCATAGCAGCCCTGCCGCTGCTACTCCTGTGCCTAAGGAGAAGGCTAAGCGGCCAAGCAAGGGCTCCGCCACAAACCTCAAAACACCCTCACCTCAAGACGATGCAGAGCAACCAGGAGCGACGTCCGCTACTCGCTCCGGAAACAGCCGCACCCGTAGCCGGGGCACCAGTCAGGACGGTGAAGGGGAGAAGCTGGCAGGCAAGCGCAGCAAGTGTGCGGGCGGTGTAGGGAAGAGAGGCGGTCGCCATGTCCTGCGGCTGCGCAGGCCCTCCGCCGTTGGCGGCGGCGGCAGTGCTGGCGGCGGGCCTGAGGGCCGGCGCAGGTTGCAGCTGAGGCTGACACAGCGGCCGCAGCCCTGGCCCGTGCAGGTGCTGCGGCGCGCGCGGCAGGAGGCAGCGGCGCAGCGGGGGAAGGAGCAGAGCAAGGAGCAGGCGGGGCAGGAGCGCGAGGGCGAGGGCGGGGTGGGGGTGCAGGAGCGGAAGCGGAAGGGCGGTGATGGCCGGCAGAAGGGGTTGTTCTGGGGCAGGGAGGCGGGCGGGGAGAGTGTGGTGGCGCGCGGCTGGCGTGAGGCGGGGCCGCTGCCCTGGCCGCAACAGGGCTGGCTGCCTTGGGAGGAGCAGGAAGGGCAGCAGGAACAGCAGCAACAGCAGCAGCAGCTGGGGCAGGGCCAAGGGCAGGCGCCGGGTCTGCAGCAACAGCAGCAGCAGCAGCAGGTGCAGCAGCCCGTTTCGCAGCAACAGGGCCAGGAGCAACAGCAACAACAGCAGCAGCTGTCATCATCACCGCGGCAACGGCAGCGCGAGCGGTCCGGTGCAGGCCGCTGGCTGGGAGCCCCGCTGCCCTGCCACCCCGACGGCAGCCTGTGGAGCCCCCGCAGCGGGTACTACGGCCGGCTAGCAGACCGCCTGCTGGAGGAGCTGCTGCCGGCACCGCAACCGGCACTAGCGCCGGAGCAACGGTTGATGGAGCAGGAGGAGCAGCAGCGAGAGGAGTGGTCGCCTGAAGCAGGAGCGTGGGTTTTGGGGGCTGCGGAAGTACATGGTGTGGTGGCGGGTGGCGATGGCTTGAGCTGCCCCGAGGGCGGCTTAGCTGGCAGCAGCGGCAGCAGCAGCGGCAGCACTAGCAGTAGCATGGGTACCTTTGCCAGCAGCGATAACAGTAGCAGTAGCAGTAGCGCTAGTAACAGTCCCAACAGCAGCGGCAGTAGTAGCAGGATGTGCCATGTGATCATCGCAGGAGTACGGCAGAACTACAATCTCATGCGCGCTCTGTCGTACAATCAAGAGGTACTCCGGCTGATGACGTCGACGTCACGCAACGACCGTCAGGCGGCAACTTGTACGAATGTTGCAGCGACAGCTGGGGCAGCTGCTGGTGGTAGGACGAGACACGGTGCAGCGCACTCTACAGGAGATGGAGATTCCTTGCTGCTCGGTTTCACGGCTTGCGGCTTGTCGCTGGGCGTGCTCAGGAAGTTCTACAAGGAGACGATGGTGTACGGTCAGGGCCCTATTCCGGAGCTTGGTGATGCAGGGAAGCACCACCAATCGCACATGCAGCAGCACATGCAGCCACCTGACGAGGGGGGCCCTCCTCAGTTCGTTACGGAGGGTCGGGACGCATTTGAAGGCCCATCACCCCCTGAAGGGTTGCAGCAGACCGCCAACCATCCTCTGCCATCACCACCGCAGGCAACGCCGGGCCATCCAGCGTTACGCGGCTGGCCTGCTGACGAATCGCAGCTAAAGCCACGCGCCCTGGCGACATGCTTCCTGCTTCCAAGCACCGCCCTACATCGCGTAGGTCTCAGTAGCAGCGGAAGCGGCAGTAGCAGCAGCGCTAGCAGCAGTAGCGGCTACAGCTTGCCTCCGCTCGCTGTCAAAGCCACGGCGAACGTACGGACGTTGGTTGCGCTTGCTGGGGACCGCTTACGTCAGTATGGCTACTGCCGTATGCGAGCAATGGGCCCAGATGCCGTGGGTTGTGCCGTACAGGTGTTGTACGACGCTAGCAAGTACATGGCGCTTGAGGGAAAGGGTGTAATTGCGTTGCCGTACATGACAGAGCTGAGGCCTCAGTCGTACGCACAATTGGTGCCCCAGCGGGCTAGCCGTACGCTGGCGGCGACGGCGGCGGCGGTTCACCGTACGGAAGAGGCGGTGGCGGCGGCGGCAGCAGCTGCCGTACCGCCGGCGCTGCTGGACAAGGCGCCGCAGCTGGTGCTGCACCTGGTTGCATGTGAATGGGATGAGGGAGGCAGGCCCGTGCTGCCAGCAGGGTGGCAGGGGGCTAGTGCCGGTACGACGACGGCAGTGTCAGCGGCGGCGAATACAGCTGGGGAGGGCCCGACGGCGGCCGCCGAAGCAGCAGTAGCAGTAGCAATGAATGCTGAGTTCGCGCAAGCGCCCCTCCACAGCGATGTGACCCATGTACGTGACAGCGCCGCTTCTGCAGCTCCAGAGACGTCCTCCTCTGCAGACCCCAGCAACCCCAAGTTGCTGCCCTCCATGCACCTCAATAGCACCAACGGCGGCGGCAGCGCCGACCTCCAGCACCCTGCCCCCTCCGCCGCCGCGACGTTACCGCCGCCAGCATCTGCGTACGACAGCCTCACCCTCCGGGACCGCACGCCCAGCACAGCTGACGCCGCTGCGGCAGTGGCGGGCGGGCTGTCGGCGGGTCGGCGTGTGCGCGTGGCGGCGGCTGGGTTGAGGTCGGCGCTGAACCTGCCGGTGGTGCTGTACCGCGCGCAGGGCCGCATGCGGGGGCTGGAGGCGAAGAGACGCGGGGCGGTGGTGTTTACGGTGGGTGTGGGTACGGACCGGAACACTCGGCGGGTGGGTTTGCCTGGGTGTAGCATGGCGCCGCAGAGCCATCAGCGCGTTCCCTGCTTTCCATCGTCATGTCATCACGTTTCTCTTTCGCCGTGTGTCGAATGCAGATGACGACCGGAGCGCAAGCCGCCACCGCCTCTCTGGTGGCAGCAGAGCCAACAATACAGCAGCAGCAGCAAGAGCAGCTGCAGGGACCTCAGCAGCAGCATGCGCGGCCGGCGGAGGGCGCTGTCCCGTGGGGGAACCCGGAGGCGGGTATGGAGCGCAGGTCTGGCGGCTCCTTCTGGATGCATGCGGAGGTGGGCGGCAGGGAGGGGACTCGCGGGGCCCCCTTAGCGGCCCTCTGGGGAGCAGGGACTTGCTTTCTTGAGGGCCGACGCTGTTTGTGCACACCAGCAAAGATACCGCGGTAGCAGCCATTACGTGCGATGAACAGCGTAGCTAGTCTTCTCCCGCACCTTACGGCGGCTTGGGCGCCATCTGCTGCTGCTGTCTTTCCCTGCTGCTGCTGCCCCTTTGCTGCGCCTGGGCATTCTGTCCCTACCTTGGGCAAGGGCCCTCACACCGCGCCCTGCCTTCCTGTCTGCCGGTCACATGCCACCTCCCACTCGCCCCACCTCCCCGCGCTCCCCCGCTGCAGGTGCTCGCCCTTCCCTTCCCCGCCTTGCAGCACCACCTGAACCAGCTACTGCGGCAGGCCAACATCCCTAACAACACCCGTCCCAACGCCCCGTCCACGGGCGGAGCCGCCCCCACGACCCACGGGTCAGCGTCACAGCGCCCTACCCGTCGCCTGGCGTCCGATACTTCACGTGCCCACAACCCTGACGGTGACATTGACGTCCAGGGCGCTAGCGCCGGCGCCGCCGCCACCGTTGGCGAAGCAGCTGCCGTACAAGCAATAGCGGCAGCCATCACGGAGCGACTCGCGCGGTACGGTGTGGCGGGGTTGCTGGCGGCGGCGGCGCCTGCTGCTGCTACTGCTGCTAATAGTACGCCAGGGGCGGTGAGAGTGACGGAGGATCGGCTGCGCAGTCGCCGGATCGCGCTCCTTGCGATAGGTTGCGTGTGCGAGGGCCTTATGCGCAGCCAGGGGGTGACGGTGTTGGTGCGGGTAGAGCATTTGGTGCAGCCGCCGCTGGGGGCAGCAGCGGGGGCGGTGGCGGCGCAGGAGAAGCAGCAGCGGCAGCAGCGGGCGGGGGCAGGGCAGGTGCTGCGATCGCATGCAGGGAAGGAGCCAACAGGCCGGCATTGGCAGCAGGGGGTGCAGTCGGGGCTGCTGCAGAAGCATGGAGGCGTGGGGCAGCAGCAGCAGCTGCGGTGGCAGCAGCAGCAGCAGCTGCGGTGGCAGCAGCAGCAGCAGCAGCAGCAGCTGCGGTGGCAGCAGCAGCAGCAGCAGCAGCAGCAGCAGCTGCGGTGGCAGCAAGGGCACAACACCAGCGGTACCAAGGTGAGGAGCATGCCATTTACGGTAGTTTCCAGGATGTATGAAGATGCATCACATCCATGTAGCTCGAACTTTCACACCAGCACGGCTTTTGTTGGGTCGCTTTTGCTTTATGTGGAAACCTCTTTTCGCAGTCTTAAGCGTTACCCTCGCCCTGCCTGGCCTCACCGTTCCATATGCTGCAGCCTCTCCTGCATCCCTCCTCTTCCCACCTCGGCCCGCCCTCCTCACACTCCTCCCCCCCTCCCTCCTCGCACCAGGCGACCCCGCAGCGCCCCCTGCCGCCCGCCTCGCCTATGCCCCTGCTGGCCCCCGGCTCGGTTCGATTCCAGTTGCTGCTGGCGCGGGTGGACTCGGAGGGCGGCAGTGTCACGCTGCTGCGTCCAGACGACCTGCTGCGCAGCGGGCTGAGGGGCTGAGGGCTGAGGGGCTTGCAGCGGTCGTTGTGGGCGAGGGCGCAGGGATGTGTGGTGGCTAGGGGGCGGCGGGGCTTGCTGCGGAGTGGAGAGGCTGATGGAGAAGGGGGCAAGCGCCTGTGCGGGGCAGTGGTGCTGTAGAAGGGCAGACGGGGATGGTGTAATAGGTTTTTGGGTATGTTTACGGGGGGGGTATGTTTACAGGGGTTTCGCCGCAAGGGCAGCCGAAGAGGGTGGTTAAGGGTTTGGGGCATGTTCAGGAAACCGGTGTGCGTAGGGAGCACGACGCAACGCAACCGAGGATGTTGGTTTGTGGGCTTGTCGCAGGAGAAGGGAAGTGTAATAACTCACTCAAGACGTGTTTGCAAAGGCGTCTTCAGTTTTCTCATCATTGCACTACCAGAGTACCCCACGTAGCCGCACTTCAAGGTGTGCCGAGCCCACCATATGGCTCGTTTGCCTGTGCATCAAGACTAGTAGGCAGCATGCCGTAGCGCAATTCCATCATTTAAGTAACCCAAAAGCTATACTGGGCGAAGGGGCACCCCTAGGAGTGTGACCCCCAGCGCCAAAGGGTCCCCAGTGTAACGTCTTTTTACCGGTGTACGATTAGAGGGTTCGCATGCAGTGTTCCTTGCCTGATGACACGAACTGCTTTGGCTGCTGCCTTCACCCCTACTGGGCCCCTTGCTACCAGCCCCGCTCCTGCTCCCACATCCGCCAATCATGTCCGCCGCCGCTTGCCTCCATCCCCTAGCTACCGCTATCGCTCCCGAAACACACAGTCCTACTGCATTCTGAGCCCCTCCACAACCTTCCTGCCCTGCCCACTGCGGCTGCTGCTGCTGTCACTGCCCGCACTGAAACTCTCCAGCTCAGTCACCTCCGCCACCCCTTCCTCGTCCAATGACTGCTGCCCCCGCTCCCGCTGCGGCAACCTCGCCTCCTCTCCATCCTTCAGCTCCTCAGACTGCCGCCACCCTTCTCGCAAGACGTCGGTCTCGGACCCCTCCACCTCACCAAATGCAATCACCGTTGCTCCACCAAAGTCCCCCTCCGGCTGCCCCTGCTCCACCCCTTCCTTACCCTCCACCTCGTCACAGGCTGCTAACCTCCCAGCATGCAAGCCCGGTGACTGCACTGCAGTCAGCCCTTCCCCGCCATCCTTGTCACCGGCCCCATGCCTCTCCTCCACTCCACCAGCACCGCCGTGCCCAGCCAGCATCATATCCACGTCCATGCCCGCCTCCCTCTCCCCTTCCACTGCCACCTGCCCTGGCAGCTGCCTATGCTGCTGCTCCTCCTTCTCAGCAGCTGATACCCCCAGGAGCAGCGCCTCCTCGCCCTCATCCACACTTCCGTTCCTAGCCATCTGCCCGACCTCTGGGCCCTCCAGGCGCAGGGATGCCGCCGCCGTCCCGCTGACTTGCTGCTCCGTTCCCACCTGCTCATCCGCCTGCTTCCCCGCCGCTGCTGCTGTTCCTGATGCCTCCGGAACTCCCCACATTGCCGGGAGATACAGGTCGCCACCACCGCTGCCGGACCAGGCCGCCCCGTTGCCGCCTTCCGCCGGCCGCTCAGTCCTGCTGCCGCTGCTGCGACTGCAGGTGGGTCGTAGTGTGATGTTCTGCCACTGTTGAGAGGAGGAGCCGCCGGAGCTGCCGCTGCCGGTGCTCGTGTTGAAGTGGTCGGCGCTGCCGCTACCGCTATCGGCATTGCCGCGGTCCGGGTGACGGAGGTGGTGGTGAGGATGCTGTTGGTTACCATCCTTACCGCCAACGCTGCAGCTGCTGCCTGCCCTGTGAGGAGGAGAAGCGGGCCCTTCTTTCTCGCCTCGGACCGCATCGTCCTCATCGTCGCCCGCATCCCTGCTGCCACCGCCGCAGGGCCCACCTGGTCCTCTTCCTGCCCCTCCTCCTTCTAGGCAGGCTGTTGCTGCACTGCTGGCATCACCCGGAGCAGCACCCGCAGCAGCAGCCGCAGCTGTAGAGCGCCCTACCAGCACCGCGCCAGCACCCTCCCCACTTCCGTCCGAGCAAGCGGGACTGCGTGCACCTCGCAGCCCCAAGTCGCTGAGCTGCTGCTGCAGCTGCATCACGTGTTGCCGGTGGTAGAGCTCCAGGGATGCGGAGGCGGAGGCGCGAGCCGTCTCAGCCACGAGCTGTTGCAGTGCCTCCGGGCTCAGGTGCAGCAGCGGCTGTTGTTGCTGTGGGTGGGGTGGTTGTGATTGGTTTCTGGTAGGTTGGGGAGGTTGGGGCTGTGGCGCGGGCTGCTGCCAGTATGTGTACTGATGTGTTATGTTGTCACGGGTACTGTGGCTGATGCTGTTGGTACCGTTGCTGCCCGCATGCCAGGTGCGGTCCAGCGGCCGAGCACCGCGAATGGGACTCGCCGGATCGCTCCGCGCCTCCCTCGGATCACCTCCACCACCCAGCTCCTCTCGCCGCGCTGCCGCCGCAGCAGCAGCGACGTCCGGCCCCTCAGCCGACCCGCGCCCCATCATCTGCTGCCGCCCGCCGCTGCGCACCCCACCATCGAACCTCCCATGCATCAACCCAGCTGCCCCGCTGGGATGCTGCGGACCCGGATCTTGCAGTACGGGTACGTTAACCGCTGCTTGGATTGCAACAGGACTACCAGCGCCGGAACCCTCCGGCAGCCAGTACGCTTCAACCGCCTGCCAACGACTAGGGGTGGCAATAGCAGTGGCAGTGGCTGCTGTTAGGGGCTGGGATGCAGCCGGGCTGGGCTGCAGGGGAGGAGGGGGCTGTAGGCTGGCAAGGGAACTGAGGCATGCCAAACTGGAGAGGGAGGATAAGGCCCGGGCGAGGTTGTTGATTTGCTGGTTGGTGCTGGCGATGGAAGCGGCGAGCGAGGATGGAGAAGGGGTGGCGTGCAGGGGCGGTAGGGTGGCGAGCAGGGCTGGGTCGTAGGTCGCCCTGGGCTCACCGTGAGGGTTGATGGGGGGCAAGGGTTTGGGGAGGAGGTCGGGCGTGGTTCCGATCTCGGAGGGGGTCTGTGAAGAAGGTGGAGGAGGTGTGCGGGTGGTGGCGTGCGCATGGGCGCCGCTGGGAGGAATGCAGGCTGATGGAACGGGTGTGGAGGTGGGAATTGGTGTAACGTGTCCGGCAACTTGCTGCAAGGCTTGGTGGCGGTAAAGATTCGTTTGTGTCCTTTGCAATGGCTGGTCCTGGTGTTGGGGCCCATCCGATGCTGTCGAAAGATGACTTTGCCGTTGTAGCACATCCAAGTCCCCTTGAGTGTTTATGTAAGGCATCTGGTCACCAGTTAATAGTTGTTGGTAGTACCCAGGCGCAGCAGCCGGTGTGCTTCGGCGCAAGAGGGACGAGTTCGTCAAAGCTGCATGTCCCATCGCATCGGCTACAAGGCCCGGCCTGGCTTCAGGCCAGCCTGAAGAATAAGTTATAGGTGAAGCTATAACCGGTACGTTGGAAAGGTAAGCAGCAGTTGCCAAGCGCGTTGGTGACGGGCTACCTCCGAACGTCCATGTGCTACCCAGCCGGTCCTGCGGAAACGCTATACGCGCACCCGTAGGCTGGTTCCCCGATAAATGCAGACGAGATGATGCTGCCGACCGTATGCTATCGTGTAGTGAGCTAGCAATGCTTGCAGTGCCGCTTGCAGCAAGCATTGCTCCATAGCTTGGGCCACCTTGAGCCATAGTTTATACAAGCTCCAGGTTCCACACCAGTTAAACGTATACGTTCACGATGGAGGTTCCCGTTCCCGGCAGTAGCTTCTTGCAACGGACACCGTTAAGACAGCTCAAAGAATGCTGCTGCATATGCAGCTATACGTGAACAAGTAGATGGGGTGTTATGCAATACAATATTAGCCGCTCCATCACTATCCCTCATGGCAAGCCTCTGTCTCAGCACTTAGTACGTCATCTCGTACGGGTGGGGATGAACAAATGAGGACCGGAGGTACTCGCTTTGTAAAACGCCGGTCCCACATTAAGTTGCCCTCTGCTGCCACATTGCCACATTGCCAGCTTCGACCCGAACGCCTTCCTGGGGCCATGCGGTCCTCGGGGCGCTGTTGGCTGGTCTGGCCATGCGGGCTCATCCTCCGAACATCTTACCGTTACCCCTTTGGCTTGCCAGGCCATGCGGGCTCCTCCTTTCACACACACCTAAGCACACATGCAGCATCAACCAATCCTTCCAATGCAACGTCATCCATAACATCCCTTTGCATTCGTACACGACCTGCCCAACACATGTCTGGTACACACCGGAAGAGCCCATATATACCGGCACCCGAGCACGCCTGCCGCCCAGGCACTCAGCACCTCACATGAAGGAGACGGTGCAGAGCAGGTCACCCGGGAAAACGGACACCGCTGGGTACGCCTGCGCTGGGCCACCCCAGGGTGCTGACCCAGCCAACAAGCCGTTGACCCAAAACGTCACCTTGCGACTTTCAAAACACAATTCGCAACGCACCGTGTCCCCTTCGCCGTACGTCGCTTTTGACATGGCTTTTGCTGGGTATATGAAACCTGCACCCCCGTACGACACATACCCTTTGCCTCTCAGGTAGTCAGGGGTCATGTAGGATGCTGTCGGTTGCTCCAAAAAGCCGATAGCCGTCCGCACGCACTTTTGAGGCATGGACACCTCGAAAGCGCACTTGCCAGGGCCGCGGGCTGGTTCCTGCGTCGAAATCGTGAGTGGACCCGGCAGGTTGCGGGTAACCCTTATTTGGGTTCCTGCTGAATGGTTGCTGAGCTTGATCCCAGGAGCTTCGGTGCGGTTGAGGAACTTGTGCATCGCACACGTCGCTGTGCCGTGTGTGGTTGAGGGTGGTTAAGATTCCAGATGCTCAGGAAGGCGGTTATTGAGTTTCCCTGTGGTCTCAATTGATGCTCTGAGCATTCACCATTGGTCATGGGAAAATTTTGAAGCCTAAGCAGGTTCTAGGCAATGTTTGCCGTACTGCTATGATTGGCGTGGATCGAGCTGCACTTACCCTGGACGTTGGAATACTAGGCAGTATCTAATATAGGTTGTGCCTAGGCTCTACATCATCGGTTATCTGTCTGCGAGCATTAACTGTCTGCGGCCAATGCACATAGTGCTATCGACATACAGCGAAAATGGGTTGTCAATTGCAATAATTTGCTAAATTTTGCAGTACTTTAGTCTAGATGGCTGGCAGTTTGCCTTTTAGTTGGCCTTCGAGGACGCTGCAGCCACCCACGCTTACGATGGATGCGGACGGCGTCTTTAAGCAGGCACGTTCCTCAACTTGCCCCCAGGCACTACACCTGTGACCGGAAGGAGCCCACTTCACGATGGCAGGGCGCAAGCTCGCTCTCAACCATCGTGGAGCATACTCCTGTCGTACATATCCCCGGGGGCACAGCTGTAATCCCTTGCTGCGCTGCCTGCTTCCCGTTACTTCCGTGCAGCCGCAACCAAAGCCAAAGCCTTCAATGATAGCCCAGCACATGGCTGGTCTCCGCACTGACGAGGAATTTTACGGTTACCTGCACGAAAACAAGGCTCACACGGTAGGGAAGAGCGTGTTGGTGCCATGCTTGGGTTTGAAGGGGCAGCCATCGAGCATGCACCGGGCCCCGGGCGTCATACAAGGGCGACCTAGAGAAAGTTGCACTGGGTGTATTGGGCCGGAAAGGTCTCCGCTTTGGCCACGGACTGCAGAAGGCACCGGTGGGGCAGGGCATGCTACTCTTCGCCCTCTTCTCTCACGCCGGTTGGGTCCAAACGACCGCGATAACTGAGCATGAAGGTTCCTTGGCGCGTGTCCACTATTAATGAAGCTCACGATTGCCCGTTTCCTCACAGGCAGTTGTGCAGTTCGGCGCTTCATGGTGAGTAGGCAGCGGCTGACAACGTCTGTACGACTCCCTTGCGCCGTTAAATGCCGTAATTGACATTCACCGCTGAGAACATACTGCACAGGTGCACCAAATGCGCGGAGTTCTTCCCCACGTGGTACAAACTGAGCAAAGAGGTGCGTGTGTCTCACCCTGTTATGGGTGTGTGCCGTTCATGCTGTGCACGTTGCATGCAATGTGCGCTGTCAACGGATCGTCGAGGCGCCGAAATGTCTGCACGCTCCCTCACCACTCTTGAACTGCAGTACACGCAACTCAAGTACGCTGTTGCACAAGTGGACACCCTGAAAGAAGCCGTCAAGGTGGGTTGAGCAGGGCGAACGGCAGTGCGTTGTCTTAGCTTACTCCAACAAACGCCGTACATCCGAAGAGACATAGCAAAGCATACGGGGTCCTATCCACACATACCGACCAGCACCTTTGCGTAGAAAGGCTGCTTTGACTAGCACAAGGCCCATACTACCGCCAACACATAATTATGGAGATCACATTCCCTGCGTTTCAGGGTGTCAAGTACAGTCCTACGTTCCACTTCTACCGCAACGGCAAGCTAGTTGACCGAGTGCTGGGCAAGGAGCCGCAGCGGCTGGCGGATCATCTGTGGTTGCACAGCGACTAAGGGGCATCAGCGCAAGAGTGTCATCAGCGAGACCGCGCGTGATGCCTGCAGTGCCCACTGTAAATATCGTATACGTCTGTATGAGGCGGTGTAATTGTCGTAAACATTTTAGCCGGTTCATATGCATCGTTGTCGTACATATGAGTCGTACACAGTCAACACCATAGTCATACGAATGCAATGCGCTGAGGTCTTTGATGCACGGTAGCGTGGTCTGCAGCACACAAGGTCTGTCAAGTCACAAGCACGGTATCTTCATATGTACAGAAAGCCACATGGGAAGCATACACCCTTTGCACGTCACGAACCGCCACTAGTGGGCAGCCTTCTTGTTCTTGGCTTGAGCTTGCTGGGTGCCACGAAGCGCCGTATCCCCAGCTGCAGCACCAGAGCCGCCCGCCGCTGCCTGCTGAGTCGGCTGCGATAAAGGCCGCTTCACACCCACCTGCTGACCTCCCCCTTGACCCTTTGCAAGGCTGCGCAGCAACGAAACACGCGAAAGGGACTTCAGAAGATGTTGTGAATGCAGCACGGGTCTGAGCAGGAGCAGGCACGCGGTTGCACGTTGAAAGGGCACAACAGGGCGGTTATGGCGGTAATGCAAACCCCTGCTGGTGGCGCTTGCACCTCCCTGGCTCTGGGGCCCTCACCTGGGCGGCACCACCGGCTTGTTCTGCTGGAGGGTGGTGAAGGGTATGAGCCGCATGCGGTTCTTCGCCTGCTCGATCAGCCTGCGTCAGGTTGGCAGGTAGGTGCACAATGAACGTGGGAGGTCATGGGGGTTACCGGCACCACCGTACAACGACCTGCAACGACAGGAAATGCCCTCAGAAAGCACCGCAGTCCCCACCAGGCTTACTTGGGGTTCAGCATGGCCAGTGGGTTCTTGGCGAGGAGCGGCTCGTACTGCTTGAACGTCTGGCTGAAGATGCTGACCTGGCTGCTGGCCGGCATGTATGAGGCCGCTGCTGCACCACCAGAACCCGCGTTGGCCCCCTGCTGCAGCGGCCGACCAGGCGGGGGCTGCGGCTGCGTGGGCGGCTGCGGCACCTGTTGGGTGTTCGGCTGCTGTGTGGCCTGCAAGTCGGCCTCCTGAGTGGCAGGGACCACGTCCACGTCGTCCGCGCCTGCAGCCCCACTGCCGCAGCCCCCTTCGGCGGGCGCTTCAGCAACGGCAACAGCGGCCGAGCCTTTCTTGGCGGCCGCCCGCTGCCGTGGCGGCGGCATGGCCTGGGCTGATGGTTCGTTCTCGGGCGCGGAGGGTGCAGGCGCTGCGGCTGCAGGAGGCTGAGAACCGGACGGCCCCGCATCGGACTGCTCAGCCTTGGAATCCTGCGCCTTGCTGCCTTTAGCGCCCCTGCCACCCCTGGTCCGTGTCTTGGCAGCTGGTGGGGGCGCCGCCGCCGCCGCAGCTGCTGCTTGGGTGGGCTCGGCCGAGCCACCTGCTTCCGCGTCGCTAGGAGGGTCCTCCGTGTCGGCCTGCGCTTTCTGAGCTGCCTTGGCTGCCTGAGCCTGCTTCTGAGCAGCTCGAGAGGCGTTGCGCTGCGCTCGACTGCTCCGTAGCTCAAAGCCTGGCGTGTCGACGGTTTCCGTGTCGTTGCCAGAGTCGTTGGCGAGAGCGGCAGCCATTGCCTTGGCTCGCTCCAGTCCAGACTGCGCGGCTCGTCGCCGGGTTGCTGCGCGACCGCTGGGCGCCGGGTCTTGGGACGGCAACTGCAGTACAAGGGGCAGCAGATAGGTCGCGGCTTTATGGGGGCATGTGCATGGGTTCGTGCATGGGACATTACAGAAAGGGACATGCACCACTTGCGACGTGTGCTGAAGCGCATGATGTATTCGTGCTTCACGCACCTCCGCCGGTGGCTCCTCGTCAGCGTCGTCTTGTGACGCTGCGGCCTTGGTTGCAGCCGCCCGCTGCTCCTCCTTGCTCTTGGCGGCTTTGCGGCCGCGGCCTGCATTGTAGCGGTGGAGAGTGTAAAGACACAACCTTTGGCGTGTCCAGGGCCCCACGGTGCTTGACAAATACCCTTTTCTACAATGCCAATCTGCCTCTCCTCTCCCGCCCGCTATCCCTAAGCCCCATCCACCTTTGCCGGCAGGCCGCTCCTCGGCGTCAGGGGGCTGCTCAAGACCGCGTTTTCCGGTCCCCGCCTTGGCAGGCTCCACGGGAGCGGCAGCAGCGTTACTTGTCCCTGCACCGCTGCCGTCGGCAGCCGCTGCGGGTGGCGCATCCCGCTGCGATGCGTCCACAGTCGCTCCAGCTTGCTGGACAGGCTGGGTCGCCGGCATGATCTGCGGCAGGGGCTGCTGCGACCTGCACACATGCAACAACCTCAAGTAAGAAATAGAAGAACGTCTGTGCAGATGTACGGGCCTGCCGCATCAGCAACGCGGCAAACCTGTCGAGTCCTGACCCGTTGACCCATGCAAACTTACAGTCGTAGGATTAGGTCGGCGGTGGGGCCGCGCTCATACTCCTCGTCAATAGACCCCATCCCGCCTGTTGAGAAGCTTTGAGCACTGCCTAGCAGGTTGCCCATGAGCTTGTCAACCGCGGCCGCGGCTGACCGGACCTGCATGCAGCGGAGTACAAGGTGGGGGTGTCATAATTGAGCCTACCTGGCCAATACTAGACAAGGACTCTGTCATGCAGGTCTCTCATCGCGTTGTGCAGGAAACGGGTGTGTTTCGTCCACTTGCCTGGTACCGTTGCGGCTCCATGGGACTCGGCATGACGACCAGCTGCTGTTCCAGCTGCCGGATCCGCGCCTCCAGCCCAGCCACCTGAGCGGCGTGCCCCTCCTGCAGCTGTCGCATGTGCGCGTCACGACGGACGTGCTCTGCCGCTAGCTCCGCCTGCAGCTGCCGTAACCGCTCCTCACGCGCGGCGAGCATGTCCTGCAGCTCCGTCAGCCTGTGCTGCGCACGCGAACCCGTGCTGTCCGCTAGTTGCGCCTACATGGGAATGCAACAGCGGTATTAGGGCAGGAGCTTTGCGTCGTTGTCTTTGCCCTTTAGGCAACCTAGTCTTGGCTTCGGGACGAGGCAACCCACCTCCTGTCGCGCGCTATCTATCTGACGGCGCAGCTGCGCCTCCTGGTCCCGCGCGGCGGCCTCCTGCTCCGCCAGCCGCCGCTGCATGAGCTCCATCTGCCGCGCATGCGCCGCCTGGGCGTCCCGCAGCTCCGCCTCCTTGTGCTCCAACTGCTCGTGACCGGATGGGAGATGAAGGACATGGGCAGCGAAACCCGTTAGTGCGTGGTGAACCGAGTCCAAGCAACACATGGCGCTTACGTGGTCAACCTAGGGGTTGCGACGGCGACTGCCCTACCTTCCTGCGATGCTGGTCAAGTTGTTCCTGCAGGGCCGCCATCTCGGCGTCTCTGCTGGTCACCTGCTGGCCTAGGTGCCGGGTGCTACGCTCCATGGCTGCCTCGAGCTCAACGACCCTAGCGGTATGCGCCGAAATCTGCGTTAGGGTTGAAGGTAAGACTGTTCAAGCGAGGTTGTACCATATAAGGCGTATCCACAGCTTGAACAGTTGCGACGACTTGAACGGGGCTAGCGCACCTACACGTTTGCCTACAGGTAGTGCTGAATGCACGCACACACGTACCCTTCGCTCAGCCGCTTCCAGCTTCTCCTGAAGCAGCTGGCTCTCCACGCCGCGCTCGCCGACCTGCATGCGCCAAGAGGTGCTCAAGTCTGTCAAGGCCCCCCGGAGTGACCAGCACACCAGTCAGTTAACTTGTCCTTTGCTCAACGCACCTGGCGGCGCAGCTGGGCTACTGCTGTGCTGTAATTGTCCTGCTCCTCCTGCAGCTTGTCACGGTACCGCGCGCAGTCCGCCTCTAACTTTTCCCGGAGGCTGGCTTCCCGCTGGAGCGAGGCGAGTTGTCGCCTCGACTCCAGCTCGGCTTCTTGCCTGCGTGCAGCCCGGTTATGGAGTCAGCAAAGCCATGCTCGAGTATGCGAACCCATCCCATCAATCGACCCATGCTGCAGAACCCAGCAACCCTTCTATCCTACCTGCACTTGTCTAGCAGCGCCTTAAGATGGTCAATGCTGTACCGAAGCTCCTGGATAACTGCTTCGTCCGCTGCCCTAATGCGCTGCGCCTCTTGCGCAAACATCTCATCACGCTTAGCGGTGCTCTCCATGTGCCGCAAGAGCCGGTGCTCAGCAGCCTCACGCTCCTTCTCACGCAATGCCAGGTCGCTGCCGAGCTTGCTAACGCGCGCCTCCACAGCAGCGCGCGCCTCCTGCTCCGCATTGAGTGTTGCCTCGAGCTGGCCACACTGCGCTCTTAGCTTGGCGCATTCCGACACCTGCAGCTGCAGCTCCGACGTCCGCTGGGCAAGCTCCTCCCGCAGCGCGTCCCCGTCATGCCGCGCTGCTTCCAGCGCTGCGCGTTCGCTTGCCAGCTGCCGCGCAAGCAACTCAGCAAACTCTTGGGACTGCGCTAGCTGGGAGTGCAGCTGCTTCGCCTCCGCGCCGGTGCTTTCAAGCTGGCCCTGTGTACATGTATGCCAGTCATAGCACATGAGCAGAACCTGTTAGCCCTAACGGTCCGGGTAGGCAATGTTTGGCATGTGGGAGGGGAAGGGGGCATGAGGGGGGATGCCGTTTGTGCCCTGGTTCCCCACCTGTTGCTGGACCTTGGCACGATGTTGTCCCTGGCATAGCGCTGTCAGCACCTGCACCTGGTCCTGTAGCTCCTTGCACCCGCGAAGTAGCACCTCCCTCTCCTCCGCAATCTTCCGAGCAGTGCGTTCGGTGCTGGTAAGCTGCGCCTGTGACAGCTGCAGACCGTCCACTGCGCCTGCCCACTTTATCTTGTACATGACAGCCTTCTTGCGCCAGGCAAGTATCTCATTCTTTAGCTTGGTTCCCTCTTCCCTCGCCCCCTCGAGCTCCGTATCGCGCTTTAACAGCTCCTGCGCCGTGCCCATGGCGTCATGCGGATGTGTATCTTCGGACGTGCAAGAAGTGCGAGGCTTCACAGCAAGGTACTTACCTCGGCATGTTGTTTCTGTAGAAGAGCAATCTCATGGCCAAGGCTGAGCTTTAGCGAAAGATGCTCCCTCTCGTATCCTTTCCGCAGCAAGGCTTCATAGTCGCAGGGCACGATTATGTACTCCGACTGCTGAACTGTGTCAGCCATGCTTCCACAGTTGCTTTATGTTGCCCTAATTATCGGTGCATGGCAGTCGGCTGGATTGACGAGGGCCCGTGGGCTGCGCAACCTCCTAGAAAGAGCAAGTTGTGAAGGAGTCTACACCAAAGCAAGGTTATGAGGATACGTCGTGGCTATGCAAGTTACATGGGCCGAAGAAGGCACCATTAGGTTGTAAGGAACGATTGACAGCTTACTTTGACTAACCATACAAATGAGTCTTTTAGGCTAGAAGTATAATCCTATTAAATCTATGCTGAACAGCGTATGGATAGGTCTGTAGGAAGCCTGTCGCGACATCCGCAAGTGTGCAGCAGGTTTCGGATCTGAGCAGGTAACTGCTCTCACAAAGCGACAACCTTCCAGCATAGCTTGCATAAAGCGGAACTAGTTGTAAACTATAAATCATGCAACTGCTGCACATTCAGATTGAACCGCACCTGCTTCCGCACGCAGAAGACATTGCCCGCGCCGCCGTATGCCCACCACGTCGCAAGCGATAGACGACACACCAACACTGCACAACGCTTTACACCATGACTACAGCAGCAGCGCTGGAGAGCCGTCTGGCAGCGCTATCTATCTGTGCAAGTTCGCAGGACCTGCACAGCCGCTCCAAACTAGTCGCGGCCGCGCTGGACATCTCCCCGCCTTCCCCGCAGTTTTTATCTGATCTGTTCGACACATGTGTCGCGAGCGTCTCTCCTTCACGTTGGCCGTCGGCAAGTAGCAGCCCAGCCGTCGAGGTACGACATGTGTTGGCAGTTGGGATACAATCCGTGCATAGTCACCACGTCCAAACAGTTCAGCAGCTTACTCCATTGTTACCTAGCACCCTCCCTCCCTTTAATTGACAGTCGGCCGACGACGATGCCTCAAAGCCCCAAGACAGCAGCAGCCAGCTCTGCGCTACCTGCGCCGCAGCAGCCCTGCACTACCTCCCCCGTCAGGGTAAGACTGGCCAGCCTAACATACACCCCCGATGTACCCACCACGCCAAAGCGAACATACTTCCAAGTGCTAACCCACCCGCCCTTTCATCCCCCACTTGTATACCTCGACTAACCCTCCACGTTACCCCCACTTCCCGCCCCTCCGTGCCTACCCCCTGGCCCCCAGACGGCCGCATCCTGCAGCAGTTCCTGGACGCCTTCTTCCTGCCGCTCCTAGCCCGCCTCGCAGCCCTGCCGGACAAGCTCTGCCGCCTGCAGGCCTGCTCGGGCCTGGTAAGCCTCCTCGCGGACGGCGGCCTCTGGCAGCAGCTGCAGCAGCTGCTGGATGCCTGCTTCCTGGCCTTCGATACAGCAGCAGCTTGCGGGATAGCGCCGCAGTCGGTTGTCGTACAGGTACCCGGTGGCGGTGCTGGTACGGCGGCTGCCGTACGACAGCAGGACAGGCTGCCGCTGTCGGTCTCCTGTACCCTCGTGACGGCTGCCGTACAGAGGCTGTGTACGGCAGCCGCGTCCCAGCAGGCGGCTGCGTCAGGTGGGGTGAGGACCGCCGAAGAGGGTCATGGTAGTGAAGGTACCGGTAGTGAGCTTGCTGCCGAGCCGAGGAAAAACCGCACTTGGGTGGCACCCGGTTGCTGTTGACCGTTCCATGCTGTCCAATTCCCGTTGTGCACCCAACTTCCTTCCGTACACATTCAACGGTATCCTTCTTCGCATCCACCTTGTCCTTCTCAGGCGGGGACGCCTCAACCGCCAGCCAGCTGCTGCGGCAGGTGTTGTCACGGCTGCGGGGCGTCCTGCGCCCGCTGCTGACCAGCCCCACGGCGGGTGTACGGCAGGCAGCTCTGAAGGCGCTGGTGCCGGCCGTCCTGGCATGCGCGCAGACATGCGGTGAGACAGGGCGGGGCGGGGCGGGGCGGCATGGGGGTTGGGTGGGAGGGAGGCGGTACGGCAGCTGCATGACGGTGTGGACGTGGAGTTGCCAGCCGGTGCGTCCGGGATGTGAGGCAGCATGGCCGATTCACCCTTTGTCTGTCCGGCTTTACCCACCCAACCCGCACCCACATGCAGACGGAGACGAGCTCCCCGCGACCGCCCAATACCTCTGGCAGCTGGCACTCGACCTCCTGGGGGGCGGCGGTGGCGGGGGTGCTGCAACTGCTGCTGCAGCTGCCGACACCCCGGGCTCGCTTGCTCCTGGAGCAGCCGGCAGCGGCGGTAGCGGCGGCGCCAGCACTGCTCAGCGCACGGGTCTGGCGCTGCTGGTGTGCTGCTGCCCGCTGCTGCAGCACCCCGCCGCGGGGGTGGAGGTGGCGGGGTGCGAGCGGTTCTGGGAGCTGCTGCGGGCGTGTCTGGTGGGTTGGTGGGGGCAGGAGGGGGGGGGGAAGAGGCGAGCGTCTCTGCAGTGCAGGGCTGAGTGCGGTGCCTGCTACTTACATGCGACATGAATCATTTCGGCCGCCACCCCTAGGTTAACCCCGTGTTGATGTTAAGTCAACTGGCTGCGCTGGTTGCTGCGTGCATGTGTGTTCGGTTCGCAGGTGCTGCCGGGCGATGCGGACGCCCTAGAGCGCAAGCGCGCGCTGCTGCTGCTGCAGCGGCTGGCTCCTGCGGGGGGGCAGCTGCAGCAGTCGGGCGGGTGGGCTCTGTGGCAGGCGCTGTACGACATCCTGGACGAGTTCCCCATCCACCTGGTGGCACCCATGTGGGCCAAGGTGGGAGGGGGGGGCTGCGGGCGGGAAGGGGGATTAGGTAACCTGAGCCGCGGAAACACTGAAGAAGGAAGGGGGGTAAAGACGAAGAAGCTAACGTCTTTAGCTACTGTCACGGCTGCGCTTGGCAGTAGGTTGGCAGTACCTTGGTTTCTGCCGCCCCGTGTGACGTCCTTCCTGTTCTTCTTCCTGTGCAGATCGACCAGCTGCATGCACCCGCACCCGAGTACCGTACGGAGGCTGTCGTACCCAAGTCCTACATCCCGCGCAAAAAGGAGCTCAAACAGCGCAAGAATGCCACTGCCTCCTCCGCTGCCGCTACCAGCGGCGACGACGGCGCCGCCCCTCTCAGCGAAAACGGTGCCGCCACGGCTGACGCCACCGCGTCCGCACCCCCAGCAGCAGCAGCCAATGGCGGCGCTGTTAGCAGCAATGTTCCCGTCGACAGCTGGAGCGTTCCCGTGGAGTGGCAGTGCGTGTTGTGGTCTCGCGCGCTGCAACACGGGAACTTCCAGGTGCAGCGGCTGGCGCTGCGCACGCTGCTGCAGCGTGACTGGCGGGCGGAGGAGGCGCTGCGGCGCGTGCCGGCGGGTTTCGTGTCTGGGGTGCTGTTGCCGTCGCTCACCAAGGACTACCACCATCGCGGCGGGGGCGCGGAGGCGGAGGTGATGGACGTGCAGGTGAGGCGGGTTGGGCTGCGGTGGGTGGGTGAGGATGGCGGCACGAGGGGTTTTGCTTGGGTATGCGATTGCCACCTTTGTTAACACCTGTCTAGGGTACCCGCTCGCCACCCGGTTCCTCCTCCTCCCTAGGGTCCCTACCTTGAAAGCTGCAACCCTGATGTAACCTTGATGTACCCTGGTGTCAAACCCTCCTCCTGCAGGCCGCCGCCTGCTCCTGGCTGCACGCCTGGTTCTCTGCGGCAGCTTGTGACCAGCGCACGGAGGCGCTGCTGGCGGTGCGGGGCATCGTGGTGGGGGTCGACTTGCCGCGGCTGGGGCTGCAGCAGCTCATGCGGGGCGTGGCGGCGGCGGCCCGCGGAGCAGCTGCGGACGGGCAGCTACTGCTCGCATCCTCGGCATCCGCACCCGCAGCATCTGCAGCAGCTGTCAACAGCAACAGCAGCTTCCCAGCTGCCATGCTGGCTGCGCTGCGTGCAGTTCTTGTGTACCTGGTCAACTTCACGGGTGTATCGTACAAGCGAAGCATCTGGCAGTCCGTACTGGCGACTGCAGGCGCGGTGGCACCGGTGGCGGCTGCGGGTGTGGGCGGCTGCCTGAGGTTGCTGCAGGAGCTGCCGCCGAGCACCTTGGAGCCGGGGGGCGAGCTGCGGGCGCATGCGAGGGCGTGGATGCTGGGGCGGACCATCCCTGAGGAGACCCCCGCCTCCGCTGAGGTCCCTAACGCTACTCCTGCCACGCCTGCCATGGCACCGCTGAGCTCCAGCGAGGGTGCAGCTGTGGAGTCTTGGCTTCGGGGCATGATGGAGGAATACTGGAACCAGCAGGGAAGCAAGCAACAGCCGGCTGCTGCTGCTGCTGCTGCAACTCCTACTCCAGCTGCAGCAGCTGCAGTGTCCGCAGCCACCGCAACCGCACCCTCTGCCGCAGCCCAAACGGGCCCTGCGGCCACCGCCTCCGCAATCGCGCAGCTGCTGTTGCTGTTCGACGACGCCGACGCCGCCTGCGCTGCCGTACTCAAGCGCTTGCAGCAGGCGTTGTACGGCATGTACGGCCGGCCGTACTTGCAGGCCTGGGAGGTGCAGCGGGCCTTGGAGCTGCTGAGGGAGCTACTGCGGGGGGTGGCGCCGCTGGTGGGTTGCAGCGGGAGGGTGGGGGGTGGGAGGGTACGAGGGTACAGCGGAAGAGACTGATGTGCTGTAGCCTGTAGGTCAAGGCTCTTCACCATGGGGGTGCAAACATGGTGGCCGGAGTGGGTGGGAGCTGGGAGGGGATAAGGGAAGGATGGGGACCTGGATTCTTGCCGGTGTCTTTATGCACCTGTAGCCAGCTGTAGCCATTCCCCGGCCTCACCTCTGCTCAACAACCGGTATTGGTTGCCAACGCTGAGCCGAGCCACCCATCTCCTCCTCTCTGCCCCCCTGCCTCCCCTCCGCAGCCCCTGCCCGGCTCCTCCTCCTGCTCCTCCTCCGGCCCCACCGCTGCCCCCAGCGCGCTGCAGCGGGGCCTGCATGAGCTGCTGTGTGGCTGCTGTGAGGACCTGTGTGGCGCAGCGGGCCATGCAGCGGACGCATTCCTGGAGGCTGGAGGCGTGACGGCGGGAGCGGGAGCGGCGGCCAATACGGATGCGGCGGGTGAGGCAGACTGGGGACTGTGTTTTTGCCGTACCCATTCTCTAACTACATCAACCTAGCAACCCTACCAACGGAGCCCTCTCCTCTCTGTGTTTAGCTGTGCCTGTTCTGTCCCCGCCCCCACCTCCTCATTATATGCTTACACTACTATCCAGCTTCATGCGGAATCTTGATCCCTGTTAACCCCCACCTCCTCATGCCGCAGCTGCTCTCCCCCGAGCGGAAGCCGCTTGGAGCTGTGTGGCACTGGCGCTCAGTCGCCTTGCCCGGGCTACTGCAGCCGCCACCACCACCACTTCCGCTGCTGCTGACCCGGCTGCTGCTACTGCGGTACGACGCTACGCGTTGACCGTGCTAGCGCTGCTGGGGCGGCTGGCGGTGGCGCCGCTGCCGGCGGGGCGGGGGCATGCGGCCGTGGTGGCGGGCATGAGGGTGGGTGCTGGGGCGGCTTGGCTTGCAAGGAAAACATGAATGACGCATGGAAGGGAGGAAGGAAAGAAAACTATACATGGCTATCCAAGGCTATCCGAGGGATCTGTCGTAATACACCTAAAGTACAAAGTGCCGACCTATTGAGTATACCCGCAACCAGAAACCCAACCTCATCCCATCATCCCCCCAACCCGCACCTCCCCACAGGTCGCCACCGCCGCCACGGAGGCCCTCCGCCATGCCGCCGCCTGCTGCCCCCAGGTGGCGGCCCTAGCAGCGGAGCGACTGGACGCATGCGCGCTGGCGGCGGCGGCACTGCGCGACGCTGCTGCCGCTGCCTCCGCCGCTGCTGCCTCCTCATCCCACGCCGCTGCGCCCCCGCATGAGAGAGGTGTCGACGCCTCTCAGGGGCTGGCGGAGGTGGAGGCGGCCAAGTGGCCGCTGCTGGACGCAGCGACGGCGTGTGCGGTGGAGATTCCGTCCGCAGCAGCAACAGCAGCAGGATCCAAGACCTCCTCCGCCTCCGCTGGTAGCAGAAACAGCACCAGCAGCGCCAGCAGCAGTGGTGGGCTGTCTGGGGCCGTGGTTTCGGAGGTGCTGTGCCAGGCAGTGGGTGCGCTGAGTGAGTACCCCGAGGGGCAGGTGATGCCGCTGCTGCGCTGCCTGCGGCGCTGCTGGCTAGCGGTGCTGGAGGCGGGGCCGGAGGCGCAGGCGGCGGCGGCTCGGGCGCTGGGCGCAGACATGACAGAGGCGGATGGAGGTGGTAGTGCTGGTGCTGGTGGTGGAGATGGTGGTAACGGTGCGCTGCTAGCGGCGCTGTGTTGGCCGGTGGTTCGGGCGCTGTGGAATGCGCTGTGTGCCACGCCGCGGCGCACGGGGCCGCTGTGTGCGGCATTTGTGACCACGGCGCTGCTGCCGCGGCTGTTTGTGGTGGAGGTGGGGGCGGGGGGTGGGGGTGGAGGGGTTACGGTAGGAGGGATACGGTACGTGTTCCGCATTAGGCTGGATAGGGGGAAGGGGTTGGGGGTGGAGGGTATGGAGAAGGCACGGAGGGCTGGGTATGCGGTAGTGGGTAGAGGAGGGAGAGGGAGAGAGGAGGGGCTTTGAGAAAAGCACAGACAGAGCATCAAACGCGGACGTCATGTTTTTTTTCAATTAATTCCATCGAAGCAAAACTCCATGTTGCTGCTCCTCTCCTCCCCTTCTCCTCCTCTTCTCTCCTCCCACCCCCCGCAGGACGAGCCCACCCTGCACTCCCTGCACGGCCCCTCCGGCCCCTGCCGCTGGCTGCTGTCCCGCCTGCTGGACTGGGGCGGCACCAGCAGCCGCTTCCTGCTGGCGCTGGCGGGGCGGCTGGGCTCGCTGCTGCGGCTGCAGCCGGTGCTGGCAGAGTGCTATGGGCGGGAGGTGCAGCTGCTGCTGCTGTGGGGCAGCCGCAAGGGATGTGAGTGGGAGGGAGGGGGGAGGGGAGGTGGGAGGAAGCGGGAATGGGAGGAGTGGGATGCATGCATGGGTACATGAGGCTGCAAATGGAGCGTTGAGGTCCCGCTTTCGTCACAGGCCCTCGCCCTCCTCCCCAACGCATTGGAACTTCTTCCTTTTTCCCCTCCCCCATGCATGCAGCCACCTACGACCCCGACCCCTCCGTCTCCGAAGGCCCCGAGGCGGAGGAGCTGGCCTCCCTGCCCCCCCCTCCCGACCCCGCCCTGGCCGCCTCCCCCGCCCTCTCCACCGAGGTAGCCCCCCGCGTGGCGCTGCTGTGCTGCCTGCACCAGCTGGCGGTGGCGGCGGGCTGCGTGTGGCCGCCGCCGAGGACATCATCTTCATCATCGCCATCAACAACAACACCATCCAGCTGCCAGCAGCAACCACACAGCCAGCAGCAGCAGCAGCAGCAGCCGGCGGTGGAGGCGGCTGCGCCTCCTCCTCCTCCCCCGCCGCCAAAGCGGCCTGTGATCATCTTTGGCGACTCCTCCGACTGGGATGAGCGCGAGCAGGCCTCCTCCGCCTCCACAGCAGCAGCAGCCTCCTCCGCCTCCTCCTCCGCAGCCGTCCCAGGCAGCACCCCTGCTGCCTCCGCCGCGGCTGGCCATCAAGGTGCAGCGGGTGCGGCGGAGGAGCAGCAACAGGAGGCCCCGGAGGAGGAGGACTTCGGTGCGCCCCCTCCGCCCGACCCCGCCCACCCCGCCCTGCGTGCTGGCCGACTGCTGTGGGCTCAGCTGCTGCATGTGGCGCTGAACGACCCGGTGCTGAGCACGGATAAGGTCCGCAACGGAAGCGAACTGCACCGGCAAAAGGTGGGTTGGGGAGGGTGGAGGAGGGAGGAAGAGGGGGGTCAAAGACCATACCGAGAGGGAGAAGGGGGGGAGAGGAGGGAGGAGGTGGTTACAGTTGTTTCGGAACGCCGCTTTATCCATCTTCCCCCTTGTCCTTTCATTCAAGACATTGAGTCTTCTACTTTCACCTCCCCCCCCCCACCCCCCAGGTGCGGCTGTGGCAGTCGCTGGTGGTCCTCAGCAGCTTCGTGCCGCGGGAGGAGTGCGGTGCCGCGGTGAGTGCCGTACTGGTGCAGATCAACGGCAACAACCCGCCCACCGTCAAGCAGTATGTGGAGGCGGTGGTGGCGGCGCTGGTGCTGCGGGAGGTGAGGGGGGCAGGGGGTTCGGGGGGGGTGGGCGGGGTAGCAGGGGCGGGTTGGGGTGCAAAGAGGGTGATGTGGGGATGTGGAGAAGGCTCTGATGAGGGCTATATATGGTGGCGGAGGAATAAACCGGCACGGAGAGTGCTGAAAGGCCTAACCCCGAGAATCCCTCCTTGACCTTCCTCCTTTTCCAATCAACCCCATGCCGCCTCTCCCTTCCCATCCTCACCCCACCCCAACCCACCACACCCTTCCCCTTTCCCCCTCTCCCCTTTCCCCGCCCCTCAGCCCTCCCTGCTGGAGACCCAGCTGCTCCCGCTGGTTCGCTCCTACGGCCGCCACCTCTCCGGCTTGGGCTCCTACATCCTCATAGCGGCGCAGGTGCTGCTGCACGCGCCCCCCGCCGTACAGGCCCTGCAGCTGCGGCCGCTGCTGCTGGCACTCAGCCCCTGGCTGATGTGTCACGGCCATGCGGTGCGCACATACGCGCAGCTGGTGATGTGGACACTGCTGCAGCGGTTCCCGCCGGAGGAGCGCGTGTGGGGCAACTCTATAGGTGGGTGCAGGGCGGTGGAGGGTTCAGAGAGGGAGGGGGGTACGGGAGTAAATAGAGGTCGGCAATTCCGCATTGGGAGGGAGGGGGAGGGGAACAGGGGAAGTGGGGAAGAGGGCAGGGAGGAACGGTCTGGGTGGGGGTCGGTGGGTTTGGAGGGTGGGTGGGTTTGGAGGAGGGGAGCAGGGCAGGAAGTGTGCGGTGGCGGGGTGGTGGTGAGGCGGGTTCATGCCATCATGCGTAAACACCCTCCTCGTCGGCTCGCACGTACCCAGCTTACCCCGCTCCCTCACCCCCACATCCCCGCCACACCTCCTTCACTTCTGCCTCCCCTCCTCCTCCCCTCCCCCCCACCCCCCCAGCCGACCTGAGCTACCTGCGCCAGATGCTGGAGTTCATGCGCACCAACGTGGACCTAGTGCGGCTGCGCAAGTGGGTGTGCGGGGGGGGGGGGGTCGGGGTTTGGTGAGGAAGGAGGAGAGGGTTTCCTGAGGATACCGATAGCGGTTGGGGGGAGCTGGTGGGAGAGGCTAGAACGACGGTAGAGGCTTTCCGGGTTTTGGTTTGCTGGACCCTGCAACGACTGCAAGCCGCCCCTGCCTCCCCCCCCCTCTCTGCTCCCTCCCTCCCTTCCCCCCCTCCACACATTGGAATTTTTTTGCCCCCCCTCCTCAGGAACATCGGCGACCCCATCCTGGAGTGGTACCCCGCCGGCCTGGCGCACCCGGCCCGCGTGTTCGCATCGGGGGCGGAGGGGGTGTGCCTGGCAGGTGGGGGCGCGGGGGGGCGGGGGGGCAGGCGGTGACCCCGGGGGGCAGGACATGCTGGGTAGGACACCTGAGGCACACCGCCCCTCCTCCTCCTCATCCAAACCACCATTACACAGCACTCAATTAACCCTAAACCTCCTTCTTCCCCCCCGCCCCCCCCCACCCAGGCTCCCCCCTGGAGCAGTCCACCTTCGAGGGCGCCCCCCCCACCCTGGTGGACCGCATACAGGCCTTCCTGCTGGCGGAGCGAGCCCGACTGCGGGGCGAGCTGGCGGACCGGCAGGCGGACAGGGAGTTCGCGCCGCAGGAGGGGGCCAATGCTGGGGGTGTGGGGGCCGCCGCGGCCTCCGGCCGCGGAACGGCAGCTGGCGCTGCCGCGCCAGCAGCAGCAGTAGCGGCGGCTGGCGCCGCCGCCGCCGCCGCCTCCGGCGGCGGTGGTGGTGGTGGTATCGGCGACTTTCAGCGCAAGATCACTCCTGAAGCGCTTTTGGCGGTGCTGGAGGGGACTGCAGGAGGGGCGGCAGGAGCAGGGGGAGGAGGTGGAGGCGAGCAGGCGGGCGCCATGGGTGTGCTGCTGGAGGGCGATGAGGAGGAGGAGGCGGCGGACTGGAAGTAAGGAGGCGGAGGACAGGGCGAGGAGGAGGAGGGTTTCCCGCGCCTGCCCCTGAGTTCTTTCTTCTACCGTATACGGTCCCTCCGGACCTCGTTCCTCTCCTGCTCCCTAAACCGTCTTCCCCCCCCCATAGGTGCCGTTGCCCTAACTTGTGGTCTTTGTTTGGCCTCCCTCTGACCCTCCCTCCTCCCCCTCCCCTTCGTGGATGCGTGTTATTAGTGCCTCCGAATGCGCTCACTGCATGAGTCGGGATATGGGATTGGGATTCGTTGTTTCACTTATATAATTTCCCCCCCCCCTTTCCCCCCGCCCCCCCGCAGGTCCGCCTCCTCCTGCCGCCACGACGTGCTGCTGGTGGCCAGTCTGCTGGACAAGCTGCCCAACCTAGCGGGACTGGCGCGGACGTGCGAGGTGGGGGGGGGAGGCAGGGGGGTGTAAATAAGAAAACTGACGAACTGTATGACGAGGGGAAGGGGCAGGGGAGGTGGCGGGGAGGTGGAAGGTGAAAAGGGAAACTGACGAGCTGTGTCCATGCAAATCCTGCCCCAACCCCCGGCAGGTGCTGGGTGCCGGGCGGATGGTGCTGGGCGACCTGAGTGTCACCCGGGACCCGCTGTTCACCGCTGTCAGCGTTACCGCAGAGCAGTGAGTGGGGCCGGGCGGGCGGGCGGGGGAGGAGGTGACGGCGATGGTGATGGGGGTGGGGGTGGGGATGGCCGTACCCATGGCAATGGAGATGGAAATGCTCCGCACGCTCCATCCATCCTCTCCCCCTTCCTAACCTCACACACCGTCCCCGCCTCCTCTCCGTAACCCCCCTGTCCCCCCCTCCCCCGCGCCCGCCCCCCCCCCAGGTGGCTCCCCATGGAGGAGGTGAAGCCCGCTGCGCTGCTGGCCTGGCTGGAGCGCCGCGCCGCGGAGGGCTACACGCTGGTGGGTCTGGAGCAGACCAGTGAGAGCGTGCGACTGCCCGACTACCGCTGGCCGAGCCGGGTGGTGCTGGTGCTGGGGCGGGAGAAGGAGGGCATTCCGCCGGAGGTGAGGGAAGGGGGGGGCGAGGGAGGGAAGGGGAGGGGGGCTAACGGGAGGGGGACTATACACGGTAACTTGCTGCAGCCGCTGCTGGGGCGGTGTAGGGCAGCGGCGGCCCCTCTACCTCAATTGCTTTGCCCTAACCTGTGGTTCTGGTATACTTTTGATTCCCCTTCTCTCCCTCCCTCCCCCTCCCCTCCCTCCCCTCCCCCCCCCGCTCAGGTGTTGTCGCTGCTGGACGTGACGTTGGAGATCCCCCAACGCGGCATCATCCGCTCCCTCAACGTCCACGTCAGCGGGGCACTCGCCATGTACGAGTATGTACGGCAACAGGGCGCCGGTCCGGTGCTACAGGGGGGAGCAGGGGGTGGGGGTGTGTAGGGGGTGTAGGGGGTGGTGTTTGATCCAGGTTTGAGGAGGAGGAGGGGGGTTTGGGATGCTGCGTAGGATGATTGGGGACCATGCAAGATGCAACATTCCCTGGAGGTTCCCTGTTCTTGTGAGAACTGGTTGTGATGGTGGTGGTGGCTGATCCAGGGTGACGAGCTGAACTATAGTGAACAGCCTTTGTGCGCGCGCAGAGAATTCACGTTCGTGCGTTCCTCCTCTGCTTCCTCTGTGTGATACTACTACGTCCTTGGTTTCCGGGGGCGGTGCTTCGACTGCGGTGTGCTCTGCCGCCTCTGCAGTAGGTTATGGTGGTGGACTGCTGGTTGTGGCTTCCAAACCCGACGCCGCGTACAACGCGATCTGCACCCTGGGGGCATAGTGAAAGGCGTTTGGAGCGAAATAGGAACTGTTGGGGGGGGCTGGGCTGCAGCATACATAGCCAACATAGGTTTGGGATCCGGTTTGGGGAATGTATCTCCGTACGGCATTTGACGGCAGCCGCGCTGTACGAATGTCGTCATTAGGCCCCTAAACGCGTCTCTTTTGAGCTGCGAGCACGCTAACATATTGCGTGTTACGGTTATATCCTACACGCACTTGCAAGGTGTACGGTCCGACTCGCTGCCAGTTTTCTTAACACACATTTGCTACCTGTGCGGCTGGCGCTACAGCTACCGCGCTCTGGCACAACACCCGGCGGGCTTCACCAACAGTGCTGCTGTTTAGGGCGGCCTCATAGTGTGCTGGTGTCCGATCCTTTCCTGGTGCTGACTTTCATGTTGGACTCCTCTGTCTTCAGCGCTACGTCAACCCCGCCCGTCCGCTCCCCGTCCCGCCGCACATTCCAGGGTGTTGCAAGGGGCGCTTTGCAAGTTGCAGTACCATTAGTCCTCGGGCGGCATGGCCGCTGGCACGGGCACCCCAACCTCCATGCCAGCGCCCACCCATCAGCCAGCCAAACCTCTTCCGCACATCATGCACGCCAGCAAGCACTAGGTACCGGTACTACTACTACCACTACTACTACCGTACGACCCCCTCCAGCAGAGCTGCGCCGTACCCTTCAGCAACGGAGGTGGCCATCAACCAGCAGCCAGCCACACCAACAAGGCCAACAAGGCAGCAACGTAATAACAGCAACGCACCCTCAGGACATGTGCTCCCTAGCTCAGGCCACAGCCCCGGCTGCAACAACCGCAGCCTGACAACGCAGAACCAACCCGTCTATTGAGGCCTGCCCAAGCAACCCTTCTCCTCGCTCTCTCACCCCCTTTCACCAACACTTCCTCCCCTCCTCTTCTACCGGCCCCCCCAGTGCGCCAACTCACATGGCGCTCCTCTCCGCCTGACCATGCGAGCTCGCATCCACCTTCCCCTCCTCACCCCCACCGCCCCTGCTGCCCCGCTCCGCCGCGGGCAGTCCCGCCCCCTCGAAAGGCGCCCCGGTGCCGCCCTGCCGCTCCACCGCCGCCGCGGCCGCCTCCGCAGAGTGGCTGAGCGGGGTGGGTATGGTGGGCGGCTGGGTGGGAGCTGCAACCCCCTCGCGGGGGTGGGGGGAAGCTGCGTTACTGGCATGCCGGAGGGCACTGCGGAGGGGAGTGGGAGACGAGGGGCGGGGGTTCGGGTGGAAACGACTAACGAACCGTGCGGACGGGGGAGGAGGGGGAGAGGAGGAGGAGGGAAGAGGCGTGAGGGGGGAAGCTGGGGCAGCGTACAACTGGTAGGAAGAGCTTGCATGCGATGATGAAGATGGCATGAGGCAGCACGAAGGCATGTGAAGAGGTAACGCGTGGGAGCAGGTGATATCCGCATCGGGTCGGCACCCCTCCCTGTGCGTACGGCAACATACACACGCAGCCACGTAATCCCACCCCACCAACCTCCCAAGCAGGCGCCAGCCCTCTCCTACATTGCACCCTATCCCCTCCCACCAGCAATCAGCCTCCCTATACCGGCTCCTCTCACCCCCAACCCCAACTCATCCCTCTTTCATCCCTCCCGCCCAGTCCCGTCCCCACCGTCCCATCGCCCCACCGCCCTCCCAGCTGCCCCACCTGGATGCACGCTGTCCTGCAGGGAGGTACGGATGTCCCCCTCACCCGTCACCTCGGCAGCCACCTGGCCACCACCACCACCGCCACCGCCACCGCCACCGCCACCACCACCACCACCACTGCTCATCACCTCTGCGGGGCTCATGCCGCGGCCCCCCTCGTCACGAGCCTCCGACCCCGGCGAGCCGGCAGGAGCTGGGGGGCGGTCGCCGGGCAGGGAGGAGGCGCCGCCGCCGGAGGGAGCCGCAGCGCCGCTGCTGCTGCCACTGATACCGCTGGGGCCGCTGGGGCCTTGTGCAGAGGTGTGCACGTGCCGGCGTGAGCGGGTAGCGATGGTGGTGGTGATAGTGGTGGTGGTTGGGGTGCCGGAGGGGTGGTGGAGGCTGGTGGTTGAGGCAGGGTAGTGGACATGATGTGGCAGCAGAGGCGGGGCGCGGCTGGAGGTGGGGAAGCGAGGTGGAGTGCTGTTGGGATGGTTGGTGGGGGCGGAGCCAAGCCAGCAGCGAGCCGAAACATCAGCGCGTGTGGCGCAAAGCATTCTTGCTGAAAGCTCTCGCTTAAAAATGAATATGCGATAGCTTGAAGGGTCGGGCTTTTGTTGCGCAATGGATGAATAGCTTTTAGGCTTCTATGTAACGACACGTTTGTGCTGTAACTGTCACTGTAACTGTTTGTGCTTTAACTGTTGTAGTAGCTTTGGGGCTTCGGAAAACATCACCTGTCGCAATCTCGAAAAGCTTGTTGCGGGATGAGTAACAGCAACGGCCCGTGGGCCTCTCGGAACTAGCTCCCATGACGTGGTCGGCGCACCATCGTAATGGATTGAAATCCTTTAAGGAAACGCTGACGCTTAGAGGACCACAAACGTTAAGCGTCGCTAAGGGCAGCCAGCCAAGTGGCGGGTGCAAACAGAGGACCCGTTGTGCGGGTCATTGGAGGCATCCAATATCATAACCTAACTAATATGTTTGCAATCCGGGATAAGAACCTCCTCGCATATGTAAGTTAGAACCACACTTGGCCAACCGCTTGGTAAAAGAAGCGCAACATCTTCCACTACCCCGTGTGTGCTAGCACGGGATTCATGCCAGCTGCGTCGAGCAGCCAACCCCTGCCTCCACAAACCCCACCTGAGCCCCCGGTCCCAGCTACCCTGCCACCATAGGCTTGGCGGTCGGCGGGTGAATGCGACCTCCCAGGGCACTCACGTACGGTCGCCGACACACCAACACACCTATGCTGACACGCCCACACACCCCAACACAACATCCTCCGACAGTCCAGTACGTTCCTACTAGCAGCCAGCTTTCTTAACCCAAACCCACAGACACTGACTGTGATGCATAACAGCATAGGTTAATCGCTGTAGCAAGCATGATGACATTGCAAGGAGAAAGCAGCAGTAGCGGCGGGTCCTCAAACTTGGGAACGGGAACGGGCTCACCTTTTGCTTCCGAACCCGCATCCGTCTTCAACCACATGTAAGCCCCATGGATGCCGGTCAACAGCACAGCCCCTCCACACAACAGCCCCGCCTCAATACATCCTTCAGCACAGAGCAACATAGCAGCGATACTACTCGCATGCCAGTGCTCCGTTTACCCTGCACGACAGGGGGCTCACCTTTACCTTGCACAACAAGTCCGGGTTCATCACACGTGCACACCAAGCATCCCCGGCATCCCCGGCTCTTCCTGACCCGCGCCGCGAGTCCTTGGCCGGGGCGGGTGAATGGGTGGGTGGGAGAGCCCCCAGCAACCCGAGAAAGCTTTCCAGGAGAAAAGAGCCCCATGCATGCGGGCATGCATGGGGCCTTGTACACTGTCAACAACAACACCAACAACAACAGAAGCAATAACAACAAGAAGACAACAACAACAAGAACAACAGCGCACCTGCTGTGCCTCTGCTTGAGGGAGAACCTCAGTGGGGTTCCCGCACCTCTCTAGGAACACCTCTAGCTAAAGGGACTCCCTCCCCGCGTACCGGTACTCTAGAACCCCGTACATACACGAGCCCTGCCACCCGCGCCCCCGCCCGCGCCCTGCCACCCGCGCCCTGCCACCCGCCCATCTACAAGGCAGTCACCGCCACGCCCGTCCTGTCCCTTCGCAAAACACCTCTCTCATGCATACTTTTCACTCTCTCTCCTCTCTTGCTCTTCTCCCCCTCATGTCAGTATGCCCCTGACCCGCCTGACCTCCCACTGCCGCCTCCCCATTTTCCTCCTCCTCCTCCTGGCCAATACAGGCCTCCTCCTCCCTCCCTTTCCCCCCATACGGTAGTTCACAGCCTCTGCTATCTCCCTCCCCCTCCTCCCCCACCTCCTCAGAACAGCCGCAGCAGCTTCCCCACCAGCGCCCCCAGCAGCAGCACCCCCAGCCCAACCGCCAACAAACTGTCCCGCCGTACTGCAGCAGTGATGGTGGAATACGACACGCCGCTCCCCAGCCGCAGCAGCGCGGGTTTGGGGCCGTACAGGAAGGGTACGACCTTGGACAGCAGCGAGCCCAGCAGCACGTGGGCTAGCAGCTGCAGGAAGTCGGGGTCGAAGGGGCCCTTGCGCCTGGGGGTGGGGTGAGGGTGTGAGGTGGGGGGAGGTGGGGGGGTTTGGGTATGAGGTTGGGGGGGGTTGAGGTATGTATGGTGGGTGTGAGGTGGGGGGAGGGGTTTAGGTAGAGGGCTGTACACGCGGAGGGTGGGCGGGCTGGCAGGGTAGTGAGAGGAGGTGGGGCCAAAAGGCGACCTCAGCGTGGTGACCCATGGGTTTGGGGCGACCCATGGGTCAGGGTTTCCCCATCACCCCCCCCCCCAGCCCCACCCCCACCACTTCCCACCTGAAGAAGCTGTACGCCTTGCGGTCCAGTTCGTACAGGCTGTGTACGTCATCCCGCCGCAGCTCGTCGAAGCGCTCGGGTACGGCAGCTAGATCGCCCCGGGAGTCGGTGAGTGCCTGGGGGGGGGAGGGAATTGGGGGGTGGGGGATGTGATAGGTGGGGGGAGAAGGTGGGGGGAGAGAAGATAGGGTGCAGAAGGCGTCGCTTCCCTCCTTCCCCTCTCAATGTCGTCTTTTTACCTTTCTCATTCAAAACATTGTGGTGTTCTTCTTTTCACGCCCATCCCGCATCCCTTCTCCTCCTTCCCCCCTCCCCCCTCCCTCATCCCCCCTCACCTTATTCAGCACCAGGCACGACTCCAGCGCGCTGTTCGCCCCCTGCCCGAACACCGGCGTCACCGCATGGGCCGCATCCCCCAGCAACACGCAGGCGGGGCCGTACAGCCGGCTAACCCGCACGCGCTTGCCCGCGGGGTTGGCGGGCGCTGCTGCCAGCTGCGCCGCTGCTGCGGGCAGCCACTCGGGCGGTATGCCTGCGAACTTGGCGCGCATGATGGCTTCGTAGTCGGCGGGAGAGTGAAGCGCGCGGAAGCCGCCTGGGGGGGGAGGGAGGAGGTGGGAGGTGGGATGGGGCAGGGGGATGAAAAGAGGAAACTGTATGACGAGCTGTATGACGAGGCTCGAAGGGATGGGGGAGGGGGGATGGAGAGGGTAAAGAGAGGAAGTGGGGGCAGGATTGGGAGAGGGAGGGAGGTGTGGGGATAAAGAACCCCACCACCCCTCACCCGTCTGCAGCGAGAAGGTGCCGCTGTAGGTGCCGTCGGGGTTGGAGTGCGCGGTGAAGGCGGTGAAGGGGTCGTCGCTGGTGAAGAGGTGCAGGCTGGCGCCGCTGCGGCCCCGGAACTCGGGCGGCTCCACTCCCCGCCCGCCGCGCAGGTTCATGTAGACCTTGGGTGGGGTGGGGGTGGGGGGTGGGGTGGGGGAAAAGAGGGTGAAGAGGTGAGGAAAAAGAAGAATGAGAAGAGGAAAGGAGGGTAAGGAGGTGAGGGAGGGGTACCAAGAAAGGGACTACCGGTAGCGAACTGTGTGCGACACCTGACATGTTGACATGTACACTCCGCCAGGTGGTCATAACAGACCAAACCACAGGAAACTGGTGAGGCGAGGCAGGAAGGGCTGCCCATGAAGGGGAGGAGAGAGCCGGTTTGATCTCCCTTTTTGACTCCCCTCTCCTCTCCCCCTCCAAACGTCAACCCTCCTGCTGTTTCCTCTTTCCCCTCAACCCCTTTCCCCGCAACCCCCCCCCCTCCCAACCCCCCCACCCTACCTTGTACTCCCGCCCGCTGTCGTCCACCTCCACTCCGAACCCCGCCGTCTGCGCACACAGCGCCGCCCGCACCGGACTGCCCACCCCGTCCGCCCCCACCAGCAGGTCGTAGGCCACCTCCCGGCTGGGGGCCAAGATCCCGCCCGTCTTGCTGAACACGACCTGGGGGGGAGGGGTAATGGGGAGGGGGGGAGGGAGGGAGTGCAGGGGAGGGAGAGGGTAAGGGTGAGGGAGGGAAGGACGGCGAGGAGCAGGTTTTGGTGGAAGGAAGGACGAAAGGTGACTTCTCTATCTGCTTCCGGCGGTCTTCACCCTCCTCTCTATCGCTCTCTCTGGCTGCCTGGCCACCCTATACCGCCACCCTGCTGCCTCCGCACCCCCACCCCCCACCCACCCCCCACCCCACCCCCCACCCACCCCCCCCCCCCCCCCCCACCCACCCCCCCCCACCCCCACCCCGCACCCCCACCATCCCGCACCCCGCCCCACCTTCTTCTCCGCCAGGTCAATCCGCTCCGCCGCCGACTGGAAGTGGAAGGCGATGCGACCCGGGTAGCGGCTGCGCGCGGTGTCGATGAGCCACTGCGACAGGCTGCTGCGGCTGAATGTGACGTTGCCCTCCTCCTTGCTCACCCGGACCTGGGGGGGGGGTGGAGTGGGGGCAGGGGAGGGAGGGAGGGAGGGGAAGGAGGGAGGGGAGGGAGGGAGGTTCGGCTTTAAACTCATGAATGCGGGCATGCATTTCGAGAAACGCCATCACCTGCAATGTGCCGCCCCACCGCCGCGCCCAACCAGACCCACCCCCAGGTGCCCATTCGTCACATTCCGCCCATTCGACCCAGCCCAACACCCCTCCCCCCCTCGACCCCCTCCTCGACCCCCCCCCACCTTGCCCTTCTCGTTGTGGCTGACGGTGCCCAGCGTGCGGAAGTGCTCGTCCTCCGGGAGCTTCACTCCCAACTACAGGGGGGAGCGGAGGGGAGAGCGGGGGAGAGAGGGGGAGGAAACGGGAGGTGGGGCAGAGGGGGATCATGAGGAAGGGAAAGGAACAAGGGACACGAGAAGGCCTGCAACGGAGGCCTGTGTTTGAGAAAGCACAGCCGCTTGTCGTCATCCCTCCCTCCCCTGCCGCCTTCCCTTCACCCTGCACCCTGCTAGCCATCACCCTGCACCCAGTCCAGCCCAGCCCAGTTATCGCGCAGCAGGCATTGGACCTAGGGTGCATGGCATCCCTGCCAAACCCTCCCCTCTCTCCTCTCTCCCTCGCCCCGGCCCCGCCCAGCCCACCTCCTTCAGCGCCGCCTGCCCCCGGGGTATGAGGATGATGATGTAGGCCCGGCCCGTGTCCACCATGTCGTTGCGCGGCTCGGGGCGCCGGTCGTACACCTGAGGGGGGGAGAGGGACAGGTTAATAGGGATACGTATTCCGCATTAGGCTGGGGTAGGGGGAGAGAGGAGGGGGGAAGGAGGGAGGTGTGTGCGCTTGTGGTCACACCTGCCCTCTCTGATGCTGCCCATCTCTTCCATGCTGCTAACCGCTTCCTGCCCTCCCACCCCTACCCCTTTTCTACACCCTCTCGCCCTCACGGCCCCCGAACCCATCCCAATCCCTCTCTACCGACGATTGCCCTTCCTGCTCCCTCCGACCCTGCTCCCCCCTCCTTCCCCCCCTTACCCCCCCTCCCCCCCCTCACCTCCACCATGAACCCCTGCCGAGCCAGGAACATGGCGGCTGTGGAGCCCGCCGGCCCCGCGCCCACCACCACCGCCTTGCGACCCGTGTAGGGCCCACCGGGCAGGTCGTCCACGGAGGAGAGGGCGCGCGGGTAGGGGTTCCTGGGGGGGAAAGGAGGGAGAGGAAGGAGGGGAGGGAGGGGGTGGGGTGGGCCAGGGCGGAGAGGAGGGCCAGGGCCGACCGACTGGGTGAGGAGGCATGCAGGGCCCCAGCCGTCGCCTCCTGTTACGGACCACCGCTCCCGACCCCAGCCCCCACGTTGAGACCCCGGGGCATGTGCGCTGCGCAGCTTGGGGTGCACATGGATGGTGAGAGATGTGGGGAGGTGGGGTGTGCCGGGGTGGCATGCGGGTCAAGGAGAGGCCCCAACATGACAGTGGGAGTGCGGGTGCAGGGGGGACCGGGGACCAGGGATGCGGTGGCGCTGGGGCACTACCGTAGGCAGGCGGACTAGGGAGGTTCGCGGGTAGGGTTTGCAGGGTAGGCCGAAGGTTGCCGCTGTAGAAGGCCCATCGTAGCGCCAAATCTTTATGTCTATGCCAGCCCAGACACTTTTACTGGAAGGCGTTGTGCACAAAGTTCGGCCAATTTCATGGAATACGATGGGCCAAGTTGCCGCCACTAGTAAGGTTTGCAGGCAAAGCTATGACATGTAAAATCGCCATCGTGTGCTTACTGCTCGCGAATGTATCGCTCCGCTTCGTTGTAGCCATTCCATCCCGAGAACGAGACGCCTCGAGAGCCTCCTTCCTCAACCGCAGGACCGGTTGAGGACACATCTGCGTGTCTCGTTGTGCGTATTGTTCGGTGTTGTAATCTACACAGATGTCCGTGATGGAGGCTTCTTGGCCGGGCTTGGCCGAATGACCCACTGCATTTTAATTTATGTTGTGTTTGCATTTCACTCGCTTACGACTTGCAAGGTTTAATTAAGGTATGGCTAACAGCCCTTGAAAGTAAGGTAGGAGAACCTTTGCTTGTTATTGTGACAGTTGTACATAGGCGAGTCCTTGCTTCCAGTAATAATCACTGAGTTGAGTAGCAACGTGTTTGCTATTGAGTTGGGGGCGAGCTATGGAAAGTTGGCTGCCGGTGGCGTGCTTGCCGGTAATCCCGTGATGGTACCGGTCAGCTGTAGGCGTTACAGCGAAGAGTCACACCCCGCGAGGCAGGGAGCAAAGTGTTGCTAAACACCTAGCAATACAGCTGTTATACAGCATAAGCACTGGCAAGGCTGGCTGATTCAAACAGCAACCCCAAACTTGCTTGCCATTGTATAGCGTTGGCAGCCAAAGACCACAGCCCTCACCACTTGTTTACAATTTGCACCAATGAAAGCAACGCGCATCTAACCACAAGATTCTTAACAATCATGCGCGTACATGACGGGCGTGCTATGGAACGCACGGCACTCCCCACCACGTCTTGGCCAGCCTGCAAACGAGAGCCTACCTAGTTCCAACACCCCCTCAACTATCATTATCATACCACACTTTGGAATTCCTTTTTTCCCCTCAACTCACACCCCTATCCTGTCCTTTCTACGCTTCTTATGCAACCAACAAAACTGGCCATCTGCTTTGGCCTACAGGGTGTTCCCCGACACACAGATGATGTAAGACACATAAACTACCACACCCTCCCACGACGTCTCTAGTACCCTACGTACCCTACCACCACGTGTCACGTCCTACAACAGCTACCGGTCTACAACGGCCGCCAGGATCATCTCCCACATCACAGCAGCGTTGCGCCCTCTCCCGAGGCGCCTTGGGCGTCCACACAGCCACCAGAGTCCTCGTGTTCACAACACCACGACCAACAACCTCCAACCTCACGGCGCGTCCTCCGCTCCATCTCTCAGGGGGTTGCTTTCCTTTCGCACTGCTCTTATATAGATGAGCCGCGAAAGCGACACACACGCACAATCCGGCAACAACCCAGTACGTTCCAATTCGCGGTTAGTTTAGATAACAGACAGACGCGCGTCAATGATACTACCGCGCCTTCCGTTCTCCTCGTTCCTCGCAACAGTTGCGCATACAGACAATTGACACCATCTAACCTAGGGCGGCGCGAAATGTCTCGCCTCTGTCCTAGACGCTACTTTCCTACTGCTGCTGCTGGTGCTGCTGCTTTTCCTCCTTGACTGTTCTGACCAATCTAGTCTGTCTATCACAAATCCAAACACGCACGTCTCCGAACAACTACACCCTGTAGTACCATTCATTTGCTAAGACGCCAGGCAGGCAAGAAGGCAGGCAGGGACCGAAGAACAACCTTCCGGCCAACCTCCCAGCTGCCAGCCAAAGCAGGGTGCTTCCAGCCCCGCTCTCCACAACAACCGCCTTGCTAGCCGCAACGCCCCTCCTTACACTTCTCCGAATCCCAGCACCCCAACGCCCCCAGTACGGCAGACCGGAGACCCTCCCGCCCCTCCTCTCCACAGCGGAGGAGCAACAACAGCAGCAGGCTGGCAGGCCAGGCGGCTCCCCCCCACCACCACCATGATGACGCCTTATCACACGGTCAGTTATTGGTTCCTCTTTACCCCCCGCCCACCTAGCAGCCATGCGGCACCCTGCTGCTGCTCGCCACCAGGACCCGGGAGGAGGGCCGCAGGTGCGGCACGGAGCGAGACCGCTGCTGGTGTTGCTGCTGCTGCTGTCGCGAGTTGTGGTGGTGCTGGTGCTGGTGCTGCAGCAACATGCGGGGGTAGGGACCGGGCGACCTAGGACCCGGGGACCTGGGGTTGTCAGGAGGGTGCAACTGCTGCTGCTGCTGCTGCTGCGGTTGCGGATGCGATTGCGGAGTCAGCTCGAGGTGTTGCGGGTGAGGGTGTTGGTTGTGAGGGTGGTGGTGCGGGTGAGGGGGGTGCGGAGGGGTGGGGAAGTGCAGGGTGCGATGGTGGCCCAGACTGCCAACCATGGAATGCTGCTGTGGTAGCAGCAGCGGAGGGCCGCCGCAGTGACCCATGGGTCCGAACCTGGAGGCTCCCGGCGAGGGCGTTGCTGCCAGGTAGGGGTGCGGCTGCGAGGCGGAGGAGGCGTGCAGGGGCCGGCCTGACAGGAAGGCTAGCAGCCTGTACGCGAGAAAGAGGGACATAAGCAGGGGCGGAGGGAGAGGCGTGACGATAAGGGCGAGCGAGGAGGAGGAGGGTCAGATAGCCGCAGTGTGACAGAGAGGTAAAGGTCGGCCCTGCCCTCTCCAAAATACACACATCACGCTAGCAGCGCACTGCATCTTCCCCTTGCGATCAGCCGCATGCACCTCTATCCACTCCTTATCCCACCCTCTCTTCGCCCCTTCCCTCCCCGCCCCGCTCACTTGTCCTGCAGCTCCTCACACTGCGCCCCCAGCCTCGCCCTCGCAGCCCGCTCCGCCGCCAGCTGCATCCGCAGCGCCTGCGCCTCCAACAGCGCCTCGCCCTCGTTAATCGCCAGCTGCTGCACCGCGGCGTCCCGGGCACTCGCACGAGCCCTCAACCCCTCGCGCTGGTGACTCAGACTGCCCAGTTGCGTCGTCAGCGCCAGGATGTCCATGTGGGCGAGCTGCAGCTGCTCTCGAAGGAAGCGTACGGCAGCCGCAAGCGACTCGGGACTGTGTACGGAAGCGGCGGAGGTTAGCTCGTCCCACTCGGCGTCCGCTAGATCAAACAGATCTGAATCTGCCTCACTACCGCCGTACACGTAGTGAGGATCTCCATGCGTTCCGCCGCCGCCGCTAGCGCCCATGCCGCCCTTGATGACAGAGGAGGCAGCGCCACGCAAACTGCCCACCCTCAAACTGCCAACATGGCTGTGACAGGGACTGCAAGGGGAGGATCGAGGGCTGCATGGAGGCGTGGCGATACGTCCTGCCGCCGCTCCCGCTCCAGCTGCTGAGGTTTTCGGAGTCATGCCGCACGACTTGCGGCGGGACGGGCTGCCGTACAACATCCCACCAGTTGCCGTACAGTCCCTGTCATCCTCATCTTCACCGTACTCATCAGCGGCACCGAGATCCTCAGCATCTCCTTCGTCATCGGATGTCGTACAGTAACCGTACATGTCCTCCTCATCAAACGCTGCGAGCGCGTCTTCCGCGAGGACGGGGGCGCTACGGCAACTCCGCAAGGTGGTGGTGGTGGGTGTGGTGTTGCTGCGCCTGGAGGCATGCTGCAGTAGGATTGCAGTAGCTTCGGGTTCGGTGTCAGCCTCCGCATCCTCCCCCTGGAGGCCCCCTCCGCGCTTTGGCAAGATGGCGCTGCCATTACCACCCCCACCGCCACAAGCGTTGGCAATGGGTGCCCACCTGACATGGTGCTGCTGCTGCTGCTGTTGACCTAGGGGCTGCGGCTGTAACGAATGCTCCTGCTCCAGCTGCTCCTGCTGCTGCTGCTGTAGTTCTTGGATGTTGCTCGTCGGGTGCTGCTGCTGCTGGCATGATGGCCGCCCGCTGCGGCTGCTGCCGCTGCCCTTCTCCAGCTCCACCTCCTCCTCCTGCCGCCCTGCGTCCTCGCATGCTGGTTGGGGCATGGGCGGCAAGGGCAGCAACCCCTTGACTGCCTTCTCCTCCTCCTGCTGCTCCACTTCCTCCTCCTCGCTCTCCGCCTGCCCTCCCGCCTGCATCCGCAGCAGCAGCGGCTCCAGTCGTCTCCGCCAGGGCTCGGCTGATACACCGGGTGCCAGCGGGCAGCTGACAGCACCTTGCTCTTCCACCTCCTCCTGGCCCTCCTCCTGCTCCTGCTGATGTGTCACGAGCAAGTGCAGACGCACGTGGCGGTGCTTCCCCGCGCCTACAACACCCACCGGCGCCGCTGCTGCTGCCGCCGACTGAACCTCCTCCTCCCCCTGCTGCTGCTGCTGCCCCTGCTGCTGTTCCTCTTCCGGCCGCTCCTGCCGTGTCACCAGCCGAACCCTCACACACGGCTCCTCCCGCTGCTGCACCTGCCCCTGCTGTCTCTCCTCCTGCTGCTGCACCTGCGTGTTCCACCACCCCTCCTCCTGCGGCTGCTGTCCCAATCCACCACGCCACAAACCCGACGGCAGCTGCCCCCTGCCGCTCACACCCTCCTCCCCTCCTGACTGCAGCCCACCCAGCCTCCCGCCCGCCTCCACGCCACCCCTTCCAACACCACCGGCAGTCAAGGCCGTACGGCCCCCAGCCACCACACTCGCGCAACAGCCGTTGCCTCCCAGCATGGAAACGTACGACAGGAGCCCCCGGCACTGCCGCTCCAGACGCGAGCACTGCGCGGCCAGGGCGTCACGCTGCCGAGACAGGGTTACCAGGGCTGCGAAATCGGTGGCGGGGCAGTGCAGCAAGTGCGGAGGTGGCAGCGGTAAAGGAGGAAGAGGAGAGGCGGCGTGCTGGGAGGTGAAGGGTGAGGCGGCGAGGGAGGCGGGGGCGGATGCGGAGGAAGAGGTGGGCGCGAAGGCAGGCGGGGCGGCGGCGGGAGCAGCGGCGGAGGCTGCGGAGGTGAGGATGAGGGGCGCTGCGACTGCTGCGGCGGTTTGCTGGAGCCGGCAGAGGGAGCGCTCCAGGGAGACGGCGGCGGTCCTGGTGGGAGAGGGGAGGACAGGAGGTGGGATGAAACCCGTTGAATGTGGTGAGTGGACAGCTGCAAAGCCTGGGTACCGAGGATTTGCTGTGCTGTAAGCTATTCCCAGCCAAGCTCTAAGCTTGCGCCCAACTGAAGCTTTTTTTTCTAGCACGTGTTGGCGTGGGGTTTCCTGGCTAAGTGGTCATAGTAACGAATTTCACATTGATATGTCGTACCTGTTGTTATCGTACTGCGCTAGCGCTCTCTTCCTGAGCTCCTCCTGCAGCTGCCGTACTTGCTGCTGCAGCCGGGAGCACGTTCGGGAGTCCGGCTGGGCGGCCCTGCGGAGTGGATGGAAGTGGGGAGGGACTGGGAAGTTGAAAGGTCGCGACGACACATGGCCGTGGCAAGAGAAGGAGCATCAAGCATCAACTACGACGGTGCTTTAGGATGCCCGAAAGCCACTCCTAGCTGAAGAAGTTGCTGCCCTTCCTTTCAAATACCATGACATCGGTGCGTATCACTCACCCTTCGCTTTCTGTGCTGATGTCGCTTCCTCTTCCGCTTTCAGGAGTAGCTGCAGACGAGCCGGATTCCGCTTCATCAGCAGTTGCCGCAGCAACATCAACCACCTGCTCCGAGGGCGCACAAGCGCTGCTGCCCTCCGCTATGTCTTGCATCAGCAACACTTGGCGTGAATTCGCCCCATCGGCAGATGGAGTGCTCGGTCGGCTGTGGTGTTGCTCTTGCTCGTAAGCGCTACACACTCCAGCCGTTTCTGAGGCCGCAGCACCAGCCCTGGCTGCGGAAAGCGCTTCCGCAAGTCGGGGATCAAAGGGCGCGCCAACTTTCTCGGTTGAGGCAATGGATGCCTCGATAAGGTGCGCGATCAGCCGGAACTGATCCGCCTGGCTTCGCTGCAACCCATCGTTATGATGCTTTGTCGGTGAGATGTCGTGTGGCTTGGCTTCAGGGCCCCCGGGCGCCCGGTAATGCAGCTGCAGAAGGGCCACGATGTCGGGAGATGTCGGGCTGGACGCGAAAAACGACCCCTCAGGTGTTGGATTGTCTGTTTGTGTTGCGACATCCGATGCGTGATGTGTAAGCGGTGGCCGCTGCTGCGATGGTGCGGATATATAGTAGCGGAAGGCGGCTTCCCGAGCAGCTCCTCCAATGAACAGTTGCTTGGAAACCGATAGCGACCTTGTCGACGCTGAACCGCCCAGTGATGCCGAGTAACGGCGCTCAGATTTCGGGCTGGAGGGACAAAAGGCTGGGTGGTGTCGCCCGACCGGCGTGTTCGCATTCTCGGCACTTGCAATGCTTAGGAAGAGGGTTTTCTTTTGTAAGAACGACAACGCAGAAGGATCTAGCGTTGCGTCTCCCATTTTTGCTCGGAAACGCTGGACTGGCGACACAGTCAAAAAGAGCAACTAAGCCAGAGACTACAGGTTACATCTTAGCACAGTTGAGGTATTTGAAACATATGTGCAAACGGGAAGCTAGCCGAGTAAGTGATCCTTTTGAAGTGGCTGACTACTGACAAGACTTTATCCAAAAAGTGCACAATTGCCTGCAATTACGCAATAGTCAGTATATGAAGGTAAAGCGGATACAATGTTTCTTGCTGGCGTTACTTTCATTTCTCCATGCCGGAGATGGATTGCGAACGCTACCGAAGTAACCGTCCTATGTCGGCACATGAGTTACACGCCGACAATCGTATCTTGTTCATGCAACCTAAAGCAGCAAGTTCCATTTACTAAAAGCGCAATGGCTCACTGCGCAAAGCGCAAAGTGCCGTGCCTAACCCTGCGTGCATGCAGCGTTCGTGATGCCGCCCCTCTGCCCCCCCTTCACTATCGTCCTTGCCCTGCACCGATTGGCCCCATCCGCTCGATGCTATGTCCCTTTTTATGCCCCTATGGATGCCCCTCGTCCTCGTCCTCCCATCTCCCGGACTGCCCATTGTTTTTCGTACAATTGCTGCCCCATCCCCTGCATTTCCCACTGCCATTTCCCAGCCATTTCATACATACCCACCGCGCCGTTTTTCAATAGTGCCGTCCCGCGTGATATAGGCTTTTTGGTTCATTTATTCTTACAATGCACTTTTCCGTCTGCCGCTATTCCTTCCCTAGTACTACTACCAACGTTTCCTCCTTTCCACCTTCCCACATGTTTCGTCCCTGGCTGGCCTCGCTCTGGATTGGTCCCTGGACATGGCGGCTGGCCCTTCACGTGGTTTCCCGGTACACACCTCTTTGTGTACCTAGGTACGTGTTTTAACATGTGTCGGTCTGTGTTGTTTTTTATGAGTGCTCGTGTTGTGCTGTTCCTGCTATTGGCGTATGCCCCACGGCGCGGTGGGTCTCCACCTCACCTTCAGCAGCCTCCACACATGCCCAAGCCTATGGTAAGGTTTCTCCATAATTGGTAAGTTCGGTCAGTTTAGCTCGCTTTGCTTTCACCACCATTTCGGCTCGACTCACGGTTCATTTCACCAGGGATTGTCAGCAACTTATATCATTATCACACCACACTTTGGAATTTCTTTTTTCTGCCCCCCCTTCACCGTAAACCCTTCAGCCTCGGCGAAGCAACAGGCATACGTTTCCAGGTGTTAGCGCATCGCAGACGGTGCCGTAGATTTCTTGCTAGCTGCCGTGGTGCTTGGGCGCGCTTGCATGGGTGTATGGCGAATCGGCCCATCCTACTCGGGCTGCTCACGCGTATGCGCTTTTAAACTGCCGTTGTAATTAATATCGGTGGTCTCAGATGGTCATCCGTCGGCCGGGGTTGTGGCCTTCCATGTCCCACGGTGTAGCGCCTAGCGGATGGGGGTGTTCGCTTGTGTTTAGTTTCTCAAATAGTACGGATGGGCTTCCTGGATGACAGTACTCAATCAAGGGGGTAAACCGGCAATCGAGGGTGCTGTCAGCACAATCGTGCATCTCGAACATGGGTTGGGGCTTCGGGACATGTGGTTTAGGGGTGGAGCTCTCGGTTGGCGTGTTGAGGCGACATACGGCCAGTGATGGCTTTGGATATTTTACTCTTGCATGTTAAACTGCATTTGGTGTCGACTGCCGCTGCTAACTTTTCTACGCGCCAGCCTCTGCGTTAAGCGTAGACTGCGCTACACACTACCGGTATGTTCTCAGTTGGGTGCCGTGTGAGAAGTGACCGTGCTGCCGTGTATCACGTGCCGCGATTCGGGGTATTCACAAGGACGATGCTGGTAAGCAAACCATCTGCATCCCGCAGTCATGGGCCCCTAGCTGAACCAAAGGCTGCTTAAAAAGGGCCAGCAGGGCAGATCTGGTGCGCTGCTAACCGCTGAGAAAACCAAGCATGATACCATGTGCTAAGTGTGTTATGCGAAATGAAGCCGATACAGCAGCAAGCTGCCAGGTAAAGAGCCAAAATCCGAGGCACTGAGGTCCAGTTACAGACGGTTTTGCCATTCTAGCCTTTCAAGGCCGCTTAGGAGGTGGGCGCCTTGTTGAGGACAACGCCGTCGAACTCCTGCTGGAACCTGTGGACGGCAAAAGAGGGTCAGGAGGGGCATGCCGGGGTTAGGAGGGGTTTGAAAACATTTGCTACATCATATACAGGGCAAGGTCGCAGCTACAACATCTCAGCCGTGCTACGTCGGAACAGGGTCCACCACAGTAGGAAAACCGACTACAGCAACACGGATTCGAGTGACAGTGGCAGTGATGCGCTTTCCATGGTCGGGTCATTGGCTTGGCAGACAAGACTAATACCCACGTCTTAAAACACCGGCCTTCCTAGCAGACCACGACAGGGAAGGCGTGTGCAGAACGCCCGTGTGTCCTAGTCAACACACTCGGAGCCACAACGGGACATGCGGCTCTATCCCGGTAAAAGTAACCGACCGGGGTCGTGCAAACCCACCCTCACTCCCATAAAACCTATGCTGCTTCCACCCTTACGCCGCCATTTACTCGTACTCCGCTAATTCGCTTGCCTAAAGGTCATCCAACTGTGTAGTTCCCCGACGTCAGGATACCAGTCAGTGAATACGTACTTCCCAGCCCAACCTTGCCTCCAACCGGTCTCCACTCACCACTTGACGGCGTCCTCCTTGGTCACCTTGTGCTTGACGCCCACCCGCGACTTGCACTTCCGGCGGCGGGCCACGCGGTAGCCTCGCCTCTCCAGGCAGACGTAGAAGTCCATACCTGAGGGGCGACATCACAACCCCGTGCGTGGTAAATGATAAGCTACGGCTGAGTAACCAAGAGACCTAGAGAGCACGCCTCAAACGCCCATGCGTTGTAGGTTAGCGGATGAGCCCATGCAGCTGTCCGCCAGTAGCCCATGCATGCCAGCGCGCTGTGGCTGTGGCGGGGCTACAGCTCCGGCATTCCGCAGCCGTCACCCCAAGCATGACTGGCGCCGGTCGCGACTCCTTTTACTGCGCGCCTGTGGCCCATAGGCTGAGAGGTACAGGCCGTAAGCTGCTGCGGATGACCAGCTGCTGCTGCACGCGGGAAGCGCCGTGCGCTTCCATCCGCGCAAAAATGCTCGCTGCCTGGTTACGCCAATGGCCGCTCTCCACTGCAACTGAAGCTGTTTGCAGAATCCCTGTACCTGACTAGCGATGGATCTCATAACAAAGCAATGACCACTTCAGCGCTCACCGTAAATGCCGGTCGACGGGTCGTACTTCAGGCCCAGGTCAATGTGCTCCTGGATGCCGAAGCCTGCAGGACAATGCTTTGTGGTCAATCGCTAGCAGCCAGCAGCCGCCGCAATGTAGCCATGCTCAAAAGCCGCAAGGCTTACCGAAGTTGCCGGTGTCAGAGAAGTTCTTGCGGATGAGCTCGAACTCCTTCACGGCCAGGCCACGCTTCTGCAAGTTGCGAAGCCGAGCACATTAATTGCATCCCAGCTGACGGCCCAACCATGTTGCTTTGCATCCAGCCCATAGTATTTAATATTAATGTAGCTTTCTATTGATGTAGATTCCAATGGAGCTGGCGCTCACCACGAGGTCATAGGCCTTCTCGCCGCGCACGGTCACAGAGCAGGCAATCTTCTCATTGCGGCGAATGGCGAAGGAGCGAACGGTGTAGCGGGCCTTCCCGTACACAGGGACCTGGGAGGTCAGCTGCTCCAGCACCTACAAAGGGTTGCGCCGGCTTAGCATCGGCGCGGCAGGCTCCAACCTTCCAAAGCTGTTTACCTTAGCGGCCTTCTGCAGCCTATCGCCGGACTCGCCGACGGCAATGTTCAGCACGAGCTTGCTGATGCGGATTTCCCGCATATCCTTGGTGTTCTTGCGCTCCGCCTGCGGACGCCAGCAGCGATGTTTAGTGCGGCGCCGCCGTTATTGCTAAATAATATACATAAACGCACCATCTTTGCTGCCGCCCCCTGCCAGGTAACAGAGAGGAAAGGACTAAGCAAAGGTTCAGCGAGCCCCTTCAGAGGGGCCGGCGGGGCCCTATGCTCGCTGTACGGCTACCTTCATTTTTCACACAATTGCTGCTCTATAACCGCTGTAACGTTGCCAGTTAGATACGCTATAGCCATGGCGCAAAGGTATAAGCAGGGAGGCAAAGATGCGTTGAAAAGAAGGCGCATCTACATTGGATGCGGTTTGCTTCTGACCTGTGAAGTGCAAGGGATGTGCTTAATATAGCTCCTACAATGTCAAAATATTGTAGGCCTTCAGTGGAAATTAAAGGAGAACCCCTGCGCCTATGGCCTGCCACCATACCACGTGGGGTAAGCGCATAGGCAGCACCAACGGCGGGACCTGCCACGTAGCGGACAGACGCTCCCTTGCGAAACCTAAATTTCCGTCAACTAGGGAGCCTACTATGGCCCCTAGCACGTGTGGGCCCCAGTCCAAAGCCCTCATAATTGCAAAACTCCTAGGTCCAAACCGTCACTCGAACACAGCTACCCAAACGCCACACATTGGCAGTAGCCAGCACCTATTGCAAGCCCTCTGGGACAGGTGACACATGGTCAGGAGAGCACGTCATCCGCTGGCCAGCATACATGGCCGCCCTGCCTGGGCCTCTCATGCAAGCCCCATGAGACTAGCCTAGCAGTGCACCCAGCACAGTACCTGATACATTGAGTTCCAAAACAGAGCTGTAACACACGAGGGTCATCACATGCAATGCATCGCACACAGCCCACGCACGCATTACTACTAATATATAGTATACCTACGCCATTTGTACACATACCTAGCACCGTAGCATAGCCTCCTGTCCTATAACGGGTACCTACGAGTCCGGGCGAAGTGTTGACCCCTCCCCCCTCACATAAGACTTCCTACTTCGACCCATAGAAGGGGTTGCGGGTTCTATTCCACTGGCAGCCCTCACGCCTCCTGCTGCTCTCCCTCCTGTTGCGCTACGGCTCCCTCCGCCTCGGGGTCCCATTCCGTAAGGTCATCCGGCTGGTACACCGCCATGCAGTGGTGGTCGTACGCCAGCTGCATGAAGCTCTCGTACTCGGTGCTGGCTACCAAGTAATCGATAGCAGCGAAGTGTAGGTGGGCCTCGTCGTCTTGTGCTGCGCTGCATGCAGCACAGACGTCCTGCAGAGGCGGATGCGCATTATGGGCGTGGAGCAGGGATGGAGCAGGGCCTCAGGCTAGGCTGCATGTTGGACGGACTTGCAGTTGATAATGCGGGCTAGACGTGGCCAGAATGCTGAATACCCATGGGGGATGTCTGAGGGAGCCAGCTGCAGCCCTCTAAGGGTTGCTTTGCACTACTGGGTGAGGAAGACGCAGCACGATGATTGAAGAAGACGCCCTAGGTACTGGAAAGCAGCTTATTAAAAGTCACGTTGGCGCGTAAAAGAATTGAGTAATCTACTGTGATACCAGGATCACATGAAACCTGACTCGCAGTGCTCGTTGCCTCTTAATGCCAGCATGACACCCACCTTGACCGTGAGGCCCTCGCTTTGAATGAACTCCTCAAGCTGCCTCTCTACTAGCTGTGTATACTGCTTGAAAATATCAAAGTTTTGTAGAGGTTGCTCCTCGTCAAGGGGCACAAACTGCACCAGCGGTGTCTGCTCGCTCATGAAGTCCCCGATTGCGCAAGTGAATTTGGGCGAGCAGAAGAAATCCTGAAGGGCCAAACAGGAAAGCGACAAGTTGGTCATCTAGTTCTGGTATGCGCGCCAGAACAGGGCATGTCACCTCAAGCTTTTCGAGGAGCTCCGTTTGTGCAACCATCTTTTTCGTAACTGCGGACAGGTGCGTGGTGTTCGAAAGTTTTTGCCTACTCGCTGCGTTGGGCAGTTGCTTGGGCAGAGCGATGGACGCAACATGCATGAGCTGTACGACAGAATGTTTCAACCCAGGCGCACTACAATATTCCAAGTGCAACGAAACAGTCTCCCATAGGCGGTTCTACCGTTAGCTCGGTGCACAGGTTTGGGAGTTCACAGTATTATACATGAGCAAGCCCAACAACGCGTGACCTACTATATCCAGGGTATACCACAATTGCTGCTATGTCATCTCATACAAAATAATTACGTGTCCTGGGTTACCGATGCACCAGGAGCTGTAAGACCAACCTGATCGTTAGGGCCGCCACGCCGGAACCCGTTTAAGGGCCGACCGCTGCTGCTAGTAGGCCATCTGCATACGCCCTTGTGGCCCCGTGCGTGGGCGGGCCGCGGATGAATGAGGGGTTTCCTTCGCCAGCTGGTCTGGTGGCTGCCAGCCGGCATCGCCCTCAACGACACAGTATGCAGCGTCTTGGTAGTGGAGGGGCAATCGATGTCCCCCACCTTGTGCGGGGACAGCGGTAGCGCAGACATCGTGATCGTGGAGAAGGTCTCGTACAAGTGGCTTCACAAGTACCAGCGGGGTGACGTGGCCGTACTCTGGTAAGCTGGACTCGCCGTTGTGAGCCATCTGGGTGCGCCTTCGGTCCAACCGTACACCCTGCTTCTTTCCCCGCGAGTAGCGGTTTTGGGTCGGGGTACGTCTTCCTGCCCGGGCGCCATCTGGGTTGTAACTGCCCGACCCGGGCGCCTGCACTGGGTAGCCCTTTCCGGGTTTAGGGTCTGGGAATACAACCCAGGAGGAGGCTGGGTTGGGGTCTGCAAGCCAGGCTACCGATTCCCTCTCGTCTCTCCTCCTCCGGCCTGGCCTCCCCTGTTCTCGGGGTCCGTGTTCTTGTCCTGCCCGTCCTACCCTTCCGCCCACCTAGCGCCGGACCCCCATGCGCACACTCCTCCCAGCGACCTGCCTCGGACCCCGCGTGGGGCCCCCCACACTCTGGGCTATCCCGCCGCCAACCCCCACACCTCCCTCCCAGCAGGGCTACCCCTGCCACGCCAGCAATGCTCCACATGCAAGTCCCTCCCTCCTCCGTTCCCCCGCCCCGCCCCACTACGGCTAAGCTTTCCTAAGGCCCCACCCCTCCTTCCCCGCCTGCCCCCCTGCCCGCAGGGCCCCCGACCAGCCGCACCAGCAGCTGGTGAAGCGCGTCATCGCGTTGGAGCAGGACATCGTGTGGGACAGCGAAAAGAACAAGCCCACCAAGATACCGCAGGCAAGGGGGGCGGAGGCGGAGGAGGAGGAGGCAGGGCCCTCACACGTGTGTTAAAATAACTGGCCGCGAGTAGGAACACGTGTGTGTTCCTACTCTCCCTCCCCTCTCCCCCCACGTGTGTGTGGGGGGAGAGCACAGGCGGGGTACAGTTAGGGCTGAGGGGCTGGGATGGGATGGGATGGGATGGGATGAGATGGGGTGATGCGTGGGGACTGATTTGGGTCAGCAGCAGCTTACAGGCGCGGATCGGGGGTGCTAGTACAGAGCTGGTGATGGTAGATCACCCGGAGCGCCCCGGGGCGCAAGGACTGCTGGAGTAGTGCCGCCCGGTGTTTCGTCCGCCCCCGGTCGGGTCTCAGCGCTGCTCGGAACCTCCGCAAGCGGTGTGCGCAGTGAAAGCGGCACAGCCTCCGCCGCAACACCTCCTCCCCAGAGCCTCGCTCAGCTGCGGGGGTGCTCTGCAGCGAGTTTGGTCTGCCCCGGAGGCACCTGCCCTGTACTGCCAAGGCACGGACAAAGGCAGCGCGGATGCGTGCAAAGGCAGACATGCGCCCCGCATTGCTTCAGGCAGGCAGGGGCAGCAAGGGCAGCTTCCTCTCTCCCCCGGCGCACTGGCACCCCACTGACCAGCGGCAACCCTAGCAGGGCGGCGGGGAGCGCGGGTGCCGTCCTCACGGATGCCACCCCCATGGGTACGACCTGCGCCACCTGTGCCACCTCAGCACAGCCAGTGGACGTGTGTGGAACCCGTGTGTGTGCGCTCCCCCTCCACCTGCCCCCCCCTGCCCTGTCTCCCTCCCCCTCTCACCCTCCCCCAGGGTCGCTGCTGGGTGGAAGGGGACAATCCGGAGGCCAGTGGGGACTCCAGGAACATGTACGGAGCGGTGAGTGGTACGGCAGGGTATTGGGGTGGGAGGAAGTGGGGGGAGGGGCAGAGACAATGGGGGTACCGGTATGTTGCGGCGGTGGGTGTTGAGTTATGAGAGATGGGTGAGGAGGGTTGTCACTCTGGAGGGCAGATCCAGCAGGTTGGTTGCATGCTGCGTGCATGAGCGGAAAGGGCGGGCGGGGGGGGGGGGCTGGTAGTGGTAGCCCAGGTATGTGGGCTGGCGGGAAGGGGGCTGGCGGGAAGGGCTGCCACAGCAGGCGCGGAGCAACGGGGGCTGCTCAGGGATGCATGGATGCTTTCGGCTGCAGCAGGCGCGAGCAGGCGGCTCTGTGGCAGCATGTATGCATGGTGGGCAGGAGCACACCAGCCGGGCAGCCCAGCTTGCCACGCAGGGCAGCACGGCAGCACACGCCTCCAGGCGGACAGGAAGACAAATTAGAGGAGGCCGAAGCGCGCTGCTTGGCATGACCACCCAGACACCGCGTCACCTCGCGATATGGAGCTTGCCTCCGTTCTCCCAAAGCTCGAGTTCCCGACCCCTTTCCGGCTTTGCCGCCGTTCCTTTGCGGGCCGCTCTCCATCCCTCGCCGTCACCGTTCCGTACCCACCGTTGCCGTTGCCGTTGTACCATACTGTGTTGCTGCACTCCTCATCTATGTTACCCCCCCCCGGCAGGTACATCTGGGGCTGCTGGAGGGGCGCGTGACGCACGTCATCTGGCCGCCTCAGCGCTGGGCTGCGGTACGGCAGTGGTACCCGTCGGACAAGCTGATCGTGGAGGAGCAGGCGGGCAGCGGGGCGGGGCGAGGGTGAGGGTGAGGGTGAGGGGCTAGGGTTGAGGAGAGGGAAAGGAAGTGGAGAACCGGAAGGACCCCGGGGTGAGAGGGTTAGGGCCGGGTGGACGTGAAGGTGGTGGTGGTGGTGGTGAGGAAGGGGAGGGAAGCGGCGAAGGGAGGAGGAGCAGCCGAGGAGGAGGTTGTGGGCTCAGCGCTGTTAGGTAGGCTGGGGCGTTTACAGGGATGCGCATGAGGGTAATGATGGAGAGCGGGATAGGCTGGGTGAAGGCGCGGATGAGGTCAGCTGTTAGATGCGTAGTTGTGGCAAGGGGCTTGGACGGTTGGGAAGCAGGGGCAGGCGTCGGGCAACTTAAAGCTGCTGGGGTGGCGTGTTGGACTGCAGGGTGTTGGTGATTTTCCATATACCGGTACCGGTACCGACGCTGTCGGGTTTTGGCGACGAGAAGCAGGCGATCCGCTGGTGGGCATCTTTTACATGTAATACGAAGTGTTTGGTGTTGCGAGGAAAGATGCTTTTGCGAGGGACCAGGCCAGGAAAGGAGCGTCCGGCAAGATGTGCCATCCATTGTCAACACTTGTCATGCCGGTATCGTAGGCAATCTTGCGTCAACCGCAGGCAAACCTGGCCCAATTGGGTTTAGTAGTTTGAATTATGATACAGCTGAACTTATAGTCTCGCGTATGCCACCTCCTACGCGTTGCAAGAGCTAGAGATAAGCCGCCTCTAGTTGGAGCGACAGAATGCAAACACGCCGATTATCGCCGTCATGTAGCTCGGCATGTTCCACGAGCGGTAGACAACATAATTCAGGACTAGTCGTGTTGCCTTTGCGACGCAACTCACTTCGTGTGCATGCCCGAAAGCAGCACGCTGGCGATGTGAATTTTCCGCTAGCTGCCCAACAACTACCACCAGAGACCATAATTACAGACTATCCAGATGAATTGGAGGAGGATGGCCTTACTTCTGCAACGCTTGCATCGACGGATGAGGTGGAGCTGCTTACCCCGGAGGTGCTGGACTCCGACGAAGGTTCAATGGAAACAATTGATGAAGAGAATCCATATTCACCTGAGGATGCGCTGAGGTACGTCGCCGAACACAACTTGAGGCGATTAGACCAGCGGGTCGTTAAGCACTTCCAGTATTAATCCCAGGCGCTGACGGGGCCACACACATAAACACATGACACGTTGCGTATATCAGGGCCGACTACACATCTCTGTTTGAAGGATCGAGGGGAGTTGGCTGCATTTGGCATGTCCCCATTCATGTCTACCCTCATAGCCTCGCAGCCCTGATTCCTTCCGTATGAGGTTACCCAGCATGACTGCATTCCATATATTGGCGTCACTCAACCCACGCACTCCTGCCCGACCCGCACTCCAACCTCATCCACCCCTCTCCCTTCCCCCTGCCCCGCTTCTCCCCCTCCCATCCAGCTTCCCCGTCGAGGGCCTAGCCGGCGGCGAACCCGCCCTAGAGCAGCTCCTGGCCGAGGGCGGCTCCGACCTCTCGCCCGACCGCATCGCCTCCATCTTCCCCTTCCCGCTGGACCCCTTCCAGCGCCGCGCACTAGAGCTCTTCCTGGAGGGGCGCTCCGTGGTGGTCTGTGCGCCCACGGGCGCCGGCAAGACGGCCATAGCGGAGGCGGCGGCGGCGGCGGCGCTGGCTCGGGGGCAGCGGGTGATCTACACCACCCCGCTCAAGGTGATTGGTGTGGGTGGTGTGTTAAGAAAACTGGCCGCGAGTGGGAACGTACTGTGAATGCCGGAAGATGATGTGCAGTAAGGAAACTGTGTGTGTTTTACGGGGATGGGGCTCGCTCGCCTCCTCCGCTGTACGCCACCGCCACATCCCCCCAACCACCCCCGCACCCACCCCCACCCACCTCTGCGCAGGCGCTGTCCAACCAAAAGCTCTTCGAGACGCGGCGGCGCTTCGGCCACGCGCGCTGCGGGCTGCAGACGGGCGACGCCAACCTGAACCCGGACGCGGCCATCGTGGTGATGACCACCGAGATCCTGCGCAACATCATGTACCGCACCGCGGAGCTGGCGGAGCAGGGCAGCAGCAACTCGGGTGCGGGTGGGGTGGGAGGTACCGTGTGACAGCTCGAGTGCGGGTAGATGGGAGGATGGAATTGGCACAGGGGTGGGGGTATCAGGGAAACCAACGAGTGGGGGATGTGGAGGTTGTGAGGGTGAGGGTGGAGGTGGAGGGGCAGCAACACGTGTGGGTAGGGGTAAAGAGTACTGTTGGAGTGGGGGGTGCGAGGCTGTTGGAGGGGTTCTAACCCTCCCAACCCAGGCACGCATACACATGTGCCCCTTCCTCGTTCTTCCCATGCACCCCAACCCCTGCATGGCCCATGCCTGGCTGCATGCATCCCCCATACACGCAGCATCTTCCTCCTTGCCCCCATGCATCCCTCCCATGCATCCCTCCCATGCATGCATGGCACCCCTTTCTCCCCCCCCATGCATGCATGGCACCCCTTTCTCCCCCCCATGCATGCATGGCACCCCTTTCTCCCCCCCCATGTATGCATGGCACCCCTTTCTCCCCCCCCATGCATGCATGGCACCCCTTTCTCCCCCCCCATGCATGCATGGCACCCCTTTCTCCCCCCCCATGCATGCATGGCACCCCTTTCTCCCCCCCCATGCATGCATGGCACCCCTTTCTCCCCCCCCCATGCATGCATGGCACCCCTTTCTCCCCCCCCATGCATGCATGGCACCCCTTTCTCCCCCCCCATGCATGCATGGCACCCCTTTCTCCCCCCCCATGCATGCATGGCACCCCTTTCTCCCCCCCCATGCATGCATGGCACCCCTTTCTCCCCCCCCATGCATGCATGGCACCCCTTTCTCCCCCCCCATGCATGCATGGCACCCCTTTCTCCCCCCCCCATGCATGCATGGCACCCCTTTCTCCCCCCCCATGCATGCATGGCACCCCTTTCTCCCCCCCCATGCATGCATGGCACCCCTTTCTCCCCCCCCATGCATGCATGGCACCCCTTTCTCCCCCCCATGCATGCATGGCACCCCTTTCTCCCCCCCCATGCATGCATGGCACCCCTTTCTCCCCCCCCATTCACGCCCGCAGGCAGCCAGTCCACCCGCGAGGCCCGGCTGGGCGATGTGGGCCTCATCGTGTTGGACGAGGTACACTACCTGGGCGACCCCAGTCGGGGCAGCGTGTGGGAGGAGGTGATCATCAACTGCCCGCGCCACATCCAGCTGCTGTGCATGAGCGCAACCGTGCAAAACCCTGGAGACCTGGGGGACTGGATCGCGAAGGTGTGTGGGGGGAGGGCAGGGAGAGAGGTGGGTGAGAAAGGGGAAACTCCGACTGTGGCGGATGGTAACCAATCAAACCCCAAACCGCTGAACCTATCGGGCCGGACTTGAGGTGGAGGAGGCTGACCCATGGGTCGTTCTGCTCACCAGCGGCGCTCACAGTACAGGGACATGCATGCATGCCCTATATCCCCTCCCTCTCCACCACTTCCAAAAGCCTGTACAGGACGTCCTTGTAAACCTCCCGTTGAACCACCGCCACCGCCACCTCCAGCTTAACACACTTCAGCCCCCTCACCTTCTTCCTCTCCACCTGCCCTCGGCCCCCCTTTTCCTCCCTCCCTCTTTCTCCCCCCCCCCAGGAGCACATGCCCTGCGAAACCATCCAAACGCGCTTCCGCCCCGTTCCCCTGCACTGGCACTTCGCATACTACAAGCAACCCAAGGTGGGGAGCTCGGGGGTGGGAGATGGGAGATGGTGTATTTAGAAGTGGGAAGGCGAGACCCTCCATGCTATTTACCGGTAACCATGCACCGACTAAACACAGCACCGCCCACGTCTCCACACCCTCCATGCTGTAACGTCCCCTCCACGCCCTCCTTACCCCCCACGACCCTCCCACCCCTCCAACCCCCCTCCCCCTCACACACCCAGGGCGTGCACATCGACGACTTGCTCCTCACCTTCCACAGCGGCAAGCAAACACTCAACCCCAAGCTGAGCAACAAAACGGTACGGCACACAGCGCGCGTACGGCATACCTTCCCTCCCACACACACACGTTCCGACACGTGGCCAGGTTTTTTAACACACACTCATCAGTGAGGGTTTGGGTGGGTGGGTAGGCGCGCCACACAGCGTGACACACCCCAAGCCTGACAACCTGGTCTTATCTTTCTTCCCCCCTACCTCCCCCCCCACCTCCTCCCCCCTACCGCTCGCCCCTCCTACCTCCTCCCCCCTACCCGCCCGTACGTCTAGGTCCTCGCGGAGGAAGCCCGCAGCATGTTAGCCCAGGGGGCGCTCACCCCGGGCAGCTTCCCATCATACCGGGGGCGTGGAGGTGGCAGGGGTGGCAGGGGCGGCTCCAACCGCTCCTCATCCTTTTCCTCCTCTTGGTCTCCTTCCGGCTCTCGCTCCTCTCCCACAGCCTCCTTCGCCGCCTCTTCGTCTTCTTTTGATCCGGATTGGGGTGCTGGGATGGGCGAGTGGGATCTGGATCGGGAGGTGGAGGCGCTACTGGAAAGGGACCCTCAGGTGGGCGGTGGGGAAGGGGCGGGGAGCAGGTGGCACGTGGTGCAGCACGTGCATGGACAGGAGCAGGGGGATGGCCCTGGCCGCGGGCGGGGTGATGAAGAGAACCAACTAACCTTATGGCGTGCGTGTCAAACCAAGCCGTTTACCCCTCGTCCTTCCGCCTCCTTCCTCCCTCCGCCCGCCCCCCCCATCAGGCCCTGCAGCGGCGAGTGAACCTGCGCCGGCTGCCCGACATGGGTAAGACCATCGCCGCCCTGGCTCGGGGCAACATGCTGCCAGCCATCTGGTTCATACTGAGCAGGTGGGGGGGCGGGTGGGGTGGGGGGAGTTGGGAGGGTGTTGGGGTGTGAGGAGTGTTAGGGGAGGGGGGTGGGAGTGAGGAGAGGCACATGCGGAGGCGAGGGGGGGGGGGCAGGTCAGTCATGGCTTCGATAACGCCTTCCCAGACGCGAGAGAGGGACTCCACTAACTCCCTCAACCCCCCGAACCCCCCGTTCCCACCTCCCACCTCCCCCCCTCCCACCCCCCCAAAGGCGCGAGTGCGACTCCAGTGCCCTGCGCGCCGCCTCCTCCGCATCCGCGGTTCGGCTGACCAGTCCGCAGGAGGCGGCGGCCATCGCGGCGGAGGTGGCGGCGCTGCGGGCGGATCAGGCGGAGGCAGTGAGGGAGGAAATGGTGCCGGGTAGGGGGTTAGGGGGGGGGCGCGGAGGGGAGGGGAGAGGGAGGGAGAGGGAGAGGGGGGAACGCTAGCCGGGGCCTGTCTTTCTGCCTTGACCCCTAACACTGCCGCTACTTTAATAGCCCGCCACTTTCCCTTCCCATTCCCATTCCCAGGCCCACCTCATTCCCCTCCCCATCGCCTCCCTTCCGTCTTCTCGAACCCCCTTGCCTCCCCCCCTCCCCCCCTCCCCCTCCATGCAGCCCTGCTGTCCGGCATGGCCAGCCATCACGCGGGGCAGCTGCCGGGGTGGCGGGCGCTGGTGGAGCGGCTGTTCCAGCGGGGGCTGCTGAAGATCGTGTTTGCGACGGGTGGGGTGGGGGGGAGGTTAGGGAGGAGGAGGGGGTGGGGAGGAGGGAGGAGGGGAGGTAGGAAGGGCGAGGAAGGCCCTTTCCGCTGCCCACCTCCCACACTAACCACAACATCCCTCCTTACCCCCCTCCTCCCCACCCAGGCACGCTTGCCGCCGGCATCAACATGCCCGCCCGCACCACCGTGCTGTCCGGACTGTCGCGCTACACGCCCGAGGGCCCGCAGCTGCTGCCGCACAACGAGCTGCTGCAGATGGCGGGGCGGGCGGGGCGGCGGGGGTACGACAGCGAGGGGCACTGCGTGGTACTGCAGAACAAGTGAGGGGGGGGGCGGGGGTGTGTGGTGTTCGGAGGACTGAACCGCGAATCGTGTACCGTACCTTCACGATATCATCGCGCAAAAATAAATAATTATTTCGGAAAATGCGCAGTTTCGCGCAAACTTAAATAATTGCTGTGAGGGGTGCGCGAAACTGGGGAAACCCCTCGGGACCCTTCCTCGCACCCCCAACATGCCCCAGCACCCCGTCAGCTCCGCTGCCCAGCCCCGGGCTGCATGCTAGTATGCCCCGTTGAACATATAGCGGTTTTGTAAAGCTGTCTTGGCGATCTGGGCTTACATGGATGGGTTCTTACAGTCAAAATGCAGTGGTGGACATGAGCTGCGCGAAGCTGGAAAATAATTCCTGACACCCCTGCGCGAGCTTGAAAAATAATGCCATCTAATGGGGCTGCGCGATGATCACCCGAGGGTACGGTACTGTGGCTGTTTTACTCATCACCGTCATCAGCCAGTTCCTGTTCGTTCTTCAACCGCGAGTAAAACGTACCGTGTGCCCATGCGTGTGCCTCGCCCCCTCCCCCCCAGGTTCGAGGGCGCGGAGGAGGCGTGGCAGATCATCCGCGCCGGCCCCGAGCCGCTGTCCAGCCGCTTCTCAGTGAGCTACGGACTGGTGCTGAACCTCCTGTCCGTGAACAGCCTGGAGCAGGTGGGATAGGGGGGGGAGGGGGGGAACAGGGGGAGGAGGGAGGGAGGGAGGCAGCGCAGGGCAGAGCGGGAGGGGGCCACTGCCCGCTGCCCACTGTTGCATGGCACCCCCGCAACAAACAACATGAGAGCGCTTGCCCCCCCAAAACACCCCACCCCACCCCACCACATGACCCTGCAACACGCACAGGCGCATGAGTTCGTGAGTCGCTCCTTCGGTAACTACCTGGCAACGGAGGGTCAGGCGCGGCGGGAGGCGGAGGCGGAGGAGCTGGAGGCTGAGGCGCGGGCGCTGGTGGAGGCGTTCAAGAACTCGGCGACAGCCAGGGCCAAGGAGCTCAACGTGAGGGGGGGGGAGCAGGGGGGAGGAGAGAGGAGTAGGGAGGGTTGAGGGATGGGGCCGCGGGCCGGGCGGAGTGTGTTAGCTATGTAGCATTATGTACGTTGCCGGGGAGTTCAACGAGAGTAACGGTAACGGTAACGGTAACGGTTCATGGTTGGGGATCAGGGGGAAGCTGCGGACCTGGAGTGGGGCTGGGTGGGGTGCGGGTGGTGGTGGTGGTGGTGGTGGTGGTGGTGTATGGGCTGCATTGAGCATTGAGCATGTCCTGCATGCATGCTACCACCTCCCCCCATCTCCTTTCCCCTCTCTCCAACCCCTCCTTCTCCTGCCTCCCCTCCCTCCCTCCCCTCCCTCCGCTCCTCCCAAAGGCGAAAGTCAAGGAGGTCAAGGACGAGCTCCGGCGACTGCGAGCGGCCCAACTAACCGCCCAATGCCAAGCCGCCCAACAACTCCTAACCGACCAACCGTCGCCTCGCATTGTCGTACTCAACCTAGCAGCCGGCGGCGCCATCGCCCTAGCGAGCAGCGGCAATGCCACAGGCGGACTTCCGAAACCGTTGCTCATGCCCGCGCTGTTGGTTGGTGAAACAGAACCGCCTGCTGAGGTAGTTGCAGCGGCGGCAGCGGGTGGTAACGGTCATAACGGAATTGTGAATGTACGACAAGGCGGTAACCGTACGATAATTCCCCCGCCGGGTCCGTACTACATGTGTTTGTCGGCGGACAACCGGCTGATGCGTGTGAGCGTGGCGTGTATTGCGGGGGTGTTGGAGGGGGCGGAGGGGGTGGGGGCCGAGGAGGATGCGGCGAAGGTTCGGGCGGCGGCGGAGAGAGTGCGCCCCAACGCGTGGAGTAACGTGGAGGGTGAGGTTGGGTTGGGGTGTGGCAGGGGTGGGGGGGAGTGGGAGAGGAGGGACAATCTGGGGGAAGAGGAAGGATGGGGATGGGCCGGGTGGGGTGGGAAGGGGAGAGGGAGAAAGAAAGGGGGGTGGGGTAATGAGGTGGGTTTCGTGTGTATGAGTGCGTGGGTGGCACATGGCGGCGGGGCAGGGCATGCGGCCCCCAGAACGCGTGGTCATGTGCGCATGGTGGTGGTGGGTGCAGACCCCCCCCCTTCCCGACAACGTTGTCACACAGTTTCCCTCCCCCCCCCTCCCCCCCCAGCTGGCTCCTGGGCCCTGCAGGCCGCCCTGGGCAGTCCCGCCACCTCCCCAGCCACCCGACCGCTGCAGGCACGACTGCCCTGGAGGTTCGTGGAGGGGGGCAAGGCGTTCGTGGCGCAGGTGAGAGGGGGGGGGTAGGGGGTGGAGAGGGGTTGGGAAGGGGGGGGCGTGGGGGCTTATAGACTCCGGTACACTGACCACCGAGCCAAGAAGGCATGCCCCGGGGGCCCCCCGGGTGCAGAACTGGCCCCCGGGGGGTGGCCTGTTTATTGTGCACACCCACGACGCTGCAGTAAAGCCCTCCGCCCTCATGTTTTGCGCCCCACGCCCAACACGATACCAACTATGCGGGTTCCAACCCTCCAAGCACCCCCCCCCAGTCGCCACTCTTAACCACTCCCCTCACTTTCCCTGCTCCCCTCCTCCCCTCCCCTCCTCCTCTCCTTCTGTCCTCCTCAGATCGCAGCTCAGCGACGCGAGGTGAAGGCGGCGGTGGTGGAGCTGGAGGAGCAGCGGAGGCTGGCGGCAGGGGGCGGTAACAAGGGGGACGGATCGCTGGAGAAGATGGTGGGTTTCGGAGGCCGGGTTTGGGTGTCCGGGGCGTTTCTACACTTCAGGAAGGAACGGAAGGGTGGGTTCTAAGGGGGAGCTGTGTGTGTGGGGGGGGGTGTGGGGGGTTGTGGGGGGGGGCCCAGTCTGCAGGTGGCGTACTTCTGTCCATCTCACCTCCTGTCACCTGTCTGTCCCACCATACCCTCCGCGAGGTTCCGGTACACATGTTGTCTGCCCCTCCCGCCCCCCCTCCCTCCCAGGCTCGTGCCAAGCGGCTGCTGAAGCGCGCCGAGAAGTTGCGCCAGGAGGGCAGCGCCAGCAGCCAGCTGGAGAGCACCTGGAAGACATTCCAGGTGGGGTACTGTGTCACCACAGGCGGGGCGGCAGCAGCAGCACACCACCTTGTGTGCGGGGCGCAGGGTGACGAGTGCATGTTGTGCCTACGGTGCAGCATCTCCCTCCCTCTGATTGCGTCGCGATTGGTTGCTGTGCTGTTGCTGTGCTGGGCTGTGTGGTGTGGTGTGTCTTTGCTTGCGGCTGCCGCCGCGGCTGTATACATCATCACATTCGGGAATACATGCTGGGGCTTGTGGTTCGTTTCCGCCGTACTTTGCCGGACACTGTCGCACACTGCCGCACATTGCCGCAAATTGCCGTACACTGCCGCACATTGCCGTACATTACCGTCCATTGCCGTACACTGCCGCCGTACCACCCGCAGATGACTATGGAGATCCTGATCGCCACGGATGCGCTTGAGGTGGGGTCGCTGCGGGTGCTGCCGCTGGGGCTGCTGGCGCGGAATATTCAGGTGGGTTTTAAGGAAAACTGGCCTCGACTCGGAACTATGGTTGATTGCTACATGCTGGTAATTGCTAGAAACAAGCCAGAGACTCAGCTGGGCTAAACTAATCCTGACATTTACCGGTATGCTCCTAGCGCTGAACAGACAGGTGGGAGGTTGATGGGTGGGGGTGGGGTCATGACGGCATGAGGGGTGCAGCACCAAGTAAACATACCGGTACCTTCCTTTCCTGCTTCACCCCCCCCCCCCCTCCCCCCCCCCCAGGGCGGCAATGAGCTGTGGCTGGCTCTGGCGCTCTCCCACCCCGCCCTGGAGCGCCTGTCCGGCCCCGCACTGGGTGCGCTGCTGGGGGCGCTGCTGAGCCCCGAGGTCATCAACAAGCCAACCAACCTGTGGGCCGCATACCCGGTGTCACCAGAAGTGGGTGTGGGGATGGGGGTGTGAGGGGGGTTGGGGGCAAAAAGGGGAGGTTGACGAGCTGGCGAGGGTTGGGGGCGGGGAAAAAGAAGTATACCGGGGCGTGGAGGGGTGGCAGGGGCGGGGAACCACATACCGGTAACATGCTGCGACATCTCCTGTGCCTCGACTTTCCTTTTCAACCTCCCTCCCTCATCTAGTACCCTTCTCACCCCACCACCTGCCCCCACCACCTGCCGGCCCCCAACCACCACACATTGGGTATTCTTCTTTTTTCCCCACCACCCGCTGCCCCCCACCGCCCAGGTTGAGGAGGCGGTAGCGGCCCTGGAGCCCCGCCGTCAGCTGCTGCTGGAGCTGCAGACGGATGCGGGGCTGACCCGCTGGAACGATGCACTGCTGGTGGACCTGAGGCTGGCGGGTGGGAGCGGGGGGGGGGCGGAGGGCGGGGGAGGGGGAGGGGGAGACGGGGGGGGCGGGGAAGGGGGAGACGGGGGGGACTGGGGAGCGGGTGTGTAGTTGAGCGTAAACAAGAGCAAGCAGTTGGGATAGGTTCGCATGTGAACCGCAAGTACAAGCAAAACAGAGGGATAAACAGAGGTCACCAAACCTGAACTATATTGCAAAACTGCTTAAAAAGCTGGTGCTGGATGTAAGAAGAGCGGTGTGTTGACGACGCATGTCGGTGATGCTGATGGTGTCGGAAAAAACTAAAATACTACCGAGTACCTAGCCCGCTGACCGACTCGACGCCGGGAGCCCCCGCTCGGGGGTGTGTGGGGGGGGGGGGATAAGGAAGACTGACTAGGACTGGATGGCGAGGCTTCACCATGGCGTTCGGCTGGCGGGTGGGGCGGGGGTGTTCTGAGCTTATGACACTTGCGCTGCATGAGATGCACGGGTCGCCCCTCCCGGCGTGTGTGTGTTTTGCATGCCCCTCCCTTCCCTTCAGTCCTCATCTCTTCCCCCCCCCTCCCTTCCTCCATCCCCCCCCCTCTCTCCCTCAGGTCTGGTTGAGGCATGGGCTAGCGGCGCCAGCTGGTCGCAGGTGATCCGCGACTCGGGGCTGGATGACGGCGACCTGGCTCGTCTGCTGATGCGTACCTCGGACCTGCTGCGGCAGCTGCTGCACAGTGCGCACCTGCTGCCGGCGCTGCGGGAGGCGGCGGCGGAGGCGCTGAGGGGCATCGACCGCAAGCCGGTGGCGGATCAGACGTTGTAGGGGGAGGGGCAGGGAGGGGCAGGGAGGGGCAGAGAGGGGCAGGGAGGGAGGCCACGGTGTGAGGGAGCGGGGGAGGGAGGGAGGGTAAAGGTAATAGACCGAATCATAGGAAACCGCGAGGTGACTTGGCAAGACAAAAGGGGGAGGGCCAGGAGTGGATGAGGCGAGCAGTTGGGCGTGGTGAATGAACTGGGAGCCGCGTAACAATAGGAGGGTGTGTGTGGAGGGGGGGGGTGCGAGGAGGGAGGCGCAGGCGACTGGTGCTGTGTGGGACTTGATGATGTTGCTGTTGCTGTTGCTGTGTAGGATGTGAACACTGAGATGATGAGGACATGTCGATGTCTAGACAGGATCCGTTATAGGTTAGTTGGTTGGTTGTTACTGACCGGTTTGTTTGCTTTGCAGTTTGAACCCGACGGCAGTTTATCACTATCATGCGAATGCGAGGGTGTAGGGGCCCTGCGGAGAAGGGCGTGCGGGTTGGGGGCGTCATGTGCGGCCCATGCGCGTGCGTGACTGCGTGTGCAGTTTGTGACGTGCAACATGACGGACGTGAAGATGTATGTGAGGTGCGGAGGCGGTGCGGTTAAAGGATACCCCGCCTGCTTGCCTTTAGCCCTCGAGAGAGCGCTAAGTGTTTAGATGTGTGGGCATGTAGCCATGTACCGTGTATGCGTGTGTATGCGGGCGGGGGTGTGGTGGTTGGGAGGTGAAGGGGGCGGACGATGGCTTGCGCAGCTGTGTGGGGCACCGGTGCTGCACCCAGCCCCAACAAGCCAGGAGGGGGCATGCCGGTGCGCGAGGAGGGGTTTGAGGGCTGCATGACGTCCTGCCGCGTGACGACAGGAAATGGCCTCGGCCTGCGTCGGAGGAGATGCGTTGGATGGATGGATAATGCTGCACCCGCGCCGCCATCTCAGCCCTACGGACGAAGGCACGTAGCGGTAGCTTGCATGCTATAACTTGCATGCTGGACCAAGGACCATATCATACCCCGAAGGTGAGCTTACGCCCCAACATGTATGTGTCTTGCATGGCAACACAACGGTTGGTTAACGGTATATGCGTGATTTATAACGGCAACTAATGGCAATACTGCGGCAATATATAAGGTAGGGTACATCTACAAAGCCAACAAAGCCAGCCATACACTCGCACCTCCCTCGCAGCGTATCCTTGCACACTAGTTGCCTCGCTCAGTCTCCCTCCCCCGCCTCCAATCAACCGCCACTCCAGCCAACCGCCACTTTCATCCGACGCCACCTCGCTCCCCTTGCCTCACCACGCCACGTAGCGCCATCCCTGCCCCGCATACGTCGCCTTGCCCCCCATCTGCTCCTCGATCCGCACCAGTTGGTTGTACTTGGCTGTTCGCTCGCCTCTGCAGGGCGCACCGCTCTTGATCAGCCCCGTGGAGAGGCCCACAGCCAGGTCAGCGATGAAGGAGTCCTCGGTCTCACCGGACCTGCAGACGCAGCAGTCCAGCAGGGGCAGCCACCGAAGGTGGTGCGGGTACGGATTTGGAGGTATGGAGGTAGGCGCAAATCGATAGCAATATGTGAGACTTGGAAGGCCGCAGTATCCGCAACCCAAGCATGCCCATGCACATGCCCCACGGCCCTCTTGGCACCATGCATGTACGCGTCCTTGCCATGTATCCACCTACCCCTCCTCCGCCCCCCTCCTCCCTGTCCCGCCCTCTCCCGCCCCCCTGCCCCTGCCGTACGACAACACGACCCCCGTACCTGTGGCTCGTCATGACTGCCCAGCCCGCCGCCTTGGCCGCCGCCACCGCCTCCACCGCCTCACTCACACTGCCCACCTGGGGGCCGTTATTTAAACCACCGTTACAATGTTTGGGTTGGGGTTGGTTTGATTCCCAATTTAACGAGCGATGAAGCTGATAACATGGGTGAAGCTAACACCAGCCCCCTGTCATGCATTGCGAGAGCAATAACGGAGAGCGAACGATGCAGCACCACAAGGACACCCGCAGAGGACATAAAAAGAGTAAAGGGACAGCAAAGCCAAAGACGAAAGAAAGAAAGACCTACTAGATAGGGGAAGGGCGGTGGGCTCGGTGGCCAACGCACCTGGTTGACTTTCAGAAGCAGCGCGTTGACTGCCTTGCAGTCGATGGCTCGGTGCACCCGAGCTGTGTTGGTGACCAGCATGTCATCCCCGATCACCTGCATTGGGTGGGGATGGAGGGGAGGGAGATGGAGGGAAGGTGGGGGAGGGTGAGGGCCCGGCAGGGCGGGAAGCAAGCGCCCTTCTCTCTCCCAGCCCCTTACCGCCATGTTCTCCTGGCGTCCGCCACAACTCCACCCTTGTCCCTTCCCCCAGCGATAACCCCTCCCTCCCCTCCCCCTCTCATTCAACGCATTGGGTATTCTCTTCCCCCCTCCCCTCCACCGACCTACCGGGCAAATTCCCTCCGCCGTGAGCTGCCGAGCGGGCTCCCAGTCGTCCTGCTCAAAGGGGTCCTCCAAGAAGGCAATGGGGTAGCGCCGACACAGCTGCCCGTACAGCTGTAGCAGCTGCTGCCTGGCAGGGCAGGGGGACGGGTAAGGGTGGTTAGGTTTAAGTCTAAAAAATGTAAACGACCCATGGGTCACCTGGAGCTACCTTACATCCTCATTAAGCAGCCTCCTTCCCATCCTTTCCCGATTGCCCTCATACTCCAAATCATCCATTCACGGCCCTCTCCCGCATGCCTCCCTCTTTCCCCTCCATGCCCACTTCCTACCCCTACCCTACTTGGTTTTCCTCCCGCTTCCATCGTTCTTCGGGTCCTTGAAGCCCAGGTCATAGCAGCCCTCCTCGCCCTCCTTCTGCGGCGGCACGTAGAATTCAGACGCCGCTGCATCCACCCCAATCAGCACCTGCCCGCCTCCGTAGCCCGCCCGCTGGATGGCTCCGACTACCAGATCCAGCCCCTCCTCGGCGCTGCTGATGTTGGGTGCGAAGCCGCCCTCATCCCCCACATTGCATGCGTCCTGGCCTGGGGGTTGGGTGGGGTGGTGTCCAAGGGAATAGCAAACCACGAGTGAGGGCAAGTGGGATGGGATGGGGTGGGGCGAGCTTGAGGCGATAGTGGGGTTTAGAAGCAAAGCAGCATCATAGCGGTGGTACCGCAACCGGTGGTGTCGCTGGCGTGCATGCAAGGGATAGCACCCCCCTTCACCAATTTGCCTTCACAGCCCCAGCACCCAGCTAACCACCCAGCCAACCACCCACCGTACTTCTCCTTGATGAGGCTCTTGAGTGTGTGGTAGACCTCACAAGCCATTCGGAGGGCCTCCGCAAAGCTGGGGGCGCTGCATATAGGTGGTGCGTGGGGGCAGCAGCAGCATCAGGGGGCGAGGGCGGGTGGGTGGGTGGGTGGATTGGGTTGCTGGGATTGGTTGGTTGGCTGGGGTGGTTGGTTCATGGGTAGGGAAAGGACCAACGCAGGGGCTGTTATTGAGGTCGGTTCGGAGGGCGGGGGTACTTTCAGTGGTAGTCGCATGCGAGGGGGCCGCTGACGGAAACCATGCGTCAAAGCAGGAGGGATTACGTAGAGGACTACGGACCAAAAGCGTGGGAGGCGTCTTGTGGACGTCAGATGCGCGAGGGACCCGTCCACATGCTGCTGCGTGTGTACCGGCATCCATCAAGTTTTCCATCCATCAGGCTTTCAGGGCCGGAGGACCGGTACCTCCTGCTTTCTCACCCCACGGGCAGGATCATGAACTCCTGCATGGCCAGCGCGTTGCCGGCGTGAATGCCGCCGTTGATGATGTTGAAGGAGGGTACCGGCAGCACCTGCGGGTGGGGTGGGGGGGCGAGGGAGGGCAACAGCGGGAGGTGCAAGGTTTTGGAGGGCAGCAAGCACGCAGCATGCATTGTGGTGACTGATGGTCGTGGTACTGTAGTAGCAGTAGGTGGGTGGGTGTTGTGTGGGGAGATTGCCATTGCAGCCATTGACTGCCACTTCCTGGTTATCAAGCGTCACTCGTCTCCGCTGCACGAGGTTAATTAAAAGGAAGCCTCGCTCCCAGATGCATGTTGCAACAGCAGCTGCTGCTGCTGCTGCTGCGCATACCGGTGCCCAACCCGCCCTGCCCCTCCCTGCCCCACCGGCTTGGAATTGCCAGCCAGGTTGGCGATGTGCTGGTAGAGGGGCAGATCCTTCTCGGCAGCACCGGCCTACAATGAGCAGGCGGGTTGGGGTGGTACGGTGCGTAATGTGAGTTGAGACAATATTGGCGGCGGTTAGCTGCCGGGCTATAATGTGGACTCTGGTATACAAACACATACTTACACCCAGATCATCGCCACTACATTATTAGCCAGGTTGCGTAACGGCACGTACGTACCTTGCAGCATGCGATAGAGACGGCGGTAATCGCGTTGGCTCCCAGCCGGCCCTTGTTGGGGGTGCCGTCCAGCTCACACAGCCTCGCATCCACCGCCGCCTGCTGGGAGGGGTCCATGCCCTGTGGAGGTGCGTTGGGGGGAAGTGGAGAAGGCGGAGGAGGTGGAGGTGGAAGGGGTGGAAGGGTGTTGGGGCACAAGAAGGGGCCAGCAGTCATGCGGTGATGCATGTCGGACACACCGGCCTGCCTGCTGCAACCGGCAACCGGCAACCGGCAACCTGCAACCTGCAACCTACTGCAACCGAGATCTGTCGTACCTTGAGCGCGGGTGCAATCACGTTGTTGACGTTCGCAACCGCCTTGGTAACCCCCTTGCCCATGAACCTGGTGGCAGGAGAGAATCCAGAGGCGGGTGCTTGCTTCGTTGGCTGGCGCACAGCCCGGGAACCAGGACGGATGGAGGAATATCGGGGGGTGTGTGATGACAGCATGGATGCATGGCACAGCTGCGGGCAGATCTACCAGGGCGTCGTCGGCATCATACCCAGCAGCAGCAGGCTAGCATCATACCCAGCATTTATACCCAGCAGCAGCAGCAGGCAAGCAGGTCAGCAGAAGCAAGTCAGCAGAAGCAGGTCAGCAGAAGCAGGTCAGCAATGCGGCACCCACTTGGACACGTCACCGTCCCTCAGCTCTGCTGCCTCGTGGACTCCCGTTGAGATGCCGCTGGGCACGGAGGCGCGGAACATGCCCTTGCGGGTGTATACATCCACCTCCACCGTGGGGTTGCCGCGTGAGTCGATGATCTGGCGGGCCGCGATGTGCACGATCTCGGAGGGAGTACGGCGCTGGATCTCCCGAGCCTGAAGACAAATAAAGTGCAAACATGGTCGGCACAAGGTCGCGTCGATTAGAGGGAAAGTTAGAGAAATGAAGCAGCTGAGGGACGAGGAATATTGTACGGTATAACAACTGAAGCCTGATTGGGATGCGCTGCTGTTGAATGCGCGTATGGCAGGCGTTTTAGCAGACGTTTGGAGCTCTACCAGCAGCCTCCGCTCTTTTCCACTCTGTTGCGTTCGTTGTTCATGTTGCTGCCTTGTCGCGCTATCGGCCAATGCCAAAGACAAGTCCCGGCAAAAGGGGCTGACGGCTGTAGCAAGAGCTCCGCTTGGAGGGGTGTCTTGCAGCAGCTAGCTTCACCTACCATGAAGGAGAAGGGCTCCTCCGGCTGCTCTCGGGCGCAGAGTGCCGTCACCTCATCAGCTGTGACCTTCAGAACGTCTGTTTTGTGGCTGGACATGTGGTTTGGTGGGTTTGCTGCGCTGTGTTGATGTGTGAGGGGCGGCGGGTGGGGTCTAGATCAAAGCCCTAATTAAGCAACGACGGAACGCGGCGATCGTCAGATAGTGGCCGAGACTCGATTAGCAAGGATGATCCTGGCCGGAGCGGGTATGCAGCCTATTATACAACAGAATATCTTATACGGATACAGCTCGTTAGAGGAATGCGGTGCCGATTGCGCTCTGGTACGAGCGGGCCAGCAAGGTTCCCGCTCGTTCGACAGCTCGATCAAGGACGCTCGACGGATTATTGACCTGGTCCATGCGTCAACAGCTTTGGTGGACAGCTGAAACTGCGCTGGTATAATCTGGGATACGCATGCGGCGTATCCCAGATAGACCTCAATAATGAAATCCCATATTTTGACCTCGAGGAGCGAGCATCTCAATGGTTCATTGCTGGTAGGCACAACGGGCGCCCAGCCCCCGGATCACGTACAGCAGCGCATGTTTATCACAACACCAAGCTTGCGCAGAAGCGTCGGGTTTCTGAGCTGAGTAAGAAAGATACTCACCTCCAGAAGCCGTGTTATGTCGGTCCTGGTAACACCCCACGCATGGATTTGGCTGACAGATGGATCCTGGGTATCACAGCACGCCGCAGGTGCGGCACCCCAATCGTTCCGATACATACATAGCCACACCAGCATCGTGTCTCAGTTACATCCCTGCAACAGGAGGTGCAATTTCGAAGCTGCCAGCCATCATCCAAAACGCCAACCTCACGGAGCGGCCATCTGCCCCATCCAAGTGCCGCCAGAGGCGGACGAGCATAAACAGAGTACGGCAACAAACAGCAATATGGGACGTGTCTCTAGGCAGCGACGACGGCAGCAGCAGCAGCACGCCGCGGGGTTCCAAACACGGTGTGTCATAGCGAGCACACGGTCAATCAATGAAATGCAGGTGTTCACACTCAGTACCCCTCTTCCTAAGGCCTCCTACCGGGAAACCGCGCAACCCAATTGAGCTTCTTGTACTACCACCCAACTCTGCCAGTCCGTACTTTGGTTGTTGCGAATCCCTAACCCGCCAGGCACCAGCACACCAGCATCAACAGTCAACCGTAAAGCCCTCGGGCCTGCGTTTTAGACACACGCGGAATACACACACGAAGCGAAACCATACAAAAGAGCATGACCCCAAGTTCTTCCTTAACCCGTGTTATAGTTGCACCGCCTGCTGGCAAGGTGTTCTCCTACAAAACTTGGAACACACCGTTTCTCCGCTGCCCCCTTGCAGTTGGAAGCGAGCAAGCGGTTGGTCACTCACCCGCCCACCACAGCCCTCCGGTACCAGAGGTCATCAACACCAACAGTAAACAACCGAAAACTAAACAGCGCGCAACATACACATTCACGCAGCACATGGCACATTGGCATGGCAGGAAGCACAGGAACATAGTACAAAAGATATATCGGTACAAAATGGAAAGGAGTCACCTAGCACAGTTGCGCTTTCATATCCCACCACCTAACACTCCTAAGCACTCTACGTTTCCTAGGGGGCAGTAGCCCCGCCTAGCCCCGCCCTGCCCAGCGAAAGCAGCCAGGTGCCCCCAAAAAGCTGCCCGACTGGGGCCTCTCATATCGTCATATGCACTCAATTATGCAATGATGCCGCGGCACATGCGCGCAAGGAAAGGGGCACCAAACTCATCATCATCAACTTCCCATGCAGTCGTTTCTACCTCCTTCCACCCTCCACCTAGCTGCATGTGCCAAGGTGGTGTCATGATGGTCCTTACCTCCACAATGTTCAGGCACAATGCGTCCTACACATGTTGCCAGTGCTTATCGTGCCCCGGGAGAACTCAAGTGATGAGCAGCAGCACCGCATGCGCACCGCATGCGCACAGCTTAAAGCTAGCGATGCATGCAAATCCTTCTGCTACTTCCTCCGGATCTGGGTCTCCTCCCCTGGTCCGCTTCACGCCCCTACGCCCCCGCCCTGCCCCGCTTGCAGCCCCGCATCACCACCTGTCATGCACCTGTCACCTTTTGCTATCCGGAGCAGCGACGACCGCGATCACGACCCCCCAAAGAGCAGCCGAGACGGTCCGACGCATGGAGAGCAGAGGAAGCCGCACCATGGGGTAACACATGCGGTTCCGCATTTAGGTTTTTTAGAGCTTGGATTTCATCACATGTGCCGAGGGCCCAGGGGACTAGGGTGGTGCTCAGGCGGTGTCCTCGTCGCTTGATTCCAGGAAGCCTCCTTCCGACTCGTCCCCGTCGCCCATCTTCTGGTCGCCGTCGCCGTCCTCCTCGTCGTCGCTGCTCTTGTTGTTGACGGAGGCGGGGTTGTGGCCGAGCACCTGCTCCGGCCGGGCGTAGCGCTGCACGTAGTCTGCGGTTGGGAAGGTGGAGGTGGAGGAGGGGAAGGGGAGGGGGGAGAAGCGGGTGGTGGGAAGGGTGGTGAGATGTATAGAAAGGGTACGGGAAGGGGACAAGGAAGGGGCGGTAGGATGCCGGTACGTGTATGGTCAGTAGTGGTGGAGGTGATTTGGGTTGTTGGACGTGGACGTGTCGTGGTACACGCTTAGGCTATGTTGGGCTTGTAACTGACAGCGTTGCAGGTTTCTGACCAGCTACTAGCATATCGGCATCCGCCCTCAGCGCTTGCATCATCAGAGCGGCGTCTGTGTCCGCGGGGAAAACCAAGCCTGGCCGCCTCACAGACGGAGACCCTCACCTTTGACCTTGTTAGCGTAGACTTGGGGCTCGCGCATCAGCAGCGATGCCGCCTCGCTATTCAACGGGTCCGTGGGGTTGGGGTAGAGCAGCAGCTGCGGCAGGAAGACCTCGAAGATGTTGATCAGGTCTGCGAGGTTGGTGAAGGTGCGGAAGGGGTGTAATGCAGCAGCTGATGGGCGCGGCCCGACGGACTAACGTCAGCAACCAGCATCCCAGACCTCACCAAACATGGGGCTCCAAGTCTGGTTAATAACATCTAAGCAGACGGAGCCGGATCTGCAGGGTAACGTTGAGTAGTATCCGACGGTTAGCCGAGGAAGCAGAGGGATGCCGAACCTCACCACAACGCGAAAAGCCCAAACTTACGCCTCATCGATGTTTGGATGGTAGCACCTGTTGACGAAACCGATAGATGGAGACTTGTAGGGGTAGGCGTCTGGCAGCTCAACGTGGATTTTCCATAGGCCCCCCTCGTATGGGCCTGCAGAATAATGCCAACGTTGGCTTGGAACACAAGCCATCCGAACAGTTTGCTACGTGTCGCAGTTGCCCACGCGGCGGTGGCTTGTAGTCACCATATGAGGCGTTGCCCCGCAATGGCCCAGACTTACTGTCCTTGGGGCCGTAGAAATCCACATGGAACTCGCTGATGTTGTCTTCAACCAGCTCGACTTTCCAATCCGACATCATCCTGCATAGGTAATTGACGTGGCTGAGCTCCCAAACCCTTGTGGGCGAATGGGCTAGGGCACGCCCGCCTACTCACAGCTTCATAACGTCCATCTCACGCCGCTTGCTAGGTGACGCCATGGCTTTTAGCTCGACACCAGAGCACGGAAGCAGGGAAGCTTATTATGGTGAGAAAAGGAAAGGAATTTTGTGACTTTGTCGTTTCCCGTCAATAGGTTGGTGCACTGCAGGAAACGAACGTAATTCCTACCTGAAGGATTGGGTGGAATAAAGACTATAACTCATGCTCCGAAGACCATTTCCGTACCGTACCTGCGATGCTGAAGAGCTTGTCTTGCGTGGATAAAGTTGGCACCTAACAGCAATCCACTACTTCACAATTATCACCCGGTTGTGCCTGTCACGGAAACGCGGCACCCTACGACTGGAGCGCCAGCCATGGCCATGGCCGGCATTGGCTCCAAGGTGACACTGAAGCTTATAGCTTTTGGAAATGCACCAAAGCAGGCGCCAAGGGGGTAGGGTTTGGCAATGTGCAGCCTTGGCGTCCAGCAGGATTGCGAGGCAGGAATTTGGGTACCTGCGGGTCCCCAGCCTTGCCCACGCCTTGTGGGACGCCCCGCGCTTGCCTTCCCTATTCACCTGCGCTATGGACATGCACTGCGTGCCAATCTCTGCAGGGCAAGGCGGAACCCGTCCCAGCCAAGTGCGTGCGTGCAGCTCATGCTTACGCAAAGTTTGAGATTCGAACCCTTGGTGACCGCTTCTTGCCACCATCATCCTGCCTCCTCCGATGGTTCCATGTACATTCCATGATCATCGCTTCATCGGGCTTGTGGGTCCGCAAGTCGTTGTACGGCATCGCATGAAACGCCTGCTGTGACAGTTTCACTGTTGCCCTTGGGGAAGCATTGCAATGGTAAATGGGCCCCGCCATAACGCATAATCGCTGGGAAAACATCTGGAATTCTGTGATCTTGTTCAGCGTAGACTGCGGCAGTTGATATCTCAGTTCTCCTATTCTTAGGCGTGCATTATTAGCAGTTCACACACCAATTTAAAGTGTTCTTGTGAGGACAGGTGGCTTGCGGCAGCAGCGAGCAATGCCTGCCGCAAGCCACCAAGGTTTACTGCATGCAGCGTTTATAGTGAGCACGGATTCCAGTCTGCAAGGAGATGATGACAAAGAGGACCGCAGCGTAAGTCGACCGCACGTTTTAATGTTCGGACTCGATTTGGTCAACACGGAGACCAGTTCGCAACATGGCATCCGCTGAGCTATACCACCGGTTGGCCACCCGCAGCTGTTGTATGCATTTCCCGATGGCGTGTCCGCGGGCAATGCTGGTGGCCACATTAATTCCTTCAAGTCGGTCAGCTTGGCCGTGCGAGGTGTCCTCGACAGCATCTGTGGCGAAAAGGTACCTGAGGCGCCTTCCTAGGAAAGCGCATATCTTGGGACTTCACATAGAGGGCAAACCGGGTCTTGTTAAAAGCATCCCCCCATGTAAGCGCTGACCACTTGAGTATGCACACCCCGCATGTCCCAATCCTTAGCCCAGCATCTCCACCTCCTTTTTTTTCCTCCTTGCGCCCTGTCGTCCTTCTCTCCCTCTTCCCCACCTTCTCTCCCTCCCCCACCCACTCCTCCTATTCCTTCTTTCTTCCCCGTTATTCCCCATTATACACGTTGCCCCCCCCCCCCCTCCTCCACCAGTCCAAGCTGGTTCACCTGGAGCAGGAGGGCAGCCGGCTGCTGCTGGCCTCGGTGCACCTGGAGGTACGGCAGCAGCTGGGGGCAGCAGCTGGGGGGCAGCTGGGGGGGGGAGAAGAATACGCTGAATACCCAATATTGTGTTGTGTGACAATGGTGTTGTGTTGTGCGGGGCCAGGGGGGCAGCAGCTGCCGGCAGCGGGGGGGCAGGGGGCAGCCAACCTGGGTCGGATCCGTCTTGTTTGCCAATCTCGTCCAAGACATTGAGTGCTCCGCCTCCCCACCCACCCCGCCACCAGTCCGTGATGCTGGTGGTTGTGTTCCGCAGCCTGGTGCCCCCCGCCGCCGCCACCCGCCTGGCTCTGGGGCTGGCGGAGAGCCTGGTGCTGCTGCTGGGGCCCTGCACGGCTTGGGGGCTGGGGGGCGGCAGGGGTGAGGGGGGACGGCGGGGGGGGTGCAGAGGCCGGGAGGACATGGGGGGAAAGAAAAGAGAAGTGCAGCAACTGGGGCATGGGGGGCGGCATGGGCAATGCGAAGGGCGGGGAGGGGTAAAAAAAAGAAAGAGGAGGGGTGGGTGCGTTAGGAGGGGTGTGAAGGAAGGGGGCTTGGATGCATGGCTGTGGATTAGCGATTGAGCCGTGGTTGTAGGTGTGTGTTGTGTCTTGACCACTGTGCGCTACTGGACCCCTTCCGCTTCGCCACCACGTCACCCACCACCACCCGACCCCTGCCGCCTCCTCCTCCGCAGATGCGAGTAGCCCGGCGGCCCTGAGGCGGCAAGCTGAGACGCTGGTGCGGCATGGGCTGCTGCGGGGGGGGCCTGGGGCCTGGGGGGCTGTGTGACATACCCTGCTTCAATACCCGACACTCCTCATGATGAGCAACGCAACTCATGCACCGCCCCCCCCCCCCCAGGCCACCCTGGACCGGGTGTTCGGCGGGCTACTGAGCCAGGTGGCGGGTCCGGGCTGGGGCACGTCACTGGCGCCCTGGACCAGCTTCGAGGTGCGGCAAGAGGGGGGGGAGGGGCAGGAGGGGGCCGGGATGAGGAGGAGGGCGGGGAGGGGGGCACGAGGTGCGCACCCTGGTACGGCAGGTGCAATGGTGTGCACACACGGTGTATGCTGCAAAAGCACACGTACGCGCGCCTCACTCTGCCGGCCTCTGCCCCCCCCCCCGATCCGGGCGGCCTCTCTCCGGCAGTCCCTACCTGGCCCTACCCCTCTCATCACGCGCCCGCTAAGTCCCACCTCCGCCCCCCCCCCGGTCCTTCCCTTCCCCCCCAGTCCTCCTGCCTGCACCTGCCTCTGCCGCCCCGGCTGCAGCAGCGGCTGGCCGCCCTGGCTGCCGACCACGCCGCACAGCACCGCAAGGCGCCCTTCAGCTTCTTCAGGAAGAACTCCTGCCTCATGTACAGGTCGGGGGCGGGGGAGGAACGAAGGGAAGAAACTACCCGTTAACCAATTAAACCAACCATGGTGAAGGCAGCACCTAGGCAAACCATCGGTACCCAAAACCTGTCGAGCCCACTCACACACCCAGCGCATGCAGCGCTTTGTCATCCCCCCTCCTTCTCCACACCACCCTTCCACTTCCGCCCCCCCCCGTCCCCGCCCCTTCCCGCCTCCCCCAGGGGCCTGCTGCTTGCCTCCGACCTGCACCCCCCTCACGCCCGACAGATCTGGACGCTGCTGTGGGCTCTAGGGGTGCTGCAGCCGCGCCACAGCGGCGGCCTGCCCTGCCAGATCCTCACCCGCATCATCCACCTGCCACTGCCGGCGGCGGGAACCACCACCACCACCACCTCCGCACCAGCTACGGCCCCGGGAGGAGGCGCCTCCGCATCCGGCGGGGTTGCTGCCAGTGCGGGAGGCAGCGCGGCGGCCTCGGCTGCAGGCCGGGCCGCCGCGGCAGCGGCGGCGGCGTCGTCAGCCGCCGCCTCCGCCGCCGCTGCTGCCGCTGCCGCGGCAGCTGCTGCTGCTGTTGCCGCTCTGCAGGTGGGCTGCGAGGCGGGTGTGACGGTGTCGGAGGCGGCCGCGGGTCGGAGCCTGCTGGTGGTTGCGAGCGCCATGCAGCTGGTGCTGGTGGTGCTGCTAACGGGGTACGATGAGGAGATTGAGGAGGAGCTGGCCGGTGAGGTGGGGGGTGGGGGCAGGAGGGGGCTGCTCGGGTGGTGCTGAGATGCCCTTACCGCCACACGCTCATCCCGCTACCACCAATGCACCCGATGCCGTGAGTCCTTTGCCTACATGCCCATCCCTTCTGCTCCTCCCACCCTATCCCAATTCTCACCTCACCCGCACCTCCACCTCCCACCCGGAACAGGCCGTCTGGAGGGTCACTCCGCCTCAGAGCTCCTCCAACGGCTGCACATCGGTCTCGGAGCTGACCTGGAGCGACTGCTGGCGGCATCCGGGGTGTACGGCACAGCGGCAGCGGCGCTGGAGCCGCCGCGACCGGCTCCGCTGCACTTAGCAGGCGCGACCCATGGGTCACATGGTGCAGGGGCAGCAGCCGGGGGCGGTGCGGCTGGGGGGAACCACAACCCAAGGCATGGCGCCTCGGCATCTGGGGCGCCGCTACCTCCCAAGGATAGGCGAACGCGAGGTGGCGGTGGTGGGGTTGGCGGCAGTGGGGGTGGGGGTGTCAGTAGCGGTGGAGGGGGGTTGTTTCAGAAGCTCATGTTGCGACACCGCTCGGCGGGTGGGAGCCGGAGTTCCGCTGGGGTTGCTGCTGCTGGGGCGGAGCTGGCTGGCGATGGTGCTGGGGGGGCTGCTGAGGCCACGGCAGCAGCAGGAGCACCAGCAGCAGGGGCATGGGCAGCTAGTGGGCAGCCAGTGTATGGGGGTAACAGCATCCACGGCAGTGCAGGTGGGGCCGAAGCCGCTACTGCTACTGCTACTGCTGCTGCCACTGCCACTGCTACCCAAATCAGCATCAGCAGCAATACCGGCGGCGGCACTGTTGGAAGCGGTGCCGCCCCCGCACCCGCCTCCAACCCCAACCAATCCAACCACAGTCGCCACCCGCCCGCCCCCACCACCCTCGCTCGCATGCCTCCCTGCATCACCCCCGCCCCTCCCGCCCCGGGTCTGGGCCCGCTGCCGGCTCCCGAGGGCGCGCTGCTGATCATCGCGCATGACACGCCGCAGGGTTGTGTGCACATACTGGGGGACCTGCCCCTGCCACCCCCCTCACACCAGCCCCCGCAACAGTCGCACCAACAACACCAGCAACAACACCAACAGCAGCAGCAGCCGGGTGGCAGCGGTGGTGTGGGACGGGACCGCAGCGCACGTAACAACGGTCGTGGAGGTGCGGGTGGCGGAGCTAGTGCTGCTGCTCCTGCTGGTGGTGCTGCTGGTGCAGCTGGCAGTGGTGCTGGAGGTGGCAGCAGTGGTGCTGGGTTGCGGTCCGCTGCGCTGGCTGCGGTGTGGCGGGCGGTGGCGGCTTGTCGGGTGCGTTTCGGGGTGCACATGGTGGCAGTGGCGGCGCCGCCAAAACACGCACGGTAGGGGGGTGTGTGGGGGGGGGGGTAAACAGGGGGGCGGGGGTGAGGGGTTTCCTCCCGGTTTGGGTAGGCTAGGAGCTAGGAGCTTGTAGAGGGCCGTTGCTGCTTGAGCTTTCGAAGCGCAGCCTGCCGATAGCCTAATCGATTATGGCTTGGCTGAGATGCGGATAACTTCGTCATCGTCATCGGCAGCCTCTCTCTCCTCCCCCTGCCCTGTCGTATGTCCTTCTACCCCCCCCCCACCTCCTTCCCTCCACCACCACCCACACCACCCCTCCCCCTCCCACCCGCCATGCACCCCATGGTGAAGCCATACAGCTCGTTAGTTGCCTCGTCAGTGTCTCATTATTCTTCTTACCCCCCCACCCACCCCCCGCCCGCCCCCCCCCAGTCTTGCCATGACGCTGGAGCAGATCGAGCAGCTCTCCGCGGCTCGCAGCCAGCGCGAGGGCGGTCAGCGGCTGGGCAGCGCCGACTCCTCGCCCTGGCAGTACCACCCCGAGCTAGCGGCGCTGGCGGCGGTGCACACGCTGTCACTGCGGCTGCCGGGGCTGTGGTACTGCTATGGAGGAGGGGGCGGAGGAGGAGGAGCGGGAACTGGAGGAGGGTTTGTGGTGTTGGCGGAGGGCGTGGGAGCAGGCGGGAGTGGGGGTGGGAGTGTGAGAGGAGGAGCAGCGGGAGGGGCAGGAGGAGGAGGAGGAGGGGGAGCGGCGGCGGCGGCGACGCAGATGGTGAGGGTTAGCGCGGGAAAGGGCCACAGGGAGGGCAAAGAGGAAACAACTAAGGGCGGTGGTAGGGAGGAAGGAGGGTGAATGGTAGGGACGGAGGAGGGAGGGTGAATGGTAGGGAGGGAGGAGGGAGGGTGAATGGTAGGGAGGGAGGAGGGAGGGTGAATGGTAGGGAGGGAGGAGGGAGGGTGAATGGTAGGGAGGGAGGAGGGAGGGTGAATGGTAGGGAGGGAGGAGGGAGGGTGAATGGTAGGGAGGGAGGAGGGAGGGTGAATGCGCCGAGGGTGTGGACTGCAGGTGTGGGGTTGGGGTGTCCTGGGTCTTGTTCCCATCGGGCCCATCCTGTCACCTCCCTCCGGCGGCCACACACCTTGTGTTGGTTACCGAGCGGTGTGGGCAGCAGCACCCTCTTGGGGCGCTCGGCCACTCGGCTCGGTAGCCTCTCCTCCTGTCCTCCCTGTACACACATGCCTTACCTCCCCTGTCCCCTGTCCCCGCTCCGTTTCCTTGCCACCTTACCCCCTCCCTTCCCTCAGCTCGCCAAGTCCTGGCTGGCGCGCACACCCAACAAAGGCCCCAGCAGCGGTGGTGGCGGCGGCGCTAGCGCTGCTGGTGGTGCCGCTAGTGGTGGTGCTGCCACTGGCGCCGGCAACGGCTCCCTCCGCGCCACCTCCCGCACTCCCTCGCCTCCCTCCACCCCCACCGCCCACACCCGCTCAGCCTCAGGAGCCTTCTTCGCCGCCGGCAGCCCCGGCCCCGGCCCCGCACAACGCGTGTCTGGTTCCGGCTCCGGCTCCGCCTCCTCCCTAACAACGCCTGCAGCAACGGCAACGGCTGCAGCTGCTGCCGCCGCCGCCGCCGCAGCCGCTGCAGCCGGCTGCTGTTCTCCCGGTTCCTGTCTTGTGCCGCTGTACCTGACGGGAGTGCTGTTGTCGGACACCCGGGAGCTGTTTGTGGTGCATGCGGGTGACGTGGATGAGGGCAGGTTGCTGGAGGGGATCTGGGACGGACCCATGGGTCAGGAGCTGTGGCTACGGGAGGTGGTGGGGCTGGTGGGGTGAGAGGGGGAAAATGAGGAACATCCGGATACCTCGCTGCGGGCGTGCGGGGGTGTAAGGCAGAACAGATTTTGTTGATACGTTTGTACGGACGTTGACATCTAGAGTGGGAACATGTTTGGAGAGAATGGTTGTAGAACCGCAGTAGCAGGAGAGGTGGTCCCGTCCGAAAGATAACGGACCAAACCCACGCCTCCACACAACCCATGCGCACAACAGCGCCAGCACCCGTCCTGCTAATCGCCATCAGCAGCTATCTCTAACAGCGGCTAGGCGCTCATAAGAATACATTTTCAACCTTTTCCAACGCCAACTCAAAAGACAACGCAGCATGCGAAAGCAACGGAAGAGCAGTTACCAGTACCACCCACATCATGATAGCACGCATCAACAACAACGACAATAACAACCCAACTAGGCAATTTAAGTCGCGACTTGACACCGCGCAAGGAATCAGCAGCTGGTGTGTCGCCCGTGTGTCCATATTCAACCGCGCCCCCGCTTGCCTCCTGACCGTCCTAAACCCCCGCCACCGCCACCGCCCCTACCTACCCAACTCGGTCTCATGGCCTATCTACTCCGGCCCTCCTCCTCCCTCCTTCCCCTCCTCCCACCTCCTCCCCCTCCCCCTCCTCCTCGCCCCCCCATCACCGCCTCCGCTGCATCCACGAACGCAAAGTCCCCCACCCGCAACACCCGCAGCCGCCCCCGGTGCTCCCGGAACCGAGCCACGCCGTACCTGTGTGTGTGTTTTGCATGCATGCGTTACGTCGGGGTGGGGGGAAGGGGTTTAGCATGTACGGCAGCAGTGGCAACAGCAATGTCAGGCCGTGAGAGCTACTGCTGTGTGCCTGTGTCAACTGGGGGAAGTTGCAGATTTGTGCGACGTGAGGAGTGGTGAAAGCGCGAAAGACGCTGGAACGGAGCTGGTCCCGTCCCTAACCCCCGCCCTTAATCTTCTCCCCCACCTGATCCTTCCCCCCTTGCTTTGCCAATTGACCCTCGTCCCCTCCTCCCCTCCCCCCTCCCCGGCTCCCCTAACCACCGAACCAACGAGTTATTGGTTTCCCTCCCCCCCAACCCCCACCATGCCAGGAAGACCAGCAGCGCCAGCACCAGCAGCGCCGCCAGCCCCGCCACCCCACGCACCCGGCTCCAGTTCAGTCCGTAGCGCCACACCTCCCCCACCTCGCCGTACACCCAGATCAGTACGGCGTACGTTGAGAGGTACAGCAGTACGGCCTGCGAGGGGGGGCGTGAGGGAGGGAAGGTCGGTGTTTACGTGAGCAGGCAGGATGATGGACCCATGGTTCTTTTTACGCACATACGTTCTTCTACCACCCATATACACACCACCGCACCGTATATGGAGTCAGTAAGTATGAACCCCTTCTTCCTTAGCGCACTCTGGCAACTACCGTACATCACCGTTTGCCGTACATCACAATTTGTCGTACACCCGCTCTGCCGTACCCCCCCACCCGCCCAACCCCCCACCGTGAAATGGTACGACACCAGTGGCAGCCGTGTCGACACCACCTGCAGCAGCGCCAGGACGCTGTTACCGACGTGTTTAAGCAGGTTGCTGGGGCCGGCGGGGGAGGCCTCCTCGCGAGCTACTGCCACCAGCCCCACCTGAGGGGAGGAGTGTGGGGCAGGAAAGCAAGACAGTAAAGCGAATCATGAGGAGGGGGGCGGCGGGGGGCGGAGGACGTGGGGCGTGTGTTCAGGAGGTCCGTGGCCTCCTGTAAACACGAGGTCTCCCGGAAGGAGGCACAGTGTTACACGGTGCTCCTAGTCACATGGGTTGGAATCCGTTGGAGGCTGCCCTACTGGTGTATGTATCATCACGAAGCCCTCCCAGCGAACCTGCCCCGTGTCCCAATGTCGTGATGCGTTGTGGCTTTCATGGCTTTTAGGGTACCGTATTTTAGGGCATGTGTCCAGCCCCGTAGCCCCCGCCCGCTGGGAACCCCATGAGGGCCATGTCCCTCCTCGTAAGCTTTCCTCCCCGCCTCCTCTCTCTCTCTCCCTCTCACTAGACTCTCTTCCCCGCGGCCCTCCCCGTCCAAGCCCCGGCATGCCCGCCCCACTGCTACTGCCGCCGGTGCTCTCACCCAGAAGAAGATGGAGAGGAAGAGCGCGCTCACCACCGCCACCTCCATTAGCAGGCAGTGCGCGATGCTCAGTGCATCCCACTGCGTGTCGTTGTTGTTGTTGTTGTTGTTGTTGTTGTTGTTGTTGTTGTTATTGTCGTTGTTGTTGTTGTCGTTGTTGTTGTTGGGAGAGGGCGGTGCAGTACAGTGCGAGTGATGACATGAGGAGGGTAAGGAGAGGAGAGGCAGGGAAGGCGCATGTAAGAGAGATGATTGGCAGCGGTTGGGTGTACGATGGGGTTCAGCTCAGTGAAGCACAGAGGCATTGACGAGTCTGGATGATGCAGCTACCACGGTGCGCCCTAACAAGGGTTCCCATGTGCTGCATGGCGAGTGACAAGCTGGCAACCAACCGTCGGCGACGCAACAACCAATCAACCACCCAACCAACGAACCAACCAATTTACGACACAACGCACCTGAAGCACCGGCGGACCGCCACTCGCCCCACCGGGATGACCCATGGGTCTTCCTTCCTCCATCCGCCTCTTCCCGTCTTCTCCTCCTCCGCCCTCGCCCACCTCACTCCCCTCACTTCCTTTCAACGCAAGCTCTAGATCTCCATGCTTCCCGCCGCCTCCTCCCGCTCCCGCCTCCCCCGTCTCCATATCTTCCCCCCCTCCCACGATGCTCCCCGCGGTGCTACCTCCAGGTGTGCTTCCAAACACCCCGGCAGCGGTGCCGAGCGGCCGGAAAGCGCGCCGCCGGATCGTCGGGCTGGCGGCGGCGGCGGCCGCCGATATCCTCAATGCGGCGGCGCTGACGGCGGTGGCGGCGGCGGCGGCGAGTGGACCGACTGCCGCCGTCAGTCGCTGTAGCGCGGCGGAGTTATAGCGCCGGGGATCGGGTACCTCGGGTGTTGTGGGCGGCGGCGGTTTATGCGGTGGGGGTGGCGGCATCTGCAGGGGCTGCAGTTGAAGCTGGTGCGGCGGAGGTGGAGGTAGAGGTGTGTCTGACACGCCAGACGGCGGTGGGAAGGAGAGGGGCAGCGGGGGCGCAGCGGCGGAAGCCGGAGGGAAGGAGGAAGGCAGCTGCTGCTCCGGCGGCGGTGGCGGCGGGGGTGCGGACGGAGGTGCCAGCGGAGGCGGTGGCAGGCGTGGCGGTGCAAGCCAGGGTGACAGGGAGGGCTCGGAGGGCGCTGGAGGGCCCTGCTGCCATTGCACCGGTGCCATCGTCTGCTGCTGCAGGTGCTGCTGCTGTTGCGCTACGCCTTCCTTCTCCTCCTTCATGTCTTGGTCTGCCTCCTCCTCCTCATCCTCTGTAGAGGAAAGCGGCCCCAGAAAGGGTGACTTCATCAGCCGGAATTCCCTCCTGGGTGCTGCCGCTGCTGCTGTTCCTGTTCCTGTTGCTGTTCCTGTTCCTGTTGCTGTTCCTGTTCTTGCTGTCTCTGCTGCAGCCGCCCCTTCAGCCGCCGCCGCTGGTGCTGCAGCCCCCGCGACTGGCCCCGCCGCTGGCCCCGCTGCTCCTGTCCCCGCTGTCCCCTCTCGTCGTGAGGCCTCTGTGCTGCTGCCCGAGGCCACCGTGGTGAGCTCACTGCAGCTGTCCAGGCTGAGGAGGGGAGCTGGAACAGGTGGAGGTGGAGGAGGAGCAGGGGCAGGAGCAGGGGCAGGGGCAGCAGAGGTTGCCGTACCTTCGCCGCCGCCTGGCTCCACGTCAAGAGGTCCCGCCGGCGCCGCCACCGCCGCCTGTCGTACACCCGCTGCCTCCGCCGTACTGTCATCCTTGTTGTTGCCGGTGCCGCTGTTGTTGCCGCTGCTGCTGCCCCTGCTGCTTCCTCCAGACCGCTTCTCATCGCCAACCCAGGAGCCAAACCCGCCGCCTTCACCACTTCTGCTGCCGCTGGCGCTGCTGCTAGCACCCGCATGCGGGGCTGTTGCTGCCCCGGCAGCAGCAGCAGCGGCAGCAGCAGCAGCAGCAGCAGCAGCAGCAGCAGCAGCAGCAGCAGCAGCGGCGGCATTGCTACCCCATGCGGCGTTCCTCAGCGCGCTTCCCCAGTTGGTCTTGGAGGGCGAGTTGTCGGGTCGCGGCGCGGAGGGAACCAGGAGCGGCAGGTGGCGGGCGGTGTTGGCGGCGGCTAGCAGGGCGGCGAGGGCGAGCAGCGCAAGCGACCAGTTGGTGAAGTAGGTAGGCCAGGGGGGCGCCAGGGAGGTATCTGGGGGTGCCAGGGAGGTGTGGGAGATGGGTAGGTGAGGTCAGGAAGCATGTCCTGAGCGCCCCGTGCAAGCAAGCAAGCGCACCCCGACTGCAAGCTGCCCCCGCAGCCACCCGCTTCCTCTCCCACGCACACCGCTCCCTCTCCCTGCCGCTCCCCACCGGACCACAGTTGAGTACTTTAAGGTTTCCTCCTCTCCACGCCTCCCATCTCTCCCCTCCTCCCCCGCTCCCCACCCACCCGCTAGTCGCTCCACCAGCAGATCTGCCCCCAGGTACACCGCAGTGGCCCCCTGCAGCGCCAGCAGCAGGCCGGGGCGCAGCCAGAAGCTGGTCACCTGGAGGGCAGGTGGGGGAGGGGGAGAAGGAGGGCCCGGGTGGGGGCTCGGTTTCCACTAACCATGCGTTACCGTACACAGGTCTCCTAAGGGGGGCGGGGGTAGGGACACGTATTGTCCCACAGCCCCCTCATGCCACCGTGTGTCCTCCCTTCCCCCCCTACCAGGTGTGCGGGGTCCAGCACGTCAAAGGCCCAGAACTCCCCGGGGATCAACAGTCGCCGCCGCCGGTACAGATCGTAGCCGTCAGGGGAGCCGGGGGCATGTGGCGTCGCCGCGACGGCAGCGGTCTCGGAGCCCCAGTCGCCGCCGCCGCCGCCAGCGACGCGATTGCCTCCGCCGCTGTCCACTGCATCGTCTCCCCTGCTGTCGGAAGCGCCCTGCTCTGGAGTTGAGGTGGCGGCAGCGGTGTTGCTACCTCCGCCGCCGCCACCGCCACCGCCGCTTCTCCAACTGCTGGCGGCACTCCGCCAACTGTCAGCGCCGCCGCCGCCGCCGCTGCGCCAACTGCTAACGGCGCTACGCCAACTGCTGCCGGCGACGCCGCTCCTCCAACTACCGCGACTGGGAGCAGCCCTTACCCCGCTGCCAGCGCCGCCTCCGCCGCCGCCGCCGCCGGTATCGATCTCGACGCTGTCTCTGCCTCCGCCGCCACCGCCACCGCCGCCTCCGCCGCTGCTGCCCCAATCATCACTCCTACGGCCGGTACTAAACCAAGACCGGGCGCTGCCGAAACGTACCGAGGAACGCGTTGAGGACGACAGCGGCTGAGAGATGATAGTCCCTCCGCCGCCGCCGCCGCCATTGGAAGGAACTGCGGCGGCGGCAGCCGCGTCACCGCCGCCTCCGCCGCCGCCGCTACCCTTCTCCGTAGTGGATTCAGCAGGTTCCCCAGACGGAAATTCCCCGCCGCCGCCAGCAGTACGACTACTGCTTCCCGAGCTTGACTCCGCCACGCCCGCCGGAGCCTCCGCGGGTACGGCAATGCGGACCTTGGCGGCGGAGCCTACGTCGCCGTCGCCGCCGCCGGCAGGATGTTCGCCGGCAGGTGGGTCCGCAGGAAGGTCCGCAGCAGCGGCGGCGACACGCGGCGACGTCGACGCTGCCGTCGCCGTGCCTGTCGTGCTGGAGGTCCAAGCGGCGGTGTCGGCGTCGGCTTGTGAAGATGCCGTACCGCCGCCTCCGCCGCCGCTGCTGACGGCGCCACTACCTAGGGGCTGGACGACGCGAAAGGCTTCCGCTCCCGCCGGCGGTGCCGCCCCGTGGCGGCCGAAGAAGAAGGCCTTATGATGCGGCGGCAGCTTGGACGTCGACTCCTCGTCAATGTCAGGCAGTTGTACGGCCCAGCGCCGCTGAGTGACGTGGCCATGCTCGTACAGCGGAGTCGTCTGTACGGCAGAAGACGAAGCGCCGTCGCCTGCATCCTCGCTAGGAGCAGCAGCAGCAGCAGGTGATTGGCGGTGGGCAGCAGCGATTTGTTCCTCCAGAGGAGCCCAGCGGGTGTTGCTTGCGAAGAAGGTACTTAGGATACGGCTGCTGTCGCTTCGTTCGCTACGGGTGCCGATGCGGATGGGGTCATTGTCATTCAGCTCGCTGCGGTTCCGAAAGCAGCCGCAGCAACAGCGGGAGCAACAACGGCCAAGCAAAGCTAGCCTCCGGGCGAATCTGTTTCCGATGAACGGACAGTTATCGTTTGCTAGTGCGCTTAGCAGCAGCGCGAGAACCACGATTAGTACAGAGATTACAGGCCCGTAAACAGGCAAAGGCTGTACCATTGTGCCTTTGCAAACCTTAGCTTAACTTCAAAGGTAGGGAGCAAATAGGTGTCAAAGGTGTTATCTTTCTTCTCTTCAATTGTAGCGCCTCTTCCCAAGGGGTCCGAGGGTTCGAAGCTCCAGCCGACCCTCGGGCCCTGATCGAAAGCGAGCGGGCAGCAACGGCAAAAGATTGCTCGCATAAAAGTAGACTCTTTAAGGGAGCATAAAAAGGGAAAGCTTGCACGCAGCTCTGTGCTTTGCCGCGCTCGGAGCCCGAAATGAGGTGCGCGGAAGCGGTTGCTGCGAAGGGCACGAAATCGTGAGGCTCCGAAGCCAAAAAAGACAAACGGGGATGGACCGCGTGTCCCTTGGCAAGCTATATTGCTGAAGCATGGTGGTGCAGATGATGGCGTGCAAAAGGATTGCTGAAGGAGCGAGCTACACAGGCCATGGCTTTACGTATGTGCCCTGACCTGCAGCCCGGCAAAACAGAACGAAATGTCTTTGCTTCCTGGACTCTATCCTCGATCAAAGCACAAGGACAGCCTCCTTTCATCCGAAAAAGCTAGCCCCTGTCGTCCGTTAACGGGGGCTAACAGCGATTGGGTCTCTTGTACGGCTTCCAGGAGCTCCGGTTCCCCTTTGTAACCTTCGCATTCTAACAGCGTACCCTACACTGCGCTTAACGTGATGGGACCCCGTTGAACAACAAAACGCCTGCAGAGCGTGCAATGCCTGCGTATATGCTTTTGCCCCTGCTACACCACTCTTTTCTTCTTGCGTATAAAACTCCAACCCCCCGCCCTTTGCGCTCAGCTACAACTGTCTATCCTTATCGGCTGCTACAGCCTCTCCTGCTACTCCTGCACTCGCTCCTACACACAAAATCCAACTGCTCTCTCTCGATCCCCACCAATCCCCTCCAATCAACGAACTACTAACCACCCTTCCTAACCACCCTCTTCCACTTCCTCCTCCCGCAAATCGTCGCCCTCTACCCTCCGCCCCCCTTGCAACGCGTGCACAACGCACAACGCCATGCGGCATCACAGCAACGCATGCACCTCCCCTCACTCCCTCTGCCAGCCAACTCCACCTCCCCTTCCTCCACCACCACCCGCCCGCCCACCCCTACCCCCTTCCCTCCTCCTCACGCCACATTCACGGTCAGCTTGTTCTGCACGGCCGCATGCAGCGAGGCCACCTGCGCCGCCCACTTGTCGAGCGCGGTGTAGCGCCGGGCGCCCTCCTGACGCCCGCCCACCTCCAGGATCTGGTTCACCTGGGGGGAGGCCAGGAGGTAAGGAGGAATCAGTTAACCGCGTGATAAGGGGAGCAGGTGGGAAGGTGTGGGTTTGGCACGTGGGGAGGTGGGGGGGATGTTGTGCACGGGGTGGTTGGCAGGGTGGCGTTATGTGGGCCACGCTACTGGTGGCCGAAGGAGGGGGCCCGGCTAACACGTTAGCCGCAACCCCTCCCCCATGCAACCCATGGTGAAGCCTCGTCATCCAGTTCGTCAGTTTTCCTTATTTCCCCCCCATTCCCCACCTGGTCAATGGTTCCCGCCACGCGCCCATCCAGTATGAGCGACACCAGAAGCTGCTCCACATCGGGGGCGGGGATGTTGAGCTTGGCGGCAATGAAGGGGATGCGCACTCGTGTGTAGGGCTGGATCATCTTGAGCAGCACCTGCGGGGGTTTGGAGGGGGTGTGAGGGGTGCGGAATGGGGGGTGGGGTGTGAGGGGAAGCATGGAAGAGGGGAGCAAGCGGCAGCAGCACAGGCGTAGAGGAATGGCGGTAGAAGCAGCCAACCCAAGCTTGGGACCTGCTCCTCCTCTTCCCTCCTGCCCTTCCCCCCCGACCTCCCCCCTTTGGAATTTCTTTTTTCCCCCTCCCCCGACCCCTACCTGCGTGCGGATCTTCCTCAGCAGGTCCTCCACGTAGTTGCGGATGAAGGGGTCGTCCATGATGGTGCGTCTGGGGGGGAGGGGGGGGGGGCGGGTTTAGCAATCCTGGGGGAACCAAGGCCGACAGAAAACATAACCCAACACGTGGCTCGGACTGGTCGTCCATGATGGTGCGTCTGGGGGGGGGAGGGAGAAGAATTCCCAATGTGTTGAATGAGAATGCAAACCAGACGACAAGCTCCGGGGAGGAAGTACAGTTCCCTAGTTAGCACCGTAACCTGGCCACAAGTGGACCCCCAAAGGGCTGACTCCCTCCTTCCTTTCTCCATTCGCCCTTCACTCTCCCCCTCTCCCCCTCCTCCTCCCCGCTGAGGGCCGTACTTGTTGGTTCGAAGGATCTTTTCAAACTCGGTGATGTCGTTGTGCTGGAATGCGGCGACCAGGTTGGTCATGGACACGATCTCCGGGTCCTGCTTGTACGGCTTGGCCTCCTGCGTGTACACAGAGGGGCAGCGGGGGGGGGGGCAGCGGGGCAGCGGGAGGGGAGGAGCATGACAGGCAGGCACTGATGACAAACACAGCCGTACGACAACAGCAAGGGGAGCCAGCCCGCCGGGAGAGCCCAGGGGGCCCAGAAAAAGCACATACACACACGTTCTTATTCGTGGCCAGTTGTCTGAACACCCACAGTTTGAGAGACACATGCGTGCGTTCAGTGTGCATATATCGGAGGTAGCGGCGGTGGCGGGGGCCGGGGCAGCCGCGGGGGTCGCGGAGACCCATGGATCGAGGAAGAGACCCTCCCCCCTTCCTCCTCCAAATCTTCCAAGCCCCCCCGCCCCCCCTCCCCACCCCCCCCCCCACCTGCGCATCGAAGGGGTCCACCCGGCTCTCCATGAGCATGTTGGCCAGCACCAGGTACTTGAGGCACTGCACCCGCCGACCCACTCCCGCCTCGTCGTAGGCCTTGAAGGCCTGGGGTTGAGGGGGTGGGGGGTGGGAGGAGGTTGGGTTGGGTTGGGTTGGGAAAGGGGTTGAGATGGGCGGCGGGCGGGCGGCTGAGCGGCGGGCATGGTAATCAGATGCTCCCCTCCCCCCTCCCGCCCTCTTCCACCTCCTCCTCACCCCACACATTGGGCACTTCTTTCCCCTTCCCCCCCCTCCCAACACATTACACGTACTGGCTTCGCTAATTCGGGCTGGGCGGGTCGGGCTGGCTCACATGTTGCAACCCATGTTGACGCCTTATCCCTCAGTCAGTTAGTTGTTTCCCCTCCCCCCCCCCCCTCCCCCCCCCCTCCCACCCCCCCAGTCCCCACCTCGAAGAAGTCTGTTGCCGCCTCGCTCCACAGCTGGTCGTGCATGTGCATCTTTCCGCCGCACTCCCGGATGATACCCATGATGCGCGGGTGCGGGATGGCGCTCTTGACGGTGAGCGCGCGCTGGTAGAGGCGCTTGAGGCGCTTGGGGTTGCGCTGCTCGGTGGCCATCTGGGAGGGGGGGAGAGAAGGGTGGAGGGGAAGAAGAATACCCAATGGGCGGAGGGGAGTTGGGGGAGGCGGCAATACGGGAAACACGCGAGCAGGCTTGGCCCCACCCCCTTCCCCTCCCTTCCGAACCCCCTCCCCTCCCAAACCCCCCCAGCCCCCCCCCCCCACCACCTGTATCTCCAGCGCCAACACGTCCAGCAGCTGGGTGCCCTTCTTGGGGTCCTCGCTGCCGTCCTCGCGCTGGCAGGACCTGGGGGTCGCGGGTCGTGGTCGGGGGTATCGAGCGCAGGTAGAAGACTCGCAACCCTGTGCGTTTCCATAACAGAAGATGCGCGCCCTGGCCTCTCCCCTGGCCCCCACTCCCACCCCTTGCCCCCATCTCCCACCCTGACTTGGTTCCATTCACGGGGAGCTGGTCGGCTTGTTTGCCACTCTCATTCAACACATTGGGTCTTCTTCTGTTCCAACCCCACCTGTGTGCAACTGTCTATATCCCCCCCCCAACACCAATTTTCTTAACACACCTGTGCAGCTCGCGTATGATGCGGCTCATGCGCCCGAACTCCTGCTTTCGGAACCACAGGTTGGCCAGCTTGAGCTGCGTCTTGAACCACAGCCGCTCGTTCTTGGCCTTCTCCAGGGCGGTTAGGGTGGCCTCGTAGAACTCCTGGAGCACCTGGGGGAGAGGCGGGGGGAGATGGGGGGAGGGGAGGGGAGGGGAGATGGGGGGAGGGGAGGGGAGAAGGAGGGGGGAGATCATGTGGATGTCTATGACATGAAGGCTACGCCTGCATGATGCATGAACAGCATGATACAGCGGTCAACAGAACCGGTCCTCCTCAGTCCCCAACCCCCATCTGCCTTCCCCCACCCCCAGGTCCCCCACCTTGCCCCTCTCTCTAACTGCCACCCCCCACGCCTTATCCCTCAGTAAGTTACTCGTTCCCTCTTTACCCCCCCACCCCCCACCCCATGTCACCATGTTTGCACCCCATGGTGAAGCCTTGTCATACAGCTCGTCAGTTGCTTCGTCAGTGTCTCATCATATATATTTTTTACCCCCCCACCCCCCCACCTGCGTGTCACTGGCGCCCCCCATGAAGTCCAACAGGCTGTTGATTTTCTTCTCACTCGCGTTGCGGGTCACTGCGCCATCGGCGTACGACAACATGAGCCTGCAGCGGCAGTACGGCAGCAGCAGGGAGCAGCGTACGGCAGCAGCAATGACACATTTGAGGCGGGTGATTGGAGATTAGGGAAACCTGTGAAGGTGTGTGCTTGGCGGGATAAAGGAATCCCCCGCCTCTGCTGCTGCTGCTGCCTATTTAGGCTGCAGTCGGTAGTGTCAGCAGACGAACCCGGTAGTGGGGAGGAAACACACAAGGGCGCCTCAAACGGGCGGTAAACACCGTAAGTAAGAAGGCAAGGCTCAGGATAAAGGGTTCGGGTTCCGATTAAAGCGTAAGGTGTCGTACCTGTACGAATCCATCATCTTGCCGTACTGCCCAAGTTTGTAGTGCAGCTTGACCAGCTGCTTGAGAGCTTTAAAGCCCCTGAGGGGAGGGGCGGGGGGAATGGCGGATTGCGAAGGAAAATGACGGCCTGCAACCTCTCGACTCGCGGGTACCATGTAACCAGGACATCCCAGACATCCCGATGCCCTATCCATCTTCCCATGTTTTTAGGCGTTAGGCAGCACCCGGCGCCCCTCATCCGGCGTACCATTCGCCCTTCTCCTGCTCCATGTCAACGACCTGCTTGAACCCATCGATTGCTTCTCGAGGGTCTTCGCTCTCAAGCAAGCCTGCATGCACACCCAGTTGTGCGTCAGAGCCCGCAGACATTGCCCAGCGAGTACCAGATCCGGTTGATTATCAGCTAGAAAGGTTATTGTGGCTGAAAAGGCGTGCTCCGTTTGCCCTGCGCACCCTTGGCATTGTAATATTGGTTCTCAATGTCAACATCCTCCTCCTCGGGGTCTTCATCCGAGTACTCAAAACCATAATCTTCCATCTCATCGTCCGACATGGCTGCAGGTGTTGTTAACGACTCAGCGGTGGAAGGGCAGTTGCTTTCTGGACTTTCAGCAGGGTGCAAAGAAACAGATTAAATTTGCTATGGTAGGAAATACGTGGTATGATGCATCAACTAGCGAGGTAAGCGACAATGGTGAACCGCCCTGTACTTCGGAGCTATTGCCCGGAATGGGGAATGAGGTGAGGCCCAAAGGGTTAAGCTTCACCAAACGCACTGGCAGGGCGAAGACATACATAGATCACTCAATTGAGACAGTGTCATTTGCTGCGCTTGTTGCTAGCGGTCGGTCGGATCTGAGCTACATTTGTTAGGCTTTTGTCCTCTTTGTTGCACGACTACCTAGCAGCAACATATAATGAGCGCACGGTATGATAGAGCTATCACAGTATTCTCGCCAGATGGCCACCTCTTCCAAGTGGAATACGCATTGGAGGCAGTGAGGAAGGGCGCGCTCGCAGTTGGCGTAAAGGGCAAGGACACTGTCGTTCTGGGTAAGCTTTGTCCACATAATCATTAGATCATACCTCACCCCACGGAAGTATTAAGTTCCTGACCCTTCTTCCCCATGCTCATCTCACCACACCTAGCATGGCCTCGCCCCTTCATCCACCTCGTGCCACCCACGTGCCTCCATGCCCTCATCTCCTCTTCCTCCCGCATCCTGCATCCTTCTTCGCCCATTCGCTTCCACCTCCTCTCCATGACACCCACGGCCTAGGCGGGGGTGCACTCTGCCCCAATGCAGCACCCCAACGACGCTATCTCTCCTGCTCCAACTGTTCAACTGGTTAATGTCTCGTTTCCTTCTAACGCTCCTTTTTTGCCACGCTTTGACAACCCTCCGTCCCTTTCCCTCCGTTCCTCATTTCCTTCCCTCCGGTCCCCTCCTCCTCATGCGCTCACTGCATGAGTCGGGATATGGGATTGGGATTCGTTGTTTCACTTTTTTATAATTTTCCCCTCCCTCTCCCCTTCCCCAACCCAACTCAAAGGCGTGGAGAAGAAGTCGACCGCCAAGCTCCAGGACGCGCGCACCGTGCGCAAAATCGTCAAGATCGACGACCACATCTGCCTCGCCTTCGCCGGCCTCACCGCAGACGCGCGCGTGCTGGTCAACCGCGCTCGCCTGGAGGCGCAGTCCTACCGCCTAACCCTGGACGAGAAGGCGACCGTCGACTACATCACAAAGTACATCGCGGGCGTGCAACAACGCTACACGCAGAGCGGCGGCGTGCGGCCCTTCGGAATCTCAACCCTCATCGTGGGGTTCGATCCCGCCGGCGCGCCGCAGCTCTTCCAAACCGACCCCTCAGGGACCTGGTCCGCCTGGAAAGCCAACGCCATCGGGCGCAACTCCAAGACGATTCGGGAGTACCTGGAGAAGCACTACGCGGAGACGAGCGGCAAGGACACGATAAAGCTGGCGATTCGCGCGTTGATGGAGACGGTGGAGGCGGGCAGTAAGAGCATTGAGGTGGCGGTGATGGAGCGGGAGGGCGGGTTGAGGCTGCTGGGGGATGAGGAGGTGGATGCGGTGGTGAAGGAGATTGAGGAGGAGAAGGCGGCGGCGGAGGCGGCGAAGCGGGGTGGCAGCGGCGCGGCGGGGGCGGGAGGGCAGGCGTGAGTGGTTCGTCGGCGTGAGGGGAGGGAGAGGGAGGGAGGCATGGTAGCTGGGGGAGTTGAGGTACGTAGGCAGTAGAGGAGGAGGCAGAAGGGAGGACTTTGTGGGGGCGATGGTTGATGTATTAAAGACGGAGGGTTGGGGTTTGGGGGGCGACAGGAGGGGTTTGTGGTTAAGAGACAAGGAAAGGGCGTGGGGCTGTGCTTGCAACATGATGGCAAGGCAGGTCATGTTAAGGGGACGCTGTCGCAGCAGCAGCAGCAGCAGCGGGGTTCATGCGGTGCAAGAGCACGGGGGTAGGGGGGAGGGTTGCATGCAAGCAGGGGCATGCAGCCAGCCATGTGCATTGAGGATTGACTGTTAAGAAATCCAAAACGCTAAACTACGCGTTAAAGGCGCTAAATGCCGTCGGCTAAAGAGAGGTGTTTCGGTTGTCGTTTGTTGCACATCGCCTGCTTTGCATGAGGACTCGTGCACGGGCCGCAGGCGGTGCGCACCAGTCCTCTCCAACTGGATTGGCTGCTGCTCGGTGTTGACCCTGTTGTCTTAGGGGGTGCTTGTCATGCCTTCAGGGGAGTGGGTGGGTGTAGGAGCGCCGCCATGGCATGCGTTTTAGCTTCAAAGCCCCCTCCTGGTTGTGCCCTACGCGGTCGGTCGGTTCGCAGACGTGTCGACAGCGGTGACCGGCGCCGAAACCGTCGACGGAGGGATCCCGGATGGCCATCGGGGAGCGGCAACGCAGGTGCTTGGAGGCTACGGTCCATGTGCGCTCTTGTAACAAAAGCTTGTAAAACGCGGAAACACGCATACACATACATGGCGTCTAGGTCCATCCGTGCGTCTGCCTGCCTCTGCATGATGCTCCTCTTCCTGCCTACCGTACATCTCCCAGCCGGTGTGCTCATACGGATGCTCATGCAGGTCTCAACCGCCAACCGCCAGCTTTCCATCAGCCCGCAGCTTACCACCCCAACACCATACCGGGTTCCCACTCACAGCCTGCTCCGAACAGCCCCACCGAGCCCTTCCTCTCCACTCCTCAACCCAGCATCACCTTCCATCCCCGACTGTTCCTGCTGCTGCTGCTCCCTCCCCTGCTGCCGCACTTGCCTCTGCCGCACCTGCCCCTGCTCCCACTGAGCCCGAGCCACCGCCAGCAGCTCCCGTACCACCGGCTTCTGCACCTTTCCCGAGCCGTTCACCGGTAGCGGGCCGCGCTGCGCCGCTGCGAACCGCGGCAACCGGAACCCCGCCAGGCCCTGGGCGCGGCAGTGCGACTGCAGGTCCGCCAGGCTGGTGCGGCGGCAGCAGTGGGGGGACTGGGGCTGCGGCTGGGGCTGCGGCGGCTGCGGGTGGGGGTGCTGCGGGTGGGAGTGCTGGGCCGAGCTGCTGTCAGCGTTGTTCACAGTGCTACTGCAGTTGCTGCTGTTACCGATGACACTGCTGCGGTCGTTGCAGCTGGAGGCAACGGGGTGAGGTGGTGGGTGGGCGTGCGGTGGCAGCAGCAGCAGCGGGCCGTCGAAGTCCCAGCCGTCCCGCAGGACGAGCAGTGCGGATACCTGGGCAGCGGGAGAGTGCGAGGAGAGGCGGGGAGGGGTGACGGGTGGGTGCTCAGGTGAACGGCTGACTGAGCTATCCGTACGAGGGAGGAGCGGGTGGAGCAGAGGCACTGAACAGGTAGCTTGACCCCGCAGGCTAAATGTTTTCCTTGAAGCGCTCCCTACCTCAAATGCATCACTTCAGCAGCAGCAGCCCCTCCTTTCCTCCCTCCCCCCCGCCCCACCTGCTCCCCCAGCCGCTCCTCCGGCAACCCCACCACCGCCGCAGCCGCCACCGCCGGGTGGCTGAGCAGCACCGTCTCCACCTGCGGGGGAAGAGAAGAACATCGGAGGAGGTAGAAGGGGAGCGGAAGGTGAATTAGATAAACTGAGCAGCGAGGAAACACTGACTCGTGACCACAGGAAGACCCGTGGAGGTGGAGGGCAGCATGGAGGGGGAGGTCTGGGGTTGAGGGAAGTTGAGGGATTCACCGAAGCAGGTAGAGCGCTGTGAGCCGCGCATGTGCCAAAGCCGCCCCCCAGCTGCATACCTGCGGTGCGAACACGTTCTCCCCGCCGCTCTTTATCACGTCCTTGGCTCGCCCCATCAGCCACAGCCCCCCCTCGCCTGCTAGCCAGCCCAGGTCGCCAGTGCGCAACCAGCCACCGGGCAGCAGAGCCTGGGTCGGCAGGGTGGGGGCAGGGTGGGGTAAGGGTGAAAATTAACTGAAAAGTGCAGCAATTGGAGTCCAAATCCCAAGCCCCGACTCATGCAGTGAGCGCATTCGGAGACACTGTTCTAGAAACACGCAACTAAGGGAGGCAGGATGGGGGCAGGGTGGGGGAGGAGGAAAGAAGAGGAATAGGAACATGGAGAGGGGGGGGGAGGCAGCGATGCACTCCCCTTGCCGTTGCCCTGCCACCCGTCCTGCCCTCCACCTCTCCACGCACCTCTGCGGTCGCCTGCGTGTCGCGCCAGTAGCCCAGCATCACATGCGGCCCACGGGTCTGCACCTCACCAACCTCGTACGACACATCCCGGCAGCCCTCAACGCCACCGCCCATGCTGCGTAACCCTGTTGCAACCCCCTCGCCGTCTTTCTCCTCCCCGGCGGCACTGCTTCGCTCCCGGGCTGATGCAGCTGGTGCATCTGATGCGTCCCCTGGTGTCGATCTGCCGATCCGGATTTGCACCCCCGGGGCCGGCCAGCCCACAAACACTGCTCCCGGTGGGGCAAAACACACTGGGCGACGGCCTAGCTGCGCAGTCGAGGGGTGCTGACCGGGGAGGGAGGCCGATGTGGGGGCCGCACTGGCAGCACTGGCAGCTGTGGCAGTGGCGGTGGAGGCGGCGGAAGATGAACCGGCGCGACGGAGGTGTGCGAAGGTCATGGAGGAGCAGGCCTCTGTCATGCCGTATGCGGAGGTGAGGTCGGCGCGGGGAAAGGTGCGAGCAACGGCCTCCTGTGGATGGTGGCGGGAAAGGGCGGGCGCTTCCTAGCTTCCCTAGCCGAGCCTTCTTGGCTGGTAAGTGGTAACTGAAGTAAACGAGCGGGAAGGCATAGTTTTTGGACCAGAGGGGCAGCAACATAGGCGAGGGGAAGAGGATTGCATACCGGTAGACAAGCGTAACAATGGACAAGGCAACAATGCCTACTACAGCCGATACAGCGTTATGAATGCCTGATCATCATTTCTTACTTTCCTTCCAACCTTCCCCACCTGCAATACGTGCGAGGTACCGCCGGCACCGACCAGAATCTTGGACACACAGTCCAAACACCCCGCCGACAGCCGCAATCCCTCCTTCGCCCCCGCCGCTGCTGTCACTCCCGTCACGGAACCCCCGGCCTCCGCCACCACCTCCGCCACCGCCGCCTCCGCCGCTGCAGCAGCCAGGTCTTGCAGCATGGTGGGTACGGCAATGAACGCCGTCACGCGATGCCGTACAATGGCCCCCAGCGCCGCCGCCGGATCGAACCTGCGCATGAAGACGTGTACGGCGCCCGCCGTGAGGGCTGCGAAGGCGGATGAGAGGCCGCCGATGTGGAAGAGTGGCGCGAGGTGGAGGTAGGTGTCGGCGTGGGAGTAACCCACGAGGGCGAGTTTGACCAGGGATTGGGCGTGGAAGGCGGCGTGGCTTAGCTGCACGCCCTTGGGCGCCGCGGTGGTTCCGGAGGTGAAGACGAGGAGGGCGGTGCAGCAGGGAGGGGTGAGGAGTTGGAGGGGAGGGGGTACGGGAGGGAGTGGGGTTGAGGATGCGAGGAGGAGAGCGGTGGTGGTGGTGGTTGGAGGTGGGGATGCGGTGGGGTTGAGGTGTGGCTGAGGGAGGAGGTGGTTTGAGCTGTAGGCAATGGTGCTGCTGTGGTAGCAGCTGGAGGGATGGGTGTGCAGGGGCCACGGTTGTTGGAACTGGCAGCTTGGGCTTTGCCAGTGGTCAATGTGACACAAAGCAGGAGCTGATGGTGTTGACATGGCATTGCCAGCGACCTTGCGGACGTAAGCAGCGGCAAAGGCCTCCTGTGTGAGAGCAGCGCAGAAGCTGTCGTACATGATGGCAGCGGGTGAAAGGCGTTCCAGGGCCTCAGCTAGCTCTTTCGCGGTCCATCGCCAATTGACGGGGCAAACGATGCAGCCCGCGTCCAGTGCCGCTAGCAAAGACTCCATCATCGCTCCTGATGTTTGTGATACAATGACAATTACGCTTCCAGCTGCAACGGAGAGGCATGTCGACAGCGCGCGGCTGAGTAGGGCGACGCGATGAAGTAGCTGCAAGCCGGTCGCCGAGCGGATTGACGACGGTCCTGGCAATCCTGTGTCTTCGTCAATAAACACAGCCCGATCGACATACTGCTGTGCAATTGTCAACAGCGGTGCACAGATGTGGTGTGCCGCTTGCATGGTGTGTGGCATGGTTTATGGTCGCCTTGTGGCGTTGGGTTACCACAAGGAGAGGAACAACTAAGGGTATAGGCACTAACAACGTGCTCTAACTATTGCAATGGACGGCATTCACGAGTAAACTGTGCTTTACTTGTCGCTCAGCGGCAGCTCCGAAGCCAACCGGACGAGCAAGCGGCACCAACTTGAAGCCAGTCGCTGCCTGTCTTAGATGCTTCCTACCCGTTCAAGTTCTATCTTCTTACGTGCAACTAACCATGGCAGAGCTCGTCCTTACTTTTGAGACACATCCTGGGCGTACTCTTACGCTTGCGCTGTTCAGGGACGTTAAGAATGCAAAGTAAGCCACAAACGTGATATGTACACCTAAGCAGTATATCTGTAACAAACGATACGCCTTTGGTTCTTTGCGTAAACCCAGGGAGGTCCGCGCAACCATCGCCGACGCCAGCAAGCCGGAGTTTGCTTACATGAACGCGAGCCTGGTGAGTCATACGCGTGTCGTGTTCGCTTAACCCTACCTTCTAGGGCCCTTTCCCCACCCGGCTGGGCCTTACGCCTTCTACCCCCACCCTACCTCACCCGAACTTTCCCGGCCTCGCCTACATCGCGCGGGGACTGGCATAAGGCCCCTCCACCCTCCACAGAATCTTTGCCAAGCCTGGCTTCTACACTCTTACTTTTATGCCATTTTATAGATTTATGACAAAGAAGTGCTGTTGGACTTTTAAACAACAATTTCGTTTCTGTGACACAGGGGCCAATCACCAAGCCCCCACCTCCTTCCAAGACACATTGCAGTTCGGATCGTTCTCTGCAACTCGAGAGCATGTAGTTGGAAACGCTAATAATAGCGGATCAGCATGCCGCGGTGTATACGTTCTCGGGCCTTTGTACACACTGTACGTCACGCCATGAGAGTTGGTTTTACGTAAAGCTGATGAGCTAACTTAAGAGGGTGCAGTATCGGACATGTCTAAAGAGCTTATGAACAGTACTTTGCGGTGCAAGTCTTGGTGATTGGCCCCTGTGTCGCACGAAGGAAATTGTTGTTTAAAGGTCCTAAAGCACTTCTTTGTATTTAATCTATTAAATGGTATAAAAGCAAGAGTGTAGAAGCCAGGCTTGGCAAAGATTCTGTAGAGGGTGGAGGGGCCTTATGCCAGTCACCGCGCGGTATAGGCGAGGCCAACTTTCCCTTTCGCTCGCTGCATGAGTGGGGCCATGGGATCGTGTGTCCAGTGCTTCACGTTTCCTTTGTTACCTCTACCTCACTTGACCTCTTACGCTGTCACCACTGGCATTAACCCTTCTGCTGCACTCCCATGTCTGACGATGCAGATCGTGGACCCCTTCGTCGTCCAACTAGCAGCCCAAAGAGCCTTGGCAGCCGAATCGGCAGGCCGGTTAGTCACCAAATCCCTTCATACGGAGCTCTTATACGGCATCAGCGGGACAAAACATGTACGGCGTACATGCTTTGGCGGGACATGACGATACTGTGTTGGAGGGGTCATGTGTCACATGGGCCCCAACAGGCCTGGGATCATGGATGAGACAACAATAGGAAAGCTAGCGTTCGGCACACACCTGGCCCGAGATCGTGCGCGGACTACGGAAACGTGAAAAGCTAGCGTGCTATGATGGGCGACAGGAGTCCTTACGCCACTACGCCACCTCAATTGCCGTTGCCTCCGCAGGTTGTCGAGTCGTTGAAGCGGTTCGGCATCGCAGACGACACCACGACCCTGCTGCTTGCACGCTTTGACTGCCAACCTGAAGAGGTACGACATGTGATGATGAATGGCGCACCAGAGGTCTCACCAGCGAGGTTGCGGGCTAGGGGATTGCCCCGCTGTAATGTCAACCACCTCGCCTCGCCCCTACTTGCTCTCCCGTGTCCGACCGGGTTTTGTTGGTACCGGTATCCCCCTGCTCCTCCTCCCGCTCCCTCCGACCGCGGCAACCATGAGGCCACCCATGGTGGCCAGTATTCTTAACACCCATTGTGGAGCCTTGCCACGTGGTTATTTCTCCTTCCTGTTTACTTATCACCGGTATTCAATGCTCCCCCTCCCCCTCCGCCATCCCTCCTCCGCCCAGCTGGCTGCCGCTCAGTCGCTGATTGCGGGTGTGCAGGTGCCGCTGTGTGAGCTGCCCTCGCTGACGGACACGGAGCTGGTGGACAAGGTGGGGGCAGGCGGGTGTGTGTGGAAGAATACCCTTAGATTGAGGATTGAATTTATGTGTGTCGAATGGGAATGGCAAACCAGACGGGGGGTAGAGGGGAAGAAACTAACTAGCTGTATGACATGGGGCGGGAGGCCCGTTGGGTGGTGTGGTGTGCTAAGGTTGGGAGGGTGCGTTGGGAGTGGGGTGAGGCCGGGGTGCGGGGTGACGCATGCAAACAAGGTTGCCCTGCCCGCCCTGCCCGCAGTGCTACAAGATAACGCCTGCGGAGCTGCAGGGGGGCCGCAGCCGCACGGATGCGGTGGTGTTCCGGATAGGCGCCAAGGATTGCCTGTGAGGCGCATAGCGGCGATAGGTTCAGGGATGCGAGATGTCCGTGCTGTGGCAAGGCATGGTGTCATGGTCGTTTGATGTATGGCCTAAAAGAGAATCTAGGAGCGGGAAGGTGAGGGCGAGGGTGAGGTAGACAGGGCTAATCTCGGTGTGGAGGATGCTATTGGGCTCTCTAAGAGGAGAATGCTCGCTTGGTTAGTGCTAGTATGGCAGGGTTTGCGCTGTTGGGATGTCGCAGTGTATAGGAAAGGCGCACGTGCTGCAAGCCACACGCCTGCAAGCCACACGCCTGCAACGCTATGAAGGCTGGACAAGCCGTTACGTAACGTTTCTGCCGTTAAGGTGAAGGCGGAGGCCATGAACCTTACGATGCTGAGCTTGAGGATGAGTCGCACAAAGGACACCCATACCAAGAGACCATAGGTACATGCGTACGGCCAGTCGCACGGTTCCTCACGATCCTTTTGAGCAGTCATAAAGCATTCTCGGTGCATAAGCATGACCAGCCCTGATCACAGAGGGGTCGTCCCTCGTCATCAACATACAGTGTACTGAACCACCAGCTGCGTTGATAGTCCGCTATGCCAATAACGAAAGAAACTCTTATGTTCCAACTGAAATATAAAATGCCAACCGGGATTGAACGTCGCGCTCAGCAGGCGATCATGCGCTTCCAAGCGAATCCAGTTTTCAAAACTCATGTCGTACGATTGCCCATAAGCCATAACGCATGGGCCATGACGACGCGAGAGCAAATATCGAAATGACCCAGAGCTTCTGGTTCTGTTACTTATTCTAGCTATCAGCATCTTATTTTCCTTTCGTCTGCTTCGCAGCTGTCCAGAGCTGCAGAAAACGTACACTTCATACTGCTTGGAGCTACTTAATACTGATGCTGTTTTGTTTGTATTAAGATGATGACGCCCGGAAACGGGAAGGTGGTTGCGGCGATAGGGTCACTATTCGGCAGCAGCAAGGGGTCAGACTGTGTCGTCCGGTTCTTTGTCGAGCAAGGCCCTGAGCAAGCCATTGCGAAACGGCAGCGGCTTGCGGATGGCTTTTCAAGCAAGGCTGTCGATGTCGAGGACACTTTCATCGGCGATCCACTACCCGCGCACAAGCTCATCCTAAGCTGCGCCTCGGAGCGGTTTGATGCCCAGGTACTGATGTGCTGACGTATAATGATTGTGGTTGGCTCCGTAAATACCGCTGATCGCACGCATGTGTCGCCTTTGTCAGCACCAGCTCTGGGCACTAGGGAACAGGTCCTAGGTGCGGAAGATACATGCTGGTTACAACTCTTGGACTGTTTCTTGCTGCGTACAGTTTGAGCGCTGGGCGAACGCAAGCAGAGAAGTGCAGCGCGAGCAGCCCCAGAAGGGCGAGGCACCGGGCGCGGACGATGAACTTCCTGAATTGCGCATTCCGCTGGGTAGCGAGGAGGAGGTACCAAGCGCCCTTGCCGCCATCAAGTTTTCATATACTGGACAGATTGAGCAGGATGACATTCGTGGGGTGCTGGAGGTTCGGCGCCAGGCGGCTTATCTGCAGATTGATGGCTGTGCTGCGGCATGCGACGAGGTTTTGCAAAAGCAGCTGGAGAGCAGTGACGACGTGGCCAGCAGCAGCGGCGCAGGCGGCGACGCCTACAGTGACAGCGGCGAGCAGCGTGGCTTAGTGCTAGACTTTTACGCATGTGAAGCTTTATTCTGTGATGTCCTTGAGGACCCATCCTTCACCGCCGTCCTCAACCTTGCCAAGGGGCAACTCGTGACGCACTTCCGCGACGCGCTGAACACCCTCAACACACCCTCCCTTCGGCAGCAACTGCAAAAGTTGCCAGCGGTGGCAGTAGAGGCGCTGCTTGACTCGGGCGATTTTGGGACCGACAGCGAGTCTAGCGTGCTACTGATGTTGGCTGCGTGGATGCAGGTAAACCACGGCAAGACCGACGAGGCGACCCGCAAGCGGCTGTGCCGAAAGGTGCGGATGGTGCAGCTTAGTCGCCCCTACCTCAGCTTTGTGCTACCAGCTCTTGCACTAGACTACGAGACCGGAAAGCAGCTGCCTGCCGGTTGGTGCGCGGTTTCACCGTTGGAGGCCGCCTTCATCAGCCACTTTGCCAGCTCGTCTGATGAGGAGCAGAAGCGTCTGCTGGGCGCTGCCAAGTCAAGTGGAGTCTATGAGATGGATACCGCGGTCTACAGCACCGTGCCACGGCGGCAGTGTCTGCCAGAGGGAGGACTTGCCCTCAACTGGCACATGCCACAGCAAGAATTGGTGGGACTCCTCGCTATCAAGCCAGGCGAGCCTTGCGCGCTGCATACCACTTTTGAGGGACGGCTGTCGGCCATCAGTGCGCAGGGGTTTGAGTGGCACGTCGATATCAAGCAGGTGAAAGGGGCAAAGGATGCGGGCCTGTTTTTGCTCTGCAAGATACCGGCAGCGTATAAGGCTGGGGGCTCACGGCTTGGCAGTCCGAAGGCCATGCTCACGCTGACCGGTTTCGAATCAAAAGTGACTGTCAACCGCTGGCAAGGCGGAGCCAAGGCAGATGTCATTGTCAAGCCGTACAGCAATTTCTTTCTGGCGGACTCCGGCGGATGGGGATACCCCGATGCGCTCTCATTGAGCCAGCAGCAGCAAGCGGCTGACGGCAACGCTGCTGCCGACAACAACCCGTTGGACGCATGGTCCGAGTACCTGCACGCCGGCGAGATCACCGGCACCATCATCCTGCTGCCTCCGTTGCGTGCGACAGCCCTGTACTGGGTTTGACGTCAACCTTTGCGGGACGGCTTGGCATCTTTAGGCGTTTCCCTTTAGGTCGCAGGCTGGCAGCAGGCTTCGTCCCCCCCGTAAAGTTCGCATGCACGATTGCTTCTGTCATATTGGCAATTCTATTACAGCGCTATGTGCAAATGCAGTGGGTTGGGCTTCTTTGCACGCCATGGCACATGCACCCGTCATGCTATAGCGGTGTTGTGGTATTGCAGCATGTTATAAAGCGGTCACTGCAACACGTGACCAGGCACATGGATCCAGGGAATGGTCCGAACTGGCTCCACATGTGGGTATGGTGCATGGTGTATGGATGAATATGAGACGGAATGACATTATAGCACGCAGTATAGCGTCGACTGACAAAGGTGTTTTTGTCTAGGCAGGTGCATGACCATCGCTTGTGCTGGCGCTTACCCCCCTCATTGCTTAATTTTGAGAAGGGCAACAGTTTGTGGCGTCGTAGGCGTTGGCTTCGGTCAAGCCATGCGTGCCTCTTGTGGCGGCGTAATATCGTATGCCGTTCTCAGTATTCTGCTGGTCATTGTCCCTTATTCCCCAACGCTAGACCCCGGCGGGGTATTGCCAGATGTCCAGTCAGGTGTGTAAAGAGGAAACAACTGACTGAGGGATAAGGCGTCCAGTCAGGGATGCGGGCGGTGGCACTGTGGGGCAGTGCAGGCTGGGCCCTGCCGGCTGGGGACGTTATGGAGAACATTGTACAGCGGCTCGGCATGCGAGTAGCTGCGAGACAGCTAGATCCGGCCGTGAGTTCACACACCATTCGACAAGCATGCATGCGCCTGTGCAGAGTAGCGCTGCGCCGCCATGAGCGCAGCTCTGTTAACAGACCTGTTCAGATGTGTCAGTGTCACTTTCCAGTCCACTCAGCCCATGACAGCTTGCCGACGCAATTCGTACTGCACAATGGTCGACGCAGCTGAACCGCATGGAGCGACACACGCTCAAAATTATGCCCAAAGAGCAGCGCCTTTCCCGGTACATACGCAGCCATACACCCTTGACACCCTTCGCTAACACTCGCGCAATCGCTCACTCTGTAAGTCGCAAAACACCGTATGCAGGTAAAGTCGCATGCCGTTGGGGACATGCTGTATACCGGTGCTACACCGTAGCCCTCCTTTACGATTAGATGGGTGTTAATAACACCTACCGTAACACGACCAGATTGTGCTGCTTCCCAAAACACGCACACTATATCGGTGTTTCGGCCCGACCAACCCTCTCGTACGGGCCACAAGGTTCCATGGTATTCGGAATTGCCCACAGCGTGCACCGTAGGCCCAATCAACGACTTGCAAACATAACAGCAAGGCCAAGGCGTAAGGCCACACCGGCTGCAGCAGCCCTCCAAGTAGCCAACCAAGACACCCGAGTACGCACCTGACTTGTTGGTCACCTCCAATCATGCTGTTTCCCCCCGCTGTCCTCTCACTCCAACGCTCACGTAGCCACCCGCCAAACGCGGCGTCCCCCTCCTTTACCCAAGCCGTAAAACGTGTCTCAAGCCTAACACCTAACAGCTAAAGCAATCACCCTCCTGCCCCAATCCCCACTCTTCCCCTCCCTACTCCTTACTCCAACCGCTCCCGCTGCGCTTCCACCCGTCCATCCAAAATACACACACACCCCTGCCACCTTGGCCGCCACGCGGGCCCCCTTTCGCCACTTCCCTACAACCCCACAGGCGCCGCTGTTGCCGCTGCTGCTGCTGCCGGCGGCGCCACCTTGGCCGCCGCCCTGAGCAGCTGCTCATGCAGCACCGGCGGCGCAGCTATGATGCCCCGATCCAACTGCAGGTAGCGCCCGCGGGAGAAGTCCAGCCGCGTGCCGCCCGCGTCCGTGACCCGCCCGCCCGCCTCCTCCACAATAACAAAGCCCGCTGCGTGGTCCCAGATCTTCTCGCGGTAGGAGGGCGGCGGGAAGCGCATGAAGATGGAGCCGCAGCCGCGACTGAGCAGCCCGTACTTCACCTGGGAGTCCATGCGGAGGGGGGGCAGCACCACACCCAGCTCCCGGGCCTGCGGGGGGGGGCCAACATGGAGGGGCGGGCTAAAGTCACGACGGGGGCTGGAAATGTTGAAGTACCCTTCCTTCCTGTCCTGCAGCCCTTCCCGCCACAAACCCCGCAGCCCATAAGGCCATAACCCCAGCTACGGGTACGGCACACCCGGTAAGGCCCCACCCACCCACCCACCCACCATGGCTGCGGAGGTGTCATGGCTGGAGTGGCGGCTATCCACTGACTCCATGAAGCGAGCCGCGGAAGCATCCGACAGGTCCGACACGTGGATCCGTACGGCAGCCTCCTCGCGCTCGTCCCACAGCGGCGCCACGTAGGCTCCATGGTTTCGGAGCGCGGAGAAGAGGCAGCCCACGTGGCTCTGCCCTACAGCGCGCGCGGCGGCTCCGGAGCGTCCGTCCTCGTCGCTAACGGGGCCTTGTGGCAGGTTGGGGCAGCCGAGGACGCCTAGAACCACCTGCGCGGCGCGAGGGACACCGCATGATGGACGCACGATGGCATGATGGCATAGGAGGAGGGGTTTGGGTGTCAACTTACGTGCAAGTACCGTAATTAAGCATGCGGTACGGCACAGGTACGGCGACTGCTTAGCTGGAACTACTCTATTGTAACTTATACTGGCAAAAACACAGGATGAAGCACACACGCAGGGCTGACACGTGGCCCTAGGGTTGCCACGCCGCCACCACCAGTCCACGCCGCACCCACCTCTCCGTCCTGCAGCATGCCCAGGCACACCGCGTACTGCCGCATGCCCACGAAGCCCCGCGTGCCGTCGATGGGGTCCAGCACCCAGTGCCGACCCGTGGGTCCGCCGGGGGAGCTGCCCAGGTCTGTGGGTGTGGGTAATTAGGAAGAGGGAAGAAACCCACTAGCCGTGTGACAACTGACAACTGACAAGGTCTCACCGCTATGGGTTGTGTATCATGGGTGCCTAGGTCTGTGGCTGAGACGATGAGGGGTGGCTAAGGGTGGCTAAGGGTCACGGAGGGCCACATGGAAGCTAGCAAGAGCGGGAGAGGGAGAGCAGGAGAGGGAGAGCAGGAGAGGGAGAGCAGGAGAGGGAGAGCAGGAGAGGGAGAGCAGGAGAGGGAGGGCGGGAGAGGGAGGGCAGGAGAGGGAGAGCAGGAGAGGGAGAGCAGGAGAGGGAGAGCAGGAGAGGGAGAGCAGGAGAGGGAGAGCAGGAGAGGGAGAGCAGGGTGCAACGAAGAGTAGAAGCCTAGCAGCCGCATGCAGTACAGAAGTGCTGGCGTACCGTAGCCTTGATGCTTCTTCACATCCTCTCCCCTCCACACCACCGCTCTCATCCCTCCCAGCACACCAGCCACAACCAGCGTGCAACCCTCTGCCCCCTCCTCACACCGCCCTCCTCCCCCCCTCTTCCTCCTTCCCTCTCCACCCGCCCACGTCCCTACCTATAAGCCCCAACACCTCCTCCGGTGTCAGCGCTGCCCATCCCGCCGCCGCCGCCTTCACATCCCCTGCCGCTGCTGCCGCTGCTGCTGTCACCCCCTCCACTCCCGCCGCCCCCGCTCCCGCCCCCGCCGCCTCCTGCAGCACTGTGTTGATGAGCTGTGTGATGCGCTCCAGCATGGGCCGACCCGTGGGACTGCGCAGCTCCGCGGAGTCCTCCTCCGCCACCAGCGACAGGCGGCAGGCGGGGTCGGCTCGCTGCAGGGCCCATGCCACCACCGCCTGAGCACCTGGAGTGGGGGACAAGGGGGGGGGGGTAAGGAAAGATGGGGTGAGAGGCGTGGGATTGGGTAAGAGGTGTGGCGGGTAACATGGTGGAGGCGGACTAGAGGGGGGGCAGGTCAGGTGGGGAAGGGGTAGGTGGGAGGCGAGGTAGGGATAGAGGAGGGAGTGGAGCGGAAGTGGGCGGGAGGCGGGGGTACGCCGATGTTTGGGAGTAGCTGGGCATCCGGAGTTGATAAGGAGGGGATAGACAGTGGGGTAGGGATAACGATGTAAAGGCGGTCTGAGAGAAGTAGGGTCAGGTGCGGCAGGTGGGGCACAAGTGGTCATGCCGGTGACAACAACCTGTCAGGCCCGAACGCTCACCGTAGTCAGCAACCGTTACAGGGGAGTTGTCCTTTTTATCCGCACGCTCTTCAGCGCTTAGCTCTCGTTGTACAATCTGCAGAGCACCAGGAAAGAAGGCGATGCGTCAGCATATGCTTGGGTGCAAGCCAGGGGATGCGCCCTTGCGGGTTCAGTGGACAGCCACCTGACATAGCCGTGATGCAAGCCGAACGGCGGATTTTGCGCTCTCTAGCTCTTTCCCAAACCGCAGCGGCTGTGCAGGAACGTCGACCGCTGCGCGAGCTGCTACATGCGTGCGGACATGCTGACGCGTAGCTAACAACCGGCAAGCCTTGTTTTGCCGCAAGATTCTAACAGCATGACGTTGGGCGTAAGACGTTTGCATCGCAAGCCCTTGGGCTATCGGTGGTACGGTGGATGAACCTGATACTACGCGTTGAAGAAAGGTGTTCCAGGATATACAGCTTAGCAATTCAATAAATAATAAATTTACTGAGCTCAATATCAACCCTACGCTGTAAGAGGATGTCCTCAGACGGTTGTATGTTCGTTGGACCAATCACGAAGTAGCCGAAGACCTTACGGAATTCTGGGCACGGCAAAGGATTACTAGCCAGGCAGATGATCTGAAGTATGAACAGTGCAGCATGCGCTAGCAGGTTGACCAGTCCAACGCTCGAATGCCAGCGGCAACCGGTCCTTGCTAGCGTCCAATGCTTACCTAGACTCCTTAATTTCAAGGGACGGAGAAGATGTAGCTGCATTATCCAACGCCCTTGGCGGGTAGCAGTAGGGCGACAAGACCTAAGATGCCACACGAAAGCTACTGCTGACTCAGCGGTCCCCGGAGGCACACCGCACAATGGCAGGCCCGCGGGAGGTAGCGAGGCCCCGGGCAAGGGCTCCAGCTCCATGCGCTTCCTGGTGAGCTGGACCCGCTGCGGAGGGTTGGGCTCCTCACACCATGCGGAGGGCTCTGACCCAATGCGGAGGGAGTGGGGCTTCCAGGTCTCGATACCTGTTAAGAATCTCGATACCAGCAGCACGTATCTTCCACATGCCCGCTCCCCTCCTTTCTGCTTCCTCCCTCCTCTTCTCCCTCAGGCTCTCGTCAGTCTGGTGCTGCTGACGGGTGTCAGCAACCGCGTGTTGTACCGCGTGGCGCTGGTGCCGCTGCGACACCACATCTTCCTGCTGGCTCAGCTGCAGAACCTGGGGTACCTGCTGGTGTACTTTGCGGCGCTGGGGTGGAGGATACGGTACGGTGGTGGCAGGGATGGGAAAAGAAGAAAGTCCAATGGCAGGGAGGGGGGGTGCAGGGGTTGCGGGGTACGGGGTGCGGGCAGGTTGGCAGGATGAGTGCTTAGAGCTGCCACGCGCTCAACTTACTGGGGCATGCCACCCTTGTCAACCCCTCTAACCCCCCTCCCACCTGCCCCCCACCCCCCATGCACAGCACCGGCCAGGTGTCCCGCGCCATGCTGTCGGTGGACAAGCGCCCCTTGGCGCTGGTGGGCGGCTGCGAGGCGGCTGCTCAGCTGCTGTTCATGGCTGGCGCGGCTCAGCTGCCGGGGCAGCTGCTGCCGGTGCTCAACCAGAGCTACCTGGTGTGGAGCCTAGCGTTCGCGCGGCTCATACTGGGAACACGGTAGGGGGGAGGAGGGGGGAGAAGGAAGGAGGAGAAACGGCGTGGTGTGAGAGGAGGGGAGAGGAGGAGGAGGGCTGCGGACGAGAGGGGAAGGAAAGGGAGGCGAATGTGCGCTTGCATGGGCGTTGGTGTCAGCGTGTCAGGTCCCTGGCCTCCCAATGCGCTGCTGTGGAGCTGGGCTGCCCGTACTGCTTTCATTTCCACCGGGGCCTCCCTTCTCTCCATCCGGCCCTGCCCTGCCCTCGCCTAACTCGCTTCTTCTAAGCTCGGCCTCTGCCCTCCTCCTTCCCTCCTTCCCTCCTTCCCTCCTTCCCTCCCTCCCTCCCTCCCTCCCTCCCTCCCTCCTCCTCCGCCCTCCTTCCCCTCCCTCCCTCCCAGCTACACTCGGGTGCAGCTGGCGGGTGCAGCGCTGGTGGTGGCGGGGGTCACCACCGCAGCAGTGCCGCCGGCAGCAGTGCGGGAGCTGCTGCTGGGTCTGGTGGGGGGAGCAGCGGGGACAGGGGCAGCAGCAGCGGGGACAGGGGCAGCGGGAGCAGCAGCAAGCACTGCAGCAGCAGCGGCAGCAGCCGCCTCCTCCTCACCGGTGGAGCTGCGCTACGTGGCGATGTGTGTGGCGTGTTTCGCATTCCCCGCCATCGCCAACTGTGTTAAGGAGAGAGTGTTCAGGTAGGAGAAGGAAGGGTTCCCCTGTCTTTCTCTCATCCCCTGTTCGTTCCTGATTCATATGCCCCCGACCCCAATGGCCGTTCACCCTTCTCCCCTCCTTCCCTCTCCTCCCTCCCTCCGCCCCTCTTCACCCCCCCAGCTCCGCCGCTGCTTCCCTGGGCCGCCCGCTCGACATATTCGTGGTCAACTCCTTCGGCTCCCTGGCGCAGACCGCCTGCGTGCTGCTGCTGCTGCCCGCCACAGCGGCAGCCAAGGGAATACCGCTGCAGCAGCTGCCCGGCCAGCTGGCGGCGTCCGTGAGGGCGTTCCTTGGGGAGTGCTGCGCGCAGGGGGCGGGCAGGGAGGCAGCAGCGGGTGCTGTGGGTGCTGTGGGTATGGGTACGGCAGCAGCTGCAGCGGCTAACGGAGGTAGTGGGGCAGCAACAGCTGTAGCAGCAGGAGGAGCAGCAGCGGCAGGAGGAGGAGGGGTGTGGTTGCCGCACATGCCGTACACGGTGCCCCTGCTGGCGTTGTCGTACGTTGTGATGAACCTGGCGTTCAACATATCCATGCTGACGCTGCTGAGGAGGTGTGTGGGCTGCTGGGATCAGTCTGTGCCGTATTCGTGTCGTACATGCACACCTGGACGCCGTACCATGGGTACCTTGTGACGGACGTCCGGCCACAAGGTTCCCTCTCTTAGCAGCCCCGGGTCCTTGTGTCAGCATCCAAACCCTATGTAGGCCCTAGCCCTCTCATGTCCCTCCCTCCCTCCCTCCCCCACCTGCCTCCCCCCAGTGTTGGCTCCGTCACCACCACCCTGGTCGGCTCCTCGCTGGTGCCCCTCACCATCGCCGCATTCACACTGCCGCTGCCCTACCTGGTGGGTCGGACCCGCACGACCCGTGGGTCACTACGGGCTGCTGGGCGCTGTGGCACGACCCGCCTCTGTACCTCCACCTGTGTCTCCAGCTCTGTCCCTCACCTAAACCTATGGCAACCCATCATCCTGGCCTCCTGCTCCCACATCTCTGCCCCTGCGCTCCCCTGCCTCCCACCTGCCTCCTCACCCCGCCCCTCCTCCACCTGCACTTCTCATTCACTTCCCCCACCTGCCCTCCCCCAGGAGCCTGCCGTACTGGGTCCCAACTTCTTGGTGGGTGTGGCGCTGCTGATGTCGGGCCTGGTGGCCTACAACTGGGCTAGCTGGCGGGCCATCATGCGAAGGAGCAGGTGGGGGCGAGCAGCGAGGGCGGCAGCTGCAGGAGGCGGGGGAGGCAGTAGTGGGGGCAGCGAAGGCGGGGGCGGGGGAGGCAGTGGTGGGAGCGGCACTAGCAGTGGCGGCAGTAGCAGCACTAGTGGGGCGGGAGGTGGAGGAGTAGGTGAAGGGAGCGGGGGAGGCAGCGCCGATAGCAGTAGCAAGGCGGGTGGGAATCAGGGTGGTGGTGGAGGGGAGGAGAAGGACAGATGACAAGGTCTGCGGATGCAGCTTAGCGGGTTAGGGTTAGGACATGGCTGGACATGGGGGCATGGACCCACATGCGACATGGGGTCGTGGGCAGAAGCACGGCGGAGCATAGGCAGGTGCGGGTGTGCATGCTGGCTTTAGTAACATGGTGGCATGAGGCGCTGCAGAAGTTTGGTGTCCTGGTGTGCTGGCGTTAGTAACATGGTGGTGGTGGTAGTAGGAAGATGGCAGGAAACATGTAGGAGATAGTACATGGCTCGGTTGGTTGTTTTAGCGTGTGAATATGAATGAGGGGCGAATGGAACAAGCAGGAGTGCGGCCGTAAGGGGCGCAAGCCGTCAGTACCGGTAGGCCGGGATGGGAGGGGTTGGGGGTAGACGTGAGGCGCTGCAGAGGTTTGGTGTCCACTAGGTTTTAAGACTGCGCTGGTGTGTTTGGAGAGGGCATACGAACGAAGGTGGCGGTCTTTTGTCCAGTAGTGGTTACAGCCCACAGACCCCGTTAACAGGCCTGTTGCACCCATGGCTTTGCACCCATGCAGCACCAAATGCGATTGCATCAAGGCGAAAACAGATGCGATCGATTCCATCGGAGGTCAGCACAGGGATACCCTAGGGTCTGTGGCTATAGCTGCGGGTCCGTAGGTCTTCTGACTGCTGGGAGCATCAGCCACGCCAAGATGACAGTCCATCGGTGCTCTGAAACCGGTAGTCGAGAGGCGGCGTGCAGGACTGCAGGAAGCAAACTCAGGAGGTGCTGACGGGGGCTGCCCTCACTAGTGCAGCCCTCCCTAGGGAGACTGGGGATTGGAGGTTGCAAGGTTCAGCAGTACAGAGGGACTTCCGTACATCGCACTTAAGCACTTAGGGACCTTCTGCTGGCTGCCTTACGGAAAACCCAGCTGGGACATCTGACACGGCAGGGAAGCGCGGGTCCGTCCCCCCGTGTTCAACACACAGGGTCTTCTCCCTTTTTCCCCCGTGTTCCCCTTTTCGGGGCCCATTGCAATGGTCGTTCGCTGCATGAAGCACCTTTGCCCCTTTATACATTTCATGGGGCTGTACATGCCAACAATAAAAATCGTCGTTGCATGTCCTCATACGCTTCGTACATCCCGGTGCATCCCGGGCGATACCCTGGATGACTGTGAGCAGCTGCACCGAAAGCCATGCACCAGAAGGACCCGCGGGTCGCTGAACGATGAAGCCTTAGGGTATGCAGCAGAACAAGTTTGGCGAGTCACAACGAACGAAGAGGTAATAGCTGTCATGAGCGCCGCTGCAGGGAGCGCACAAGGGGTGTACAGTAGAGATACAGGGGGGAGAGTAAAAGCTGAACCCTACAAAACTTGCGCCTTCGCACGACAGTGTAACTCAAGAACGGTACTTGATCGTATCCCGCCAACGATACCGGTATCAGCCAAGGCCGCGTGAGACAAAAACGTGGAAAGCCGAACACTAGACATTCATTTATTGTGCACGACTGTATGGCGACCCGCTTGCAGCAGGAGTCTAAATCATGATCAAGCACTTTCCTCCAACCGCGGGGCCTATAGACGTTGGGAGACCCCGTGTGCTTGAGCTCAGTTCCCGAGGCAGAACCGCGGGGGCTTCAAAACAAAGGCAAAGGAACAAACCAAACCAACCACCAAACAAAACAATTATTTCTTCGTTAGGAGATAATACAAGCTATTGCTACATGCGTGAACAATTCCTTTTTCTATTACGTAAACGTGCGTCCAAAACACAAGCCAATGCAACTAAGATACAGACGCGTCAAGTTGGGAGCCAGCGGTACTAAACGTCCAATTCATCAAACACGAAACCCAGCCACCACCAACAAGCCGGCAACCCAAACCATAAGGCTATGCAGACACGCACGCAATTGGCGCACGCAGCACAGGGCCATTGTCGCACGCACGGCTAAAGGAAACACGTCCGACCTGCCTAAACACACAACATGACGATGCAACACTACATGACGATCACTGGTGCATGTCATGACGTGCTTGCTGCCGCTCGCACCCTTAACGACTTCACATCACAACAGCACCAGCGGCGACCCATGTGCACACAAAACACACAAACCAGTAGCACGAGACACGCGTAGAGAGATAACGTTTTCCTGTTTCTCACCACCGCTATTGATTGAGCGCGGACAAGCAGACAAACAGACTACCCGCAGGAAAGACCCATGGGTCGTAAACCAATCGATGCGACCCGGATCCGAAACAAACAATTAAAGACCTTGGTTCTACTAGCCATGGTATGGCAAACGAGTTTCTAGCACGATAGCTTCTTCGAGGCCTGCGCATGTGCGCATCCCATCCTTCCCATTGCATCCTCCTCCTCTTCGCCCAACAGCACCAAATCACACGCGCAAATCAATCAAACCGCCAACATGTGGCTCTTTCTGCATTCAACTTAGTGGTACAAACGTGCAATGTATCGCCCGTGTGTAGAGGCACGTCGCACACTAGATACTGTGCAAACGTAACGTACCCTCACAACATGCGCCTCACCCCTCGGGACAGTAAGGGGCTCGGCTGGGGCCATAACCACAGTCCATCCTCCCACCTGACCCAAACCCACATTTCAACCATTTCCCAACCCTCCCGCAACTCCTGCGCCTTTCTCCGCACCTCCCAGCCATCCTCACCTCCCATCCATACTCAAACATTCCCACGCCTCAGGCCATCTCAGGCCCCAGACCCTGGCCTCCATCCCTTCCCTCACCAGGCCCACCAAATCCGCCGCCTCCTCCGCTGCTGCCGCCTGCCTCTCCCAGCGAGGCCTGCAGGCTGGCCATGGCCGCTGCGCGCATGAGCCGCATGTTCGCCTCACGCGTCTCCCTGCACGCCATCTCTGCCACCTGCTGCCACTCAAACTCCTGTTGATAGGCCTCTCGGACCTCCATCAGCCGCAGAGCTGCAGGGTGGATGGGGAGGAGATAAGGAGCGAGGCAGGGGCGGCGGGTTGGGGCTTCCGAATGGAAGAGAGTTTGAGAGACCCATGCAAGCAGGAAACGCGGCCCAGATGCGAGAAGCAGTACTACCGGTAGTGTACTAATGTCGTGCTTCGGGTTTGTGGGGACGCGTGATTGGCGTGGGCGTGCCATGCATGCATCTTGAAAGGCAAAGCGTTGCAAATGAGCATGGCAAGGTTGGCTAGATGAACCTACCCAGTGCGTGGTTTTTCCGCATGACCATGGCTAGCCACTCGTCCCCGCCATCCCCCTTCATGGGCACCCCGAGGAAGTCCATGAGGTCTAGATAGGCCTGCTGGTTGTAGCTGGTGTGGCCGTTGGTGGTGGGGCCGTCCGGGCCCTGCAGCTGCTCCAGGACGACCCTAGGGAGGGGCAAGCACATGGTGGATGTCCTGAATGGCGAAATGTTTTCGACTCGACCGGAGCGCGTGAGTGCAGGTACCTTAATGAGGTTCTGTTCACAGCCGTGCAGGATGTTGTAGCTGTTGTGGTCGCTTGCCGTGACTTGCTGGGTTGGTGTGGCTTGCTGGTATGAAGGATGCAGTTCATGGTTCCTATGATAACTCAAGTTCCTTAACAACCATTATATAGCAGTGAATTACAGCCGTGCTACGTCAGGGTCTTTCCGCAAGAAACAGTCACATCGATGAGCGTGTCGGAAGGAATCCCGCGGAGTTGGCGCGAAACCAGAAGCGGCCCGCATGCCGATAACCACCCTAACAAAGGACACCCTACCTGGCAGCAACAAACGTAAATAGGCTTCGAAGGGCAACGGCAGCCTTCCTTTCTGGGCTCTGGCCGCTGAAAGAGTCAGCAGGAACATGCATACGTGCTGACAATATAACGGCTCTCCTCTGAAGCCCGGTATGGCGCCAGCGCCTTAGGACAGGCGTGCAAGTCCTCAAGGCTAACGCTGATGCTTGTCCATGAGCCGCTGGGACTCGTGCAAACGCCCGTTGTGCTTGCTTATGAAACATCGTAGCCTACAGCTGCAGATGTGTGTTTGTAATTACGGCCAACTCACACACGCACACAGTTCAGTTTGGTGATTAAAGGAAATAGGGTTTGGCTTTCGGTTACAAAAGTATGCTGCATATGTTTTAGTCAATGAACATGTGTGATGCAAGCTTGCTTAATATGCACGCTTAGCTGCAACGTTGTGGTCTTTGACTTTCTGCTGCACTTCGTACCCGCTCCGAGACTTCGTTGTAAGCCGTTCGTCAAGAATCTACCGAATTTCTGTTTCGGAAACTTCGATACGACCCGAACTCTTCGAAGCTTTTGCCAGTGTCTGCTCTAGAGCTCTAGACCCTGGCCAACTGTGAGACAGAATGTCGCGATTTGGGTCTTGCTTTATTTTTTGGGCCTCTAGAGGTATGCATTCGAGCCAATGCCCTTGATATGCTGCATGGATATCATAGCTAGCGGGAGTTTTGCACCCTTAAGCCAGGCATTACCCAGCATCGCCCAGCCTGTCAGCCCGCAGGCGGCAAGAGTGCCAATGTGCACCATCCACCGCACTGCCTTACCTTCACGCTCAGTACAGCCCTTCCCCCTCCACATCTTGTACACCCATTACCCATCCCTTACCCAGCATCCCCTCCATCCACCACCATCCCTTCCTCCTCCTGCAACTCCACCACGCTACACAACCTGTTCCACGCGCCCTTGAACAACAGCAGATGCGCCAACCGGCACTGCGCAAGCCACCGCTCCCACACCACCTCCTCTGCGCCCTGCCTGCCTCCCGCACCGCTGCTGCCGCCACGTGCTCCTGTCAAGGCCGCCCCTTGCCTGTGGCGTGGGGGCTGCTGCGGTGGCGGCGGCGGCAGCTGCGGCCGGTGCCGCGGCAGCAGCGGTGCCGCCCACATGCCCTCCAGCAGCAACTGAAACAACGTGGCCTGCAGCTGCAGCTGCGCCCGGCCGTGCGCCACTGCCTCCTGCGCTGAGCAGCACAGCAGCGCAGGCGGGGCCAGCGCGGTGGCGCGAGGCGCCCCTGCAGCAGCGGCTGCTGATGGCCCCGCAGTTGCATGGGGCTGGCAAGAGGGCGCTGCGGTGGGGTGAGGCGGCGGCTGCGGCAGCAGCACATGCCATGGGGGCGCGGTGGACCCCGACGCAGGCGGCGCACCGGCGGTTGCGGCGGACCACATGGCGTCCGGAAGCCAGGTTCCCAGCGGCCGAGGCATGCTGGCGTTGGGAGTGCCTGCGAGCAGATGTACGGCAGAGCAGTGCAGTCACATGTGGGGTCGCGATAAACGCAGCATGCTAAGATGGACAGGGGGTGCAAGCACTACCGGTAGGGGGCTGAGCACTACGCACGCACACACGCTCCTACTCGCGGCCAGTTTTCTTAACACACGCTCTAATGCTCACTACCACTACCTATCACGGTACGTTCCGACTCGTGGCCAGTTTTCTTTTAACCACTACCCACCGGCTGAGGTTCCAGCCAGCGCCAGCTGCTGCTGTTGCATCAACTGTTGTTGTTGTTGTCGGTTTGGAGCTCGCCCGTCCCGACGTGCTCCAGCCGACGACCCGCCCATCCCACCCGCCACATCCTGCACTGCCGCCACCACCTCCCCCAACATGGCTCTCAGGAAGCGATTGCGCCACAGCGCTGCCGCCTCCGCCGCCTCCTCGTCAATCCCCAGCGCCGCATCCATCTCCACCTGGACAGCCGCCGCCGCCTTCGCTGCTGCTGCTGCCGCGTTACTGCCGTTTCCGTCACCCCTGCCCCGTGTCCCAGCTGCTCCCCTCGCCGCTGCCGCTGCAGCCTCCGCTGCTGCCGCCTCCGCCGCCTCCGCTTCCGCCGCCTGCAGCTGCTGCTGCAGGTCTCGCAGCTCGGCTCGCAGCTCCTCCACCTCGCGGAGCAGGGAGGCGCAGGCATCCGCCTGGGCGGCGCGGCGGGAAGCCGCTGCGGCGCCGCCGCCGGTGCCGCGCGTACGCGCCAGCTCACCCAGAGACTGGAGATTGGGTTGGGGTGCAGGATGCGAGAAGGGGTTAGGGCGGGCAAACAGCGGCTGGAGAGAAAGAGATACAATTTCTTTGGGGATGCTGTCAAGATTCCGGTAATGTGCTCTGAATCGCAGGCTCTATGTACATGTTGCCGAGCGCATTACTAGGCAATGAAGCGTAAGGAGTTTATGAGGAGGCCGGCACTACACCTCACCTGGGTCAGCCAGGTCTGCGAGGCCACCAGCGCAGAGAACACCACCTGCGCCCGGCGCCGCAGAGCCTCCAACGCCTGTTGCGACCCATGGGTCTGCTGAGACCCGCCCGTCAGCGACATCCGCTGCAGCTGCGCCTGTGCATTCGCCAGGGGATCTCCCGTACCGTCGCCACCCCTGCCAGCTTCGCTTGCGGGACGAGCGGAGTATTGCCGAGCCAAGGCTGCGCAGTAGGCTCGACCCGCGGTTGCAACCGTCTCCACCAGGGTTGTAGGACCCCTGCTGCCGCCACCTACGGAGGCATTGCAGACACCAAAAGACGGAGAAAGCACATGCTCACGTACCAGCTGAAACCCTGCTTTGCCACACCTATTGCCACCATCAACACGCATACATTGCTTCGAATGTGTGCGCCCTCTCGGCCGACTTTCGAGCAGCAGCACCAATAGCTAGGCATGGTACGGGGCCGTACGAGCAGCTAGCATGCACACGTGTGGATATCTGCGGGGACTTCATCTTCCGGCAATCACAATACGTTCCGACTCGCGGCCAGTTTTCCTTGACATACGGACACATACCTCGGCGCTGCTGGTGCTGCCTAAGCAGCTGCTCCCGCGTCTGCAGCGTCTCCCGGTACCGCTGCATGGCACGACGCAGCGCCAGCGGCAGCTGAGGCGGCCCAGCTTGCCTGGCAGCCCCCTCCTGGCCCTGCCCCTGCTGCTGCTGCTGTTGGTACTGTTGTTGGTGATGGTCTACAGCGTTACGCCCACCACCGCCGCCGCATCCGCCGGCGCTACTGCCCTCGCCATGGGGTCCGCACGCCATTGCTGCCACTGCTGACAGAGCGCGCTGGGCAGCAAGCGGCAGGTGCGATTTGTCACCCGCGGCACCGCTGCTGCTGCTGTTTTTGTTGTTGCCCGCGGTTTGGTCGCTGTACGGCCCCGGCTGGTAGAACGCGGGCGATGGGGACGCACCTGCTGCAGCATGCTGGCCAGGTAGGGGCGATGCAACGCGCATGGAAGCCACGCCGCCGCCTCCGCCTACACCTACACCACCCCTCCGCTGGGGCGACGGATCACGCGCCCGCCCCCCGCCCGCAACCAGCCCTGACGGCTTCCCAGCTGCTGGCATGTTGGCTGCATGCCGTCCCACCCCCGCGGCAGCACCCCCGCCCGGCCGAGCCCCACCGCCCGCTCCCGCCCGCTGGCTCCCTGCCACCCCACCTCCGCCTCCTGCTAGGGGAGGCCTGGTGTTGCCGCTCGGGGCTCCGGAGCGGGGCGGGTCCAGGGGTGTGGTGGGGGCTGAGGTGGAGCCGGGACCTGGGAGGCCGGGGACGGGTGTGCTGGGGCCGCGGGAGGGATACTGCTGGTGCTGCTGCTGCTGCAAGGAATAGTCGTCGTTGCGGGCTGGTGAGGGGCTGCGGAAGGATGCGGGCGGGGCGGAGGGGCTGGGAGCTGCGCTGGAGGGGGCGGAGGCGCTGTCCTGGGGGCGGATTGTGGGGTGCAGTGGCAGGCGTGGAAGTGAGGTCATGTGATGTGTTTTGCCATTGTGAGGGTCTGGTTGCTGTCTTTGTTGTTGTTGTTGGTGGTGGTGGTGGGAGGGGGGCGGCGTACCTGGATGAAAGGCGCCCGGCGGCCAGTCGGAGTTGAGGCGTTGCTGGGTGGCGCAGCAGCAGCAGCAGCACCTGCACGATGAGGTCCCATGCAGGGAAGCAGGGGACGGGGTTCACTCTTCCGCATGTTCGATTGCCGCTGCATTTCAAACCTTAAGGATCACGCAGGCAAAAGGATGGGGGGACACGAAAGAGGGAAACCAAGGCGGCCCCGCACCCTGGGCTCACCCGAGCTGCCGCCACCCGTGCGAGCCGTAGACGCCGGTAGCCAGGGCGGTGGGGGCGGCTCGCCCTCCAGCCTGGAGCATGGAAAGTACCGCACGTTGGGTAGTTGAAGAGGTGTACAGGGAGGAGAAGTACATGGCGCAGAGACGTAGATTGCCGTACAGCGTGGGCACTGCGGTACCTGGTTTGCAGGAAGGTTGCGCAGCGTCGGAGGTCCGCCACCACGACCTGTGCTGCCGCCGTCTGGCCGCTTAGCTCTACATACGCCTGTGGGGTGAGAAAAGAAAAAACACTATTAAGTTCGTTGTGTTGCGGGCGTTTCCTTCGTTAGCTGGTTGCCGGAGCGGATATCGCAGAAGACAGGATGCCCGTTGAATGCGGTGCACAGGGCATTCTGAGTGGCTTTCTTTGGTTGGCCAAAGGGTGCTCGTACAGTTGGCATTAACGGTGTGCCCCGTGCGAAACCTGTCCGTGATCCCATCTGGGTGGAGACCCGTTAGGACCCACCTCCCCGACATTCTCGATGACGCCCCTTAAGGCATCCAGAACTCGCTGAGCCTCAGCGGCATCTGGTAGCTGCGCTTGTGGCATGCCCCGCAGGACGTACACAATTCGCAGCAACAGCTGGGCGATCTAGATAGCTTGGATTATGTATAACAGCAGTGTTGTAGCAGTCTGTTTATTTGCAACTCGCTCCCTCTCCTCCTTAACTGGCAAGCAGGTTTCCCGCCGGCTGTCATAAATTAATGCTTGCGTCCAATCGCTTACGGAATATCACGGACGATCTCGTGGTTGGGCAGCGCTTGCGAAAGCTTCAACGCCCCTGACGTCTTAAACTGCCGTACGTGGCGTTTGTACTCGTACTATAGACTTTCATTGCGCATCTGCGTCAAGAGAGGCATGCATGGAACACGACAGGCTGCGGTATAATTTGAAGTAGCAAACTAGTTCTGATACCCTGCTTAGTTAACACCGGTGGTTGCCCTCGCCCCGCTCCATCCGAGTATCGACATGTAGGCAAATCACCGTAAACAATCAGCTTCGTGACTAGTCGAAATGCCGCGTGTAGCTAAGGGGAAAAAGAAGGCGCAAGGGGTGGAAGTGGATGAGGTTGCTTCACTCCTCACCGCCATCCATCAGCAAGGCCTCAGCGAAGCAGATATCTTACGCATCTTGAAGGTGGACAGGGTCCTATGCGATCATTTAAAAAGCCCATGCCGGGCCAACAAGAAGGATAATGTGGCATGCTTTTGCCAACTGGTGCCGGCCGAGACATCCTATCGGAAAAAAGGCCTGTGGCAAAAGGAACAGACATACCTAAATTCTTTGGGCGCAGATCCAGTGGAGCAACGACGTGAGGTGAGGCACGAACCCCTACCGATCATGCGAGATGGCTGCATGCTGGGACAACACAAGCGTGCAGCCTGCACCAAAACCCATTTCCTATAGTTAACCCAGCATATCGTTTGCTCAATACTAGCTTCCAATTAATCTGCTTTGCTTTCAAAAAGAACTGTCGCCTGCCCGCCGTGCTTACCCCGCGCCACGGCAATGAATTGAACAACTCCCTCCATGTCCACATCTCCCTCCCTTGCCCTACCTCCCTCGCGCCCTTCTGATGCATCCCCTTCGTTCACCAGAACTCCGCCGATCCCGCGGGCCTCCGCAACTTGGGCAACACCTGCTACGCCAACGCAGCCTTGCAGTGCCTGTTCTCCATTCCCAGCCTGCGCAACGTCATCTACCACGCAGAGCCGCAGGTCGCGGCGCACGACATTTTCCGACAGCTGCAGTCCCTGTTCCTGCAGCTGCAGTTTGGCCCGCAAAAGTCCGTGGATACGGAGGCGCTGGCAAAAACGCTGGGGCTGGATCATGCGGTCCAGCAGGTGTGGTAAATGCATTGAAGTCAGTTCACCGCAAAACTGGCACACTGACCACCTGTTGTGGTGTGCTGGGGACATGTATGCTGGGGACATGTATGCTGGGGACGTGTATGCTGGGGACATGTATGCTGGGGACGTGTATGCTGGGGACATGTATGCTGGGGACGTGTATGCTGGGGACGTGTATGCTGGGGACGTGTATGCTGGGGACATGGGCATACGCTTGGGTGCTGGGCGAAGGGGCACCGGGAAGATAATGACAAGCTCATGCCGTGAAGGGCAGGCTCGCGCGCGTCAACCCCCATGACTTGACAATGTGTCCATGTCTAACCACCTGTGCTGTGTGAGCATTGTACGAGCAGCTGGGCACCCCCCGGCATCCCGCTGCGCCCCTCACATCGTATCCTCCACATCCCCCCCACAGGACGGCCAGGAGTTCCTGAAGCTGCTGCTCATGCGTGTGGAGCAGCTGCTGAGCAAGTCAAACGACCCGGTAGGGGCGGGGCGGGGGCGGCGGCGGGCCGCTTTGTGTGGAGTGGGCGGTACTGCTACTCTCGGGCTGACGCGCAGCTTCCTTGCCCACCTTTCCACGACATACATGCGGGCTGAGGAATCCTGTTTCCTGGGGTAAAGTATTGTGGCTCAAAGCGCTGTCATGGGTACGTAATAACACGGGCATGCGCACACCATGAGCGGCACAAGAAGAGCATGAAGAAGAAGAAGGGCCTCAGCTGATGCCTACATTCCCACCTTGGTTCCCACCTTTGGCATTGCCCAGGCGGCCAGAGGGCTGGTACGGCAGCTCTTCCGCGGGGGCCTGTCGTACGTCACCACCTGCCAGGTGAGCCCGCCGCACCACCACCACTAACACCACCTCAGCGCCAAGCAGCAAGCTGGGGCTTTTACATCTGTGGTACGACTCTTAGTACAATTCTTAGTAGGATGATTGATCGATAATTTTGTGTCACGGTGTGGGGCTTTCCTTTCCTCCTCGTTTGTCATTGCCTGCCTGACCTCCACGCCCTTCCTACGCCCTTCCCATCCCTCTCCAAACCTTCCCTGTTGGACTCCTCCCTTCCCCGCCTTGCGCAGCGCTGCGGTCGCGACTCCCCCAGCTCCCGCGACGTGCAGGACTTCTACGACCTGATGCCGCAAGTGCGCGGCTACACCGCCCTCACCACCAGCCTGGTAGGCAGGCAGGCAGGGGGGGGCAGGGAAGGTAAAAAGAGAATGGGTCTTCATGCACCAAGGGTGCACACCAGATAGGGCAGGGGGGTAACATGAGAGGAAACTGACGACCAGCTGTATGATGAGGCAGGGACGGAACGGGGAAGCGGATGCCTCCATGGGGTGCAGGGAGCGGTAGGTACGTCGACATTCCCACTCCCCGGCAACGGGTGCCGACACGGGGCCTGCTTCTTCGTCCTGCCTGCTCCCGCGCCAGGCCTCCCTGCTGCACCCCGAGGCCCTCACCGGTGACAACCAGTACCGCTGCGAGTTCTGTGCGGCCAAGGTGGATGCGCTGCGGCGCGTGCGGCTGCGCAGCCTGCCGCCCTACCTGTGCCTGGCGCTGCAGCGGTTCTACTTTGACCCGCGGGTGGGGACTGCCGGGCTGGGGGTTAATAAGGATGAAGATTCCGCATTAAGCTGGATTTAAGGATAGCGCTCCTCCGGGCTGGGGGGAGGCCGGGCGGGGGGCTGGGAGAGGAGGAAGCCACCTGGCAGAGAGCTACTTTGCTGCATCCTGTTGTTGTTGTTGGGTGTTGTTCTCGTCTCTCTGGTGGCCCCGGGCTGTGGTGGAGGTGCATGGCTCGGGTCGGGGACGGGCATGCTGGGGGCGCTGTGCGTGGGGCGCATGGTTGAATTTTGGTGAGGTCTACTCGGCTACTCCAAACTGTTTTATAACGCGGTTCCTGACCCGCTCCTCTCCTCCCTCCCTCGGGACAGACCGCGGACAAGGCCAAGGCACTCGACAAGTTCAGCTTCCCGCTTCACCTGGACTTCCGCCGGGTGCTGCGGGAGGCGGCAGCGGCAGCGGAGGCCGCCACAGCAGCAGTAGCCCCCAGCGGAGGCGGAGGTGCCGGCGCAGGGGACAAGTCCGGGCCAGCAGCAGCAGCAGCGCCTGCAGCGGCTGCAACAGCTACAGCTGGCCTGGAGGAGGTTCCCGAGTTCGCGGCCGGCACCCCCGCGTACGAGCTGGCAGGCATCCTGATTCACAAGGGCTCCCAGGCTAGCAGCGGACACTATGGTAGGTGTGAGCGGGTGGTGGTGGGGGGTAACCTGGTAATAGGGGAAGAGGAGGAAACGCAAGCATGTGAGGAATTTAGGAATGTAGGAATGTAGGGCTCCCCGCCATGGTTTGCAGCAGCTGGTGGTGGTGGTAATCGACCACCGAGGCAGGTGTAAGCCGTGTGTGTGTTTTGTGCAATTCCCGTGTGTCGTACATCTCATCACCCCTCATCATCTCGCAGTGGCACACATTAAGGACCAGGCGTCGGGGCAATGGTGGCGCTTCGATGATGAGTCGGCGGAGTGCATCGGCCCCTACCCCACAGCGGCCTTCCAGCAAGACCACGGCGCCAGCAGTGCAGCGGCTGCTGCTGCTGCTGGTGCTGCGGGAACCGGGGGGAGTACGGAGACCGGCGCCGGGGATACCAAGAAGACCACAGGTGCGCGACTGACAACCCACCGCTCGCACAGTTACACGCGCCAATGTTGTGTAGTATGCTGCCAGCGAGGGGCAGGATAGGGTTAGGGTTAACCGTTAATACGTGCAACATGTAGAGCCCCCCTCATTGGCTCCACTGCAGGCGGCTCACGCCGTCGCCCCGTGGCCATCGGTGACGACCCCAGCAGCGACGACCCGGACTATGAAGACGCGGATTCGCGGTCTAGGGAGCTGCCGCCAGGGGACGAGGACGCGGGTGAGCAGTCTGCGGGCGGCAGCAGGGGGGGCCGAGGCAGGAAGCGAGGAGCGCCCAGTCGCAAACGCGGCGGAAGGCCAGCCAAGCGCGGGGGCGCCGCCGCCGCTGCGGGTGCGGGCGGCGGCGGCCGCGGTCGCAGCCGGCGTGGGGCATCTGCTGCTTCCAGAGATGGGCAGGAAGACGGTGAGGATGAGGATGAAGAGATGCAGCGTGCGATGCGGGCTTCCCTGGAGTTGATGCAGCAGCAGCAGCAACAACAGAACGACAGCGGTGCTGACTGTGGTGTCGCGGAGGGGGAGGGGGAGGAGGACGAGGAGGAGGCTGCCGTACGACGCGCCATGGCTGCCAGCATGGTCGGGCAGCAGGGACGCGGCCCGGATGAGGATGCAGTGATGGCGGCGGTGATGGCGGAAAGCGCCCGGGCGCATGCGCAGACGGAGGCAGCAGCGGAGGCGGCAGCAGCGGTGGCAGATGCGGTTGACGGTGGGGTGCTTCCCGCTGCGGCTGCAGGCGTGAAGGATGAGATGGCGGAGGAAGCGGCGGAGGTGCTGCCGCCGCCGTCGCGGCGGAGACCGCTGCCTCGGGGGGCGGCAGCAGCGGCGACGAAGCAGCAGGAGCAGCAAGCAGCAAAGGTGGCGGCGCAACGAGCTGCCATGGAGGGTTCTCAGAAGGGAGAGCCGCCGCTGGGGGTGAGGATTGCGTTGATGACCATCCGTTTATATGCTGCAGTCAGCTCCTTCCGTCCTTTGTGAAACTGACGCCTGTCAGTACTGGCTTTGTTGAGTTTCCCGTCGCGGTTTCCCTCCTGACGTCTACTTCCTGCTCATGCCTGCCTGAGAGATCAGCCCAGTAGTTCGTCCTGTTGGCACCGGTGAGCTACCGGTACCTAGCGTGTTCTCGTATGTAGGTGTGTTACCCGGGGTACCCCGCATCCTTTCCAACGTTGCCCCAGGCCAACAGTCCGGTCATTGTGTCAGCCAACGCCTACATGCTGGTATACCGCGCAGTGGGCTTCGTGGAGCCGCCAGCCGTGGCCCAGGTGTCAGATCTGCTGGTTCCGGAGCTGCGAGATGCGGTTTCGGAGCTGGCGGCGGCCTTCATGGAGCAATGTGATGTGTATGTACGGCAACGGCAGGCGCTGAAGGACCAGGTAAGGTGCGGGTGCTAAGGGGAAAATGATATAAGAAATGCAAACAACTAAAGTCCCAATCCCATATCCCGACTCATGCAGTGAGTGCATTCGAAGGGGAAGGGGAAGGGTGTTAAGACCCCAAGACGGTGGAGAAAGCTAGGCATGCTTGGCAAAAATGAGGCGACGTGGCATGCCGTTGAGGATTGTGGATGCTGGTTTTTCCAATGCCGCGTGAGTGCCCTATGCCCTCCCAAGCCGCTGATCTTGATCCCGTTGATCTTGTTGACTCCAGGACGGCATGCCTCCTGCCGCTTGTCGTGTGGTATTGAACATGATGTTGCCATACCGCAGGTGGAGGCACGCCGCCGCGACGTGCGGGAGGTGATGACCCACATCGCCCCCGGCCAGACAGCGCAGCAGCCCTCCTCCTCCTCAGCAGCAGCAGCAGCTGCCTCCCAGTCGCCCTGCAACGCCTCTCCCTCCCCGCCTCGGTTGCTACCAACGCAGCAACAGCAGCAGCAGCAGCTGCCGGAGCAGGCTGCGGGCGCCCAAGCAGAGGAGCCCAAGGGAAACAGCAGCGAGGGGAGCGAGGGGAGCGACCGGAGCAGTCCTGGTGCTGCTACTACTGCTGCTACTGCCGCGGCAATCCCCACAAACACGTGCGGCTTCTGGGTTGCTACGTCTTGGCTTGAGCGCTGGGCTAACGACGAGGGCGGGCCTCCGCCCATTGACAACAGCCCCATCGTGTGCATGAAGCACGGGCTGGCAGATGGGGCGGGTGGTGAGGGTGGGAGTGCTGGAGCAGCGGCGACCCGTGGGTCACGGCTGGACCCGCGCAAGGTGACGTCCGCGAAGCTCGTCTCGCCGAGTGCTTGGGTCAAGCTCCAGGTGAGGAGTGGCAGGTAGGGGCTTCCGCCCCTATACTGAAGCGGAATGGGCGCACATGTCAATCTCTACATGGGGTTCTCATGCATTCAGACAAACCAAACCACAAAGGGAAAAGACCGCACATATGTTTCCGCCACGGCCCACCCAAGCCTCTCTCTCTCCTCCCTCGCACGCCACACAGGCCACTCACGGCGGCGGCCCCACGCTGGCCGCTGGCGACGTGTGCCTGGAGTGCCTGTCGAGCTCCTTCAGCGCCGCGCTGCTGGGAAGCCAAGCGGACGGGGTGCGCATGCGGGTAGCGGCGCTGCTGGAGGAGACGTCGGGGGCCGCAGAGGCGCTGGGGGACGGCGAGGACGCGGGTGCCATGGTGGTATGCGGGCAGGAGGAGGAGGAGGACGGCGGCGGTGGCGGTGGTGGTGCGGCGGGAGGAAGGCGCTACTGGGTATCTCGCAGCTGGCTGCAAGGTGGGGTTGCGGAGGGATACCGGTAGCCCGGAGGGGTCACAAGGCGGGAAGAGGGGTGACATGGGAAGGAATGTGGCGGTGGCGTGATGCGGCGGGGAAGAAACTGGACTGGAACGGGCTGGTTATGAGTGAAGGCACTGCGTGTTTGACGTACCGTACATCCGTATCCTATTGGAACCACGGCATCCGCGCGGTTACCGGTAGTTGCACCGCAACCTTTCCCTCTCAACTGCCGTACCGGTATCATACCCACGCAGGCTGGTCTCGGCGGCAGGGCGCCTCCATCAAGGCGGAGCAGTCCCCCACCGCCGCCCTGCTCTGCCCACACCGCCAACTGCTGCCCGCGTCCATCGTCAAAACCGCACGTCGCATCGCCGTTCCTGCGGACATCTGGTTCTTCCTGCGCGACCTCTGGCGGCAACAGAAGCTGCAGGAGGCAAAGGACGAGGCCAGCGCCGCTGCTGCTGCCGCCGCCGCCAATGCCTCCTCCGTGTGTTGTCTGGACCTGACGGAAGAAGACGAACCGCAACGGCCCCCGGCCACAGCAGCAGCACCCGCTGCTGCGTCCAGCGCAGAAGACGAAGACGATGACGTAATAGACACGACGCCGGAGCCGCCGCCGTCGGCGGCTGCGGTAGCAGCGCCGACCGCCAAGATTCCCACCCCGCAGGAGCTAGACACCCTGTGCCCGGAGCTGCTGGTAGGGCGGACGCGGGAGTGCGCTGCATGCCGGGTCTCAGCGGGCGAGGCGGCGGTGGCGCAGGCGGATAACAGGAAGCAGCTGGAGGCGGAGCGTACGGCACTGGGGGGGCTGGCGGCTGAGGTTGTGCCGTACCTGGAGGCTGGGGAGCGCTACTTCATGGTGCCCAGGTGGGTGGGTGAGATCGATGCGGTTGCGCTGAAGCTTGGTTGTTGAAGGCCGCACTGTTATACGAACGTATTTGACATGACCTACCGGTAATCAGTCAATCTGTCCTCCGCGACGTCTTACTCGGGTTACCCGGGTTCCGACGACACTCCCCGCTGCCCGCAGTTCATGGGTACGAGAGTGGCAGCTGTACGTCAAAGGAGGTGCGCCCCGGAGCCGAGGAACACCCGCTGCCGCCGTCGCAACTCCTGGTGCCAACCCGGGCTCCAGTGCTGCCTCAGCAACCGCCGCTGCAGGGGGCGCGGCAGCCCCAGCAGCAGCGGCAAGCGGCAGTAGCGCTGCCGGAACTGCCGCCGCTCCAGCTGTTGCTGGGGCTCCTCCTGCTGGTGGTACCCACAGCCGTCCGGGCCCCATTTCCGAAGCGCTGCTGCGGGTGCTGTGTCCCTGCCATCCGGAGGAGGCGCGACTGGGGGTGCCGCTGCCGCGTCTAATGACCAAACGCAACAAGTGTGTGTCAGGATAAGCCGGTTGATACCGGTACTTTTGACATAACTGCCCTGTGCCGTTCGCTTCCTTGGTGTCATTGCGGCGGCTTCCACTCCATCCGGATGCTGAATTCACAGCCTTGTGATACGTGATACATGGCCGCCCCTCGTCTAACCTGCTGTTCTGCGTGGAGCAGTCCAAGACGCTTTCGCCCAAGCAGTCCAAGCCATTACGCTGCACCCCGTCCCCACCTCCCAACGCCCTCACAGGCTCAGCCAGCAGGACGCCGACCAAGACGTGCTGCGCCTCATCACAGCCAGCGACTGGGCCCAGCTGCGCAGGCTGTACGGCAACCCTACCGCCGCCACCGCCGCGGCCAACGCGAACGGCGCCGTCGATGCGTCCTCCGGTAAGGAACCCCCTGCTGCTGTGGCAGCCGGCGCACGCAGGGGCAGGCCCCCACGCGGCAAGGCCACAACAGCACCCACTGCTGCACCAGCTGCAACAACAACAACGACAACCCTTTCTCAGACCGTCAAGCGCACGACCGTCCCAGTTCACGATGATGACGTTATTCTGGTAGACGCAGCCGAACCCCAGCAGCAGCAGCAGCACCCCGCAGCTGATGTTGACGGCGGCGTTGCTGCCGCCATGCCCCACCATGCTAGCCCCGTCGTTGCTACGGAGCCGTCAGCCGCCCCGGTACGGCTAGCCGCCGTACGGCAGGGCTTCACAGCGGAGCTCGGCATGCCAGCGGCAGCTGTGGGGGGGTCCACGAGCAGCGAAGGAGGAGGCGGCGGGGTTCCGGAGCTGTGTGTATGGCCACCGGTGTGTACGGAGGCGCTTGCGGCACACAGTCGGTCCGCCAAGGAGGCCCTGCTGTCGTACTCGGAGGCTGAGGTGGTGGTGGAGCTGGTGGGGCAGGAGGAGCTGGAGGCGTCGCTGCGGGAGGCGGCAGGCAATGGTGGGGGCGCTGGGGAGGCTGGGGGGGGGGAGGCCTGGGGACATAATGAGGGGGGAGGTGAGGGGTGCGGGGTTGCGAAGCATGCGTGCGCCGGTGTATGCCTTTGTACGTTGTGTTTCGGACACCAATCCCCATCCATCGCCCTACTCCACCTAAGCCTACCCCCACACTACCCATTACCCCCTCCTCTGCACACGCAGTGGAGCGCCGGTCGCGCCGCACCCGCCGCGGGCGCACCGCCATCACCGTGAGCAACACCACCACGCTGGGGCAGCTGAAGCTGCAGGTCTTCGAGAACCTCTCCGTTCACCCGCGCAACCAACATGTGAGTAAACCGGCATGGGTTGCTTGCCCGGCTGGGTAGTTCATGGCTCGCGGTTCACATGCGAACCTCTCCCAATTGCTTGCTCTCGTCCTACTCAACTACACAGGGGCTGTGTCCCTGCACCCCCCACCGCCACCACCGCCACCACAATCTGCATGCATGCTCGTGCATACCGGTACGGTAAAGGCATTGTCGGCATCCATGTCAGGGTTCGTAACCGGCCATGTCCTGCCCTCCTCGCATGCGTGCTTCCTCCTGCGCTCCGTCGGCACCTTCACACATGCGCCCGCCTTCCTGTGTCACACCTGCGTGTCGCCCTTTCGCCCTTTCCAACGCTCTTCGCCACTTTCCTCGCTCCCTCCCTCGCACCCCACCCGCAGCTATTCGTCCGAGGCGACGACGGCTGCCCCCGCATGCTGGAGGGCGATGATCTCAGTCTGGCTCAGCATGAGGTGCTGCCTAATCAGGAGATACGGCTGGTGCGGGGCAACGAGGTGGACGACGACGAGGACGTGGTGGGCTTGCTGGGAGAGGGTGGGTGCGGGTGTGGGAGCGGGTGGGGAGTGTGTTAGATCAACGAGCCGCGTAACAGAACTGACAGTTGTAGCTGTGGACCGCGGTTGGAAACGTGTGCTGACCAACCGATTCTTTAAACTGTATATGTGTGCGGACGTGGGTGCTGGCTTGGGTCTTTGTTTTCCTCAAGCGGTCAGGCGGGAAGGTGCCCAAGATAGGGGCCGGCATACCCGCGAGATGGGGATATACCGGTACAATTGCTGGGTCTGGGGGTTGGGTTGCTGGCTAACCCCGTGCAGGCGTGGCAGGAGCCGAGCGGCGCGGCCGCTGGCGCTGAGGGGCCGCGTGCTTGCTTGTTATGGCCACGACATCCTCCTTCACGAATGGGTCTAATCGACTCAGCTTCACCCTTATGTTGAGTACGAAAACAACTGAACCGTGTGCACCCCATGTGGTTGTTGTACGGCTGATATACAGGTCGATCCAAGCGGCGACAGGTGGAGCAGGGGTTCAAGAACACCGCGCTTCACGGGGATCTGCCGTCGCAGCAGCAGCAGCAGCAACAGCAGCAACAGCAACAAGAGGGGAATTCCGCGGGCGACGAGTCTGCAAGGGGAGGTGGCTCAGCGGGAGAAAGGTCGGCACAGGACGATGACGGCGAAACCTTGTAATGAAAGCCATGAAGGAATTGCAATCGCAGGTGTCGTAGGGTGGAGGGACGTGCGAATCGCAGAGCGGCGAGGCGCCCGGCGCATAGGGTTTTGCGTGATCGTTGTGCTGAGTTACTTGCAGGAAGGGAAGCAGATGGTGTTATGCAAGTCATCACACGTAGGGTGGAATAGTGGCAGGCATTCCACCCAAGGAGGAGTGTCAAGGCTAGCTTTAGGAAATGCTTAGTCTGGTAACCCTGCAGTAACGTTTAAGTTTCGTCTCGTAAGGTATTTGCTGATTCGCTAGGTAATGTGTTCAAGGGAGCAGGCAGGTGCAGGAACCCTTTCCGTTAAGGTGACTGCGAATGTATGCAGGTTGTGGTAGCTGGGCTGACAGTATCCACATTACACGTGCGGCGTACCCTTGTGGACATGCGGGTATGCGTGAGGCTGGAAACCGTATCCTGCATTTACCCAATCCTGGTGACCCGCGGTTCCCTAAGATGGACAAAGCAGGCCGACAACGTAAGCTGCCTCATATTTTGGATATTTGTAATCTGACTTAGGCAGGTGCCTGCTGGCCTGCCAACGCTATCGGCGTTTGCGTGAGTTGTGTCTACCCAGGTTAAGGCGGCTGCTTGTCCCAGTGAAGGCTCCAGACGTCAAGAGCGTAGGACGTGTTACACAAGAAACAATTTGCTAAAACTCTCCATCGTATTGGACGAGGATTCGCGGTTTCGGCATGCGAATGCATGTAATGCCCCGGGCGGATGGCTGCAAAAACAGAAACTAGGCAACGACCTTGCCTGGCGTTTCGGCGAGCGTCGAGGAGTACAGGCTTCCTGTTGCTGTAGGGATCCTGTACTCGCCATTCTCCTTTCGCATTCGGCTGCGACCGCGTGCCTTGGCGAACAGTTTGTGGAGCACGGAAGATAGGGAGAGAAACTAGCTCACGTTACCTATCCGCCCGATACCCAGTTTCGTTCGTCATCATTTCCGATGAGTTTCCACCGCGTAAAGTCATGGGGTTAGCGTATAGACGAGGATACGATACCGTATCTTTAAATGCTGGTACGGTGTTGGAGAGATGAGTTGATGCGAAAACAGCGAGGCCAGCAGATAGGCACTCTAGCGCGATGCAGCCGAAGGCATCACATAATACCCTCTAGCAAGTGAAGTGATGTGGACTAAGCTCTATTCGCGATCGGGCTTTGCAGCTTACGTCGACAGAGTAACGTTAGATGTGGCATGTTTTCTGGTTCGGATGTACGCCTGTTTTGACACATGTCACACAGCCAGACAAACAGTAATATTACTTCGAGCTCGAGCGTTATTTCCTAGATTGGTGCCGTACGCTGTACGCCCTGTGTAGCGAAGCCCGCCCACTAGCTGCGTAGACGCAACTGCTTGGATTAAACTAATATTGCTTTCAAGCTGCTTTTGATAGTGTTTCTGCTGTTTGTTGCATCTTCGGGCCTAAGACTTGCAGAACTGTATCGCAAAAACGTCGGGGACGCGTCACCTTCAGCTTTAAACTATATACCTACCACAGTCTAGTTTTGTGTTTTAGGAAGACAATTCTACTGCCTTAGAGTTTACTGACACCCACAGCCGGGCAAATTAGCATACTTCAGGACGCGTCGAGCACCTGAAAATGGCCGGGTCCGGCCGTGTTGCATCCTAGTTATTGGCAGGGCCGCAAAGGCGGCCCGACGGTGTCACAAGTGGAGCTATGGGCGGCCTTTTTGAGTGTTGCCTCAGGCCCAGCGTCGTGCCAATTGGTCCTGAACAGTCGACTCCACCGTCAAGCGTAGTGGCAGTGACCCCTGAGGACCATATTGGCAATGACCTGGGCGGCAAGCAGCCTCTTGCAGAGCGGAAGCAGCAGGACTCACTTGCGATGGGGCATTCCAGCACGGACGCCACCAGCATCTCGCCTTCATCGGGGGTTGCTTCCTCGCAATTTCCGCAGTCCCGTTCTCGCCAGAGGCGCCAAAGCATGGAGGCGGGCGAGGCTTTGAGTACCACGCTGGAAATTGCTAGGCAGCGGCGCGCTTCGAGCACATATGAGCAAATGTCGACATCTGGACAGCCTGGGGCTAAAGGGCTGATGAACTGGGGTTGGCTTAAGGGCCACTCGAGTCGCCCGCTGGGCCCTGCCCAGCCAGCTGAGCAGCAGACGGTCTCACCTAGCCGTGGGCTCCAGCGCATGCGCGATAGCTCTGCCAGCACCGCAGAATCGTGAGTGTCGCGCTTTGCGGAATTTTTTTGCACTGTTGCCTAACCCATGTCGGCCGAAACCTTTTTTGCAGGCTTCAGCGACGTGGCTTTCCTGTACATTACGCAAAGGACATTCATAAAACAGTATCAACTTCGACAACTAAGCCCATCGCTGTCCTGGGCCTTGAACCTTCAAGCGAAAGCAGCGACACAGGGGGGGTGCACATGGAGCAGGCGAAGACTTCTGCAGACGGTTCACCGGAGTTGCAGTCGCGTCGAAACCACAACAAACTCTTCCCTCTGTATGTCAATGGGGTGGCTAAGTCATATTTCAAAATCGGAGCCAGTCGCGACTATGCTCAGGTGCTGCGACGATTATTACGGCGTGACCCCCTTCTAACGTTCGCGCTGCAAAAGGCCATCAAGAACCTCTCTAAGGGAGACTGCAAGCCTATCAGCCACGTCACCTCGGACCCAACCGGTGCATCAGCGTCGCTTTATGGCCTGCGCATCACCCCATGCGTGTGGTCGGACGCGAACGGACACAAGCTGCCGGCATTACTCCTGGAGCACAATGTGCCCTATGAGTCACAGGACGTCATGCCGCGCCTGCTGCGCGACTACGCGGTCCTGTCGCACGTGCCATCCATCCTCACGCTCATCGACTTCAATGGCCATGTCCTGTACCAGAACGCCGCTAGCATAGACTACTGCGGCGACCTGACCAGCCACAACGTGGAGACTGGCGATGGCATGATGGGCATCCTGTTTCAGTACGAGCCGCAGCTGCTGCAAGAGATGTTGCAGGAGGTCAATGAGGGCAACTACTGGCAGCAGGTGGTGCGCGTGCCTGCCTCGCTCAAACGGCACATGGTCTTTGAGCCCGAAAACACCTGGGGCTACGGCAGCAGGGGCGCGGGTAAGAAGCTCACAGCGGCCGTCAGCAAGCGCTTCCACCAGGACGACTTGGAGCCCGAGTTCCAGCTGGAAAGCTTCACGACCCAGAACGCACGCAGCCAGCGGAACAACAACCGCAAGCTGCAGCCCATGTTCTCCTCGCAGCCCAGCATGGTCCGCTCTGAGAGCATGGCTCGGGTGAGCCACAACCTGCCGATACGGCAGGACACACGGGACAGCGGAGTGGCCATTGCCGGCCCTGCCGCGCTGCCTGTGGGACGCCTAGGCAGCATCACAGGCTCTGCTCCGCGGCTGGCCAGCCACACGCTCCCCAGCGGCACCCACGTCGCATTCAACCTGCCCAACCAGCCGAACCAGGTGGAGGAGCAGCCGCCGCCGCAGCAGCAGCAGGCGCAGGGCAGCAACCCGCAGCAACACAACGGCTCCTTCACCGCTCTAGGCAAGCCGGGCGGCCCCACGCCACACTCGCACCTCGCCAATACGGGTCAGAACCGGCGCTTCATGACGCTGATGCAGTCAGCAGCGGCGGCGGAGCGGCAGCAGCAGCAGCAACAAATACAACAGCAGCAGCTGCAGCAACAGCAGCAGCCCAGCTTTACTGGATCTTCTCCGGTCGAGCAGGCGGAGGGTGAGAGGCCGGATGCGCGGCTGAGTGCGATGGTGCAGGAGGAGTGCTGGCACGACATATCCGCCATCCCGCTGCTGGACCCCGTGCTGGACAAACAGGTACGTTGAGAACTGCGTGGCGCAGCATGCGTTTGAGGTTGGGGTTGGGCTCATGTATAGCACTGGTGTGGGCACAGTTTAGTTGGGGTTGGGCTGCTGGCCTGCAGCGGAGGGGGACGACTGGGTATTGCTGTAGCATGGTGTTGTAAGTTTGGCGCATCAGTGGCATCACATGACGGGAGTATGCTACGCATCACGCCCTCTGCTTCCGCAGGTCATCCTGCTGCTGCAGACTAACGTCACGGCGCGTGTGGAGCTGGAGAACCGCCTGGCTGACCTGACGGACGCGCAGCTGGGTATGCTTGAGCAGCTCTTCCCGCGGCACGTGATCGAGTACATGCTGTCGCACAAGCACGGGTACAACTCTCGCAACCTGACGCATCTGGCCAACCACCATGATGACGTCATCGTGCTCTTTACGGATGGTAAGCGCGAAGCGCGTCGCGGCTGCTGCCCTTCTCCTGGCTGTGCGTTGGTAGGGAGGTGTGCTACGGTGCATGACACGGCGGCGGTGGTGACACGCCTGGATACCGGCACTGTGTGATGCTGCATGTGTGTGCTGTATCGCCTGTATGTGACAGCGCTAAGAGGGAACAGCAGGGCATCCGCGGCACATTCATGACTAATCCAATTACGGGGCTGTGACGATGAATGAACTTTGCGGTTATGAGGCTGAGCACTGCTGATGCCACTAGACAAGTTTCTAAGCCCCTTCTCGAGACATGGCCAAACGCGCACCTCACGTGTTATACTGCACGCACAATGCATGCATATACCGAACGCAAACGCACATGCCTGGGGGAGCTTGTTAGGACGCGCCCGCCCGTCAATGTCTGGTCAATCTTTCGTAGCTGCCGTGCCTGCGATGTAGCATGCGCTTACCCGGCCTGACCGTTGTGCGTGCCGGCGTGTCCCTCCCCTCCCTCGCCCGCAGTGGTTGGCTTCACGTCCATGAGCAAGGAGGTGGAACCCAGTGAGGTGAGGCGGGCTGGGGGGAAGGGGAAGAGCAGGGTCAAAAAGAGGAGGGAGGGCGCTTCGTGGTTGTCTGTAGCTACTGGGTTGGCAAGGGTGTTGAACTCATTCTCCCGGCCTAGGCAACTCCCCTTCCTCCGTTTCCTGTTTCCTACATCCTCAGCTCCTTCTCCCACACTGCCTGCCTGCCCCAGGTGATGCACTTCCTCAACGAGCTCTACACCATCTTTGACGACCTGGTTGACGACCACGACCTGTACAAGCTGGACACCGTGGGCGATTGCTACATCGTGGTGGCGGGGCTGACCATGCAGGACGACGACGGGTTCACGTGCACGGTGCAGGCGGACACCGAGCAGCGACTGCAGCACGCGCAGGTGATGATGAACTTTGCGAAAGCCATCCTGCGGGAGTCCAAACAGGTGCGTGCAGGGTTGGGCAGGGCTGAGGGAAGGAGAAGTGTGCGGATCTGGCTCGTGCTGTGCGGGCCTGGGGGCCCGCATGGGCTTGTGTGAAGCATGCCATGGGGGAGGGAGTGGGGTTACGAGGGCGCGGTAGTGGTCTTGTGATGCTGGCTTCATGGAAATGTGGCGAGGGGTGTAGATTGTAACGTTTGGTACCCGTTCTTACGCAGGTGCTGATGCCGCACAACCACTGCCCGGTGCAAATCCGTATCGGCATTCACCTGGGCAGCTTGGCGAGCGGGCTGGTCGGCCCGAAGATGCCCAAATTCACGCTTTTCGGTGGGTGGCGACCTCCAATCGTGATTCGTGTTTTGAAGTGAAGCAAGAACACGCCGTCTGATCACAATATGAGAGCCAGCAAACAGCAAGCTTTCATGCCCTGTTCAATCTATTTAAGAACCCATCTCAATGAAGCCGCACCCTAATTCCTCTGCCGCAGGCGACACCATGAACACGGCGAGTCGGATGGAAAGCACCTGCAGACCGGGCTGCGTCCAGGTATGCAACTTAGCCGCATTGTTCTCGTATTGGCTTGAACAGCGCACACGGGTGGTCGATTTATGCCCCTTGGGTAACCGCTGTCTCTCTTTGTACAGAGTTATGGACTTGACCGCCCCACTCCTGTCCCCCGTTCCTGCTCTGCCAGGTATCGGAGATCTTTGCGCGGCTTCTCCCGCTGGAGGACTGGCAGGACACGGGCGGTGTGGAGGTGAAGGGCAAGGGGCACATGCAGACCTTTCTGTGGATCCCCAAACCCGAGGACCTCATACCTCACGGCGTCGGACCCCGAGCGCTACCCCCCCTCGAAGACCCGCCTGTACTCCCAGTCGACGACGGCTCTGTGCCCGCGGCCGCTGCGGGATCCCTCAGTCCCTCCGCGGCCACCTCAACCGCAGCAGCCTCCACAGCAGCGACGCCCGAGGACCCCACCGCAGACCGCATGGAGGTTGACCCGGCTGCGCTGCGCTCCGTCACGGCCTCGCCACTCACCCGGCCCAAGTCCAGTCGTCCGTACCGGCCGAAATCCAGCCGACCCAGATCGAGTCGCTACCTGCGCCCTTCGACGGCACGGTTGCGGGAAAGCCGAGATGGCGGTCCGGGTGCAGCCGTGATGAGTCGGCCCAGCACGGCCAGCAGCTACGGTGGGCTGGGACGTACGGCGTCGCTTACTCGCGGCAACGGTGGGAGGTCCATGTCGCGGCGTAACGTGAGCTTTCGGTTCCAGGAGGAATCGGGCAACGGCGACGATGACGAGGAGGAGGAGCGGGACGAGAGTACTCCTTTCATGGCGATCCTGAACGCCATTCGCGGCAGCGGCACGGGGGATGGGGACGACCTGGACGTTCAGCGCGTGTCGTACACATCAGGCACGATCAGCCGTCGGGATCTGAATGGCGCTGCCATTCGCGTGTCGAGTGACGGCGACGACGGCGACAGTGGCATGCCGCGGAAAGCGCAGACGTCCCGTTTCGACGGCATCCTCGCAGGCAAGCGCGCCAGCAACGGCTACCCTGGCTCTCGCCGGAGTAGCAGCGGACTGCCCATGGTAGGCGGCGGTTTCGGGGGCGCAGGGTTCGGGGGCCGGGACAGCCGGGTAGGGACGTGCAACGGCGACGTCAGTCGCTTCACCACCTCTAATGGCGATACCAGTCGCTTTGGGACGGCGAACGGTGACGGCGGGGGGCGCATGGGCGGTGATGTGGGTGCGGAGAAGGGTGCGGTGGACGCGCTGCGACAGGTGCTGCATGAGCTGCTGCCGGCCGCAGCTGCGAAGCCAGATAACGCGGTGAAGCCGGTGAAGGCGGTACGTCTGGCGCTATCGTCGGATGCGCTGGTGGGCAGCGGCAGTCAACAACCCATGGTTGAGCGGCCGGTGTTCACCAGTGCAGCAGGGGGGACTGCTGCTGGGGATGGAGGGTAGGAGCGGGTTGCGGATGCAGCTAACCACCAGCTGACACTAGGGACACTAGCCCGGGCTGCGTGGCCTGGCCCTCACATGCAGAGAAGGGTGCGGTGGACGCGCTGCGACAGGTGCTGCATGAGCTGCTGCCGGCCGCAGCTGCGAAGCCAGATAACGCGGTGAAGCCGGTGAAGGCGGTACGTCTGGCGCTATCGTCGGATGCGCTGGTGGGCAGCGGCAGTCAACAACCCATGGTTGAGCGGCCGGTGTTCACCAGTGCAGCAGGGGGGACTGCTGCTGGGGATGGAGGGTAGGAGCGGGTTGCGGATGCAGCTAACCACCAGCTGACACTAGGGACACTAGCCCGGGCTGCGTGGCCTGGCCCTCACATGCATGGGTGGCCTTGCCCCATGCGGTTACAGATGCAGCGCAGTTCACGTGTATGTGTGCAGGTGACTGGATTTGTGTCTTTGGAGGGCTGGGTGTGTACATGTACCGGTAGCAGGCGAACGGAAGGTTACGCGCGCATGGATGGTCGTGGCTGGGGAGTGACGCGCGTGATCTTCTACATGTTATCTTATACACACACAGCGGGTGTGCGCGGGATGTGCAGTGGACTGTACGGTGTTGTATGCGATGTAGCTACTGTTGGCACACTTGGGTTTGATTATGGATGCTGTGAAAGCACCCTTTCCCAATGTGTGGAATTGCCCTATATGGCAGGGAGGCGCTGGTGGTTTTTGTGGGGCCGATACCTGCCCCCCTCGTCCTGTCCCTGTGTTTTTCCCACAAGCTTTCTGCTGGGTGCTGTGACAGATGCCTGTGTGCATTGGGAGGACGGGAGTGTCGCACTTATACATAAAAAGGTATTGCGCATGGTGTACACGTTTTGAGGGATATCGGATAAGTATACCGAACGGGGGCGGCTGCCACAACAACGAAAGAGTTGCGCAGGAGGTGTCGCGGGAAGCGCCTGTGAGGCTCATGCCCGAGACCAGGCGCACGTTTGGCACGCAGGCGGCACCCACAGGGAGGCAGGAGGCCGTCCGCAAAGAAAAGTACCGTGAAAGGACTGTCGCAAAGGCTGTTTGCATGTAACGACGTGACGCCGCGTGTTGCGTTGCCATGCAAAGCTGTTTGGTCTCGTTGTTAGTTTCTATTGACAATATGCTGAGTTGAGTGATGTGATGGCACGATGCGAGTGCGGTCCCGGTGACGTAGCGTTTGACCAGGTGACTGGTCAACGCGGCGGGGGGCGGGCGTGTCTGACAGCGCGCACCCTTGTATCGGCAATGGCAGTGTATTGACGTGAAAGCACGCCGGATTGTCGGGGCTGAGGAGGTGCGTAGGAGGTAATGTTGTGAACTGGAAAGTGATCTTGTGACGGCCGTATGGGTCGCTTTGCTTTATTAGTTAGGAACGAGCATGCTTTGCCATGCATCTTTGCTCTAATGTTGCATTGTTTTTATACTTTTCGGTATGGCTACAACAGCTTTGGGTGGGGATGTCTCTGGCTAGCGTTCATACGCACATACGGACACCAGGCGTTAAATTGGCATCAATGCATGGGAACCTGCTTTGAGCCCTTGGTTGCATCGTGTTTAGGTATTAGGCATCCGTTGATCAGTAATATTGTTGTTATAGCCAGTGCCAGTAGAGAGGAGCAGGTTAGAGAGGACAGGGCTGACTAATGGCGTAATGGGCATGTGCGCAATCGCGCGTGGTGTTCTCAATTAGGCCACACCGGGAAAGGGGCGGCGGTTCAAGAGGACGCATGCGCAGACCAAGTGCTGCGAACAAGAGCCATGGAGGGAGGAAGAAGAGAGGTGGTATCGTCCTAAAGCTCGCAAGTTACGCAGGCGTGTTGCCTGGGGTTGTAGAATGACATATGTTGGCTGTCATAAGGCCACTCAGAACTGCAAATGTAAGAACACTGTTGTGTTGCCCCATCGGACCCATGGTGAGCCCACACTTTAGGTGGGCAGAGTCCTCGGAATGCTGCAGGGTGGCGGGAACTTCCCGTGCGCGAATGACATCCTTTGAGCGCTTTGCTCATCCCTGGCGAACCCCGAGCCCTACGAATTGTACCCTCACGTGAAATGGAGCCCTGTTGCTTGCTTCCCTTACGTGGAAGCAGCGTTGTGGCGCAAGCTTGCCCACCAATAGCCATGAGTGCCGTCTGCGTTTGGCTAGGGCGCACTTGGGGGGCTAGGACCAGCAGGCAGATGCGCGCCGGGTGTTGCGTTTTCGCCCGGTGCCGTACGCATGTACAGCGGTGCTGACCAACCGCTCGGCTCAAAGGCATGCAGGGCAGGACACCTACTGGCAAGATTAGCAAAGGTTCCTGCGTTTTTGCCATCAGGGTTCCTTAGGTCTTAGCATTGCCACACGTCGGTGGCTCCAGAATGCTATTGTTGTAACGTATACGGTAACAGGAGAAGTGGTATAAAGCTTAAACACTCTTCGAAGTAGGCGCATACGCCGGCGAGAAAAAAAGGAAACGTCCCTATCCAGTTCCTCCTGCGCATTATGGCGAAGTCGCTTCGTTGTGGAGTTTGCGGCGCCCTTTTGCGTAGCGTTGCCGAGGCACAAAATCATGGCGAGGTCACAGGGCACGCTAGCTTTGAGGAAACCACGGAAGTGGTAAGTGCGCGAATGATCTGTGCAAGCATGGAGGCGTTGTTCGCTTCCCCGCAGCTTTCCAAGCCGCCCTAAAGTGTCTCTTAAGCGGGGTTCTAAACTTGCGGCTCGCAACACGCACAGCCGTACTTTGTTAAAGGCTTCATTAGGGCGATGGGTTGCAGCACCACAGCACACCTCCCTAGCACAACCCATGTTGGCCTTGACAACGGTGGCTTTCTAGCTGTTGTCTCATCCCCTGTATATCCTCCCTTCGTTCTCCAACCCTCCGCCCCGCAGATCAAGGTCATGAAGTGCGTGACGTGCGGGAAGCCCTGCCGTACCGACGCGGAACGCGACATGCACAAGCGCTTCACCGGACATTCCGAGTTTGTGGAGCAGGTTTGTGCTGCTGCTGGCCTGTTGCTGCTGCTGCTGCTGCTGGCCTGCTGCTGCACGGCAGGAACGCGCGCGCCCGCTCTCTTACAACCCTCCACAAGTTTGTGGCAGAGCTCCCTACACTCCTCCACGTCCTTTGTTGCCTCTCTCCACAGCCTCTCACGCTGCCCCCACACCACACCATCATGCCTATCACCACATCTATAACCTATCACCACCACCTCCGCCACTTACCTCCACCACCAGCAACCGCCACCCTGGCCCATTCCTGCCCTTGCAGACGGAGGATGCAACCCTCAACACGGAGCAGCAGATGCGGGAGGCGCGGGACGTCATGGATGAGGACGTGGACCTGCTGCGGGCGGCGGCGGGTAAGCCGCCGCGGGCCAAGCCAGCAGCAGCGGGGGCGGGTGCGGAGGCGGCTGGCGGCGAGGCGGGGACCAGCGGGTCAGAGGGAGAGATGGTAGGCTACGCATGGGTTGCATGGGCGCATGGGGCGCATGTTTGGGAAGGATGTGAAGTTTTTTGCAGATGGCGCGGAGTGGGGACGAAGGCAGGCAGAAGGAGATATCGGAACGGAGACGCAATGTGTCGGTCGTAGTGTGCATATAAGCTGGTCGTGGGAGGACGTTCGTTGGTTTCATAGAGGGTTTAGCAGGGTTTCGGGCTTCGGAGCCATCCTGACCTGGACTCCCTGCTCGGGAAATATGCCGTACCGCACCATCGTACCGTACCATGTGGCTCCGTACCGTTAACTAACTGTACCCTACCGTACAGGTGCCAGCGGAGGTCCCTGAGGGGCTGCTGAAGGAGATGGAGGAAATGGGCTTCAGCAGGTGTGCACTTAGGGGGCTGTGGGACTGTGGGCCCACCTGCCCTGGGGGCTGTTTGCGGGTTAGGAAGGGGCAGAAGGCTGAGGGTGCCGGAGGTGGCTGGCTAAGGATAGATTTTGGTCTCGGAATCGCGGCCTCGTTCGGTGAACACCGTGCATCGTGTCATGGACCGGTATGCATAATGCAATCCAAGGTATTCAAACAACTCGATGGCAATGTGTACGACGCCTATGTGGATCGACTTACTGTTTTGCCGTACTGTTTTGTCTTACTGCTACGGACCTACGGTGCTACCAGGAACCGTGCCGTACGTGCTATTTGGTTTTCCAAGGCGCTCACCAGCGTGGAGGCAGCGGTGAACTGGCTGTTGGAGCATGATACGGAGCCAGACATTGACGAACCGCTGCTGGTGAAGAAGGTGAGAGTTGTTAGGTGATGGGGCCTGATGGTGGAAAAAATAAATGAAGCAACGGAGTCCCAATTCCATATTCCGACTCATGCAGTGAGCGCATACGAAGACATCATTCAAAGAAACTCGCACCTGATGGGGCAGGGGTGCATCCTGCATGGGGGGGGGGGGGTGCATCATGCATGATGTGCGCACGTCTCCCTCCTTCCCTGCATACCCCGCCTGCGCCCCCATGCCGCAGTCCGCCAACGATGACGCTGCTGCCGCTGCCGCCGGGGGCGAGGAGGGCGGCAACAAGGAGCATCTGGACCCGGCGGAAGCTCGGAGGCGGGCGGAGGAGCTGGTGCGGCGGGCGCGAGAGAAGCGCGAGAAGGAGGAGAAAGAGATGGTGGGTGGGGCGTGGGGCGGCGGGTTTTGGCAAATGCTGGTGCCCTGCTTTTTTTTAGGGGAACTGGTTGTCGAAGAAGTGAACAACCCGTGATACTGCGCCCGTGCGAGTGCCGTACCGAATATCTCCGTACCGAATATCTCCGTACCATCCGGCTGAACCCCGGCATGCGGCTCCTCTCGCACCGCCCAACAGCATCGCTTTATCACCCGGCTGCTCACGACTGCACGGCTGTGTTGGCATCGCTTTATCACCCGGCTGCTCACGACTGCACGGCTGTGTTGGCAAACCTTGTGTTAATAAAACCGGCTCTTGTATGTGATTGCAGGAGCGGCAACGGGAGCTGGAGCGCATTCGCGCGGGCAAGGAGATGCAAAAGGTGCGGGTGGGGCGACCACCGGGGGCTTCTGGTACTCAGGAGGCAAGGAGATTGCTGCTGCTGTGTCGCAGGATTTCGCGTTGTGCTGTGCTCATAATGCCGGTGATCAGCGGGTGTTGTTGGTGTTGGGCGTGGCGCGCGTTGCCACCAGCCGGGTGGCGGGAGCGTACGCTTGGGTGGTATTCTGGCCCCCGCTGTTGCTACTGCTGCCCCACTCCTGCTGCCCCCCGCTGCTGCCCCCCGTCCAGATCCGAGAGCGCGAGGAGGAGCAGGCGCTGAAGCGCATCGCTGAGGTGAGGCCGGGCGTGTCGCGTACCGGTGCGTGCGTTGGGATTAGATAAACCGAGCCGCGGAAACACTGACCCTGACCGTAGATTACCGGAAATTGCTTGATGGTGTTCCAGACTTCGAAGTATTGCGTTGGGATACAGCCGCTGTGTTCCGCTGTGTGTGGGAAACCCGCTCCCGCCTGAGGCCGCCTGGACCCGCCTTGGCACCGCCTGGAACGTCCCACTTCCTCCTCGCCCCTCTTACGCCGCTCTCCCTCTCCCGCTCCCCCGCGCCCACCTCCTCTCCCCCGCCCGCCCCTGCCCAGCAACGCCGGCGCGAGAAAGAGGAGGACGAGCGAGCGCGAGCGGAGCTGCGGCGCAAGCTGGAGGAGGACCGGAAGGAGCGGCGGCGGCGGCTGGGGCTGCCGGAGGAGCTGACGGAGGAGGAGAAGGTGGGGGTTGTGTGCGGGCTGCTGCTCTCACTGCAGCCCTCAAATAATGGTGGTGGTACTGGAACCACACGAGTGGACAAGAGTACAAGACTGGCAAAGCATGTACGGTTCGTATGAGGAGCTGAGGAAGCAGCCTCGTGAAGCTCTGGCGCACAGTGATTGAGGTTTGCCTTCGGTTGTCGCCGGTGGGGTGTTTAACGAAGGAACTGGTTGCATCCTGGTTGCCCCGCCACTGTTGCTGCCTCCCCCCCTCCGCGTGCAGGCTCGAGAGGCCGAGAAGCGCAAGAAGCAGGAGGAGGAGGAGGCTGCCAAGAAGGTCTTCAACTACGTGAAACCCATCTCAGGTGGGGCTGCCGCAGGTTTGGCTCCAGGGGGTGGTGTCTTGACGGCGGTGGTGGTGCTGACGGCGGTGGTGGTGCTGACGGTGGTGGTGTGGTGGCAAGGGGTCGTTCTGGCACGTCGGATTGCTGGCATCACAGCTTTAGCCGACGCCTTTAACTTCTTAGTTCTTACATCGCCTCATGGGCCTTCCTTGGATGTCGCTTGTTCCCTTCCCCCCCTCCTCCCATCCTACTCCAACCCTCCCTCCCTTCCTGCGCTTCACTTCTCATTTCCTCTTCCCTCCCTCCTGTCCCTTCCCCATGCATCCCTAACAATGCCCACCCCCCGCAGCTCTGGCCGCCATGCGTTCCCAGCTGGTGGCGCTCAAAAAGGCGCATGCAGCGGGGGTGGCGGGCGGCAGCGGGGAGGAGGCGTTCAAGACCGCCTGTGCAACCATGATGAAGTGCGGGCGGGCGGGCGGGTGGGCGGGAGATCGTGCATGCAGGGGCATGTGGGGGGGCCATGTGGGGGGGAGGCATGTGGGGGCGGCTTCAGGGCTTATGGCTGGGTGGGAAGTCGTGTGTCCGTCCGTCCTGAGGTGTTCTGCTTGCACTCGGTAGTGATGTGATCGTGCAACGATTCCTTATGTCCCATGCGCTCGAATGCTGCCGCCTACCTTTGCTTTTCCACCTAGCACCCCTCTTTCGCTGGGTTCCGCCCCTGATCTCTTCCCCTCTGCTCCCTGCCCGCCTGCCTCTTCCTCCTGCCGCCTCTTTCCGCCTCCCACCTCCCGCCCGCCTGCCCACGCAAAGGTACCTGGGTAACATCGCCGCCAACCCGGGGGAGGAGAAGTTCCGATCCATCCGCCTCGCCAACGCGGCCTTCCAACAGCGCGTAGCGGCGCTGCCGGGCGCGGTGGACTTCCTGATCACATGCGGCTTCGAGGTGGGGGCCGGCTGGGGCGCCGGGGGCAGGCAGGGAGGGCAGGAGGGGCCGCCCTTACCTTTTTGAGGGGTGGGGGGCTGGAGAGGCGATCCGACTGGCTGGCAGGGAATCAGACAGAAACCAAACATCAAACTGGAAGGCAAACAAACCGTTAGCTCTTAGCTGGGTAGGGGAGCAGGCTGGGGATGCGTTGACTGTGTGGACACATCACCATGATACCATGCGGCCCTCAACACTCGCGCTGTATGCCGCATGCATGCATCATGCACCTCCTGCGCCATCACCCCTTCCTGCAGAGGACGGAGGAGGCGCTTGTGATGCGGGCGGACAAGGTCAACGTGGAGCTGATCAACGGGGCTGGGGGGGCGCTGAATGAAGCCCTCACCAACCCCTTCTTCGGCGTCCTGTGAGCCCGTGGGGGCAGTCCTGCTGCTGTGGGCTGCACCTTCTTCGCCCCTCTTCTTCACCCTTCTGCATGCGTCGGGCCATGGGATTGGGAGCCTAGTGCTTCACTTCTTCATCACCTTCTTTGTTGGACCTCGTTGCCCCTCGAGCCCTCGGGTTGGCGACTCCGGGGTGTTTTCCGGGTGTCGGAGGGGGGGCACCCGACCCTGCGGCAAGTGGCTGGCACACACGCACACGTGCAGCAGCGACAGCGGCAGCGATGTGGCTTAGGTTTACCTCGGGTCATGTTGGGGTGGTAGGAGGAGGAAGAGATGCAGATTGTGTGGGTGAACCGGTATAGGCGTTTCGGGATGGAGCGGTTGGCTGGTTGGGTGGTTGGGTTGCGCAGGCCTGAGTGGTGTGTGCTCGGATGCGGTGATGTGCTGTGAAGTGCAGGGTTGATGGCCTGTGATGTGCCTTGTGCAGTGCAGCCGGGGGCAGCCGGCGGTTCTGTCCTGGTCTCCTGAGGGGCAAGGTGGTTGTTACCGGTACTAAACCGCAAGCCCTTGCGGCTTTGGGGAGGTTTGTGTCACGTTGGGGTCCAACGGCAGATGCTGGCAGAGGGGAGCAGCGGGCGAGCGGTGCTGCATGGGCCGGGGCGCACGTGTCAAGCTGCCACAGACGTGTAGTACGGTAACCTGAGACGAGGGGGGGGCCGCATGTTGGGTGGGCTTGGGGGAAATCCTCCGCTGCGGTACGGTACGGTACGGTCTTTTATGTCCAGGTCAGGTACTGGTGGTATCGCGACGACAGCTTGTGTGCAGCTTTATAAAGAAGATTGGGAGAAGCACGTCCTAAGAGGGACGGCGAGGCGGGGTGGTTGGTCCGGTTTGGCCAGGAAGCCATGTAGGACTTAGCCAATTCGTAGTGGGGAAGGATCCAGCGATCTACCCACACTGATTGGTAAGCGGCACAAAGTCACATAAGATTACAACTCTACAGCGTTTGACTTACGCGTAATGCTTGTGCTTTAGGAAGAGGATTCCTTCGCATCATGCCGATCATGCAAATAGGGGTGCCTGTGACAACGTAGCGCCTGGCTGCTATTGTGAGTAAGTAGAAACTTGCGCCTGCGTGCTGAGCCGGCAGTGCAGATTTCCCTATGTAAGCCGTTGTTGCAGGCCGTTGCTGTTTAGCGAGCAATGATGATAACTTGCTGACTACGTGGAAGGAGCACGTATCGCGCCTGGGTACCGCTCGCAACATCCCTCCTTTCCCGGAGCGCTTTTAAAAGGCCGCATACGGCATGAGCCGCTGGGCCGATGCAACGAAAATTGAGCAGCCGCGCTTTACATTTACAAAGGTATACCGATGAAGTGGCGTGGAAAGACGCTGCAACTGTTTTCCAGTTCTGATCCGTTTGTACGTCTGATACGGACAAACTACTTTGACGTTTCGAAAGCAAGTATTCACGCAAAGACGTCGGAATGTTAGCGGTAACAGTGCCGTGTTTGTAACTAGCGTCATGATACTGCGACAATGGGTCTCGTTGAAAGTTGTCTTCGCGGCCGGTCGGCATTACCTGGGCTCAGGGCAGGCCCAACTCATTTGTTAATAGCTGAAGAGCTTGCGCCAACAGTTTGTCGGATAAAGATCGACCCGGATAAGGTGGGCGGTTTTCGCCATGCTAGTACCGGTAGTCAACAAATAATTTCGCGACTGTCCGAAGGTGCTCCTAAAGTTGCAGCAAGAGATATCGGTTGCAGCGCCAGCATTCCAACGGTGCAATCGCTTCCTGGCTGCCATCGTGGCTACGAATGTGTGCCAAAAAGCAAGGTACCGGCGAGGTTGTTAACAATGGTAAAGGGACATGCCGTTCCTATTACCGACACCCTTGCTTGTAACTTTGCGTGCAGTCTATACGGTTTGGTTGACAGCGACTCCATTGATGGTTTCGTCCTCCTTGCTTCCAACGGTCCTCTGACCGCCGCTGGTACAGTTCCCCAGCAATGGTTGTGGTCATTACTGAGCAAGATGCTAGAGATGCAGGTTAGTAAGCCGTAACGAGACAGCTGTATCGCCGGGTGTTTGCAACTGTCGGGCCACGTGTACCGCTTAGTCCCGTGTGTCCACATGAATTCGGAAATTTGTACTCACTCCGTGGATCCTAGATACGCCTCTCCCTTGGCCTTTCCAATTACCTTTACACCATCCTATGCTGCCCGCCAAGGTCTTGCCGTCCCACCGCCGTACTTTCCCTCGCTCCACCACCCCGCCTGCCGCACGCAGGGCCCTGTATTCCAAACCCCCTCCCAAACCAGCAATCCCTCCTGCGGCAAACGCCCCTCCAACGCACCGGACGGCAGCCCCCAGTTGGTCATCTGTGCAGTCCCCCTCTTTGAAGGCAGCACCATTGCAGGAGCCCTTCTCCTGGAGGGCCCCTCCCTCGCAGCTACCTCCTCCTCCTCCTCCTGCTCGCCTCTCCCCTCACAACAGCCTCCGCAGCACTCACCCGCCACCCCCACCACCAGCTGCAAAAAACACGGCAACCACAAACCCACCACCACCACCTCCCCCGCCCCGTTTCTCACCAGCAACAACACCGCCCCTCTGCTTCAACAGCTCGGTTTGGCTCTCTCCGTGGGGCTTGGTTCCGACACGCAGGAGCTCCGCTGGATGGCGGCCGCCCTGCGCCGTGTTGCCGCCGCTGACAGCATGCATGCGCTGGTGTGGGAGCTGTGTGAGGACGTGGCGGCCTTCGTACGGCGGCAGTTCATCGTCCAGGCCAGTGTGCGAGCGGCGCTGCTACCCAGTGCGGAGGCGACGGTGGGGCTGCTCTTCCATGCGCAGCCGGGGTTGTATCAGGCGGGGTCCTTGGGGTACGGATCTGTCGGTTATCAACAGCAGCAGCAGGGCCTGCAGGGGCAGCAGCAGCAGCAGCAGCAGGGAGGGTTACAGGGCCGGACTCAGGCGACCGCAGCCTCCGCAACCGCAGCCTCCGCAACCGCAGCCTCCGCAACCGCAGCCAGTCGTACCGTTGTCGTTCCACTGCCACCCCACATGACCTCCGACGCGCCCTCCCCCAGCCTGCATGCACAAGCCTTTCCCCTCAACCACACCGTGCTCCAGGCACTGTCAGCACCCGCTGGCAGGGACCCGCAGCAGCCCCTTCGCGGCGCCAGTATCGAGGATGTGGCGCTGTATGTCCAGAACGTGCACAGTCCCTCTCGTGACGTCAGCCTGCTCATGGGAGTTACCGCGAATGCTGCTGCACCCCGGGTGCTGGCCGCTGCTGCTGCTGCTGGTGCTGCGGGCACACTGGGATCGCCAAGGGGTCCCTGCGCGCAGATCCCCGCAGGCGGTGCCACAGCAGGAGGTGGAACGAGCGGCAGCAATGTCAGCGGCGTGGGCAATGGAGGCGGCGGCGGCGGTGGTGGTGGTGGTGGGGGTTCACTTCAGTCGCTGGTGGTAACGGGCATGCGACTGGGGGGCAGCGGTAACAGTGGCAGCAGCAGGGGAGGCGGCGGCAGCAGCAGCAGCGGGTGCGGTGGTTCTGTGCTTGCCTTCTACCTGTGCTTCCCCAATCGGCTGCCCGGGGAGCTGCTGGAGGCGGTGCGGGGGAGCTGCGGGGTGATGCTGGAGGAGGTGGGGGGGGGGAGGGAGAGGGAGGGGGGCAAAGGCCATGGTGGTAAGGGCATTAAAGGAGGGAGGGAGAGAGAAGCGTGGTGGTGGTGGGGAAGGAGGAAAGGAGAAGAGTGGCGTCAGATACTTACATAGCAACAAGTGGGAACGACTTTCCAAGCGGGCTATACCGGGGTATGTCCCAACTCCCACGCTTGTTGGTAAACCCTATTATGACCAGCGCGCTGTAGCGACCGTACACTGCCTCTCCGCCGCTTCCTCCTCTTCTTCTCACTACATGACCATACCGGTATACCACATGCTGTGCTACCGTGCGGCCCTTTCCTCAGGTCTTCATGCGGCCGGTGCAAGCCAAGCTGGAAGGCACCCTGGCACCCGAATTCACCACCCTTCGCTCCACCGCACCAGGGCACTTTGCCGTGCTGCGCAGGCGCAGCGTCTCCCATGAACCCTCGGCCACCGGCGGCAGCAGCAGCTGCAGCCCTAGACCTGTATCGCAGGGCGGCATGTGCAGCAGCAGCAGCAGTACCAGCGGCCGACCTCGGCCTAGGTCGCTGGTAGTCCCGCGCTTCCTGAACCTCCCCTGCTTCTCCTCTTTGAAGCATGGCGTGGCGCCTGCCACCGCTGCGGGTGCTGCTACCGCTGCGGGTGCTGCCGCGGGTGCTACCGGACATGCGACCGAGGGGGGCGCTGCCGCTGCTGGGGGCAATGGCGGGGGCGGAGGCGGGGGTGATGGGAGTCGTGGTGGTGGGTCGTGCCGGCTGGCGCGTGGAGCTACCGCGGACCTGTGTTGCAGCTCGATGGGATCTAGTGACGTTGCCACGTTCCTTGCGACCGCCGGACGGAAAGGTGGGGAGTTGGGGGGGCAGGGCTTGTGCCGTACTAGTTCCATACTAGTGCTATACTGCGGCTAAACCCCGTTAAGAATACACGAGGACGCGTAGGATGAAGTAGTGGCGTGTTATGGGCGCATGTGAGACATGGTTCTAGCGGTGATGGTGGTGGTGGGGGTGATGTGTTCAGGGGGGCTTGCTCAACCTTCCCTTCCCTTCCTTCTTCCCCCCCTTTCCCCCGCCTGCAGGCAGCTTCGTGCACCGCACCGCCTCCTTCAACACCCACGCCCCACACGCCCCCCTCGTCAGCCCCCCCGCCATCCAGGCAGCCCTGGGCGCCTCCGCATCCGCCACCACCCCCACCACCGCGCTCAAGACCGGCCGGGAGCCGCCTCACCACATGGTAGCGGTCTCCAATGACGAGCTGCTGAGCGTGCTGCTGCAGATGCGGCTCAGCGACACTGCAGGCAGCCAGGGTGGCGGCGGCGGCGGCGGTGGAGTGGGTGGCGGCGGCGGAGGGTACTGTGGTGAGGGACGCAGTGCCTCCATCATGACGGTGGCGGGGGTGGATGCGCTGATGTCAACTAGGCAGCAACTGGACATGCTGGTGACGAGCATCCAGACAACCATGACAACGGAGGGAAATGGCGTCACGTAAGCTCCGCATAACCTACTTTAATTAATGGGCGGTTGGGGCGCTGTGTATCGCCACGGGCTGGATTAGGTTGGGTGGGGGAGGAATGAGGAAAGGAGAGAGGGAGGGTTCTCATTCCGCATGGTTCAAACAACGCTGCGGTTACCATCCCTACCCCCACTATAACCCCTCCCTTTCCTGCGCCCCCCCCCCTACCCGCACATACACACCCTGTCACCCAGTGGGGACATCATCTTCCGACAATCCAGTACGTTCCTTCTTGCGGCCGATTCTCTTTCAACACACCCTGCCTCCCCCTCAGGTCTTCCTTCCCAGACGAACTTGACCAGTTGGAGTTGTACGATGTCATCGGCAAGGGCGGCGGCGGAGTGGTGTATCGGGGCAGGTGGGTGCAGGGGGGGAGCTAGGATGTAGTACTTGCATGTGCAGCCACCCACCCTCCGCACCACATCCGCCACCCAGCACGGCATGTGTGGTGGCCGGTTGGCTTGGCAGGCTGGCACGGGTTTGGTCGTTGCTTTTGGCTCCCTTCTGCCCACCATATTAGCTTCTCGTTGTTCAGTTCCTTGTTGCCCATTCTTGACTTTCTCGTAGCCCTCACCCGCGCTTCCTCCCTTGCAATTATACGCCCGCATGCACTGGCTCCAGGAGTGGCACGCAAGAGGTCGCAGTGAAGGTATCTGCATATCTGCTGGATGATTGGGATGTCTTGTGTGTGCTTTGGGCCCCCGCAATCGCGCTGCTGTCCGGCTGCCAGCCCCCCACGTCCGCTCTGCCCGCACTTCTTGCCCCCCACGTCTCGCCCTTCAAACCGGTACGCGCATGGCATTCACGGCATTCATGCCCCTGTACACCTCCTCCCAGGTTATGGAGCTGCCTGACTTGGATGTCGGGGAGCCAGTCCTGCTGGCGGCTGCTGCTGCAGCGGCGGCGGCAGGCGGCAAGCCCGACCGCCCATCTGACGCCCCTTCCACCCTTGGGGGGGCGCCGGGCGGCGCTCATGATGTAGCGTCTCCTCCTGCTGCTGCTGCTGTGGCGGCGGCGGCGGCAGCGACGGCGGCCAGGGAGCAGCTGCGGGCGCGACGGGCCCTGCTGCGCAATGCAATGGAGATGGTGGTGCAGGGTGAGAGCTGGCGGGCCTGATGGTGGTTGTGTCTGGGTGGCGTACTGTGCTGGTCCTCCTGCATAGGGCGGTGGAAAGAGGGACGTGGAGAGCACCCGAGCGCTTGGGTGCCGGGTGCTGTCTGACAGCCGCGCCATTTCCGTAAGACCCCGCCATTTCCTTAGGGCCCGCCCATCCTCTTGAAGCTCTGTTGCTGCCCCCTCCTCCCTCGTTCGCTCACGCAGGTCGCGTCAGCCACCCCAACTTGGTACAGGTAAGCGGCGTACGACATTACGGCATATGTTATACGGCAGTCGGTATGTGCTGCACGGCATACGCCGTACGGCATGATGCTGCTGTCTAAGGGTATTTTGTCCTTTCGCCAAGTCTGTCTTCGAAAACAAACAAGCAAGCAGAGTCGGTGTGTGGGTGTGTGCCGCGGCGGTTGCTGCCTGCCTGTGTGTGCGACACGGGATTCGGGGAAACGGTGGCGCTGTCTGCACGTGTCCCAGCTGCTGCCCAACATACCGAGCTCCTACACCCCCCCTTTCCCTTCCTCCTTCCCTCCCTCGCCTCTCCTCCCTGCCCCGCAGGTGTACGCCGCCTACTCCAACGTGCTGTTGGAGCAGCGCTACCAGTCGCAGGACGGTGCCGCGTACTGCTGCCTGGTGCCCGCAGCAGCAGCGGCAGCGGACAGCGGCATTGCACCCGTGGACCTGGCGGCACCTGGGGGTGAGTCATACCGATTTACACCTGCAGCGGGGGGGGGGTGGGGGTGGGGCAGTACCGTGCCGGCGAGGCAAGGCGAGGCAACCCTTGTTTAGAGCTGTTTGTTGCAGCTACGTATGTAGCTGCAGCATGCGGCCGGATGCATCCAGGTGTGCACGATCGTGCCTCATGCGCCCTGCCATACCTAACCCTGCTGTGCCCTTCCCCCCCTTCCCTCTGCAGCCGCTCCCCCGCAGCCCTCGCAGCAGCCCTCCTGCTGTGCAATCGTGGCTGAGCTGGCTGACGGCGGCTCCCTGGCAGCGGCGCTCAGCTCCCGAGCCTTCCCGCGCATCGTCAGTGTGCAGCCGCCGCCGCGGACAACAGCAGGACAGCAGCAGCTGCAACATGCGTTCCAGCTAGATTTCAAGGTACTGCCTGGTGGTGGTGCTAAAGGGGGGGAAGGCAGGGGAGGGCATGGAAGATTACAAGGATCGCATGGCTTCCGTGTGGTACGAGGTCTGGCCGGTCAGGATGCAGCAGGGGATAGAACAAGACGACAGTGGTTAGAATGGCCGTTCGCCGTCGTGCTTTGCAAATGCCGTAAACGGTGTGCGTATCTGCGCTCTGCCTGTGTGTTGGGCCCCCATGTGCCCTGCTCATTCGCTGCAGCACAACCTGAAGACGAATGAGGAATACTGAGCGGCATGTGCACCCCTCCCCTTCCCCCTACCTGCCCTTCCTGACCCGACATGAAGGGGGTGTACATGACGCTGCTGGATGTGGCGCTGGCGTTACGACACCTGCACTCTCTCAACTTGGTGCATCGAGGTGGGCTGGGGAAGGTAGAGGGGTAGAGGGGGCATGTGTGTGTGGGGGGGGGAGAAACTGACTAGCCGTGTGACGTGAAGGGAAGGAAACAGGGGACAGGTCATAAAGTCAGTTCTACATTTGCATAGGCGGCACCCCGCGGCAGCGCATGGCCGAACCAATTTTCACAACGACCATCACCCCCACACCTCCTCTCGCCGCTTTCCGTCCTCCTCCCAGACGTCAAGCCGGCAAACCTGCTGCTCAAGACCAACCCACGCGACCACCGCGGCTTCACTGTCAAGCTGGCAGACTTTGGGTTCGTGCTGCAGCTGACAGAGGTGGGGGACCTGGGGCTTGGGCTTGGGCGGGCTGTGGACCCATGGGTCGGTGATATCGGTGGAAAGACCCACGTAACGCGTGAGGTGTAGACGAGTATTGGGCGACGGCGACTCCCTCGCGTAAACATGCATGGTGGTATTCCGCACCAGGCTGCATCCCTTGCCTTCTTGCCTCGTTATAGTACGGTACGGCACCCCCAGGCCCGCCGGTTACCACGCCATGCCCATGCGTGCAAGCGCTTTTACCCCTCGCCTGGAAACCCTAAATCCCCGCTCTGGCACTGCTCTGACACTCGCTTTCCCGGGCCATGCACCACCACAGACGGCGGAAGACGGCACTCGCTATGCGCTTGTGGACCAGGCTTGCGGCACGTGAGTGATGCTGGGCTCTGACTGACGGGGGGGGGGGGGGCTGGTGCGGGGGCCGGCCAACAAGGGCAGGGAGTGGGGGCCCTGTGTACGGTATGTGCTCCAGGGCCCCAGCTGCTGTGGATGCTAAGACACGAAGCCATGTTCATTGCATCGCACGGCAGGTGCGGTAGCCAGCTAGCCACTGGTGCATGAGCGTGTACACACCACCCACTCCTTAGGTCCGGTCGCGTTACGACATTGCTATTACTGCTTTACACTGATTCCGATACTACTCGATAGCTCTATTACAACATAGCCAACGGACTTCACTTCACCTGTGGCGTTTTCGGTGGGAGGACTTCATCTTTCGGCAATCACAGTACGTTTCGCCTCGCGGCCAGTTATTTTAACACACCACCCACGCCACCCGTTATTAGCTGGCCCGCGATACATATACTTACTATGCCTTGGTCGCTTACTTGCCGACCCACGGGTCACCCGCTGGTCACGCAGTGTGACCCACATGGCCCCGGAGCTGCTGCCGGGCAGTGAGTAGGGCTGCGGGAGGGAGGGAGGGAGGGAAGACAGCAGATAAGGCTCTTATCGCCTTTCCTATGTATAATAAGGGTAAACGGGGGGTGGTCGGGGCAATCGTCAACATGCATCGCACATGCACTGCAGCCCTAAACGGTACCCGGCCACCTGGACTGGATGTCCTGCTGCCATGCCCTTCCACGCCTTTTGTGCACCCTATCACGCTGGGACTGTGAGGGTGCATGCCCCTCACTCCCAGACTGCCCCAACGTTTTTGCGCTGATAACCGTACTATTCATAACTACCGTATTTCCGTGTTCGGACGGGGTCCGGGTTTGGATCTCTGCCGTACGTTTACCCCCACACGCTGTAGAGGCCCGAGTGGATGCCAGTGCGGACGTGTACAGCTTCGGAATACTGGTGAGCAGGCAGGCTGGGGCAGCATGGGGCAGATGGGGCATGTTAGGTATCACCTTCTTGGGGTGCCATGTTTGCATGCCCTTGCTTCCTACCAAACAACACGACCCTAGAGACCGGGACCTGAATGACCACACCCGCCTGTTGTGGTGTTTCTACCAATGCCTGCGCTGTGCCCCTCACATGGGCTGATGGCTCACATGTTGCAAACCATGATGACGCCTTATCACACGGTTCCATACCACCCTCTTTACCCCTCAGATGTGGGAGATGGCGGCTGGAGGCTTGCGCCCCTTCCCGCACCTCCCCCCCGACCAGATCCCCCGTCAGGTCTACATGGGAGCGCGGCCCATATTCGGGGAGGCCATCCCGCTGTCGTTCAGGTGGGGCTGTATCGTGTGCGTGTCACCAGTGTGAACCCTCCGTGCATGGACTCTTGCCACCATGCGCCAACTGCGAGAAGAGCCCCATGCGTCCTACCATGTCCTTTTCCCATTTCCCATAAGCAGCTGGCGTTCCGCTGCTGTGTTTCATGTTTCTAATCCTCTGTCTCACGATGCAACACCCCGTGCTTGTGATGTCGCTCCTCGCCCCCTCTCATGCGTCGAACCTCTCCCATGCGTAAATCCCCTCTCGCGTGTGTCGATCGTCAGGAGTCTGGCTCAGGCGTGTTGGGCGGCGGAGCCGCAGCGGCGGCCTCGAGCTGGGGACCTGGTGGCACTGATCAGTGCGCGTTTGCAGGAGTTTGAGTGAGGGCAGAGGGTATCACTGTACCGGCCATATTCATTCAGAGGGTAAGGTCAGGGAGAATTTAAACCAATTGGTACTTCATGTTGGGGTGGGGTGGGATGAAGGGATGGGGCTGCGAAGGGTGCCAGTATTGGTGTGGAGGTGTTGATGTATGTGGGGTGTGGGGTGTGCAATGGACTGTGTACTGATAGGATTGCCGTAAGAAAATGGGAAGAAAGTATTGGAATGTGTTTGATGTTAAGCATGCCGATTTTAATGCGTAATGCTGGTGGTGCTGTGGAAAACGTCGTTGCGAATGGCGGGCATTTGAATGGTGATTGCACTGCGCGCGTATTTCTTATACGGTGTCGTTGTCTTGCTGTGGGGTGTGGGGTGTGCGGGAGCAATGCACTGCTGGTGTGGCTTCAAGCAGATAGCGAGGCCCCTGCCGTCTTTCGCTTTTGGGTATTAGTTGCGCTCCGACCTTCAATGTGCCCCTGTACTGATGCCTGCAAGGAGGACTGTGGTTTGCACTGCTCTGTGCACTTGTGCAAGGTAGATTGGTCGCATTAAATGATGCGGATGGGATGGGTATTGCTGCAGGCCTGAATGCAAAGAAAGACGTAATGAGGGCAGCGATCAATGGAATGCGAGTACATTTCATGGGTCGGATATTTTGCAATAATTTTCCATGTGACGTCCGTGATCTCCGTACGACGACGCGTGTGGTGGCTATTCTTGAAGGCTGCGTGGGCTCAAGTAAAATATCTTGATGTGTCGTCCCCCCCCCGAGGGTGTTATCATTTTTTGGAATCCAGTATTCGGCTGCTCAACTCGCGCCAGTGAGGGAAAGGAAACCACCGGTTGCCTTTATGCCGTGTTCTGAATACTTTGACGCGATGGTGTAGTTATGCTGGGCCCCAGCGGCTCCAAACGCTTTCGCCGCTCAATGGGCGGTTCGCCTCGGGTGCAAATACGTACATGGCCCGCCCCCCCGCCCTTACACTGAGCATAAGCCTAATGAGTGGCGCTAGCTTTGCGATGCCTGCTTGCACTTTGGTAAATGGGTCCCTAACATGGTCGCCAACATTGCTGTCCCCAAGCCAACAGTTCCTTCAAATGAGTACTTCTATAGGCAAAGCCTCTAGAGTTATTGTACTGCACGTGATTGCCACCGCTCCTTATAACCCTAGGTAAACAAAATTAGTAATTTGCGGCAGCGCATGATGGTTTCGGTGCGGCTGCCGTACAGTTCCTATATATCCCTGGCTAAACATTGTAGGGCCCTCGCGAATTCCAATCGTCGCTGTGCTGCTGTGCCGCTAAAACAGATAAACAAAGCTTTATATCTTATCAGTTTTGCACCCTCTATTCATTTATGTAATTGGAATTGTCAAAGTCCGCTTTTGGCCATAGCCTCGGTCTGCATGAACTAGCCATTCCCACGCAAACCACCCCAAAGCTCCGCGCCAATGACCCAACCGGGTCCTTTTAACCCACCATAACGTTTTCACTTTTGCTACAAGCAAAAGCCCGCCGCTTCAGCCTATTGGGTCACCGGACACATGGTCCGAGCGCCGTACACTTCTCGGCGAGGCATTACGGCCAGCATACATATTCTACTGGCCCACATGTTTTACCTTTATTTACGTAGCTGTGCTCCATTCTTCTAGTCGTGGCCCTCACTGGCCTTCCATTCAGTCGAACCCCTGCCGCGGTTAACAACGAGTTAACTTTGGCCAGGCCCGCGGCTCATTTAGTAGCCCATGGCGGCCTCCACGCCATGGACAGCCCTTGCTGGCCGTATGTTCTTCATTCTGGTTGGTAAGTACAGCTTTACCGCTGCATTTTAGAAAACCGCGCGACCTTCGAGCTCATGCAAAGTGAACATTAACCGCAGGACTCCTCACATTGCAACCCTTTCAAAGGAGGCCGTCAATGCCGCACATCCATCGCTTCACTCGGCGTTCAAGCTCCTCACCAACATTCTTTCAGTCGTGCTCGTAGCCTTCCTTCTCATCGGCGCAGGTGCACAGACGCTATGTACACGGACAGCGTTAGCCATCCACTATTCCTTATTTAACAAAAAAACGCCAAGGGCGGCACTCACAAGCCAGCCAAGCGTGTTGCCGATGCCGCAGCTGACAACGAATGTGATCCACAACGCCAAGCCTTGTCGACCCCAACGCTAATAATGCTGCTGCTGCTCCCACACAGCTGCTGCCGCTACAAACGTTCCACAACCTGCTCCCAATGCTACTCCTCTGCCCATTCCGCCTCCTCCTACTCCTCAACCTGACCTTCTTGCCGCTCAAGCTACAATCCTCGGTTGTGTAGAACTTGTTCCTGGAGAGTCTCCAACCAAAATGTTAAAATGCAGGTAGCCGGCATCCTTTCTCAGCAGCAATCAGGCACCTTTATGCCTAATGTGTCCACACACCTACTACCATGCCCCCTGATGCCGACGACCATAGAGTTGGGCGTCATCTTTTTGTGTTACCTGATCATGAGAACAGCTGCACTGACCCCACTTCCACCGCTGGCTATCATAATGCCCGCTTGTGCATGAGCAGAAATCCCACGTCACGGCAATCATCGTAGGATTTGTGGGTGGCACCCATCACTTTCCGATACTCACGACGACCCCGGCTTACGGCCGCACGGCACCCTTCCTAAGGAAGTAGGTGACTGGAGCCCCTCATCCCCCTCCCCGTCATTGCCACAAACTCCGCACCTACAGGCATCTGCTCATCCTTTTTGCATTGCCCCTCAAGTGGCTGTTGCTGCAGTACCAGCTTCCTGTTTCTAAGCCACGGAAATTACTCTTTAATGCTGCCAGTACAGTGTCATGAACTGAACAGGGAAGAAGGAACCGATGACTAACCACAACCACACATGCCTAACGTCTGCGCTTATGGTTGTTGTGGCTGGGTGTGAGGAGGTCGCCTATCCTGTCACACCTGGTGCGCGGGGCCCCACCACCCTCTTTCATTCCTTTGTTGAGTTTGGACGCCTAAGCCCCACATGAGCTGCAACGCACACGATCTTAGCCTATACCGGTAACAATCCCGAGGCTTGCAAGTGTTAAATAGCATCCCATTTCCGGCATGGGGAAGGGATGGGGTTCAGCGGTGGGGAAGGGGCAGTGGGGCCCTTCCCCACCGCATGCCCCATTCCCATACTAAGGTTTCTTGGGTTAATTTGCGGAACGGAGCGGTGGCCGACCATCTCAAAGCATGATTTTGTGACCCAGGAAAATTGTCGTCACGACTTTCAGCGCAATGTGAACTGCATTTGCATGCTGCGATGCGCCTATCTAAGAACAAATTCAACACAGCTTTATTAATCGGCATACGTATGCGCAAGGAAAGCATGCATACTTGAAAAGCGAACCAAGTTTGTTGTTCGTTTGTGTCTGGGAAATGTATTGCAGACACAAGCGGACACGAAGGCACTTTTACAGAATGCTCTTCATTAAAGAACTGTATTCAGTATACAACAACGTCTTTAAGAGGTGAGACGCGCGAACAACACGCGTGCGACCCAACCTAGAGTTGCTCACATTGAACTCTGGTACAACTCCTTCTCCTTTCACTGCCATATCTGGCAATCCGCTATATACGTTCTTTGAAGCAGTGCTTTCGTGACGCAAGCTAGTTACCTGGCAATGGAGAACGGAGCAGCAGTAGATGCACATGTGCAATGCGTGTGTTCTTCGCGCACATGGGCCGAGGAGCGATAATCGCAACGTGCGGCTACCGTGGGAGACCTTGCCACTTATAATGTCCACGTTTGATGGATGGCCACCCGTTGCTCTTGCCCATCAAAAAGGGAACAACATTGATTAAGCATGCACAATGGCTGTTCTTGATGCACATGAGCCAATCTGCGATAATCGCAACGTGCACGGTTGATGGATGGCCACCCGTTTCTGCTTTCCATCAAAAGGGAACAGCATCAATTGCGCATTCATAATGTTGCTGTTCTTGCTGCATATACACCGTTCGATAGGCGTATGCTCAGTGTAAGGGCGGGGGGGCGGGCCATGTACGTTTTTTGCACGTGGAGCCGCTGGGGCCGGCATAACTACGCCACACAGCGTAAAGGCAACCAGTGGATTTCCGAGGAACAGCAGTGCTTGCCTTCCTTACTACTGCTGTTCTTTGCCCTAAGCATAGACGTGTAAAAGCAAGCATCGTTAACAACTGGCCAGCGTGCGGGTGCCCAGCACTTCGTCAGGGGGGGAAGAATTTACCAACCCCCCGCTGACACACCCAGGATTAGTCGAGGGGGGGGGCTCGCTGTAAGTCCCAAGTCGTTTCGGCCCCGTGGTACACCTTTTATGCGGAGGGAAGGGGGCATTAAGAAAAGCGACAGAGAGCTGATGGGAGCTAATGCATAGGGTTTAAGTAAAGCAGCAGGCAAATGCTCAATGGGAAAGCAGCAATGAGGATGGTGGATGGTTGGCAAGGTTATGGAGAGAGATGGGAGGAGTGAGGCTGTCGTGCGGTTCGCAGTGTCATTAATAGCAGTGGTGTGTGGGCTGAGGGAGTGTGGTTGTTTGCGTGGAACGAGGGAATCGAAGGGTGGTGATGACCTGATGCGCCTTATGTGTCGCAAATGATGGGCCTTATGTCGTACAGCAGCAGCTACAACAGCACAGATGCACTTTTCATTGTAGATAATGTTATCAAAGTCGTAGCCACTACTAGGGAAAGGTCGTGCGGCCTCTTTCAGTCCCTGTGCTGGTTACTAATTGCTTTCCGTACTTTGTTGAGACTCTTTGATGATGGGCCATTGATGGATCACAAAATCACGGTTGTCGTAGAATTTGAGTCTGCTGTACTGCAAAGTGTGGTACCCAGCAGATGTCTTCTGTTGGCAAAGCGCAGCCGTGTCTAGCTGCGATAAAGAGATGGTCGTTCTGTCCCAGATGTGTAGCATGATTGTTGTTAGCCTTGCTTTACAGGTTGCGACGCGCGCTTTCCCGCATGGGGGTATGAACGTATGATATTGGTACCATGCGCAGTTTCTGTGGTTGGTTTGCTCCTTGAAATCTTCCGGTCGACTGCTCCGGATATGACAACGCCAGCGGTTTGGGGTTTTGGTTATGTTTGGGTTTGGTTAGCTTTGGTTGCTATTGCTAGGTTCGTAAAGGGTGCCGCTGCAGGCGCATGAGTTGCTTGGCGATGATGCAACACCACCCTGGTTGCATGTTGCTTTTGGTGTGACAGGTATACAGGGATGGCAGCAGCGTGTGGTCCGGTCCCGGATCCCCACATCACTACTAAGCCTAGGGGTCAGCAGGGATGGGGACCGCCTAGGGTGCATGAACTGGGAAATGGGAAGGGGAGGTTAGAGACACGTAGCGGGGATGACTAGGCAGGTAGTGGCTAATGGGGGATGCGTGAAGGTGGTGAAGATGCCTGTGGAGGTCTTGAGCGGTGGACAAAGTTGGAAGGCTGGTGCATTACATTGGATCACGGGCATGTCCCCCCTGGGTGAATCCCTGAGCAAATAGGGAGCCCCAACCGGGGTTGAAAACAGTTGTGCAAGTTTTTTGTAAAAATTAAAGTAAAACCTCCGTAGCAGTCCGACGAAGCTCCGCGATGTCATACTGGGCCGCGATGTCATACCGGGCCCTACTATGCCTGAAAAAACAAAAACTAAGCCGGAAACAGACCCCGCCCAACCTGTACACCGTCTGTACAGCTCAGAAGCAGTCCTGTCCGGACGCGATAAACGGCGCGATGTCCCCTCGTACTCCTGTCCCCGCTGAAACGTAACCCACCCAACCCGTCCGACCGACCGACCCGTGACCTAACCCGGCAACCCGGCAACCCAACCCGACGGACCCGTGACCTAGCCCGGCAACCCGGCAACCCAACCCGACCGACCCGTGACCTAGCCCGGCAACCCGGCAACCCAACCCGACCGACCCGTGACCTAACCAGGCAACCCAACCCGACGGACCCGTGACCTAGCCCGGCAACCCGGCAACCCAACCCGACCGACCCGTGACCTAGCCCGGCAACCCGGCAACCCAACCCGACCGACCCGTGACCGAACCCGGCAACCCAACCCGACCGACCCGTGACCCCGCACAAAGCCGAAGCCCAACTGAACGCAACCCCTATCTATAGTCCGGGGATCCCTAAAACGCTAGAGGTGGGCGTGCTGCTTCCAGTGCTGGTTGTAGAGCTCCTGCGTCCGCGTGTAGAGGTCCAGGGACAGTTCCTTGCGCTGGAGGCTGTACAGGAAAGGTACACTGTGAAGTAGCCGGTCGTACTGCTGCCAGAGGTGGCTTTCGGCGTAGCCCTGCCGGACAAGCGCACAGATGAGGAACGCCATCTCGAAGCAGAAGTTGTGTGGGTCCAGGATGACGCGGCGGAGACGGTGGAACTGGCCGGTGAAGATGTTGCGCTTGCTGGCCTCGTTGACGCTAGAAGTGCGCCCCACAAACCGAGAGAGGCGGACGGACTCAAAGGCAGGCTGGACGCGCTTATCGTACAGCCGTGTAGTAATACGGCTGCGGCCTTGAGTGGTAGCGGTCGGGACCAGGAGCAGGTCGAGGAAAGGCATCTCGCCATTCTGGAACTGAGGATGTTGTTGCGCCTCGACTTGAAGCTGCGGGGGATAGAGGCCGTGGAGCCCTTCGTATTGCTGGGTGGTGGAAAGGAGGTGAGTAAGATGGGGGTTGTTGAGGGAAATGAGATCGTCGAGGTAGCGGCAGCTGTGTTTGAAGCCGTCGAGGAGACTCCGGGCGCTCGCGGAGCAGGTGCGTCGCTGTGACATGAAGTCGAACTCGTACCAGGCCAGGAAGAGGTTGGCGATGAAAGGAGACGCGGAGATGCCCATGGGGATGCCGCACACTTGCTGGACCAGCGCGGGTCCGAAGCGGATGAAAGTGGCTGCCAAGAGAGTACGGAAGAGCAAGAGGAACTCGTCCAGGCTGAAGCACCGCTTCTCTGTATTATGGTCCCGGCAATACGGCTGGGACAGGGGACGTGTGCGGAAGGATACATTGTGACGGGGCTTGTCGTCGGGCTTGGCGGGGTTGCTGGTAGTAGACACCACGATATAGATGGCGCCTGGAGCAGTGCCGGGGTAGAGGTGGGCTCCGAGGGGGGTACGTAGGAGGGCTGCAATGGTACTGCGCAAGAGGTCGTGGGGGATGTTGGTGTAGAGCCGGGTGAAGTCATAGGCTTGAGGCAGCGTGACGTTGGCGGCTGGGTACTCTTGGGCGTTATAGGTATGGACCATGGCGACGGCGGCGTCAGAGGAGAAGCAGTGCCAGGGGGCTGTGTGGCGGAGGGTGTTGGTCCAGTGCTGCCGGAACAGGGGGTCCACGGCACGTAGCACGGCGAGGACCAGGTCGCTGATAATAGTGGTGGGGCAACGATGGGAGCAAGCGAGAAAGCGCATGGCGGGGGGATTCTTGTGCATTTTGACGGTGGCAGCGTAGTAGGCAGGGTCGGCCGTAGGTCTGGGGGGGGGGGGGGGGCTTTTGCTTAGTTGGACGTCCGGTCGTGAATTACATGAGTTGGATTGGATAGTTGAATTGTGTTGGATTTGTGCCGCCTGTTGACATGTTGAGCCCTATGCTTATGCCCGTATCAAGCAACATGTTGCAATGCGGTGTGAGTACTTCCTTGGATGTATTTGAGGATTTGGTTTGATTTCCTTATCAGCTTTGGAATTGGACGTCTGGGAACTGCCCTTGTAAGTGTATCACGTATGTGTATCGCATAGCCTTTAGGGCTGTCTTTTCTAGGGCCTGCGCAGGAAGGGCGCCGCGGCATTTGCTGGAGAGGGCCCGGCGCAGTTGGATGCGCTTTGGACATTGCTACTATGAAGGATATGATATTGGGCATGATGTGTACGCCACTTGCGTAGTTACTGGTATCCCCGCAGAAGAGTGTTTATATGCATGGTTGCTAGCGTTGTTAGGTGCGTGTCACTAGCATACCGGAAACGATTATGCCTTCGAGCCATTTGTTGATCCCAAAATAAAGCTGCTGCTTTGGAGCGTTGGGGAAGCATTGGTCGAGGGTTCGGGATCATGCTCAGGATGAGTGTTTTGGATTATGTGTAAGGATTTGCACCAAACACCCTCCATGATACCGGTCCATGAAGCAATTCCTTTGTCAGTGAATGCTGCACCGTGCTTCAAGAGCTTGGGGAAGACGGGTGGGGGCAGGGAAAGGATGCATGCGCATGCTTGGGTACGACCAGGGCTATGTAGGTGACCGGGCCGAGGAGTTGCCGTAGGAACGTAAGCGGGTGCACACATACGGGTTCGCGCTTTTTCTTCTTTGCGCTCGTAATATATAAACTATATTAATATTCCTATTCTCAGTGAATAGGTTGCACGGACGATAGCAGACGTCAATCGCGGCGGCTTTCCGTACAGTTACCCCATTGCCTCAGTTTGTGTAACGTTGCGATAAGCTGTTTGGACTTCGGTATTACTAGTTGGTCTGATTAGAATTAGAAATGGCATCTCTACTAGCAGCGCGCGGCACCTTTGTGGCCAGGACTTCTGCTCCGGTCAAGTGCGTGGCGTCTATGCGGAGCGCTATGACCAGCCGTGCAATTATGCCTTTTACGCCTCGTGTAGCACAGACGAGCTCCTTCCTGGGTGGTGAGACCTTGCACGGACTGCATTATGAGGGAGTCTTACCGCTTAACAGCGCAACCGGGTGATATAACTGCTTATGCGCTTTGGAAGCAAGGAATAGGTGGTGAATAGAGCAGCGCACAAGCTCGTCTAACCGAATGGCTCTTGTGGTGCCTCAGGCTCTTTCGCTGGCAGCAGCCTGGTTCGCGTGGCGCCTGCTCGCGGTAGCCTGCTGGTGATGGCAAATGCAAAGAAATCTATTGCTTGCACAAAGGAGGGCACCAACAGGTGCGGTGCAACCAAATGATAAGGCCAACTGCCCCTTGAACCCATACCAGTTAGGGACATGCTGATCGCGGTCGCTGCGATTACTTCCATGCCTCATGGCTTAGATCGTATAGCTCGGGGTCTCTTGTGGCCCATCGCGACACCCGGCCTTAACTCCCCATCGCGACACCCGGCCTGAATTCCCGCTGCCAACCCTGCGCACATTGCATTCCACAGCACAACGACCGCCGTTGTGCTCGCGCACACTAGCCAGCTGCCCCTTCACCGTAATACCCCGCGGTCACGACTCGGCCTGCAGGAAGCGCCGGCGGACGTCAGGCTTCAGGACGCGTCTCGCAACCAAGAATGGACGCAAGGTCCTTAAGGCCCGCCGGGCTAAGGGCCGCCACTCCATCTGCCCTGCTTCGGAGCGCAAGTCTGGCGGCAAGAAGTAAATAGATGCGCGGGGTCGACTGGAGCTTTGGCTCGTTTTTGAGAAGCATGAGGACCTCAAAAGAGGCAGCGGCAGTTTTGACTAGTCTAGCCGCGTGCCTGGGACGTACATGATGTGACGTTGCTGGGGGCAGGGGTGAAGGCTTGGGGAAATGCGACTCTGGGAGATTGTTGGGATTCGGCTCCCAAATCAAGCTGCTGGGGGGCTTGCTGGGTTTGGGTTCGATGTCCTCCTGAGGCTTGCATGCTGGTTTGGGATGTAGATATAGGGAAGTCAGGTTGTAAGGGTTTTGTGGACTGTTAAGGCTGCTGACGTTTACTTGACTGATGTGGTCAAGGGTGTGAGTGACAGCTGACCATGTCTTTCAGGGTGGCTGTAGAAATTCAGCTGATCTCACTTCCGCGGGTTGCGGTTCTGGGGATTGCCTGGGAATGTTTGAAGGTGTGAGGTACATGTCCATTTTGCCGCGGATATGTAAGGGCCTACACACCTGGTTCATGGGTGACATCGCTCGGGTTGCGAGGTTGTGCAGGCGGCAGTGGCAGCGACGGAATGCCCAGTGAAATTATTTGGTTACACAAGCTACGGAGCGTTCAGAAACCACCCTCAGCCCGAGACCATCAAAGCCAGACCGAACCCGAGGCCAGGTCACACCGAAAGCCGGGCAATGCCCGGCCACTGGAAAGCGCTATTTTGGCATCCGAGGCGGCATCACACATCATGGGCTACACCCGCATGTGCTTGCTGCACAGCGCATGTCAGTTGCTGCCTTTCCAGCATGCACAGCCCGTGCATGTAAATCACACCCTTTCAACTTCCGTATGCAGCGCACCACCCAGCCACTAAGCTCAGCAGCCTTCCCCACACGCAATTCAACATCCTCGTAAAGCCATCAATCCATCCGTGTTCAGTTACACTTTCGTTACCCCTTCATCTTGCCAGCCTTCTTCATGTGTTTGGCCAGGTCGACTGCCCCCGGCAACCGGCCCACCTGGCTCGCAGGGTCCACCAGAGGTACGGGATAGTCGCGACCGAGGACGACACCGTACATCTTGGATTCCGGCTCGCTCATGGTCCAAGGCTGGTGCCGCAGGGCAGGCGGCAGGTGAGCCAGCTCGGGGAGCCACGTCGCCGCCAGTACGGCACCCTCGTCGTACTTGATACCCTGTCAGCAGTACATACGACATACGGTTATATAGGACACCGGGGGTCAATGGTCGGTGTATTCAGTTGCCGGTACGTGCCGATACCTTGCGGTACAGCAAAAGTTAGGTGCCGTACGCAGCCTGGGTCCTTGTATAACGTATTCCTGCATGCAATGTCCGTAACCACCCAAACCCATGGTGCTAATACCGTACCTGCGTCACGGTCTTGAAGTGTCGGTTGCGCGGGTCGTTGCCAACTCCCGCAAAGTAGTTCCAATTGCACCAGTTGACAGCCGCATCCGAGTCCAGCAGTAAACTCTCAAACAGCTCTGCGCCTGAGGGGGTGGGAGACCCGTGGGTCGGGGAGGCGGCAACAGCAGTAGACAGCATAAAGAATCGTTACGTATCCGTTTTTACAACGCGCTGAGAAGCGACTTGTTACACCACCATGCGGATGTACACGGTGGCGGCATCAGCGACAACGTCAACAATCATTCGAATACACAACACACCGCAACACACCCCATGAGTGGTATTCGCATGTCCCGGCAAGTCATCCTTTCATTCTGAGCGGCCTAACCGCCATCCCTCGTCCCTCATGAACCCCTTCACCCGCCCCAACCGCTCACCCACCCCAACCGCTCACCCCAACCGCTCACCCCAGCGCCAGTCCACTCTCAGGTCCTTCGTCACACAGCTAGCCACGTTCTGCCGCCCGCGGTTGCTCATCCAGCCGCTAGCTGCGAGCTCGCGCATGCAGGCGTCCACGAAGGGAAGTCCCGTGGCGCCCCGCGCCCACCTGCGGTGAACCAACCACCCATCCCAGACCCCGGAAAGAATGGCCCAACCCAGGCGTTTTGGCTTGGCTGGATGGGTTGAAGCCCCGGGAGTTGGCAGCGCACACAAGCGCAGACAGAAGGAGGAACAAGAGAAGCACACGAGCCGCACACAAGCACACATGAGCCGCACGGGGCCCACCTGGAGAACGCCCCCTCGTCCCTGCTCCAGCTGACGGTGCGGCCTGCAATGCCCCCCTCGCCCATCATCTTCTCGCCGTTCTTGAGAGCCGTAAAGATGAAGAAGTCTCTGAGAGGCAAGGTGCGGGTGGAGGTGACAGAAGCGCAGGAACAAGCGGGGATGAACAGACAACTGGCAGGGATCGAGTCGGCGTAGATCATACCGGTTAGCGATGGACTCGTTTTCAACAGAACAATGGACACGACCCGATGGTCTATGGTATCTAAGAGGCAGGGCAGCCCTTCGCTGGACATACCCCCGATGGCCCCTCAGCAGCAGCAGCAGCAGGCCGCTGCTACCGTCCAACCGGCCGCCCCTTCGTGATCGTCCCAGACGCCACCTCACGCACCCACATGCACCAACTTCCGACTCGTGGCCAGCTTTCCTAACACGAACACTAACCCACCTAGCCCCCTACTCACCGAATGCACAGGTGCATCAGCAGCCAATCGCACTCCGCTGCCACAGCAGCAGCAGCAGCAGCAGCAGCAGCAGGAGAAGTCATGCAGGCCTCCACAGCCCCAGCCGCAGCCGCCAACCGAACCTGCTCCACCTGGAAGCGAATAGGGACGATGCCGTGCTTGGGGGGAGTACCGGCAGAGGGAATGGAGAGGAGAACCAGGAGCCCCTGCTGCTACACAACGACAGGTACCGTAGCGGCGGAGTCGGAAAGCAATGGCCATCGCCTTGCCGTACACCCATCAGGTATGGCTGCCGAGTCCCCGAGTGGCTGGTCCTTGCCAGCCACCGGCCAGAACTGCCTCTTGCAATGCCTCGAACGAACACCCCGCCCCGCCCCGCATCCAGCCTCCGCCTGCTTACCTCATGTGCGATTTGGCGGGGGGTGAGGCAGCCCAGCGCCACGAAGGGAGACAACTTAGTGCTCCCGTCAACTCCCACCGCCTCAGCCCTGTCACCAGTACCGGGGGGAGGGCAAGAAATGAGGGGCAAGAGGTGGCAGGTGGGCAGCAAGCCCTATAGCAGTGTTGGAATTGGGGGAGGTACCCGCATGCGGGAACTACCAACATAAGGCGGAGCGCATGGGCTGCGGGGGGATGAGATATCCGCAGGGGCCGCATGGGAACGAATACCATGGCCGTGGCCGGGAGGAAGGTCCCGGGACCCCTGGTCATACACCCAACGCTGCTTTTAATGCTGCCACTACTACTACGGCCGGTGCTCTGCTACTGCGCGCTCCCAAACGCGACGGCACCCCGCCGCCGGCACCCCGAACGCGACGGCACCCCGCCACGCAAGGCACGCACCGCGTTTCATTGAAGCCCAGTAACGGTGGCTGCTTCGAAGGCGGAGGCGGAGGCAGGCAGGCCGTACACCCTGGCCCCACAGCTCCCGGGCAGCCACACTCCGCGGCTCCTGGCACCGGTGCGTCATGATGTGTGCTCCTCAGACATGCGGGTTGCCTCATGCGGTCCGGCAGCCCGCCTTGCTGCTGCCTCAATTGCTGCTGTTGCTGCTGCGGTTGCGGCTGTTGTTGTAGACCCTGCGGTACCGGCGACGGTGCTCCCCACAGATAGTACCGCAACCGCTGCTGCGCGCTGCGATGCCCCCCCGTGAAGGGGAAGGCGGTCCGAGGATCAGCGGGGCCTGCATGCTGCTGCTCCTGCTGCTCCTGCTGCCCCACCTCCTCCTCCTCCTTTCCCTGCTCCTCCCCCTCCGCCTCCAGCAGCTTCCGGTAGCTGAGGCCAACGAGCTCCTCAAGTCTCCGCAAAGCCGGCACCGCACCCGCCGCCTCGTATACCTGCATGACACTTGCCGGGAGCTCCCCAAACAGCTGCTCACGTGACAGCTGAGTGGATGAAGATGATGAGGAGGAGGGGGCGCGGTTGAAGGGGGCCGGCAGCGGCGGCAGGGCTGGTGGAGGCGGCAGGGGCGGCCGCACGGGCGCGGATGTTTGTGTGATCTACACGGGGCGGATGGGGTGGCGGAGGGTGGTGCTCGAGGAGGGTTCTGGTTGTGGCGGTGGTTGGGGGGTTGGGGGCGTGAGCTGGGAAGGGTATTGGGGAATGGAAGCCGCAGGGCCTATAAACTGAGGTTGTGTCTCTTGTGAAACGCCTGCATGCCAGCATGCTTCCTACCTATCGCTCCACCCCCGGTTCCCTTCGGTCCACCTACCTTTTTGAATTCGGTCATGACGTTGGGTACGTCGCAGAAACGAGCAGGATTTAGATCAACGCATGCCGGCAGTGAAGCAGCCCCTTCCTGCAGCTCCCCGTCTCCTCGCTCCGACGTTGCCTCCTCGCCTTCTTCGCCTCTTCCGCCTCCGTTGCAACCAATACTGTTACTGCTAGCACGAGTGTCCCCTTCTTTCTGCGGTGCTGTCGACTTGCCATTCGTACGGCTTGGTTTGCCGTACAAATGGTACGGCAGGTCGTCCGGATGGTACAATGTACGATCCCAGTAGGTGTGTACGGACAAGGTCAGGCCTGTTCAGGGAGAAGAAAAATACGCGTGCCGTTGTTGGTTGGGTTCAATACATACATGAACCCTGCATAAATTGGGCCAAAATGCAATTTAATAAGACACACGGGAAACGACAAGATAGCATTGATGAGCAATGCATTACGAGTTTTCGACTCCTCAACCGAGCCTCACCCTCTCACCTCGACTCTCCGCCCACTCATGCAGCGCTGCTGCCACCCCCGCCTCCACCTCCGCCCCACCCGCCCAGCCGCCCGGCCCCTCCCCGGGCAGGCAGTGGTAGTGCAGGGACACGCACCGCAGCTGTGGAGGCATGCAGGCAGGGGCAGGGGCCGGGCCACTTAGGCACCGCTGGAGCAAGCCATGCGTGAATTGCCACCTCATCCCAGACCCCACCCAGACAGCTGAACCCGAGTGATCCAGCTCCCCCACCCTACCCTGCTCTCCCCTCCTCACTAGATAGGGTTATGCCGGTAGGCTCCCTGCATCACTACCACACCCACAATCCATAACCTCGGCCGCCCGCGCACCGACAGACGTACCCCCGTGTTGGCCCCCACCACCGCCTCCAACAGCAGTGGCAGCTGCTGCTCCGCTCGGCCCCACCTCACCACCAGGTCGCTGCTGCTGCTGCTTATGTTGCTGCTGCTTATCTTGTTGCTGTTGCTGCTGCTGCTGTCGCAGACCCTGGCCTCGCCAGCACTACCGCCGGCACCCTGGTCGTCGCTGCCGGGTCTACAGCTTCTGCTCCCCCCTGCGTCGCCGCCGCTGCTGCTGCTGATGTTCTTGCTCGCATGGAGGGTGCGTGCAGAGCCGCTACTAATGCCACCCAACGTACCTCCCAGCTGCGCTTCAGCTGCCCTGGCCCCCTCCTCCTCCGCCGCCCGCCTCCAACCCGACTGTTCATGTGGTTGCTGCTGCTGCAGCAGCGGCGACTGACCCGCGGGTCTCTGCAGGTCACATCGCAATTGCCGCAGCGACTCTAAAAGGAACCTGGGGGTTGGGAGCAGAGGAGGAGGAAGAAGGAGAGCAGGTGGCACTGGGGCGGGGAGGGGCAGGATCTTGCAAAGTACCGGTAAGCCGCAGCAACGCCGTACTCGCTATGTAAAGCTGCGCAAGCGGTGTTAAGCCGCAACCCAGCGTCACATCACCCCGGGAGCCCGCCGGAGCCCACACCTGCATCGGAAAGGCCCCAGTTTGGGCACCCCGAGGCCCTCCGGCTGCTGTCGCCGCGGCTGGATGTCCCGGGGGTCGAAACAGAAGACGGGGAGCAGCGCTTCTCCGTGCTCGCAAGCGGATGTGAGGGCCTCATTGTCGGCTAAACGGAGGTCGCGTCGAACCCACCAGACGCTGAGAGACTGAGGGAATGCGTGTTGGGACATTTCGGCTGCCTTCGACGGTTTCGGTGCCTGTGGGAACATGGGCGACGAGGAAAGGCGATTAATGTATGTTAATGGCTTTGTATGTACAATTGTGATGTTAAACGGAATCATACAAATGGGTTGAAGATCGCGCCCTTGATTGTGTGGCTGACAAATGCTGTAGGCACGTAAGCAGTCAATGCTGCATTTAGACGCGGAACATTAACAGTGTTAATATGAAGATCCACACCTGTATATTAAGAGAATCTGCCGCTACGATGCCTCTTCGTCGCTGTCCGAGCGGAGCCCGCAAGCAGAAATTGCGTCTGCAACTGAGCTCCAAATACCAACAAGCATGATACCGAACAACGCGCTGATTTAGACAGGCATTCATACTGTTGATTAGCTGGACGTACTATTTGCTTACATCGCTGCCTACAAATGATCGTCGCCGCGGTGCGTACGACAGGCTACGACGGAGCTGTAATCCGCGAGACCGCGACGACGGAGAACAGGTGTTGCACTCGCACGTTTGGCGCATTGATGCATGATGGAGCTGTGGAGGCACGCAGGCGCAGCCCACGAAGCGGGGAGGTGCAAAGCGGGGAGGAAGTGCCTCGCGTGGCGGCTGAACATGCTTGCAGCTAGAGATGCGTGTGTGTTGTACGGCATTCGCTTTGCATGGGCCATTACACGACACAGTGCGGCAATTATTGATACCGGTATTCAATCTCCTCCTGGCCACCTCCTCCCCAACATCAGCATCAGGGCGCATTAACGCACCCTTCTCCCGCCACCAGTTCAAATGCATGAAAGAGTCCGTCCATCCGTCCGCTCAAGGCCCCCTCCACATCGCCCCAGTGCGCTCAGTGGACTGCCTCCTCTCAACAGAAGAGAACAATTTCGGTAACGATTTTGTGTGCTCGCTCACACAGACCAACCGGTTTGTTACTAGCTACTAACTAGCTTATTAACTCGCGCACGCAACACGTTCTGCTCGTCCTTGACCACCTAAAGCTTGGGTGCAAAATCGCTACAGGGATATACAGGAACAGGAAGGAAAGTCGGCATTGCTGACCGGAAGGACATGTCATCCACCGCTTCTCCTTGTTTCAACAAGGACAAGATGGGAGTCGAGATCGTCGTCCCGTGGCAACAGACGTGTCGACAACAGACGTTTCACTGTGACAACACACTCACTCATGGCTTAGTTGATAAGACACGCACACACGCATGGTCAAGACGAAAGCACTCTGCGATTCGGCAACGAAAACATACACTCGCGCACAACATCCATAGGACCAGCATATATCTCCGCACTCGCACCCAGCACCATGTGACGACCATTGTCCAACAATCAGTCAAACCCGTTTCGCAACACAAGCACTCATGTTGACATCAACGAACGAAACGCCAGCCTGCCAGCCCACTGTCCATACCGAACGGACAGTTTCTTTACTTCATGTGCCATTTATCATAACGTGTCTTGTCGTCTTAAGAAACGGTTATACCTGGCTTCATTAGGACAGTTTTCCCGACTGAAAGCCGCTACCACCACCTGGCCATGTGGACGCATGCGTCATACATATTAAACCCCCACGCACAATCCAGTACACGTACTCCTCCTCGCAGCCAGTTTCTTAACAGGCCCATTGCGTGTCTACTTTAGGCATTTCACTCCTGAAAGCTGCCCCCAGCACACTTAAGACAACGCGATGTAAGTGCATCTACATCCCCCCATGGGAGCCCCGAAACCAAAAGCTCCAGGTAAAGGCTCTGGCGCGGCACTCTTGTCGTACAGACGCTTTCTTAACCGTACAACCACCAACCAGTTAGACGAAACCACCAAACCGTTTCCAAATCAAACAGGCAGCACGCAAGACAGCCGCAAACGTGTTGTAAACGTTGTTCGGACTGCCTTGCATGTTTACCATGACGCACCACCACCACCACCACCACCACCGATAGCAGCACCCACAGAAAACCCCCATAAAAGACCAGGCACAGGCACACTGACACACCGAGCGCGCTAAGCAACTAACGCTAATAAAACCGCAATGAAACAGCCGCCACTCGGCACCATGCAAGCTCTCCGCCATAAAAAACATGGCTATATCAGGCTTTCGCTTCCAGTGATACACGTGGCGGCAGAAGAGCCCTTTCCACTGCATGTCACATGCATGTTGCGGGTAATAGACGGGGGCGATGCTGGGAAAAACCACCTCCCTCGAAATTTGGCTGCTGCGCAAATCAAGCCAAAGAGACAGACATAAAATGTGCAGCGACCCACAAAATCCGCCTATCCGACTAAAGAGACAAGAGCCCTTCCATATTCGGTTAGAGACCTGCATAGACGGCAAAAGAGGGCCTCCTAAGTAATCAAAGCTGACAAAAAGACCCCCAGCCTCACCCCACGGAAAGGCAGGAAGCCGCGCCGATTGTTTGCACATTAACGCCAACTACCAATGCCCTCGACACTACGGTCATGAGCTCGCCAGCAATTCCTCAGCACCTCTGCAGGCTCTGCCCACAAAACGACAAGACCGCAGCCCAAACAAGCCATGCAAGAATGCAGGACAACCAATCCAAGCATCCTAGACAGCACGTCATGTTCTGCTCCCACCTCAATAAGCAGCGACACCCCTGTTCCCTCGCCACGACACCACCTCACACCCATTCGTCCCTCTCCAGCCCAGTGTGGCTCACGCACGCGCGTACGCCGAGCCAGCTCCAAGACCAGCGACCCATCGGCCACTGACCCATGGGTCCTAACTGCGGCCCAAGGGAACGTGCCCTCGCGTTCTCATACATCAGCAAGCAATCAAACTCGCTCATCCATGTGCCATCCGACGCACACACAGGAGCACAATTGGCTGCTGCCATGAAAGAGGCCAGCACGTGAGGACGCAAGCCACCAGGAACTATGCCAAAGCCCGGCCTGGGTCCGTAGGCTTGGACCAAGCTAGCACACCCCGCAATAACTCTATGTAACAAAGCGGCCCTGACGGGGGCTTCACTGTCGACCGCCCATACACACCCAGTGGCCTCCCCCCCCCAGCAGCAGCCAGTCTCAGGCCTGGCAACGTATCCTCTGTATGCGTGCGCGCATGCACGTGCGCTTGCATGGGTGTGCATGCAATACCACTTATAGGCCGACAAAACGGCGGATACCTAGCTACGCTCCCTCCCCCGAGTGTGGCTATGATATCTAATATCCAATACATGTGTTGGATATAAAGTGCAACGCTCTGCGCTCTTCCCCTCTTACTTCCTTGGGTCATGTGCGTGTATGTCCCGCCCTCCTCGCCTCTTTCCTGTTTTCCCTCCTCCCGACTGCTCTTGACGAACCCCTCCCCTGCCGCACCAACTCCCATCGCTCGCATCGACATGACACTGAGCAACATTGGTTCCTCCCCCCACATGTGCAGGTCGGTGCATATACCCTCTCGCACTTAAACCCCCTTAAACCCAACGTACGTGGCAGCCGCCGCCAACACCTCACACCCAGCGCTGCCAACACTTTCGATGTGTTATCCATCCATCCCCCATCAGCCCATTATCATTACATCCGCATCCACCATGGGACACTCACAGCTCTCCCCCACCATGTCACACGAACCCCAAGGCCCCGCCTCCACCGCTGCAGCTGCTGCCGCAGCCCTCGCGTCCCCAGCCTTCAACGCCACCGTGGTCGCCGCTGCTGCGGCGGCGGCGTCTCCGGCAGATGCCATTGACGACGCTCCGTCCGCCGGTCCGGACGATGTGAAAGCCGCCAGTCGCGACGGGAGGCTGCTCGTCAGGGAGGATCCCGCCGTCAGCCCCGTGACCGACGTCCCTGCCGTACCGCACGACTCACTCTCACCCTCGGAGCTCATGCCCGTACTGCCGCCTCCGCCGCCGCCGACGACGACGGCACCACCGCCGCCGCCGCTGGCGGCGCCGGCACCGCCGCAACGAGCACTGCTGTCCGAGCGACTCGCCTTGGTCGATAGCAACCGCGCCGCCGCCGCTGCAGCCGCCGCGGCCGGTGTCCTCGCTCCTCCTGCCGTCGACATGGCCGTCGCTTCAGTCCCACTCCCGACGCCACTGGCTGTGTCTCCGCCACCACTCGCCATGACGTCACCTCCCTCTTTACCTCTTCCCGGCAGATCTGGCGGCGCAACGCTGCCGCCGCCACTCTCGGCGCCGCCGCCGCCGCCAGCAACGCGACCCCTACCACCACCGCCGCCGCCGCCGATTCCTCCGCCAACCAACCTCAACGACCTCATCGCCTCCGCAACCGCCAGATCCGTTTCCTGTTGTACGGCGATCTGTTGCAATAGCGGCTCTACTTGCGGGTGCGCTCGAGCCAACTTGTGAAGCGACTCGATGCGCGCCGCGAAGGCCGTTACCTGCGTCCGCGCGCGCACGTTGGCCGACCACACGGGCTGGCGTCCGGGCTCGGGGCCGCCGGGTGCCATGCCGGCAAAGCCCAGGCTGTCACCGGGGCCCTTGGAGGCCACGATGAGGTGCGAGCCGTTCTGAGTGCGGTGGGGAAGGCCCAGAAGGCCCATGCCGCTGCTGCTTGCCTCGCGAAAGAGGATGACATTGCTGCCGGTGCTGTTGCTGGTGTTGTTGGGGTTGATGGTGTCGGGGTGGATGGTGTTGGCGTTGGCGGTGTTGGCGTTACTGCTGTTGCAGGCCCCCTTGCATGCATTGGAGGGCGGTTGCGGTTGCGGTGGTAACGACAGGACGCCATTGTCGTTCTGCGCGAAGGCTGACACCCCACACGCATCCACAGACGGCGATGCAGCTCCTGGCGCCGTCACCACCACCGCCGCAGAGGATGAGGAGGGATGCCCGGGAGCCGCTGCAGCTGCTTCCTCTGCAGACTTCACAACTTCCCCCGCCCCGCCTCCGCCTGCTGCTCCTGCTCCATGATTGCTGCGATCCGCCCCGGATGCTGCTGCTGCCGCCCCGCTCGTCATACGCATGAGCAGCCCCGTGGAGAGGCGCTCGAGCTGCGGGGGCACGTGTCGACCACCGCCGGGCAGCCGCAGGTCGAGGAAGTCCCCGGGATCGTCCATGTCTGACTCGGGATCGCTGAGACCTGCGGTGATGGGCGGGATGAGGTTCGGGGTTGGGATTCCATGGCAAAAGGGAGCTTCCAAGGGAATGGCTTACTACTCGAATTCGCAGTCGCACCCCAGGTAGAGCCCAGATCCCTCACCTTCAATAATGGGTTTGTGCGGGCATGGCGCGTCCGGACCGTCTCGAGCCAGGTCATGGTAGATCTCCACCTCGCCAGCCGTGATGAGGTAGATCCATTCCAGCGGGTCTCCCGCGCGAATTATTTGGTGCCTGCAGCACCAGAAGACGGCGGGGGCGCGGGTTGAGTGGCGGTGTGGTGGGCTTGTGGTGGGGACATCTTGCACTAGGACGACAGCTCAAGGACAGTGCAAGAGAGCCAGGCTACGCTCCCTTTCTACGTCTCTCCCTTAAAGGCCTATCGCACTGCAAGCTCCGAAACCCCTCTTCCCTCATTCCCCGTGCAGCTCTCACCTAGCCGGGAAGGTCACCTCCGTAAAGATGCTTTCCATCAGCACCGCCGCGCTGCCCGTTGGGTCGCTGCAGCTGCTGATGGCCGCTTGAAGCTCCTCGTCCGTCACACTGCGACGCAACTCCCACAGGTCGCTGCTCCGCCGCCGCCGCCGACCATTGCCGCCATTATCGTTGCCGTTACCGTTGCTGCCGTTGCCAGCAGCTGCAGCATGGGCGCCATTGCTGCAGTCCGCAACGGCGACGCCGGCAGCAGCAGCAGCAGCAACCAAGCCGCTGCAGGTGTTTGCAACGCTCATGCCGGTACCGGTGCAGGCGGCGCTGCCGCTGCTGCCCTCTGTAATGCGTGGCATTGCGGGGGTGGTGGAATGGGTGTTGGCGCTGGCTTTCATGGGGGTGGCGGAATTGGTTGCAGCGGGTGCTGGGGGGAACTGCTGGCATGCAAGGGAGGACTTGGGCGCAGCAGTAGCAGCACCCGGCGACGTAGCAGGACGTAGCGGAGACGCGGCGGCGGTGACAGCCGACAGACGCCACGGCCCCGGCCCGTCCGCATCCATCATCGCAGCGGCCGCAGCAGCTGCTGCAGCCGCCGCCGGCTTGGCGGCACCCGCTGCTGCTGCTGAGAAAGAGGTTGGGGCAGTCGCCGCGGCGGGACCTCGCCGCGAGGGTGCCGTACTGCTCGCGGAGCCCTCCCACACGAACGCGGTCACCGCCGCTGTCGCCGCCGCCGCCGCCGCTGCTGCTGACGGCGGCGGCGGTGCCGCCGCTGCTGTCGCTGTCAGTGCTGCCTGCCCGGCGCATGCCGCCCATGCCGCTCCGGCTGTCGGAAGCGCTGAGGACCGAGCAGCAGCAGCGGCCGTCGCAACCCAGGGCTGTTGCTGCTGCCCCTGCTGCTGCCCCTGCTGCAGCTCCGACTGTCTAGCGGAAGACACCCATCCGCCTCCCCCTCCGCCGCAGCCGCCACGAACCCCCCCCGCGCCCAGCGGTGCCGCCTCCGAGGCAGCAGCTGCTGCTGCTGCCGTCACCCCGCTGCTGCCGGCGCCGCAGCTGCCAGCAGCAAACGCGGATGGCAGTTGGGAATGAACCCGCCCGACAGCCACCGCATGCTGTCCCTGCTGCTCCCATTCCGCCCCGGCTGCTTCCGCTGCTGCCGCCGCAATCTGCAGTCGAGCCGCCAGTACCACCGGAGAGGCCGTCCGCAGCGGCGCCAGTCCCTGTACACTCACCCAGGGGTGCTGCACCGCCTGCTGCACCGTCAGTCGGGACGCGGGGTCCTTGTTCAGGAGCCGGGTAATCAGGTCGGCTAGCTGGGGGGACACGGGCGGGTGGGGCGGCAACGCCAGCGGGGCACTGCGGATGTTGTCGTACACAACAAAGGGCGCGGAGCCTTTGAAGGGCAGCTCGCCGTACACCCAGAGGTAGAGGCACACGCCCAGGGCCCACATGTCGAGCTGCGTGGGCGGGGGGGGGGGCGGGAGGAGGAAGGAGGAAGTGAGGAAGGAGGAAGGAGAAAGGGAGGGTTAGACAAACTGTGCCGCGGAAACACTGACCCTGAAAGGTATCCGCATATGGCAAAAGGACGCAACGGAGGAACGGAGCCGCGCCTTCGCTTTCCATGCTCCTCCTTCCTTCCTTCCCAGTTTCCCGTTCCCTGCCGCTCTCCCCTTACCTCGAAGCTAGGTCGGTACCCTGCCGCCAGGCTCTCAGGCGACCTGAACCCCGGGGTGCAGCTCAAGGGCCCTGCGTGCGCGCCCCGCAGCCCCTCCAGCCCCCCTGCGCACGCAGAGCGGCAGTGCAGCACGGCGCTGCCAAAGTCCAGGATGCGCACCACACCCGTCAGGGAGTCCTGTTGGGGAATGGAGGGGGTGGGAGAAAGGGGGTGGGAGAAAGGGGGGCAAGGGGGCAAGGAGGGTGGTGAGTGCGAGAGGTTCAGAAAGGGGGAAAAGGAAACCAAGCATGGCAGACAGCAGGTCAGGACAGCGAGGAGGAGAACCGTGTCGGCGCGGGGACGAAGCAAGCATGTCCGGGCTAGGCCACACCCTCACGCGGGGTTACACCCATCCACACAACGCCTTTCCCCGGGTCCCGTGCTCCCACCCACCTCCCCAACCGCCTCTGCCACCCCACCCCCCGTCCCCAATGTTCTCGGTAGTATTTTAGTTTTCCGACAACCATCAGCATCCCCGACATGCGTCGTCACTCGTCACCCGCCACTCTTCTTACATCCAGCAACAGCTAATTAAGCAGCTTTTGAATTACGGTTCAGGTTTGGTCACCTCTGTTTTTGCCTGTACTCGCGGTTCGCATGCGAACCTCTCCCAATTGCTTGCTCTTGTCCTACTCAACTACACACCAGCACTCAACCATCACCACTGCACTGCACCGCATCACAGACGGCCGTGCCCCTCTGCTGGCCTTTGCCTGTTCGTTGCACGCATCCCGTTGCACAGTCGTCTTGCTCCTAGACAACGCTACAGTCGTCTTGCGCTTAGACAACGCTACTTCTCAGTGCGGTTCAGCTGACCGCTGCAGCCACAGCTCAGCGCCTGCTCGACCACTCGCGCCGGTTGTGTTGTTCTTGTTTTCTGCATTTGCATTCATGTTGTGTTGTGCTTGCTTTCGTCCTGTCTCGCATGCCATCCTGCTTTGCCGTACATTTTGCACTTGAATATAGGGTCATTTTGTCTCTAACTCTGTCCCCCTTTCCTCGCTCTGGTTCATGTTTCTACGCATGGCACTCGCATTACTGCAGCTGCTGGTACTGGCGCTGACTACGGCGCTTTTGCTCGCAGGTACGCCATGCGCGTTCGCACGCACGCATGCACAGCATTGTGGTGTCTCGTCTGCGTGACCAGAGCGGGGGCTCCCGGCGTCGAGTTGGTCAGCGAGCTAGGTACTCAGCAGTCATTCGTTTTTCCCGACACCATCAGCATCACCGACATGCGTCATCAACTCGCCACTCTTCTTACATCCAGCACCAGCGATTTAAGCAGTTTTTGAGTTACGTTTCAGGTTTGTCTACCTCTGTTTTTCCTCTGTGTTGCCTGTACTCGCGGTTCACATGCGAACCTATCCCAACTGCTTGCTCTTGTTCTACTCAACTACACACCAGCACTCAACCATCACCCCATCCACCCCACCTGGATGAAGTTCGCGGGTTTCAGGTCCCCATGCACCACCCCATGGCAGTGCAGGTACTCCAGACCGCTCAACACGTCGCGCGCATACCGCCACGCCACCTCCTCCGCCAGCGGCCGCCACCGCCCCGGCGCCAGCTGCGGCGGCTGCAGCGTGCTGCCCTCCACATAGCCCATCACAAGCAGCAGGCAGTCCGAGGCGGGGTCGTCAATCACCTCCAGCAGCTGCACGATGTTGGGGTGTGACAGGCGCTTCAGAATGGCGATTTCGCGGACGAGCTCCTCGGAGGGGGCGTGGTGACCCGTGGGTCGCGAGGTGGCGCCGGCAGCGGTGCTGGCGGGTGCGGTGGGTGGGGCTGGCGCGTCGGAGGCGGAGGCGGCTCGGCCTGGAAAGCGACGTGGGGGGGAGCGGGAGGCGGAGGAGCTGCTGTCTCGGCAGCTGTTACTCCCTGGGGGGGTGGGGTCAATTTTTGGACCAAGTAAAACCAAAGAAAAACCAAAAAAGAAAAAAGCAGGCATTCACAAGGCAGGGGTTGGGGGGATGGGGGGTTGGGATTGGATGGGAGGGGTGGGGGAAGTGGTGGTAAGCTTGGGTGCAAGGGCGGGGCTGGTGGCATGTATAAAGGGGGAGGAGAAAGAGGTGCAGGCAGAACAGCCAAGGAGATAGCTAGGCGTGAAGGACACATGAGGGTGTCATTTAGTCCTCCACCGGCAGTCATGTACCCACATGCGCCTATCCCCACGCTGCCGCTGCGCCTCAGGATGGAAGCCGCCGTCATCGCCCTCCAGCCCCTGCCGCCGCCCGCCGCAGCAGCAGCTCCACCCATACCCCCGCTGCTGCCGCCTGCTGCTGCTGCTCCTCCTCCTCCTCCATAACCCTGCTGCCGCATCAGCAGCCCTCCTCCCGCACTGCCACGGCCATCACAGCTCCTCGCATCGCAGTCCCGCCCTCCTCCTCCTGCTCCGAAGCCGCATGCACTGCTCTTGCGCACCGCCTTGATGGCTACTAACTTCTTGCTGCGCACGTTGAGGGCTAGTTTGACCTGGCCGCTGGTTCCGGATCCCAGATGCTTGATGACGATGTAGGTTCGGTTGATGAGGATGGTGATACCGGCCTGGGAGCGGGGGGCGAAGAGCGGAGAGGAGGTAATTACAGGGGTGAGGTGGGAGGGAGAGGGAAGTACGGTATGAACGGATGCATGAGGATGGTGATACCTGCCTGAGGAGGTAAAGATGAAACGACAAGCGAAGGAGGAGCAGGTCAGGTTAGGGATGAGGAGGGATGAGGAGGTAGGGAGGGGGAGGTACGGTACGGAAGGATGCATTCGGTTTGGATCTCAGGAGCCGGGGCGGGTACGGCAGCGTAATTGCAGGTGTGCCGGGGATACAGCATAGACACAACGAAGACGAATGCCAGTGTAGTACGCTTGGTGTACACCGTAATAGAGGTGGGGACAGGGAACGACATGTGTGAGGGGCAGCGGCGAGGGGCGCAGCTGGGGTGTCGGAGCTTACCTTGCACACGGAGAGGCGCTCGGTGGTGGTGACGTTGAAGGCGGAGCAGATGTCCGTGGAGGTCCTGAGGATGTCGTACACAGGTAAGGAAATATGTAGGTATGGGGTACGGTACTTAGCAAAGGTATGAACCCAAACAGAGCATTTTTCTTGCCCTGGTGAGGGAAGCATGGGGGTAATGTAGTGGCTTATCCCTAGGTGTGAAAGGGGTAGAGTTGTGTGCTTACCTGCTCTTGCGTGCTTCGTGCCATTGTTCAATAGAGGTGCGCTCCCTGCGCTCATGCTGCATAGATCTGCGCTTCGTGTGCTTTTGCTGCGCGGTGCCATCATCTGGTGCGCAAGTCTCCGCCCCGCCTTCAAGAGTTCTCTTCCTGGCAGCCTTGAGGAATTTTAACCTGGATAAGGCAGACGTAGCAGCAGCCCGAAGTGACTAAGGGAACATAACGGCACTGTGAGTAGAGCTCCTTTACTCGTATCTTCATAGTATCTTCGACGCAAACCCAATCAAGAGCGAACTGTCCAACATATGTAGACAGGTAAAGACCCATATTGTCAGCGTTGATTATGTTCAGCGAGCAAGCCAAACGAAGAACCGCGCAGCGAAGGGTAAGGCCAGGGTGAGACAGGAGCGACCCGTGCACTCAACGTGCGCTCCCACCAGACACGGTGCGGTTGGAAAAAGGCAGGACTGCTTACCATTTCATGGCGTCCACAGGCCGACCCGTCCCCTTAACACTGAAGGCTCATTGTGGCAGTCTTATGCGCCGTCGCTCAGAGCACGGTTGCGCGCTGATAGCCAAGGTCAGTACCCCAGCTTATATTTCAAGCCATCTTCATTACCTAGCAGTTCTGTCACATCAAACAGTGGGACACTTGCTTCAGTACTGGTATATATAAGTGCTAGCCAGGAACCGCCGCGACGTACAGCTATAAACCACTCCTTTGTTAAGGTATTTGCGAAGGGAGCTGTCTCACAATAATGACAAACCTAGCGTACAGGAGGTGTGGTAATTGGAACTCGGTTATGACAAGATACGGTGACCTCGTCGAGCAATGGAGTCAATTGAACAGGATTACAGCATGCAATTACGCTTCCTAGGAAAAGTGCTGCGATTGGACATGTACCCAAGGAGTCGAATGTGTAGAAATGGTAGCCGTACCCGATTCGGCTGCAGCATTGATTCAGGCCCGAAGAAGGATCCTGTCACGTGGCACCGCCAACATAAAAGGCATGAGTAGCCATGCAACCAACGCTTGCATATATGACTAGGATAGTTTTCCAGGCTTGCGCACCTAGCCGTTAGCCGTCAGCGTTTGCGTCAACGCCAGGGCTATGCAAAACGTTTTATGCACGCCCCCAACCTGCCCCCGACACCACACATCCTTCCGCTCGCCTGGGAGCACGGTGGGGTGAGATTGTGGCAAGCAGGGCTTGCGCTTGGGATCGGGCATACCTATCCATGCAATGCATCTTCTCAAAGACTCTGCCAGCATAACACGCACGTTGTTCGTTAGCTTGTCGCCAGTCTACGACGCGGCTGGCGTGCTTCAATTTCAGTGGACACTTAGATGCCCGGGTTTGGGTGTTGCGATGTTGCGGAGCTGCTCCCCCCCCAAGCGTTCGTTGTTTCACTTTTATATAATTTTCCCCCCCCAAGCGTCATTCGATGCCATGCAACGATCCCCAGGCCGATTCCCCTGCTGTGGCGAGCCTGCTGAGAAATCACGCTACAGCCGCATTCATGTGTACAGCTTACCGGTATGTGCGCCCACCCTTGCTGTTGCAGCTAAGAGTGAGCCCTTGGGTGTCAAGGCGTCTCACTTGCCTGACACCCAAACCGGTTGACAACAGTGTGGCATGCAGGGATCTTTGGCTGGAGCCATCCCCGGGGTAGACAGCAATGGCATCTTGAAATTGCTTGGGGTTGCATTGTTACAGGGTTTGTGCCGGATGCATGTTGGAGCACGCTTAACGCATCGCCCTATCATCCGGCATGGCAGCAGCAGACCAGCCCCGAAACCAGCGCATCAGAAGCTTCAACATTACCCCACTTATATCATCATTAACAACAAAACAAAAGGACAAAAGGTCAGCAAAACTTAAACCAGCCAGATGTCTGCAACCACTAGGAGGCACGGTAAGGAAGGGTGTTTGCGGGAAATTATCACCAAAGGTGATAGCGTAGGTTAAGGGGCGCGCATTCACACATAGGGTTATCACTTTGCTTAGGACAAAACACTTTTGACAACATCAACATACACGCCAGCACAGCATCAACTTCTCAGCGCATTCAACACCTGCACCATCATCATCGTAATCATCATTGTCATCAACCATTTAGATGTACGGCACAACGCATACGGTAATCACACAACAAACAACATCACACATAGCGACAACGCTGTCCCGTATGGCTGCTTCAAAGGGACCATGCGGAACCCGAGCACCGGTACATTCCTAACAAAACGAGCACACAGGGATCCGGTGGTAATGCGCGTTAAGAAGCATGACGTGTTGAATTGTCGGAGGGACCATGGGAGGAACAGAGACAAACCGAACCGAATGAAACTGCAAGTTAGGGCTAGGCAACAGCGAGAGGAGGGGAATGAGGGGCCCTGGTGGCCTTTCCCACCGCAGTACGGCAGGAGGTAAACGCACCGTGAGCGCGACAGCGATGACAGGGGGGCTGTGAACCCGACAGCGAACCCACACAACACAACACCACAACCCAACCTTCTTGTACGTTGTAACCAACCTTTTAGGCAAAGCTACATAACTGCTTGCTACTTAGCATCACATTTACCCGCAACAGCACATAGGCGCAATTAAGGCCCTTCCTTCCCCAAAAGTAGTAGATGGATTATCACCGGAAACAACCAGTGAAACGCAAGTCGGAGGATGATCACGTACGGCGCGGTGTTACTTGAGCATATAAAACACATACCCAAAGTGAGTCATGAAGGCTTGTTCACGGGGCACATCATCGCCGTGCCACCGGAAGCTGTCATTGTTAAACTTTAGTTATTCTTTGTCACCCACCCAGCTGCACCATTGCACAACCGCATCTTGAGCGGTGTTGTCATTAACAACAGCAGAAGTTCTCAAAACGAGAAATCCCAAGGACCAGACCTGCAAAACAGTTCACGGAAAGGATCAAATCGACGCAGAAAGCGCCAAACATACATGGCAAGGAGCAACCACCGAACAACTCTTCCTTAGCCCAGAGGCGCACATGGCATTGTAATATGATGCACCGCCCAGGCGATTGCATGGCAAACGAAGTTGTACTTTCAAACTCCATCAGTATCCAGCCTATCCGTCAGAGAAGCAATTGCGCCTTCGAAGCCCCAGCGGCCCTATCTCCGCAACGGACCCTACATGCCAACATCAATTGCAATGCCCAAGTACGCAACAACAATATAACAATACCGGCGGTGCGGAGCCCCGCCGCAATGACCGAACAGCATTACCCACCACCCTCTCATCACCAACATACTACGAAGCCAAGTACCCCTCGTAATACACACACCATGCTAAACAGGAGCGCCAATAACTTATTTGATGTGCATCGACGTTGAAAGGATTCCGTGATCATACGAGGGGAGCAAGTACGAAGTGACGTGACATGCATGTGACCCAATGTGACCATCCCACATCAGCCGAGCTGTTGTCCGGGCGCCTGCAGCAGCTGCAACGCCGCTTGCAGGGTGGCGGGGTCCCACTGTAGCGGGTCAAGCGAACCATTGAGAGCGTCCCCTGCCAGCGGGTACGCACCTGCATACAGAGGGACCACGGGTGTAGTGTAAAAACAATTGCGCAATGAAGTAAGGAAAGACCAACGATCTTGTTGTGGCGCGGCAACAGACGGTGCAAGACCGTTGACGCCCGAAGCTAGTTGATCACTTCCATAGACCGCGCCACTGGTGATCATATCCATCCCAGCGCCCTCCGCGCTTTACCCACCTGGGCTGGCCCCGGCAAACACAACACTCGGGCCCGCGAAGCCCCCGCCGCCATTCTGCTGCAGGAGCAGCATCTGCTTCTGCAGCTGCCGCTGCTCCTGACGCAGCAGGAACGTGGAGGGCTCCATGCCCTGCTGCTGCGCACCCGCCGAACCAGCCCCCATCCGGTTGTGTGGCGCCCCACCGGGCGCTGGGGCGATTGGCGCGAGTGCAGCACGGCCCTGCGGTTGTTGGAACTGCAGCTGAAGCTGTTGCGTTAGCTGCTGCTGGTGCTGCGGGAAGCGCTTTCCGGGGCCGCCTTGGGTGGCCGGCAGGCCCCACTGCGACGCGACTCCGGCAGGAGGAGGCACGGCTCCTGCCGCCACCACAACATGCGGAGGCGCAGCGAGCTGAGCAAACGTCAAACCGCTGTTAGCTGCTGCTGCCGCCGTAGATGCGCGCCCCCTGTTACCGCCGCCGTTGCTGCTGCCATTCGCGGTGGTCAACAGGGAGCCCACATATTCGGCACCGCTCTGCAGCGCCAGGGGATTGGCAGCAGGCGAAGCCAGTGGCGGCGAAACCAGTGGCGGCGAAACCAGCGGCGCACCAAAGCTTGGCGATACCTCAAGGCTGCTACCGTCCACCATCGGCGACAGTTGGGAGAAGGACTCGAGCAGGGAGGCCAGGGTGGCTTCGGAGCTCAGGCCATCGGACTCGTATGCGCCCATGGCGGCGGCTGCGGCGGCCGCACCCAACAGCTGCTCCGCGTCCTCGACCGCCAGCAGCTGCGCCAGCGTCGCCGCATCCAGACCGCCCAGATGGGATGCAGGCGCATGGTTTGACGCATCAGCAGCACCGCTCCTGCCCGCCAGGCTGCTGTTGGCAGAGGCCAGGAGCATGCGCGGGTCTTCTGCTCGTGGGATGCCGCCAGAGGACTGGAATGCGGCGAGTAGCGGGTTCAAGGTCGCTTGGTCGAACGGGGAGTGGTGCTGCTGCTTCTGCTGCTGCTGCAGCAGCTGTTGTTGGTGCTGGCGTTGCTGACGCTCGTTGCGGCGTGCGGGAGCGGAGTAGCTGCGGTTCAACAGCTGAGCCGACTTGTTCGCAGACGGGTCGACGTTGGCAGCCTGTGCTGCTGCCAGTGCTGAAGGAGACATGCCGTCTGGCATTTGCTTCCCACCCATCGCGGTGTTACGTTGGCTGGAACCGCTGACCACCCCACCGTCCTTGACAGACGCAGCCCCGCTGCCGACGACGCCACAGCCGCTGCTGCGACTGACCAGCCCCTCAGTGACTGTACCCGATATGGATCCCGACATAGAGCCGCCGCAGCTGCTCGCGTCATCAAAGCAGACCGCGGTGGTGGAGGATGACATGGTCGAGGACCCACCGCCGCCAGCCGCCAAGCATGTGCCCCCAACAGCGTTAGCAGAACTCTTGAGTGCAGCCAGCAGCTGCCGTGCCGCCTGCTCGCGCTCGTCCAGAGCCGCCCGCGACGCCTCCGCACGCACCTGCGCCAGCGCCGCCGCCATGGCCGACGGCGTCGGGGGCGACGCAGCTCCGGCGGCTGCCATGACCGCACCCCCAGCCTCAGCAGCGGGTCCCACCTTGTTGGCCAGCGGCTGCTCCTCCTCCTGCTCCTCTTCCTCGCCCGCAGGCGCTGCTGCAGCAGCCGAGCCCGGCGCCGTCTTTGGCAGGACAGTGTTCAGCTCGGTCAGGAAGGAGTCGTCCGCTGCAAGCACCGCCAGGGAATGCAGCAGCCGGCAAGCGGCATCGTAGCGCTCCTGCCGCCGCGCCGGGGCGCTGCCGGCGGCAACCGGCGGTCCGTACATGAGCGCCGCGGCTCGCGCCAGCACCAGCAGCCCACTCTTGAGTACCTCCGACATCCCCGCCTGGCTGCTGGCCAGCTGCTGCTGCTGTACCAACACCAGCAACGCGCCGGCATCGGACGCGTCGTTAGCATCACTTCCGTCGCCGCCGCTGCTGCCGCTGCTGCTGGTGTTGGACTCCAGGAGCGCATCCGCAATCCTCCTCAGCAGCTCCTGCTCCCGCTGCAGCCGTTGCGGGCTGGCGGAGGGCGGCTCGGAGCCCTGCTGCTGCTGCTTAGCCTCCGCCCGAGCAGCTGACAGGGCCTCCTGGAAGCGAGACAACATGCCGACATGGGTTTCTTGGGCGGGGGCGGGAGCGGTAGGCTCTGCCTGGGCGGCGGGCGCTGAGGAGAGGGTTACAGGAGCCTCCACGCGGGTATGGTTGGCCGTGGAGGCGGGCCTTCCTTGCTTTGATGGCAGGCTACCACCGCCGCTTATGCCTGCGGTTTGGAATCAGGTAGCGGCGAAGACGTTACTCGTTTGTATAGGTTTTTGCCCCTGGAATGGATACACGCTAGGCAGGTCGTAGGTGTTCACCCCCTTTTCCCCGTTTGCAGGGAAAGAGTTTCTTGCAAATCCCAACACGGCACGATTCCCGAATAACCCTGACCCTGCGGCTGCAAACCCCACCCTTCAAACTCGCTTAGCCAACAACCAACTAAACCAAATAACTTCTGCAAGCCTCCAAGGACTCACCTGTCGACGTATCCTTTTGCGCAACTGCCGCCGGAGGCCCCTGCAACAACTGCTGCTCCTGCTGCTGCCCCAGCCCCGCTGCACCCAGTAAGCGAAGCTGCTGCTGCACCGCGGCTGCAACAGCCTGCGGGGGCGACGCCAGCTGCGACGCCGAGCTGCCGCGCATTGCCGCATCTTGCTGCTGGCGGATCTGAGACTCCTGCAGTGCCAGCGACGCCCCTGACTGCATGCCCGGCCAGGCAGGAGCCTGCGGAGCAACGGACCGGGCCACACCAAAGTCTGCCCCTTGGAATGCCGGCAGCTGCATAGGCAGCTGCCCCTGCGCCTGCATCGCCGTCCCAGTTGACGCAGACAGAGCCAGGAAGGGCTGGCCGGTAGCCGCCTGTGCCGCACCGCCCAGCCCAAGCGCGCCCTGCAGCGAGGCCAGAGTCGGCGAGTGGGCGGAGGGTTGCATGTGGGCCCGGGGCTGGGAGGCCAGGGGTTGTGCAGCGCCAGCGGATACGGGGTTGGCGACAGCTGCTGCTGCTGCTTGCCCCAAGAGATACGCCTGTTGGTGCTGCTGCGTCGCCGCCGCCACGGCAGCCGCAAGCGCGTTCTGGGGTACTGGTGCGTTGCCCATTCCCAACACGGGCAGCGTGTCTAGATGCGAGGGGCGATTGGTGTAGGATTGGGATAGGCCCAGCACGCGGGTGGGCAGGGCTGAAGGCCGGTGCTGTGGGAAGTGCTGCGGCTCGGAGATGGGCCTGGCGGAGGGGTGCTGCAACCCCAGCGACGGGATCCGGGGGGGTTGCAGGGGCTGGTGGTCCAGGAAGCCGCTGGCTCCACTGTAGTGCCGAAGCAGCTCTTGTTGCTGCTGTTGCTGCTGCTGTTGCAGCAGGTAGGGCTGCCCTAGGACGCTGGCGGCGCTGAAGGGCGATTCGTAGTAAGCAGGAGCGCTGCAGAGCTTGGTTGAGGGCGCCTGGGCTGGGAGTGCGTCAACGCTGCTCAGGCCCAGGCAGCCCACCATGGCCTGCTTGTAGACGATGCTGTTGGAAGGAAGGTCGCCAACGCGGTCAAGAAAGGAGCCGTAAGGATACGACATGGCTGGCAGGCCGAAGCAGCCTTCTTCAGTTTGTTCTTCGACTACCCTGGGAAAGCCGTTGGGATGTGCACGTACGCCGGTGCTGCTGCTTTGGCGGCGAGGATCCATGGCGCGGGGCATGGAGAACTGTGGATGTGGCTGAGAGTGCGCCCACATATAGCGCTGCTGCTGGTATTGATGAGGTGAGGCGGATGATTGATGGGAGCTTTGAAGCAGCGCAGAAATGCCGTGTGCTGGACCGGAGGGCTGGGAATTAGTGCGTCGGCCTGACATGGATTGTGGCGTAGTCAGCTCGCCCTGCCGCGGCATGTGACCTGATGTAACCTCGTTGCCGCCACTTCTTCGTGGAGGTCCCACAGGAATGCCCGTCAGCGCAGCGCTCACGGCTGCGCTCGCAGCAGCCATGTCGACAATCAGGTCGCACACCTGCCGGGACACCATAGCGAGTGTGATGGTCCAGAAGGCATCCTAGAAGTAATTTAACCCTAGCAGCAAGTTACGGACGAAATGATACATACGGTCTATTACGATAGGTCCCGGAACCCCAAGACAAGAGCTTCCCGCAATGAGGAAACCTTGCAATATCTTGCCTTGCCGGAACGGGTGGAAACATCCCGCTCCAAGCCGGTAGACGTTGTGCCTTCCGGGACCTCCTTGTCTGGGGTGCCGGTACACGTACATGCGCACGTGACCTGGTCAAGGGTCCTTCTTGTACTGTCCCCGTCAGGATAGGAATCAATGTCGCTACCCCTACCAGCGTCCGCAGATTCCATGGCATCCGTGCAACTGACGGCCAGCACCGACAGGTGTCGCCGTGTTTCGCTGCGACAGGTGTCGTCATCCTCCGGAGAAGCCAGCTGTATAGAGGCTGTTTCAGGTGTATCTTCTGCCATTTTTATATCCTCCTTGGAGCAATGCAACTTGTGCGCACCCTTGTCGCCACCATATGATAGCTCCGGGCTGAAGTGCTTCCCTTTGCACGTCATGCAAGCTCCACGACGTTGCCCATGTCTTGGACTGTCGTGAAGCAAACGTTTTGCAACATTCCCGTAGAGGTGACGTTGTGTTAGGGAACTGGAGGTGGACTGGAGAAACGGCAGGCTACCTTGCAATCATCCTATCCAAGCCTGAGCAGAAATGCACTCGTAATTTAGAAGATGTCCGTGATCCCCGGGGTAAGTTAGGGAAAGACGTATTTCGATCGTGTCTTGCGTATGATTATAGTCAAGCCTGAATACCTACTGTGGCCCATTAAAGATAGTACCGAGTGCTAAGCACGAGAAATTTCGGCCATTCCATGAAGGCAGCAAGGCACTTTGTCTGCAAGCCAGATGGGGCGTTGCCGCTCCCATTTTGGTTCCCCTGGAGCCACGCGCCAAACCGCCAGCCTCCCAGCACCGCTTCAGGACTTGTGAAATGGTATTCCCTTTAAACAAGCTTAAAGGAACAAGAATCCGCCTTTACGTCCAACGCGTCTGGCTGACCGTTGGCGCATGTTGTAAACTGCACCCCTATGACGTTACGCGAAATCAGGAAGCTTTTACGCTATACTTCTCATTCTGTATACGACCTACATTCACGGGCTTACGGACACCACAACCTGTTAACGCCCTCTCGCATGAGCTCCACCAGCCCTAGGAACTAAGGATATCGCACACCATTCAACGCTAGCAATACCCATACACCACCAGTTTAGCTTAGGAATCATTAGGTCGTGCGTCATTGCACTGGTGTGCGGCACTAGGGCAACATGGAGGATGACGAAGACATACTTAGCTCAATGTCCGGGGATTACGATCTGGACTTAATACTGCCGTCCTTGTCTGAGGACGGCGATGATGAGGGAGAGAATGATGGGCCAGAAGAAGGAATCGGCGCGGATGCGGACGACGCGGATTCAGAAGAGGGCAATGTCATGCTTGGTGGTCGCGCTGCTGGACTTGTTGCTGGTAGACTACCGGAGGCCTATCTACAGGTGGGCATGCCTCAAGACAGGCCTTGTGCTTGTATAGCACAGTGACACAGTTGGATGTGAGACGTGTGTAATCGGGAGTAATCGTTCTCTTCCCTTCCCCTCCGTTCCCTTCCCGCCCCCTCTCCCAGGGCGCCGGTGACGCGCCCAGTGCACTGGCCCGTGTACAAGCGCCAGCGGAGGCTTCTGCGCTAGCGTCATGCATGCAGTCGCCAGGCCTGAGGGCTGGGAAGACGGTCATTAACACCCACAACAACAAGCTTGCGGACTTCCTCTCCTACTCACCCAGCCACAGCCGGGTCACCATTCAGTACCCAGACAGCAACCGACAGCTGCACGTCAAGGCAGCTAATGTACAGGTGTGTCCCCTTGGGGGCAAGTACGACCAGCGGCGATCACTGTTGTCAGGCAAGGACACTAGCGACCAGGCGGTGTTGGTGACAAGCGGCAGATATACGGGGCAGGTCGGTGTCGTCCCGGCTGGCTACATGGGCACACAAAGGCCCAAGGTGACCCTTGTGGACAGGGAGACTGGTGCACAGCACCCAGCGGTCAACGTGGAGGCGGCCAGGTGTACCACAACGTGCATTCGCCCCCTGAGCCCATCATCAGCCGCAGCAACAGTGCCCCGGCTGACATCAAGCGCCCGCGCGATGAGGAGCCTGGCGGTGGCGGTGGCACGGGCGGTGGCACGGGCGGTGGCGCGGGTGAGGGGGACTCCGACAGCGACGTCGCCACTGCTGCCCAGCGGGGTCCGCCTGGGGCCCCGCCCGCCCACCCGCTGCCGCCGCGACCTCCCCGTGGCGGTACGGCTGGCCGCCGCGCGGGCATGCGCGGTGGTCGCGGGAGCGGCTCGGGGGCGCCGGCGGCGCCGGCGACGCCGGCGACGATGGCGGGGGCTGCGGCGGTGTCAAGGGCGGCGGCGGCGGCGAGGGCACCTCCAATGGTTCCGGCGGCGAGGGTGGCATCGATGGCGAGGGCGGCTTCGTCACCGGCCATTACCGTGGTACTGGAGGACAGCGACGTGGAGATTATCGAGTAGTGAGGGGGGGGGGATAGCCGGCATATGTGAGAACGACAAGGGTATGGGGGTTTGGGGCAGGAGGAAGAATGATGCAGTCGTGTGTAATGATACCTACAGGGGTCAATAGGCTTCGGGCCAAGGATGCGTAAGACCTACGCGTGGTGGAGAACGGGGGCGTGGGATAGCAGGTCAGTCTAACAGGACGGAGATAATATCATGTGGGCTTTGCCTGTCCCTGGTTGTGTTCCTGTGTGCGTGTGCCCTGTTGCGTGGGACTTTGTTGTTTGTCTACCGCTCTTCCTAATAGAGCACGTCTCGTGCTTCTGGGTTAGACCGCTTTGAGCGTGTTTTGCGTTTGCCGCCGGTTTAATGGCCGGTGTGTGTCTGGTCAGCTTAATTGTAAGTGTCATTGGCGGCATGTGTCTGGCTGAACCCACTGAAAGCATTAGCTCGTCGCATTATGGTCCCACTACCACACCAGCATTACTATACATCAGTGCATGTCTTACTGCTGCGACCACGGTGTGCTCTTTGTTCTAGTTGCCAGCTCGCGACTAAGCATTCATCGCCAAGGAAATGCGGACCTGGGCTAATGGACGTCCTTTGCAGCCGAATGAATTGCATGTGATAAACCATAAAGGATAGTAGCTTTACTTTACAAGGATTGTGCGCTTCCATAAGGGCTTGTCATCATGCGCCAACGGTCAGCCATTTCGCGTTGGACGTCAAGCGTGATCCGAGTTCCTTTGGCCTTCAATAAAGGGAATACAATTCTACAAGTCCTGAAGCGGTGCTGGGAGGCTGGCGGTTTGGCGCGTGGCTCCAGGGGAACCAAAATGGGAGCGGCAACGCCCCATCTGGCTTGCACTTTGTCTGTCATAGTAGTACCGGAGCCAGTCGTACTTAGCAATATGCTTTCGTTTTCTGTCGTAAAGAAGGGCTTCGCGGCACCCCTTCATCCAACCTTACGCATGGTTATCTGGTGGCCTTTTCATCCCACCAACCTTAGGCATGATCACCTGCAAGAGCTGCAACTCTCTGCCAACCAGTATCGGTTTCAGTGCAGAAACACAAGTCGGCTCTATTTAAATACCTCTCTACGTTTCTTTCAGTTACGAAAGGAGCTGCGACCACATTACCGGTACGGTATGTTGCTCTTCTGTTCTCTCAGGCGCTCACCACCGCCGGCATCTTATACGCCTATACGCGCTGTGCCAACGCCGCTGCAGCAATACCATTTGGTACACACCCTTTCCTAGCTCCTGCCTTTCCATCTGTCCCCCACAATTTACAAATACCCTGCGTGGCAGGCTGTACTCGTGATACTCATCGGGGTTAACGAAGCCTTGAGGCGAAGTTAAACAGGAACCCAAACCGCTCTACCGCTTGCAGCAAGCGCACAGCGATGTTCTTTGCTGCAATCCGACAAGGGCTCAATCTTCTAGCTGGGTCAGCGTATGAGTCAGCATTCCCGCCGCGTCTCGGCCTAATACCGTTCACATCCAATGCCTTGCTGTGCGCCTTCCTGTGCCTTGCATTCCTCCGCATCCTCCTTAAACTCTTCTTTACAAAACCATTGTGCCACACAGCCTACCCAACTCCTCTTTCTCCTCAACCAACAACCACCAACTCAACCTCGCCGCTACCACTGCTGCCATAACTACCACTGCCGTGCTGCCAGCCCTTCGCGGCTCCTCGGCCCCATCCCGCACCCACCCTGCCAACCGGTGGTTTCCTATGGTTCAATCATGGTCTTTGGCCCCCCTGCCACCCGCCCGCTTTCCACCTACCCTGCAAACTCCCCAGCTCCCCAGGGCCCCCACCCTCCTGCAAGTATCCACATTAGCGCCATGCCAAGAACCACCCAAAACCATCCCGCAAAAGCAGCAAGCCCGACCACAACACGCACAACGCTCCAACTCCGCTCCCAATACCCCCACAAACCTTACCCAATTCTCCCCATCTCCCCACAACTCCCCCCTGCCCCCCCTCCATTACCCCCCTCCGCCCTCCTCTCCGCCCCTCCCACCCCCTCCTCTGCCCACACCTCATCAAGCGTACCCCTTCTTTACCGCCGCCGCTCGTGCGCTCTGCAGTCCGTAGCGCTTGTAGCCGTTACGTTCCGCCAGCCGGTAGAATGCCGTACCGTCGTACATGCCCCGAATGTCCTCCCGCCGCAACACACCGGTGGAGTCCCGCAGTAGGGCCCACGTCATCAGCCACTCGCCCGTCATGGCCATGCTGTGTCAGGGAGGAGCAGCAAAGGGGTAATTAGCAAAGGGGGGGGCCAGGGAGGAAGGAAAGGACTAATCGTGTGACATGCAGGGTGGCAAGGAAAGCCGTGGGGGCAGGGAAGCAAGGAGGCAGGGATGATGACAGGGGACCGAATTTGGGTGGGCCCAGTTGGTCCCAGGCAGGGGGCGTGGGGCGACGTGAAGAGGGCCAGTACAACTCCCGTGCTCGTGTATGCAGCTCCTGATGCAATTGCGCGTGCGCCGCCCCCCACCTGACCTTCGCCTCCCACCTGTACAGCTTTCCTGGCCAGTTTCCTAAAACCAAACCACGTCCTACAGCCAGAACACGGCGCACCGACAACCGTTAGCCTAGCACCCCGGGTGGCACCTCCCCTTCCTGCTCCCTTCCTGCTCCCTCCCTCCCTCGCCTCCCTCGTCCTCCCCAGCCCCCACTCACACTCCCATGACGTCCCCAAGGTTCGCCTGCCCCCGCACCAGCGCCAGCACCTCCCACAGGCTCAGCCCGCCCTTGCCGCCCCTGTCGTACTTGGACAGCGCCGCCTCGAAGCGAGCGGGCGTGAAGTGACCGCTGCGGTCCCAGGCCTTGCTGGTGCTGCCGTGGACAGCCCTGAAGGATGGGGAAGGCAAGGAGCAGAGCGGGTGATGTCACTATGTACTGTGCATGGGGTTTATGGCGAGGAGAAGAAGGGGAGGGATGGCAGCAGGGAGCGAGCAGGAGAGGGGCTGGGCGGGGCAGGGGCCAAAGTAGAAGAAATCAGAGGGGGAAGAGGAGGGACAAGAAGCAGGAATTCCAGTCCCCAGCTCAGCCCCAGCCCCCAGGAGCCGCATGTGATGGCCCCCCCCCCAGACCCACTTATGTGCGTTGCGCACGTGCACGGTGAGCCGCGGGTCGGGCAGCCAGGAGTCGGAGGTGAGCCATGCAAGCGGCAGCTGCACCAGCAGCGCCACCCAGACAGCTAGCAGCAGGTTGAGCGGCTCGGGCAGGAGGCGGCGGAGGAGGTAGCGGAAGCCTGGGCAGAGGAGGGTGCGGAGGGAGGGTGCGGAGGGAGGGTGCGGAGGGAGGGTGCGGAGGGAGGGTGCGGAGGGAGGGTGCGGAGAGTGGAGCGAGGAGGAATGGGCGGAGAAAGGAGGCGGTGGCGCTAAAGCGCCCTGTGCTAAGCTACCGGTAAGTGCCTTGAAGCGCCATTTGCAAGCGGCTCGACCCGACCACTGGAATGGCAGTTGCCGCACCCATCCCAGCAGGTGTTTCTGCACTCCCCTGCCCCATGAGGAGGCCCCCGCGCACCCGTGATGCACTCCCACAGCGTGATCTCGCCGTCCTTGTTGCTGTGGGCAAAGGCGGGGGAAGGGCGGGGGAAGACGAAGACAAAAAGCCGTTCGCAAGGGGGGTCACGTGCGGTGCGACCTGGGGGGAGTCCTCAGACCCGGAATGATGCCCATGGGTTGGGGGCACATGCGTCCAACCTCACCCACAGACCCACCAGCAATTCCTCCATCAAACCCGCCTCCCCCCGTTTCCAAAGTCTCCTCCCCTAGAGCTCCCCAGGCAACCATCCCAACCACCCCAACCACCCCAACCACCCCAACCGCCCCAACCGCTCCAACCACCTCAACCACCCCAACCACCCCAACCGCCTCCCCAGCACACTCACATATCGAAGAACGCAAAGTGCTGCTGCAGTGACGTGACACTGCCCTCGGGGGGCGTCAGCGGGCCGCCCTCAGGGTGGTACTTGTCGGGGGTGGCACTGACCCGTGGTTCACCTGCACGGCGGGTTTCGTGAGGTGCGCGGGGGTTTCGGGGCTGAACTGATGACCCTACCTGCTACCGCGAAGCGACCGAGATGCCGCACTGGCATGCAGGACCAGCCCCCCACTGGTATACCCATCTTGTTGGGCGACCCACTACTCGGACTCCGGACGTCCTTAAACTCACGATCTACACTACCATGTGTAAGTGTTGCCAGGGCTCAGTTTAGGGTCACTAGGGTCACTACGGGCCACTTACCCGGGTTGGGCATGTAGGTGGTCAGGTGGTGCGGTGCAGGGTGATCCAGCGTCAAAGGAGCCGCCGGAATCTCCGAAACTACCACCGGCGGCGCCGGCGACGCCAGCCCGCCGCCAGTAACGCCCGGAGGCATCAGCAGGCTGCAGGCGGGGCCGTCCTGATCAGGCGCGGTGAAGCGTGAGGGGTCCGGACCCATGGGTCGGCAGACGGCTGCTGCTCCCGCCGCTCCCTCTGTGTTGCCCTGTTGCATGGCCGGCGGGTGCTCCTGCTCGTACTTTTGGCGTTGCTTCTCCTGGGAGATGCGGGCACTTAGGAGGCCGTACTCGGCCTCCAGGAGGTGGCTGTTACCGCCGCCGCGTTGACCAATGTCGATACTGTCTACACCCGGCCCCGCTGTTGTGGTGCTGGTGGTGCTGGTGCTGGTGGTGGCGGCAGCAGCGTTGTCGCCCAACACCCCGTTAGCACCCTCAGGCGATGTGCCGCCAGGGGCAGCAGCTGCGGAGGTGGCCTCCTTGTCCGGGAAGGGCACCTGGAGTGCGTGTGAAGAGAGGGTGCGGGGGCTGCGCAGCTCGGTGGGTGTGGAGGGGCCCTCGGACACGGCGGCGGAGGAGGCGGCGGTGAGCGGGGTGGTGGCGCCGCTACGGGAGCTGCGGTTGCGGCGGAAGGGGTTGGGCACTCGAACCATGGAGTGCCTTGAGGGGGGAGCGAGAGGGCAAGGAGAGGAGCGATGTGGGTTGGGCGCGAAAGGGTGCGGAGGTGGGACGATGAGGATGAGAAGGAGGAGGGTTGAAAATGCTAATCATTGCGTTTGTAGAGAAAACGGTTTGCTTTGTCGGCTTTTTGGTAACATTGCCGAATAGTAGCTGCTTTGGCTGACAAGGACTACCGGTGGTGTGGCTTGCATAGGCACGCCAAGGGTATACATACATGCAGATATGGTACAAAGAAGATGTTGCAGCCCGCGAAATGGCCTGCCCAGTCCGACATTGTGCGGAATGCAAGCAGCGGACCGAGGGTCGCTAGGGGCGCCGCGCCTCCGAATTTACCAACTCCAGCGCACTTGCCGCAGCAAGCGAGCGCTTACCTGCGTCAACGTGCTTGAATGGACGTCTGCCTGAACGTCTCCAGCACTTTTACTTTGTAATGTTGTGGTTGCAAGCTAGGCAGCGCTGTAACGCGATGAACCCTAAGCTGGATCCTTGCGAACGGCCGCCTGAATGAAAGAGCCTTTGCGCATATCATCAAGCTTTTTACAAGCCGTTACCAAGATTCCAATCCGCTGCATTAGCGGCGCACACCAAAATACATACGGCAGTTGGGCCACCCTGTCCGAGGTTGCATGACACAATGATGCATCTCGCGCAGCCTCGTCGTTCAGCCACGCTCCTCCTACAGCATCACAGCATCATACCTGCAGGAGCCAAGCTTGTAGCCACCACCACATACGTGCTACGCTACGTCAAAAGGGGTGCAAATGCCGATGATGATGCCGAAATGAGCGCGTTGGAAGAGACCCAGCTGGTACAAAAGCAGAGCTCTTGAAAGGCTCTTCACAACCGCCGATTGCTGCTTTACGTTTCCTTGCGCCCTTCTTGCTTGCCCCTTCAGAGGATGTGTTAAGAAGACCGATTTCCCCAAACCCATAATCCACGTACATGCCGCCCATATCCTCCTCCCAAGCTGCGGCTTCCCAGTAGCGCCCGTCAACCTGCCCCAACTAACTGCTCACAACGTATGCCCGCGGTGTCCAGAACCCACCGCCCTCAGAACAACCAAGTAACCGTCCCGCAATCCACGCAACCAGCCCTCTCCTCACGCCACCACGCCTCCCTCCTCCCAAGCCCCTACCACCAACCAATACCTCCCACGTTTCCTCCCAACCAAGCCCGTAACCCACACTCCTCCCGTCCTCCTCCTCCCTTCTCTCCAAACCACAGCAAAGTCATGCTCAACACGACATCAAACCACATCAGCGGCATTACAAACCACATCAGCGGCATTACAACGAAGGCGACGAAGCAGCTCCCCCAGCAGCAGCAGCACTACCCGCGGGTGGCAGCTTGAGTGTCCCGTACCTGCCCTTGCCCGCCGGCTGCTGCGCCATGTCGGCCGCATGCGCCAGGGAGGACTGCCAGCGGCGCAGGCTGGCGGGGTCGGGCTGCACGCCGGCGGCCAGGTCGGACTGCACGGCGTCGATGAGGGCTTGAATCTGGGAAGACAGGGCGGGCAGGGCGGGCGGAAGAGGAGGAGGAATAATTGGACGGGAGGAAAAGGGAGAATGAGGGGGAGGGGAGATGCAACAGCGAAATCCACGCTCCCAGCCCCTCCGCCACCCCACCTCCCCTCCCTCCCATACCTGCTCCGCCCCCAGCTCCGGCACCCCCGCATCCCACAGCCGCATGCTGGCGTCCAGCACCTCCGCGAACGCCCCCACGTAGGCCGCGTTGCGCACCCGCCCCGTGGCGCCGTACTGCGCCTTGGCCTGGCGGGCCACCTTGGCGGCGCGGCGCAACACGGAGACAACCTGCGCAGGGCGGGGGTGGGAAAATAAATAATAAAAGGGGTGATAAAGGGTGGAGGCAGATGGGCGGAGAAGGGGGATGAGTGGTTGGGGGGCGGGGAGAAGGAGGAGGAGGTGAAGGACAAGGGACGGGAGCGAGTGGTAGGGGCAGGACCGGGCACCTTAGACAGAGACAAGAGTGAATCCTTACAACGGCTAACGTCCTTCCCGCAACATCACCACAACGCAAGTACCTCCCCCCCCCCAACACGCACATCCCCCGCACGCTCCCTACCTTTGCCCCGTCCCTCACAGGCGGGTACAACCCGCCCTCCACCTTCTGCTCCTCCTCCTCCTCCTCTTTCCCCTCCTCCTCCTTCCGCTCCCCCTTCCCTCCCTCCTCCTCCTCCTTCCCTGCCTGCCTCTGCTCCCCCTGCACGCCCCCCTGCCCAGCCCCCTGCCACCACAGGTGTGCTGCAGCGCACAGTGCCCGACACTGCTCCCTCGCCGCCACCAGCCGCATGCAGGCGCTGGTGGCGGCTGCTGCCAGGCTGGCCCGCCGCCCCGCCCCGAACACGTGGCAGCGCTGCAGGCTGCCCAGGATGTCGTACAGTGCGGCGGCCCGCTGGCGCTGCTCGGGCAGGGCCTCGTCGTACAGGGCTAGGGCCTGGGGAGAGGGGAGGAGGTGCGATGGGGATGCACGGTGAGGCTGGTTCAGGGGGACCAGGGTTGGAAGGGGTAAGGGTGGCTAGAGGGGTAGAGAGGAGGAGGGGCAGGGAGGGCGTGTGACACATACACACACATAACCAGTTATTTTAACACACACATAACCCCCCCAACACACCTCCTCGAAGAAGGTGTACGACAGCAGCTCCAGCCTCGCCTCCTCACTGGCCACGTGGCCGCACGCCAGCAGCAGCCGCAGCGCGGTGAGCGGCTGACCCGCGGGTCCGCCGCACAGCGGCTCGATGGCGGCGAGCAGGAATTGCAGCAGCTGGGAGCTGGTGAGCTGTTGGGGGGAGGGAGAGGGAGGCGTGGGAAAAGAAGAATCCCAAAGTGTTGAATGATGATAGCGAGGGGATGATAGTGGGTGTGTTATGTCAAGGAAACTGGCCGCGAATGTGCGTGCAGAGAGGAAACAACTATGATGGCCGGGTGGGGTGAGGTGTCAGCTCAACGTAACCCAACACAACCCAAACATACCTTGGGTGCAGCCGCAGCCGACTCAACCGCCGTCTCCGCCGCCGCAGCAGGCTCCGCAGCTGGCTGCTCCTCCTCCTTCTTTCCATCCGCCTTTCCTTCGCTCTGCTCCTCCTCCTCCTCCCCGCTCTTCTTCTCCACCCCTTCTCCTCCATTCTCCACCTTCTCCCCCTCCTCCTTCTCCTCCTCCTTCTTGCCATCCACCTTCACCCCATCCTTCACTCCCTCCGCCCCCTTCTCCGCCCCCTTCTCCACCCCTCCCACCAGGCGCCTGTGCAGCCCAAGTCCGCAGAACACCAGTGCGGGCACGGTGGTGCGCAGCCGCCGGGGGCCCCCCGCCAGCAGCTGCTGGTGCGCGGTAGTGAGGATGGCGAAGTGCGTGTCGGGGTGGGGCGAGGCCAGGCAGTGAAGCAGGCGGGCCACCAGCACCTGCTCCTCATCTAGGTCCTGAGGGGAGGGGCGGAGGCGGGTGGGAGATGGAGCGGGGAGGAAGAGGGAGAAGACGGTCATGCCTTTTGTCGCCTCTTCGTGTCCTATAGGCGGTCCTCTTGGCCCCCCTGGCCACTTCGGACGCACAACTATATACGCGCATGCATCTTGTAATCAACTAACCGACCAACTACCCAACCAACGGATTGCGTAATTTCTTAACCGACTATATATCCAAGCAACAAGCCGATAAACTACTAATCAACCACAAACCGACCAGTACCCAGCCCACCTCGTCATCCAGCTCCGCCGCGCCCCCCACCTCCCCGGGATCCTCCGGGTCGGCCACCAGCGGCGCGATGAAGCGGAACAGGGCTGCCACCTGGGACACCTCGCAGATTACGGTGGAGGAGGAGGAGGAGGAGGAGGAGGAGGGGGAGGGGGTGGGGGAGGGGGTGGGGGCGGGAGCAGGGGAGCTGGAGGAGGGCTTGGAGGGGGAGGCGGTGGCCGTGGTGGTGGGTGCGGAGGCGCCATCCAGGATCTGGGGGAGAGGGGGAAGGATAGAGGAGTGGGAGGGGGAGAGGCAGGAGTGGAGGAACGTGATTAGGAGGTGTTCAAGCGGTGGTGGAGGTACTGGTGTGTATGGTACCCCCCCTCCTCGCCCTGTCTTATCTCCTCTATCGCTCTCCCCTTCTCTCTCTGCGTCTGCCCTGTCCCTCCCAATACCCTTCCCCTCCTGTCCCTCCCCTCCTGCCTCTGCGTCTCCCCTGTCCTCCCCCTTGTCCCCCCTCCCTCCCCGGTTTCCCCCCCCCCTCCCCCCCCCACCCACCCGCTGCACAATCTTGACCGCCAGCTCCTTGTGGCTGCCGTACCGCAGCAGCCGGGTGAGGGCGGGGTACTCGCGCAGCTGCAGCGAGGCGGGCAGACCGTACCTGGGGTGGAGGGGGGGAGGGAGGAGTGAGGGGGAGGGCAGAGGGAGTGGGAGGGACAGTGAGGAGTGGAAAGAGGCAGGACGGCTTCTAACACCACACTTTGTAAGCCGCGTGCATTCCCGTGCTCAACCGGTACCCCTCTCACACACCCCCAAACCAGCCCAAACACACACCGACCCCTCTGCGCACGCCACATCCCACCCAAGGCCCTCTTTTATCCATCACACATACCCCATGCCGCTCTCCCCCCCCCCCCGCGCACACCCACTTTGACAGCGGTATGCCCAGCAGCGCCAGCAGCTGCCGCTCCGCCCGCGCATCCCCGCCCAGCCCCCGCCCCCGCCCAGCCAGCGCGCCCGCCGCCGCCGCCAGCACCTCGTCAATGTACGACAGCTGCCCCGGGTACACGGAGGCGGCGTACGACAGGAGGGCGGTGTACATCTCCACGGCGTCACCGGCGGGCAGGGTGGGCTGGGAGGAGATGACCTGGCGGGGGAGAGGGTGGAGGAGGGGCGCGGAGGGGAGGAGGGTGGAGGTGAGGAATGAGTTGTAGAGAGCTAGGAGCCAACCAGATGCAACACTAGGTGGGTAGGATTGGAGCGAGCCGTGCCTGCGCGATGGCTTCCTTGAACTTGTGGAATGCGTCCAGTGCCGCCAGCTCCTCCACGACCCGTGGGTCACCACTGCTGCTGCTGGCGGTGCCAGTAGGGCTGCTGGTGGTGGTGGTGGTGGTGGCGGCTGCTGCGTAGCGAGCCAGGCGGTCCATGAGCGCCGCCATGACGCTGTGGACCTGGGAGGGGAGGTGGAGGGTGGGAAGGTGGTGGCGGAGGGATTAGGTAACTGACTGGCGGAGGGAGGGTAAGGAAGTAACCAAGGCAGGGAAGGGTGCATGGGAACCAAGGCAGGGAAGGTTGCATGCAAGGACCATGGATTGCCGCCCTCCATGCACCTCAGCCCAACCCCGCCTACCTTGACCCCCGGCTGCAGCTGCGGCAGCGCCCCCAGCAGCGCCTCCAGCGTGCCCAAGTGGAAGCGGTCGGGGAAGCTCTGGATGAGGGCCTGGAGGGGGTTAATAGGGATGATGATTCCGCATGGAGGGCGGGGGGGGGAGGAGGAGGGAGAGGAGAAGAGGGAAGGAGGGAGCGGGTGACGTCAAGGAGGGAGCGGGTGAAGTCAAGCAAGGAGGGAAGGAGAGGAGGGACGAAGGGAGGCTATGGAGCGGGGCAGAGAGCCAGCAAGCCAGTCTGTGGATAACCCCATCGGCACCCGCCTCCCTGCTGCATCACCCCCACCCCTGCCCCTTCATGCACCCCAGCCCCTCCCCCCCAATTTCCCCCCCCACCTGCATGAGGTACAGCTGCGCCAGGTCGTCCCGGCAGCTGGTGATCTGGTCCAACACGCGGGGGAGAACCTGGGAAAGGGGTGGGTGGGTGGGTGGAGGGGGCAGGGTGGAGAGGATCAAGGGGGCAGGGAGCATGGAGGCGGGCAGGGCGGTGACGCCGTGACGGTGGGGGCAAAGGCGGCCGGTTACTGAGGCCCATCCCTGTCCCCTGCCTCCCTCCCCTCGTTAGTCGTTTCCTCTTTCCCCTCCCCCCTACCTTTCTTTCCCCTGCCTCTCCCCCCCCACCTGGTCCCTGTACAGCTCGAACCCCAGTCCGTCCAGCTGGCTGAGGTAGGTGAGGTTTTTGCCCACCAGGTCCTGAAGCTGCTGCCGCTCGCGCTCGCGCTTCTCCTTGTCCCTGGCAGGAGGGGAGGGGAGGAGGGGAGGGGAAGCAGGAGGGGAGGTGGGGAGGGGGAGGGGGTCAGAGACCAGGTACCGAACCATAGGAAACCTCAGGTTGGGGCAAAACAGTGGGGATAGGAAGTGGAGGGGGGGAAGGAAAAGCAGGATAGCGTATATTTAAGTTGTTGCAGTTCAAAAGCTCGTAGTTGGATTTCGGGTGGGGTGGCGCGGTCCGCCTCTGGTGTGCACTGCGCTGCTCCACCTTCCTGCCGGGGACGGGCTCCTGGGCTTCACTGTTCGGGACTCGGAGTCGGCGAGGTTACTTTTGAGTAAATTAGAGTGTTCAAAGCAGGCCTACGCTCTGAATACATTAGCATGGAAGATGTGAGGGGAGGGGGTGGCGTCGGCGAGACGAGGAGCGGTGGTCAGGATGGCTCCTGCTTGTGCTGAAGGAGAAGCAGAGCAGCACGGGTTTGTACGAGGGATGTCGACTTGCCCGCCCCTCTCCCTCCCCAATGCTTTGCCCTAACCTGCGGTTTCCTATAATATGTTATGAAACCTCCCACCCCCTCCCACCCACCCCACACATGGGGTATCCTTCCTCCCCCCCCCGCACCTCGCACTTCCTGACGCGTCTTCTTCTTTCCCCCTTCCCTCCCCCTCCCGCCTCCCCCCCCCCAGTCCCCCGCACCTCGCACTGCCCTGGTGCTGCAGCCGCACCCACAGCTTGTTCATCTCGATGAAGTTGGTCATCAGGAAGTCCAGTGCGTCGTGGATGGAGCCCGACTCGGGTCCCTCGAACTCGCTGCCGGTGTCGGGCAGCAGCCCCTTGGCGCGCTGGCAGAGGTAGGCGCGCAGGAAGAGGCCGCGGGTGGGGTGCTGCACGCCCTGTGGGGGGGAGCAGGGGGAGGAGGGAGGGAGGGGGATGAAAGATAGGGAGCAGGGAGGAGCAGGGGGGCAGGGAGGAGGGAGGGTGGGGACATGCGGGGGAGGTGCGGGTCACGGAGGAGGAGGACTAGGCGGGGAGGTGGAGGGCAGCGACCGTGGCGCTGGCGGGCTGCCTAACCGCATGGGTTTTCTTCTTCCTCCCCCCCTGCCCCCCCACCCCACCCCATGCGGATTAGTTTTCCATGTTACCCCCCCCCTGCCCCTCACTCCCCACCTTGCACATCTCCACCAGGTCCTTCAGCAGCTCCCGGGGAGCCGCCTCGCGCGACTTGATGTACAGACAGCCCACCGCGACCATCAAGTACCTGGGGGGGTGAGGGGGGGGGGAGGACGCGAGGGGGGGAGGTTTGAGGAGAGGAGAGAAGCCCCTAAACAACCCTGGTTTCTTTTCGAGAATATAGATAAGTGCATCAACGGAGTCCCAATCCCGAATCCCGACTGGGGGGGAGGAAAAAGAAGAATCCCAAAGTGTTGAATGATGATAGCAAACCAGCTGACGGGAGCGGGGCGGGAGTCAAAGACCATACCAAACCATAGGAATCCACAGGTTAGGGCAAAGCAATGGGGGTAGGAGGCGGCAGGGTGCCACAAGACAAAGTGGTGGTTAGCGGGGGGGGAGGGGGGAGGAGGAGGAGGGGGAATAATTGGAAAGTGGAGCAACGAAATACAATCCCATATCGGGGGGGCGGAGCAGGAGAAGGGGAGGAGAGGAGAGGGTAAGAGGTTTGAGGAGAGGAGAGGAGAGGGGCCCCTCAGCAACCCTGCCTTCTCTTCCTCGCTGACCTCGCCTACTTGCTATAGGCCCGCGGGTCTCCCAACCCGTCCCTACCCGTCTTGCACTCCCCGTCTGCCACCCGTCACACAGCACCCCGGCCCCCGGCCCCTCCACACGGTTCGTTAGCTACTTCCTCTTTACCCTTCCTCTTCACCCTGCCCCCCCGAGCGCCTTGCTGCACTTCTCATTTATCCCCCCCTTCCGCGCCCCTCATCCCGCATCACCCACAATCTGGGCAGCACGTTGCCCGAGTACTGCACCATCTCGTACAGCTCGCCGTAGCTGCGGCCCTTGCCGCGCTCCTCGGAGAAGAAAGACTGCGAGGCGGGAAAGGAGGAAAAAGAACCATGTGTGGCACGATAGTGACAATTGGGAGGATTCCACTAACTCCACTAACTCTACTAACTCAGTTTGGATCCGCTTCTCTGCTCCACGTCAGCACCTGTACCCACCGCGGGTTTGAGAGCCCCCCCATTACGAGCCCCTGCCCGAGCCCACCTCCAGGTAAGCCAGCTGGTCAAACACCAGCATGTAGAGCTCATAGTACTTTTGGGGCTGCAGCTGTGAGGTGCGCAACTCTGCAAGCATGCCAGCTGCGTGCTTCAGCGCGTCACGCATGTTGTCCTCCTCCTGCGGGAAAGAAAGGGCGTGATTGGGTTGTGCGGGACTGGGTTAGGAAGGGGATGGTGGGTGAGCAGCGCCTTGGAAAGTGTGCGTGCCTGTCCAAGAGCATGCGCCATGGCACAGGATGGTTAGCGAGGGGGAAAATCGCTCAGCGGATACGACCGCGAGGAACGTTAATATACAGGTCGGGACACGATGCAATACGCTCGCGTGCACATGCGGAGTGCATCAACCTTGTTCCCTTGAAAGGTAGCGCAAGCATGGGTACACGTGCGCGCTTTGGGGATGTGGCCCGCAACATTGTAAAGCCATACCCACACCTCTAGTTCTGAGCATGCTTTTGGTTGGCGTTATGGTGCAAAGGGTGGTTAAGTACTCACAATTGCTTTCCGCATGAGGAAGGCATTCCGCTTAATGGCCGTGCTAGCATCGTTAAGGATGCGCTGCTGCTCATCAGCAGAAGGAAATGTAATATTATCCTGAAAGTGGAGCACGCAAGCGGTTCAGTGTAAGTCGAGGGGATGGGCCGAGACGATCGAGCGAGCAAGTCCCACCATGTCTAAAGTCCTGTCGTGTTCAAGATCCGGTGGCTTTGCAGACTACCCTAGACAATTATGGCTTGATCATCCTTGTGTCAAAGGAACTTGTTGCAGTTGGAGATGAAAGAACCAAAAGAGCTTTGGTAGTGGCACGCGATTAAGACCACTAACAAGTTGCTTGTGTAAGCTTGCGTATGACAAAGCTTTTGGCGAAGATCGCAGAAGTTTGCCAGCCGGGCTAAATCGTACGTCTGCATGGCATGGGACCCTACCCGCCCTGGAACCTAGAGCGCTCAGTAGGCTGCAGACTATAGCGGGAGGCGTTAAACATACTAAGCGCGCAATAGCCCGGGCTCCGGGGGAAAGGCCAGGAATGTCACAAGTTCACGTGGTATCCCGCTGCTCCCCCATGGCCAGAGGCGGCAACTGGTATTCCCCCGAGAGTAATTACTGCAAGCACTTGCACTTCGGAAGGACTTGTAATGGGGTACCTGCAAATGGTCCATGTATGTAGCTGGAGGTTGTGCCTTGTTGGGTGTGGCATGTTGATATCACGTGGTGTTGAGCTCCGTCTACCATGGCTAATGCTATGACGCATGGAAGCCACTAAGCCGCGCGCCGCGGGGGTCTTGAGCAACCGGGTCTTGAGCGCCGTGCGGTAGTCTGCTGTGCCCCACGGCTGTGTCTGAAACAATAACCGCAACTTGGTCATCCCAGGTGTCAATCAATGTCGTCATAAGGGTGTTCGGAGATATTAGGGTTCCACGCTTAAATGACCGAATCCTGCAGTAAATGCTATGGAGGTTGGAGTAGCTACCGGCGCTGCAGCTGTCAAAGGCATGCTGAATAGTGCAGGTTGAGGGGGGGGTGTCACACGGAGGGGGTTGGGTCACTGGTTGGTTGCCAGGACGTCAGTGCCACACATGCACACTGGGCATGCCCTTTACCATTCAGTGCTTGACCATGCTGCGACGTCATGGCCGTACCTAGCCCTTATGTCAAGTATGGCGTTGGCCGTGGTTCAGCCTTTTGATCGGCAAATGGGTCCTCGGGTGGGCCTCCCCTTGTACTGTAGTCCGCGTCTTGTCCAGGCTACATAGGGAGATCCCCGAATCTTAGGAGAGCTATTGAAATTATGCAGCCAGACTTCCCTTTCGCCTGGCTATGTAACTTCTGCGGCATCATGCCGGCTCCTGCAATTACAGGCAATAAAGCGCGCGTCATCCCGACGGTTACTGCGGTTTCATACTGTTTACCGGGTTAATTTGGCCATACTGCAAGAGCGGCAACACCTCGCCTCTCGCTCTTGGAGTTTCCGTCTAACTCCTTAACATAACTCACGGTTATGGTTTGCACGAATGGGAGACCACTCTCCCATCAAATGGCAGTGCAAGGCAGGTTGACAACGCCTGTGCTGCCAGGAATCGAATGGCCACTGGTCGGTTAGGCGTTGGTTTGGCCAGGAGTACGGTACAGCTGCCCGGTACACGGTCGCCATCACCGCATTAGTAGTATAGTAGCATATAGCACATACACCTTTTGTACCTGCGTATGAATTTCAGTCCACACAAGCCATAAAGCTGGCGGGCGACACTTGACGAAAGAGCTAATTCGGTCATAACCCTCACAAATTGTCGCTACTTGGAGAAGCTATCGTTACTGCTTGTTGGACGGCAGCCGTTCCTGTAAACCGAAACTAAGGTGAGTAGTGGACCACTGGTGTTGCGTCATAACGCGACAGTCTGTGAGGCACGAACTCTGAAACGACGTATGGTTGGAAGTCACCTATTCCACCCGATTGGACTGAGTGGGTCTAGACCGCTTCAGGTCAATGAGCAGTGGTCTTTCGGATAGTGGCATGTCATCAACCTGCCATCGTGCAGGGTCGATAGCAGGAACAGGGACAGCGCGTAGTAACACAATGGATATCATATTTTCAGTTCCTTCGGCTTTATACGTAGAAGAACTTGACACTCAACACCGTCAAGGACTTGACGATGCTAGGGCTCCTTGGATTCGTTCAGTCAGACGCCCACGGTGCGGCATGCTGTACTCCCCGGTTTAAAGTGTGTCAAGGGCTTTCCCATCTTCCCGTCTTCCGCAGGCCGGTTGCATCCTAGCCCGGACAAGATGGTGTGCCCCGTCTGCATCACAGCCGCCCTGGTTGCCAACGCTCCGGCCATTGCTGCAAGCATTGGTGGCATGGCAGCAGTCAAGATGTGCATCAACAGGACCCGGGCTCCTGCTCCCTCACAGCCAAACGTTGAGAGGGTGCCCACCAAGCAGCCACGGACCGTAGTGGACCCCATGAAGATAACGCGTTATGACGAGCAGGACTGGTAAAGCAGCGGCATGTATCGAAATTGTATGGACCAAAGGCTGAGGTGACCGTCACACTAGGCTGTTGCATGGGCAGTCGCTGCATGTTGTGCATAGTTAAGTAAAAACGTTAATTATTTCATGACCTCATAAAGCGTGTGCAACGCTGCGTGGCTGCGGGTGCTCGAGGTACAGAGGCGGTCGTGGCTTGTGTTGTACGGCTTTAGTACATAGTTTGGGCAACCCCGCAGCATATTGCTGCGCGTTGCAATCGGCATTCTAGTTTAGTGTACGGCGGCATTCGTCGGAGTTGGGGCAGGAATTGCAATTGGCACTTTGGTTGGGGGAAGTAGTACATCTGTTACAGCTACATACTTGAGCTCTGCATGCCCTATGCTTGAAGTATGTGGGGTTTGGTTCACGATTGCATGCAACATGCAGGTATCACATAGTCACAGTCCGCCTTAATCACGAAGGCCATGCAAATAAGAGCAGAGCTTTTGTAACCCACGCGTTCGCATTCCGACCCTCGCATTTGCCCTACATCGTACAGCACGTATTCCAGCTGCTCACACTAATGCACTCAGCGACACCCGCCGCTTTGTACCCAAGAAGAAACATGTATCCGGAGACATATATACGCCGTCGGGGTGGCGTATGCACTTGTGAACACGGACGCACCCCTGCAGTGGAAGCTCCGCTGGCGCACCCAAATAGACTGTTTCAAGCATCTCTTTGTACTCGGCCCGTTCACTTCTTTGGCGCGCTTATGCTGTCAAGCACTGACTTAACCGTCTCGTACACCTCGTCAGGTGTGGGCACGGCGCTGATGACCGCGCACTTGTTCCGCTCAATGTAGTGGTCCTTTACCGGCAGCGACTGCTCCAGGAATGTCCTGAAGCGCTTGCGGATGGTTTCAGCGTTGTCGTCGCTGCGGCCGCTGGTCTCGCCACGCTTCAGCAGGCGCTTCTCCATCTCCTCCTCCGGGCAGTCGAAGAAGAGAACCATCTTGCACGGCATGATGGCGCCCTCGAACTGCGCTGCCTGATCCAGCGCACGAGGGAAGCCGTCGATGAGGAAAAAGCTACCGCCGCTCTCGATCATGGCCTTCTTCAGCAGGTTGAGCGTCACGGCGACGGGCACCAGCTTGCCCTCGCGCATGAGCGCCTCGCACTTCTGGCCGACCTCGCTGCCGCTCTTGACCTCCGCACGCAGCAGGTCCCCAGCGCTGAGGTGGACGCACTCGTACTCCTCCTTCATCTTGTCGCACTGGGTGCCCTTGCCGCTGCCGGGGCCACCCAGCACGAAGACGATCTGGGTATCGTCCGGCAGGCTGCCGGGCACCTCAGGAAGCGCAATCACCTGTGGCACGCACGCAAAAAAGTTAGCGGTCGAGCAGGCGGGCAAAGCCGTAGCAATCTAGCCCTCTTCCTTAAGAAGTATAACACCAACACCGCATGCACCCCCCCTAGCATATGCACTTAACATGTCTGGCGACGTGCACTCATCTAACATTCCATGCAAGGCAACACCTGAAACAACGTTCACCGGAATCCCCTAGCGTGTTTGGCATGGCCTAGGTGCGTACTTCTCTAGAGGAAGCCAGCACGGGTCCTGCGCGCATGAACCTCACGTGGCGCCCCATGCAATGTGGTTATAACTTTGGGCATAGACTCAGCCAGCAAACACGTGGACCAGCGACAGCAAATGCTCTGCAAAACTGGCAAAGCCGTACATCGTTTCGAGAAGGTAACCTACCTCCGGCTTCTTGGGTGCGCCCAAGCTGTCCAGCACTCCCTTCACCACTTGGTAGACCTCCTTGGGAGGCGGCACGGCGCTGATGACCGCGCACTTGTTCTGGGCGATGTAGTGATCCTTTACCGGCAGCGATTGCTCCAGGAATGTCCTAAAGCGCTTGCGGATGGTTTCAGCGTTGTCATCGCTGCGGCCGCTGGTCTCCCCGCGCTTCAGCAGGCGCTTCTCCATCTCCTCCTCCGGGCAGTCGAAGAAGAGAACCGCCTTGCATGGCATGATGGCGCCCTCGAACTGCGCTGCCTGGTCCAGAGCGCGAGGGAAGCCGTCGATAAGGAAGAACCTGCCGCCGCTCTCGATCATGGCTTGCTTGAGGAGGTTGAGCGTCACGGCCACGGGCACCAGCTTGCCGTCGCGCATGAGCGCCTCGCACTTCTGGCCGACCTCGCTGCCGCTCTTGACCTCCGCACGAAGCAGGTCGCCAGCGCTGAGGTGGACGCAGTCGTACTCCTCCTTGATCTGATCGCACTGGGTGCCCTTGCCGCTGCCAGGGCCACCGAGCACGAAGACGATCTGGGTATCCTCAGGTAGACTTCCGCTGACCGGCGGGAGTGCAAACTCCTGCAAGGCATACCATGGACAGATGAGGAAGTAAGCAACGAGCATCCCTCTTTGTGGCCTACAGGCAACCAGCAAGGCGTGCTGGGTCATCAAAGATGAGGATCAAGGATAGGACTCATAGCCAAATGTGACCGTAGAACCCACATGCTCGTGTGGAAACACTTGACTTCAAGAACCACTCAATGGATTGCCCATGGCTGCAGTAGTTGGCACCACAGTGGAGGCCGTGGGCCGTGGCCACCCATTCTCAGCAACTAATGACGTGCAAGAAGGGCGTTAGGATGCCGCTAGCTAGAACGGCCCAATGTAATACAGCGCTCACGCGGGCTCAGGCAACGGTCCCCAAATGGTGAAGCATGCCCGTTGTTAGGCGCAAAGGGTTGAAGCCGAAGAGGCTTCTGGCCTCGGCAGCCTTCTGCAGCTGTGCACACACTTTAACGTGCTCAAGGTGCTTGTCATGTAGGCATATGCTCGACAGGGCCAGTCGCCCAGGCCCTGGATAGCTTCATCTAGTGAGCCTGCGTACCTCAGTCGCTGGCTCCTCAGCCTTCACCGAAATGCCAGCCTTCTTGGGCGCGCTTATGCTGTCAAGAACCGACTTGACCGTCTCGTACACCTCGTCAGGCGTGGGCACGGCGCTGATGACCGCGCACTTGTTCTGCTGAATGTAGTGATCCTTCACCGGCAGTGACTGCTCCAGGAACGTCTTGAAGCGCTTACGGATGGTTTCAGCGTTGTCGTCGCTGCGGCCGCTGGTCTCGCCACGCTTCAGCAGGCGCTTCTCCATCTCCTCCTCCGGGCAGTCGAAGAAGAGAACCATCTTGCACGGCATGATGGCGCCCTCGAACTGCGCAGCCTGGTCCAGCGCACGAGGGAAGCCGTCGATGAGGAAAAAGCTACCGCCGCTCTCGATCATGGCCTTCTTCAGCAGGTTGAGCGTCACGGCGACGGGCACGAGCTTGCCGTCGCGCATGAGCGCCTCGCACTTCTGGCCGACCTCGCTGCCGCTCTTGACCTCCGCACGCAGCAGGTCGCCAGCGCTGAGGTGAACACACTCGTACTCCTCCTTCATCTTGTCGCACTGGGTGCCCTTGCCGCTGCCGGGGCCACCCAGCACGAAGACGATCTGGGTATCCTCGGGTAGGCTGCCGGGCACCTCCGGGAGCGCGAATACCTAAATTACAGGGAGGATTACAGGCAACGCCGTTGGCACTAGACAACCTTGCTAAGAGCACAATCCTGCTGAAGTCAGGAACTCCACATGTACCATGTTTAAGTGTGCGCATCAACTGAAAGTGCATTCCATGTACGCAGAAATAAGAATGCCCGAGAGGGCTTTCACGCGACAGAACCACCGCAATGCAATCCTGGGCAGTCGCTAGACCGAACCATCTACCTTCCAATCAAGAATTTGAGAACTCCCCCATGTGGGTCGGTTAATCACCATGCAGTTCAGCTGGAAAGAGCTTCACTGCACTATTAAGTTTAGAAACCAATTTTGGATTCCCGAAATGTCTTACCTCCGGCTTCTTGGGTGCGCCCAAGCTGTCCAGTACTCCCTTCACCACTTGGTAGACCTCCTTGGGAGGCGGCACGGCGCTGATGACCGCGCACTTGTTCTGGGCGATGTAGTGATCCTTTACCGGCAGCGATTGCTCCAGGAATGTCCTGAAGCGCTTGCGAATGGTTTCAGCGTTGTCATCGCTGCGGCCGCTGGTCTCCCCGCGCTTCAGCAGGCGCTTCTCCATCTCCTCCTCCGGGCAGTCGAAGAAGAGAACCGCCTTGCATGGCATGATGGCGCCCTCGAACTGCGCTGCCTGGTCCAGAGCGCGAGGGAAGCCGTCGATAAGGAAGAACCTGCCACCGCTCTCGATCATGGCCTTCTTCAGCAGGTTAAGCGTCACAGCCACGGGCACCAGCTTGCCGTCGCGCATGAGCGCCTCGCACTTCTGGCCGACCTCACTGCCACTCTTGACCTCCGCACGCAGCAGGTCGCCAGCGCTGAGGTGAACGCACTCGTACTCCTCCTTGATCTGATCGCACTGGGTGCCCTTGCCGCTGCCGGGGCCACCGAGCACGAAGACGATCTGGGTATCCTCGGGTAGGCTGCCGGGCACCTCGGGAAGCGCGAATACCTGCGACCCATGGGTCAGAAGTCATATCTTATTCGACAAACTTCAGTGCTACACCCGCTTTTCGCTTTGTAGCAGTATGCACTACGGCGTTTACGATTGCCCGTCAGCTACAACCGTATAGTTCCCATAGTTGTGCCTACCTCTTGGGCCACTGCAGGTGCCGTCGCAGTGTCAGCGGCTGCAGTTGGCTCTGGCGCCGCTTTAGGCTCGACCGCAATAGGCTCCGCTTCCACTGCTGGCTCTGCCGCTGTTGGCTCAACTGCCGCCGGCTCAGCTGCCGCTGGCTCGACCGCAGCAGGCTCAACTGCTGCTGGCCCAACCGCTGTTGGCTGAGCTGCCGCCGGAGCATCAACTGGCGCCGGCGCTTCTGTTTTTGCTGAGGAGCCCGCCTTCTTAGGTGCGCCGATTTCTCCAAGCGCCCACTTGACCGCCTCGTAAACCTCATCGGGCGGCGGCACGGCGCTGATCACGTAGCACTTATTCTGCGACATGTAGTGGGTTTTGACGGGCAGCGACTGCTCAACGAAAGTCTTGAAGCGCTTACGGATGGTGTCAGCATTGTCGTCGCTGCGGCCGCTGGTCTCGCCACGCTTTAGCAGGCGCTTCTCCATCTCCTCCTCCGGGCAGTCAAAGAAGAGAACCGCCTTACAAGGTTTGATCGCCTTTTCAAACGCCTCCGCCTGATCCAGCGCACGCGGGAAGCCGTCGATGAGGAAGAACCTGCCACCGCTCTCAATCATAGCCTTCGTTAGCAAATGCAGCGTCACCGCGACAGGCACCAGCTTGCCGTCGCGCATAAGCGCTTCGCATTTCTGACCAACATCGCTGCCGCTCTTAACCTCGGCTCGCAGCAGGTCGCCAGCGCTGAGGTGGACGCAATCATATTGCTCCTTAATCTTATCACACTGCGTGCCTTTGCCGCTGCCGGGGCCCCCGAGCACAAATACTATCTGTGCGTCATCAGGTAGGCTGCCCTTGACAGGTGGGAGGGCGAAGTCCTGCGAATAAAAGAGGAGCCTGAGTTGCCTGTCCTACCCAGTAGGTTAAGGCGAACACGCTGCGTGATCACCGCCACCATGCCAGTATAATGTGTAACATAAATATGCTTTTTGCGCTACAGTTGGGTATCCTTTGTGTGAAGCACCTAACGCCATTTACGCAAGCGCACACAATCACCGTGGACGTAAGCCACAGAAGAACGGCTACCTGTGGTGACTCCTGCACGCTGGAGCCTAACTCCGGCTTGCTCGGTTGATCCTGCAAGTCAACAGGCAACCCCAAGTGAAATTGACATGTCGGGCTTGATGCAACTTCGGGAAGACCTTACCGCTTTGCTAGCTCCACACCCCATCCTTGTTTAGTGTTAAGGCTCAGATGTAGAGCTGTGAGGAGTTAAAGGTAACCGAGACGTTGTTGCCTTGTTGGAGGACCAGGATGATACGGTTTAATTATCACGCCAAGGCAAAGGTTTGGTTACTGGTCACCTTAAGTATTTATAGTTAGGAAATAGGGGGAAGTATAAGGTGGTGCGATGGACCGATGGCGCTAAGACGTACTTGCACTTCGAAGCAGATGCGGGCATGCTGGGTCTGTACGCATACGATTATAATCTACGTGATAATTATATCTCATTGCATACTACTTCTGTGCGTTTACTCTCTCGACCTTGCCGACTGAGGTGTGTTATGGACGAAAGGATGTAGAACGTCTCTTAAATTTGTAAGGTACCTGGTACAGTCATGAACATCAGGGAGAAGATTGGTATCCTTGGGCTGCGTCCTGCCAGTGCTGGGCCGCAGGTGAGATATAGCCTTCGGGTACTTTATGCTTCAAGACTTGAGCGTTTTGCGTTCCATACTATCTCGCTTATAGACAAATTCCGCAAAATATGGAGACTATTGTCCAGACTTTAACTGGATAAGATGGAGTTATCACACTTGCTTCACCACTTCTGTGTGCGCTAGCAACGTGTCAAGTAACGCGCTTGAAGAGGGCAGTAGGCTTTCTTCACCAACTGTCCTGCTAGTTGGCTCAAGCTCATTGCGAACCATGAGGTTTCGGCTTGGTTGGTTCGACTCCCATGGTTCGACATGCCCCTGTCCCTTGTGGGCGACGCCCGCCCCTGAAGTCCTCCTGGGATCAGCATTTGCCGGGACGGGCTTCAGGTTATGGCGCGGTTACGTACAGCCAAGCAGGATCTTAATACGCCCGGTGCCTTTCAAGGGCTTTGGCCCTGTGCATAACCCTTGACTGGCCGTACTGCCTGCCCTTGCATCATGCTCCCAAGCCCAATTCCCGTTACTGCGCCACACCCTGACCTTCCGGCCCCCTTTCCATGCAGGTCCATGGGGGACAGGATTCTCCCTCCGCTGGTACATCTGGCACCAAGGCGGAGCGCCAGGCCGCGGCGCTCCAGCTCTGGAACAAATGGGCCAACGAGGCGTTGGGGCCCATGAGCGCTGACCCCACACCCGAGGAGCTAACGCGCAAGAGCCGCAGGGTGCAGCGCCTGGAGAACGAGTGCGCCGCCATGGCTGCCCGTGCGCAGCGTCGACTAGAGATGAGCGCTGCACTTCGATCGCAGCCCATCTTTGTGGGCAGTAGCAGTGCTGGCAACGCAACCGCGCGGTCTGACGGCGGCGGCGTCGCTGGGATGCTGCGCACTGGGGCATTCAGCCGAGAGGCGCAGTACGCGGTGCGCGAGCGCCGCAAAGCTGCAGCGTACGCGGCAGCGCGGGCGGAGGGCGAGGCAGAAGCAGAAGCCCTGGCGGCAGCGTTGGCGCCGGCGGCTGCGGCAGTCACCTCTTTCAAGTCTCGGAACATGCTGGATTCCCTCATCACCACCCGAGCCATATCCGCTGGAGGCGGCGTACCTGTTGGCGGAGTTGCCAAGCCTACAGGGCACCGGGCGAGGCCGCAGTCCGCCATGCCGCTGCATGGCGCCGCCAGCGCCGCAGGCGCCAGCGGACGGTCGCGCCCTCGGTCCGCCGTCCCAAACCTCATCCTAAGTCGCCAGCCCTCCCTCGCCACGTCGTCAACCGGCGCCACAGGCGGCCCCTCCCGCACCAGCAGCTTGGCCTTACGCGCCGGCGGCTCACCCACCTCCCCTGCCGCCGCTGGCATGGTGGCCGTACCCGAGGGCGAGTACTTTGCCCTCCGGCAGGAGATTGAAACCATCTCTGAGCGGCTGGCTGCCACCCAGGCTGCTTTGGAGGTGCAGACGGATACGGAGGCGCAGCTGCGGGAGGCGCTGGACTTGCTGCGCGCGCGGCTGCACAGCAGCGGTTTGCGGGAGGTGGAGGCGCAGCGGCGGCTGGCGCAGCACTCCAAGCTGGAGCCGCTGTTTGATCGGCTGGCGGAGACGTTCACCTTTAGCAGCCCCGAGGAGGTGGCGGCGCGGCTGGAGTTCCTGGAGGACGACAAGCTGGGCACGTTTGACCAGCTGCTGAGGGTGGGAGCAGAGGAGGGGGCAGTGTGAGGTGTACGGCTGAATGAGGATGTTGTGGGGGTGGATTTGGGAGTCTAAGGTTCCGCCTAAGGTGGTGCGCTCACACACCTCTTCCCTCCTCACGCCCTCTTTTGTCTACCTCCACAGACGCAAGAGGAGGTCACACGGCTGCAGCAGCGGCTTATGGAGGCGCAGAAGGCGGGGGAGACGGTGGCGACGCGGCTGACGACGGAACACCTGCAGGGCAGTGCGCGCCTGCAGCAGCAGAACGAGCAGCTACGGCAGGAGCTGGAGGCCTTGGAGGTGAGAGCCCAAACCCTTAGTTGCAACTCGCATTGGGCTACGATTACCTGATTCCGCATGCTAGGGCCGATTGCAAGCCCTTTGTTCAGGCCCTTCACCTGCCATGCCCCCAGTCCATAACCCTCTCCGTCTAGTTCCCAGGTCCGCATGTCCGCATTCACAATCCTCTCCCTTGTTTCCTTTCTCCTCTCTCCAACACAGAACCAGGTTCACCGCTTGACGGCGCGCCAGGCGCAGCTTGTGGCACTTCAGACGGCCGTGTTGCAGCTGTGGGGCAAACTCACAGAGGACCCTGACTTCGCAGACGCCTTTGGGGATGGGCCAAGGTCGCCCCGCAGCCATGGCAGCCCACGACGTCGCACCCTTGTCAGCAGCAGCGGCGGTGGCGGCGCCTCACCACACAGCCATGCAGGCGGCGGCGAGGAGGGTGGTGGTGCGGCTGGGGGAGGCGGCGGCAGCGGGGGCATTGCCCTGTCGGACCCGTTGTCCATGCTACACATGATTGAGGAGTTTGTGACGGCGAAGAGCGAGAAGCTGGCCATCCGGCATTTCACGGAGTAAGGACGCGGGCCGGAGGAGGGGTTTAAGTTTGGGTGATGGCGCCGTCCAAACAACGGTGTTAGCCCGGAGTTTGGGCTCTTAGGAGTTGCTTCGTCGCAGCTCCTGGCAACACTCATGTTGTCACTGTTTGCACATTTCTTTCACAGTCCGCTATTCCGTGTCGCAACCTTGTTCACCCTCTTCCTGAGACATATGTCCCTTCTCCGACCCCTTCCTTCACCTGCAGCATCCAACGCGTTGCGAATCACGTGTGGCAGCAGCACTTCCGCAACCGCGCCGACATCCGCGGCCGCGTGGTGCCCACCTTTGAGCAGCTCAGCACCATGGCAGACCGCATGGCAGACCGCGTGCGTTCCGTACAAGAGCAGGCCGGTCGCAGCCAGGAAGCCGAGAAGAACCTCATGCGCGAGGTGAAGCGCCTGCAACAGCAGAAGCGCGTGTTGGAAGGCGAGTTGGCGCGGCGAGACGAGCAGCTCAAAAGCATCATGGGCGTGCCTCGCAAGGAGCGACCAGCCACAGCAAACGCGGCGCTCAATCGCATCCTTCGCAGTGAGGCGGTGGCGGCAGGCCCTTCGGCAACTACTAGCGCTGGCGGTGCAGGGGGTGCTGGTGTGGCACGTGCGTTGTCCCGTGCCACGTCTATTGTGTCCACAACTGGGTCGTTTGCCGCCTCATCTGGGGGCGCGGGGCCGGGTGGTGGCGGCAGCGGCGGCCGTGGCGGCCGCAGCGTCAACGGGGATGCGGACTCGGCTTCCGTTAGCAGCTCAGCAGCGGGAGGCGCATTGCAGCACCGCTCCTCGCAACAGCACCAGTCGCCGCCGCCGCAGCAGCAGCAACAGCAGCAGCAGCATAGGCCACGAGCCGCATCCATGCCTGCTGCAAACGGTGGTGCTACGGGCTCCATAACCTCCTCCTCGCCCTCGCGGACCGCACGCAACAGTGCAGCGTCGGCGGCGACGGCGACGAGTTGTGGCACGCTGGCCCCCATCCTCAGCCCTGCGGTTGCGTTGCAGGTACCGCAGATGACGTCAGACCTGCCGTACGGAGCCCACTGGCGGCAGTACGTCGCAAGCACGTCGGCGGGATCCGTACAACGTGCGGCACCGCAGCGTCTGCCGGCGGGTTCGCTGTTCTACAACAGCAGTCGAGGCGGGGCTGCGGAGGCAGCGGGCGGGTCATCAGGAGGTGCTGCAGTGCCGGAGGTGCCGGCAGTGGTGGAGGAGCCGCCCCCGCCGTCTGTCCGCTGGGCTGCTCCGCAGCGGAGTGCCATTGAACAGGCATTCCTGACTCGTTTGGAGCGGCGGACAAGGGTCACCTAGGGTAGGGCAGGAGAGAGAGAAAGAGTGCACTTCTTTCCATAGATGCATTGGTAGGGGTTGCTCGCAAGGTCATGTTGCGACATGAGGTGCTCAGCAGGCGCTGGCGCAGGATTGTGCTTGGGTGCAGTACGGCGCTTGAGCTCGCAGCAGAGGCAACATACGGCATTACTGGAATCTTGTACCGAGTATGCCCGTTAGGAATCAGTTTTCCCAGTTTTTCTGAATCAAGTAGCACAGCAGGTGGAAGTATTGCAGCCCGAATGCAAGCTGTGGGTGTATAGGTACTATGGTGGCACTGTTTGAACTGCTTGTTTGGTAGTAGCTCCCAGGTAGAGCGTACGCAGGACTGTTGTCGCCGCGGTAAGGCGACGCCCCATGGTACTTGACGAACTGCGCTGCAAATACGCTGGCTGGTAGAGCCCTTGCGCAGAGGGGACATTTCAACGTGCATGGGACGTCCTGTGCTGCTTGTTGGCGTTGATGTGGATTTTGATGAGGACAGTCGGCGAGGCTGTGATAGGGGTCTTGCCTAGGTGAGGAGTACGTACCGAGGCAATGATGCAAGTCTGCTCCCAAAGGAAAGGTGTGGATAGGTGTTGGCAGGGTTGTGCCGCATCATGCAATCAAGCTAGGGACTGAAAGACCAAGGCGCTTGAACATCGCATAGGAGTTAAGGCTCCCCATGCCTGTCCATGCCATCTTAATCCGTGCCCCGTGCTGCCATGCAGCATGTGTTGCATGTCCCCTGGCGTCACAGAGAGCCTCGTGACAAACCATATCCACAGCAGCTAAGGACCTCCCAGCCAGCACCCCCACACCTCGAGCCCCTCACGAGCTTCCTAAGGACTGCACTCTAAGGACACCCCCCCATCCCTTCCACCCGCATGACATCACCATCTGGTGCATGACCCGAGGGGACACGCAGGCGGCAGTCGTACAGTGGTCACTAGCTGGCTACCGTTACCTCATCCGGGCAAACCATATCGCTTCTGCATGCTCCGCTAGGCGCGCAGTGGGCTCCAAAACGCACGGCTCAGCAGGCATGCAAGCCCAGCAACAAAACAGGCAGGCGTTAATGATGTACACGCATCTCCGCAGCTCACGACCAATGTACACCTTGGGAAAAACAAGCGTGCCCCGCACCCTCAGGACGCCCATTCCCTCAAACGGTAAATCGCATTGAAACACACGGCGCCATCTCAGTTCCGTTGCGGCGCTACAGCTGCTGCCCCATGCCAGGGCTTTCTTCCAGTGTCATCGTCTGCAGGTTGTTCTGAACCTGGTTCAGACTGGGTCGGTTAATGGGCCTCTTCTTTAGCTGCAGAGCGCCCAGGCCTGAGGGTGGGGCAGGGCAACAGGTTGTTAGCAGCGGAACGCGGCTACTTTGTCATGGTGCCAAACCCCACAATCTGCCCGAAACTGCCCGACCCGAATCCATCCTGCTTACCACCATTACACCTCTCGCCCTCAGTGGCCGATACCTCACCCTTACCCACAACCGCCCACCACCACTAGAAACGCACAGCCCTCCCCCCTCACCCGCATCCTCGGGCGTCACCGCCTCCCAGTTCTTGTACGTGTACCCAATGAAGTGCGGGTCCGCCTTGGCCAGCCACTTGCTGCCGCGGCCCTGCATGCCCTCGCTGCGGTGGTGCCCGCTGCTCTCCTCGTCGAACGCCTCAAAGTTCTGGGTGTCGAGCTCGTGATCCACACGCGGCACGTAGGGCGCGGGGCTCAGGTGCAGGCCGGCCCAATCCACGCAGGCGAAGAAGGGGTGGCTCTGGGGTAGCGGGATGGGTGCGGAGTTGGGGTTGAAGAGGCGTGTGTGTATAGCTGTATACGATGGGTGTACGTATGGGTGACAGGAGCTGTGCATGTGGGGTCAGAAAGACAAGTAAAAGGCAGAGGCCCTGTTAGGTCGGGCTCCTCCGCTTCTCACCGCCATCGCACTCCGCCTCCCGTTCCCCTTCCCATGTGTCCTTCTTCGCTCCCCCCACCGCATATGTGCCGTACGCCCATACGCCATACCTTGATCTCCTCCACGCCGCCGCGCGTCCCGATCCTGTCGTCCACATCGCACATCAGGCGGCAGATGAGGTCGCGCGCCGCCGGTGACAGCCGCGCCTCCTCCGGAAAGCGCAGGAACATGCGCCAGTTGACGATCTTGCGGCAGGTGGTGAGCGGCTCGTCGCTGTAGAAGGGCGGGTATCCCACCAGCATCTCAAACATGATGGCGCCCAGCGACCACCAGTCGCACTCCATGCCGTAGCCCTTCTTCAGCAGCACCTCGGGGGCGATGTAGTCGGGAGTGCCAACGGTAGAGAAGGCCTGCGCGCCGGGGGGTGAGGACAGGGGGGGGTCAAAGACCATACCATTTACCAAACCATAGGAAACATAGGGGGGTGAGGTGAGGTGAGGTGGGGTGAGGTGAGGTGGGGTCAGAAGGGGTTGTGGTGTTGCGCAGGAGGCCCCGTGGGGTCAGCCATCACCCTCTTACCAGCTGGCGGCGGTTCTTCTGCCACTGCGCCAGCTGCTCGGCCTGGGGGCGCATGGAGGTGGAGGGAACCATCCTGCGCAGCAGCAGGAAGCGGCAGTAAACGCCACGGAGTTACTTGCGTACGATAAGGCGGGTCCCAGTACCAGAGCTCCCTATCACCCTTTTCTGCCGAAGTCACATAGCAAGCCCCATTCAACCGCTCTCCACCAACCGCTCTCACCCTGCGTCGGTGTACTCCTCGCCCTCCGCCAGGGTCGGCAGCGCGTGCACGTCTACCGGCTTGCACAACCCAAAGTCCGACAGCTTCACATGCCCCTCGCGACTGAGCAACAGGTTGTCCGGCTTGATGTCCCTGGCGTCCGTCACGGAGGGCGGGGAAGGCCGCGAGCACCGGGCAGAGCAGCGCGTAGTGCAGCATGGGCAGCATGGGCAGCATAGGCATGTTCAGGTGCTGCTGCTGCTAGGAAGTTGGCTGCTGCTATGGAGTGCCGGGGAGATCTGTGCAGGCCGTGCAGACCGTCGCATGTTGCATGCATGCAGTCTTGCAGGAGGATGGCGTGCCGTGGGTGTGCCGTACATGCTCACCTGTGGATGTAGCCCGCCTTGTGGATCGACTCGATGGCTAGGATGGTCTCTGCGATGTAGAACCGCGTCTCCTCCTCCGTCAGGATGTCCTTGCGCATGAGCAGCGTCTGAAGGAGGGAAGGAGGAGGAGAGGGGGGAAGAGGGTTTCAGGAAGTGGTGTTGATGCAGGATGAGCTGCAGCGGGCGTCCCATCAGAGGCCGCATGACGCCCGCATCGGTTCTCCTTGATAGGCTGAGGTGTCTGCAACGACGACTGCCATCATCCTCCACCTTGCACGCAGCAGCAGACCCCCCCTCCCCCCCCTCACCACACATTGGAATTTCTTTTTCCACTCCCTATACTTGTTTATAATTCCCCCCCTACCATGGTGTCCCCGCCCGGCAGGTACTCCATGACTAGGTACAGGTAGTCCTCGTCCTGCGGGGAGGTGGGATGTGCACAGGAAGAAACTAACTAACAGGGGGTGGGTGTGCGGCGGCGGATGGAGGGAGCGGGGGTCCATTGCATGCAGTTGCGGCAACTGAGGGGGCAGCTGCGCGCTAAAAGATCCTGCCGTAGTGCCACGGACGACCACCCTGGGCGCACGCACGTCTCATTTCGTCCAAAGCGCTGGTTCCGACAGCGCCCCCAGCAGCCACTGGTACCCTTTCCCTGTCGTACCGTACCAGGGTCCTCCAGTCCGCACCTGGAAGGAGTAGTAGAGCTTGACGATGTAGGGGTTCTGCACCTCCGCCAGCACATTGCGCTCCGCCTTCACGTGCTCAACCTGGCGGAGGGTGACGGGCGGGCAGGGAGGGAGGGAGGGGGCGGGCGGTGTTTTGGAACAAGGCTGCGTTGGAGGCCCGGCTAAACTATCTGATGACACGGAGCGCATTGCTTCCTTGGGCAACTTGGGCATGGAGGGCTGCCCCAGGCCCAACTGTACATCTGATGAGATGTGGCAGGCGGGTGCCGCCACCTGCTGCCATCTGCCATGACCCCATGAGGACTGCAGGACTGTACGGCTGCAGGGCCCACCTGGCCTCGCTTGAGCATCTCCGACTTCTTCAGTTTTTTCATGGCCAGGATCTTGCTGGTCGACTTCTCGCGCACAATGCGGACCTGGACACCGCACGGCAGGGACGAGGGACAGTAACAGCGTCAACACGGGTGTGGGGGTGTGGCGAGGGGAAGCGGAAAGTGTCCCAAAGAGAGACATGCATGCGCCGGGAGCTAGGATAAAGATACGTGCAAACACTGGACACTCGGGACGCAGAAAGAGGACGTACCGGTCTGCTGTCCTACAAGCCATGCGAAGCCACAGTACGCTCATGCGGTTGCATTGGCATGCCGCACAAGCATGTCCCCTCAGGCCCCGGCAAAGCCTAGCCCCGCTCTCAGACTGACATGGCACCAAGCGCTGACGTGTCCCCTCACCCGTCTCCATAGCGAAACCCGAACATTCACGTGGCCACCCACCTCCCCAAAGGCACCCCGGCCGATGATGCTGAGCGGTTCAAAGTCGTCAGCGGTCATGCGCTGCCGCTGTAACCGCGTGTAGTCGCTTTCCCGCTTCTCCAGCTGTGAGATGATCTGCCGCTTTTGATCGTCCGGCAGGCCCTCGCGTTGTAGCTCCCGCTCCAGGGCGTTGCGTCTGTGAGCATGTCGGGCAAAGATTGGGGGGGGGTGAGGAACAGCTGCCTCGCGTAGTGGAAGGAGGACGAGGAGAGGAGAGTTGGAATGCCCCGGGGCTGGCATAGGTAGGTATGCCGGCTATTGGCCAGGTGGGGTGGGCCGCAGGCGTGGAGGGAGTCGAGGGCGGTGTGTGCTGTTGCCCCGTGGATGCGCACCTCGCATAACGCTCCGCAATGTTCTGATGTTGAACGTGGAACATATTTTCTATAAACTGCTTAGCAGCCTCAACCCGTAGGCGTGTTGCCTCGGATACAGCCCCATCGCCAGAACCGCTGCCTCCAGGCCCTCCGTCTGCAGGCCCCAGATCCTCCGTTTTTTTCCGCCGAGCTGAAAATGGCCGTTGAAGCCCTGTAAATAGCCCGCCGGTGTTGTTCATTTCCGCAGCAACACCGCAATCGAACTTTCCAACGTGACGGTCACACCAGGGGTAATTTTTTTAATCTTACTATACACGTTTACAACTTAGGTGAGGCCGTGTTGTCATTAACCGCGGTGCACTTGTAGTTGGTAGATGGAGTAAAGTATGAAAAAAGGTATCCAACTCAGTACGCAGCTTTTGTAGTGCTGTTCCTGTGCTTTAGTTGGCCCAAGCTTTTAGGCAAGAAATCGGTGCCATACTGTAGTCATGTGTCATGAACCAGCCTCAACTGTAAGGATCAACTGCATGCACGGGCCTCCTAGACCCATACAAATGCATAAGCTGATTCCATACGCATGTCCCTGAATACTTATCTACTTCGCCTCTGTAATTCAAGCTGTCCATGGACACCGCTTCTGGTCGCCTGTACCTCTGCTAGCCCCTGCCCACTTGAGAACCCCGTCTGAATTCCTGTTTAAAGCATCAGTTTACCAAAACAGGGATTCCATACGGGCCACACCGGGAGTAAGAAGAACGGCAAATGCTTTAACGTAATACAATTCGTACGCGTCTACGGCTTACCCATGCCAAAACAGGCCAAGGCGACTACATGGAGGGCGATTCGACAGAGGGCCGAAATGGCCTGGCCGTTAGGTATGCCTTTAGGGGACTCTGCAGTGTGGAATCATTTCTCTTTAGGTGGCCCACGCAGCATGCCACCAGCGCATGAGCCCCAGCTGCTACAATATGAGCACCCACGGACCCGAGGGTTAGGGGGTGCATGTTTGGCAGCCCCTCCACAGGCTAACCCTGGCGCCAGCCAAGGGGTCAGCTGGCGCTAAGAGCCACCGGATTCCTTTCAAATTTGAGGAGCGGGGAGGCTTTGGGGGGCCGGGTAAGCGCAGGCCATAAACCCTCCTCAGTACCGGTCGCTCCTAACTAAAACGGTGGCAACGCAAGCCTCCCCGCTTGCCTAGGATCATGCCTAGGATTGGTAGATGATAATGCAAGCCACGTTTCTGTCCCCAGGCACCTTGTACAATCTGCTGGCAGTGGCTCGGCCTCGACGCCGTAATCCGAGCCAAATTAAACCGTTCCAGACACACAGTCCAGCCAAAATAAATAACAATTTGTATACATCACGTTAAAGAGATGTATTAAACCATAGGTAGCTGCTAGAAAGGGTTAGGTCCAGCCCAACCGTCGTTGCACGCGAACTTGTTTTACTGGTGCCTGGTACCTGTTTCTGCAAGGATTATGCGTATAGGTACACACCGAAACAAAGTGCAATTAGATCAGGGGCATTGGACTGCTGCAGTACATCCCGGCGAGCGAGGGACTAACTGATCCTAATACCGCCTCTTGCATCTTCCCTGCGTCATTTCATCTTACTGGTCAGTATACCAACAACACGATTATTTGTCCCTTGTGAGCGAGGTACCCCTGGCTTGCCTGGAGCCCGCCGCGGCAAGCAAGCCGGGATCCGGCTTCTTCACAGCGGATGGCCAACACGATTTTACATTCGCTCGCTGAAAAATGAAAAATAACATTTGTGCAGCGGTATTCCTCCTTCTAGCTTTACTAACGTCTCCATCCTTCGTTGATGCGACATGCTCGCTTCGGCTGGACCTGGACGCGCAGCTAAGCACGCTGAGCCTCAATACAAACAACCTTGTGGTAAACGTTAACGACTCCAAGAAGCGCCTTATCTCCAGCGCTACCTTCAACAGCTCCGTTCCCAGGGGATTCTCCGGTGTGCTGTACGCAGTCAGCCCCAACCTGCCCTCCTGTCCATCCGCCTCCGACCGCAACGCTTGGCTGGCCAACTGGCCTTCCTTCTCCCTCACCTCCGTAGCTCCCGTGTCCTCCTTCAACGAGTCTATCGCCGTATACCCCAGCATAAACCTCGGCAAGACTATTGTCGCCGGCATGGCCGGTGCTCCAGAATACGACTACAATGTCACAGACCTGCGTATTAACATCCTTGCTGACAGCTTCAGTGCTCTACCTGACCAGCCGGGTAACTTCACCTCTCGATGGAGCACCCAGTCCGTGGCGGGTTGGCTATCCACTGCGAACAGCTACACCGGCGCGCGGCTTGACAGTGCCGCACACCTCACCGCAAACCTCACCAACGTGCCTCTGGGCATTGACGTGCAGGCACGTTGAGAGTGGGGAAGGCGGCCCTGCCAGGATTCATTTCGGGAAGGGCTCGTGACCCCGGCACGCGTGGGCACCGCTTGTTAGTTACTATGCGACAAGGCCTCCTGGTCGCTTCAGTCCATGCCTATAGCTCGCTCACACAAGCCCACCAGCACACGCCATTCGTCCTATACTCTTCTCCACAACCTTCGCACTCTCTCCACAACCTTCGCACTCCCTCCGCAACCGCAACCGCAACCGCAACTGCAGGCGGTTGACGGGTGGAGCAGCCTGGTGGTTGACGTGCCGCAGGTGTGGCTGCTGTTCCAGTCGGTGGGGCAGGTCACCATCATGGGGGAGCCCTGGTACTCCCACACCAACTACACCATCAGGGGCAGGATGCTGGCAAAGGTACGTACGGCATAACGTATGACATGAACTACTGCCGTACAATGCTCCGGGGTAGCGGGGTTGCGGGGTGATGAGGAGACAACCAACTGACCGTGTGATACGGCGTCATCATGGGGTTGAGGTTGTGGGGTTTAGGGGCTATACGGTAAAGATAAAAAAACACTCTGCAACACAGGCGCTGCTGGGCTGTCCTGGCTACTGTGGTGACTTTGGCCGCTGCGCGAATGTCAATGGAGCGGCCACCTGCGTTTGTGACTGCGGCTCAGCAGGTGAGAGCGAGCAGCGCAGCGCCACACAGGTAGGCCGATAGCTACCCCAACTCCAAAAGCAGCTGTATTGCGCAGGAGGCTGATTTCCTCATTTCATCACTCCACGTACGTTGACCGTAAACACCCTTCCGCCCTAACCGCCACTCCGTGTGCGTGCCTGCCTGCCTGCTGCAGCTGACAGCGGGGGCCAGTGCAATGTCTTCCACGGCTCCTGCCCCCCCAGCCCGCCCCTGGCTCCCAGTCCACCTCGGCCGCCGCCCTCGCCGCCGCCGTCGCCTCCAAGCCCATCGCCGCCGCTTTCAACGCCGCCGCCGCCAAGTCCCCCAGTGCCCACGCCGCCGCCACCGCCGAGCCCTTCTCCGCCTTCGCCACCTTCAGTGCTTTCGCAGTCTTGCTCACCTATCATCCTGCCTGTGAACGGTAAGCAAAGGCTAAGCGGCGCATCCCCCCCTCATGCCCGAACATGTGGTCCCATATGGTTTGGTATGGTCTTGGACCCCCCTCCGACATGTCCTCCTTGCTTCCGTGCTTCCCACTCCTTTTCTTTCCCCTTCATTTCCTACCTGCGCTGATCGAGGGCATTACGTTCTTGAAACGGAAGTAGATCCGTACGTCCTTACCGGTACGTGGCAAAATGTACGGCATGCATGCAGGATCTTGTCCGCTGGGCTACGATCTTGATGAGTACGGCACCTCCTGCGAGGCCTGTCCCTCCGGCTTCAGCGGCAGCGGCTGCGTGCTGTGCAGCTCTGATGCCGCCTGCAAGGTTCGGCTGGTGGTGATGGACTGACTTGACCGGTATCTGCTTGTGACCCCCCACAAGTAGCCACCTGATACCGGTACCCTTAGCAAGACCGATCCACACGCCTGCCCGCCAGCTCACCCCTTTAGTATCTTTCACTTCGGAAGCTACCTCTCCTGGCCCCCGTCTCTACTCGTTTTACCCTCTTCCCCCTCCCCAACCCTCTCTCTCCCCTTCCTCCCTCCCCGCCGCAGCGCTCCCTGGCTTCCTCCACCGCACAGTGCTCCCTCAGTCCGCTCTACTCCTCCCGCTCCCTCCGCAAGCACTACGCCTGCAGCCTGCTGGACCCCACCGTCGCCTTCATCCTGGGCACCTCCCTGGACTTCACATGCAGCACGAGGGCGCCAGGTGGGGTGGCGGAGTGGGGTAGCGGGGTGAGGTGGCAGGGTGAGGTGGCGGCGGCGGCAAGGGTGTGTTTAGGAAACTGGCCGCGAGTAGGAGCGTACTGTGTGTAGTTGAGTAGGACAGGAGCAAGCAATGGGGAGAGGTTCGCATGTGAACCGCGAGTACAGGCAAAACAAAGTTGACCGAACCTGAACCGTAATACAGAAAACTGCTTAAATGGCTGTTGCTGGATGTAAGAAGAGTGGCGAGTGATGAGTGACAACGCATGTCGGTGATGCTGATGGTGTCGGAATAAACTAAAATATTACCGAGAACTAAAGCCCGCTGACCAAAGCTCGACGCCGGGAGCCCCCGCTCTGGACACGCAGACGAGACACCGCAATGCTGTGCATGCGTGCGTGCAAACGCGCATTGCGTACCTGCGAGCAAAGACGCCGTAGTCAGCACCAGAACCAGCAGCCGCAGTAATGCGAGTAATGCCATGCGCAGAAGCGAGTAGGAGCGTACTGTGTGTGTTAAGAAAACTGGTGTCCCCTAACTCCTAACCCCCCCGCCCGTCCCCGAGCAAACACACACACAGACACGGGATCCAACGTTAGCGATGTGTCCGTGAGCACCGGCAAGGTCATCGCCAACAGCCCCGTCGGCAGCACGCCCTACTGCCGCATGTCCTTCCACCTGTCGGGCATGCCGCACGACGCGGCCGTCATCTGCACCGGCTGGGCCTGCCGCTTCGCCGTCAATAGCAGCCGAGTGGATTGCGGCGAGATCCGCTGCGAGTGCCCTAAGGGGTGTTCGAACGGTAGGTTTGGTGGGTGAGGAAGGGCGTCGCCGAAGCTGTTAGAGCTGTTGCTCGGTCAGGGACATTTTCCTAGCTTTCCTGTGTTTGACCCACCGGTATTTACATGCCCCGTTTTTTCCCTTTTTCCTCTCACTCCACTTCCCATGCACCCTCACCCGTCCTTCCACGCACCCCCACTCCACCGCTAATCTATCCCCGTTGCCCTGCTGCTGCTTCTGCTGCTGCTTCTGTTGCTGCTGCCTGCTGCTGCAGCCGAGGGTACCATCTCAGAGGCCGTGTTCAGCAGCCTCAGCAGCAACGTCTCCATTGCATGCGGCCCCGAAGCCGGCCAGTCCGCCACCTCCGCGGACGGCACCACCCGCTGCTCCATTGAGCTCAGCGGGCTGCCGCTGCCCGCCATACCCGCCGCATGCAGGACTGCGGAGTGCTTGGACCCCGTGAACGGCAGCATCACCGTGACTGA